CCCTCCTGACCTCATCCTTCACTCTTGCTCCCTCCCCCCCCCCTCACGAGACGTCCTAACTAACGTTCTCGTCTTTCCTCTTCCCCCTCCAAAAGACCCTTGACCAGTTCAGTTCGCCTTCTTGTTGTTGATACCCCTTCCGCCAAAATGCCTCAAGCTTCCAGCCTCCCTGCTTGGGCCGAGCTCCAGGCTCACCGCGACAATGTCGGCAAGAACTTCGTCCTCAAGGAGGCCTTCGCTTCTGACCCGGATCGTTTCGCCAAGTACAGCCGTACCTTCCAGAACAACGCCTCCGGCACCGACATCCTCTTCGACTTCTCCAAGAACTTCCTGACCGATGAGACCCTCGACCTCCTCGTCAAGTTGGCCGAGCAGGCCGGCCTCGAGAAGAAGCGTGACGCCATGTTCGCCGGCGAGAAGATCAACTTCACCGAGAAGCGTGCCGTCTACCACGCCGCTCTCCGCAACGTTGGCGGCTGGGACATGAAGGTCGACGGTGTCGACGTCATGAACAACGAGGGTGGTGTCAACTCCGTTCTCAACCACATGAAGGAGTTCTCCGAGCAGGTCCGCAGCGGCGAGTGGAAGGGTTTCACCGGCAAGAAGCTCACCACCATCATCAACGTCGGTATCGGAGGTTCCGATCTGTAAGTTCCCCCCTGCTATACTTCCGGCGGCTCTCTCTCCCCCGCCCGGCCCCGGTCTGGATCTGCTCCCCGCGCTAACCACACTACACCGTAAAGCGGTCCCGTCATGGTCACCGAGGCCCTCAAGCACTACGGTGCCAGGGACATGACCCTCCACTTTGTCTCCAACATTGACGGCACCCACATGGCCGAGGCCCTTGCCGACTCGGACCCCGAGACCACCCTCTTCCTCATCGCCTCCAAGACCTTCACCACCGCCGAGACCACCACCAACGCCAACACCGCCAAGACCTGGTTCCTCGAGAAGACGGACAACAAGGGCGAGATTGCCAAGCACTTCGTTGCCCTCTCCACCAACGAGGAGGAGGTCACCAAGTTCGGCATTGACGCCAAGAACATGTTCGGCTTCGAGAGCTGGGTCGGCGGCCGCTACTCTGTCTGGAGCGCCATCGGCCTTAGCGTCGCCATCTACGTCGGTTACGACAACTTCCACAAGTTCCTCGCCGGTGCCCACGCCATGGACAAGCACTTCCGCGAGACTCCCCTGAAGGACAACATTCCCGTCCTGGGAGGTCTTCTCAGCGTGTGGTACTCTGACTTCTTCCAGGCCCAGACTCACCTGGTTGCTCCGTAAGTGCCTACCGACATGGACGGGTAAACAGAAATCAATGCTAATTCGACAAAAACAGCTTCGACCAGTACCTGCACCGCTTCCCCGCCTACCTGCAGCAGCTCTCCATGGAGTCCAACGGCAAGACCATCACCTCTGACGGCACCCCCGCCAAGTACACCACTGGTAAGCAGGCCCGTTGATCCGCACGCGCTTTGAAGCCTTTCAGAGCAGAGCTGACAATTCGGTTGATCGCAGGCCCTATCCTCTTCGGCGAGCCCTGCACAAACGCCCAGCACTCTTTCTTCCAGCTCGTTCACCAGGGAACTAAGCTGATCCCCGCCGACTTCATCCTGGCCGCCAAGAGCCACAACCCCATCGGCGACAACGTCCACCAGAAGATGCTCGCCTCCAACTACTTCGCTCAGGCCGAGGCCCTGATGGTTGGCAAGACCGCCGAGCAGGTCCGCGCTGAGGGTGCCCCCGAGGAGCTCGTTCCCCACAAGATCTTCCTGGGCAACCGCCCTACCACCAGCATTCTCGTCGGTGGCCACATCGGCCCCGCCGAGCTGGGTGCCCTTATCGTCTACTACGAGCACCTCACCTTCACCGAGGCCGCCGTCTGGGACATCAACGCCTTCGACCAGTGGGGTGTCGAGCTGGGCAAGGTCCTGGCCAAGAAGATTCTCAAGTACGTACCATTGCGTCCTGGTATTTTGGAATCCATGCTAACCACCTCGCAGGGAGCTCGACGAGCCCGGCAACGGCGACGGCCACGATGCTTCCACCGGTGGCCTGATTGGCGCCTTCAAGAAGTACTCTAACCTGTAATGACTAATGTCCGCGGTGTTGTTTTGGTAGTTCAAAAATTGGAAAGGGTGTAGAGCCAAATTCATATTTCAATAAAGCCAAATGAAGACATGTCGGCCTGGATCCGTGAATGTTGTGATGTCTGTCTCGATTAGGACGCGGCACGTGGATCATGCCATATCCGTGTGCTCCGAAATGAAATGGACGTGAGATCATACGATGGTAGGTGCCGGGTTCAAGCCACCGTATCTTGAGTTGTAGGCCTCGGCGGAGTTGATTAGCTGACAGCCTGTCCATCAAACTAACACCCGAATCTGTCGTGAGTTGATGTATACTCGTAGCAGTCCAAGTAGTCACCTGCCTTGGAAAGCCACCGTGAATTGAGACTTGATCCCTGGGTGGAAAGTGAATGGAAAGCGGTTCGTCTTCAGCGGTCCTTTGGTGCCTGGTACGTAAATGGCCGATGCCGAAGTTCGGCATGTGAAGTGGGGATTTGAAGATCCTAAAAATGTGAGCGATGTAACTAGAAAGTCGAGGTTTATCTGTAGATTCTGGCTTGTATGTAGAAGAACCAAGGGGTGGTGGCCCATGTTTGGTGTGGTTTGTCATCCCCCGTTATAGATCCGATTTGGAAATGCCTGTGATCTGTTTCGTAATGGATCAGCAAGTTTGAGTATTCGTTGGGGATTGTGTTGGTGCGAGGTGAATAGAGTATATGCCAGCGGCGGGGGCTCGCTCTAGTACCTAGCATGGTGAATCGTTGATACGTGGCCAAGGAGGTCTTGCGAGTTCTACTGGGAAGCCAATGCGCACTTTGTCATGTATTTACGTGTTCTCCTACAAGCCATCATTATACCAGGAGGCTAGAGTAGCTTGAGTTAGTTATTGTTGTCAAAACACTTCATTCCTTTGTCTGGGGATTGGTTTGGTGTTAGCAGTCGTCAAGTCGAAACCATGGGTTGAGGAGGTTGGTCCCCGCGTCTTATTCGTGAGTCCCCCTTTCTTTTGTGAAGACGAAGAGGTTGGAGTCGGATGATTAGTCGGGATAAAGCTTAGACAGGCGAGTGAGATCCAAGGGGGTGGTAATTACACGAACATGAGTGTATTAATCAAAATCACACGATGCCGATAATCAGACCAAGGAACTCCCAGAAAGAAGCTCCCCTTGGCTCCTCTACTTGCAAGTGTTGTGTCAGACATTGTGATCGCGTTCTACAGTCAACGACAGTTTCTACAACCCAAGTTCCCAAGAAAGGTACCTGCCGTGACGTCCTCTGTCAACTGGCGACTGCTGAAGATACAATACGTAGTTTGTATTTAGTCTCATCCGCAGTAAGTTCTTCTTGAGCATTACGGCCTCAAGGTCTATATGGAGGTGACGAAACTTGCGGACGGCGTCAATGACAAAGGCGAATCATAAGTACACGCACCAGAAACGGCCCAGCTTTCTGATCGAACATGCTCATGAGGCAGCTTGCTATATCCTCGACAACGATGTCATGGGGGTACAACGCGGGCATCGCCATTTGGCAAAGGGCTAGAATCACCATCGTCGCTACATCGAACATCAGGATAAGTACGCTGGGGTGTCGGCTCCGTTGACTGCCCGGGACAGATATTCGATACACCTCACATTGAACTTCCAACGTAGGCGAGCCGTTTACATCCGAATCACGTCTGTTCAAAGATCACTGTGACGAACAACGACATACAATACGTCTACGTCGAGAAGACGTGCTGTGGTCGTTCCCACTGTGCTGCCCTGATGATGCAGTCCGAACCTAATGCCAGTCTTGCGATCGCACCAATCTCGAGGGAATAAGATTGTATTCCCAACATGGAGACTTCAGATTTGCTGTGACGGGCGGTTATCTTTGAAAGGCCTCGCCTAACCGTATTGCAATTCGTAACCTTTGGTAGACGAACTGGGGCGAGACCGGGAATACCGCCTCGAGAAATGAAGGACGACAGAGGGGTGTTTATGGTTCTGGAACCCCCACTTGGATACTGCGCGGTCGTAGAACTGCAGTAATTTCATTCCGACCTGCTCAACTGTCTTCAGTACCCAGTCAACTAGTCAAGCAGGCCCTCTGGCAGGAAATTATTGCAAGCTCAGAACCACCAGCAATGAAAAACATCTAGGCCAACCAAGACCTCGACATACTCACCAGCGACCTCTAATAATCAACTTGACACCCCGGCCCGAACCAAAACAGACGAAGAACTCCAGGGCAAAAATCGCGGGGACGCCGGACTCTCGGAACGAAACCCAGCGCCCTGGTAGGCGACCCAGATATTGACATCAACTTGAATCACCGCACCGGCAACGGTCCGCTAACCCCCCCTCGAAACCGATCACAAAATCCAGGTCTTCAAAAAATGGCGAAAAACATCACAAATCCATATTCACACGCTATCCCAAGAACGTGTCACGAGCAAAGACCATCCTCGTGCGATTCTCCCGGATCGATCGCCAGGGGCCATCGTCAGGGGCACAGCCAGGAGCACAGCCATCTCCAAATGACACGGCGGTGATGTTATGAGAACCCACGTTCTTTTCCCCACGAGCATGACCTCGAACCTTTGCGTAAACTCTAGAACGCTCATCGACCAAAGATCGATGTTTCTCCCTCTCATGGGTCCCCGTTCATGGGTCCTCTTTCGTGGAGAACGGGTCAGCCGGGTCCCCGCCGTGACATTTTTTTTTACACAGACGGCATGGAGCCTTTAGAAATATGTTGAACCTCCACAAAAAGGCGTGATCCTACGAGCACTGGGGTTTTCCTATCTGTGGTTTAGTCAGATGGTTTCGAGAAGGCCCATTTTTTGATGCGGAGGTGGATGTGACTAAAAGCATCCAAGAGGATAGCCCTCCACGTTTCAGTACTCCTTGATCAGTACTCCATGAAGCCGCATATCTTCACACGATTCAAATGGATCATCACATCTTATTCCCCACGGCGAATTCAACTCTCCCGCGCACGTTCTTCGTGGATACGTTTGTGATCCCCAATACTGTTGCTCCGCTGGTTGGTCTGGGGGAGCAGCGCCGTTGCCGGCCGCCGGTGGAGAATGTCTTCCGCTACAACCTCAACGTGCCTCGTATCTCTGATCCGGTCGAACACGGCGCGTACGAACATGCAGCTCGGCGCACATCGGAACGGCTCAGCAAAACGACTCGCGCAACAGTCAAAAAGCCCGCATATGCTAACACAGTGCTTAGCACAACGGGTCTCTGATCAGTTTTAGCCAGCCAAAGGTGATCGACATTGGGGGGGAAAATAACAAGTGCCCGCTCGCAAAACACCGCCGCCCGTACCGCAAAATACGAAACAGTCAATTATCACAATATGCGAGCCAAAGAAGACAGCTCAGCATGTTCAGAATGCATCTGCAGCTGACATACACGTGCAAGGGCACGCCCCGGACTGCCACTCTCCGTGATCATGCCCACACAACTTTGGCCTGCGGTAGCCGTTTGCCGCCAGTGATCGCCAAGGGGGATCTTACTGTGCCGTGTACCCGACGCCGACGGCCGACATTTGAGCCGGTCTCGTCCCCCTCCGTTATGCGGCATTACGAATGCCAAGTCACCGCCGAGGGTTCGGGCTTTGAAGGAGGAGGAAGAGGAGGCACACACACGGCTCAGCGAAATTCTGTGCATCTCCGGGAGATTTCGTAGAGGATTTCACATCTCGACGCGGAAGAAAGCGCTTCTCTGGCTCATGTTTTCTCGTCGTCAGGCTGTGCTGTGAACATCACTCGGCGCTCACGGGCTTTGTCGATCCTCAACCTCGGCCCGACGCGGTGCTGTTTCGCATTCACGGGATCTCAGCCATACGGAAATCCTCGTGTCACTGTTGATTGTCGACTGGCTCGCTCGTGCTGTAATTAGGTGGCAGCTGCTGAGATCAAGTGAGGATGGCCACCCTTCTCCAACTGTGTGAGTCGGATGGAATCGGCCCCACTTTGAAGGACGCAGAATGGCACGCACAGGGCAAACCATTGCGACTCTTTTGGTCCTTGTGCATTCTCACCCCATGGAGAGCCTACATATTCCTCCGTAAGGGGCCAAACAACCTGCAACGACCGACATATTTCTGGTCCCTGTCCATAGGTACACAAGGTAGTAATGAGGAATCATCGAGACAGTCTTGGGTACTTGGACGGTAAGCCATAAGCATGACCTCTGTTGGTGACAGTGACAAGTGTGAGGCCGCCAACAATTCGCGATAGAGAGAGGTTAGTGCTTTGCAGATCGAAATCCCTTTGCCGGATAGCGTTCCGCTACCTGAAGAGAGATATTTATGATATCGGGCCGTTCTAGTTGAATTTAATGCCACTTGGTTCAAATAACCTGTTCTTGTAGGTAGCATCGCGTCAAGGCCACTGCGGCTTTCAGACTTGGGACTTTTTTGTCTCTTGGCAAAGCAATGCAAAACAAAAAGCCCGAAATTTTTTCACCTTATGGCATGTCCGCCATAGAGCTGGGAAAACTCGGAGAAAGCATTATGCCAACAGGATGGAGAGAAGGCCTCAGATTGAATATCACGCACCCAAGCAACCGGTTCCCTTCGAACAACAAATAGTTCCGTCGTTGCACAATATGTTATTGGCCCATGACGGGGACATGACACGAAAAGCTTTGTGTGGTGATAGGCATGTGCCGGCCAATGGAGGCAGCCACCATGACCGCGGTAAACGCGTATTCCACACAAGGGCCAGCTCACGGGTCATGACAAGTGCCGCATCTTTTAGTCGGACTCTGCGGTGAAATCCACAACACACAAGGACCTTCTGTTGATCTATCACCGTCTTTGGGATCATCTGGGGTTACCCACTGGTGGGTTATTAGCAACCAAGCAATGCTTTGACCACAGTCTATCTTGTGGATGAACAGCATGACTTGGTGAAGGGTAGATCCAACAATGGATGGCTGATTCAAGAGAGGCAGTATCTCCTGAATATCTCTCTAGGGCTCGAAAGATCTACCAGCTATCAGGAGCCATCAGACGACTGAAAAGCCGTAAGAAGTGTTATACGCAAACAAGCCAGTAAACAACTACAACCAGGTCAGGTTCTCGATAGTCGTTGCAGGGAGATGTCGTCAGTCTTCTGAACCGGTCCGATGCGCCGTTCGAAACCCAAGATTCACACAATGGCTAAGCGCTTTGCTTGTTGCTAATGACGTGCTCCTCGTACGAATATTGATTTGACTAAATCGTTAAGGTCCATCTGCCTTAGCCGAGCGATATCGAGGCAAGACGGATCCATTTGGTTTCTAACAAACTTCAACTTGTGAACCATGCTTGGGAAAACCAAGTCGCATTTGCGGAGCCACGACCAGGGTCTTCTCCTAGAATCACACCCAAGGAGTGGGATGCCGCAAGTACTGTGACACTGGTGGAGGCTGAGGTCAACGAAGAGGACCCTTAGTGCCTGGGACCACCTGGTACTCGCAGAAGGAATTTAGATCAACCAGTTAGATTGCATGGTTTCTTCCTCTGCGGGAAGGGTTCGTGGGGCATGACAGGGTCCGGTGGGTGTAGGTGCATAACAAGAGCCAGCGATGACGCATGCCAAGCCATAACCGGAGGACAAAGGCTGAAGCCTGTGCTGTATGAGTACGTCGGGGTCCTCGTCCTAGATCTGTAGCCATTCAGAGTGCGTGAGAACTGCGAGTGTCGTTTTCTCGTGGAGACTCACTTCTTGGGAACCCCGTTGCGGAGCCAGGAACAGCCGTCGATTGGCTGTCCATGGACGAAGCTCTTTTGTATGAGATTGTGAGATTGCCAGGATGTGTCCTTTTCGCCGCTCGATGAGCCACTGGCGTCGAAATGCTTTAGTTCGTGTACTAGTGTAATTCAGGGTTGAGGCGCCCGAAGCGCCCGAAGGGGCAATGTTGACTACTATGCCACTATCTGATTACCTTGGGAGACGTAGGCGGTCGAACCAGTTGTTAGTCAAAATTGGACGCCCTTGTCTCGTTGGAAAAGTACAGACTCGTGCCTTATTCCACCGCTAAGGTAGGACACAATGACGGGATCGAGCATCTCGTTGGTGTGTGCCGTGAGGGCCCACGGGTGTCACGCTTAACGGCCGGCAGGCGTAACTAGAAAGCGTATCAGCTCCCTCGTGTGTAGTTAGGGTATAGCGGCACTGTTGTCTGCATTTATGTCGACGTCATTTCGTCCGTTGGTATAGTTGCGCAAGGTGCATATTGCTGCACTCTCAGGTCTTGACTCGAGTAACCATGCAGCACAGGATGTAATGCAGAATGCAGCCCAAAGCGCAGAATGCTTTTTCAAGCGGTCAAGCATGCCATGGTGTCCGCGGCCGATTAGACTATCTCGTACGAGTTGAGGCAATGACCCCGACTAGTGATCGGCGCGGGGCCTGCCTGTCGTGGGCATGACGGCGCTGATCGGCAGCGATGTCATCGACGGCCAGCGGACGGGAGAGGCCAGGGGCCGGCGCAATCTGTGACAGAAGTCTGAACTCTATGACCAGTCGTCTCGGTGATGTTGGCTATGTGGTGGTTGGGGTCTCGTTGATTGGCGGACCACACCCCGAAGTAGGCCTGAACTCTTTGTTGGATGACGATGATGTGCTTCTATGCCTCAAAATGTTTGTTTATTCAAACTTGCATTTGTCGTCCCAATGGTGATGGTTTAATGACGGGGCCCGGGGGGTGGAAACGACATTGGCGGGGTGGCAGCCGTTGTGCATGGGCACTGTTGTGGATGACCTACCACAGCTCAAGCAGCCGTAGCGGCCGAAGCATGATAGGGGTAGAGAAGACGAAGCAGTGGGAGCGACAGCATTTCATCTGGGGTAGATCCGGAGCATAACGAAGGAAGCAGAAGTGAAGCCCAAGGTCTAAATGCCAGTATTAGTCAGGATGGAAGGGCAAACTGGTGTAGGTAGGTAGTCGTTTTGGTTGTAATGAAGTGGCTTGGAAAAGCCAATCGTAGGCATCGCAAACGCTCAGACAGGCCAGAGGCTCCTTGCAAGAAATGAGGGCCGCAGCCACCAGCAGGGCTAGAAACAGCCTTCCATGTGCCAGGGAAAAAGCCTCGCCGATGCTTGAGAATGTGGTGAAACCCGTTCAGCCAGCTCCAGACTGCCGGGGCAGGGTGTGTGTCACCACGACATTGGTGAGGTGTCAAGTCCCTGTGGCTGCTCCCGTCCGAGGGAAAACTGTGTTTGATAATGACGGCCAAGTACCTTCAAGTCGCGAGTACATGCTAAGTTTATTGGTGATGGATATCATGTCTTACGCAGCAGCATGACTTGTACAGTTGACAGCATAATGCAGAAAGGGTGCGAGGTTTGAGATTGTCGCTGCACCAAGTATTGCGACAGATCAAATCCCAGCGATGCCATCACCTACGTCAGTGCGGGAGGGTTAAAAAAGAAAAAAAAAACATTTTAAATCATGGGAGAGTCTGAGGTAAGACAGTGCCATGCAGGTGCAGCAAGATAGACAAGACAAAGTGAATTATTGGATGGCCTCTCTCTCTGTGGTGAAGGCTGACAAGGTGGAAATAGCGGTGGGTGTATCGAAAGCCCGGTAGGAAACGGGAAAATTCCCTCCTTAGTTCTCGGGCACCTCAGGGTTCAGTGTCGGCGGACGCGGCCACAGGCGGGGGAACCTCGGGCCAACACTGCGTATGGAAGGAAACCGCAAACGGAAGCTTCGGCTGCGCCGTAGTATCCTCCTGAGAAGGAGAAGACGGAAAAGAAGCCTCCACAAAGGAAGGTACCCGCCGTTCTGAAAAGGTAAAGAACTTACAACTCGCGAAGGAACCCGTAGTGGGAGGAACTTAAGGAAGGAAGTACGGAATGAACTACGGAAGGAGCCATTGAATAGACCTTTGAGAAGGAAGGGACTCCCCATCTTCGTTAACGTTGTCGCCGCTTCCCGAATGTCGATTATTCGTCGATGAATACCGTACCTCCACTTGATTGAAGCCACGGCAGGTACAAACTCTAGTCTTCAGTACGTACCACTTGCCCACAAATGCTCCGTTAGACCCAATATCGTCCGTCTCTTTACATACTATGTACCTGATTTGCTCAGTGCCCCTCTAAGCCCCGTTGTAATCGACTATGTTTACATATCAACATGTTGCAAAGGATACGTATTGGAGCAGAGGGGGAAGGACGGGCGCTGGAGCCGATGACCTTGTTGACCCCCACTACGAAACATGGAAACCCTCTGTTGGAAGTACTTCCTGCCTTTCGCAACGTGGAGAAGTACATGTTCCAGCATTTTCGAGGTGTGTCTCTCCTCTTAAAAGCCACAACCGGCTGGGCGTCAAAGGAAGAGGGGGTAGAGAGACAGACCATCGTGAACTGGAATTGGCATCACTAAGACCCGCTTATTCATTGTTGTCAGACGCAATCAGCTTCTTTTGTTGGTAACACAACAGAAAACCACATACATCACATAGGCGGCGAAGTGGCAACCCGATTCTCCCAACCCGTACGGGGCGAAAAATGAAAACAAGGGCCGAGGAAAAGAAGAAAAAAAAACAACCCAACAGGAAGAACAAATCCTGCGCCGAAGCGATATGCAGCCCAGCCAGTCGTGGTCGAATCATTGTAACCAGATCGAGACTTGTTTTCAAAGGGGGACCAGAGGGGGGCAGGATCTCATTGTCTCATTGTCCTAACCATTGCAGACATTGGTACTTGTTCTTGCAGCCAAGTGCACCCTTCCTGCAGGTGTTCATCGGCGAACAGGGCCCCAAGCAGCAAAGAGGCAGCGATCTTCCAACAACGACGTCCTCCACTCTGTCGTCCCGCTCTTGGGGGACTTCCCAACCTGTATCTTCTACGCCTGCATCGTCGGCGCAGGCAACGAGGCTTACCGTCCAATCATAATCACCTGGAGAGGGGGCGTCGAGAGGCAGCCCAGCCAACCCTCAGCCATTATCCAAGTGCCCAGCAATTCGGCGCAGTGCCCCATATCTTGCAGTCAGAGTGACATTCCCTATTGTCGTCTTATCAATAAGCAGCTATCGGCCCAATGAGCCACATCCCACACCCAAAACACATCCGCAGTTCACATCAGTGTCCAGGGATGTCGGCGCAGAGATGGGTCTCTTGTACCGTCCAGTTACCATCCCTCCGAACATCCGCTGCACCAAGCCAGTCTCGTCACCGTCGGCGTCAACAAAGCGAGGAATTGCGGAGACTGGTCGCCAGGGCGCGGTGATATCAATTACCCAGGTGGCGCCATATCGTCCTGTCCACGAATCACAGCGAAGCGTTTGCGGCACGGATCCCTGACATGGGCTCTGACAAGCCGATGAGCCTGGCAAACAGCCGCCGCCGTAATTCTCTCAAGACTCAAACAGCCTTGCTCACGGTAATCCGTCCCGTTTCACAGCACACATCTTAAGTTGCAACCACTATCGGCGGACAAGGGCGCGCGAGAAGCAGGGTCAAAAAAGCCCAAAAGGGCCCTGGGGCGGGGCAAGGCTCAACCAAGGCGACGCCGACCAGAAGAGGGGCATTCCCATTAATCCACCGAGGAGGGGCCATTCATCGTTCGCCATGCCATGATTCCATGATCCATGAGATGCTATTGTTAATGTTGATTTGACCACTGATCCATATCCAGAACCCAACCCAGCCAACCCGGCCACGTTTCCGATCGATGAATTGACGCCTTCATCTAACTTTGTGACGAGTCTGCGCTTGATTGACGGACGTGGCATCGCATGGTTTCTGTCTTAATTCTGCCTGGCTGAGTTGCAAGCCGGCCCCTTTTCAACAATTACCGCAAAGTATGAAGTACACGATACGGCCTCCAGGTAGTTACACTTGCTACCTTGACTTTCAGTTCCCATGTGCCTCTCGGTGCTCTCGGCGGGCGGCGCAGGCCAGGGAAATTCAGGAACAGGCCACAGAGGCACCAGTCCCCGGCTCACTATAGTGCGACGTATCACTAATTGGCCGCTGATCCCTCCGATTACGATTGATTTGCGATCCGATGCCACGATAGTGAAGCAATAAAAATCCCTCTGCCATGGCCATTCGCCAGCCACGAAAAATCTCCTTTCCGGGCCAACATTGATATTACTCGGCACACCAGCCAGCCGCTTTGGAACAAGTCCACGAAAGAGAGCCGTACGGCTTTCCAGGCGCATGGGCTCTGTGCGCAATGTATTGATTATTCCCATAGCCTCGGCCACCACACGTTCCATATTGCCTTCTGTTCAGGGTCCTCGTGGCTCAAAGACCGGACGGAACCGGCATCGCTTCATCCATTCATTTATCCACCCGTCCATCCACCGCCCGCGAGCCACATGCGCTGGGTTAGGCATACAATAGAGTGGCTTGGTGCGGTCTGAACGGGCGTACGGCATACCCTTCCAGTCAATGACAATACTATTTCCTGGACCGGGCAGGTTGGCAAAACGCAGGCTACAATAGCCAGCAGCGACGAGCAGCAAGCATTAACATGCTGCATGGTCTATTTTGAAAGTGATAATGCGTATATGCTACTATAGTAAGCACTGGGGGGCACTGGGGGCATCCTCACCTTCCTTAGCTGTATGAGAATGTGCCACACACGAAAACACACACTCTCACACATACGGGCACAAGCAGACGCTAGAGCTCTCACCACATCTCATGCTCGTGATTGACTGCGGGTGACCACTTGAAGGTGTTCTTTGCCAGTCTGCATTGCTCTTGTCGTCACCCTCTCTCCAACCCGGTGGAGCCATTACTTTCTGACGGGCATGAGAACGGAATAGATCCCACCATCCAAAGTAATGGTAAAGACAGGAAGGGGAGCAGAGAGGGACTGTATCATGAAGCGGTGATCCTCACATGCCATGGACACACAGTCAGATGTGACGCCGCTGTCGCTTGCTGGCCCCCAATGTCAAATGCAAAAGCAACCACCAGCGATGGGCTCTAGCAAGAACACAAAGAAGTCCAAGTACCCATGACGAGCGACGACGTCTTTCCCATCTCTTGGTTTTTCCTTGTGCCTCGTCCACATCCCCCATCCATCCACCTCCCCATCATATCCCGAACCCAACGGAGGGAGTGTACCCATTGTGTGAGTGCTTTTCTGACAACACCCCCCCCTCCCCTCAGTGGAGCAAGCTGGCTGTATCTCAGGGTGTACCAGGTACAGAGTGTACAGCGTATCTGCATGGTGGGCTCTTTGACGAAAATGGTGCACCCTCGTTGGCCCTACAGCGTAGTAAGGGCCGCAGTCAAGAGCTAATTTGACGCCGCTCCGTTTCAATGGAGCGGAGACTCGAGAACAGGGTGACAGGATGGACGAGAAAGGGTACCCGTCTATTCGCGCACAAGGCAGGAAATAATGGGGATGATGGCATGGCTGAGGGGCTACGGCGTTATGTCATTACTCTGGGGCAGTCCTTGATACACACGGAGGCGTCTGCCTCAGGGTGATTGGGTACGTATCCCTTACGTAGATAGTGGGTACGTACCGACAACTTTGTAGTGTACGACGCATCGCATGGGTCCCCCTCCGGAGTCTCCACTCCCTCATGCTTTCCATTTTGGGCCGGTGCCCCCACTGTAAATGAGCCCTTCACACGTCAAGGCCATCCCATGGTACCTTCCTGGAGGCACTCGCACTCAATTACATCGTGGTGGCCCTTTGCTGAAGGCGAACTCTCTCAAAATATAAGTAAACCCAGTTCCCCCGGGTTAGATTGCTATATTCCATCATCACCTCCAACAAATATATCATATTCACTTCATTCGGTCTACATCGACCTTGACAAACTATCAACTCTTTCACTCACGACTCACACCATTTACGCAAACCATTACACACTACCTACAACCAGTACACCTACCACTCTATCTTCTAGATACACACATTCAAAATGGCTTCAACAACACAACAGAAGAAGGCGGTCCACTTCGGCGCCGGTAACATCGGCCGTGGTTTCGTCGCTTGCTTTCTCCACAACTCCGGCTACGAAGTCGTCTTCGCCGATGTCGCCGATGCTCTTATCAACAAGCTGAACGAGACTCCCTCATATCGCGTGATTGAGGTCGGCGCTGAGGGTACAAACGAGAATGTCATCACAAACTACCGCGCCATCAACTCAAAAACCCACGAGGCTGAGCTTGTTGATGAGATTGCCACCGCCGACGTCGTCACCTGTTCCGTCGGCCCGAACATCCTGAAGTTCATTGCCCCTGTCATTGCTAAGGGTATTGACAAGCGATCTAGCGACCTGGCTCCTATTGCAGTCATTGCCTGCGAGAACGCCATCGGTGCTACGGATACCCTTGCCGAGCACATCAAGGACCCTAGAAACACTGCGCCTCACCGTCTTGAGGATTACGACACTCGTGCCCGCTTTGCCAACTCCGCGATTGACCGTATCGTCCCTGCCCAGGACCCCAATGCTGGCCTGGATGTTACGCTCGAGAAGTTCTACGAATGGGTTGTCGACCGCACGCCCTTCGACCAAATTCCCAGCATTGAGGGCATCAACTGGGTCGATGAGCTTGCTCCCTTCATCGAGCGCAAGCTGTACACTGTCAACACTGGTCACGCCACCGCTGCTTATCACGGATACAACCGTAGCAAGCGCACTGTCTACGATGCTCTCCAGGACAAGGCTATCATGGCTGAGGTTCGCAAGGCTCTCGAGGAGACTAGCAACTTGATCATCAGCAAGCACGGCATTGACGAGAAGGCCCAGCGCGAATACGCTGCCAAGATCATCCGCCGCATCGGCAACCCTCACCTTGAGGATGCTGTTGAGCGTGTCGGCCGTGCCCCGCTCCGCAAGTTGAGCCGTAAGGAGCGCTTCATCGGCCCCGCCGCTGAGCTTGCCGAGAAGGGCGAGGACTGCTCCGCCCTCCTCCGTGCGGCCGAGATGGCCTTCCGCTTCCAGGAGGTTGAGGGCGATGATGAGAGCAAGGAGCTTGCCAAGATCATGTCCGAGAACGGTCCCGAGGATGTTGTTACCAAGATCTGTGGCATTCAATCTTCGGAGAAGATTCACCCCATGCTCGTGGACGTTGTCCGCAGAGTCCAGGCTGACAGCGAGGAATGACTTAGTTGTCGGCTATGAGTCGTATTATGATTAATGGATATGGGAATTTTTCGGAGTTTTGCATATATCATGGGAATACAGGCATGGCGTTTTGGGATAGGGGCAATGACCCCTTCGGTCAATGGTTATTTTTATTTTTCGCTTCAACCGACATGGTTGTAAGGGGTTTAGTCTTAGGAATTTAGCATACCAAGCGACTGAATACCAAATTTTTCAAAATTTAAATACTTTCCCAATTACTATCGTGAAATGTGATGTACAGTGCCGCAGCTTCACTGCTATTGATGTAACAACTTATTCTACCTGAATTGAGTTTTTATCCGTGATGGAGATTTAACTATAGTTCATGAGTAATTTGTTTTATGGGTTTCAGTCTAGAGCTACTTGCATGCATCCAGTGTGCTATCCGTATGCGCGTATGCGGTACAGTTATTTGCTACACTTTTATGTGATTAAAGTTGTTATAGGAACGAACATAGCGTGCGTGCATCGTGAAGTGGGTGTTAGATGGAAGATCTGAAGATGACAAGTAAGGTATTGACAGTGGCACGGGCGCTGGATCATGGAGAGCTTATGTGGCTTGCGCGTGCCCTGTTGGATGATGAGTGTGGCTGGTAGTGCTGATTCCACAGTTATTGGCGAGGTCTAGAATGTGTGTGTGGCTGGAGTTCTGGAAGCCTTAGGCAAACGCCACATGCATCAGGCACCAATCAGCTCCTGAACTCGCGGTAGGGACACATCTGTTGAAGCTCGAAATACCGACCTGGCCAAAATTGCGACTGCCATAGCTCTGGAAGCCATCAATTCCCACGACACACGCTCTCGAGGCTTCCTAAACCCACCTACGCGACCGGCTTCCAGCAGCCAACTCTAATAAATCCCCGCCTTTTCGAATTTGCTGGAACGCGACACATGAACCCTTCGTGAGAGTCGTCACCAGCGCTGCATATTCCCCCCACTTCGCTTCTCGAGGACAGCATCACCTTTCCAATCCTCCCTTGCTGGCATCCGGATAGGTGTTCAAGATGAAGGTCGACGTGAAGGTACGAACCACTTGGATTCTCTTTCCAGAGCATCTTGCAATGCCTAGGAGGTAGCTATCTGCAGAGGCTCGTAGCAGCTCCATAGCTACCGCCAGTCTGTCATCTCCTGAATAGCTCTCGGTAGCTAACTAGAACATTTAGCGACAATTGTTCGCCCGCAGCGAGCGGGTGAAGGGTATCGACTTCCACCCCCAAGAGCCATGGATTCTTACGACACTGTACAGCGGCCATGTCTACATCTGGTCGTACGAGACACAGCAGATTGTCAAGACATTTGAGCTCACCGACGTTCCTGTGCGAGCTGGCCGATTCGTCGCAAGAAAGAACTGGATTGTCTGCGGTTCCGATGACTTCCAGATCCGTGTATACAACTACAACACCTCGGAGAAGATCACCTCCTTCGAGGCCCACCCCGACTATATTCGAGCTATCGCCATTCACCCGACACAACCCTTCGTGCTGACCGCCTCCGATGACATGACGATCAAGCTTTGGGACTGGGAGAAGGGATGGAAGTGCGTGCAGGTCTTTGAGGGTCACGGCCACTATGTCATGGGACTTGCCATCAACCCCAAGGACACCAACACTTTCGCGTCCGCCTCTCTGGATCGTACCGTCAAGATCTGGAGCCTTGGCTCCGCGACGCCCAACTTCACTCTCGAGGCGCATGAGGCCAAGGGTGTCAACCACGTCGACTACTACCCTCACTCCGACAAGCCCTACCTCCTGACGACATCCGATGACCGGACCGTTAAGGTCTGGGATTACACTACCAAGTCTCTGATTGCTACCCTCGAGGGCCACACGAATAACGTCTCGTTCGCGTGCTATCACCCCGAATTGCCAGTCATCATTTCCGGTTCCGAGGACGGCACTATCAGGATATGGCACGCCAACACCTACCGATTTGAGCAGTCGCTGAACTACGGCCTGGAACGTGCATGGTGCGTTTCCTACCAGAAGGGCAAGCAGGGTGTCGCTGTCGGTTTCGACGACGGCGCTGTCGTCGTAAAGCTGGGTCGCGAGGAGCCTGCTGTGTCCATGGACGCTTCAGGAAAGCTCATCTGGGCCCGCCACAACGAGGTCGTTTCGTCCATTATCAAGGGTGGAGGTAGGTCTCGGCTGCCCCCGAGCCTGTTCGACAACTGCTAACATATATAGATGACTCCATCAAGGACAACGAGCCCATTCATCTCACCGTCAAGGAGATGGGCACCTGCGAAGTGTACCCTTCGACCCTGCTTCACAACCCCAACGGAAGATTTGTCGCTGTCTGCGGTGACGGCGAGTACATCATCTACACGGCTCTGGCGTGGCGTAACAAGGCTTTTGGTTCTGCGTTGGACTTTGTGTGGGCGTCTAAGGAGAACACCAATGACTTCGCCATCCGGGAGTCGGCGACGAGCGTCAAGGTCTACAAGAACTTTGTTGAGAAGCCCGGCGGCCTTGATGTCGGGTTCCAGGCCGATGGTCTGACTGGTGGTGTATTGCTTGGTGTCAAGGGTCAGGGCGGCATTTCGTTCTTTGACTGGCAAAGCGGTGGCCTGGTCAGACGCATTGAGGTTGAGCCGAGAGAGGTATGGACATTGCTACACTTGCGTCAAGACTCGAATGCTGACTGAAACAGGTTTACTGGTCTGACAGTGGTGAGCTGGTTGCTCTCGCATGCGAGGATACCTTCTACGTCCTCCGTTTCTCTCGTGAGGCCTACATTGAGGGTGTCCAGACTGGTCAGGTTGATGAGGACGGTGTCGAGGCTGCTTTCGAGGTCATTACTGATATCAACGAGAGGTATGTTCTACATTCAGATTGGAGTGAACCCTATTAACACGACGATAGCGTTCGCACGGGAGAGTGGGTTGGCGACTGCTTCCTGTACACCAACAGCACCAACCGGTTGAACTACCTTGTGGGTGACCAGACCTACACCGTGTCGCACTTCGACCAGTCCATGTACATCCTCGGCTACATTCAGCGTGACTCAAGAATTTACCTTGCCGACAAGGATGTCTCCGTCACCTCGTTTGCTCTGTCGCTGCCCGTCCTCGAGTACCAGACTTTGGTTCTCCGTGATGACATGGAGACGGCGCAAGAGCTTTTGCCGACTATTCCTGCGGATCAGTTCAACAAGATTGCGCGCTTCTTGGAGGGCCAGGGCCATAAGGAACTGGCTCTGGAGGTCGCCACTGATCCCGAGCACAAGTTCGAGCTTGCTCTCGGCCTGGGCCAGCTGGATACCGCACTCGAGCTTGCTAGGGAAGCTGATGTCGAGCACAAGTGGAAGACCGTCGGTGATGCCGCTCTTGCTGGATGGCAGGTCGCCGTCGCACAAGAGTGCTTCACCAACGCAAGGGATCTTGGCTCCCTTCTCCTCCTGTACTCGTCCACTTCAGACCGTAGCGGTCTCTCAAAACTGGCCGAGCAGGCCCAGGAGGCGGGTGCTCACAACGTAGCATTCAGCTGCAAGTGGCTCCTCGGCGATGTTGCCGGCTGTGTTGAGATTCTCACCAAGACCGGCCGGTTAGCCGAGGCTGTCCTGTTTTCGCAAACATACAAGCCGAGTCTCACAGCAGACGTCGTTAAGGAGTGGAAGGAGAGCCTCGACAAGGGCAAGAAGGGCCGCGTGTCCAAGATGATCGGTGTACCCGTTGAGGACGAGGAGCTGTTTCCCGAGTGGGACGAGTGGCTGCGCCTGGAGAAGGAGGGCGGCGCCGCGCCCGAGGTGGCCGAGGTTAAGAAGGTCAACGGAACTGAGTCACCTGCCTCGGCAGCCGAGGAAGAGATCGAGGCAGAGGAGGAGGAGGCAGAGGAGGCCGCGGCGGAGGACGACGAGGAGTAGAAAGTTTGTGCTCTGTTGTCTAGAATGAAATTTGATTACAGTAGGGAAGGGGGATCGTAAAAGGCCTAGAAGTCGAAGTGTTTGGTCCTGCCTCGACGGGCGTTGACGGTAATGATCATGCCTTGCAAATATATGGAAGCTGTTTTGTGCGTCATGTCATCTCCCCCCTCGACGATCGCAGTGGTTGCCTGTAAAAGTTGTATATAAATATGTTGATCTTTTGATTTGATATTCCATGTCCATTTGGTAACGCCTCCCGTGATAATCCCTTCGCAGTTGGTACCCAATCACCCAGACACACACACTACTATCAATAAACCAAACTGACCTCTCCCAAAGACGCCGTCTGCAAAGCCCAGCTCTCGACCCTATCAAGTCCCCAAATGATAGTAAACAAATGCCGAGCAAACTCATCCACCTCAATAGCCGCCGCGCTCATAAGCAACGAATCGGAATCGAACGACGGGATGAAGAACCTCCCGTCACAAGTCGTTCTGCTACTCCCGCTGCTGTTACCGTCCTGTCCACATGCGGTCCCCGAGGAAGCGGCGACTTTCCGGCACATGGCCGCCCACCTCGGCGCGGACGGCGCGTCCCATAACCCCGCCCGCGCCGTGAAGATGGCACCTCCGGGACACTCGGACCATTCTCCCTTGAGAGTGCCGTAGACGCCGATGGTACACGTCACGATGAGCCACGTGCGACGGATGGACTCGGTGATGACCCACAGGTCCCAGGTCGCCAGGTCCGAGTCGTACGTGCCGTTGTCGTCGTCGCGGATACTGCCGGCGGCGCCGGTGACCGCGTCGTTCGTGTTACACCGGGAGGATTTTGCTGCTGAGCCTGGACAGTGCTTCGAATTGGGGACCATGTTCTTGGAGAGCGCGTCCGCGTCCAGGACCACCGACTCCCAGAGCTGGTCGCACCATTTTGACAACGTGGGGAGATGGTCTTCTGCTGCTGCGCGCTGGGTCACGGAGCCGTCGAAGAGGCGGATGACTGTGTACACGAAGAGCGCCTGGACTCTCGCTAGGTGGTCTCGTGTTTCTAGCTGCGGCGAGGTGGTGGTGGGCTGGGAAGAGGAAGCCATCATTGCCGCTACTCTTTCGTCGAGGATGCGGTGGACGAAGACTTCGTTTTGGGGCGTCTTGTGGTGGTACAGTGACGCCGAGGTGAGCGCGTCTTGGAGGCAGAGGGGGAAGTAGTTGCCTTCTGCGTAGAGGCTGCGGTGGATGAAGGGGTTGTGGCCGTCGAGAACCCAGCGGCGGACCCACGATTGGAGGCCGCGGGTGAAATTTGTCAGGACCGAGGTCGGGTATGCGTTGCGTCTGTAGGTTGGCCAGCGGTCGATGCGCCACGTCGAGGGGGCGATGAACCATCTGCTTTTATCCAGGTCGTTGACTGTTGCTTTTCGGATGGCTGTGTTTGTGTCGGTGTTGGTTTGGGATTCCGTGCGTGCGTCCTGCGGATGGCTTGCGGATGGTGGTTGTGGGTTGTGAGTTGTGGTAGGGAAGTCTGGAAGGATGGGGAGGTCTGTCCATGGTGCGTTCCATAAGCCGACGGAGAGGGGGCCGGCGTCTAGAGTGAATATGTCTGCTGCTCCCGTTGTGTTTAGGTCTGGTTCCAAGATATTTCCGCAGCCGCCAAGCGGCGTGGGGTGTTGGGGGGGGTATCGACGCCGTCTTTTGGCGGGCGGGTAGTGGCAGTCAACGTCCCGATCCTCGCAGCGGGAGCACGAGGGAAAGCCCTTGTCGCAACGGCGTTTGGATTCCGTGCAGGCTATGCATGCTTTCTGCTTGTTTATCCGCGCCATTGTCCGCACGACCACGCCTGGTTTACTATCTGGCGGTCTTCAGGAGACGTGAGTGAGAGTTAGAGGACCCTAATAAGTACCAGTAGCCAGAAGCCTTGCATGTCTGACAGGTGTGACTAACCTGGTGCCGCTTGAATCTATGATGGTAATGTGAGGTTAGAAGTTTGATGCTCGTGTGAAGAGGAGGCGTTGACTGCTCGTAAGGTAAGCCGGGCCCGTAAGCGGAAGAGTGGATCCCGGTGCGGACTTTGCGGGTTTTCGGCGGGAGACTTGCGGGAAATATGCGGGCGGTCGGGCTCATAGGTTTCCCGGTTTCTCGGTACAATTTGACGGAATTTGAGGAAGCCGATAATGAATATCTCGACTGTCGGCTACATTTATATTTGATATTTGTTTTGATAAACGGGATTATAAAGGCCAAACGTGTTTGGTTTAGGCCGTGCCACAAAAGCAGCACATTCGTTTCTATCCCATCGACTGCCACAAGGCAATACATACCGATCCATTGTGAGGCCCATGTTTCTCCAAACACTAACCAGATAATGCTCATCATTCGACCAGAATCGCACTACTGGAATATGATTGGCTAGTACCCCCCTTCTCCCATGTGTCATGTACCTGTTGCCTTACTGCAGTCGATAGGATATATCAGTTTGAAGTAACAAAAATCATCACTGTAGCTCCAGTTTACCGAGAGACCTGAGAAATAGGAATCTAATAGTGATGAAATGATTCTTCATTGCCTCCGTTTGACGGCGTGGTATCATGAAAACCACGTATGAGGAATCCTAAAGCAAACAACGTAGTTCTTCCTTACTGACCGACCTTCTTATCACAAGCGGATGGTTTGGCCTTATGCTGTTTCATTACTTGGAGTCATAAAAATGGGCGTTGAGCATATCATTCTTGGCTGGCCCTGAGCCGTTGAAAATTGTCGCAGTCCTTCAGCAAAGGGATACTGCCGCAGAACAATAGTGGCCCTGACTTTGACATCCTGCTGATTGGGCCTTTACCAAAAACTCTTTGTCTTTATCTTGGATGATAAAAGATGGAACGGTAACCCGTTGATATGTTTACGAATACTTAGTTTTACAGGCAGGATCTACAGAAGGAAGGGATTCGAGGGTTGTGGCAAAACATGCGCTCATTCCAGAACATGGGGTTGAGAAAGCATTTGTTGACAGTGCTGTTCATGAATACTTTACCTTTCAAAGAAGTTAAAAGATACTAGTGACTGATAGCTGTACCCATAGACAGCCTGTTTTATGTTTAGCAACATGACTGCTAGAAAGATACAAAACCTAAGTTCTACTGCGGGCAGACTATTCACGCTAACGCCTTTCGGTGCGCTTGTTCCGACAAGACACAACTTTTGAAAGTAAAAAAACGATTCTTAATCCCAGTGGCATCGATTTCTTGTTAAGGTTGATGATGTCTATAGCGTAAAAAAAACCTGGGTTACAGCGTGCAGTGGGAGTAAATACTAGGTACTCAAGGAGGGAGCCTTCTGCGCTGACGCTTGGACGAAAAGCTCACAAAATGAGAAGGCTGATTCATGAAGGAAGTAGGCGAAGTGATTGGTTTATCGAGTCTGGTGTTGTGGAGTTACAAGAGGAAGCCTAATCCTAGCGGTACGCGGAGCGTGCTCAGGAGCTGTGTCTTTTGATGGTGGAAAGGACATTAAAGGAGGTGAAGATAAGTCCGCTTAGTCTTGGCACATCCATCGCTTCCGCTTGCTAAGTGTTTAAGTGTGGCGTCTTCAAAGTTGTTCTGCCATGATTGCATAGCCCTACGTTACAGCTCGACATATCTTCAGTATGCGATCTTTCAGTGACGCTTTTGGACAGTGGCACGAGGGAGGGTGATTAAAGGAGCCGCAGTTACTGCACGGCAAACGAGCCACCAAACATGTTTGACTTTGCCAAGAAAGCTGTGGCTTAGGGCTGAAGTTCTGATATTATGATGGCTTAGGGGCGTTACCCCTTGGTCTCCAAACATGACTAACCTTTTCCCATCGGCCCTGTCATCTGCGACATTCACAACCAAACAAGATCGTATTCCTTGGGAGCAAGTCGTAGTGCTAGCAGGTGCTACCCCGGATGAGCAAGCAGTTATGCATGGTCTGAAAACCCACCGTTTGAGAGTCGACTTTCATTTAACTTGGGTTTCGGTGACACTGAACTGTCTTAGATTCTTCTTAGCCTGCCGGAAGGGCATCTAGCCTAACGACTAGCCACGCCACTTCTCCTGAGTGCCTCGGCGTAAACCCGTCAAGCTTTTGTACGCCTGGCTTGTTTCTATTCTGAATACAGGATAAGGCAGATCAGAATGTAAGACAATCGAAACGATCTGCCCCAGCTGAATATCATGTGAGACACAGGGCCATGGAAGGTAATTGCTTGCAGTTCAAGCAGACGCCGTTAGTGATCGCCCTGAGCTACCACAGCACAGCTCTGATCTGTTTACATTCCTGCAATTACTGGGAAGCCATCATGACAGAGCTAGCCTGCCGCTAGACAGTGCACGGTCATAATGGCGGCTGACTGGCTCGCTGTCGATGTCCTTATTTTGGTGGTTTGAAATGATGCTCCGGATTGCAAGGGGTAGAAGCTGCTGTAAATCTCTATTTAACCAAGCGTTGCCGTTCCTTCCGTTCGGTTCTTGATTCATCTCCATCAGTACAGTCAATAACTTCTTCCCCAAGGCTTTCCACTACCCTGAACGACAATTCATCACCTCCAGTTACAATTATCTTACCCAAACCACCTCACAAGATGCATGCTAAGCTCGCCCTCGTTGCCGCTCTCACCGGCTCAGCCATTGCCGCCATGGACCTCCGCCCGGACCGTGTCCGCCGCGATCTCCTCCCCCGTCAGACTGACATCCCCAACCCTTCAGCCGACTCCTGCCTGAGCGCCCTGGCTACTGTCTATGCCAATGCACCCACGCCGCCTCCCAAGATCGTCTCGTACGAGATGACTGCCGCTCCTCAAACGGACCCCTGCAGTGTCACATATCCCTCGGAACTGAGCGCAGAATACTCAAGCTACACGTCCGCCGTCATCAGCTGGGTCAACGCCAACTCGGCCTCTATCAACTCCGCACTCTCACAGTGCTCTACCGTGACTGACTTCGCGACCGAGATCGCATCCTGCTCGGCCACCGGCAAAGTCGGCTCCAAGGCGACTGGCAGCGCTTCCGGCGGTGCTGCCGGCTCCGCAGCCGCCACCAAGACACCCAATGCCGGTCCCCGTGAGACTGGCATGGTCGGTGCTGTTGTCGCCGCGGCCGGTCTTGTCGGCGCTGCTTTGCTATAAGTTTTTCTTCAAATGTTTTTACCATTTGTATTATCTCAGGAATCGGGTCTGGCGCGATTGGACATTTGATATCAAAATTGTATTTACAGATTGAAGTTTCTACGAGAATCTAAACTGGCCTGAAACGGCTTTTTCACAAGCTTTCTCCATCAGTCGTTCCCGTATCACGTAGCGAGGCTCCTCTCAAGCCTACCTCATCATAAGTTGGAGATCCTACTCTTCAAAAGGTCTGACAGCCCAGGGTGTAGCCTCCGCCAACGCTGTCGTGCACTTGGCCGCAAGAGCCGCCTTGCCCTCGGGGCTGCTAGCTGAGACGCACGGCATACCGATTCCGCCCTTGACACCATCACACAGGATGACGGGGTCGCCTCCACAGGGGGTGGTGATGTTGAAGTTCTTGAATTGAATGTTATCGCACACGGCGTCAGGGCTGGTTGAACAGGTCAACTTAGCGACGGCACGACCGTACTTGCCGCTGCTGTAGCCCGAGAAGTTCTCGAAAAGGATGTTGGTGATGTTCATCTTCGAAGGGTACTGCGCGCAGGTGGTAGCGTTGATGTTGAAGTAGCACGAGTCGATGAAGGCCGTGTACTCGTTGTTCGCCTGCCAGAAGTTGCGGAAGGTGACGTTGTCGATGAATCCGTAGCCGATGTTAGGTCCTGCCCAGGTCTTGAGACGGGCGCCGTGCTGGCCGTTGAGCATCCACACGTTCTCGATGACGACGTCCTTCACGAAACTCTTCTCACCGGCGTACTGGCCGAGCGAGCCGATGGACTGACCGTGAGTGCCGTTGCAGTACATGGTGTCAACGTGGATGTTGCTGGCGTTCGACTTGGGCGAGAAGCAGTCATCGCCAATGTTAACCCAGACGCGCTCAACCTTGACGTCCTCCACATTGAGGGAATCGAAGAAGTCGGTATTCTTGGGCTCGGCTGTCGCGTTTTTGCTCTCAGCGGTGCAGATGACGTCCTTGAAAGTGATATCCTTGGCTAAATGGCTTGTTAAAAACTTGAAGTAGATCGGCTCAAGGGTGTATTGTTCTTACAAGTGACGATAAAGGTAGTCCAGCAGGGCGAGTCCTTAAGATGGATACCCTCCAATGACAGGCCAGTCGCATTCTCAGCATAGAAAAGGATGGGTCGCAGGTAGTTGTTGGTCGGGTCCAAAATTCTTATTGGTGTCAGTAGGTACAACACACGGCGAACTCGGAATGTTAAGAGCTTACTCAAGACCTGCAAACTCGTTCCACCACCGTTGACCATTGCCGTTGAGCACACCCTCTCCGTAAAGCTTCACGTTCTTTCCTCCCCACTTCCAGAACATGATGGAGTTCTGGAACGGGTGGCGGAAAGCATTGGCCTGCCAGTAGGGTGTGTCATTGGTGAACTTGATCTCACCCTCCCAGTGGACGTGCACATCGTTAAGCCAGGTCAAGTCGAGCGGCTTGCCAATGACAAATGTTTTGTTGGCGGGGAGGTACAAAGTACCGCCATTGTTGGCCTTCTGCAGGGCCTCATAGAACTCGTCAGAGATGTCGTCGAGGTCATCTTCCGAGGCGCGGATGCTGTAGGTTTTGCGGCTGCAATCTTTGCCACGCTTCACGAAGGGATGCTTCTCGCGGAACTCTTCAACGCTACGCGGGACGCCTGCCGGGAGCTCAATGGAGTTCGCAAGAGCAGTACCGGCAGCAGCCAAGGCGGCGAGAAGGGACGAAACTCTCATGGTTGCGTGTGGGATTGGACAACGAAGAGAAACGCACACGTCCAAGTGGTATTGCCAAGTGAGTTGCCAAGAGAAGGGCTGCTCAGGAGAGATGATCAGCCAGCCATTGAGAATCTTGTGCGCCCGGTCTCCTCATATAGTCGCGCAGCTTGGCAGAGGACACCTGCATGGCCAAGAAATGTTGGCAAAAGCTTTTCTCGTCTTCTACGCCTACATTGTAAGATGTGAGAGTGACCAACACCGGAATACCCCCAGGATTGCTGTTTGTTTCCCCAAAGTCGGGGTAAAATAGCAGGGGGCTGTTGGCAGAACGCTGGGGTTGAGATGAAGCTAGTCTCGCTTTGACTAGCCATCTGGAAATAACCAGGCATTTGCTGCACGAAGGGAGAAACCACGGATTTCTATTCCACCTATCACGCCTCTAAGTCCCCTCTCGCTTGTAGCCCGCACCAGTTCATCCACGTAATCAGCAGACAGCTGTGCCGGCTCTCTGCCCCAGCCTCGCTCTGGGGGACCAGCTGCAAACCCATCGTAATGAGGGGAGAAGCCGAGAAGTCGGGAGAAGATGGAGAGATGGGCCTGTAGGCTGAAGTGGATTCGGAGATTGTGCAGGTGGCCTGCATATGGGCTCCTAGGGTCTACGGCGCCGTCTGGTTCACTCAAGACAATGATTGATGGGATTTTTAAACCGAGGTCACCGGAGAAAACTGGCCGACAATCGGATGTGTTCATTTGCATCGATAGCCAATATTCCCCGCACGAAGTTCATTTTCCCCAGTGATCCATTTATTTTTCCAGCCAGGCGTTATATTCATCGTAATGTGGACAGTGGATGGAGGACGGAAGATGCGTAGTGGATGCATGGCCAAGAAATGGGATTTGTCCGCGTTGCCGACGCCGCAAAGCTTCGCTATCTTGGCCGCTTGGCAATATCCGCCAAGACAACAGAGCTGCTGCGTGTCTGAAATCCTGCATAATACGATAGTCTGACAAGCCCTTTTCTCTAATTATTTTGAAGCCGTCAAGTTAACTCAATATACAACAATAAGTTGCAGGTGGTCTGAATAAGGCTTGAACTGGAGGAAAATTTAGAGTTCAGACAGTGATTTATACTTTGTGATCAACCCGATCCGACATTCACGGTCACAAAGCTGCAATTAAGCAAACGGGAACACCCACTATTTTAACTAGGTAATGAGAGCTTGCTAGCCTACTGCAATATATTGGTTCAAACTTTAAATTGATATGACATAGAAACAAACTGTTTATTTTCTAATCTTTAGTGATAGACACACCCTTTACTCATGTTGCCGACTTTCAATTGGAAACCCCCGATATCTCCCCTCAATGTTCCGGTTTAATTGCACACGTACTGGACAATCTATCCATTAACGTCCCACACCCACTTCTGGGCACCCCCCACATTTGGGCACCCCATTTACACCAAAAACGCCGTTTTTCGAAATTCTATATTAAACTAACTACTATACTTACTAAGAAAAGAAAATATATATAAACTATGTTAAGTATAATTATAGCCATCTAATTTTTTATAAAGGTTTAAATATAATAATAGTTATAATATAGAAGTTTAAAACTAAAAGCTTTAAAATGTTAGTAGATACTAGTAACTTACTAGTATTCCTTAACATTAGAAAAATATATTTTCGCTTATATATACTTATTTAAAAAATCTAGGAAATTAATATTTATACTTATTAAAAGTATATAATTATATCTAAAAGAGATTTAAAAGTATTACTTTAGTAAATATAGTATAATTAAGGGTTAAAATTCTATAATAGAAACTTTTCTTAAGGGAAATTTTAAAATATTATTCTAAGCTTAAAGAATTTTTTACTAAGTATAAGAATATATAAATCTACTATATCTTACTTAAAAATTCTAATCATATTAGTTAAATATCTCTACCTATTTTATATATTAAGATATAGGCTAGGTAAATTAGTATTATAAATGTTAAACCTTGAATTTATAATACTTATTATCAATAATACTAGTATATAGCTACTTAAGTATTATAATTAAGTCTTAATCTATTTAATATATATTTATTCTCTTTAATAAGTAAAGTATTTAGTTTAATATAGAATTTCGAAAAACGGCGTTTTTGGTGTAAATGGGGTGCCCAAATGTGGGGGGTGCCCAGAAGTGGGTGTGGGACGTTATAGGCTCGAAAAATGGCAGTAACTCGACTTTTGAAATTATCCGCAAGTTTCTGGGGTAATTAAAAGCCGCATCATCTGGTTTTGTACTATTGCAAAATATGATCGTGCAAGAATCCGCGCACAATGAATTTTCCAGTCAAAAGGAGGTCGAAATATTGGCTTTAGTCTCATATTCATCCAAGCCATTTTTCTTTTAAAGGAATAAGTTGAGATTAAGGATGAAGCAGCATATCACTGAAGTTACCCCCGATCGTTTGCAACTTGCGAATAAGTGAGTTACATGCCAAAAATGCTTGATGCATAATTATCTCTGGTATGGGCCTCAACCCGGGCGTTGTGTACGTGGGTAGAATCGAATGTAGCACTGCTTAAATGGGAGCCTTCCAGTCGGCATTCTCCTCAGTTTGGTTCATGAGCTTTGATCAATCATCAATACCTTGTCGAGAATAAGTATTCTAGTTCTCGAAGCTTTGGCTGCAGTTATCTTATCCTTTTGAAACCACTTTTGTAATGTGTTAGATCCACTGGGTAAGAACAAAAGCCAAGAGCGCTGATAACAGCTTGGGCAACTTGGCACTTAGAAACGCTTGGGACAGGCAGTTTTTAGTATTCTAGGATTGGAATCAGCTGACATAGTTGCAGGTAGCTTTAATCATGTCAATTCCTCGTATTCAGCTAGACACCGAGATTATAATAGGGAAAATGAGTGATGTACCAAATCTCACAACTTTGTGATGATACATCCGAATTCTGTTGCTACAACATACGCGCTTAATTGTCAAGTCTCTTTGAAACATGGAGATGGTTTATCATTAAGAGCATCTTCACTACAGCGACAATAGCTGAAAATCGACTAATCTCGACGTACCGAGAACATGAAAGCTATTCAAACTACACCTAACCAACACGATCCATACACGGAGACAAAAGGAGTTTGTGAGTGTCGTAAAACCTGCCATCATCCAAAGGAACATGCAGGAGCTACCTTATACAAATCCCTTTTCTACAGTCCTAGTAAAGAATTAGCAACAAAAGGAAAGCCCAAGTTCATAAAGAGCATACAAACTTCTTGAGAACGAGCCTCACAAATCTATAGGGCACTTGATCAGCAAATTATAGTCAAAGACATTGAATAGGTCATATCCCGAAAGACAAAACCTACACATTTGGTGTTTGCGCCGTTCCTTCTGCAGCAGACTTCATCTTGTCTGCGGTCCAGAACAGAGTCATACTGATCCTGTGTTGCCTTGGTGAGAAGTTGGGGGCTGGCAGCAGCCATAACGGCCATGAGGACGATGAGAAAGAACAAAAGCTTCATAGTGATGGCAGTAGGGACATGAAATTTTGAATCCTCGGAGGGTGTAAAATCTTAGATTGATGATTCTTACTCCGTTTCACCATGGGCTGGCAGAACTAATATACTTCAAGGGACCCACGGGATAAGAACTAGCAGAGGCTTTGACTTAAGTCCCATCTAACGTCTTGTGCGCAACACAGCCAGATAAGGTTTGATTTCACACTGGGTTTATCAACATCTGAAGCGTCATCTTGGGATTGGACTGATATCAGCGTCCAGTAATATCCATCATAACATAGCGCATTGCTCTGCGCTTTGATAGCCTGAGCTTGGAGACTTTGAGTTGCGAAATATCGGAACTCTAAATTCGGTTATGAGCCTTTTTGTATCGCTTTGACAGAAGATAACGAATCCCGACATTCTTGCAGGTATGTTACATACACAGTCAGCGCACCAGCTACTAGGGGTTGAGTTGAAACTTCGTCTGAACTACCTCGCCAAGCGAGCTGTAGCCCTTTGCAACTACTGGCCGAAAATTAGACCTGCCGCTCCCTGCATGAGCTAGCTACCTATTATCGCGCCGCTGTGCATGTGCATGCATTTGTTGGGATTTGGAGGCAGGCAGGCTGTGTGCTGTAACAAAAAAAAAGTTCAAATCGAAGCGGCCGCCTAGCTGTTATACCTAGGTAATCACCTGGTCATCTCATATGAGGAGCAGCTTGGAAAAGGATCAGTTTCCCCCTTCAACATCTACCTTTAAACTTCACTGTGTTTTACTCGACATCGGTAACTATCACTTTGATTCAATCTTTTGAACCACTCCTCCACTCATGCCGGTATTCTGTCATACCAAGCAAGTGGATATTCAGTTGGCTTGGTCATTTTCGCATTAGTTACGCGCAACCAAAAGAGCTGACCTGGCATTATTCTCCCAAGCGTTAGCAAGATGTCGACACTGGATGAACCTTACCGGTCAGCGGACTGCAGCCAGTAACCCTTTACCGTTAGACTTTGCCTGTTAGTAAGAAAAGAGTTAAAAAATTGCCATAATAAAAGAAAAGGGGCAATTCTATGACTGATAGAGTTGTCGTGGTCAATGGGGTTGATAACTCATTCCCAAGTCGCCCTGTTATGCAGTGGACCTATTGGAGCGGAAAGTTGAGAGATGAGTCAGCGAGTTCGAAGCAGATGAAAGGAATTTGAAGGTTGCAGGGTGTTTCCTAGGAGACGTGTTGGCGCGCCACGAATCTAAACCCTGGTGGGACTTTTGCATGCCCACTGTAAGGTAGGATGTCTGAACGGCAAATACCTCACTGGATGACATGTAGCCTGTAGGTTGCTACTTAGCTGCCTTACTTGATACAAAGCTTGGCGTTTGAGCACTTTAGTGTTGCTCTAGTCAATGAGCCGAGGTTGAAAAAAACTGTATAACTATCATGAACGTCGGGTCGACGGCGAAGCCACAAAGGAGCTTCCTGATGGAGATAGGGGTTCGAACACGATCGCCAAGGGTGGTGTGGGCATTGCCAGAAAGTCTAACAGCACCGCCTCACTTGGCGTCCTGCTGAGTGAATTCTTGATGTTAACTAAGAAACTGCGTAGAACGAGGACCAAGGGCGAGGATATCTAATCACTCTTCTGCAATGACATACTAGAGATAATGTAGAAATGAAGCAGATCAGAATGCGGATTTCGGCGACTGCCTTGAAAGACTAACTCTACGGGCACCTGATCAGTAAGGTGGAACCGTCATCTCAGAGTAGCGATCAGAGGATAACGATGGATGATATTCTCTGAATAATTTGATTGGACGATACAATAGCAGGATCATCATGACAACGATGGAGTGTGGTTCAAGAGGAAAAGTGAGATTTCTATATGTGATCCTTTAAATTAGGCGCGCTCCGTCTAGAGGAGAAAATTTCGAACGCTTAATTGAAAAACATAATCTTTCAACATCCATCTTGCTTTTGAAAGCACTCGTGGAACACATTGCACGACACTAGCAACGGGGCCCGCATGCAGCTGTTGTGCACGGCCTTGTGTTAAACGGCCCATCACAGGAGCACAGGCAGTCTGTCGCCTTGGTCCCCGCGAGAAACCCTATGTTTCTTTTAGTTAAGCTTCAATAGACTTTCTGTATACATTACTTACAACAACAGTTTTGTCTCCCTTCCAATTCTCGCAACTAGATGAACACGAAAGTCAGGCTTGTGGTTTGTCGAACGTTGGGTGAATACATACGGCCTATCGAAAATCTTAGCATCTTGAGCGTTGTTGGAGTATTTTACCTTGCACATACCAGTTCGCTGGGTGATCCTGCCAGGGCAGGCTCGGGAGTGATTGGTGGGGCTGCGAGGCAGATGGTCGCAAGGACGGAGAGAATAGTAAGAGCCGACTTCATCTTGTCTTTGGTAAAAGAATATGCAAGTCGAGAAATTCAAAGCAAGAGAGAACGATGATGGGATCTTGTCAAGGTCTAGTTACCAGGAAGAATCCCACTTCAAATACCTCTGAATCTACTAGGACATTATTTCTTCTTTTGAACAATCTAAGCAATTGTTCGCGCGGATCCACAGTTCGTCCCCCGCAGGTTTCTAGCCGATGACAAGAATGACGCCAGACTTGGGATGTGGCAGGACGTATCAGTGCGAGTCATTAACAGCTAATGTAAAGATCCTAGAGACAGATCCGCTGTAATATTTCCTCTTCTCATCAACACGGATTTGACGGCATTCGTTACGTATGTGGGGTTTCTATGTTGTTTACTCAACGTACGTAGCATGATCACACTGTGGGCCGACGCGTTTGATGAGTAGTTATTTGCTTCACTGAGAGCATTTCCTACTCCGTATTGTCCGTATTGATGGTCGGTTACTCCGATATTTTCCTGCACAAACCAGCACTAGATACAGTAGACAATGAATCATTAGAGACTGGGGGCAGTCATTGGGCATAAAAGCCGACAGGTACCGCCTTTTCTAAAATGAACCAGCAATTGTCAATGACCTACCTGACTAGATAAGCATAACAGCCGCGCGCATGTACAACTGATTTAATAGTACCATCGTGATCCTTGATACATCGTGTACACGATGTACTTGGAAATCCTTAGGGCGTACGGATTACACGTCCTGGCGTAACAGAAACTACTACAGAAAAGGTTTAAATAGATTAAAGGCTTCCAGGTGAATACTGGGTCCACGGTCTCGGCGACGATTGTTACCCGTGCCCGACCCACCTTCCAGGAGTGTTCCGTCTCGCTATGTACCGTCTCTTTTGTCGGATCTTCTGCCCGCAACTTTTAAAGGATACCAAAAGCTGCTTAATTTAAGAGTCACCTTATGAAAAGAAACTAGAATGAAAAGGAGAGCGAGGAAAACAGGTGAGGTTCTCACGATGAAGTGGTATAGTATAGGTATGCATGGGAAAAGCTGGCCACGCAGGGGTTCGGACACAACGAGCATCCTAATGCCGAAGGGGCCTGTGGTGACATCTCGGGGCCGGACATATCGGTTTCTAAATGACAGTCGCCAGCCCGATTGACAGGTCATGAGAAGACGGAACATGTCCGGGCATTAATGAGGCGCAATCTTTGTATATTGTGAGTTAGTATCCCCGGGCGGATAGCGCCTCTGCCACAGGAATGGAAGCCCAATCATGCCAAGCGGGCTTGAACACCACGTTAATAGCCTCACGAGAAACCGCATACCAAGAATCTCGATTTAAAGGAAGCTGACGGCGGAAACAAAACTCGCACAAGTATTCATACGTCCCAAATACGAGAATTGAGAGACCAGGGCTGCCCTGCATGATGAGACGACACGAGGCAAGGACAAAAGGGATGTTTTGTCTCAGCCTATGAGGCGTCAGCATTATGCATATGTAATGCATGCATAATCCCTGCCCCTCCTCCCCCCACATGGTTGTCTTTCTATCTATTATCAAAGGAGAATGCCTTCGATCTGGTGGTAAAAGCGTCACGCTATCAATTATTTTAACATTTCCTTATTCTTATCAGAGTTTCCGACCTCGTGGGCACAAGACTGATTTAAAATAGAGTTTATACGATTTACTGTCAGCCGAAACTATGAAGGCAAGAGGCTTCGAACGCTGAAGTAATGTTGAAGTGGAAAACTTCAACGAAGCTACTGGAGCGCAAAGGGTGCTAGACATCATCTACAAGTCTGAATGACTTAAATAATAATTCTACAATTACTTTGATGTTACAGTAATAACCAACAATCAATTCTCTAATGAGTTTCGCATCATTTTGAAGCTGTTACCCAGGGGTTTCGCTCCTTTGGAGCCCTTAGCCACTGGCGGCCTTCTGGACTGCTCCGTAAAGCTGTTGCTAGGCGGGGCTTCTGACCTATGGCGCTACTACCCATAACTGCCATTCTCACAAAAGCTTCACAGTAACTAGTAGAGCCAATCGAAGTGAATAAACTATTTTTCAAAAACCTGAATTGAACAATTGAAATTCAGAGAAGAGCAGATTTGAGTTAAACTAACCGGCGAAGGGAACACTCTACGTACCTTGCTTCATCAGAAACAGATCTTTGAAAGGTATCGTTTAATTGTTATGATGGAGCTCTCCTCCTTCCCTTTTAGGCTTTCACGTTTCCACCCTAAGATCTGACGCTCTAGGACAACGGAATTCGACGATGAGCTCTTCTAAGGAAAACGGAGCTTACTGTGGACTACCACAATATCATAAATCCAGATGGTTTCTGTTCGACCCTTCAGATGACAGACTGCTTGTATTGGCCTGTAAAAAAGAATGCATGCCTTAATCTTTTCATGTATTATGAAAAGATGAACACGGGACATTGTAAGCGAAGAATGGAACATAGCCAGACGTAGTCTCCAGTCCAAAACTTCCTTGGTAAAATTGTTATAGTAAAGAGTGTTGTGACGATAGTGTCAACGCTCACCGAACACACCGAGCGAGGTGTGTTTGCGTAAGCTACATGGAACGCACACCGTAGGCGTATAAGTACGAGCTTCCTCACGCACATACCGTCTTTCTAACTCAAGTCACACTTTTACACCTTTTCTAGCCTGATTGCTATGTGCCTAGTTCGTCACAAGTGTCATGTATAACTAGGGCTAAATCCTTGTTCTGAAATCTTAAGATTCGCTAGATTATTGAGAGACGCCATGAAATGCGCGGCTTTATTGAATGCAGCATCTCCTGAGCATGAGTCAGTAAGATGGCCTAATGACTAGCAGATTGGTTTCCTTGAGCCAAGGCAGACCAGTGTCAAAAGCAGGAGTTCCATTGAAACAGGAGATGATACTTAAGCAACGGCAAATAGTGCAATTTGCAACCTCGGCTCTGTGACTGAAAGCTTGTTTATCTGACTGCTCAGGTCTATTACGTTGACTGATCTCTCACAGGCTTATCTTCCACATACCACAACATTCTTTGCTGACGTGGTCGCGTAGCAGTGTAGTTTTGGAAACTGCAACAAAATGTATTTCTTTCGATATTGGATCAAGTCGGTTCTTTGAGGATTCTTCTTCCTCATCATATCTGCAGAGTTCGCGGTGGTCCTCAAGGCGTGTTCTGGCGCATACGACCCTGCATTTTCTTTTTATGAACGCCTCACTTCCCTGTCTAAACTCCTCTGTGAATTGGTTTTCTTGTCCATCGGTAACTCGCTGTTTGGGCATGTTTTTGTATAAGCTATTGTTTTCACGCTACTTGGTCCCTGAATGAATCCTCCAGTAGAGCTGCGGCCTACCAAGGGGAAGCCCCACGAAGACGGTGCAAGTTGACTATTCGGGTAAGTGATCCCTGTCGTGACACGGAATAGACCTCGAACCCAGACATCAAAAGGACTTCAAATTTCCCAGGCGAGTGGGACAGCGCTTTCCCATACATATCTTCCCAAGCATTCCGTAGTAGAACGGATGAAGCTGGATTGTTGCCATCTCGTAGTCTTACCAAAAAGATGCAGCAGTTTCCGACGCAGAATGTTGGTTCTTGAAACCCTTTGGCCTCGTTAGAACACATTCATTTCGGCTATTGCTGAATTGTTATCCAACTTTGCTGCCCTAGCTTTAATCTAGTTCCATTGTCGCCAAGGGTGGAGTAAATGCAGATAGAGCTCCATGGGCCACTAGACTCGGTAACTCACGTACTTCAGTTTAGGTTACACCTCCTATCCCCAAGCTTTAGGGGGTAGCAGAAGTACTGACATTTGTTTTCGATACAAAACATGTGACGATGGGACGTCTGTGGGATAGATGGGCACGAGTCACGATGAGACAGCCTGCTACAGCCTGTACTAGAGAGATCCCTGCCATCCGGCTGGATATATATAGTATGCCGCTAGGGCTGTAGATTCTAGAAGAATCAACGCACTTTGCGGGCTAGTTTCTTCGTGCCTAGCGTGTTCGTCACAAAACACTAAAGTATTAACTGGCTATGATTAGACATTACTTATGTACCAAGTGTGTTGAGAGGTAAAGTGGTGCTAGCAGTGGGAATTCTAGACCTCGACGAAAATGGAGCTGTGTGGCAGTCAATGGAATAGAATATAGACGATTACGGCGAGGAATACCATCATCTTCAATGTTAGTGGGAAGAAACGCAAGTTGAAAGGCGAGCATTTCAACCGATTTAGTCATCTTTCTATAATCATAAGGTAAATATAGATCAGATGCCGTTCAATCCAATACTGTTGAGTAAACAGCCTTTGCTAGTAGGAATTTCATCCATCTAAGTAAGTAAAGGCCCGCCCGGGGTAGTAATCAAGGCAGAGGTTTTGCGTTTCAGTTGCCTACTAGAGACTAACTCTATATAGCCCCTTATCCTGTCCCTGAGCTGCTATTGGGCATTTAGGTAATTAAATTCATAGTAAAATTAGAGAAATATTGCTAGTCAATGTTGTGTTTTGCTTTGTAGGCTTCGTCGGCGTCTGCACTGGCCATTATAGTTCTGTCCAAAACTTGGTATCTATCGAAAGGCCATTGTTTACTAAGAATCTGAGAACTTTTATTGTTGCCGGGGTGCTCTGGGTTGTCAAATGAGTACTACTGTGGGCTGGTTAACCGCTTATTAGTAAACACAAAGTGACCCCTTCGGCTATTCTGTTGGCAACAGGTTGGAACTTTCCCTCTTCCATGAACCACGCAGACAAAAAGACTTCATCCATTACAACGATTAAGGGCTTAGCTTTTTCCCGAGGCCACGACGCTGTATTTCCATTTGTCCGGCCATCCTTGCAAGCTTTGCGTTATACTCCGCGATGTCAAAACTTTACGCCTTCTTACGAAACAGTAGCTACGTCAGACTTGTACAGATCGATGGTATTGGGTCAAAGAGTCCTCTAGCTACTGTAAAGGCGATCGATAGCGTCATTGTTCGAAGTTATGCCTACTTCGAAGGCCACCAATACGTGGTCAAGAGCGTGGCTAATGTGATGAGGCTTTTCGGAGTCGTTTTATCAGATGATCTATACCCACTCGGGCTGCCACCAGTTCACATGCACCCACAAATCGCACTACACGTACGCATGGTCCCCATGTCAGAGCCGATTTTGATCGAAGCTAGGCCTGTTAGCGTGGAACCAGGTCAAAAAGATCGTTACATACCTGCCGCCTAAGGCCTTCTGATGTTAAGTGCTGGTGTGAGTTTCGACGTTATCGTCACGCCAGGTTAAACCAGTCAGAGGCGCGCGCGGGGGTGAGGGGAGCGCGTTGATAATATGCATGTTTAAATTAATATTGTTCGTTTCCTCTTCCAGGAAACACTATGAGACTGATTATAAGCGCCGATTTGAACCGGACAAACAAGGCTTCATGACTCAGCCCTGTCTAGCATACAAACCAGTCTTCATTAGCATGTTTGTTGGCCCCTTGATCACATGAAATCATACCCACTGGAGACCGCAAAGACTCTTTTACTTTCCTTTAATAACCTAGTGATTTGGTGTTGATCTAAAGCAACCGGCCGATATCCTTGTGAGCTAAGCCAGTCTTGCAAAGCAAGTTCAGTAAATTTACTCTGAAACGCTACAGCTTGTACACTCTGTCGATCTGGAACTATGTTTTTGATCCCAGCATTGCCTCCTAGACCTATCTTAGACCTATCACATCAGGGTCCAGTTGGCTGCAGCTACCTAGTCCCGAATTTGCATCCACTCTTCCCCCCTCATATCAGGGGTACATAGCCGTAGGCTGTTGGGCATTATGTGTCCCAGGGCTTCAGTCTTGTAACTCTGATAATGCAGATACCTTTGTCAAAGCTAGATTCTGCACATTGTGTAAGTACCTTTCAATCTAATTATTTAGCTGGTTGAAAAAGTCTTGGCCAACCTCTGAGTGGCTAGATCTCCTCACAAGGATGTATCTGTAGACAACTGGGCCTCGACGGGATAGGAATGATTGACAGTTATTCTTTGTAAGCTAATCTTGAATAATATGCATTTCAGGAGAGAAAAAACTCTACATACCAAGTCTCACGGAAGCAGAGGGATGATTAGAGAAGTCGCAGATGCTAACAGCAGAAGTACAAGCGCACAACTCCATGGAAAATGGGATGGCTTCGCAAGGAGAGGTGCATTAATCAACTCTGAGCGGGCATGAGTCATGTGCTACCCCGAACTCAAACAAGCCCCATCAGAGGTCGGTTGATAATAGTTTCATATTTATGAGAGTCATGTAGCACACTCAGGAGACAGCTAAGACTATTTGTTGCCAACCTGAAAGCCGACATCATAAGTACTTAGGCAACTCAGCTATTCAGACGATGGAATAGGCATCTGCAATCATCCGAGCTAAAAAGTTGGTAGTGAACGCAGCTAGGAAAACATGGATGTTGGTGACTTGCCGTCACCTATCCCTGTCGCGAGGGGTAAAAAGTGGGTCGAGAATCGGATGCAATTCACATATACTTATCTGTGGCCAACTGGCCTTGGAAGGGATAGTTTCTGGGTCCGAACTCTGTTTTCCAAAACAAATTATAGTATTTGTGAGAGTTTTCTAGCAAGAAGAGCTGCGAATTCAAGGTAAGCCGTAAGAAGGAACGACTATAAAATGTTACCTATTCTCAGTTATTCCATTTTTTTCTCTTTCTTCAAAACATCTCCTTTATCAGCTTAACTTCCTACACACCATATATATCTCATCACTTCTAGCACCTCAGCTTAACTCACCACCGCTAACATGTATTTCCTCAAGCACATCGCAACTGTCCTCCCAGTCCTCCTCCTGAGTACTGCTGGTGTTCAGGCTAAGTGCACTGAGGAGAGTATCGGAACTCCAGGCTTCAACGGTGGTAATTGCAACCCTGGAAAAACTTTATGTGGCGCTGGGCAAACTGGTGGTTACAGCATCAGATGTTGCGATAATCCTGGCTGCAACTAAAGAGTTTAGAAAGTAAACATGACCACGCCTTTAGTGAGTTGACAGCCGAGTACAACGTTGTGGGTAAACTAAATCATCTTATCTAGGGTTGAATCTTTCAGACGTGGCGATTAATCGCCGACGACTGAGATACTGTAGGGCAAGGAGATTTGAATAGTGTAGCGGCCGGATCAATCAAATCACTTATACGGGTTATACTTGACTGTGCAATCTTAAAGAATCATCTTTATTTGACTTTGTGCTAGATGTTTGACTCGATGTTGCCAAATCACTGATAAATGGAAGAAGGTGGCAAAGTCACAGTACATGGGTACTCATGGCTAAAAGGGGCTTCAATAACCTAAGGTACGGAGTGGGGGGTCGGAGGCCAGAGATGAATGAAATCACCATCGTTACCACTGCCTGATATCTTCACTCAACGTTGCAAGGCCTCTGCCAGTCACCTGACTATCTAAATAGGAAATTATTTAAAGTAAAACATTACGAGGCTTTTTTTGTGCGCAGAAGTAGCTACGCATTGCGAGCAGAAGTAGAAGCAGAGAACATTATCGCCTAGCAATCAAGGTATGCAGTAATTGCCTCAAGGTACTAGAATGCAAGTACAATTTATTAACCTCTGCTTAGGAGCAAGGATCTAACTACTGCCTGGTGCTCTAGCTCCGGCTAGGTCCTATGAAGATCAGTGTATCAAGTCTGCTGACGCCTGCTTGACAACGCGAACTTTAAATAGTAGTGATACCTTGACACTAGGTGTTTTACTGCGACAATACAGTTCTGGGTGCCTTCTCAAACGGCTAGCCGCTACCTAACCTTAACGGCTTGCTGCTCATTAAACCCGCCCGCCTGACCTCAGAGCCCCAGAGAGTTCATAGAACACAATGCCGGCAGAGCTTCTCCTACTGGCGATGCAGATGCAATCTGGATGCCACTTACATGGCGGGCCTACCTTAAAAGAGTAGAGGGAGCACGGCATATACTTCGTGCCTTGCCTCCCGTGCGCCCTCGCCCTACCTAGGTAGTAAGAAAGGGCTGCAGCCAGGTAAGGTGAGGTCGACCAGATGACAAATGACGCCACTTGATTGGAAGAGCATTACACGCGGATGACGAGGAGGGGCACGAAAATTTTGACTACTTGAGCTGGCCAAGGGAATTCCAGTGTGACATTTAGGTATACCCGATAATTGGGATGGTATGCCTGTTCATCGCCATTCCATGGGCGACAAAATATTCGCGCGATTACTACTTATATCTTATACAGTGCTGATCTTGACTCTCTCCTCTTCTGGACACTTCTCACCCCTGGACAGCTTGAACACCAGTTGCTCCCCGGTATTAACAATCCAATACCGCTCCTTCAATGGACGTAGAGTAGAGACACCCGCCGATGAACCTACTGTTACTTCTTCCGGCGGCGGCGGCGACTTCAACGCCAGGATGAGCAGCTCGGACAGACAATCCCAGGAGGCGGAGGTCACGCCGACCATCAAAGACCAGAATAGAAACACGATTACAGTTGGAAGATACAGGATGAGAACAATCGTGGAGCTCTTCATCTCAGAGTTGGAATTCGTAAACGCGTAGCCGTAGACGTCCGTGTTTACCCGGAAACTGTAGTAATCCGAACGGTTTTCTGGCAGCGCGTATGCCGTTCTCGAGGGCCTGCCGAACGTCTTCCCCTTGTCAGGCAGGAAATCGAGCCACCAACGGCCGTTATCGTTCTTGAATTTCGAAAACATCGAGGTGTATGGTGCTGTCCTCGCCATGCCGTTGACAATCATCATCCCAAGCACCGTTTCCAGATGCGGCGTATACCCTGCAGTCCACTCGCCCCCAGCCGCCGTCCGAAAGGTGGTCGGCGATAGGAGCTTTTCGATAACCGTGCTATTATTGGACCCGAACTCCAGTCTTGGGTTCACAAACTGGGCGAAAACCGGCCTAATGCGCACTTTTACATCATTGTTCCTAACCACTTGCAGCCAGTTATCCCGAGCAGAATTCCCGGACGGGTCGGTGTTCTCAGAAGTTGGAACCCCTATGTTTCCGGTCGGCTCAAGACCGATCAAGTTGACTGCTCTTCATCTAGCTTCAGTAAAGCAGCCGTACAGTGCGACCTGGAAATAATTGGCCATGGGAAAAGCAACCAGAATGCCCAGTGACACTCCGGGTTCCATGTCAGAATCGGGATCAAACCACAGAATCTCAGGCCGTGAGAGCGATGGCAAGATCTGCTCCTTCCAGGCTTCGATGCCCGGAAACTCATACGGCCTGCGTCTAAAATCCTCGTCTACAAAGTCCGGGCATCTTACTGTCTTGCATTCTATGTTTTTGCCACGCAGATTCATTTCGCACCGAACGTGTACTATGGCATCCCGGGTAGGGCCGGGTATCTGTGAGCGAATGTCTTGGTGCCAGTGAAAGTTGCTTTTTGTCGCCCCAGACCTTGCATCTTTGGCGACGGCCCTTGACCAAAGTTCAACTGCATCAAATGCAGCGTCAAGTATGGACTGGTGTGGCATCGCCGTCACAGTAAAGTTTGAGCTCGGGTTGACCAGATCATGTGTTATGAGCGACCTCGGAGTCGTTTAAGCATGCAAGGTTAGACCTGATACCACTGACGATGGCGGGGCTCTGCGGGGTGTGTCTCTGATTCCAATAGTAGTCTTTACCAAGGAGCTTAGGGTTGTATATCGTTTCCGCCGTCAGATATTCTAGGTATCCATCATGAAGCTGCCTCCACCGTGCCGAGGGACAACGACTATCGCCCTCAACAAGGCAGTGCTGCCCGACCACTGCAGAACTATCGAGCTCCGCCGGAAACAGAGCGCTCTCTGAAGAATTCAGCCATACTGTGGCACCTCCAGCCTCGTGCCAATCCAGCTCGGGCGTCAGCGCAGAAGCCGTGGCCGGCGTAACGATGACGGTGAAAGCAGAGAAGGCCACCACGCAGACCAGATACGCGGACTTCTTCCATATCGTAGATAAATCGGCGGAGAGTAGCGCCAGCATGTCGCGAGACCACAAGAAGCTAGGTCGCGAAAATTTTAGGCCGGGCGCCAGGCTAGATAGCGGGATGCCGTTGCCCAACATGATCTCGTGGCGCAGGCCCGCGAAGAGGATGCATCCCAGCGAGAAGACGACGAACAACTCAAGAAGCTTCGCGGCGACTTGCAAAGCGAGGAATCTCTCTCCATCTCTTCCAGTCGGTCCCTGTAATTCCTTGCCGATGTACGTATCTCTGTATACGTAGGAGACAATATGGAGATGGTAACAATGGCTGGAATGTGTGGCAGAACCGATTGGGCGGCCGCCCGTCTGCTCTTGAAAACGGCAACACGACCCTTGGCCGAATCAGACCGCCGTGGTCTGACCCTTTCCCATAAAAGCCATAGAAATGAGAGGTGTGATTGTCGTAGGGTATTTTCTATGACTGGGGGTCCTGGCTCTTCCGGTGCCTGCGGCGGGCAGTACCCGGAAGACTTGGGCAAGCCGGTAGTATCAACAGCTTCTGATTGCTCGGTGGAACATGAAGCTGTTATATTGCTGTTTGGCGCATTGTGTATGCTAGAAGTGCGGGTTGTTAGTTCGGGCGGCGCAGGGCCGCCCTCGGCACCAGTTGATGAATCTGGCGATCGGGGCCTTTCGGTAGTGGATGGATCGCGAGCCATTACAGCCTGTCGAATAGCATTGGCCATGGGAGGGTCTTCTGGCTCAATCGTCGGCGGTACAAAAGCCTCTTGAAAGCGTAAATAAAATTGCTGTCAAGTCAACGACAAGAATCTCGCGCCATTTTGTGAATTCTCAGGGCCCAAGAAATGAGTCGAACAGATAATCCCCTCGTGATCAATCAAACAGGCTCAGCCTTGATTTTGTATCTGAGGCTGTGGTTTTCGACTTCTGGGTGTTGTTGGTGGCTACGGCAAGGCTCTCCCCAATTGGAATAGGGCGCTTTACAAGCTCAGCTGCCAGCAGGCTGCCTTGGCATAGGCATACTTGGAAAAGGCAGCAGGCACACCAACTATCTCGGAATGGCCCTTGAGTTCTCAGAGATTATCTTCCGACTTTTGAGGAGCCAGTGAGCAACATCCGTGACTGGCCACGACGGACGAAATCTGCCCGAAAGAAGTGGCAAGGCGCTTCGCCTGCTCGGGCGAGAACAGGTAGATGGTGATGTTGCCGCTGGCCGGGGCAGTGCCGCCGCGTACAAAATTCCAAATGAACTGCTGAACCCGCTGATTAAGTGCACCAAATTCTGTCGCTCGAGCTTGTTGCATACGAAGACCAAGTCGACACAGCTCCGTGTTTTGAGACAATCTGATTCAAAACATAAGGATTCATGACGATGGCAATTCCTAGAACTGCAAATTTACTCATAGTCAATCTCAGTGGTGGCCAAAGGAAAGGCTTATAATTCTTCAGAGTGGCTAGTAATTTTCAAAATCAATGAAAGATCTATTTGAGATCATATTACAAACATATGTGCTTGGGAGTTACGTCAGATCACGTACCAACAAAACTTGGATAATCAACATGTTGTATCGTCACGAAAGTTGAAAAACACCAGCCATATTAACGTTTGCCGCAGTTTCATATAGACTTCTCATGAAGCTAATCTTGAAGGTTACAGCTTCACAATATCTATCTTTGTTTCTGTCCTTTGTTGTTCAGACGTGAGCCTCATCCGGTGCTTTGGTTGTGTCATTGCCGTGTTTTCCAACACTATCATGCCGAAAGCTCAAGAAGAGCACGAAAATGAGTAATCGAGCACAACATAGGGATTACACGTCGCTTTTTTTGCGCCGTCAACAACGGCTGGAACACAGGTTTGGATAACCTTGTTACTGGCAACATCCACAACAGCCGTCACAGTTGGAGTCTCCTGAAGCGGAATATTGTCATCCGTACAAGCCAGCTCAAGGTTGTAGTATGTCTCCCCGGTTTCATCATTGGTAATGTTGAAAGGGTTGCGGCAGATGGGTTCGTAGACGTGCCCGCTGTGCTCTGCTCGAATGCTAGTCCAAGTTGCGGTGCCCTTGGTAGCGCCAGACACCTGACACACATCCACAATGTCCTGTGTCTTGGTTGGAGTGAAGGGAGACCATGCGACGAACATATTGCCGCGAGGGAAGAAGTAATAGCCAAGGTTGATTGGAGGGTAAGAGGCCTCCTGAGCCGAGGAAACGGCCATGAGGGAGGCGCTGGAGATGATGGCGAGCTTCATTTTTGAGGTTTGAACTTGGTAGCTTGGTATCAATGAAAAGTAAAGTGTTGAATATGGGGCTGATGAGCGACGATGTGATGCATTAATTTCGAAACTTGGATTCTTTATATACATGATATTTTGCAGCTGTTGGCTACCCGAGATGTCTATGCTAAAAGAGCCGCGCCCAGTTTCTTAGTAGGCGGACATATCCGTGCTGACTTGGGCTGGGATTCGTGTTGCAAACGCACCCTTAAGCGATCATGACCTCGCATATGGGACTTTGGTATAACTTGATTAAATACGAGCAGATACTACCATAACTGACCGCCAAGGCACCAATCATAGTGCTCTTGTAGAGAACTGGTTCGATCCTTCTCGTATCGTGCTTCTAATAGTAAAACAAATCAATTTGCTATGCTCCGTTGCTACGGGGGAGCGCTTCAAAAGTCCCCGCCCTAACTGCCAAGCTACCCATTATTGCCGCGGGCAGGGTGTCAGGCTTGGGCGCCTGTCACTTTTGATAGGCAAACGGAGCAATGCTGTCTTTGTTCAGCCCTATGGCACTCAACCATCTTAGCGGGTCCAGGTTGTTACATTGGAGGGGGATCTGCAGGGGGCAGGCAGAATAAACAAGGGAGCCTATTTCTTCCACGGATCGTATTCGCCCACTTCTACCCTCAATATCCCTGGCCTATAAGCCAGCGAGACGGGCTACCACAGCACAGTCAATAACTGTATCGGTGTATGCTACTCAAAATAGGGCTTCGCCGACCGCCAGGCCATCTATTGTGACGACAAATTATGAGAGAAATATGTAGCACTGCTTAAGAATAACATTAACTACTGGTCACGAAATTGTAATCAAGCAGATATCCTTAAGTTCGATCACGTACGGTGGATCTCGCACGAGAAATACTGATCACTTCGGAGCCAGGTCGTGATCATTGACGGGATTCACGGGCGTCAGGGCGAGGACATCTAGAGCCATGGTTCCAGGCCAGAGAGCCAGGACGAAGATGACGGTGACGAGGTATCTGAGTTTGAGGAGGAAGTGTACTCGCCCATTTGGAGCAATACCTCCAAGGATGTCGACTGGAGGTATTATACGGATGCCGACTTACTCGCCATCTGGTACAAAGCAGTTAACAAAAAAGGGAAGCACAGGTAGGGCAACTGAAATAAAACCGGTGGATGAGGTAAACGGGGAAGTCATTGCGGATTACCCCGGGGGCTTCCAGGATGAAGAGAGATGAATCACGTTTTTTAGGAAATACTGATTTACTTTTGAGCAAAAAATAGGCAAGGTAAACTGGTAGAAAGCAGAGCTCCAATTAAATAATTGATCCCATTCCGCTGTTGCCTTCAATCCCGCGATTTTGTTGTCGGGGACTAGTGCTGATTCCACCAATGACTCGATGTCTTTGCGTCAGTTCCAATTGGAGCTAACTAAGTTCTAGGCGGTCAGTCGGGGCAGAATGGAAGCGCCGACCTTGAGTTCGCGGTCAGTCGTGGTGACTTCCTCTTTCTCACTTTGGCACTTCTTATTACTGAATTTGTCTTATTCAAAATCAGCTGATAAGCCTGAAATAAGCAGTCTGATTCCATCGGCCTATCGGCTTCTATTTCGGAAAGGACCCAAAAATATCGACAGCACGAGACGCCATGTTGAGTCAAGCATTTCCACCCCCTCCAGTGAAACCAAAAGTTATAGCGTATGTCACAAGTCCCTTGGTCGGTTTCCCTGTCATCTAAGTATTCCAATAACACTTAATGAAGATGTCGCAAATGCCACTCACGAAAAGTGAAGTGTCCGGGCGGGCAACCTTGCAAATCATGTGTCCAATTGGATTGCCAAGCTGAGTGTACATATCCGAAACGGGACAGACAGATGAAAGTCAGCGAAAGGTTGTAATTCTCTTTGAGATCATTTCTGAAAACTCAACTGATGGTTTTAGTTATATCAATTCATTATTGCAGCAGAACAAGCTTCTTCGAGCTCAAGTTCAAGCCAATCAAAGCAAGGAAAACCTCATGAAGGCATCTCGCAGTCCATCGACCACTGCAGACACGACCCATGAAGACACGACCCATGAAGACACGACCCATGAAGATACGACCCATGAAGACGCGACTACATTAAACGCTGAGCCAAGTCAGAACCCGCTCTTTGGTGAAACTCCATGGTTCTTGCCACTATCTCCTTTCCGGGTTCCTCTTCGTGTAAACGAGGCCGCTAACACAGCGTTCGCCACCCGATTCTGTCAAGCCATTTTGCCGTCGGCTACAAAACACCTTCCTCGTCTGCAATATCCCAGCGAAAAGCAAATAATGACTCTGGCTGAAACTAACATATCACGTCCGAGTCCAACACAGGCACGTTTTCTCATTCAGACGGCATTGGCAAATCTTAACAAGTGTCTCCATGTGGTGAGGAAAAGCTCTGTGTGGGCTCTATTAGAGACATTTATGGGAGCCCCAAGTGAGTTGTGTATGCATCTAGAGGGCAAAATCTACGCCTTGTTCGCTCTTGGAGAACTTTATTCTTGTCGCTACAGAGCTCCAGGGGAAAACTTTCCAGGCCTTGCTTATTTTAGCATTGCCTTCAAAACTTATAGTTGCCTCCTTGAACGACCCTGCGTTGACAGCATTGAAGTCTTGATATTACTAGTGAGTACGAATTCCCACGCAATTTGGGCAGGAAATAACCGAAACCCAGTGCCTCTATTCTTTGTGCATCAATAGGTGGCATTCGGCATACTTTTTGGCCAGCTCTGCCGTTCGGCACTGCGCCGTCATGGGCCTACAATTCGATATACCAAAACCGCTGCTTAGGGACAATGCGGCTCGCGAACACATACGCCGTATTTGGTGGACTTCGTACATTCTTGAACATACTTGCGCACTTGGCGGCGGGCAACTGGTTTCTGCCCTAGATGGCGGAATCTTGGTCGATTTCCCCTCTTTCAGTGGGCTTTCTGACGCTGAGAAGTCTGATTTTGAGAATCCGAACTCTATGACTGCTATGATACAGTTGGTGAGATTATCCCAAACGATTACCAAATCTCTTTACGGAAGGGAAGAATACAGTACGTCGTTTTTACAGAGGGTTCAGAGCCGCTTGCGAGACCTTCAAAATTGGTTCCGGACCTTGCCAGAGGATTTGAAAATGACCCATAACGGCGCGAACACACGACTTGAACATGTCAAATCACTGCACCTATTTTTCAACCGGGTATGTGTCCTGGTTCAACTTCTAGCTTGATATTCTAACATCTCCAGTGCGTAATTCTTACCACGAGACCACTTCTTTTACACATGATACGAATGAAACAAACCTCCAAAGGCGAAACCATGATGAACTCAACATCTGACGCAACGGATAACATTCATACTCTATCTAATGCGTGCATTCGAGCTGCTCGGCATTCGCATACAATTTTGACCGAATCGTGGATTGATGGGTCTTTTAAACCCTTCGAATACTCTCACACCGAGTACCTCTTTTCCGTGGCCGTCATTCTCGCTATTTCGGGTCTTCTGAGCGGTCCTGGTAGCTCAAAGGACCAAGAGGACTTTGATCTAGCATGCCAGCTGATGCAAGACCTTAGAAAGTCGGGGAGCACAGCTGCTACCGAGTTTTGCCAGCACATCGAGGCTATGAGGAGAGATATTGAAAATTCCGCTTTCGGAAAGACATCGGTAGAGAGTACCTTGGGAGGCCTTCCTGTAAACCCCAACCCTGTCACAACTCAGACCGAAACGGTGCAATGTGCGCCATTCGAATTCACAGCCCCCATGACGGCGGATATATTTCTGAGTGAGCCTTCCCTTGAAGGATTCTTGTCACAGGACGACCCTAGCTCGGAGCAGTTGGACTACTTGGACATTTCAAACTTGGAAGGGCTCTACTGGCCTGTCATGGACTTTTCGGGGGAAGTTCTAAATGGATGATATGGATAATACAATCTCTTGGTTGCGTATAGCTTTATTTCAGGTTTTAACTGCTTATTCCTTTGATTATGACTGTGGTCCCAAGTTTTTTTTTTTCTTCTTCTTTCTTTTTAATCTCGCTGAAAACGCTCTGAAGATAAGAGAAGTGGGTTTGCAGACACAACTGATGCAGTATGTGTTGACGAAAGACACCCGGAGATGTTGGAATATACGGAGCTGTTCGCAGGGGTGTACTGCGAATGGGGAAACAACGATGAGACAATAAGATGCAGTTTTGACTGGGCAGTGCACTAGCTCTCGACAGGATGTATATAATGGGTTATACCGGCGTTTATGCGCGCTTTCTAGACGCAAGGTGAGATCGATGGAAGGATCTGAAGGAGCTGGCTCATGCGCCTATGAGTGAGTCTATCGCAATATGCAAAGCAGGATATATTAGACATCTATACATTAGGAAGAAAAGGTTTTCATCGTCAAAGCTACAAGTCTTTCCCAGGGTCTGAATTAATGTGCCTGACGATAAGTCTCATATCGTGGGTTGTTTGACTGGTAGGTATAGCGGCCTGTGTAATTCCTCCGCTACCTGGCTTTCAGCCCAGGTGGATTACCCCCATGAGATTTTCAATTCACTTGGACTGAGTTGGCTTTCTCCCCTCATACACATCAAATTACAGGTGTCCACTGCTGCGCAGTTCATGGATTTTCCTTTATGCCAAAAGTCCTCGTAATCATGCGTCTCATTCTTGTCTAGTGATGGAAAAAAAAAAAAAAAAAAAACCGCTATTATGCTCGCTCTACTAATCGTACTGATTCTACATGTCTATTACCTCGCGACTTTTCGTTCGCGCGACACTCCTTTTCTCGGGGCATCCAAGTTGCTTCAGTGCCACCCCATAATGCTAACCCACCTCTCTAAAAATATGCAATTCCATACTTCATACCTCCCAACGAAACTTTTATGCCGACGCGCAGTGGCCACCGTCAACGCGGAGATCAGCACCGGTCATAAATGAGCTTCCCTCAGACAACAAGAAGACGGCCGGAGCCTTAAAGTCCTCAGGTTTACCCAAGCGCTGGAGCAGGGCACCCCGCATCCAGGTCTTTTCGACGTCGGGCTCAGCCTGCAGGAGCTGATCGGTCATGGCGGTGCGGATGTACTAAACAAAGGGGAAAAAAAGTCAATAATGAGCGATGAGAAAATATGGTGAGAGAAAAATAATCGACTTACGCCAGGAGAGAGGGTGTTGACGCGGATTCCATACTGGCCCCATTCCTGGGCGACGGACCGGCACATTTGCTGCACGGCAGCCTTGCTGGTGTTGTACGCGCTGCAAGTCAAACCCTTGTTGGGAAAAAAGGCGTTAGCTAGGCTTTCACTCTGTTCAGATGATCTCTCGGAACTTACTCGGTTGGCGATCTCTCCGGACATGCTGGAGATGAGCAGGATGCTACCCTTGCTCTTGCGGTTGACAAGGATACGAGCCGCGTGCTTGGCGGTTACAAAGACGCCGACGACGTTGACCTTTTGGATGCGCTCAAAGTCGGCGACAGGGTACTCTAGAGCAGGGATCTTCTGCTGGATGCCGGCGCAGGCGATGGCACCCCAGAAGGGAGCGCCGCGGGCGTCGGCGGCATCGGCGATGTCTTCAAAAACCTTTTGGGTGGCTTCCTCGTCGGTGATGTCGCACTTGTGGTAGGTGACGGACAGGCCGTTGGCCTTGGCCAGCTTGGTGAGGTGCGCCCACTCGATAGCAGCGGGCTCCGGGAGGATGTCGAGGCAGGCGGCGTGGCCGCCGGCTTCGAGGACAGCCAGAGCAAAAGTGATGCCGAGGCCACGACCGCCGCCGGTAATGACAATGGTCTTGTTTGCGAGAGAGAAAAGTTGGGGTGTTGAGACGGAAGAGGCGAGAGGGTCCTTTGCCTCGGGAAGAGGATGAGCGGACTCAGTAGGAAGGTTGATGTCACTGACTGCTACGGGAGGCATTGTGAAGGGTTTTTGGGGGGTATCTTGGGTAAAGAAAAGAGATGAATATTACAAAAAAAGGGCCGTTAAAGGGAACCAAAGTTCACGAAGTCCTAAACAAAATGATTTAAGATGGAGGTAGTGAGAGCAGAAGTGAGCTGAACAAGAAGACTCGAAACAGAGGCATTGCGGTCACGGGGTCAACTATATGAGTGACACACGAACCGGCCGGGGAGCACGGGAAGGGCAGGACATGCGTCGCTTGGAGTTGTGCAAGGACAAGCACGAAAACAATGGACGGACAGGTGTTCGAGAGGGAAACGTTGGAGCATGTCGATGCGCCGGAGCCAACATGGTGCTGCAGGTTCAATGTTTGCGCGGCATTGACTCTGCGGGATGGTTGGAGATGAACGGGGCCGTAGGAGGCGGGGGCAGGTGTAAGCGCTCTTGGCGGGACATTGACGGGCTGATGGCGGGGGAGCGGGAGTCGGCAGGTAGCCGGATGAGGAGAACTACTATGATGGAGGGATTGACAGGAGCCAATACAGAGGGCGGAAAAAACACAGAAGGATGTGAGTCTGGACTCTAGTCTGTGGGTATGTCTAGGTCACGATGAATTCAATGATTAGACTTTCGGGAACAGCGTGCAGGGGGACGGGGGCCGAGAATAGTTTGAATGAGGGTTGTAACAGTTAATTGGGTAAAGACCCATTTGTTTCGATTGGGACTTGTGCCGAAAGAAGATGGGAGAGAAAGCGGAAGCGAAGGAGGGTTATGCAATACATAGTAGTGGTTAGGAGATGCTTCGAGGTCATGAGCAGTGATAGGTAAGGGCAGCACGGCAGAAACGCGATAGAAACGGACGAGATGGAGGTGAGGGGCCCCTAGGATGTACTACTATGTACGGAGTGTGTAGGAGAGATGTCCGTAGATGGATGAAAATTGTTAGTGTCTGATGGATGTGGAGACTCAGCAAAACGTTAACTGGACTGGAAAAATGTTCCATGACCAGCAAGCATTAAAAAAATCCATGTTCACGCGGCCAGTTGTCCGGGGAGGAAGGAAATGTTGAGATGGGGAAGTGGACGGAACTGGAACTGGCTTACATAAGGTATCGACATGGTGGCTCGTGCTTCTCCGGTAAGCAGACAAAGGTAAAACGAAGCGCTTCCAATCTCCCCAAGTAAGATAAGCACAGACCATTTGAGATGCACTAGATTAGTCCCCCTGTCAGCCGCTTTTTTTTCTCTTTGTTTTTTTTTTTTTCTCTCACATCTCTTATTTTAGCCCCAGAGGCGGTGATTCGGCATTTTACCGATGCCTCCTTTCTGTTCCCTCTTTTTGCGGAGGTCCAACGCAGAAGATTACGACAATTCTTTCGTCATTGACTATTATAGCAGTTCTAATCGAACATACTCGTTTCCAAGACATTCTTGCACATGCAGACTATCGCTTGCTTTTACCTTCGCCCTTCCATCCCGGCAGTGTCCAGAGCTGACCATTTCGGCCAATAACACGCTCTCTCATTGGATATGCCGTAGTTTTACCGACCAAAAATTCCCACGTAGTCAAGTGATTTCCGCCGGCGCTGTTTCCCCAACCCCAAAGCGGAAATGCGAAGCGCTCCTGCCATATTCTGCATTGCTTCGCATTGCTGTCTATCCCACTCCCATCCCACTCCCATCCCAATCTGGACATCTCAAGCACACAGAGGGGGGCAACCCAAGGAGCCCGTCGCGGCCACGAATATATCTAACGAAATGGCCCCAACGTTTGTCCTCGATTGCTCTGCTTTTGCTGCATCTTCTTTCTCTCCTCACTTACAACTCGCAAGAGACACGATTGATACCATTTGTTTTTAACCGTCGTTTCTCTTCTTTCGTTTTAAACACCACACGAACGGAGTCAACGTCGACAGCCATCACGATTGCTGCCTTACCCCACACTTTTACACCAGATCGAGATACCCTCACCTCGTAATATCCCCGACACCCATCTCTCACACACACCGAATTTTCAGTCATAATGGCGCCCAGTGCAGTCCCCGCCGAGCCCGTCCCCCAGGGCGTCGTGGCCGCAAAGTCTCTCAATGGCTTCAACACCCAGTTTCAGCTCACCGACGCTGACAAGAAGGAAGTCGACTTTGTTCTGCGCACATTCCGTTGTCTCATTGCCGATTTATGTGAGCAGTTCAAGGGCGGCCACCCCGGTGGTGCCATGGGCATGGCTGCTATCGGTACCGCTCTCTGGAAGTACGTTATGAAGTACTCTCCCACAAACCCCAGCTACTTCAACAGAGACCGATTCGTCTTGTCCAACGGCCACACATGTTTGTTCCAGTACAGCTTTCTGCACCTCACTGGCTACAAGCACATGACAATGGACCAGCTCAAGTCCTATCACTCCAGCCGCACCGACTCATTCTGCCCTGGTCACCCCGAGATCGAGCACGAGGGTATCGAGGTCACCACCGGTCCTCTGGGTCAGGGTATTGCCAACGCTGTCGGTCTTGCTGTTGCCAGCAAGCACTTGGCTGCCACTTACAACCGCCCCAACTTCCCTGTCGTCAACAACATGACCTGGTGCATGATTGGAGATGCCTGCTTGCAAGAGGGTGTGGCTATGGAGGCCATTCAGCTTGCCGGTCACTGGAAGCTCAACAACCTCGTCGTTATGTACGACAACAACCAGATCACCTGCGACGGTAGCGTCGACCTTTGCAACACTGAAGATGTCAACACCAAGATGCGCGCCTGCGGCTGGAACGTCATCGAGATTGAGGACGGCAACTGGGACGTTGAGGCCATCGTCCGCGCCATGGATGCCGCTCGCAACAGCAGCGACAAGCCCACCTTCATCAACATCCACACCGTCATCGGTATTGGCAGTGCCGTTGCCGGTAACGCCAAGGCCCACGGTGCCGCCTATGGTCCCGCTGACGTCGCCAACATCAAGAAGAACTTCGGCATGGACCCTGAGCAGCACTTTGTTGTCTCCGACCAGGTCTACAGCTATTTCCGCGAGGCCATTTCCCGCGGTGAGAAGATCGAGGCTGAGTGGAACCAGCTTGTCGAGGCTTACTCTCGCGAGCACCCCGAACTGGCCGCCGAGTTCCAGAAGCGCGTTTCCGGCGACTTCACCGACGACTGGCGCAAGTTCATCCCCGCCAAGGAGGACTTCCCCACGACTCCTACCCCGTCGAGAAAGTCGGCTGGTCTCGTTTGCAACCCTATTGCTGCCGGTGTGAACAACTTGATGGTCGGCACTGCTGACTTGTCACCCTCCGTCAACATGATCTGGAAGGGCAAGGTTGACTTCCAGCATCCCGACCTGAAGACCACCTGCGGTATCAACGGCGACTACACTGGCCGCTACATCCACTACGGTATCCGTGAGCATGCCATGGCTTCCATTGCCAACGGTCTGGCTGCCTTCCGTAAGGGCACTATCCTGCCCGTTACCTCTAGCTTTTTCATGTTCTACATCGTAAGTCCTGCGGCCAAATCCCTCCCTCAACTCATCAAAGCAGTAGATGATATTCTAACACACCTCAGTACGCCGCCCCTGGTGTGCGTATGGGTGCTCTCCAGCGCCTCCAGCAGATTCACATCGCGACCCACGACTCGATCGGAACTGGTGAGGACGGCCCCACCCACCAGCCTATCGCCTTGCCTGCCCTGTACCGCGCGATGCCCAACCTCTTGTACATCCGCCCCTGCGACAGCGAAGAGACAGCTGGTGCGTTCATTCTGGCCATGGAAGCCAAGGATTCTCCCTCGATCATCTCCCTCTCCCGCCAGAACCTCGAGCAGTACCCCCAATACACCTCCCGTGATAAGGTCCAGAAGGGCGCCTACGTCTTCAAGGAGGAGCAGGATGCCGATGTCACCCTTATCGGTGTTGGCGCTGAGATGGTCTTCGCCGTCAAGACGGCTCAGCTGCTTGCCGAGAAGTACGGCATCAAGGCCCGCATTGTCAGCTTCCCGTGCCAGCGCATCTTCGACAAGCAGTCAATTGAGTACAAGCGTGAGGTTCTCCAGTACCGCTCCAAGGCGCCGCGTGTCGTAATTGAAGCCTACGCCGTTAACGGCTGGGAGCGTTACGCCGATGCCGGCTTCTCCATGAGCAGCTTCGGCCACTCCTTGCCCGGCCCCGACGCATACAAGTACTTTGGCTTCGACGAGGCCGTTATCGCTCCCGAGGTCGCCAAATTGGTGGAGGACGTCAGGGCCAACGGTATTGAAAGCCTGCGGGGCGAGTTCCGCGACCTGAACCCCATCCACCACCACTGAGCGACCAGGTCATGAAAAGCTGTTCTGATTTTTTCCATCCCAACGCATGGCTCTAATGAAAAGGGTACCGATTTGGGGTAAAGGTGCGAATGGCGTTTAGGTGGGCGTATTAGGCACATGGATTGCATAGACACGGATAACCCTTGATAGTAATTGAGCCCAAAAGTTACAAGATGCCTTATTTTGGTGCTTGGAGCGTAAGCTCAGGCATTAGCAGACCGATATCCGAGTCATGAACGAACCAGTGTCGCATTGGCAGTTTCTTGTGGGAATGGTTTGATTGATTTCTTCTCATTTTTATTTTTCAACCAATTTGAATTCGGAAGATCGTATTCTCGGCTTGCTCATACTGATTTACTTTTTCTTTGTCCTCCTTCTCTAGGGATGGATCTCATCGACTTTTCACACTGATTGACTAGAACTCATTCTGAAGGAGCTCCTTACTTAACGTGTCACTATCACGGATGGTCCCAACGAGCTGTAGTTATTGACGGCTCAACATATTTGAACGCGCAACACCTTCTAGTGAAATCCGTCTCCTGATGCGATCTGGAACGGGGGTGAAAAAAGCTTGAAAGCCGGTGCGCCGTCACGAGGTTGTGGGGGGCCTTCACTGGGGCTTTCACTGGGGCCCCCGAGACGAGGGGGGAACTCGGACCAATGCAAGCTTGACCCAAGAGCTTGACTGCTATGGGCAGGGATTCTCCTCTTTATCCCCGGGCCAAATTCATCAGCCAATTCTGGGGGCAGGCAGCTCTACTGGCCTTGCCTGCCCCGACACCGCTTACAACTTCCCCCATAATCTCCCCGCAAAGCCTCCGAGTGTACGGAGTATCTCTCTGGCTATTAGGGAAAAACCACTTCCAATAACCATTTCAATTAAGCAGCGTTGTATAGCTCCTCAGCCACGACCCTTGGATCTACGTGGAAGTTCGCAAAACAATCAACAGGCCAGTCGTAATGTGCTCCGAGGTCCTCGTCATTGCCATTGGGCACCAATATTCTATCTGAAGTAGTCCAAAAGAGACTTCATCCAGGCCCGGCGCCTTCGGCCATCGGCAAACATCTACTATGCAGTAGAACAAAACTCTGTTTGATCTCCCGTTCTTGGCCCCTGGGGAGAGATACCTAGGCAAGCCCAGCAGTGTTTATTTTTTTTTCATTCAAGGGATCTCTTTGCCTGACCCCTGAGAGAGCTCCATTACGTTGACCATTTCAAGTCATTCTTCTATTTGCATTACCTCATACACAACATCCCATCTCTGCCCACCCGCCCACACGCCCGCATCTTTTTTTTCCGCAGAAGCGCATGTCGAAGCGCATTTGCTCCACGAACATTTCATACAACCTTTTACGAATTGGACGACCTACCCCGGCCGTAACCGCCTACTGCTGCTGTCGTTGTCGCTGTTGCTGCTTCTCTTGCCGCCGCATCCTTCTACAGGATTGCGCTTGCGCATTCGGATTCCGAGTACAGGCGATTAGCAGCGCCTCACTGAGGTCCGCAGCTCGGAGGAGCTTCGTCTTGTCATTATGGCTGACAAGGCGGCGCCACGCCAGCCATCTCCGGCCGATGATGGCAAGACACAGTCAGCTCCGCCGCCTACTGCCGACCCCGATCCGGACCTGCAGCCCCCGCCGGCCAAAAAGAAGAGGACCCGGACGCGAACGGGGTGTTTAAACTGCCGTCGCAAGAAGCGCAAATGCGACGAAGGGAGACCGGCCTGTGGAGGCTGTTCTCGCCGTAAGGAACGATGTGAATGGGGCATAAAGGTTACCTTTCGCGCCGAGAATGCCCAGACCATTCTGCAGAATCATCCATCGATGAGGAAGGCTCGACGGCCACCTCCTCGTCGCCATTTTGAGATCCTCGATGTCACAAACGAGGTCATCCGGGATTATCACCTGCCGCCGGGTTTTCATGATTACGAATCCGAGCCTGAGCCCGAGCCTGACTCGCTTTCGCCTATAGAGGAAGAGGTCAGACATCGTCAGTCCTACGAAGACGAAGAGGACAAGACTTTCGACAGTCCGGTATCCTATACGAACTCGACGGTGGGCGGTCACACCGTGTCAAATGCTGGTTCGAGCACCGCAAGACGAACACTTTCGTCGTCTGGGCCGAGCTCAGCACCGACAGACCACGTTCATATTTCCGGCTACGGATCTCTTCTGACCCCGTCAACTCGTCGAGATGACGATATTAGCGACAAGGGACATTCACATGGCGGCGATCGAATGGATTTCCAGGCGTCGCCTTCATCTACGTCCCAGTTAGTCACAGACAATGCGGTTGCAAACCTGATATACCTTAGTCAGGGCGGTGCCGGGCAGGGTCCGCACGACCATCCTTCCACATCCTCGGTCAGCCGCCTCCCCGTCACAACTCTTGCTCTCGACCCCTTGATGGACGCACCGTTCGATTTCATGGACCAGATGTTCACACCAGAAGGATCCTACGAGGACGGCATCTTCTTGCCTGGCTCCGCGTATCACGAACTGCACTCCACGCTAAGAAACCACCTCATCCAGGAGGTCCGTTCGAATGGACCGACGAGGCCAGCTTCGCCAGCCTCAGGCCAGAACTCCAGGCGCAGATCCGTCGACGCTAGCTCAGGGGAAACCTCCTCAGGCGAAGCTCTCGATGCAGGGGGCGAACTATCATCCGACCACGAGCCCCCTTTTCTACCCCTGGATGAAGAGTGTGCGCTATGGAAGAACTGGGTGGATGAAATATCGCCATGGTTGGATAAATTTGACAACCAACGGCACTTCCAGCATTCATTACCGACAATGGCTCGGTCACATGATCACCTGCGCTACTCTATGCTGGCCCTATCAGCCAGGCAACTCGAGTTGAAAGACACGAGTCGGCCAACAGATCAGAGCCTTGCGCTCTACCAAGAGGCAATACACCTTTTATTACCACAATTATCGACAAGAACAACAGCAGTGATAGCATCCTGCGTGGTGCTTTGTGTATTAGAGATGGCCAGTTGTTCGCCAAAAGCTTGGCGAAGACACCTAGACGGCTGTGCAAGTCTGATGGAAGCCGTCGGCATGAATGGCTTCGTGGGCGGCGTTGAGCAGGCCCTTTTCTGGTGCTTCGCCCGGATGGACGTATGCGGTGGTCTCATTTCATCCGTGAAAACTCTGATCCCGGTAAATCACTGGGCGTCACAGATCGATGTCGATGCGGACGTCGGATTATTCCTCTCCAACCCTGGCCACGACATGTGGGCAAATTATGCAGTCTACATTTGCGCCCAGGTTCTCGATCTTCTGGCTCCACTGGCCAAGGCGAACCCGGGTGGGCTCTTCTTTGACGGGCCTAGAAATGACATGAGATACCGAGTGCGGTGGATGAAGCTCTGGAAATACGTCGAGGACTGGCACAGCCGTCGGCCTTCCGAGATGCAGCACATCATGTCCATTCCTTCCTCCGACACGGAACCCTTTCCCAAAATCCTTTACAGCAACCCGGCTGCAATATCGGGCAACCAATTATACCACACAGCATCGCTCCTCATGTTACAAAATAGGCCAGCCTCGCTCCGATTATCGCCGAGGCCTCGGTCAGCGCTTTGGCATGCCAGACAAATATGCGGAATATCAATGACTAATCACCACCACGGGGCCTGGACAAACAGCGTGCAGCCCCTCTGGATAGCGGGACGTTGCATGAGCCACCCGGCGGAACACCGAGCAATACTACAGCTCCTGGAAAAGATCGAGAAGGAAAGCGGATGGGGCACTAAGTGGAGGGCGGATGACCTGAAGGAGTTTTGGGGGGACTTGGGAGACGGTTAGTATTGCGGCTATTTTTTCCAATTTCTTTTTCCTCTTTTGTCATTTTGCGAAGCAGGACAAGGGGAGGAAATATTTCTCTGTTCAGATGTGAAAGTAAGTTTGCTCTGACACTATCTTTGTGTGAGTAGCTCCAGCCGCTCGGGAAGGAGTTGGCGCAACGCGACCTCAACGCCACGCGTCGATATTCAATATCGGCTCTAGTATCGATACAACAAGTCTATGATACCAGTACAAGCCCTAAATCCGCATGGCAAAAATACTACCGTCGCTAAAGCGACAGGAACCCGGTCTAATGGTTCAGCACATGGTCTCCGAGAGGTTGAATTTCCGAGATTAGCATCAAAAATTATGGTCTGGGCCCCGCAAGCAAACAAAAGTCAACAACACCTGACATCACACTCACCGTCCAGCCTGTCCAAAGGGGGAGCAGCAGCCCCATGGGACGAGATTAGCGGCCCCAGAAGACGGATGATGAGCGACCAAGGAGGAGGGGGGAGGGGGAAGCGTGGGTGGAGATTTCCCCCACCCCCCTTCTTTAATGTTTTCCCCCCCTAAGGACTGACCCCCGTGAGTTGTGAGGAGTATATACATGACAAAGTGAACAAGATTCTACGGGTGACTGACGGCAGGCGGAAGGCCTAGCGCTGCGGCGTTCATGCGGGATTGCGGAGGAGGAAAACAAGGGACCGGCCGGGGTTGGGTGACGGGGATGACCTCATTTCACTTCCTCGTTACCATTTTGGGAGTGGTTCGACGGGAACAAGTTCCTCCTCTTCTTTTTTTCCCTCTGCCTCGGCCTTGTAACCCGCTAGGAACGGGTTGAAACGGAACTGGACTCAGCGAGGGGCAGTTCGAGGCGCATTTCACGATGGAAGTAGGGATTGAAGGTTGGCGCGTTCTGAGGGATGTCCTACATGGCCATGTTCCATTGATGCGGAATAACAACTGCGACCTATCGGTTGTTGTTTGTCCGGGCATTAAGCAATACCCGCAAGTACCATCGCAAGAGTTTGATTTACCCAGGGAGCATAACCTCCTAATACTTGATCGGCGTCAATAGGCGAGCAGATCGGTACCAGTCCGCCAAGGTTGTTGTTGGGTAATCGGATGCTTGTTTGTGCGGCAGAGGCATGGCATCGCCTGTGGCAAGTTCAGCCGCAACCCTGGCTCGTGCGCTTGAAATGGCGCATGGAATCCCCTCTTTTGCAGTTTTCTTTTTTCCCGGAAAGCTGGGGAAAGTGAGCAATCACAGACAAACAATGACACTACCAACAGGCCATGTTGATCGGTGGTTGACTGGCGATTGACGCTACTTCGGAGGGGGCCGGAGCGGTGCGGCAGGTGGAAGCCGTCCGTCAGTGGCTTAAAACAAGCCTCAGCGCTTTCAACTTCCTTGATTCGTCCCCAAAGGGCAGCCCGACGCCCCCCATCCCATGGCCCTAATTCGGCGATTTCAATCCTGGTCCCTGTCCGTTGCCGCATCGCCCCTCTCTTACCGGTATTGGGCCTCCGGATTCGCAGCCCGGACCTTGGCTATGACCCATGGTTAATGGCTAGGGTCGCCAAGGACTTGGATGGCAGGTAACCGGCACTAGGCCACAAACCGCGGGGGGCCATCCATCATTATGAAAGCTGCTTGCTGCTACAGAGGGTAGAATAGACTCGTAAACATTCTACGTAGTAAGGAAAGAAAAAAAAAAAAAACTCTTCCGTCCCGCATCCCGGAGTCTCACGACTAGGCCATAGGTAACCCCCTCCGTACGAGTCAGGTTTTTGGTGCAAGTTCGCCCATACAGCGCCTCCAACTGCCCACTACAATCCAAAAACAGAATTACCACCAGAGGACAGTCTTCCTCGTCTCCCACTTTTACATGTTACTCGTTGAGGTGGTTCTTCATTACCTCCGCGCTGGGGTCCCCGCACTCGTTCCTGTGGAGAGGGGGGCCCGCCTCTCCAAGGTTGTTGAAGATGCAGCATTTGACACAGTTCCCCAAGGTTTTTTTTGCAGCAGCCCAAATGACGTTGGTACTTGTTGTGTCGAACCGGCACCAGTGATTAGACGAGGCGGGAAATAAGCAGTAGCGGCTAAGTTGTTACTCTCTTTTTTTTATTATTATTTTTTTTTAACCTTCTCACAACACCAACGTTACATGCGATGGTCTGAAACTTGTACATATAGAACCACATCCTCCCCTCCACCCCCCCTTCTCATGCATTCATCTCATCGTGAAAGGGAGTTTTTTTTCTTTCTTCTGTTTGTGACTCAGTCAACTCGACCCTCTTCTGGATCCTCTCATCGGTCCACGATTCATTCATCGTGAGAGACTGAAGAGATCTCAACGTCACACTCCTTTTTTTTCCTTTTTTCTACATCTATCACCAAATCCCCAAAATCATGACTATCCTCACCGGACGCCCACTAAACTGGGCCATCACGGCCACGGCCGGCTCCGGCTTCCTCCTCTTCGGTTACGATCAGGGCGTCATGTCCGGCCTGCTGACCGGCTACGCCTTCACGCGGACGTTCCCCGAGATCGACACGACCAACGGCGGCGGCGGCAGCTCGTCGCTGCAGGGCACCGTCGTGGCCATCTACGAGATTGGATGTTTCTTCGGCGCCATCTTCTGTCTGCTCGTCGGTGAAAGGCTCGGACGGAGGAAGTGCATCATGATTGGCTGCGTCGTGCTGAGCATCGGTGCCGCGCTGCAGGCTGCTTCTTTTGGTATTCCTCAGATGATTGTTGGTCGTATCGTTGCTGGTCTCGGCAACGGCATGAATACTAGTACTATTCGTAAGTGGCTCTCGGGAAAGATGAGTATGTTACAGGATTACTGACGCGTAAAATTAGCCGTCTGGCATTCCGAATTGATGAAGGCAAACAACAGAGGTAAAGGTCTGGCCATCGAACTCGCCATCAACATCTTTGGCGTAGCGCTTTCGTACTGGGTGGATTACGGCATGAGCTACGTCGGAAACGACTCGCAGTTCCGGTTCCCCCTCGCCCTGCAGATCCTCTTCGCCATCGTCACCTTCTTCGGCGTGTTGGTCCTCCCCGAGTCCCCCCGTTGGCTCGTCGCCCACGACCGCCACGACGAGGCCCGCCACATCCTCTGGGCCGTCGAGAAGGACGCCCGCCTCATCACCGAGAACGACCCCAAGTTGCAGGCCAACCTGGCCGAGATCCAGGCCGCCATCCGCGAGGAGCGCGAGGCCGCCAACTCCGGCTCCTTCAAGATGATGTTCAAGAACGGCGACCAAAAGTTCTTTTACCGCACCATGCTCGGAATCGGCGGCCAGTTCATGCAGCAGCTGTCCGGCATCAACCTCATCACCTACTACGCCCCCGTCATCTTCCAGGAGTCCGTCGGCATGTCCCACAACCTCTCCCTCCTCCTGGCCGGTTTCAACGGCATCGCCTACTTCCTCTCTTCTCTCATCCCCATCTGGATCATCGACCGCCTCGGCCGCCGCAAGCTCATGCTCTTCGCCGCCGCGGGCCAATGCGCGTGCATGGCCGTCCTCGCCGGGACCGTCTCCAACGGCAGCGTGCCCGCGGGCATCGTCGCCATCGTCATGCTCTTCCTCTTCAACTTCTTCTTCGCGGTGGGCCTCCTCGCCATCCCCTGGCTCCTGCCCGCCGAGTACGCCCCCCTCGCCATCCGCACGCGCGCCGCCGCGCTCGCCACGGCCTCCAACTGGATCTTCACCTTCCTCGTCGTCGAAATCACCCCCGTCAGCATCAACAACATCGGCTGGCGCACCTACGTGTACTTTTGCGTCTTCAACGCCTTCTTCATCCCCCTTATTTGGTTCTTTTACCCGGAGACGCAGAACCTCAGCCTCGAGCAGATCGACCGCCTGTTCACGGGCGGAAAGGTCCAGTTGCACTGGAACTCGAATATGGGTACCCCCGGCGACAACTTGCACGGGGTCAGCGAGAAGGATTCCGAGTCCGCGTCAGGAGAGGTGCTTCGCGTGGAGAATAAGGAGTATTCTCACTAGGTTGGGTTTTTGTGTTAGTATGTGGAGGGGGCCTTTTTTTTCTTTTGGCTCCAGAGTTGATTTATGATATCCAACGGTTTTGAGGGCCGTGAAATTAACGCCGTGGGCGTTGTATGTGGAGAAGTGTGTGAATGGTAACTTTAATAGCAATTTGTTACACTTTGTCCAAGGTTATCTGATGTGGTGAAAGAGAGATTCTTCGGTTGTGTGGTGAAGATGCTGTCTGCGGAACTGAGAGCTGTAAAAGTGAGAGAGTTAAAAGTGGCTGGAAGATATATAACTATTCCAGTCGCCCGTCCAGGGTATTGAGGCTCGTCAACGTATGAGAGGCCTAATGTGAGCAACAGACAGCGGAGCACTTCAACCCGGATTCTCCGACTACTGCAGCAATAACTCCTGTCACTCTATGCATGCATGCTACTCACAGACCACTACTCATTACACTATACATATATCCTTCAGCTCATCGTTATTATCCGACCACAGCTCCCCCTCCATCGCCCCTGAAACCACTGCCGGCCCTACAAGCCGATATCCCCCGTTGACGCCGCGGGGCCTCAAAACAAACGGTCTATCGAGTCCGGAAATCAAAAACACCCCATCTCCTTCCAATATCTCTGGTGTCCCTAATCCAGCGCGGTGATCCGACGTGAAGAAAAGCCGTCCGTTGCCGATTGCATGTCGGCATGTTAGTGAAAACATACGGTCTTTGAGCAAAAGCTGGTAAACGTCCTGGGCGCTGCTTCCTGATTCCAAGGGCGGTATTGACGCTTGATCTCGCCGGCGTGCCTTTATGGCGGTCTGTAAGAGATCGTATAGTGATTGGCCCATCGCGATCTCTAGCTGGTCGTCTGTTCCAACCTCTCGAGCGACGTTCGCTACGAAAATTCTTATGGCCTCCTCGTGCTGACGAACGATACGGTGCCTAACCACGCGATCGACTCTCCGCTCCCCGCCGTTGACCCTTTCGGCAGCGTCATCAACTTGACTGATGGGCTGCCGATCGGAACCGTCAAAACGTTGTGGAGGTAAATAGCCGCTTATTAGACCTCCTACTTGGCCTATTTGTATCCCGCGTACATGGAGAACAAGACCATCATCTGAGAAACAAGCCAAACATTGGCTTTCTCTAGACGCTGCATGATACTCCCATATGGCCATCTCGTGTGACCCCCGATTGAACCTCTTGACTGTGCTAGAACTCGTTCTCGCAAAGTCAATGGCCCAAGACGGCAACAGCCCTGGCTCGTCGAGGTTCGGCGTCTTCTCCCAGCACGCGAGGTATAAAAAGTCGAGTTTACCACCTTTTTCGATAAACAACCTCGACGCGTCCGAGAAAATGCGCCAGATGGGCTGGTCGTAGTCAACTACAAGCTCGTCCAGTAACTCGGAGAATATGGCTTTGAGCGCGAAAGCCTTGTCTCGGACCTCGGACGCCTCCATTTCAATGGTCGACTCCAGTACAGAGATCGATGCCAGCTCTATGTCATTGGTAACCTTGGGATAGAAGTCTTGACGACGACGATGGTTGTATATGGAAAAGTGAGCCCAGAGGCCTTGCTTGATTGGCTCGGACGAGGCACCCGACGTCGGGTCACGGTGCATGAGCAGTTCCATGAGGTGGAGGAACGAGACAACGCGCGAGTTGCGGCAAAGCACGGAGACGTCTAGGTTTGCAAACTCTTGGAGAGTCCACATACGGGCCCAGTAAGTGCTTGTCGTTAATTGACGTAACGCGCTGAAGTAGTAACCTTTTTCATGTTAGATTCATCCCAGTTCATGGAATATTAGTGAATTGCCGAGGAGTTTGCGAGAAGTATCTCACCTTTCTGGCCCATCTTTTCTACTTTCTTGAGAAAGTCCTTGTATCTGTCCGAAATCAAGATCCGGACCGGAACGTAACTCCAGGGCACTGAACAAATCAATGCGCGTATGTTTGGGGGTGCTCCCTCGTCTCCCAACCAAACCACAACCCTCTTTGCTTGTCGATAAATCTCAGCCATCATCGCAACCTGAGTGCTTTTGTCGCTATTTGATGCCTGGTCGATACAGATGGCGTCAATCCAGATCACCAGTGTCTTGCGTCTTCTGATCCTTCTATGTAGGGACTTTCGAAGTATTCTCAAAGCAGCAGCACAGTTCGGCGTGATCAAGAGCTGTCCGAGTGCTGAGCTGGTTACGCTGGCACTGGTAGATTTACCGTTGGCGTCACAAATGGTGAGCGGCACACTCGGCGTTTCTCCATTCCAAGTGTAGGAAAGGGCGAAATATTCAGGCGGATCATCCACGTTTATTTCAAGCAAGTGGCAGCTGAGAGGACATGACTGGTCTTTGCTCCCGCCAAGATGTACTACCACGAGACGCGTGCATCTTGGGCCGGATAGGGGCGAGTATTGGTAGGGAGTTGGGCGCTCCATTGTGTCCACCAAGGTTTTTGAAAGTTTCTTGCTGCCCTGGCGGCTGTTTGAAAGCCTCCCGAGGACTTTAAAGTCATGAAATCCGGTAGTTGAAGTGGGACATGAGTATCTTTCCATGATTTAGAGACGCAATTGCCAAGAGATGAGGATGGGTCGTAGACAAAATCTCCAGCTGAACCCAAAAAGCAATGTATGTCAGCGCGGCGCAGCAAACCCATGAATGGCCAAATTAGCCAATGGTCATGAAGCTCGCTTCTCGTTAACATACTAATCCCAATAAGCTCTTAGCGTATATCTGCCTATGCCAGCTGCTGTGCTCACGGGAGCTTTTTCTACAGATAGGAGCACGATCACTGCGGCGGCTAGGTGCAAGTATAAAAACAAATCATTTGCCTAAATATACATCCAGCGCCAGGTATTGTCATTGGATCACTGTAAGGGCTCCAGGCTCTGCTGAGAGGCTACTAGGAAAGACTTTGAAGCCCAACATCCAGGGCTCAGTGCTTACGCCACGATGTAACCAGCCTGTGGCTAAGCGACTTCAAATACTCACACTGCTTCAAGGGTCAGCAAGTCCCTTGCAACCTGTTGATAACTGACAGTAGGGAGAAATCGCGTGTGGATGCTAGTTTTCAGTCAGAGGTTCTGCGCCGTTGGCAAGCTCTGAATATGTATCATCCTATGAGGCGCATTTTGCACTGGATGAGAAATGCAGACTGATACCTGTAAAAATACAACGGATGCCATTTGGTCTACATTGCAGTTCCTGCGCTATTACAACTTGCTCTCCTTCCAAACCGGCTTTCTCTTTTCGACAAAACTTTTGACACCCTCCGTCATGTTCTCGCCAGCCTCCATCTTGCGGTATATCGTGCGGTCGATCATGGCGGTAGCCTCCTCGGGTCCCAGCGGCTCCCATCCAGTCTTAAGTCCTTCGCGCGACACGATGACAGAATCAGGCGAGTTCCTAGCAATTGCCTCTGCGGCAGACAGCGCGGTATCCAACAGCCTTTCAGGCTCCACGACTTGATTCACAAGGCCCCACGACAGCATCTGTTCAGGGGTGTAGTCCGACCGTCCAATCAACGCCATCTCGGTCGCGCGCTGGCGGCCGACAGCCTTGATGAGCCGTGGCAGGGCACCCGCAATGGCGACGACGCCGATAGTGACCTCCGGTAACCCAAACTTAGCCTTGGTGGAAGCGTATACAAGGTCCGCATTGATGATCATCTCCATTCCGCCACCCAAGCAGAGCCCGTTGACGGCCACGATGACGGGCTTCTTCCCGCCCCTGTTTGACAGACCGCCGAAACCTGCGGGCCTCATGTTGGAGTCAGCATTCGAGGACATGACGGGGGGCGGTGGAGCGGCCGTAGCTGCGCCCGCACCCGTGCCCGTAGTGACCGAGGACTGTGCCACAGAGTTGGCGGAGGCGTTCCGCACATTCCATTCCTTCAGGTCCGCGCCAGCGCAAAAGGCGCGCCCCGTGCCGGTGAGTACGGCACACCGGAGGGATGGCTCCGCGTCGTACCACTCATACAGACGCGCGAGAGCGTGATGGAGCTCCGAGTAGATGGAGTTGAGGTGGCGGGGCCTATTAAGGGTGATTTGAAGGATGTGGGGGCGTGGGAAGGTGACGTCCGTGTCTGGCACGGGAGGAGGATGGGATTTGAGGTTAGGGGCTTGAGAAGACATTGCAATGTTGATGGTTCGATTCAACGTGATAGTCGATGTTGGGGGTGCAGGCGGAGGGATCAGGGTACAATCTCGCCAGTGTGTCTGTCTCGGACGCGTCGGCTCGTCGCTATTGGATCTCACAATACAAGTGCGAGAAGTGAACGATAAACTAAATGCCAATTGGGATCACTGAGAGCTAGAACTGGTGGGGATTAATAAGTGTTGGTAAAAGTTGATGAATTAATGAGGTTGGGGCAGTCCGGGGTAAAGTGGTGATGCACTCCGGGCAATTGGCAATTTGCCTCGGCTTGTTCTGTGTAATCGGGAATCATTTCCGTGCGGGGCACACCGAGCTCGGTGTAGCTCGGTGACCAACTGCCGAGGTATGTCACTAGAGTCTCACTTCTGGGACCGGCTGAGACCAGCAGTATATAAACACCAATTTTATCTACACAGTATTAAATCTAGACTAAAAATTGTGTCATATTCAATTGATGGCGTCGTCAAGTTCACTGGCCTGGTAGCGGGTGACTGACCGCTTGGACGTGTGACACGGCTGTCATCTCTTTGGCCATACTTTCCAAGCTGTCTATCTTGCTGGCAGAAATACCGATAGACTATGAAAGATGTCATCACTTCAAACTAACTGGAACCGCATTCATTGCAACTATCTATCAAGTGGTATTAATTCTAATTTGAATACAGACGTGTGGGTTGGACCCAATTCATACATTACTTTTATACTTCTGTTGCTGTGGGTATAGCATCTTCACCACACAGATGTAAGTAGTTCTTTTAAGCTGGTAACCTAAGCTACCGCTGTTTTGAAGACTGAATTGACCCTCAGTCGAGCTCTAACTATCTAGGCTTTCCTACTCTTGCATATAACGCACAGGTCTTGCTACTATTGTAACAGGATTAGGACTCCTATGGGGTTTTGATTAGAAGGCCGCGGTGGTTTTCTCGAGGTGCCCAAAAAGTAATATATCCTATTAGAGGATTAAAACAGATGTTTATTGTTGAGTCATGAATGAGGGAAGTCCTGGTAGATATGAGGGCTGAAGCTGTTGCGGACGTCATAACCGCCTGGCTGCCCGTCACGAGCGCAGCCGGCAACCGGTATTCTCGCGGCTACGGAACCATTTCAACCCGGATTTCCGACTGTTGCAATAGTAGTAGTCAATCAAAACATTAGTAAACGCCAGGCTGGTGGGGAATCCTTGCCATTGAAGTTGCACTTGCGCGGGTTCCTGATCTATTCCCCGAATGCCCCAGAATTCTTTTGCACGACCACAGTTGATGCAAAGTAAGGTATTTTAGCTTAGAAATGATTTTCCATTGGCAGATACGGAAGGTAAGCACTGGTACGCCCGTTCAACAAAGTCGATCTTTAGCGTCACGGTGGCGCTGCACTAGATCCGGCGATTGAGTAAAATTCGATTCCTGACCGATTTGTAATAACAGTAACAGATGGTTTCTGGACAAAGCAACATACATATCTACCTGTCAATGCTTTTACCTCCCTGTCGATTTCCTGCAATCGCTTCTGTCTAGGTCTCCAAACAATGTCCATCTCCTCGCATTTTGCTAATAGGTGAGAAACTGTCGACGGCTTGAAGAAATCTGACTAAATTTCGACAGGCCGCGCGATCAGCAGACCGCAGGCTGGACTGAACTCTGGGATAGCAACGAAAATCACCTCTGGGACCGTGGAGGACCTTCGGAGGCTTTGATCGATTGGTTAAACTCAAAGCCCGCATCACTGCCGGTGGCCGAACCTGGAACGAAACTGAGAGCTCTCGTACCAGTAAGTGTCATTTTAAAACCAAGAGCATTTAATATTGTCCTTGGAGCGGCTGCTGAATATTTTGTAAGGGATGCGGCCAGGGATACGACGTTGCTATGCTAGCACTTAACGGATTCGATGTCTATGGCATCGAAGTGTCCGAAACCGGCTGTAAAACAGCGCGCGACTACGTCAACGCCGAGCTACAAAACCCACGTCCATCTAACTTTGCTGTCCCCGAATCTCAGAATAGTTCTATTCTTGGCAGTGCTAGGATTATTCAAGGGGATTTCTTTTCTCACGATTGGGAGGAGGCTTGCAGTGGCGGTGGGTTCGACCTGATATATGACTATACGGTAAGCTCTCGTCGATGAGAGTTTGTTTTCACAGCAGCCCGTTAAATGAATAATTATAGTTCCTATGCGCTTTACCGCCGGATTTTCGTGTCGACTGGGCACGTCGTATGGGGCAACTTCTGTCAGAAAAAGGGGTTCTCGTATGCCTCGAATTTCCCTTGCAAAAAGCTTTGGACGCTCCTGGCCCGCCATGGGGTTTGCAAGGGGTGTATTGGGATTTGCTTGCGGAGGGCGGAAATGGTGTTTTGACCAACGATGAGCCGAAAATCAAGGACAAGGACAGGTTATTTCAGAGGGTTGCGTATTTTCGGCCAGAGCGGTCGCATTCGTTTGACAAGGGTACCGACATGATGAGTGTATGGACGAGATATGATAGTTTTTGAGATAATAGAAATTACTACTGCTAGAGGATATTCTGAACAGCACAAGAGTACTGAGGATTTTTTGATGGTAGAAAAGCAGACCAGCCTATCGAGTGCCAGATGGCAATAGGTAAAGGCTGATTCATTTGAAGGTCTATCTTTCTCTAATCGCGAACGACATAATGCTCATCGTAGAACAAAAGTTTAGGGTCTCAGGGTGGGATCGAATTCACTAGGAGTACTATGCGTGAGAAAGAAGTGTTGGAAGGAAAGTGGTCGCCAAACAAACATTTCTAAATACGGCAAGCTGTGTGTGGTTTTCGACCTTGACGTTATGACTAGGATGATACGTGATATTATGAACCTGGAGGGGAAAATAACTGAATTCTTTTCGAACCTTCGGGCATCACAACAGTCTGTTTACTTGAACCATGAGCCTCATCATGGCCAGGGCGGTTACCAAGAAGTGAAAAGCAAGTTTTCGGGCATGAGGTTACAATAAGAGATTATTGCTAGTCATATGGAGGAAGTGATGACTATTCTCAATCAACTAAGATTAGAAAGAAGGAAAGAATTACTATTAGAAAGCCTCTGGTGCCACATTTTCCAGCGGCATACAGCACCCAAACGACACGCATGCGGCATTACTAATTTGGATTGACCGCGTTGACTTGATCTAGAGCCCGACGACACGGTGGGCTATTGCGCCTGTACCTTATCCTATGGAACAGCATCTTCACGGCTTATCAATCTCTTCATTGTGTTTTGAATCCGAGAATGAATAAGCTGACGGATGTTTTTTGCCATTTTCATGAGGTGCAGCAATTAAACATCTCATGCTTCAAATCTATAAAAGATCTAGCAGGCTTCTTGTGTCTAGGACTGCCTTTGTAACGAATCAACCGATTATCACCAGTTTTGAAGACTTGACAATGAAAGTTGCTGTGCTTGGCGCAACCGGTGCCACCGGTTCATCTATCATAAATGCTCTTCTTGAAGCGGGGAGTTTTGTATGTGAAGTTATTCTACACTCGAGACTTGAGGCTGAAGCTTACAATAACTTTTAGTCCATAACGGCACTTGTTCGACCAGGCTCACTCGCCAGACAAGCCAACCGCGATCTGGAGGCCAAGGGCGTGACCATTTTGTCTTTTGATCTGTCAGCCCCTGTCGAGGAGTCGGCGCAGAAGCTTGAAGGCCATGATATTCTTCTTGCAGCTATTAGCATTCCGGCCACGGCAGAGCAGATTCCACTTGCCACAGTTGCGAAGGCTGCAGGAATCAAGCGATTCGTACCTTGCTTCTACGCACCTATTGCTCCTCCCAAGGGTGTTGTCGCTCTCCGAGATATCGTGAGTTTTGTAGTGGGCATTTTGTGAGTAGTATCAGCTGACTTCTTCTAGAAAGAAGATGTCTTGAACCACGTGAAGAAGATTCATTTACCCTATACAGCCATCGATATTGGCTGGTGGTTTCAATTCACACTCCCTCGTTTGCCATCCGGGCGGCTTGATGCATCAGTCAGCGGCCTGGTGAATGTGATCCCTGGGGATGGCAATGTCATCTCAGCTTTCACTGACAACCGAGATTTTGGCAAATATGTCGCACGCATTATTGCCGATCCGCGGACCTTGAACAAGCTTGTATTCGCCTTTTCTGAAATGAAGACCCTCAACCAGATTTACGACCTTCTGGAACGCCTCAGCGGCGAGAAAATTCCTCGTGAATATGTGAGTTTACCTGAAAAGGACTGAATCAATCAGATTTTAACGTTACGATAGTACGATGGGCATAAAATTCTAGCCAAACTGGCATCTTTGGGACCAGGTCCTATTGATCCAAACAGCGAAGATTATTTTACGCAGGCGGTTCATCAGTATTGGTACTCCTGGGCTGTGCGAGGTGACAACAATGTTGAATACGCACGTTACCTGGGATATCTTATAGGCCATGAGCTATACCTAGACATGAAGTTAACCTCGTTTGAGGACTACATTCGGGAGCTATTGGCATCGTCGTAGAGCATTAGTTTGCATAAGCTTTACACAAGCTAGGTGTAGAGTTACACTTTGATCTGAGTGCTAAATAAATTCAAAGTGCTAAATATGACCGCGGATCTTTTTTCAGTATGAAGCTAAGCTTGATGGATTCTCCTCGGCCCTTCGTGGCGGTGATAGTAGACGTAAGGAAGACTACGGCATGGCTAAGTCTAATGCTTTGATTTTTCGGGTCATCGCCGGCACCCTCGTTCTTGGAGTTTCACAGGCAGTCTTCATCGAAGGCCTCAATCGCAATATACTCGAGTGTGCATATGGGGTGACAACAGTTGAGGTTCCGAGTATCGGTACCTATAACCCCAAAAATGCGTTCCCTTGGAACCGTCACCTCCGCGCCTTCAAAGTGTACATGACAGGCATTGAGAACGCCTGTATAGCTACTGTACTAGCCGCTGTCACCATTGTCCTGCTTTTGGCTGAGAACCGTATGAAGCTACTCAAAGACACCTGAAGAGCTGAGATGAAAAGTCTAAAGCCAGAGTTGGGGATGAGAAAATTAGATTGACGACAATTTACCAAAGACATAATAGAATACCAGTCAATTAATCCATTTGATACGTTATGATACGGAATTCTGTTGGAATCGTAACAACAGCGAAGTAGAAATTGGGGTATCAACCCAGTGGTGTTGGTAGGTTTTGCTACGGACTTATACTTCCGTCATTTCCTTTGCTCCTACATCATCCAATGCACACTTGACGGGCAATTGTCTATGCATCTACCTCGTCTCAACACCTGCAACGGGGAAACACATCAGCCTCAAACCCACCAAAATAGAAGGGGGATTAGTAACAGGTCTCTGGGTCCTCGTCAGATATTACACCAGTGCGAGGGATTGATCATGAAGGCTAGTTTAACACTCAACCTCTGAACTATCATGCGACATGCTAATAGACGACGTCACAACTTCGTTCCTACAGTTTGTATATAAGACCAAAATATCCCTCACGGGGACTTATTGCACATCAGAAGCGATGCCATGCTGTAGCTGCAGCGGCAGCTTGTTGTTAAGGAACCGCCTTGCCGTAGGCGAGTAAGTTGAAAGGAAAGCGCTTCCAACGGCTCAGAGACAACCTCATAGGATGGGAATGTGCCTATTTTGCGGGCCAAATTTGAAAGACGATCTCTATAAGGCGGGCATGGATCAGTCTGGCAGTGGTAGGGCTTAGCCACGACAGCGGGAGAATTGAGCCGACAAAGATCATGACTCGTTACCAGGCACACACTGGCAGGGTTATCGGCAGAGGATTAGTTGTTTTACGCGGAATAAGATTAGGGAATACGGTCTTATGTCTAAGGGAGAATGAAGTCGGCAGCGGGGTGAATTGTGTCAGTTAACAGCATGAATTGATTGCAATGTGAGGCTCTTGAAATTCTATGGTACAAGATTAGCTCTTTGGTTACGTACTAAATTTCTTGGCACAGACTAAATATTTCCCTAATTGTAATAACAAGCTCGTCTAAACGGTTGTGTCTTTGAATACACCGGTGTTGAAAACTCAAGCGCTGTGTGAGGTTATTGACGTGCCTTAACGTTGAACTGCGAAGCAGGTTGTAAGAAGCGTCGCAGAAAGCCGGCCTTTGCTTTTGAGGAAGGTTTGCACGGGGGTTGTAGCAGAAAACCTGTCCAAGGATACGGTCGATGCACGGTCAAGTTCAGCCCACCAAGTCTCAATGTTTCATCATCGATACCTCGGTCTGATCTATGGCGATAAGATCAACTTAGCAGAGATCTCTCTAATCAGTTCACAATAGCATATATCTTCCGTTATTACTATCGTCTCAAATACAGATTTCCATATGGCTTTGAGCACGGCCAAACAGAACGATCTCACGCCCATAGTGCCTAATAACATTGATGAGTACTACTGGAGAATTCTGAACTATTTTCATGCTTGGCCACACTTTGCCGGCGGGCGCATATAATCATCAGAACGATGCAGCCGCTCCTGAGATTTCGGAGTCATTGCCTAGCAGGCCAAACACGAATGCATGAGTCTCGGAACTGTTGTAGACCTGGAATCTGCACACAAGTCCATGGCCAACGAACGGAGTATCCGGGTTCACCGGGAACAGGGGAAAGAGAGATAAACGTAAGAATGAGACGGAGTAAGCGGAGGGCGGACCATAAATTAGCCTAATCGTCCGAAAATCCCGAATCCGAACCAGTGGAACCATGTCTCCATACATTCTTAAGACGGAAGCCATCATGTCACGAAACTCCAACTTCTTGGCCAAAACTCGCTGCGTTGACTCGAGTACGTCGTACTAGACCCCTGACCGGGCAAACCCCAGCTGAACATCCATAAACACAACATTAAAAGCAACCAAAAACTCGAACTCATGGGTCCCATTGACATTTAACCTTTTTACACTCCGCCTCCTGCGAACCCCCTCAAGACACCACACCACATTCGCACCTTCAGGCAGGTGTCATCATTGTCGCAAGGCGCCTAAGCATCTTAAACTCTCTGCTCAAACATCAGACTGTCCCTTTCAAAATATCAGACAGCACTAATTCAAACCCGTTCACGAGTCAGGAGCAAGGAGAAACTTCGTCACAAGTGTGCGGACAGATGCAGTCTGAAGTTATGGACTCTATCTTCGGATGACATGGGACGGAGCCGACCGCCGGGGACAGCCGCAGAATCCGTTGTGTATATTTAAATGAAGAGGACACCACCGAAAACAGAAAATGAAATAGCTCATCACTTTCTCTCTGACAACTCGGTCTTAACTGTCTTTTTTTCCCATCACACTTTCCTTTCTTTTTTGCGCAGTGCCGGACACTTGCTCCTTCAGCATCCATTCGTTTACGCCAAGGGCACTTTTTAATCTATTTCATTCCCTAAATTCTTTCCAAAGTTAAAAAGTAGAAACAAAATGAAGCCCACTTTCATCACTCTCATTGGCCTTCTGGCTGCTTCGGTTGCTGCCGGTCCTCTTCCCGCTGATGTTGGTGCCGCCGTTGAAGCCAGGGGTGAGGGTAAGCAAGGCGGCCAGAATACCGGCAAGCAGGGAGGGAACAAGGGCGGCGACAAGGGAAATGCTCCCAAGAACGGCACGGCTAATGCCGGCGGCTCTGCTTCTGGCGGCGCTGGCGGCGGTGGTGGAGCCAAGGCTGGCAACACCTCAGCTCTTGTGTTGCCTGATGGGCGTATCGCGCAAGACGCAAAGGCAGAGAACTTCAATGTTCTTGCAAGCGTCTTCAAGAGTGCTGTTGTAAAGGGAGATGGTAAGTGAATCGGTCTCGGTAACCCAGATCTTTTGACTAACAACCCAATTAGGCCTGCAGTTCAGTGACATTATTACCTTCCCCGAAGTGGAGGCATCTCTGGTAAGTCGGGATAGTACTGCATTGTGATTAAGTCGTTCTCTAACAAACTTTAGTTCGACAAGGCTGCCAACACCAAGGCGTTCGCCATTAACATTGACGACAAGTCTGTGTTCATCCCAAAGGGCGGCGAGGCGCAGTCCAACATCCGTCGTGCCGACTTGCTCCCAAGCATTCGCTCTCAGCTCAATGATGTTGCCGTAACGGGTGTGCGCACCATGCACTTCTCCGTTCAGCGCGATGCCACCAAGCCCCTGAATGCGTCCCATGACTACCAGATCATGAACCTCGAGTCCAAAGACTTCAGCTTCCATCAATTTGATGTCCGCACAGGAGGGGAGAACAAGAATGACATCGCCATCTTCGGTAACGCCAAGAACCCCGCGGGACCTCAGAAACTCTTCTCCACTCCCTTTGGCGAGGGAAAGTTTGAGAACTTTGCGCTGAAGATGGATTTCAATGCCAAGTATGTCCTTCCATGACAATATGAAGGACACTGAACTGACTGTGTTGAACAGCACCCTTCAAGTCTTCCACAGCACTGGCAATGACCCCCTCAAGCAGGCCACCGAGCCTCTTCAAAATGGTAAGCTAGCTTCTAACACCTCGGGTGCTTGGCCAAGGGCTAATTGTGATAGATCTCGCTGGTCTGGGAGAATATCACTTCTCCCTGCAGAAGAACCCCGTCGGACAGGCCCAACAGCCCACTGGCATCAAGGAAGCGATCATCTTCGGTGGCATCTTCATGGAGGATTCTACCAATGGACAAGTCACTCTCCAGTAGACGTTTTGAAAAATCCGCGAAACTGGGGTGGTTAGCTACCAGAAGTGAGGATCTAAGGGTGCAGTGAGTGGCAAGGTTGCCGATCATGGCATAGTTTCTGGTTCGATGTGGGTGCAGCACCTACTAGGAGTCCCACAATAAAAGAAGAAACACTACAAAAATGAATGTCCGAACTTCAAGTTTATATTTGCTTGACGGGTACTTTCTTGAGTATGCCACCAGACGAGGACAGCTAGCCATCATTTGGCTAGTCAAGTGAAATATCCCCAAACCTCATCTACAATCCCACTTCGACTTTGTCATGGACAAACATGCTGACCATGGTTCAGTCATCCACCTATTCCCAAATTGGTTTTCCTTGCTTCCTCTTCAGGGTCCTGTCCCTACTTCTTGCAAACAATCTGCCCTTCAGAGTTGATCCAAAAGGAGTTCTTTGGCTCACGGGCCCCCTTTTCATCCCCACCAGCCCCGATTCTAACATCCACCTCCTTGTTGTCTTTGTTCTTGCATCTGCACTTCAGGTAAGGCTTAGAAGTCTTGTCGCCTCCCATATCTAACCCGCAGTTGGAGCAATGATCCCTGATCTTGTTGCGGTTCTCATTGTTCCATTGAAGAGTTGCTTTGTCGCGGTTATACACGAGACATTTATCGACATTGATTGAAGTTGGGTCTGTGTAGTCATCGTTGCCGTTCTTGCAGCATGCCTCGAAGAAGAAGTCGCCATTGTATGGGCCGACCTTGCCCTTGTAAGTACGGGCTTTTACGCAACGACCGCCAAAGATGTCGAAACGTCGGTTGGATCGGTTGGGGAACTCATCGAGTCTCTCGAGGCACTTGTTTGGCTGCTTGTCTGCGGGTACGGCGCCAGAAGGCGGAGGGACCTGTGGCCCTGCTATGGCGAGGCATGAGATGGCCAGGAGAACGAAGCCTTGCAGATACATGGTCGAGGTTGTTCTTTGTTGTGATTGTTGTTGTTGCTATTTGCACTGGGGCCTGGAATTCTGGTATGGTTTTGTGTGTGGATGGAGTAAGAAGTGTTCTGTTGCTGAAGCTATTTTCATCCAGAGTTGTTAGGGGTGGACGATTGCTCGATTTGGGTCTTCTGCGAAATAGCCTGATTAACATAGCTGCGCCACTTAATAAGGAGATAGGTTATCTTGATAGACTTTTGCGGAGATAGGTATGTGTTGGCTTTCTTGGTTCAATTGTTTTTCTACCATGACAAGAGAAAACTCAAAGATGGTGTGATACATCCCCAGAACATACCATTGCTCTCAAGTCAATTGCAGAAAAACCTCACAGTTAAAGGTGACATCAACGGGCAATTAAGTTCCTTAATACACTTAATACACTAAACCTATTTAATCGTGGTTCAAACGATAGCATAATCAAAAGTTTCTGGAGGACTGAAATTGAAAAAGTTCCTCGCAAGTTCCAGGACGCCTCTGCTTTGTCGGAGGTACTTCATTGCAGCCGTAGAGGTGGTGATTTTGACCCGGATCGGTGATTGGGAAAGAGAGACGACCGAAAGAAGGACGAAAAGCAAAAAGGGACAAGTGATTCGCGCATGAAGTACCTGAATTTTGCGCTCAATGGGCGACTTGATCATGTGGGTTGGAGCTGACACTCAACATGAGGACTTGGTCACCGCTGATAGTGAATGTGCAACGCAATTGACCAAGGCAAGCACAAAAGCCAAACATCTTTCCAATTTTCAGGTCAGTGAGCTATGCTAACCATGCTTTACTACCTCCGTTTGGCATGTTGCAGAAGAAGAAGGACGAGTGGGTCAGGACCGTTGGTCTTCGCATCGCATTCGAGTAACCTTTTGATATTGACGGGGGTTGACCACAGAACAGCCGAACCTTCAGTTGAACTTTCAATGACCTAGCGGAGAAGAACTTGAACTGTTATAAAAGGTACTCTATGGTCATTGATTCCTTGCAGTCTTTTCAGTTACTCAATCCCATCATCGAAATTCTGAATTCACTTTCACGGTCGAATCTCAGGTGTTCTCATAAATTTTTCCTTGCATCGGTTTGAATTCTTTGTTATCCAGTATGGTTTTAAACCAGGTTCTGAGGGGCTTATTCGCTCTAGCTTTGCTTGGGCTTAGTGGCGGCGCACACGCACAGGACCGATCTTCTTTCAAACCAGTTGAAGACTTCATTAGTATCCACGACCACGAAAATGTCACATCTTCCGAAGTCCACGATTGCTATATGAAGCCTATGAGTTCCGACAGTATGGCCAGAATGAACGAAATGCTCGAAACAACCAAGGTCACTTCGTCTGTGATGGGATATAATAGGAAGCAGCTGCCGAAGATAACTATTCCAGTGATCTTTCATGATTTTGGAGAGTCTAATGAAGACAAGCGTACTGTAAGTAGCAGTTTTTCAATTGTCTTTTAGTCTTGATTTGATCATAACTGTCAGCATGCGGTACCCTCTCCTCGAGGAAGGGAAAACATGCGACGGTAGATCTAGATCAGAAATGGGAGGTCGAAGATTAACATAATCGTAGGAAGGTATCCACAAGCAATTCAAAACCCTCCTCCAGGGTTTTGAACCATACAGCATCACCTTCGAACTGAAGGACATCATTCACTACAGCAATCCGGATTGGTCTACATGCGTGATACACGGAAGCTTTGGTTTCAAACACACAAAATGTGACGATGTGACGTACGAGTTCCATAAGGGGGACTTCAAGACATTGAATGTGTTTGTTCATCGAAACTTCAAGTCAAGGCAGCCACCGGGCGCGAGGATTCTTGGCGAGTCTTCTTTGCCTTACGACATACCCGCAAATGGACAGGATCAAGAGCACGGCGTACGAGCAGATGGCATAAGAATCCTGGACGTGACACTCGGAGACAAAAATGTCAAGTATCAGGGAAAGACTCTAACCCACGAGGTGGGACACTGGTTGGGGTTGCTTCATCCATTCCACCGCGAATGTCGCGATGGCGACGGGATCCCAGACACCGCTGTTACGACCTACAGGAATGGCGGATGCCCGGTTGGGGTGAAAAGCTGCGGCTTCGAAATACCGGTCGATAATCTCATGATGTATACCTCTGATGAGTGTAGGACTCGGTTTACGAGAGGACAAGCGTAAGTCTTCGTTTTGAAACTCAGGATTTTGAACAATCGCTGACCTAGTTCGGGAAGGGCTGTTATGCGCGAAGCGTGGTATCGCATTAGGACCAAGGTGCAATGGAAACCTCAATCCTCGTAGATTGGATTTCTCAGCCGTCGTCGAAGCCCGTCTTGAAAACGTCCGTAATGGTACCTTGGATGAATAGAATTTCCTTGGCACGGGCGGAATATGTGAAGCAGTCTTGAGTTTAGTGGCATAGAGGTTGAATAGCGAAATTTCTTCTATCCACCCATAGCTACATTATAATCGTTCAAAACATAGGCTCCAGCGATATGTGGAGCTGGTTGTGTAATATGATGCAGCCTATGACAGGAGATTATGTGACCGGTGTTCACATGTACAGCGCGTTTGAAGCCGGAGATCGTTACTAGAATCGGCAAGTATACCCTTCTGGGAGAGCTTCGACAACATGATCACAGTTTAAGCATTATCTGGCCACGTGCCGACATAAGCTAAATACTAGTAGTACTCACAGTGATTTACAGCCACAGTGTGGCGATGTGGCTTGGGGCAATAAAGACATTTCCGGCTCCAACCCAAATAGACTTCTCAAGCCCTTGTCTTGTCGCCGGCGGCGCCGTTACCAGTGATCTCATCACTAATAATACCACCTCTTCAGTACACCATGCTCTAAAAAAGATGGAAACACCAGCTAAAACCTGACCCGGCCTTCTAAGTATTCGCTGTTGTCTACTGAAATAGCATGTCGCCCAATCCAAAAACAATAGATGCAACCGGCAACTAGCTGATTATAGGGCCAGCCTGTAAAGCTGGCAGCGTAATGTGGCGGTGCGGCACCACCTGTATGAAGAGAGGCTGGAAATGCGCCGGCGGCCACGTCTTATCTAATTACCACCTATCTGTACTTGAAAGTGTAACGCACCGGACAAAAGGCAAAAGGGGTGTGATAGTTCAGCCCTGTTCGGCTCTCGTGGGCGCGCACGGCACTTTAATTGTACGTGTAGGCCAGACTGTTGCCCAGGATTGTTCACTACACTATCGCGACGAGTGCCGCATGTGTCAGCAATAACTGGGGGATGATGTTTGGAGATAAGTGGGACATATTCATGTGTCGATCCAGCCACGCGAAAACTGCAGTGGGACTCAGTATTGAGAGTTCGTTTTTTTTATTTTTATTTATTTATTTTCGATGGCTCTTATCTCGGTACGTTATCAGCCCCGCCGATCATCTTATCAGGAGGACGACATGAGACGATGGGATGAAGATGTACCGGTGGTAACTGCAGAAAGAAAGCTTGAGGAGGTAAAGTTCCGAAAATCGCAATTAGCGAGAAAAGTCGGATGCGAATTTGCACCTGAGCTGAGGTCATTTTTCGGTTTTTTCGCAATGGCGAAAACGCGTCGTGCAAGTTTGGCAGATGGATCCAATCCACAGGGTCGAGACCAGAGCACGCAACAGGCTTGACGTCAATCCTCCAGCGCCGTTGAGGGTCCTTTCTCCAGACTGACGACATGCTGACCATATTTCCATGGTATTAAACCTGGTGCCAAGGGTAAAACTGTTATTTTTCTTGCTAATGGGGGGCAAACAAAGTGACAAAAGAAGGGCCGACAAAAGCGCTACGCAAATACTAAAAGTTGTATCGTGAAATCGTTCGTCTTTGTCGGCTGTTTCTATGCCAGCAAATATCCCGAGGCTCAGGTTCAGCTTCAGGTTTAGGTTCGGGTCCAGGGTGCGATCCCAATCTGGCCATTTTTGTCATTCCCGCAAGTTGGTTGACTCGATGAGATCGAGTAATGGTTTTTTCCCAGTATGCGGGGTCATGGGGACGACGATAAGCTACCCCTGTCATTGTCAGCCAACTACTATGTGTATACTAACTTATCGTACACTATACTACATTGCCGTACCCGTCCCATGCCCCGACAGGCATCATTGAGGCATCTGTGCTTAATAGTGTACACAAACCATTCCTCGTCCGCCCATGGCCGCTACGAGCCTAAAGCACCTCCCCCCCAAATGATAAGACATCTCCTCGGACTGACCAATGGTAGTTACGGGATCCTGTCCAAAGGACCGAATCTCGCGGTTTCCGGTACCAGGGTTCGTTCTCTTACTCGATCAGATTTGACGTCCTTTCTCAACCTTCGAGAGCCACGACTGGCTGCTTGAGCATTTCATCAACTTGTAATCGCGGTGTGACCGGCACCACCCTTGTCCGGATGCGGACGATAGCTGTTCTTGTCTGCATGTCTTTGGTGTCCCATGCCTTGTCCTTTTCCCCCCAATCGTCCGTCTTCCCCCCTCCAGCGGGATAAGAATGCAGGCCAAGTGAGGAGAGCTTGAACCACCAGACACCATGTGGGGGTGTTCGATATGATTTCCCGGGCCCCATGCGTCGATACCCCTTTAACAGAGGAGTAACTGATTCGTTTTCGCCTTGGGACGACCGCTTGGCCAGGCTCACTTACATACCATGGCAGAGCGACACCGGCTCAGGGAACAAAAATAAATATCAGCCGATACCCAGCTTGTGTCGAGTCACTCAACTCGTTCCTAGTTTGAAGATCCTTTAGAGCGCGTTTCCCCTCAATTATCGCCCTTGGTATCGCCACTTTTCGGGGGTGTTCCGTCGCAGATCACATCCTTCGATACCTTACGGCCCGTATTTTTTCTTTGCCGTTCCTGGTTCACGTGCATAGCGTCATCGCAACGTGTGGCCGTTCGCATCCTAGTCTTTAAACGCCTGCAACCTCTCAAAGTCCACGCACTAGTTGCTTATTACTCGAGAGAAACTCCAACGTTTTATACATACATTCTTTATTTTTTCCCTCCTTTATCTCAACGTTCATCGGGGACCCAGAACCAGATCGTCGGGATGGACACTGCAACCACAACCGCTCGGCCGGAAAAGGCCCACGCCTCGAAATGGAGATATTGGGCTGATAGGCTCGCCGTGGAGGAGTCTGAACCCGGTCTGACCAGCACGCAGCTCATGGTATGATCTACCGGCTTTTGAAGCTCTCTACAAGTTCGAACTGGAAACTAACCGTCACGTGTTATAGCTGACAAATTATGACCTCAAACCGTAAGCATCTGGCCTGGCGATACCCAATGCCAAGGTTTTTGTCTTCCCAAATGGTTACTAACGTTTGAGCAGTGTTGAGCCCGAGAGACGGCAGTGGGGACCCTGGAATTTTGTGGGCTTTTGGGTTGCCGATTGCTTCAATGTCAACACATGGATGATTTCCTCGTCCATGGTCGTGGGCGGCCTTTCATGGTGGCAGTCCTGGCTATGCGTTTGGATTGGCTATGCCATCGCCGGTGCCTTTATCACCATGACTGGTCGCATCGGAGCCGTCTACCACATTGGATTCCCCGTCGTCAGCAGATCGTCCTTTGGTATTTGGGGTAGCTTGTGGCCTGTTTTCAACAGAGCTGCTATGGGTAAGTCCATTGGTTTGCGTACGAAATGTTGAAGGACTTTGCTAATTCATTGCCATTAGCTTGCATTTGGTATGGTGTTCAAGCTTACATTGGAGGCCACTGTGTTTATCTCATGATCCGCTCGATCTGGAAGTCTTGGGTAAGTGATGTCGGATACGCTCAGTATCTAATTCTTGTGCTAAAATTGTCCTAGGATCGCAACACCATTAACCCAGAGGGCTTCTCTGCGGACTCTGGCACATCCACGGCAGACTACGTCTCGTTTGTCATCTTTTGGCTCTGCTCTCTGCCTGCCATCTGGTTCCCTGTGCACAAGATCCGCCATCTGTTCACGGTCAAGTCATACGTGGCTCCGTGCGCCGGTATCGCGTTCTTGATCTGGGCCGTCGTCCGTGCCGGAGGAGTTGGCCCTATCGTCAACCAGCCTTCGAAGCTCCAGGGTGGCGATTTGGCTTGGGAGTTTGTCAAGGGCGTCATGTCTTCCATCGCTAACTTTGCCGCACTAATCATCAACGACCCCGACTTCTCTCGTTTTGCCGGCAAGCCTAGAGATGCGCTGTGGTCTCAGCTCTTCACGATCCCCGCTGGCTTCGCCTTCACCTCGTTTATCGGCATCATCGTCTCTTCCTCGTCAGCAGTGATTTACAACTTGGAAGACCCGATCTGGGATCCCTTGGAACTCCTCGAGAGATTCATCGATGACGGTGGATCTGCCCAACGATTCGGAGTCTTCATGATCTCGCTTTCATTTGCGCTGGCCCAGCTTGGTACGAACATTGCAGCGAACTCGGTTTCCGCCGGCACAGACATGACGGCTCTCCTCCCTCGATACCTGAATATCCGCCGCGGTGGATACATCTGCGCCGCAGTCGGTCTGGCCATGTGCCCGTACACGCTGCTTACCGACTCGAACCAGTTCACAACGTACCTCTCGGCATACAGCGTGTTCCTCAGCTCCATCGGCGGTGTCACCTGCTGCGATTACTACCTCGTCCGAAAGGGATACTTGGAGGTCAAGGAGCTTTACGACGGGCGCAAGTCTGGGCCGTACTACTTCACGTACGGCTTCCACTGGCGCGCTTATGCGGCCTACGTTGCGGGAATTCTCATCAACGTTGTGGGATTCGCCGGCGCCGTCGGCCGCGAGGTTCCAATTGGTGCTACGTACATCTACAACGTCAACTATTTCGCCGGCTTCATCATTGCCGGCGGCGTTTACTGGATTCTCTGCAAGATCTCTCCTATTCCTGCAACCAGCGACAGGTGGATGGAAGTGGGTGACGAGATTGACGATATGCGTGTTGCATACAACAACAACAGCCAGGATTTCGACGAGGAAGCCGTGACTGGCTCCTCCAAGGGCGTTGATGGTTCCAAGGTTAAATGAGGTCGGGATTGAGCGATTGTTTAATATGGAAGGGTTTGAAATTTGATTTATCTGATGATACCATAGTTTAGTATTGAAGGATGTGGATTCCTTTCTAACGAATGAAGTTCTATTGATAGTTAAAAGATTCAACATTTAAATAAGTGAGAATTGTTATTTGGTGAGAAGATCTTCACCTCATTGAACATCAATGTGTGAATAGTTAGTCTAGGTTATCTAAAATCAACTCTCACAGTATGATAAGCACAGAGAGTAAGGCGAATATCCGGAATAAACATACCGTGTGACTGATGAATACACACTATTGTACCCAGTGGGTGCAGGCCATAGTGCAGTGGAGACCCGGCAGGCCAACTTCCGTCTCACAAACTACCTTGCACATAATGAAGCTCATCAACGTGCGTACCCTAGCCATAGAAGCTTTCAATGCCGGAGACGAAGTGCCGAGATATGCGATCCTTTCCCATACCTGGGGTAACGACGAAACCAGCTTCCAAGAATGGACCGCCAATCTCAATAACCCCTCTCCCGAGTTTGTGGAGAAAGGCGGGTACTTGAAGATCATCAACGCCTGCTCCAAGACGCGCGACGACAGGGTACCCTATCTCTGGGTCGACACCGTCTGCATCGACAAGACGAGCAGCGCAGAGCTGTCCGAGGCCATCAATTCCATGTTTGCGTGGTATGAACGGGCCGCCGTCTGCATAGTCTACCTGGCCGACGTCGAATGGGAAGATGGCCTCGTTGACAAGATCCACGCCAACAAGCATTCGACTTTTGGTTCTAGCCGGTGGTTCACTCGAGGTTGGACCTTGCAAGAGTTACTCGCGCCCCAAAAGGTCTTCTTCTTCACCAAGGAATGGGCGGAAATCGGGACAAAGGCCGAGTTGATGTTCAAGATCTCCAAAATCACCGGCATCGACGTGACGTATCTGACTGACACGCGCAAGATATGGTCGGCTAGTATCTCTGCGCGGATGAGCTGGGTGTCGAAGCGACACACGACGCGGCTGGAAGACATGGCGTATTGCCTACTGGGCATTTTCGATATCAACATGCCTTTGCTCTATGGGGAGGGGTCAAGAGCGTTTCTTCGTCTGCAGGAGGAAATCATCAAGTCCTCCGACGACCATACGATATTCTGCTGGGCTTGGGATCCGGATAAGGTGCCCGACCAATGGCAGAGTATCCTAGCGCCGTCGCCTTCAGTCTTTTCAAGTTCAGCTTCGTTCGTCGCCTCCCACAGGAATTTCGAAAGCACGCCGTACCAGGTCACCAACGTCGGCCTACGCATAAGACTGCCCGTGGTGGCCGCCGCCAACTGCCTCTGCGCAATGCTGTCAGTCATAAGCACCGACGACGCGGACCCGGAGCACAAGCGAATGATGTGCTTGCCGCTAATGGAGGAAGGCCGCATCCATCGACGGTGCCCGTTCCCCAGCCGCCCGTTTCCCGTCCACCGAAGCATGGTTTGCGACACAAAGGAAATGTATCTCTTGTACAAGATCTCGCGAAATACAGAGGACCTTATGCCGTGGCCGTACCGTCACCAGTTTGAGTATGGTTTCTACATAAGTATACTCGACGAGTCATTCTCAACGGATATGAACCGCCAACTCATCACGTCCATCGACTGCGTGGTGCCTCAGCACATGCAGACACCGACATCTCACATCTCACGGCCGGTGTACAGCGCTGTTGGGTTCCGATCTGCTCTGACGCATGCTTTCGAGGGGTTGATACTGAGGGTCGCCCACCAAGGCGTAAAGCACCATGTCTTGCTGTCCGTTAGCAAGCGAGGGAGCACGCATCAGTGGAACTGTGAGATTCTTAACTCGCCATATAAGGAGTACGACGTGCCAGCGTGGATCCGTGAGTTCAAGGACCCCATGAGTGGCTTAGGAAGAGAGCCCACCTGTACCTTACACACATCAGCTTCTAAAGGAGCGAATTCCAAAATACTCGTAGCCTTGGACCGAGAAGTCCGAGATGAAGCAGGACGACACGTCAGGATTGTTTATCTCGTGCTCGCTAACACGGGAGGTAGCAGTCAACGCATGGAAGACGTGTGGAGGAGGCTTCAGAACAGCTTTGGTAATGATGATGGGCAAAGGTTGTTCTCATAAACAGAAGACGTATGCTAATGTTGGCTCTGGAGACGCGAGCCAAAGCATCAAAGTAACTAGATGACCTAAAGCAACACCAACACTGTCGTGATGTTGGTTAATTAAGATAGACGATTAATGATGAACGGACGGCGCCGGTAGCAAAAACAGCGATCATTCAAGTGAAGCAACTGAGGAAATCGCGTGTTTAGCTCTTCTCTGTTGGTTTCGGTTGAAGAAATGCCGCCAATGCAGATGGGTCGACCAACCGAGAGCGTATTGTAGAGATTAATACATTCTTATCGACAGAAAAAACACTTGAAAAATTGATTTTAAGATTCTCTACATATTTGATTGCTATACGAATATGTGCAAGATGTAAAAGACGCTCTTAAGGACGCAAACGAGCATCCGACAAACTCCCCGACTGCAGATACTGAAACAGTCCCAATTTCAACGACCGAAGAGATATAATAGACTTGTGCCTACCTGAGTGAAGGGTAATGGGTAGGGATATGGAGCAGGTTGATGATGGAAAGCTGTTGCGATAACATCAATAAGTAACAGTGTATTAACAAAAGCACCGCTGTTCCATTCAATCGATATCAAGTGCCTTGTGTCGCCCAAACTCGCAAAGTTGAGCTGCACACGCCGCACACAAAGTCGAAATAGACAAGAATAATCTCAAATTCGATATCTATGAAACCTTGCATTTTAAGATGCATCCAAAGGCTCCAATCGTTCTATCTATGCATTTGCGCTACTTCACAGGCATCTGACTATCACAAGCGTCGCTTTCAAGGTCCTCGAGCTAGTCCTCAAAATCCCAAAGAGCCAAGGCAAGCCTTCAACGCCTCTTCCGCCGCTTGTCGCTGCTCAGCGATCTGGTCCTGCGTCAACTTCTTCAGAAACATGGGGTGCGCCAATCTGAATGGGCACAAGAGCTTTTCGAGCGTGCCAAGCTGAGCCAAAGCCGATATGCCAGTGATTGTGCTGGGCTTGAGCGTGCCTCTCTCCCCTAGCGCAGCGTCCCAGGCCTTAGCAGATGCCCATAATTCGCTGGCTTCCGCAGGCAGGTTGTCGGCATCGAAAGAGCCGGTTAGCAATGCCTTTGAAAGACGGCCTTCAGTCAAGTCGGGGCCATGACCTCCGCTGATATTTCCTCCGACGTCACCAAACGAGGTAACAAACTCTTGGAAGGGATGGGATATACAGGAGAAGTCGAAATCAACGAGACCCGTGACCTTGTTTGTTGCCGCATCAAAAAGAACGTTGTTCATGGCTAGGGCCGCAGTTAGCATTTAGACATTGCTAAGTGAGTTGCAAGTGACTTGAGGAGTGTGCTGGAAATGACTTACTCAAGTCTGCATGCACGAGAGAGCGAAGAGAAGTATCGACACTAGCACCTTTCAAGACGCTGTCAACACCCGCGGCAAAAAGCTTGTCGATTCTCTCTCTGACTCCGTTTGGCTTCCAACCCTGAAGCGCTGAGCTGCCCTCAGAATGCTCGAGTTGAGAGGCAAGTCGAGTGCTCCAAAACTCGCCGTACGTTTTCCACGGACCGCCTGACAAAGTTGTCATCTGGCCGTGCACCAGTTTGCCGTCCTGGATTGTGATACCCCCATACGAGTCGAGAGATTTAGGCAGAGGAGCACGCTGAATGCCGGAGAAAATATCTGCCAGCTGGCCCAAGACGTCGTTTTTCTGGGACCTATCCAGATGCTGGAAGGCTTTGTCGAGAGAAACGCCTGGCTTGAATTCCATGATTATCCATCCAAGGCGTCCTTCAGAGTCTGTGGATGATGGCTGCGCTGGTTGCCACGCATACACTGCGGGCACAGCGAAGACCGTGTCTGGCTTAAAGCCAGCAAGACCCTCGCGCGCTAGGTGGATAGCAGCCACCTCATTCTCAACGCGGTTACTGTGACTGAGGCCTTCTGCTGCGGGGTTGCTGAGTCTTATGATGAGTTCTGAAGGGCCCTCCCGAGGTAGTTCCGCCGTGTAAGGACCCGGGTTGAGAAACGCATCTTTAGCGGCTGGCTTTGCAAGCGAAACCTTGTAAATGAAATTGTTGTAAGGGAATGGCAAATTTTCTTCATAGTCCACAGGCGATATGTCTGTGGGCTATTACTCGTCAGGAAGTCAGTTATTGTCACGCTGTGAATGACCTGGCGGGATATGTTTTGGGAGGTTGAACCGACCTCGAGATTAAAACCCTGGAAGACCTGCTTCACCAAAGCGAGACGCTCTTCGTACTTTTCGTGGTTCATGATGGAAGAATTACTTGTTGGAGAGGAGATATCCGCAAGTCGTAGGAACTGTATTTTGTCAAGCGATGAAGAGTTATAACATGGTTTGAAGAAAGGCACTCCTCGGTGGACGCGTCAGACACAGCCGCCCACAGCAAGTTTAAAGTGGGCTTTTCGATTAAGGAAGGACCTACGGTGATACCATCTTGGCAGGTTGAACCAACAGAGATGGCATCATTGTTATTGGTCGACTGCCACCGCCTCAGTCGTGCATGTAGGATAAGCTGCTGTTGCCTACGAAAGCCGGTTACAAAAAGTTCTACCTGTCTACTCGGGTAGCATTTTCTGATCCAATGCCCAAATGGTGCTAGGGTAAGAATAGAACCCCTGGATCTTCTCTTTCCTCCAAGAAAATACCAAGATGCTGAAATCGCCTGATTTCTCTTGGACCAGGCCTTGTACCAAAAACATGACAGGGGTATTTCCGTCACACCTTGTCCCCGCTCCCCAATCCGAAGCTGCAACCATCCGATAACATTAACGACCGTTTTGGGAAGGGTGGAACAAGAACTTGCGGAAGATATCAACGTACCTTTCAGGTCCCTTCTCGACCCTTCATGTTGCAGTGACCTCGCTACAGCGAGCTGATTTGAGTCCACAGCAGCACGTGAGACACCGCTCCTGGATCAACCGGCTGGAAGGAAGAGTAGACACGCTTTTTGGAGCACAGGGTCCGGCCGAATAGGGCTCATTTCAATGTAACGCTACCACGTACAGACGGTTCCATTAGCCTTTCACAAGTGAACAAGTCTCTCGGCTGCAAAGAGCGTTGTCTTGGGATGAAGACAATGTTTTAGAATCACACCAGCAATTTCCTGTCTTCTTGGCCACAGTCGAGTGTCCATGCTTGCGTGATGAGATTTGTCCATGTGTGGTGTTTACAAATGGGCATGAATTGAAAGCAATATACCATTCTTGCAGGATGATGGACTACCTTACACTTTGTTGGGTTTTCAAAAGAAAAGACGAGGTGCTTCGCTAGGGGGCCTAAAACCACTGTAGCTATCTGCCTCCCGTTTCCATACTTGTAGAGCTCATAGGCCTCGCCAGGTCATCTAATGATCCTTTACATCCATGATCCTGAGCCCATTGTCAAACCATGTCAAAATTTCGACATTCATGCACACCGCTTTGTCTAAATGAATGGAAGTCATCCGTGACATCCAGCGTAAGGTCTATGTTACACATCAATGCCTGTCTAATCCAGTCGATACAGTGGTATCCTCGGTCATTGCGGAAGTTACCAACTAACGACTCTGGGCTCGCTCTCTAATCAGTAGTGGCTGAGGAGTTTCAGTGAGAATGAGAATACCATCTTCAGAAACCCCAAAACGTCCTCGTAAACGCAAGTGCTAGAACTTATAATTTCAGTTAGCAACCATCGATAATAGACGCTGTTCCTAAATCACAAGGGAATCAACTGGAAAAAAGAGATCTCCATTGACTGATTTTCGGCATCTGTCTCAAGCAAACGTCGGATGTTCTCATCTCTAGAGTTGTCTCAAGTGTACATCTTGGTGACCAAAAGTGATGCAATGAGAACAATTATTATTACTATAATACTCAACTCCGCCAAATTATATGTACTATGTACTATTACCCGGCTCTCCGTGTAGTTATTAGAAAGGAACCATGAATCTATCTGGATTGTACCTTGAGATTACTGCTGTCAGTATATTGTTTCTCCTCGCTTTCATAATCTCCAAGATCGTTGTGTCTCGTCGAGCGTGACGCAAGCAGAAGGGACAATTAGTTAGTAGCCGAGATCGTGCCGGGGTCGATCTGGGAGAGAGTGTAGCCGTAGCTCTGGGAGACAGAGTAGTAGTCAGAGCCCCTGTATTGTCCGTAGTTGGTGCTGTAGCTCTTGCTCCATGGCTTGGTGTACATGGAGCAGTAAGTTCCCTGGGGAACGCCGTTCTCGCTCAGAACATAGGAGTTGAAGAAGTTGCAGGCGTCGTAGGTGCCGTCAGCTCTGGGGTGGCGTCTGTCATAGGCAGTTGTGGCCTTGCAAGCGGCGGCACACAGACCAGGGTCGTAGACACCAGCATAGTACTTAACACCCATGTACGAGTTGGGAGCCTGGATAGCACCGCCGAAAGCAGTCGGGCCATCGAAGCCTTCCTCGGCAGGAGGAGCTGCGTTCTTGGCGTAACCTGTATGTTTCTTAGCATTTGCTCATTTGAAAATTGATCAGACACAATATGAAATAAAAAGCCATACCGTTAGAGCCACGGATACCAACGTGGAACTTGTTTCTCCATTGTCCAGTATTGGTTGCAGATGCCGCGGTGACTTGATAGCCCCAAAGAGTGCACTTATAGTTGGTGATGCTGGCGGGGTTGACGCAGGTGTTAGTCGGGGAGATCTTGGGGTCTCTCTCAAAGAAGATGTTGAAACCGTAGCAAACGGGAGCGGCGTCGCAGTACTAGACGGTGTTAACCACAATAACAGCTTCAATTTGCGTTCAACATACCTGTTGGCACTTGATCGTATCATAACTCTTCAGAGTATAGAGACCTTGGTAGCCTGAACCCTCAACAGAGCCTGTAAGGGCACCAAAAGCCTTGGTGTACCCAGGAGGCGTAATGGCTGAGTTAGCGACAGCGTCGAATTGAGGGTCCTGCATGAAGGTGGCATAGTCGTCAGGCGATGACACAGGTCCGTAGCCATCAGGCTCCTTCTTAGTGTAGTCGCAAGTCTCATCACGGGCCTTCAAGTTGCTAGACTTCACAGGGTTCACAACTGCATCCTCTGCCGCTGCCACCTTCTCTTCTGTCGGGCTGTAAGTCGGTGCTTCACTGCTAGCACCTACTTCCGGGCCAGTCTTGGTGACCTTAGGTTCCGCCTATAGATGCTATTAGTTTCCTGATAGAAGCCGATGTGGCTGAGCGACTCACATCGAAGGCGCTCAGGTCTATGCCGTTCTGGGCTGTGGCGTCGCGGGTGACAACGGGGTTGGCGGCGGACAGGCCAGCAATAGCGGCCAAAATAACGGCGGAACGCATTTTGAATCTGCTTTCTCAATGAATATTGCGGTTTGAAGAGCGAGGATGAAGTGGGACAGCCACAGGTACTGGCAACCAAGTGAATGATGCTTGAGATTATCGTGTGATGGACACTTTCGGATGGTGGTGATGGATTGGGACAAGAACGACGGGGACCAGGGAGGGTTTATATCCCCATTGCAACATACCTTGCCATCACCAAGGGGGGCCTGTATTGTGAATAGTGATATCCAGTACGTGCATCGAAATCTCCATGTCAACAACTCCAGGGGGCCTTCTGCGTAAGGACTAAACGATCTGTAGTTTAGCCCACCGGGGGTGCCGGCGGCGTGGTGGTTTCCTTATTCCAGTTCCAACTGTCCGTGTCTGTGCCCCCGCCAAGGCCTTTCAGCTCATGGGCTGGCGGCTTCTTCACCTTTTTCGTATCGGCTTCTAGCCGCATCTGTGGCATGGCTCTCTTTCCAGGCAGTTCCTTATCAGTCACCGCAAGCGCCTTTGAGCTTCTTCGAGAGAGCTTCAATTTACGAAGCTTTGTACTCACGAATCAATGAGATATCAATATCCTTCCGTACTTATTTCCAATGGATGTGAAGTCCTCAATACTCATACCCAGATAAAGCTCCGCCAAAGCCCACATAACAATAGTTAAATCAAAAGGTTCCTTCTCCTTGGAATCCGTTCCGTGTTCCTGGGCCTCCTAGCATGCCGAGTTCCCGGGAAAGGAGGCCAATGCGTGGATTCATCAGTGATTACGTCCAAGGGGTGTCGAGCTCACGTGGCCTATGGCGACCGGAGATTTCAGCATGAACAAAAGCTTAGCTTCTAGCAATCTGCAGGGGAGTGGGGTGATGTCGGGCAACAAGCTACTGTCAATAGTTGCTCGTCTTTGGTAGCTAGAAGCTAGCTTAGTTAACGGATTCGTGTACATATTAACCACCTTTGGCAACTAGAGCGGCTCGAGAATGCAGACCCTGACTAAAACGCCTATTTTGGCGCTGACCCATACAAATGGGGCTAAATGCGGCACAGATGCAGCGATATCGATTTTGTTCCTGGTCGAAAAAATACACAAACAAACATTACATCTGTTTCTCATTGGTGCAATTCCGTCACCACGTGGACTGCAGTCCAGCTATCATCGATGAGTTGCCGTTGTGATTGTCTTGATTGAAGCATGTGAAAGATAGACGAATTCCAACAATGCAGTTTCAAATACTGCTCTCAAAGCTTGAAATGGACGACAAAAGAAAGCGTGACGCTTTCTACAGGCAACAGTACACTAAAGTTTCTACTGAATGAGTCAATAATATTGAGGGGACATGGTACCTATGTCGATATCGCCTTTCAACTTAAAATATGGATTCGGAGGGAAGTGTGCATTCCGACCAGCAACTCAACTAAAATGGCCGAATCCTACAGTTTTGGCCCGATTAGAGGGCTTCACAGGCTGAATTGATTGGAGGCTAATACCTCCATTTACGACAATGTGAGGTGGAGACATGTGCCGGCGTCAGACCATTTATGCCCCTGTCCATAAGTCCGCATCCCCCGTATCTTACCATGGCGTCCCGGGGTCCAGCTGAGCTCGTCCTCGACGCTGTTGATGCATCAGCAAGGGTCTGAAAGAGGGAACCCCACCTCTTCCCACTTGGTGATCCTTAGTTTTCACAACAGGCTCTTGTTGTCGTCTTCAGATATAGCCAAAGCTATCCTGTTAATTATCAATAGTTAATGTCGTCAGCATTGGGGCGTGCGTAAAACGCCGGCGTTCAACGCATCCCGTGGGCGATTAGCAATGCTGCCTGGTCTTTACCACATTCATATTGAACGCATGTCTGAACTGCTGGACCAATTGTTTTGAGACACGAGGTTTGCGGGACACATTTTGGTGCACGGTACCAAATAGCAGGATCAGATATGTCTTGCTGAGGCTGGCTGAAATCCCAAGTGGTTGCCCTGCCTCGTTCTCTAGTCACCAACTCATATCTTATTTTCGACTCGCTCAGCAAGCAAGAATACTTTCACTTCCAATGGTACCCTCTTAGAGGTCTATCTGGCCCTTCCAAACTTCTAGCCAAAGGCGTCCTATGACAGTGAAAACAACCGATGACTGGCAAAACGAGAGTGGGTTCAAACACTCCTCCACAAACTCAAGCCAATAGTACACCAGTCTTCTCCTGATACTAATATGTTCGATGAAGATCGTAACTCGCCTTCAGAATAACCTGTTGTTATATGAGGCCTGAGTACCTTAGTACAAAATGTAGGCCAAACGCGAATCAAGCCGCAGCTAAAGATGAATCCAATTTCGTGAACATTTTTATCTGATGGAACTGTGAGGACATCCCGACAGTCTTTCTACAGGGACTAAAGAAATTTCCCCATGAATATTTCCATAATCTTCTTTTTGAACAGGGGGCCAAACCCAACGGATGTCCACTTGCTCCGCTTGCTTTCCAATGTCCAGAGGTAGCGCATAGCCGGAGGTGAGGGCTCGTAGTCCACTTGGTCCACTGTCTAGAACATATTTTTTTGCAATCTGGCAACCCTCTTTGGTTAGGTGTAAAGTAGGTGGGTTCGAGCTGGGCCCAAATTGTTTCCTCGCATTGGCCATGGTTGCGATGACGAAACAAACGAAAAGCCACAGGGGTAGAACTGGCCGACAAAGTCCAGAAGAGAGGTAGCTTTGATGTTGTGCAGTTTGCCGTACACCGCAAATCATGTCAAGAGTCGTTGTGGATTGCCTGTAGATGTGTAGGATTGGGCTGGTGTTAGTACCTACGCAAGGTATTCTATTTCGGGTACGAAGCGAACATCATGGCTAAGGAACGATTGTCTGCGAAGCAGACTTCTTTTTTCCTTTATGTCCATCGCTTCATCATAAGAGACAACATTTTCGTCTCAGGGCCCGAAGACCTTGAAAAAAAGGATCTTGTTGGGCGCTACTAGGCTCCAGGTACTTGAAATGTGTTTTTGAAGAAAAAAAGAAATCGACTGATAAGAACGCAAGCGAGCTTCTTTCCGGCCCATACCTCACGTCTCGAATAATTCGGATAAAATGCCCTGGTTTCTTGCTCGTGACCTACTTTTAGTCCACCAGCAGTCAATAAAGCAAGATGTCCTCAAATTGAGGCCAACTTACTGCAACCTCAAAACTATAACATTCCTCCACCCAGCAATGACTTCCACAGGACCTTCGAGTATAACAGGATAAGTTCACAGTTATGCTACCAAACGGCATGAAAGTTTGATTGTCTGTCAAGATTACTTTTATTCGATTATTATATCCGAGGCGAGAGGGTTGTTCCACCTCGAAATCTGACAAATTACCAAAGGGGGCGGGTATCGACGAGTTTCTATGCCCATACTTCCATTACATCCGATTCTATGCCCGAACGTAATCAGAGCTTCAAAAAAGGCATTCTCCAATGCGGGGAGGCAGTGTAGCAAGCCGCCTTTTAATCTTCTCTCAAGATGAGTTCAAGGTATCATGAACGATGTAATTTCTGGTACAGGCGGTTAGACAGTCCAGTTTTCTCTTTCTCTTATCCTGTAAGAGTATGTGATCAAACATGAATCAGATAGGCAATTTTACTTTTCTTAACTTCACAAACGAAGTTCGAAAATCCAAGACTGCTTCAACCCAAAAATATTACGTCTTCAGTGAGCTCATTACCGTAATCTTCAAGTTATGTTCTGAGAAATAATGAAGACGCTAGACATGACGAAAACCACCTCCGGTATTGATGGCACATTGTTCATTTAGCTGGCTGAGAAGGATGGCAGTCTCTGTTCATTCATTTTAGGGAGAAGGGAAACTGAGAGACAACATCGACATCGACAGTGATATAGCCAAGTAGGTGAAGCCCCGGGTGTCGTTCTCTCCATGACTCTGATTAACACTTCGCTTTCAAGAGCTCTTTCGATTGTAGCAGATTACCAAAAATTTCATCAATTGATAGTCATGTAACTTCCGGTGGTCGATGGCAGTAAGTCTTTCCAATGCTGTTACACGATTCTACGGAACAGTTCCTGGATTCTTTACAGTTGTTGCCATGAAACTGTTTCATGACGTAAATCAGAAAGACGAGGAAGTGGCTCGAAGTCTCTACCGCAAGATAAATCGGCCGAGGTTGCAGACGAACTTTCATTGAGGTCACTTGTTCATACTGCAACTGAGTCACTTGTTGAAGAAGCTCCTCGTATCTTTGGATTATCAACACCTAACCTACGGTACATATTCGTGGCTTTTCAGGTGGTAGATCGCAACATTGCACTTTATTTGACTAAACGGCAACGTCACCCTCGTGGATGAAACCACGAAGTACAACGCCAGACCGGAAAGCTGGTTCACAAATGACTAAGATAGGTTGATCATTGAACTATATGAAGTTGTAAATAGACGCTTAGGCGCTTATGCTAGCGCTACGTCAAGGAAGTCGGAGATTTTAGGGGGTTTTCAGGAGAAAGACAAATTTCTCTTTAAGGAAAAGAGCCTCAGCTAGAAGAAAGTACGTCAACCCGATTAGAGTCTATGCTTGATGACCGCCCAAACCATGGGAATGATGCCACATATTCGCAGTAGTATCTCCGGAAGTGCCCTTTTGAGACCACAAAAACTGGTCTCATTGGGCCCATCGGTGTTTTGCATGAGGACGGGGTACATAGTAAGCGTCCTGCAGACTCTCTAACGACCGACTAGAAGAGGATCGAGAAACTTCCTTCGCCATGCCAACGCTTTGTACTTGCTGATTGACGACAGCTGGACTGTTGCTCAGTAAGCTTCCCCAACTGCGCCCGGAAGTGATGGGCTTAGTTGACAGACCGAGTGCTGTCATACAATAGGCTCTATGCAAATTATGCAGAAACATCGTGATTTATTTGCCTCTAGCTGCGACTCCTGGGCTTCCAATGGATAAACCTTTGCCCCATCCATGGCCATGAAATAACAAACGGACCTACTAATACGCAAGAAGTAAATGCATTTCAAGTCCCTTCTTTAAGTATCTCAAGCTTGACACGAATTTATGCTTGTGAAATCCTGAAAAGATGATTACTGCTAAACTAGGAAGAGTGCGAGAGGCTTATGAAGAGCTGAAAAGTTACCTAACTTTGATATCTGGGATGCATTAGTCCACCTTAGCGATACAATCCCTCCGCAGCTAACACGTCTCGTTGAGATGTGTGCATATCTCTTTTTAGGGTAAACGTCACACTTAACAACCGTACATGATGTATGACTCTTGTGATAGTACGTCTGCTGAGCCTTGACCAGTTCTTTGGCTCATACTTTGCACATTAAACCTTTCTCGATATAAACAGAGCATAATGAGCCATACTAAGCTTCTTTCGGTTCAGTAACCACCCTTGGACGAAAGCGGCACACTCGGCTTCTGACCCGTCCGAAATAGAAACAAGTAAGCCGATAATTATACAAGTAGTTATGTTTTCCTCACAAAAAGGCATTTGCCGCTGAAAGCCTGGGACAAGAAGAGCAAACAAATCTCAGACGGCAAAGCGAAACGCCAAGGAGGACGGGCAGGCGGAGGACTACTAGGCGCAGTGCTTGGGGGTGGTCGGTGGCTTGCTTCAACCCCGCAAACCCCGCAAGTTTCCAAACCACCCAACAGGATGGGATCGAGGCGAACCTGGAGGGGGCCAGACAGGTCTGTAATGGTGTGGGTTCGCGGCAAATCGGTTCTGACTCGGCAAGAGAGGGGGAAAGCGAACATAAACGGTCTTGGTAAGTTAAAGATGGAGGGGTGAACAAGGCTTGGTCGACGTATCATACGATATGATTATGCTTGACGGGCAATCTGGTTGCTGACATCGGGACAAACCGTGTTGCCGGAACAATCAAATGGTACCTGGACAAGGAGAAGGAACGCTTGTTTTCGCTGGAGAACGGGAGACAGGCCGTAGCCCAACGACGCAAGGCTATGTTGCAACTGTGGCAGATGGCAGCAAATTCAGATGGGGAAACCAATAGAGTCTATGTGGTCCGGGTCAAGGATACGATTTAGTTATCAAATTGCAGATTCCAGTGATCTGCGGGGAAGCGTGCTGGTGTTGGTTTAGCTCTACCGCCGCCGCAACACTCAAAAACAAACAAGAAAACACAGCATAGTGTCGGGGCTGGTAAGCTGCTGCAGACCTCATAGTTTAGACGAGCGGAATGATGATGTGTAGTCAAGGGGTAGTCAATGTCGAGGACACCCCTTCGCGGAGAGATATTGCCTGTGTCACCGGGCCGGTTCACTGGTTACGTAGTAGGAGAGTTATAGCGCCTATGGCTAGGCAGATGGCTACTTGTCGAAGCACCCAATGCGAGCGACCAGTTACTAGCTGCCTGCCACCTATTTTGACAAGCTGAACCAACGAGGCCTAGAATGCGGCCACGGAAGGCATCCCGAAAACAAGTAACCAACCTGACAAAGGGAGATGGAGTCCTAGTATTTGGTTAATCGAATGCGACTGCACGCGCAGATGCAATCCTACGGTGTGCTGCACAGCTGTGCCGTCGCGTTCTGCTGGAGTTTCGGTTCCAGATCTGCGTAATGCTGGCTTGCCTTACTCAGGCCAACCAATCGTACGGAAGATGATTCAGAGAAGTGAAAAATTATCAGATCATATCCGACGACAGGGAGCAGGCCTCAAGAATTGGTGGTGTGCGACTACGTGGAGGGGCATGTAGAGAGGTCGAGGGAGAGGAGTCAGACGTCAGACTGGATGAAAGTGGGATCGACTGACACAAGGCCAAAAAGGTAAGCTGGATACAGGAATCTGGGGAAACGCGCATAAGGAAAGCATGGCAGATGCAGTCCTTGTTTGGGCTTTGACCTTAGACTGGGAGTCAGATGGAGGAATGACATACCTAACAGGAAGAACAAATGCAGTAGATACAGACAGACTGGCTGGACAAGCAGCACGCTGGATCGTTATCGGGAGATGCTGGGGGGACCTCGGATAAGGATAAGATAAGTAGTAGCACGGGTGGGTGGAGGAAGGAAACCCCGCCTTGCCTAGTGTACTGGTGTAGGTATGCTCCTCCTTCCCCCCAAGACCCCCAAAGAAGCCGAACCTCCACGATCGTAGTTGCAGCAGTTGGATAGTGTTGGCTGCCTTCATGTGGGAGGGGCACTAACGAGGTACGTACCTGAAGGCCCAGCAGCAACGTGACCTGACCTATGGCGACCTGGTCATTACTCACGGAGAAGTCACCGCCCGTGCACGCCTGGCCAGAGTCCGCTTCCGGGATTGGCCGAATGAACCAGTGACGGCGAGGGTAAAGGGAAAGTGCGCTGAATTGCGACCAACCATCATGAGCATCCCCCCCTTGCCCCCCGATTACATCGCCATTCCCCTTCCAGCGGTGTCTCCCCCTCCCTCGTTCAGTTTGGTGGGCCAAGTGTGAGTCGACGTCAGGATTTATTTACACATACTTGTAACCGATACCATCATACCTTTTGAGCCTTGCCGTTGCCGTAGGATTTCCTTGCAGCAGCCGACCGGATCTTCACGGCGCAACGTATCACCCAAAGCCCGGGCCGACATACAAAGTGCCAACAAACCTCAACATCTATCCCACTTATCCCATCCATCCCGCGCACATCCCGCACTGCCTACTGCATATAGCGCATCGCACTCCCACTCTCTTTCCAACTTGTCCCTACCTTACGGTGCCGATCACTTTCTTCCAGACTTGTCGTCGATCGAAATCCCGCCCGCAAGATCGAGTATTCGACAGACTTACTCCTTCTCCCACCTCCGCTACATATCACCGACAACAGCGACCCATCTCCGAGGTTTGTTTTTTTTGGGCAAGAAGAATATTTGGACTCGGTGACCCTTCCTCCAACGAAGTACGGACGACGATAAACCCCGCGACGGCTGCTCATTTCCTTTTCCCCTTGCGAAACCGTATCGGAGCGTAAATTTGGACGCGCTGCCCCAGGACGTACCCGGCTGGAGCACGGATGACAGCATAAACCCCAGCACCCGGACGACCATTACTACTACAGGCCCTTGGCTCAGAGATAATAGGGGTCCCCCCATCGAGCGTTTGATTTATCGTTTGGAACCGGAAACCTCGCCGTTCGGGCCCTTACGTCAAAAATACATTAACGACCTGTTGCCCCTCCCCTCTTCCCTCTGACCAAAAATCTTGCGGCGCACGAACGGCACGCACGGGGAGTCGGGTACAACCACCTTACTTCTGATCTCTTCATCATCGAGCTTGTCGCTGAGCAAAAGGACACAAGAGATCACGATGCCTTCTCAACGTCCCTTCTTCCTCTCTACTTTCTTTTCCTCCTTCCGCCAATCCACTACCCTCCCCACGCAGCAACCGAATAAGCACTCTACACAGACATCGTCGTCCTATACAACGCAGTCTGCCGGTTCGGCGCCACGGGCTATCTCCTCGAACACTGCAACATCGTCAAATAGCGGGAATACCAACGGCGCCGCAAACTCCTCTACGCGCTCAACGTCCAACGTCGTTAACCAGTACCCACTACACTCACCCCGAGGCAGCATCCCGATACCGGGCAGCGCCGGCAGTAATTCCAACCGGCGGCGTGGGAGCGACAGCAGCAGCGAAGGCTTCCGTGATGTTTTGGGTGCCGACAAGTGGTACATTGGCGGGCGGACGGCCGGCGGTGAGGAGAAGTTCTTCAAGCTTGGCGTCGTACGGAGGGTGCGCAGTAACGATGGCTTAAGTCTGGATCGACTAAGCTTATAGAACGAAACGACAGAAGCTGATGGCAATGACGAAAACGAAAATAACATTTGAGAATGAACAAATATGACAAAGGAGATATGATTTTGCGTACATAGGCGAAGGACATGGGACATGGCATCATTAAACAAACAAGCCCGAGTGTATCCGGGATGTTGAATCCACGAGGATTTTTTGGGTTTTTCAGATGGCGTTTAGGAAAGGTTGATGGTCGCTTGTGTGTTTCTTTCACACATCAACAGTTCATCAAATTATACAAAGGGCTAGAGCACACATTGAACGTGCAATCTCTACTGCACAAAAGAAAAGCATGAAGTTGGATAAGACAACTGAGCTGTTTTACAAATACATTTCTCTACCTTGCCTCGCTGTCGTCAGCACGTCTTCATATGTCTACGCAAGTCTAGAGTGGAGGGTATCGAGCGGCTCGTTACCACATGAACCGCTGCATCCGGCCTCCGTCCAGAATACGGCCGTTCTCATCTCTCCACTTGTACGGCTTCGTGATGAAAATATACATCGTCACCAGGTTAACAATGATAAACCAAAGCGTCTCCAAGACGAGTCTCAGGTCAAACTTCTTCCCGAGTCTGATCAGCGAGCCTACAACCGGCACCTTCTCGAGCGTCGCGAATATAGGGTGCGTGACGGCGTGCTCGTGAACCTTCCACGCCGGGACGAGTATGCGCCAGAACACCCAAGGTAGGATGAAGTACCGCGGCTCGACGAGGGGCGCCGTCATCAGAGAAAGCGTAGTGGCCACTAGCAGCAAGATGGCGGTGGAAGAGGACGTCGGCTCCGTGCTGTTTGACGACGGCTCGTCGAGGCTGATGAGGGCGTACGGGTGATATTTCGCGGGGTCGTCCTCGGTCTTTTGCCCGTCCTTGGCGACGACGATTTCGGTATCCTCGAGCGGTTCGGTCGCAGGCGGCTTTTCGGCGCGGTTGCGCACGTTTGAGGCGCTGAAGGGGCTGTTCTCGAATGGGCTGGGCTGGGAGGAGGTATACTGTCCTGAGCAATCTGCCGTGTGGTCCGAGAGGAAACCTCCTTGGCCGCAGCCGGTGAGGGCGTCCCAGCACAGCCAGCGGGCGATGGTGTATGGGATGATGAGATAGTAGCGGAACAGGCCCTGGCGTCGGATGGTGTAGCGGAAGACGTAAAACATGTAGTGTCGGTTATCGGCTAGGGTGAAGGGGTGGATTATGGTGTTGAACCTGACGACGAGGAAGGTAAGGACCAGAAGGATAGGTGTTAGGACAAGCTGGTAGATTTTGCTTTGGACGATGAAGTCTAGGGTGCTGTAGACGAAGGGCTTTTGAGGCTTCGCAGAGGAGCTGTCTAGTTTACTGGATTTAGAGGCCTGACGCTGAGTCTTAGATGAAGAGGCGCTCGATCCAGCTTCTGTGGATGCATCCTTGACGGAACCTGTTTCTTTAGTCTGTTCCGGTTTTGATGTAGCCTTCTGAAAAACTACGCCGAAAAACCCATGAATGAATCGGAGAACAGAAATTGCCGATGGCAGGAACAATGGGAAAGAGAAAAAGGCAAACATGGGCCAGATGTAGAGCATCTGAGCGAGGTGAATTGTTGCGACATGGTTGGATTTGTCGCCTACAACATGTTAGAATTGCCTCTATCGAAGACTTTTTTTTTTTTTCCGGCATGTACTTACCAAGCACGACACCACCATTCCAGGCTACAAAGCTGGCAAACAACCCCATGATGGTTATGTGAGGCCAGACCTTTCGCAAAACACGGAAAGGATTCGCGATGGCGGCAACTCCGATGCTCACGGCGGAAAAGATTAGGTCTAAGATGTTAGCGAAGACTAGAGTAGAAGGAAGATCAACGAACCATCTGGCCAGGCTGTGTTAAGAGGAGGATCGTGAATATCTCCAAGAGAATATCTCCAGGCGTAGTACTTGACGCACTCGCTCACGTTATTAAAACCAGGCCTGTCAACGGGCTTGGGCCGGAGGGACTTGACTGCTGAGACGGCTTCAAGTCCACCCATGTACACGACAACCCAGAACACATTCGTCTGTCTCATGAAAAGAGTGACCACGCCAAGGAGGATGGTAACAAGATTGCTCGAGAACGAGCTCCATTCTTCGCGAACTCGATGTAGATGGTGGTAATATGCTACCAAGACGGACAAAGTCGAGACAACATCCGTGTAGTAGAGGCCGGAAAAGAAAAAGAGGACCGGGAAAAGCGCAATGTTCCAACCCAGATGGATAGAGTAGAATGACAGGACAACGGGTGGCGCCGGAGACTTGGCATCGTTGCGCCGGGTCTCAATCAAGTGCCGGCAGTGGGTGGCTAGGATGCCGAGGCCGATGATGGCGATAATGTTAACACCCCTAAGGTCCAAAACGGAGCACTCGGGTCTCAACATCATCGCAAGGTAATACTTGGAGAGGATATATCTGCATATGTTAGATATCGGTGGCGTAGTGTCTTGGTCAGATATGCGGCTTACAGCCCAGGAGGGGTGGTAATTTTGTCGTCCCATTCAGTCCACTTTCCCTCACAGAACTTCTGAGCTTGCGGTATATGAAAAACCTCATCCTAGGACATGTTAGATTCGCAATATGTATGGGGGTTTCCAACCAACCAGGTATGGCTCCTCGACGTGCGACATGACATTGCTGCACCAGGCCCATCCGACCATGAAGACAATGGAGTAGGAGACATGCAGGATGCCATCGTAAAGCTTGTTTGTTTTGGGGCCAGATGGCTTAGGGTTTGGCAGTCTAGGTGTGATAAGCCATAATAAAGAGTAAAGAATGATGACAGAAAGGAGGTTAAGTCCGTCGACATAGGCTTCAATGGCCTTCATAATGGCTGTAAGACGTCCAAGGGGACGTAAACGTAAGGAAAGGACTGGTTGACTCTTGAGTAGACTACCGCGGCGGCATTAAGAATGCTCAAACCGTAAGCAAGAGTAAAAGAAGAAGAAGAAGAACAACAAGGGAAAATGAAGAGAGCTTCTGGCTCCGTAGTTAAGGCAAGTTTGCCGTTGTAGTCGGGCCTCCTGAGCGTGAAAGTGAGATGAAATGAACAGTTCACCAAACGCCCAAGTTGGGAAGGTTGCGCGTCTTTGCACTGTATTCGCACGGTATGAAACTTGCAGTCCAAACGGGCCGGATCAAGGCAAAACCAGTGACAACTTTACACATATCAGCACCACAATGAAGGATGGTTTATGCCATTGATATTGTCAATGAAGGGAAATTTGAGTTCATTTACATGTCAAGAATGCCATGGGTTGTTCATTACGGTCAAACAAAGTGAAGTTCAAGAGTCTATTGAATCTTTTATACAAATCCCAGAGGGGAACGCTCCATGATCTCACAACTCCATCCCGCAATGCTTTCTCTTTCTCTGTCTCGAAAAAGCACACGTCGATGAAGAAGGCGTTTAGAAAGGCTGGTATATAAATATTAGCAAGCTGTCGAACGCCATAAGCTCGGAAGAAACGTACGTTGTCGGCGGGGTGGATCTCCTTGATGAAGTTCTGACCGAAAACGGGGATCTTCTATAAGGGCATTAGCTATTGTCCAAAGCGGCAGAAAACTCAGGGAGGTCGAACCTGGAGGATGTCCTTCTGTATTCTGGGAATACCAGAGGTGTAGAAGAGAGCGGCAATGCCAGCGGCGGCACCGAAACCGGCAGCGCGGGTTCCGCTGTGATTCATTGTCAGCCCGCTGAACTAAAAAAACGAGTTCCCTCCTCATCAATTCGCAACCCAGTCCTTGATCCTGCCTCCTCGGCCAATGCCTTTATCAATGCCCTATCGTTTGTCGGACAAATGGAGGCAGAACTAAGGCCTTTTGGATCGCATTGCCGTATTCCATAGCATTTTAAAGTTCCAGAAGGCTACTCACAACTTGACGACGGAGCCAACAGTCCAGCCAGCAACGTTGGGGACAGTAGCGTATCTAAATTCCCCTGGTCAGCCCATGGTTCCGGTGCAAATCGTTGGCGGTCGGATTGCTGCATCGTTCAACTGTGACACCAAAGTCGCAGATATCGATCGAGAGAAAGCAATTGGAATCGGAAGGGTTACAAGGGCGTACCTAGGGCCGAACTTGCTGCGGAAGGTAGGGTAGGCAGAGCCCGGGGCACCGACGCGGGACTAAGATTAGGAACTGGTCAGCAATTGATCGCGTGCACAGCGCTGTAGAGCAATTTATAGACTGCCGAGAAGGCTCAGAACTAAGCATAGACTCACAGGAGAAGCCATCTTGGATGTGTGTATCGTGCGGACGAACTGGGATGTTCAATTGCAGATGCAAGATGGAGTCGTGAAAGAATGGTGATGTTGCGCGAGATTCTAAGCGGGAAAAGCCGGATTTCCATTGCGCCTCAGGCTACTGGCTGAGAGAGCTCTAGCCAATCGGCTGTTGTGTTTGTGCGACCCACACCCAGGCCGCCCTGAATCGGTTCAGCCTTGTCGTCAATTGCAATGATCCTTTTCTCCACACCGAAAGCAGCTCAACGTGAAGGCAACCAGCTTTAGGTCGGGGAGTCGCCCACCATGGACAAGATAATCGATGCGCGCTTTGAGCGCGTTGAGAAGGCACTTGCCAGTCTTATTGAGTCTGTCTCAAAGTATCATCCCCATGCGAAGCAGGCATTGGACCTCCACGAAGCTGACAACGACCTCGCAAAAGGCCTTGACGAGGGTGAGCTCTTTTTTTTCTTCGAGACCTACTTCCTGACGCAGCTAATAATCGATCGTAGTCCAAACTCACCAGAATAACCATCTGCGCCTACAGGAGCTCCGTGCAACAACCGCATCTCTTGATTCTCAGATCCGAGAGACTCTCTCGAGTCTCGCGACGACTCGCAAGGACATCACCACGACCCAGATCACAATCTATCCAGATGGGCCAAAATATCCCGTCAAGTACGATGAGCTGCTCAATTACGCCCGCCGCATCAGCAAGACCACTCTTCCTCCAGCGGCACTGACAAATGGTGTCCCTACGGCAGGCAGCACACCTGCGCCGGACCCCAACGCAAGCATGACTGCTGCCAACACCCCCGGCGCAGCAAGCGGCATGCAGAGCCAGCCCGTCAGCGCCGCCCCTACGCCCGGCCAAATCCAGACTCCAGACCCGTCCGGCATTACCAATGGCGGTGCTAGCTCCGGGGACCTGGCCGCAACGCAGCAAACCACCACAAGCGGCGCAACCTCCCTCCCCGATGGCCTACGCAACCATCTCGATCCTCACTTCAACGCAAGCTTCATTCCGTGGCCCAACGAGTTCCAGATCCGCAGCGGTGCAATGGCCGTCTATCAGGATTTGCAGGACAAGGGCATCGACCCACGCGGCTATGACCCGCAACAGATCGCCGAAGCGAAGCGTAAGGAGGAAGAGGAGCGCAAGGCTCGTGAAGAGCAAGAGCGTCTCGAGCTTGAGCGGAAGCACCGCGAATACCAGGAGAAGATGGAGAAGATCCGCCGCGAGCAGCAGGAGGCTTACAGGCGTGACAGTGTTGCAGTCGGAAGCGCCGGTGCTTCGTCTTCTGGGAAGAACAAGCAGTTCCAGTTCACAAGCATCATGGACGACGATGACGACGATGAGTAGTCGCAAGGTAGCCGCGTTGGAGAATGTCATATCACCGTTAATGGGAAGAGGAGCATGGTCAATAGGCGTTGGAATTGAAAAGACATAAAAGACATCCATTTTTTCATCTACCTCCCGTCCGTCTAACATCTACCAGAAAGGAATTTTGAGTTTCATGGTCAAACACGCTGTACACACATTTGCACACACGCTGCTCGTCAAGTCCCGTATGCAACGCTGACCGAGCCGGTATAAGCGTATTCATACAACAAAGTATAATACAGGGGCGCTGTTCAGCCGCCGCATGCCATCGCCACGATGTTATGCCGCTTAATCAATTTTGATGGAGGCATAAATCTTCCGGACGAACCACCAGCTGGCGAAGTATCCGATCGATCCTATGATTGTCTATTAGCACAGTCGTAATGTAGAATTATTGTGGGCAGAAGCTTACCAGTGAGGATAAAGAATAGGAAGGAAATCAGTGCGCTGTAGCCAATATAGAGCACAGTTCCAGCCAAGTTGCTCAAGTTCAGCTTCGTAATGAGATACAAGAGGCAGTTCGCAAAGATGTAGCCACCGCTCATGCCAGCAGCGAGGAATGAACGCCACTGCCAGTTGTAGTTCTCGGCGCACAGGAGGAAGTAGACCATGAGAATGGTAACTGCGGCAGTGGTAACAATCATGAGGCCGTAAGAAAGGAAGAGGAAGCCAAACATGTAGTAAATGCGGCTGAACCAAACAGAGCTCATGATGAAATACAACTCGACAAAAATGGCACCAAAGGGGAGCAAGCCAACAATGAGCATGCTAGGGATCGGCCTCAGGTACGTGGTGACGGGGGGGATCTGGCGAGGAATCTGGTTGGTCCTGACCGGGGGCTCGAGAGCAGAGGCCCGGAATCCCATCCAGGAGCCAGCAAACGAAAGTGGCACAGAAAGAACGAACCAGATGGCTATAATAACCAGCATGGTAGTGAACGGCACGGCACCGGAGGACTCCTTCGCCCAGAGGAACAGGTCGAGGAAGAAGAATGCGCCGAAGACAATGCTCGGAACGAGTATGGGGGTAAGCGCAATGTTCATCTTCCACTTCTCACCCTGCATCGCCTTGTAGGTTCTAGCGGAAACGTAACCGCCGACAAAGCCCAGAATAGTGTAGAGCAAGAGAATGATCGTGCCGAGAGATCCGCGGTTAGAAGGTGACAAGAAACCAAGCAGAGCGAAGCAGATAGTGAAGCCAGTCATCACGAACAGCTGAACGCCGTTTCCGAGAAGGACCGACAAAAGCAGGGGGTGGGATGGGTTCCGGAAAACATCACCATGTACCAGCTTCCAGCCCGAGTCTTCCTGAACTCCATCCTCAAGTGCTGAAGTACCCGACAAATCGTCCAAGTTGATCTGATCCAGACGGTTATAGCGGGCGATGTCCTTCTTCAGTGCTCTGACCAGAATGGACATGACGGTAAGGATCAGGATTATGACAATGATGGCGGTGTCGATGAGCCAGAACCAGTGGATCTTGGGGTCAAAGACGTGCAAGTACTTGTCCCACCGAGTAGCCCAGGCCGTCTTGGACTCCTTCCAGAAGACAGAGTAAGAGAACTTGACCTCCTTCTCGCCACTATCCTCGTTGAAGATAATTGGCTCCATCTTGTTGTTGCAGTCTATAAGACCGGGGTAGGCTCTCGAACTGGGCTCAACAACAACACCGACGACGCGCAGCTGGGTCTCGTCGCCATTGACAGGGTGATACTCGATATGGATATCGTAGTGGTTGTTGAAAATGATGTTGCCTTGCTCGTCAGCGCCACCCATCAAGAACCCCGGGTTGTAAAAGGTCGTGTTGGTGAAATCGTCGTAAATCTCCTGGCCAGCGGGCAAGCCGTCCACGAGCCAGTTCAAGCTGTAGCCCTGCTCAATGCGGCGTCTAACAAATCCGACGGAAGCCGGGGGATATTTCTGAATGCAAAGAGGTTTGCAGACTTCGTCGTTCTTCATGCGAAGCTCGAACGGCGAGGTCATGATGCGATCTCCGAAGAGAATGCTGCCCAGACTTTCGGACACATATTCGGGAGCGGGCTCGGGCTCGCAAAACTTAAAACCCGGGTGGTAGTAGTCGTAGGAAACGACCGAGTGCAATCGCGAGTCGGAGGGCGCGGCAACGGGCTTAATGCTGTTGACATAAAGGGGAACGACGTCGCCCTTCTTGTAAGACGTCGGCGCAACACCTGGAAGGTAGAAGGCGGAAGCCAGCTGCGGGATAGCCAGCAGCGAGGCCACGAGCGCCGATGAAGGCGCCATATCCCGTAATTGCATGGCAGCAAGATACTATGGCTCTGTTTGAATTATCTAGAATTAGTCTCGAGACTTTGCGATACAGCAGCGTTGTTAAAAGGACAGAAGCATGAAACACGAAACCGATGGGAATAGCTCCATACGTAGTAGTTCGCGATTACGTACCCTTGATCAGTTACACAAAGCGGCTTAGAGCCGGTGGATCTTCTTGGTTCGATCCGCTCCAGACAAGGGAAGCTCAGAGTAGCTGAGAAAAAACACACGAAGCGCTCGCGGTCGTAGTTGTTAAAGCAGAAATGCTTCAAGTTGGACAGATGGCCAATTGTCTCGGTGTCTGAGCCCAAGAGCTTCGTGTCGCCTTTCCTAGGAGCTCCTGCTGCCTCGAACAACTGTCCCAAATTCGGCTTAGTCACACTATCTGAGCTCCCTGTCGGAACATTGTCCTCCCGGTGTGCCGCCCGTGGCGCAGGGGGAAGAGGGAAACACTGATGGTGGGGCCTTAGAGCCGGGGCCCACGCACCCGCAGCTCCGGGTCCCGCACCTGCAGATCGTTTTTGCGATTGCAAAGAAAAATTTCCTGGGTCGCATCTTTGCTCCGTCGCGACTTCAAAATTCTTCGACCTGTCGCAGCCACTTTTCCAAGACCAACAATGGCTGCTCCAAGCACTCTGCCAGCTCTGCTGGACTCTCTGACACAGTCATTGACAACTTCACTCGACGCAGCACCAAAGGCTTCGATTACACCTCCGCAAAACGGCATCTCGCTGCTTGATGTCAAGAACGAGTTGCTCTTGTCCTATCTGCAAAACCTTGTCTTCCTTATTTTGCTCAAGCTGCGCAACGCAAAAAAGCAATCCAGTGGAGATGACAACTCAACAAAAACTACGGACGCGGTCGTCAGAAAGCTGGTCGAACTAAGACTCTACTTGGAGAAGGGTGTTCGTCCTGTTGAGGAGAAGCTGCGCTACCAGATTGAGAAGATCCTGCGCGCTGCAGACGATGCCGAGAGAAGCGCGCAAGCAGCCAAGGCCTCTAAGGGTGTCAACAGCGACGACTCAGACGCCTCAGACTCCGACGAGGAATCTGATGGTTCCGACGAATCTGACGAAGAAGAAGTCAAGGCCACCAACATGCAGGCCCGACCTGACGCTTTCGTCCGACCCGCTGCTGCCTCTGCTACTGTTGCCGCCGCCCAGAAGGATGGAGTCTACCGACCGCCGAGAATTGCCCCTACTGTCATGCCATCCGAAAGGCGTGAGAGATCCGACCGGCGCCCACACAAGTCCGCCGTCATGGACGAGTTCATCGAGACCGAAATGTCCACCGCCCCGTTGGCAGAACCTAGCATTGGCACAACCATTGTTTCTGGCGGTCGCAGGATGAAGACAGCAGCCGAGCGCAAGGACGAGGATGAGCGTCGGGAGTACGAAGAGACCAACTTCGTCCGTCTCGCCAAGCAGAGCAAGAAGGACAAGGCGAAGGAGGCGGCGAAGACTGGCCGCAGCGGCCGCATGCAGTTCGGCGGAGAAGAGTGGAGAGATCTCGGCGAGGGTGTGGATCGCATCAACAGACTCACTGCTCGCAAGAGTGGCGGCAGCACTCGCAACCTCCTCGACAAGAGCCGGAAGCGCGGCAGGGATACCACGGACGGACCACGGGGCAGCGGCCAGGGCGCCGAGATGGGCGAGCGGTTCCAGAAGCGTGTCAAGGTGTTGGAGGCAGGCAGACGGGACAGAGGCAAGCGATAGACGGACGGAGATACCCACGAAAATGCGCCGAGCAGTACGCAACAACAAAAAGGAGTTTTGCCGATGTTGGTCTCAAAAAAAGTGATTCAAAGCGGTTCGTCCAACTCAAAAAAGTTTTAGGTTTTTTTTTTCATTCATTGTTTGAGCATCAAGGTGTTTGGTATTGTAAGCCGAGAAACGGCTTTTGTGTTGGTGGTGAACTCTGGCTGAGAGGCGTCGTCGCGGAAGCAAATCCGACCGGCCAACAGGGGAAAAATGCCCCCAAATTTCCGGTCTAATTTAGGCCTAGACCATTCAACCATTCCGACATTTGTATGAAGTACACATGTAGTAGCAGCCATGGTGCCAGGTGCCACGCCGCGACGCCTGCATTGGGGGGTCTCAGGACGGCAGTCGGTGATCCATGGGATTAAGCAATGAAGCTCTGCCACGACTGGCAATTCGGCATAGATTTCCTCATGTTTACCAAGTGATGACACTGCTGTCTCTTGACAAATTTTCTGACTGGTTTTTAAAAGATAGTGGTTCATGCATCAGCAATGATCGATGATCTGGGCCAGGCTAACCCCGTATTCACATGCTCCAGGGCCGCGTTTCAATGGGCTCTCCTAGCGTTCTTGGTGACGTCAATAGCTCATAACCAGTGGGCCTGTTCGCCAGGCGTCTCAGTCCACGAACCGCGGGGGAAGAAGCTGCGGAAAGGTTACCTCAACGTAATGAGCAGCTCACATGCCAGTGAGCTTTCCAGAGCTCCCTAAGCTCCCTAGGCTCCTGTTTACCATTTCCCATTTTTCTGTTGAGCTTTATTTTTTTCCTACCCCTTGGTCAGGTTTTATAGAGAGTTTCATATCCCCTTTTCTCGTCTTGCTTCTTTCCTTTCACACCTCCAGAAGCAATACAATTGCTGTGCCACACATTTTTTTTAATCAAGCAACAAACAGGCGTTCGGGGCCTATCCGCCACAATGCCGTCCGAGTCTCGCATTGAGAATCCCTTCTTTCACCCTTTTCTTTTTCTGTTCCAGATATTCCAATGGTTCGCTGATAAGATTTTCTCGCCCACTCCTCCCGAACCGAGCACGCGTTTGAGCCGCCCCAAGGTTGCTGTAATTGGAGCTGGTATCACCGGTGTTACCTCTGCAGCGCATTGTATCGGCCATGGCTTTGATGTCGTCATATTCGAGGCTGGTGGCCGTGAAAACTTGGGAGGCATCTGGAGCGTGAGAAAACCGCCTGTGCTATAGCAATGAAGCCATGCTAACAGCATTCATAGAAAGTGAACAACTCGTCCAGCCTTCAGATTCACTCTATGATGTTTCGTTTCCATCCGTCTGTTAAGTGGGAGCGTGGTTACCCCGACAGGCAACAGATCCTTAGCCAAGTTAAACAGCTCTGGCATAAATACGGACTGGAGACTCGCACCAAGTTTAATACGCCCGTAGAGAAGGTCTACCAAGATGAAAAGGGTCGCTGGGTCGTCAACAATACTGCCAATGGCCACTTTGAAGGTGTCATTGCTGCAGTCGGCACCTGTGGCGAGCCTAAGATGCCCCAAATTCCTGGCATCGAAAAGTTCAAGGGCAACGTCTATCACTCTAGCCAGCTCACTGGGTATGAAGCCATAGATTCCCATCTTCGAGAAACGCGATCTAACAGCATCACAGAAAGAACGCCAAAGGAAAGAGAATGGTCGTTATTGGTGGCGGTGCAAGCGCCGTCGAGGCCTTGGAGTTTGCCGTGGACGAGGAAGCCGAGAAGACGTCAATTCTGTCCCGCAGTGACAAGTGGATCATTCCCCGTAACCCCATCGTAAACATACTGCTCTCCTTGAACATCCTTGGCCAGGAAACAAAACTCTCTTGGATCCCTGAGACTCTTCTCCGGAAGTTTTTCTATCGTGACTTGGCTGAGATCGCCCCGTACAGCAAGGGCATCTACATGGACACGCCAATGGTAAACAGCCATGTCATGGATACCATCCGATCTGGCCAAGCTGAGTGGATTCGTGGCGACATTGAGGACTTCACTGCCGATGGCGTTATTGTCAACAGGCGGGCCCAGGGTGTACCTAAAGGCGGCCCGGGCCGCAGGGAGGTTATCCCCGCAGACATGATCGTTATGGCGACTGGCTACAAGCGCCCCTCGCTCGACTTCCTACCCGAAGACTGCTTTACTGAGCCGTACACTCCGCCTAACTGGTACATCCAGACGTTCCCGCCTAACCATCCCTCTATTTCTGCAATTAATTGGTAAGTCTAGCCCCAATCCGGATGGTTCCTTGTCGACTAAAATGGCTGACGAAACAGCACCTATGTCGCTGCCATTGGTACCGTTGGTAACTGGCACATTGGTATCTACACTAGGATTCTCCTCATGTTCCTTATCGACCCCCTGGCTAGGCCGCACCCATTCTGGATGAAATCATGGATCGAGATGACGAAGCTCCTAAAGCATTACTCTCCCACTGGGGCTTTCGATTTCTTCACTTACCTTGAGCTTCTCTGGTGGTTCGCCTTCAGCGTCACCTTCAACCCTTTCCGATGGAAGTGGGCTTTCTTCGTCTTCTTTGGTCTGGGCTTTATGCTTCCGAAGCGAGTGGTTGAGATTGAGGCTCGTATCCGAAACGGCATGGGCTTCCACGAGGATGTTGGGCGAGACATCGGCCATAGCATTTAAGGGTCTTCTCAGCTCCTGTGCATAGTGACGGGAAAACGGCAATGCCGAATGGAATGATGGGTACGATTATGGTAAATTTGACATGACTGGAGAAATCCTTCGTTCGGTTGGCGCCTGCATGGTTCAGCTCCGTCCGACGACGCCGAAGCACCTCGTCATTAGAATGTCACATGTGTACAACAGCAGTTAGAGCCGCCAAGTTCTCGCAAAAGAATGACAAAAGCAAATAGTTCATTTGAATTCTGCAACTCCAATTGCACAGAATTCGACGAGGCTGCGTGGCGTGAAATGTGGTAACTTGGCGCCAATGTCGGAGGCTGAGATGCGGGGTCGTCCCGTGCCTTTGGCGTTCTGATCAGCACCTGAAGTCTGTCTCAACAAGATGCATTCATCCCGGAATCCGTTTCGCCGGTTGACCAAAGACAAATAATTGCAGATGGCGGCCGCGTTTCGCGCACCAGTGCCTCGAATGTTAACCACACTCGTATACTCTCTCGGGCTTTACACTGGATCAACGTCGCCGGCGCTAGACAATTAGCGCTATACTCCCGGTTAGGCCGATTCAGCCAACTCCTTGAGCGCCTCATTTCCCTTTGGGGACATGGTGCTGAACAATACTTCCTCCTTTGGCTTGGTATGTCTAACCATTCATTCTCCCCGCTGCGCATCCCATCCCCACCTAGTCTGTTGTGCTTACAGATGACTGGTTCTTTTTCTTTGGCCAAGTGGAGAAGATATAGTCAACCTGCATAGTGTTTCCCGCTCGGGGTCCATTAACCACACGACCTGGTTACTGGTTCCGAAGCTACACACCAACGTCTATCGTTTGCGTCCAATTTGCGGGGGAAACTGTTGACTTGACAGTGTCATCAAGTCTTGTTTAGCAGAATCCCAAAAAGCTTTACCGGGTTCAATAATGAGACAGCTCCCAGTTGACAAGATCCAACTACTCGTGGATGAGGTCATAGAAAACTGGTGTGAATGTTCACGTCCGAGAATATGTACAATTCCGATTAGTCGGGTCTCCAGCGTTGATAAACTAAAACATGATTCAGATTATCACACCCTTTCCTCTTTCTTCTGGCAAAGCTCACACATTTACCTTGAACCCTTCATTCTTCTGTGACAAGTGATAGGACACTCACATTGGTCGGTAGAACGAGCTCCGGTCAAGCCGTGATGAGCCTGCGCATATTCGCATTGCCATTCTTCGACGCGAGCAAGCATTGGCAAAACACGAAAGCGGACTCCGACACATGCATGTCGAGGCATATCGAGGCGTAGCTAAGGGTCGCTTCGGCCTGTGTCTCAAACATGACATGACGATCGCTATTGGACAGTGGTCATGGCTGCGGGATTCCTGCGAATGGGACGCCATGAACTCACAAGCTCGAGGAGATACACGAGCAAAGTACTGGGGCCAAGAGGCTTTCCAGCTCTCCCCGTTCTTCCTTAAAAGGCCATGGTTTGTTCCTCCATGTCATGTTGACGGAATCAGCAACCAAGCTCTATAAACAATGCTTGGATTCCGCAGAAATCCATTAAGTAGGTCCTCATCCAACTCCTTCAATTTCATACTTCACCTTCATCAAGACCACCGCTTAACATATTACCTATCCATGTAGGCCGAAGGAAGAAATCGACTTCCTCGGTTCACTCATTTCAATCAGAAAGATCTATCGACGACGTTGCTACCACCGCGGACTCGAGGACATCAGTCATGGCGACCTCCAGCCAAGCATCGTTGAACAAGCATATTATTAAGGAAGAGGCCAGGACCAATGGTTATGAGGTCAATGGAAATGACTCCGCGTCCATCTCCAGCAATGAGGCCGTTACCACCATCCAAAGCGCTTCCCAGTCGACAACCCAGTCATCACGGACGACAGTGTATGTCTCTGAGACGGCTCGTGTTGTCAGACGCAAGATCATCCGTGAGCTAGAGGATGTCACGACGACTTACTTTGAAAGAGTCGACCTCGAGGCATACCTGGAGTTCATTGGCGAGGAGCGTCTGCTTCATATGCCCCGCAAGGGCAGCCAGTGGGATCGTGTACTAAAGGAAGCCGAGTTCTTCGGTATCCAGCTGCACGAGTTCTCGCACTGCCTCAGGAAAATCATTCCCGAATGGTCAGATGTGCGCAACACTGCTCTGGCAAGTTGCTACATCCTTCTTGAGGTAAGACATTTTGTCCCTTATACCATTCTTAAGTTGACTGACGCCCTTTGACAGCTCGGCTGCGAGCAAGCTGAAGCTTTGGAGCCTACCTTTAACACATTTTATGAACTTGGTCTTCTACTGTCTCATTCTATCCAGCTTCATGACATGTTTACGGCAAGCGATGCCATTAAACATGATCTCAGCTGTGTGTTTGACAGTCTCGTCCGCTTAGTCGGCGATGTTGCCCTTTTCTACAGGCAACGTATCAACCGCATTTACAGCGGCTCCGTGACCATCGACTTCGACGCTGAGTTTGGCACTCAAATCGCTGAAATCTGGTCTCGGAAAGAGCACCTCTTCAATCACATGTGGGAATACAAGCTCCGCAGCAAAAGGTTGTCGCTTGATATCGCAACTCTACGGCAGCATCTTCTTCCTTCTCGAGAGTCTGTGAAGTCTTTTGTTTACGGACGTGTTGCCGACCGCAAACTTCGGGTTGAGGGCACTTGTGAATGGATAGAGCATGATCTTCATAGCTTCCTTCGCAGCGATGATGACATCTTTACCATTACTGGCAACGAAGGATGCGGTAAGAGCCTGCTTGCTGCCTGGGTAAGGGAAAGGCTCGAACGGCCTTTTGACCGACAGCAGTTTGAAACTATCTCGTTTACTTTCTGTGGGTGATCCCCATCATTCCTCTCGACTTGTTCCGGAAACTGACTTTTACCATCAGCAAGTGACATCCCCGAAGAAGCCTCGCCACTTGCCCTCCTCAAAAGTTTGCTTTCTCAGCTACTTGAGGTAAACGTCGGCGATGTGGCCTTGTTCGAAAGATTGGCTGTCATCTTTGACCGTCGACCACCTGGCGAGGACACTGTAAAGCTCGAAAGCGACCTGTGGGATGCGCTTAAGTTGAGCATTGACGCTATCAACAACAAGAAGACTAACCTAGTCATGATCATCGATGGCCTCGACGAAATCAATGGCGGTGCCCAGAAGGCAAGTGAATTGCACAAGAAGCTTCACGATGCCATCATCAAGCACAACAGAATCCAAGCCATTACTTTCTCCCGACCCATCTCTCATCTCGGAGGTAACCGCTGCAAGCACTTGGTCATCACCCCTGAACATGTTCGCGACGACATCGAGGTATTCCTCACCAGCAAGCTGAAGCGAATCACAGCCTTTGCATCCGAGAACGACCAGGCCAAGCGTGACCTCATCAACAAGCTTGCCGACCAAGCCAAAGGCTCTTTCCTGTTCGCCTATCTGGCAGTTAACCTTTTGTCCACTGGCCTCAATTTCAATACTTTTAAGGACACCATGGCTCACTGCAAGAGCGATGTCAAGGCTGTCATGGCAGAGCTCATTAAGAAGGTTAACATCAAGGAGGAATACGGCGAGAGCAAAACCTACAACCTGTTCATCTTCATGCTCGCCGCTCGTCGCCCTCTTACCACTGGCGAAATGACTGACCTCATGAGTATTTCGTTGTCTAAGCGAACCGTCTCTGCCAACGCTGATATTTGGCAACCTATTCGCAACACCCAGGGTCTCGTCGTTGTCCACCGCGGTACTCTGCGTTTCAAGCACTCAGTCGTCAGGAAGTATATCAACAGCCTCTGTGGAACTACACTGATGAGTGTCGAGGACTCTCATCGCCACCTTACTCTGGCTCTCATGCTCTTCGCCAAGACGAAGTTCACACAATCCTCCGAGCCAACTCTGGAGTGGCTTTCTGATGACCTTGTTCACGAGTGCCTTCACTCTCATCACATTGCAAGATACATGCTGCACAACTGGGTCTATCACTTCCGCATGTCATCCCTTCACGGCCAAAAGGATAAGCTCAGCCTCACCCCTGAGTTTAAGGAGGTGTTCCCTGACACCACCTTCTTCTCCTTGTTGGAGTGGTCTCACTGGCAGTCGCAGTTCAGCCTGAAGGAGACAATCGCGATGCAAGAACTGAGTCTTCGCATCCGATCCAGCTGCTTCGGCGAGAAGCACCGCTCATACCTTCAGAACCTTATCGTGCTGGGATCTCTTCATAGACGCACATCTGAACCCGTGTCCGCATCTGAGTTCTTCTACAAGGCTTCATGCGTTGGCCAGGTAATCCTCTACAAGTTCAGTCCTCTGGTAATTTCCTGCACAAACCTGTTCCTCACTTGCACGGAGAAGATTACCATCACCAAGCGGACGACTACTGTGACGTATCGCGAGGAGATGATCAGATTCATGATCGAGATTTGCAAGAACAAGAATGGCAAGCAAAGCGACGATGTTATCAAGTGGTACAAGGTTCTCGCAAAGCTCTACGTCGACATCAAGGAAGAGGAGACGGCGATGGAAATCTACAGAGAGCTTCACGTCATTGTCATCGCTCGCTTCGGCAAGGGATCCAAGATGGAATGCGAAATCGCGGAAGATGTTTCTGGTATGAGTGTTGTGCTCCAGTCGAAGCCTGGTAAGCCCAAAGGTTTCAAGCACGCCGGTCTTCTCTTTGATGCTGCTGAGGAGATGTCCCACACCGACATCCGCCGCATCAAGATCATTCTCACTCTGGCTCGCACATATGAGGCTGAGCACCAGTATGTCATGACTGAAAGGCTTTATGTCGGTCTCTGGCGGTCTATCTTGGAGGCTTGCCGTCTCAAGGCTACAGTGGAACTTCATCTTGAGAAGCTCAACATTGCCCTGGAGTACATTCAGTTCCTCAGGCGAATCAAGCGTACCGAAGAAGCCTGCAACATCATGGTCTGTCTCTGGGCTGAGTACGACAACTACAAATTCGAGTCCGAAACTCTTGTGATTCGCTTCAAGGAGCTCGCCATACTCGCAAAGTCTTTTGGTATCATCGACATCTCCATGTCCATCCTCAGCAAGGTCTGGGGTTACTTCAAGTCGAAGAAGACAATTGAGCATGAGGAGGCGATCTCCACCTCCGTCATCATCACCGAGGTCGTCGAAGAGATCACTGAGACAATCGTTGAGACCAAGACGACTACCACTGTTGTCGAGACTGTTACCAGAGAGGTCTGGGAGACTACATATGAGCGCTGCAAGACTGGAAAAGCCAGCAAGGGTTTCTTCAGCTCCTGCCTTGCCCTGATCAAGCTCTACTTGAAGCAGGAGAACTGGACTGAGGCAGAGACCATTCTCCGAAAGACTTTGGAAGTCACCTGGAAGGGTGTGTTGACCGCCGATGCCAAGTTGACTATCGAAGGAGAATTCATTTCGGAGCGCATCCTCGTGGCCAGACGCCTTGCTCTCTGCTACCACAAGCAGAGGCAGTTTACCAAGGCGGAGGAGATATACCTTCGCATCTTCAACGCGTGCTTCCACTCCCTCCATGTGGAGAACCACAGTGTTCTCGAGGCTGCTGTGACTCTGGTTGAGTTTTACGAGGAGTACCACCGCCATGAGAAGGTCATTGACATCTACAACAAGCTCCTGCAGCACTACCGCAAGCATCTCAAGCGGGACCACCAGCTCACGATTCAGACTCTCTACAAGCTTGCGGCTGTCTACCTCAAGCTTGGTCGGAACGAGGCCTACGAGTGCTACAGTGAGATTGTGTCCATCTATACCCATGACGGGTGCTGCCACGCTGGTGGCCTCGAGGCGGGTGTCATCGTTCTCAACCACTACTACCTCGAGAAGCGATGGGCCGAGCTGCAGAAGATTTGCACAACTCTGTGGACGACATTCATCCACCACCATCACGAGATCAAGTTCACTGAGGAAATGGTGGAAGTCATTTACCAGCGCTACCGCTACGTCTTGGAGTTCCATGCCAAGGTCGAGTTCACGGCTCTGTACAAATTGACGGTTGAATATCGTGAGACGGTAACCAAGGTCTTTGGTGTGTCTTCTGCCATCGTCCTCAAGGCCATGATCGCCCTTGCCGAGATTTGTGAAGGCTCTGAGACGCACTACCATGAGTCTATCACCATCTATGAGGAGGTCCTCACCAGGACCAAGACTACGACTACGGTCAGCGAGACAACTGTCCGCACGATGAAGAAGCGTCTGTCTAAGCTCTACGTGACCGTGATCACAACTGGCAAGGTGACAACCACCACAACCATCGAACGCGCCATCGCAATCGGCATTGAGATGTACGAGCAGCTCAGAATCGAGTACGGCTGGTGGCACGAGACTACGCTCTTGAAGCTCCGGGAGGTCACGCTTCTCTACAAGAAACTTGGCACCAAGGAGTCTCATTTCGCCATCGTCCAGATGCTGCAAGCCTCTGTCATTGAGATCATCACAACGGTCACCGTCTCCACGACGCTCCATGTTGCGGCCAAGACCTTAGCCGAGATCTACATTGCTGCCGGCATGGTGCGCCACGGTAACGACCTTCTCCGCCAGCTTCGCTATGTCCTTCTGTTCCCCGGCTTCGAGGGAGGAGAGAAGGATGTCACCATCAAGCTATCGCACAATGTTACCAAGGTGTCCCTCGTGTTCCTCATCTCGTTCGAGCAGGCCCTGCACATTGACGGTCCAGTGAAATACAACTTCTCCGAAATCATGGCCGACGTGCTCTTGGAGACGATTCTCTACGAGCAGTACATGTCTGTCATGTCCAGCTACACGGAGACCAGCAGCTTCGAGATTGTCGTCGAGCACGCTGCCCGTCTCCGCTTCGTCTGGGAGTCTCGCGGCCGCACCGGTTTCGTCAACGTCCTCGACAAGAAGCTCTTTGCCCTGTTCACATCAAGATACTCTAAGCATCTTGGAAACAATACGGCAAACAGCCAGGCTATCTCCGACTTCTATGTCGGTCTGCTTCGCGAGATTGGCGCGGGCATCGCATCCGAGAGGGACTCGATTGACTTCAGCTTCGTAACCTGCAAGGCCGCATACACGACCACCAAGAGGTTCATGAAGGAGAGAGAATTCTCCAGGGCCCATGAGGTGGCGAAATGCGCCTTTGGCTTTGCCAACTCCCAGCGCTTCTACCACTACAGCCGCAACAACGTTTGGGGTTACCGTCTGGCTGAGCTTCTGGCTGGCATCGGCGTGGATGGCTGGAAGTCTGCTGATGCGGGCGTGCGAGAGGCTTCGCTCGCCACGAGCAGAAACGTGCTGCAGCTTGTACTCTCGGCCCTGAGAGAGAGCAAGATCGAGTTCTCCAACATGCGGCCCGAGGATATCAAGAGTCTCATCTACCTTCTCGGCGAGCAGAAGAACTTTACGGAACTCGAGGTAAGTGGCCCAACAAAGTTTCCATGCGAAAGTTATACTGACGAATGTTTCCCTAGAACCTTCTCGTACTACTCTGGCAATCCAGAGAGGTCCAGCGCGGCTCTGGCTTGCCGGACAGAGTCCTCAACATCGGTTCTCTCCTGGTCGACGCCCACCTTTCTGCCGGGCATATCGACCAAGCCGTCACGCTCTGCGATACGCTCTATTACAACGTCCGCCAGTCCCGTGGCGGCCTGGACCCGCAAGCCCTCGAGCTCGCCAACCGCTTGTGCCATCTCCTTTGCCGCGCCAACCGCGTCCGCGAGGCGGCACGCGTGCACCAGGACGTCGTGTGCGACTTGGACGAGCATCTTCTCGCCACTCGCGGCGCAGACAAGGAAGAGCGCTTGCGCGTTGCTGCTGAAACCCACCTCGACGGCATGCGGAGGTGCGGCTGGGCTTCTCGCGGCGACAGCGTGAGAACTACCAAGGAGGTGTATGAACGACTCAAGGCCTACGGAAAATTGAACACGCCGCCTGTCGAGCAGTGGGCTCCTCTGAGCACGGCGGATGAGAAGAGGGAGGTGAACGCGGCCGCGACGTGGTCGATGGATTGGGAGCTCAAGGGGCAGATTGAGGCAGAGAAGCCCATCGTGAAGAAGAGGTACTCTGTTGCCTCGGCGAAGGAGAGATGGAGGTTTTGGAGCCACCAGAGCAGCACGGAGATGACTAATAATCAGTTGGTGTACTGAACGATGTAAAGATGGATGTTTGGATTATTGTTGGATTATTAATGACTGTTCGGGCACGTTATCCTTTTCTTTTCTTTTTTTCCATGTCTAGCTATCGCTCATACCTTGTTTTCTGAACGGATGATGCAAGAGTCTATGTCCTGTCTTATTTTTCTTGAGTCTACCACACACACATTCGTTCGAGTTTCATATGTACCACTCTCTGAACAAATTGTTATCCATTACTAGTTTGTGATTGTAAAAGTAAATGGATGTTCTTCGAAAGCTTGAACCTGTTCAGCGAGTAAGACGGTTCCAGAAACAAAGCACTCCGCAAAGAGCCCGTGAAACAATGCCGGCTAGCATGGGTAGATCCCGGTCATGGATTATTCTGGTAGCTTGAATCGGTAAGAAGATGGATGCAGGGTATGACACGTGGATAAAGCAGCAAAACGTCAAGATTCCTGTCGCAACGTGGCCAGCATTGCTCCATATCCAGTTGAAGAACTCGCAATATGACTCGCAATATGAAGTCAAGTGCCCACCACCATGTTCTTTCCACGTGTAGTTCGCTTCCACTCCTTCAAAGCTCCGGTGTGTATGACGCCAGAGTTTTAACTGCAAAGTGAGGTCATTAATCAGTACCCTGTCGAACCAGGATTTTGCGAAAAAAGAAAAGAATCAGGAAGAAACGTGAAGCAACCGGAGTGCACTCCGCCAACTCCAAGTCCTTGGAACAGCAGACCCACCCTACTCCCGGGGTCGTATCCCACTATTGTCCGTACGTCTAGCCACAGCACGTGACCGGATCAAGATCGGCGGATACCCAAGCCACTCATTTCTAAGCCGAAGATTCCAGAACGCAGCAACCGTCCGCTGTTCCAAACACAGGTGGGGTTGGGGGAGGAGCCGAGACCCCTAGAGTCCAATCCCACCCCGGCGCATACTGGCGGGGTCGCGCCTCAACGTGCAAGGTAAACGACCACGGAGCAGCAGCAGCAGCAGCAGCAGCAGCATCAACGGCATTTAGTGTGCAGAATCCAGCAAACAGCGAGCAGCAGCGAGTAGTGCAACGACTTTAGGCGACTTGCACACCACTCTGGCGCCACAAGGCTGAATCGCAGCGGCCGTTGTGCCCAACGCTTCCTTCCTCTCAGAGTAATGTTTCCCTGACTTACGATCTCGTGGCTTCTGTTGCGACCCCCCCCTCCGATCGATCCATCCATCCTTGCTACACCTCACGAGTGGAACTGTCTGTCGGATTCTACAACTGTGTCTTCCTCCTTGGGTAGTCCTGTCTCGCCTTCCTCGCTTGATCTGACGATCAACGGTATTTGGCTGCATTACTGCTAGTATTTGCACTTTTGCCAAGCTTGCGCTGTTGCATTTAGGCACTCCTCGCTACATTTCCTCGACCTTCCTCCCAACTGTCGAGTTGCTTCGCATATATATCGCGAGCATAGTATACCTGTCATCAATCGATCCGCCGAACGTATAGCTTCCAACCGTGAGAAAGGGGAATACCGTACACAATGTCAAGATCAATTCAGCTCAAGGAGGAGGGCAACCGCCACTTCCAGCAAGGCGATTATGCCGGCGCGGAGGCATTGTACTCCAAAGCGTAAGCCTGCTCCTTCCCCTCACAGCCTGGTCGCCCACCTGGCCGGCTGTCAACTGTCACCAGCCTAGGTAGACCATTTTGAATCAGATCGTTAACGCTGTCCTTCCAAATAGCATAATTGCCGATCCCAAGAACCCTGCCTTGTACACCAACCGCGCAATGGCGCGCCTCAAGCTAGAAATTTGGGACTCGGTCGTGTCTGACTGTGAATCTTGCCTGGGCCTCGCCCCAGATAACCTCAAGGCCTTTTACTATCTTTCCCAGGCACAGCTCGCCCTCAAGGACTACGAATCGGCTCTTTCCAATGCTCAACGTGCCCACCAACTCTGCGTGCAGACCGGCGACAAGTCACTGGCTGCTATTACCGCACAAGTCCTCCGCGCGAAGAAGGAGAGATGGGATTGGATGGAGAGACGGCGTACACGTGAGGCGCACCATTTGGAGAACGAGGTCATTGAGATGATGGAGAAAGAGCGCGCGCAGGCCATCGCCGACGCCATGGACGATGGTGAGAAGAAGGAAATCGAGGCCGAGTGGGACCAGAAGATTGAGTTGCTGAGGAAGACGTTTGAGACCAGCAGATCTGCGGAGGAGAAGAGGCGGGAGGTCCCTGAGTGGGCGATTGATGATATCAGCTTCGGCATTATGGTTGATCCCGTCATTGTGAGTTGCCCCCTTGCCACATTATCGGCTCAAGTTTGCTAACTCCTGTGTAGACTAAAACTGGCAAATCCTACGAGAGGGCTTCGATTATGGAGCACCTTCGACGACACCCCAGTGACCCCCTCACCCGAGAGCCTCTTCTGCCATCTGAGTTGAGGCCCAACTTGGGCCTCAAGCAAGCCTGCGAGGAATTCCTCGAGGAGAACGGCTGGGCGGTGGACTGGTAATTCTGTCCAGACGCCTTTTATTCTGTTCAAATCTGTTGTAACTATGACTGGGAGTTGCATAGCACGGCGTTACGGTGTTGGATGGGCAGTAATAGCCTTTGGGTTGGAAATTAGTCATAAACATGTTGGCTATTATAGAGTTTTTGAGAAATTCTACCTCTGGGCTCGCACAATCCATAACATAAACATGGCTGAGAAACAAAATCGAACCTTCTTGTAGGGTTTAAGCTACTCGAGTAAACTTACTTGGTCTTTCGGCCGATGGACCGGGCCCGATACCTACCACGTCCCTGGAACCTGGATTGACCAAGTTTTGATGGATCCACCGGCCCCACTAGAGCCGTCTGATCTGCAGAGAATTTTCTTCTTTCGGTCTTCGGAAGACAAGTACGTTTTGAGGCATGGAAAAGATTTCATTAAGAAGAAAAAGACCCCTACCAAAAATGCAAAAAATGCAAAAAAGGGAAAAAAGGGAAAAAAGAAACTGAGTGCCAATCGCTGACGGGAATTGAGCCCGACGTGGGGGTCGAACCCACAACCTTGAGATTAAGAGTCTCACGCTCTACCGATTGAGCTAGCCGGGCGACTGTACCCAGCTTGTTCTGGTGGTTGGACACAAGGGAAGGGTAAGTGCATTATGATGGTTGGAAAAGGTGGGCACGGGGAGTCTTTTTTGTGGCCCTGTGCCCTCCATCTTTCCTACTGTTTTCCTTCTTCCCCAAGCTTTAAGTACCTTGGTTTGCTTGCTACTAACTTGGCAACTGTTGGCGTTCTATGTGGTATACTGGCTAGCTGTTGTGTGTTCGGCTCGAGTTCATCCGCATATCTCCTACATCGATTACAACCTCGTGACTCGCCGGGGCTTGTCATTCGACACAAACCGCTCTTGAAAATGTGTGATTGAGTACGGATAACCCCAGTGTAACTTAAATAACCCAAATCAACGACTCCCAGACTACAGAAGGATTCTATCCACTTATTTCAGGAAACCAAGCCCAAAAATATGTGGTCCATGGTTGTGTCACCTATGCTAAACTTCGTCCACTTAAGACTGTTGGGCATAACGGGGATACCAAGAATTTGTTCAAGATTTCACCTACCACTAGTTTACGCTTCTAACGAGGCCGGTATAGATTTAGATGTATGCTACTTATGTAGACCATGTTTCAAATCAACAATTCATATAAAAAAAGCCTTTACTGAAAACATCAAAGATACAATACAAAAAGACCCAAGCTGGTAATTCTTCGTCACATCTCAGCTTATTTTCCCGGGCATCCCCGGCCCCATTTAGTACAGATAGAACAGCAATCGGCATTCTAGTGTCTAAGTTTAGCAACAGAATAACTGGGATGTCTGATAGGGGATGCTTACGCAAGATGACCAAGGAACACCCTGATCGGGGCACAGCTTGATGAAGGGGCAGGTGAGATAGTTTTCAGCCCAGTTGAAAGCCTGCCGTGTGCAGGCTCCCTTGGTTGAGATACAGCAGTCGTTGGCCGCCGTACACTAGAGCATGTGAGCAGCGAAGAATAAGCGCTTCAGGTGAGATTTTCTTACTTCTTCAATAACAGTGCGGGCGGAAAGAGCCTTGGGAGCTGTGGCTCTGAGGTCCAGAGTGGCAGCTGCAGAAGTGCTAATCAGGGCAGAGATGAGCCCGGTGACGGCGACAGAGAAGTGCATTTTGAATAAGAGGAATTTGAAATGTAAGTCACTGGAAAGATGGATGGAATGGAGAATGTGGGAGTTGTGCTCGAGGTAAGGTGCTATGGTGAGTGATAAGAATGAAGAGCAACAGAAAAAGAACGGCGGTTTCTGTGACCCTTTTATCTTTGCGGACCAATTGTCATATTTTCGTTATTCTCACTTTCGTAAAGTTGGATTCCAGTAGTGACAATCAACTCGTAGTAACAAGTCCAGCAAGCTAGCAGTCAACCTCACTCGGTTGTATGGAGACTTGCATTATGAGCCACAGGGTCATATCGAAGGAGGTTTACATGACACACTTGAAATATTTGCGAATCTTTAGCCCAACAAGTTCGTCTGAAAGTAAATGGGAATTGAGTAGAACCGAGTCAGTAGCCCCCAGCGGTTTCGATACTTCCAGGTTGCACGCCGATGCCATTGAGCCTATTGTATCTTGGCTCTCAGTTGACGGAACTTAATGGGTTCTAATAATGGCAGGTTAACGCTTGAGCCCTTATATTCGGTTCAAGGAGATAGCACTGGCGTATTTAAAATACCTTGCTGGTTCCACCAAGCTTGGACCCAAACGTAAGACGTGCAGTGGTTTTGTGCATCTGAATCAGACAAGCGACTAGGATACCGGCTCGAGATACGGCATCTCCCGGCATGTATTTGGGTCTTGATCACTCTTTCGGGAGTTTCGTAACATGATGCAGGACATTTGATTCTTCAGCCCTAGGCCTAGAACCCTGAAGGCATCTCTTCTGGTGGAGAAAAACGACATGGTCAGTTGCACAAGCACCTGGCCTTACAGCCCTACCCTGCCGATCCTCCTACATTCTGCTTGGGGACTTGGAAGGAGAACCCATCTAATTTGCAGTAAAGTCGTCAGTCTCTCTCTTGTAAGTCTTGTGACTTGTTCATCCCACAGTCGCTTAGTGGGCTCTTACGTGCGCGCGCGCCTTAGCGCCGTAACACTCTGATACCCCTTTTGTCCTCCACTACAATGTCTCAATTTTACGACTTTTATCCTAACAGCATGCCACACAGCCGGCTATCCGAATGTCTTCAACTGAGCTTCTGCAGCTTGATGGAGAATGAATTCATGATTCAGACAAGTCACCCTGGCCTAATGCCAAGACCAAGACGAAATATCTCGTTGCGAATTAAAATGAAAACAAAAGGAGACAATCTAAAGGTGTAGAAATCATTATCATTTTGATACGGACTTCATATCTTCAGATATGCAGACAGTTTCAAGGTCATGAGAATATCCAAAAGACGAAGATGATGGAAATTTTACGTAGAGCTGGAAGATCAATCAGAGTATAAGTAGTACCTTATGAGCCCGTGATAAGTTATCTTCTTTCCTCATCACATCAAGCCTCCATCTGACACCCAATCGAATTCTCATTTTACAACTTTACATTCATTATATAACCACTCTTCTTCTCAATCACTTACACAAAATGAAGTTCTTCCAGTATCTTGCCGTCCTCGCTCTTACTACTGGAGTTTACGCTGATGTTAGTTATAACACCTCGCTGAAGACTCAAAAGGCAAAATTAGTATGCTAATCATGATATTGATAAAAGTGCCGCATTGATGGAAATGACCCCAACTGCTGCTGGGGAGGCGACCAAGGATCGGATGCTTGCGCTCGCCAGAATGGCTACATCGGCTGCATCAATGGCGCCGAAGATGGCAATTTCTGCATGAACATGGGAATACCCAACTCCAAATGCGTAAGTGTCTCATATCTGCCTGTTACTCGGCAAATTTCACTTCACATTTTGAATAACCCATATACTAACCCAACTGATTATCAGGACGCCGACTGCTGCGATACTCGTACCGGTTTCGGTAAGCCTTGCCCCAAGGGCAAGAACAGATGTGACGACGACTCTGGATGCCCTCACTAAGGGAGCAAATACTTCATAAAACTATTGGTGTTTAAAGGGACAAGAGGTGTAGGGGAACGCGCGACGGGAACGATGGTTGCACTTCTATTTCTTTCTTCGGCTATTTTGCTAGCAAACCTCAATTGAAGTTCTGTAAATTTCAACTTTCGTCTGTAGCCTGAAATAGCAATCATTCATATTGATACCTATCTAAAGTAAGGGGCGTGCTCCTCTTCATGATCTACAAACATGGACTATGGCTGCTAAACCTTATCTCAGCCCTCCCGGGCAGAAATCGCAGGGATCGTTATTTGCGTCTGATAGAGCTTTGAACCACAACGGAACCTTGTAGAAGCTCGGAACCCACTTTGTTCAACTAATTAATGTGCTGCAGAGACGGGTCATTCTCATCGCATTTATCGTAGACAACCCACCCAACAACAAGAAAATTGTCAGTATTCTTGACGATGTGATCTATCCGTCCCAAGCTTTGAAGACGCTTCAAATGTTCGCAGCACGAAGCGTTCAGGGGAGCAAATTTGTCTTGACAACTAAACAGAACATTCAATCTATTGATAGGAGTCCTATCTTACATTGCTGCGTGTAGAGTTGTTTCGTCTTGCACCACCAGCCGACTTCTCTTCCCAGCTTATCCAATATTACCTAAAGCTCCTGGGACGACGGGTTGTGTTTCAGAACCACTTGTTCATCGCCATTTTCAACTTTATCCTCGTTACTTGCTATGATTTGTTGGGCAATGCCATTCCAAAATTGGCATTTCATCCTGGAGTTCTGGTCGTCAGAGGTAAGGTGAAATGCTGAGTGAATAAGACCTGGAGACCGGACCTCCATTACATCTGATAGCTGGTCTTGACTTCCATCCGCAACAGGCCAAAATACCCTTGCAGTGCTTCGAAGGTTGTTTGGGTCTCCTGTAAGGGCAAAAGAAGCAAAGTAAGCCTTATACCTCGAGGCAATAAGGCCTTCGAGGACTTTAGCGTAGACTTTGGCGAAAAAGCTATTCTTCAGTATTTTTGAAAGAAGGTCTAGGACTTGCTGGATGTTGTTTGAAAAGAGTGGAATTAGATCGCTTGCGTGGTAGGCCAGGATCCTTAGCGGATATGCGTATTCCATCATGTAAGACCTTGTTGAATATGAATCGAAAAGATCTCTGGTGTTACAAGTAAATGAAGAGTCTTGGATTACCTCCCTGAGGCATATGGTGTAGTTGCCATGGTAATCAGCCTCACAGTCATACTGCTGTCTGATCTGATCCCTGACATGAGATAGCTTTTCCCCAGGCAGAAATGTGGCCAGGAAAGAATTGAACTTCTCTAGAGAGTCTATGCCGTGTGGTGTAAATGACTGTGCCTCATTTGCGCAGTGGGAAATGATCGCAGACCAAATATTGTCCCAGTATTTGCCTGGTGATGTCCGTTAGCAGCATGTTCTACAGTCCCGGTGAATCGGATGTTGCAATTCTACCTTGTGAAAAGGCAATGGTAGGGATGGTTTTGATCCATTTACCATCAATCGAAGGCCCAACTGGAAACAGGCCTGTCTGCGGGACTTTTCCAAAAAGGAGTTGGTTCGCCTCAACAAGCTTGCTGGATTTGGCGTTGCGGAGGCAATCAATGTCGTACTTGTCACCGCAGCCGGATAGATCGGAAAATGTCCGGTAAGTTTGATCAAGAGTGCCATCCTTGGAATTATCCCATTGCCACTCAAATGCCGGACTTTGGACAAGAAAGGTTTCGAAGTTCGGGTCCTTGTTGCCATCCTCTCGTATAAGATGGTGAAGGATAGAGCCAGCACCAGCTGATTCGCCCCAGGCACTCACGCTGTACCGATCACCTTGTACCTGCTCGACGTAGTTTTGAACCCACTCAAAGAGGAGAGCCTGGTCATAGAGTCCGGCATTGGGCTGTCCGTTTTGTTCCATGTACGAACCTGCCAACCAACCAAATGCACCTAGACGGTAGTTTCCTGTGATGAAGATGGTTCCATACTTTGACGCCTTGAGGAGAGACTGTCCGGTATAAAGTGGGCTGAACTGGTCTTTGCTCCCGAAAGCGTATGCACCTCCATAAAGCCAAACGACAACCGGCAACCGGTCAGCATCTTTATCGAACGCCTTGGCCGGGACATATATATCGAGAAAGAGACAATCTTCGTCTTGGATGACACTTGAGTCTGGCGACTTGTACAGCCGATGCCTCCCGCCCGGGGCGTTCTTCAATTTATCTGGATCGATCTGAATGCAGCTCCGGCCACCCTCGCTGTCCTGGATTTTGTCGTCGTTCCAATCGGGAAAGGAAGGAGGACCGAAGCGCTCAGGTTTCGCACCAAACCGAACATTTTTGAATACATATATCTGCGGATTATGTTAAGGAACTTTCTGATAAGCGACAAAAGGAACATAATTACCTCGCTGTCATCTGGAAATCGCGTCGCCTGCCAAACTCCCCAAGGAAGAGTTAATCGTGGTAAGTTGCCATCACTTTTGGCATTAGCACATAAGGCTAACAAAGAAAAGAACAATAGGATCTTAATCATCTTAGCACTCGAGACATAAAACCTGGTCTATGATAAAGAAATCAAAGTGTGATCGGTCAGGGTATGACACCAGCAAACCGTGGTAATGGCCTTAACTATACATAGGCAACTTGCTGACAACTAGTCCTATATACGAACAACAAGGCCCTACAGATGTTTTAATGTCGTCGTATTTGTCTGTGAGATCTCCTGAGAAACGGTCCGTGCCAAACCTGTTCAGTGTTTAGACGATGAATTCCTCATAAAGTATGTAGGGACACGATAGGGACGTGGTAAGCCATCATCAGATCATCTTTTCCCCGCCCTCTGCTTGATTGACTAATATAGCATTCTTCAGTTAGATAGATGGATGATGGATTGGTGCGGGGTACACTAACGTAACTGAGACCTACTGCCGTTAGGTGGAATTGTGGCTTCATACCTTATACTAGGATGAGAAAGGGATCGCGAGTGTCTTACGTGCACATCGTCTTCCCAGGGGTTTCAATCCGGTTCGCAGCCATGGGTAGGCAAGAACTTGACCTGACTTAGCTTGGTATTGCATTCCACGGGCTGAGATCTACCAACAACGAGTTTTTGAAATCCCTGCCTTGGTTCACCTTCTGAAGAATGCAGGCTCTCAGCTGAAGGATAGGGAGAAACGGCCTGTTGTGGTTAAAAGCCAGGCAATGGGTTCCTGTGAAGCAAGACTGTCTTACTTTTCCTACTATTGCCCCACGAAACGCGTCCATGGAAAAAGTGCATCTTGGAAACCCCGCGTACGAAGCATATACGCGGCACATCCCCAGAAGTTTACCGGCCAAAAGCCAGTCTCTTCGCACCAATTGACCTTGGAATTCCACATTGCTTGCTGCGGGATGTATTTGGTTGGCACATATATGGGCATCTAATACTGATGGAGAGGTAGAAGATACCCATAGTGGCTGCCTGATATAGGAAAAACAGCTTGGAGACTGTATTTGTAGATTGAAAAGTATTCGTCATTTAACCAAACCCTCAAATCTAATATAGTTTCTTATAATCATATGCTGGATGCAACTGAGCGCTAAACTATAAACACAAGAGAACAACCTTTTGAGGTTTCGCTGGATTTGCTTTCTGTTCACCGACTTTTACGAAGAAGTCTTACCACGAATAATATCGGCAGCCTGAAACAAAGTTTGAGTTAGCAATGTAAAATAATACCAATCTCTTGCGCATTTGTTGACTTACTCTTTCAGCCACAGCATAGACGGATGTCATGGTGTGTGAAGCGGGAAGCAAAGGCATAACAGAGGCGTCCACAATGCGCAGGCTTTTGACGCCGTATACGTTAAGCTTGGTATCAACGACACCGCCCTCCTCTCTCGGGCCCATCTTGCAAGTACCGGCCGGGTGAAACAGAGTGGAGCTCTGCTGGCGAACAAAATCGGCAATAGCAGCATCTGTGGTAACATTTGTGCCTGGAACAACCTCAAATGGTGACAGCTGCTTAATAGCGGATGTAGCGGCCAAAGTACGAGCGAACTTTACGCCCTCAACTAGGAGAGATGTATCGAGAGGATTGCGAAGGAATCCGGCGTCGGCAACGGGGGCATCGAAAGTGCTTGAAGACCCAGCCTTGACGCTACCGCGGGAGTAAGGGTGCTGAAGACCAAGAACAATCACACCATCGGACCAGATGACCTCAAGAAGGCTGGATTCAGCCGATAGAAGAAGCTCATTGAGAATCTTCTGCTGAGCCTGATATCCTTTAACCACCTCAGCCGGAGTGCCCTGGGGCAAGAAAGTAGTGCCATCTTGCGATGCTGCCTGAGCACTAATGGCGTCGCCAGCTTTGGAGTAAGTCGAAAGAGGAAGGAAAGCCAGGAAGTCGCCAGTAGGAGAGGCGAAGGGTCCATTTCTCTGGCTGTCATATTGTGCTCGTGCCTCAGCAGCGAATGATTGGTTGCTAGTCAACAGGCTGCTAACGGGCAAGGTTGTGTTGACTGCGGTATTATGTTAGTTGAATGAAACACAATGTCAGGGTGTAACGTACTGGTATTGACAACAGTCAAGAGAACATGGTCGTGGAGGTTTTGGCCAACTGCAGGGAGATCAACAACGGTCGGGACGTTGATGCTCTTATGAAGGGAAGAGTCGCCAATGCCAGATATCTGAAGAATCTGGGGTGTGTGGAGTGAGCCGGCAGCGAGGATAACTTCCTTCTTAGCATTGGCGGTCTGGGACTGAGCGCCTTTGCTGGACGCAAACTGCAGGAGTCTCGTAAGCATTCTGGCTCAACCTGATCATATCAAATGGAAAAGGGCTCACCTCCACGCCGGTTGCGGTCACAGAGTCTCCTGATCCAGTGGTCACAATCTTCGTAACTTGCTGCCCAGTAAGAAGGTGCAGATTTTGACGGTTCGTAAAGTTGTCATAGTATGCCTCTCTAGCGGATGATCGAGTGTTGGTCTTAGGATCTTGGTTATGGGGGCAGAAGTAACCGCCAATGGGACTTCCGTTAGCTTGATCTTTGGCAACAGGGATTCCCAGCTCTTTAACAGCGTCGACCATGAATTCTGCAACGAATAGTCAGCCTTGTAATAACGGAAGGTAAAGATATACGGCACAAGAACGCAACTGGTAGTTGGCCAGAAGAAAGGAGAGTACGTGGAATGCATCAGCCCATCCTTGCCATGGGCAGACTCATCAACCTCAATACCCCACTCAGTCGTAATTTCTGGTGTAGGAGGAGTAAAGATTTCGTTCTAAAATAACCAATTTCAGTCAGTGAATACCGCAACTTAGGGATTGGGCAGTTACCTTCTTGAAGTAGGGAAGAAGTGAGTTCCAGTTCCAGTCCCCATTTCCAAGTTTCTCCCAACGATCGTAATCCGACTTCGATCCTCTATCAAAAACCATTCTGTTAAGCTTCGTTGAGCCACCCACAACCTTTCCCGCGGGTATAGAAACACTTCGACCTCCAAGAGCGTCATTGGGAGTGTAGGTCAGGTTCCAGTCGTACTTAGTGCCAACAGCACCACCTGCTAAACCGGGGATTTTGACAAAATCTTCACCCGCGTCACTAGAATCTCGATGTTAGAAATTCTCTCGCAAACGCAACGACGGCTACTAACAGTTCACCAGCTTCAATAACCAGAACGGTCACACCTGTCAAGGTTAGTTGTTGCCTTGAGGACGCGATAGAGGAACTTGGGGCATTCCAGTGACATACCTGGATCCTCGGATAACCGGTTGGCTACAGTCAACCCGCTCGCACCACCACCAACAATAACATAATCATAACTCGGTAGCAGGTTCGAACCGTTTGTATTCTTGTTGCAAAGCGAAGGAGAAGATGGAAGAGCAGTCACTCCGTAGAGAGGCAATGCTGCCGCTGCCGCGGCCATTTTCACGATGAGCGCCATGGTAGCTAGTGTCCGGTGATGGGACTCAAAAACAAGATGAATGAGTGTCTGTGCGTATTTACAAGGGCGCAACAACGAGTGAGTAGAGACGCAAAGATTCGCAAGTTTCCAAAGACTCGGGACGACCCGATATATGATGTAGTCCGGCCCCTGAAGGTTGGACTGCATCAACTGACAATGAACTTAACCTGACAATCTGCCGTGTTGCCGCTGCCGAGCGTACTAGGGGATCATGAACTTTCTTCTCCACAAAGATCTGGGGCTGGGAAGTTGATAAGCGAAAGCTAAGCGCCATAGTAACCGACATAATGGGACTGAGTGAATTACGTGACATGCTACGGTCTGTACTAGAGAACAATTAAGACATGGATGTAGACAAAGACCCACTAGCGAGTCGAGAAGGTGACCTCGATCGGACGAATTGATGCCCCAATCGAATATCGGCTGAAACCTGGTTCGGGCGATTCAAAAAGTCTGGGGTGGCATATTGATAGGTTAGCAATGGCTCTGTCAGCAAAGTTGGTTGCAACTGCTCACATGTAGTTGAGAGACAAGGTGGGGTAAAATGCGATTATTGCGTAGGACATAGCATCCGGAAATTACGCTCGAAAATCGTCTGTGAGCATCTGCCGAAGGGCATGGATATTGAATCATTCAGGTTTATGCTGGTTAGAACCGCGCGTTAACCAAGCGTCGCCCCATGGTAACTCACCTGACAACGGCAAAAAAGGTTCCACCTAAGCTGATTAAAGTGATTTGTCTGCTAAGGTGCCGCAGCCAAGATAAGGTGAATATAATTGGGTTGCCATAGTTCAAACTGCAATGGCAAATGCCAATAGTAGCAATCATCGGTAGTTCTATTTTGTCTCATGCCCTGGAGCCGTTCCAGAGAAGAAAGGGCAAGGAGGCTGCGGCGCTCAAGGGCGAACGAAGTAGTAGCCCCGTCCCATGAATCATTGACATGGGACCCTGGACGACACCTCGGCGTTTTATTGCAGCCTGTCCCTCCCTTCTGCATGCATTGGCTTAAATCGGCACCCTGCCGGTGCGCGTGTCATTCAGCACCTCAACTTGCCTATTTGGTGCTGCTTCACGCAAGCCCAGGTATAACAGAAGCTCAAGATGAACTAGGCAGTTTTCGTTTCCAATAGCGGGACTGCATTTGAGTTGAGTCTATACGGCTCACTGGAAACAACCCGCAACAGCGGATAGAAGACCAAATCTGTTTTTCAATATGTCTAAAAATTGCAATGCTGTATGTTCTGGTAATTTTCACTTATTGTCATTGTTGAATTATGAGGGTGGCACCTACATAAACCACATGTCCCGTCAGAAAGGAATATCAGCAATTGGAAATTTCGATTCCCTAACACCTAGAATTTAAATGACCTCAAAAGCTCGAAAATTTTGGAATAGGAATTCGATTCAAAGCAGTAAAAGAAGGCTCGTGGTGCTTGCATTGATGACGGTCCACAGCTAAATGTGAAGATGCAAAGACGTGGAATCGCCCCTCGGATTTCATGGCAATCAGTGGATACACCTCTCAATGAACAACGGGGTCGCATGGTTGCCAGAATCAGCTAAGTGCATGTTACCCTCTTTTAAAGCCGTGTCGTTATTGACGCGCGTGTAGCGTTGCGTAACTCCTGGATTATACGCGTGCATATTTATCATTGTCGTTTGATACATGACTTGGTCTTTCTCGCGTTTGCAGCTGTGCTCACATTTCCAAGTGAGAAGCATTTCTACATAAGATTCAACCGCCGCTACCCAGAAAGAGAATAATATTTTTGAGGACAAGGGACCTGTGTGACTACGAAGGTCTTCGGGAGAATGAGAATTTCCGTTCATCTGCTTTACATGTTTCAAGGTCTAAGCCCCGGGCACCTTGGTTTTCACACCACGTCTCGCTATATCTGAAAAAAGCCACCGAAGGCTATTTTACCCCTTTCTGTTTCATACAAATTCCAGTATATGCTGAGGCTTGTTGAATACTTACATCTGGACCAAAAATCATGTTAAGAACGGAATAGTCTGTGAATATTGAACAATGATGGTCCCATTCTGTACGTGATTCCGTTCTTTCCGTACGATGAGAGACTAAGACCCGGGAATTCCTCCTGTGGAGAGAGTGGTGAATTGAGCTAAACTTTATTATCGCTGACAAAGACTACGCTAAGCGTGTCAGCTGCTGATGTCTTCAGCTATTTTCGAGGCCTAGTTCCTCTGCCGGCAAAGTGCCGAGTGGTTTAGCTGTAGGATTCGAAGCAGCACTTGAAGTCTCAGTGACGGCGGTATGCGCCAAGCCGTCCGCCCGTTGACAAGCGGTGATTGTCAAATAAGTTCATCTGAAGCCTACCAAACCATCGGGCCGCTAAACGAGTTCAGCCTTGAGGTAACAGTCATAAAGTTGAGACATATTAACATAAAAGAACGTACATTACCTGGCAGCATGGATTTCAGCGCATTATACAGCGAGAATAGATGCAGTATCACAGTGGCTTTCGTCCACAATCTTTCCTTAGGCAATATGAGCATCCGCTTCCTCACTCATTTTGCTCATACGAACTTTGCTCATGAAACCGCAGAGCGCCTTGGGCCTTTTGGTGTAGATATCGATGATCTGGTTAATACTTTGAGTTTAAGTGGCCTATTGTTATGTGATCATGGGCGCTGGGAGTGAGTTGGGCCTTGACGTCGCAGAAATCATGGCTTTCTATCATTTACAGCCATATTTACTGATGATTCGATTATGTTTGAGAGACCTGAGGCGTTTTCATACCATGCTCAGATTACTGACACATTATGAATAGGTTAACTTGGGAAATGATGCAGATATCAGTTTAGCTCTCTTCTTGAGCAACACTTGATATTAACTCAAGACCACGAATATAAGTCTCGCCCAAAACGCTCTACTGATTCCAAGCAAAGGTTGACTCGACGGCAGCAAACATGTCAATGTTATTTGTTCAAGGCGGTGTGTGTTGTCTCACAATCATACCCGAACTAGATTTGTTGCATAAGGGAGCTATCCCAGCACCAAGTGAATAACCTCAAGCTTATGCCTTTCCCAGTCCTCCAGCCAGACGAACCCTGCAGCCTTGCGATAAGCTACCCCACTCACCCATTCTACCCAGAGAACATGTATTTTGTCTTTTGACGCAACCTCGGGCGATCTACTCTTGCAAATGGCTACGAGCTCGATGGCTTCGGGGACGGATTCAGAATCGGCCTCGACAAAACCGATATTGTCTTCCTCTCTGTGAAGTTTCAGTTCTCCACAGTCTTTCCCGTCGGCATCAAGAAGTCTCATAACGAAGAGATGCTCATTGTAAGCCCTGTCATGTTCTGTAAATCTATCATCGGGGAATCGGGTGGCCATGAACCATCCGCGTGTTGTCAGGCAAGAGATGTAGGCCGTTTGCGGCGTAGAAAACGGCTCCACGTCCTCATTTAAGGTGGAAACTGGCAAGGGGAGCCAGAAGTACCTGCCCCGTAAAGATGAGTGGTGATAGACATACTCTCCAAGGCCCTCAGGTGGATCTAAGTTGCTTTCGTTGCCTCTCGCAGGTCCATGTTTCTCATCGTCATATCTCTCTCGTGTCCATCCGCCAGGCACTTGGAAGTCTGGCTTCCTGGCATCCTCCCATATATTGAACCAACTAGACTTGATCTGTCGCCTGACAGCTGCATCTGGAGTCTCGTGGGTGTACCACTGCGTGATAGGAATCGTTCTTTGGCCAGCGTCACCTAGTTCGAAAGTCTCGTCCTTGGGAACGCGTAAGGCGAAGCAGCGCCAACCGATCCAAGACCATGACGGTAGTACAGGTGACTTTTTTGACAGATTCTCCTTCCCTGAATGCTTCCGTCTCTCCATGTCTACGTTGAATTGGGCGTGCCATAATAGGAGGGAATCGAAGCTTGACTCTGCAAGACCGAATAGGAAGCCACCCGCAAAAGATCGGCTTAAAACAGCAAGAAATCCGGTAATTCCAGGCAAGGCATCTTCTGGGTAGGAAAGAATGCGGTTGTTGTATTCGCTGAGCCACCGGTATAGCACTTCATATTTTGGCACTCCTACCATTAAGGCTGCCAGCTCACCAAACCACTCATCACGGCTTTTAGCGGACATTCTGTCGTCAATAAGGTCCTCAGACCAACTCTGGCCGGAACATTGCCAGTATATTTGCTTCCTTGAAAAAATCAATCTCCGTTTTGAGAGGTAGTATTCTTGGTATGTCCAGCCTCGATCGAAGTATTCGTCGCATCCGGTTAACTGCCTCAAAACTGGTTCGTTTCGGATAATAACCTTTTCGTCTTGAAAGACTGGAATCACACCTTGCGCAAATTCTCTCGACGATGATATACCTTTAAGACCACGTAGCCCAACGGTAGCATCGCCGTCCGCAGCGACAATGGTTAGGGTTGCCGAGGAATATATCGCTCCCATCAGTTGAAGCTGCTCCCTTAAATGTACCTCTTGGTCCTGCACAATACAGACTGCGTCTACCCAGAGATAACGCTCGTCTAATTCCTGTACCAGCTCCATTGCATGCCTTATTATTTTAGGTAGCCCGATCTCGATTTTGTTTGGTGATAGCCCTCCCGGCTGTCGAATGATCTCCAATACGTCGCAAGTAGCTTTAAACCCCACCGAACCACCCCACCTATAGCTAAGAGCAACAAAATCCGTGATGCCGTCACCGGGAACAAGGCATTTGTCGGACGTGTCGATAAGCCAAGCTGGCGAGACCTGACGGATATGAAGAGGGTTTCTACATTTCTCGCCATGGTATGTAGAGCAGTCATTTTTCCATCTTTTCACTAGACTTAAGTCGATCCAATCTGGATCGAGTATTCTCCCAAATCCAGATGTCTGGGTTTCATATTTGGACCGACCAAGAATCATGGACCAGGTGACGCCGCGGCCGTCCCTTATTTGCACGAAAATGCCCCCATGAGGTTCATTTTCATTATGACACAGTATAGTCTTGTGAGCTTTCCACACATCTGTATCAATGTTGTGGCCACCAGTTTCTTCAGCCTCGAGCTGTCGCTCACCATCAGGGTTGAATTCTTGGAGAAGAAAGGAATTGTATTCGTCCCTAATGAAACAGAATAGGGGATTGTGTCCGGGACATGAGGCAGCGGCAATTATTTCGTCAATTGGGCCGCCTAGTTCGAGTGAGAACTCGGGTGTCGCCAACATTTGCCTCAAGCTGGCACAGATTTTACAATCATCGTCTGATTGTGTCACCTCGTGGGCGATGGTTACATTTTCTGGTTCCATGCCGCTTCTGTTAGAGAACTCAGGCTGCTGAAGCCTTCTATGCAATGTCCTGGAATTATGTCGTTGATTTCTGATAAGCAGGAAGCTGATTGTAAGCTTGGTGCCACCGCCCCGCGCGCATTCTAGGGGTGTTAATGGGCTGATTTAGGAGCTGGACTCAGTCTGGAGGTATCGTGCAAATGAGGGATTTTTATTCAAGCAGGTTGTTGTTTATACGGGGTTGTGCAACAGCAAAACGAATTGCTGACATGCTCATTCGGGTAGATATATAGCTAGGGTTTATCACTATAAAATTCCTCAGGTCGCGCAACATACTGATACAGGGCTGGGGAATTAGCCGACTTGGTTGGATGCACCTAGCGCAGATTCCAACCAATCATCCATCCACCTCACCCATGGTAAGCCATGAAGATTTAGAGCTGGACAATCGCCGTTGAAGGACTAAACTTCAAACGAAAACTATGCTGGGGATAATGTGATGGGTCTTAAATCTAAGCAACAGACAATATGCATTTAAAGATAGCATAGACTTCCTCGACGAAGGTATGAGATGATTGTAATTATAGGCTAGCTGGTATCCGAGTTTCCTGATCACTCTTTTTGTCTCAATGCGATTGATGACATTGATTACTACGTCCATCCCTTTATGCTAAAGACGTAGAGGAGGGATTCAAAGATTCTTAAACGTACCATTGATGCCGATGCAATAGAGTTGGGAGTCACAGAAGAAACAAGATTAAATACTTGTGAACGACTTGAGTCGTTCTTGAGCTTGGTGGCTGAAGACTGTCGGCTTTTGTAACCCTTTTCTTGGTTAGTATCCGTATTCCGCGGGATACTGGTAGGTGTCAGTGCGCAGTGGTTAACCGCTCCGGGGCTACTACGTAAACTCAACAGTATCCAGGCCACGATTGGTTGCAGGATTCATGGCGGGATTGACGGCGGGATTGCTTGCGAGGATCATTGGGCTTGGCGACTTTCGGGGTTGTTGGCTATATCTGGACGGACCGGCAAATGGGCGAGAGGCTTGAGTGTGTCCTTGGGAGCTCCTGTGGGTCGTGGTGGGCTTGTTGAGGGCTATTTGCGGGGGCGGGTATCCAGGAGCTCCAGTAGCTCAATGCAGAGCGACACAGGACCGCTGTACGGTTCCAGGGTGTTACCGGGACAGCTTCCTACGAAGTACCCCAAACAGGGAAAATATCGCCGACTCGAGCCCAACAAACCCAATCAGGAGACTGTGATATGATGTTCGAGCAAGACACACCGACTGCACGGCGTATCGTCCGACATAAATATCACGGCGGAAAGCACACCGAGCTCCTGATTGCTAAATTGACTTCCTTCTCCCCTCAGTCTCTCCTACCATCCTCCTCTCATTAACTATTCCCACCAGTTTCAACCACTCTAACAGTCAAAATGGGCAAGCCTATTGTTTTGCAACTCGGCGACGATATCAAATGGAATCATGATCTTTACAAGGAGTTCACTTCTAAATTCGAGATTCGGCGGTCTTACAGCATGCCACGCGCCGAGTTCATTCAGGCACTGAAGGACAAGAAGTTTGGAGACTTCTTCGCCATCTACCGTCCTTTCTGGAACACAGGAGGCGAGATGGGCAACTGGGACCAAGAATTGATTTCGCTTCTGCCATCATCATGCAAAATTTCTGCCAGCGCCGGCGCTGGATTTGACTGGGTTGACACGGAAGCTCTTGCAAAGAGGGGTAAGTCGCTCGACTTGTGAACCGTGGCTACTGACACTATGACTTGGGTCTTGTCATCCCAATTGTTCATGACAGTAAGTGCTGACGATTTGAGCAGGTATTATCTACTGCAACGCGGCCGCAGCCTGTACCGAATCCGTCGCCGATGGAGCAATCTGGCTCATCATTTCTATTTTCCGCCTCTTTTCTTGGTCCTCCGTTGCTGCTCGCTCTGGTGACCCAGACCAGTTTGTTGAAGCCAACAGAGGGCTCGCTGCCGTCTCACGAAACCCCAACGGCTTCAGTCTGGGGATTATCGGTTACGGCAAGATTGGCCGACGCATCGCAGAGAAGGCTTATGCATCTCATGACATGAAGATTCTCTACAACGACGTTGTCCGAATGCCCCCGGAGCTCGAAAAGCCCACGAACGCGACCTACTACAAGAATATTGACGACTTGCTGGCCACTGCAGACTGTGTGATTGTCGCAACGCCTTTTGCAGGCAAGACCCTGCTAGATGCGACGGCAATCAACAAGATGAAGAGAGGTGCTAAGGTCATCAACATTGCTCGTGGCAAGCTGATCGACGAGGATGCTTTGATTGCTGCGTTGAAGAGTGGTCAGCTGTCTGCTGCTGGACTTGATGTTCATTTCAACGAACCTCACGTCAGCAAAGAACTCATCAACATGAGAAACGTCGAGGTCCTGTCACACAACGCCGGTGCGTCTTTGGACGCCCACATTGGGTTTGAGAGGTTGGGAATGGAAAACATTTTGTCGTTCAACGAAACTGGCAAGGCTGTTTCGCCTGTCAACGCTCACTTGATCAAACAGAGTCGTCTTTAATTGAGAGTTTTGAGGAAAAGGCTATGCGAGCTTTCTGTATGAATAGCAAAGGAAAGCCAAGGAGTTTATGGATGGATGGATGGGCATATGGATAAGTCGGTTTTATGACAAACGCTATGATGAACCCTCAATTGAATGATTTTAGAACAATCTATTGCCCCCATTTAAAGTGATATTTGTTGATTTCTTGAGTCATAATACACGTTGAAACGCTCGGAGTCAGCCGACAATCAAGTGGGAGCCTGCGACGACGCAAAATGGAGAGAGGAGCGTGGCGCCGCGGGGGAGAAACACGGTCTTTAGAATGAAAGGTATCTACATAGTTGTCCTGGAATCTCAGTCCACATCGATGTTCCTTTCGGGGTTAGTTGCCAGATATGTTGTAGTTGACTATCACTGGTTATTCCTGGCCTCCTTAGCCATTTACGGTATGTATTAAAGCGGCTCTTGTTTAAGAACACCGTCTGACTGTGTCACGAGTACCGCAGCAAGTTTGCACTTACACCAACATGTGATTACCAAACTGAAGACAGAATGCTGAATTTGAAGCGCCGTCAATGCTTCTTTAGAGTCTTATGAGGGCTATTTCAGTACGAGTTCAAATATCTATGCTGTGATAAAGCAGAGACACGCATCGTAACTTACCGGCTAGGTCTTTTGAACATGCTCATAAACCCTCATACCTCATGTTCCTGAAGCTCAGGCCTCCTTCTGGCTCTTCACCGCCGAATACGATGACCATTTGCTCCACCTTCTAGATAGATACTCTATTGGGCTTTGGATGGGCTTTTAAGCGTGATACGCATGGCAGTAGTATCATTCATTATGAAAGCAAGATCTAGTGTAAGGTTCATGTGATGTAGAATAGACATTTGACCGTTTGAAAATCTGGCCTCAACTAACTAGTATTACTACACGGACGCTGAGTCACTTGCTCCGTAACATAGTTAGATGGCACCAACAAATTTGAGCGCCTTCTCTACAACCTCATCTAATGACTTCTTTGGAAGACCAAGCCGTTCGTTGAAAATAGGACCCTCCTTCTCCAGGTGCCCACCATATCTTCCGGTAACGAACCCCGTTTCAATCAGTGCGAATGTGGCAGAGTCATCTCCGTTCTTCACAGCCGCCTGCTTCTCTTCGATGTACGCAAGGCTGTCGATGGTTTCGGTCTCATATTTCGCGCCCTGAATTCTCTCAATGGCGTCCAACAACTGCTTCTGTGAGACGGCGAAATCGCTGAGAAGCACGTTTGTGTTTCTCGTCTCCTCGGGCATTTGCAGGGCTTTTACCAAGCCGGTAGCTGTGTTCTCTTCCGTGGTGAATGACATCAAACCCTCCCCATTATCCCAAAATACAAATCTCTTTTCTTTGACATGCATCCCAAGAAATTCGTGCACCATGCTCCATTTCAGCCACATGCCGCAAGAGATGGACATCCATTCCAAGACACCTTGATCCGCCTTGGACCGCAAGTACTCTTGCACCTTCCCTTTGTCGTGGAACACAGCGTTGAGAGCCTGGGCATCGGGTCGCATGTTGTTAAGCCCATATTCGCTTGGAACATATCGCTTGACGCCTGCAGTGATGGCAGCGTCGATCATGCGAAATTGGTCGGCGACTGAGAGGGATGTCATGCAGTTGACAATCACATCTTGACCTGTGAATGCTGGTACCAGCTCATTGGTCGGATATGTATCTGCAATGGTGATGGTTTTAAGATGGGACGGCAATTTCGTCTTGGATGAAGAGCGTTGTAAAAGGGTGATGGTTAAATCCGATTGAGCCTCAAGGGCAGCCAGTACATAACTCCCAATAGAGCCATTGGCGCCGATAAGAAGGACACTCTTGAAACTGGACATAGTTTTTGTTGTGTGTTAGATGAGATTGGCTTCTAGTGGTAAAGTATGTGTTCAAAGAAGGCTGATGTGATGAGTTGGTAGCTGTACTGACTGAAAGCGTTCGTGATAATGGGTATCTTATATAGATGACTCTACATGTCAGTCCATTTCTCCTTCCATATTGATGGTTCGTCTGTGTATTAGACATCCTAGAATTATTCATCCTTCATGTATGTGCGTCATGAAACATGATGCATGATACTGTTGCAATACCTGCATGCATTGGCTTATCAAGCGATATAGACCCTACAAAGGCTCGCTAAAACGCCTCGGCCCTTAAGCCCCGGGCTTTGATATTGCATGTTGCATGTCTTAGTATGACGGCGTTCGTCATAGACACAATAATGTGATGAGTTGACAAACACCGTTCATACTTACTAAGCTCAATTAAAGAAAGAGGTAGGAGTGGAACAAATCCCGAAAGAGGCAACGGTTTTGCTCCGTGAACCTGAGATATATTCTTGAAATTTCATGATTAGTGAACGTGGTCAATTCCTGTTCACCACAGCAGAGGACTAACTGCTTTGGGAGGCATTGATCTTACTGTGGGGGCTAGCGTGTCTTTCTTTTTGAGTATCGTTCAGTTTATAAATAAGCACCATGCATTACCGAAACTTGAATAGTAATCATTAATTGATGTAGCTGGATATCGTCTTATCAAACCCACTAGAATCAGCCACAATTATCCAGCAGTGTGTTGTAACACTTCCTTCACCAACTCTACGCTCAGAACCCAAAGACATGCTGCAAAATGAACACTTCTCGTGATTGGTCTGTTGAATGGCCCTGTCTGACTGAGCTTGTTGATATACCATGTACAGAATTATCATGAGGGTCTGAGACATATCAATCGAATATTTTTCTTCCGGGCTTCAAGCACCTTACCTAGTCAACCACCTTGACCATAAAACCAATAATGTGGCACCGAGCCCAACGTCCAGTTTTTACGGAAATCAAACTATTATTTCACTTCAGTCATCGATGTTAGCTTCCTACCTATTATGCATAGCACTTGACTCTTTTGTAAGGATGTTAGTAGTTCAAATCCAGGCTTTCCTAACAACCGCAAAATGCACAATCAATCTCCAATGTTCTTCGGGTGTAGGATTGCCCCCTGACTTCAATGCATGAGAAATAATCCTATGGATCACGGTAAGTGCTGTTGCTCTACCTGTTACTTTATTTTCTAGTTTTAAACTTTGAATAGGCTGTAAATAGAACCGTAGCATCTGTTGTTATCAGAAGAGAAACAGATATATTACTTAATTCTCATTAGGCTCAGAGATCAGGTTCTAGCCTGTGTAACTCCCCAGCTGAAATTCCCCTCTGGCTTATAGCTTTCTTTGCAGTGTACATAGTATGCATCTAGTAGTGGAAGACGAACCCGTTCCCAAGACTTGTACTCCAAGTGCGGGGATGTAAAACAGTGTCTCAGACTTCAACTTGTCTAACAACTCACAGCCAAAACGGAGGCATCTTAAAGAACTGCTAAATTCGAATCAATCAGATCCGGACAAAGTCACCGAGGCATTCTTTGTTCGGCCTCTGGATAACACCGAGAGCCGATTAGATTAGTCTTTCGTACCACTTCAGACCCCCGCTCGCCCACGGGTAACCTTGCAAGCATAACCTTACAACCTTGTGACGAACTTGGCCTTTCTCCCCGATGAGTACAGAAGGCCAATCAGCTGCATGAAATTTTGTATAACAGTTGCCTGGAACCCTCGAGCCACTGTCGCCGGATTCGTCGGGCATGTAGAGTATATATTATAAAGAGGGGAAACTTTCCTCAGAACCAACTTTCCATGGCAACCACCATTTGTTGGAATCTGATTTCGAACCTACTAAATGCATGTTCGAGTCACTGACTTTAGCTTGGCTTGACAGAAGCCGATGTTCTCCGAGTGTATCAACAGTTTTTCGGGTGCAGATAGGTAACATTGAATCAACATCGATGTACAATGGCTTTCCTAAGCCCAGTTGCGATGCTTTTTCTCATAGCTGCTTTGGCTTTCGTCATTATAGTCCGTGTATGTCTCCATTTTCATGCTGTTCCGATGCTGCTTCACAGCTAACGATGGTCTTTTAAGCTGGCTATCGCTGCACAGTCATCGTCTCTCAGGCACCTACCAGGCCCCTGGCACGTTAAACTAACGCACTATGTCCTCAAATATTACACAGTAACGGGCAAACGTATGTATTACATCGATTACTTACATCAAACGTTTGGCCCGGTCGTACGGATCTCTCCAGATGAAGTCTCCATCGCTGATCCAGAAGGTTTTATCGCCATACATCGCATGGGCTCTGGTTTCAATAAGGCAAAATATTATCAGGAACTTACTGGAGGGGCTAAACCTGGAATCTTTACGATGATGAATCCTAAAACGCACGCTGCCCGCCGCAGACTTTTCGCTCGTGCCTTTACTGCTTCCTCTCTCAGAGAGAACTGTGAGGCTATAGTGCGTGCAAAGGTTGAGATGGCGACAGACCGCATTCGCTCCGAGGCAATTGGAGGGTCTGCTGATATACATAAGTGGTGGAAATTCATGGCGAGCGATGTAATTGGACAACTCTGTTTTGGGGAATCATTTGAAATGCTGGAATCGGGCAAGGTAAGTAATCTGGCAAACTTTTCTTGCGCTGTTCTTTTTTGGTGAATAACATGGCTAACTGATGACGTTTCAGAAAAACAGATACGTTGAAGTTCTTGATGCCGTTGCTTCTGCGAGCACCAGACGTTACGAGCTACCTTGGCTGCACTACTTTCTCAGTTATATGCCCACCAAATCTGTGCAACTTTTGACCAACACGAGGGCAGAAATGATAACCTATAGCAGAAAGGCAGTGGAGAACCTTCATCGCAACAAGGCTAACAAAACAAACCTATTCGCTACAATTGTAGCGGAGATCGAGACCAATGAGAAGGCGGAGCTTAGCGACGAGGTTATTCGGGGAGAGGCCGCCAACATGCTTATCGCCGGGTCTGATACGATATCCAGCTCTCTCACCTACACTATCTGGGCTATTCTCAAGAGACCTGATCTTCAGCAGCGACTTGAGAAGGAGCTGACAGGACTAAATGAAAAATTTAATGACGAAATCTTGGAAAAGCTGCCGTTGTTGAATGCTGTCATTGACGAGTCACTGCGACTTTACGGTGCGGTTCAGGGAACCTTACCTAGAACCACTCCACCCTCTGGGGTGACCATCGGAGGGTACATGATTCCTGGCGGTACCACAGTAATGACGCAGGCATACACCATGCATCGCCTTGCTCAAGTGTTCCCAGACCCTTTGCGGTAAGTTTCTCGAATCTGCTCCCGCAAGAGTCTCCTAATGACAGCCAAAGGTTTGACGAGTCTCGATTTCTACCTGGAGTGCCGACTGAGAGACAAAAGCAAATGTTCTCTCCGTTCGGGACAGGATCGCGTTCGTGCCTTGGAATATCACTGGCCCGAATGGAAATGAGGTTGGCTGTAGCCCTTTTATTCCGCAAATGCCACGGCCTTCGGCTTGCAAGTAACATGACGGATGATATGATGGACATGGTGAGCTTCATAGTTTCGAAGCCAGTCGCCAACAGATGCAATGTAGTGCTTTTTGGAAATTAGTAAATTAAGCAGGACAGTCTTCCGAAATCTTCAACTCTCCCTTTGAGAGACCAAATCTTGCTAGAGATAGATTCTTGGCCAGTAAGCCAATTAGCAACATGTCTCACTGATTTACTTGGAATTTGTGTGAACAAAAGCAGGCCACAATCGCGACTTAACGTGTAGATTGTTGCATTATTTGTATTCTTGCCTCTATTTCTTATTGTCTACATATTTTAGACAACATAACCATTTGGTGAGCAGTTGTTGGTTGGCTGTTGGTGCTGGCTTCATTTTGCCCTGATCCGCGTATTTTCTATCCACCAAATAGGCCAGTTCAGCTTCATTTCGACATGGATTAGTGAGATTAACCAGCCGTACCTGTTAAGGTGAGACAAATAGCAATCAGGCGCTGTCAATATGTGACGATAGTGTCAACCCTTACCGAACACACCGAGGAGGCTTTACGTAAGCTTTATGAAACGCACACCGTAGACGTATAAGTATATACTTTCTCCCATACATACATACCCTATTTCTAAACTAAGTCACTCTTTCACACCTTTCCTAGTCTGATTACTATATGCCTAGTTCGTCGTACAATACGAATACGATAAATCCTCGGAAGACGGGCTAGCAGTTGTGTATCTGCCTGCCCACATATAACGGGAAATTGACAGGGAGGAACATGGGTCAGAAGCGAAGTTTATTCCTCCTTGAATACTAATCACATCCGTTGGCTGCTACATGGCCATGATTCGTACGAAGTGAATATAGAAAGTTCATTTGAAACCCTTGAGCCCTGTCACTCCTCTTCCCCCTACGAAGCCATGTCCTGGGTAGGTCAAGTACACCACGCCTTTGCGGAGTGACCCGAAGTTAGGTTGTTGAGAAAAAGTCTTGGCTACTTTTTCATCGACGAAGAACGTATGTCAATGACGGCATATTATGCTTGTGCGGCAAACTATCAAGGAAAGGTGGGCCATATTTCCGTTATTGCAACTCTACCTTCCATCCAGTCTGACACACAAGGCGGAGAACGTGCTACTGGTAGTAAAGTCTATTTGATCGTAGTAGTCGGAGAAGATGTTGAATGATTCAATGATAACAGTCCGCTTTCTATCCTCATGTCTATTGTTTCCCTTGCACCCAGGCCGTTTATCGTATTTCTTTTCCCAACTTGCTTTCTTCCATTCCACAACTATAAGAAGCCATGAATTCCTAAGTTATATAACGGTATATGATAGTTCAACTTGCTCAGGCGTAATCTGTCCCTTGTCATGAAATCTGGGGTGGTCTTGGATGATCCAAGTACCCGAATGGATGTGGCGAGCATGACTTGCCGCAAAGCGGCGATGAGCGATATGGTTAGGTTACAGATCCATCTCGCTAGCAGTCGTTGACCGCAATGCTTCGGGATAAAGATAGTAATCTTCATCTTTGTATCCACAGTTGTGGAGTTGCCGTATGATGGGAAACAGCTTCTCAAACATTTTCTGCGTCCAACTTTACCGCCAGTATGGGTGACTGTGGATATTAAAAGCTGACATATCGATACAAATAAGATGACGCGTCTAGACGTAAACCTAAAGTCTACAACACTGTAAAGAGCTACCTGCCTGAGTCATTGCATGTTCGTTTGAAGCACATAGTCACGACGGCGTACGGATACCGGGGGCTTGGTTAAGAGCTCCGCTTGGCAGCGGAAAACGAAAGTCACGGAAACGAGTCAGCTTTAGGAGATCAGCATACAGGAACGCGGCATCTGAAGGATACAGTAAGAATCAAGACAGCATATCATCGGTTTGAAGCTGAAACGTAACCCCGAGTTGCTGGCTCGGCTTTCCCAAGTTGTTAGATAAATTTGTCCACTAAGGAGTATAAAAAGGGCTTGAAAGAATCTGTTCATCGCAACATTTTACTTTGTCATCGCGCCATCGTCTCCTATCATCGCATCTTTTTCGTCTTATCATCATAAGATCAGAACATATCACAATTTCATCTAATACTTTCCACCAATACAAACGTTGACCGTTTAATCCAACCAGACAACATGCGCTTCCAAATTATTCTCGCTATCGCTGCCACCTACATTGTTGGTGCCATGGCAGGTGCTTGCGAGGACTGCCAGCGAACATGCCCTAGGCCAAGTGAAGACGAGTGCAGTAAGTCTTCCGTGTTTTCTACGAATGTTACAGTTGGGTGGGTTAGCTAATTATCTGTCATCATCCAGACGCTCTCTGCGCCCCTACCTGCAACGGAAAATAGAGGTTGTTACCAGAGTTAGTCGATTACACACTGATACAAGACGTTGGTATCAGGAGTATTAGGCAGTTCGACTGGATTTAGTTAGCAGACATGACATCAGACAAATCAAATCCTTTTGATGGCCAAAGCAAATATCGGTTGGCTTTAACTGCATGTCTCTTTGTGCAAAGGATCTATAAGTGAATACTGTATGCAAGAAGGACGGACCGGTATTATGATGATATCAGCGATATGAGTATTGTGGTGATGATGATAGTGGGCGACAGAGTCGGATACCACCTGCTTCCACAAACTCCGGCGTTTTACATCATTTAAGAGGGCTATCTGAAACCCCAACAATGAGTATGAGGGTTTGTCACCACTCTTGAGCCGTCTTTAAAACTAAGCAGTCTCTACAGAGAGGATGAGCAGCAGGGTAGTCGGCGACTTCACAGTTTCAAACAAGGATGTCCATGGTTGTGCCCGCATGCGGACAGGAGAAGTTCCCGACGCATATTTCCGGACTGCGTGGTGGCTTTGAAACACCCTAATAATAGCGCTCACCGATGTTTCATGGTGCATACCATCTACCAGAAAACGGGGGTTAGCTAGGTAGCACCCCCATCCATATCCCAATTCAAGGGCGACTCAACTGAGTTTGTCCTCTAGGAAAGTGATATCAAAATCCGACGAGTCATCGAACAAGGGAGGTCATTGCGGAGAAGACCGCAAACACGTAATGCTACGCAAAACTTTAATTAGTCCAGTTTCAATACTATCTTGTCTTCATTTTTAACCTTTACATTTCATTTGATGTTGAGCGTTTTTCGTTCCATCTCGCTAGTCAAAGGATCGACGCATTGGAATTAACCTTGTAGTAGCATACCCAGTTGAACAGAACTAAAGAGAATCAGACGAAACTCAGAACAACTCTAACGATCTAAGACAGTAACAACTTGCTTTCAATCAATGCTCTTCGTCATTTAGCCTTGCTTGTGGATGATGCTCAAAATCGCGTCTAGGAATCACCTCAATAACCCTGTGCCCTCCATCCCTTGATACCTCGGCCAAATTCTCACTCTCATAGGCTCTGTCAGCTCGAGCCTGAAAATCACCCCATCTCTCCCTTTTGTGTTGATGTCGGTGGCGATGGCGATGATGGTGATGTTTGCCAACGGTGGCAGCGTCACTCCGGGGATAACTTTTTCTCTGCTCACTGGCGGCAGGACTGTTTTCTCTCGAATTCTCAGTACCCCACCTTGTTATCCGGCTTTCATCATCTCTGATTTGGTCAAGGGATGAGCTTTCCTGGTCGTATCTTGGCTGAGGCGTCCTCCTCCTCAACGGCACACGTACAAATCCCCTACTTAAAGGTTGCCTGGCTCCACCACCTCCCCCGGGACGCTTCGGATGCCCTTCGACAACTTGTGCAGTTCCACCGCCTTGAAACATCTGCTTAACCATCATCCGGGTATATGTGACTTCTCTTTCTGTTCTCCGTAGCATCACTCGCATAACTTCATCACCCAACTTCTTTACATTGTCCTTCGTCTGCCACCAGATAAACCGATGAACGAAGTCGCACTTATATAACGCGCTCCAATCTGCAAAACTCCCCGCCTCTCCATGCCTCTCAAAGTCTCCCCGTACCTTCTCGTCTAGGTCGTTCTCCACCCACGAAGCACCGTTGTGGATTGCTTCGGCTCGATGGCCGCTTGCTACGAGGAACGGTCTCTCGAGGTCTTTGAAAGCATACCAAAGATCGCGAAGGGTCATGTAATGCAGAGGAATGGTACTCTCAGCATACATGAGCGCATTGCGAGCCTCGGTATTAGAGATTTTGTCACCAATATGAGATATGCGCTGACGAAGCTTGCTTCTGGACCGGATCTCCCGCGTCTGGTGGCGAAGTGCCTCGCGCTCTTCGCACAGCTGCTGTCGAAGATTTCCAAGGGAATCACGGATTTCGTGCGGTGCTGAGCGAAGCGTGGCGACGAAGTTGGCGTACAAGGCGATGAGATTGAGCGTTGTCAGGCCGAAGCCCAGGATCCCAGTAACGAAGGAGAGCCAGTTCAACGAGTCGGGAACTTCGACTGCCATTTCCGTTTGCCAATTGCGTTTTCAGACCTTTTGAGCATTTTAGGTCCATTCGAATGAAGAACATGCTTCTTTATTAAGGTAATTGAAAGACAGAAAGTCCTGTGTAAGTCATCGCGCGATAATTAGCGTCTCTCATCAGCGCTACCTTTGTGTTAGCCCGAACGAGTCCATAAAAGGACATGGCGCTGCCAGTTGTCACATACAAGAGGGCTTCCTATTCTTAAAACCCTGCATCCTTAAGCCTAAGTGTGTAGTCTATGCTCTGCGCGTGAGCCCTGGTCCTGCGGCAGCTGTAAGATAGTAGTGAGACCGCGCAGACTAGGCCTCAGTTATCTCAATGCAACCACTACACCACACCATGATTATCATACAGAACGGCTCGTGAACTACTGCAAGGGTGAACTTGTAAGCACCATATCAACTTAAAGACCAGGTGATACAGCTGCGATTTCCTTTGAATCCGACTGGTGCAGGATGTCGGATTTCTTCCGTCATCAACTCCCCATGATGCCCTTAAGGTTACATAGTTACCACCTCAATGCCGCCAATTCCATCCTCCCAAGATCTCGTGAAAAAAGTTACTTTGATGTTAGTGCTTATTGGTCTTCAACAACACTCAATGATTATCAGTAACTTCATCATATGTAGAGGGGACCAGTCTAGAAGGCAGATTAGCAGCTTGAGAAGACCAGAGGCGGATCAACGGCTAGGTTTGCTTTCAAGTTTTGGCCAAGAACCTAATCGCCTCAATAACTTTTATTAATGTCCCAAAAACTAACTAACGACATGACAAGCTGAATAATCTGATGTGTCGCATGTCGCACTCTTAATAAGGTCCAAAGTAGCGGAGGTCAGGAGTTAAGAAGTATGAGTGATGGAGCTCGTCCCCCACCATCCCGCCCAGACCAGGATTAGCTCCAACTTTCTTATCGATAAGCCCTGACGTCCTCCGACCGTGGGGTAACTTACTACCCTCTAATCCAAAAATTTAACGTACCTCGCCTCAACCTCCAACGCCGCTGACTACTACCTATCGCGAAGGAGTCACACTCACACCTCACCCACCACAATGCCCGCCCCGACAGCAGAAATGGGGCCCTCTGACGATTCTTTCGAAGAGGATCCCGTCATCGCATCCTATGACGTCTTCTTCAACCCCTCCCTCCCCCAGGGCCGCAAGCTCTGGGTCCTCCAGCAACCCAACCGCACCGACCCCCGCCAGGCCACGCCTACCGAGATGCGCCTCAAGGCTCGCGCCGGAATGGTCGAAGTTGATGTACCACTCGATTACACTCAGTCTTACGACAAGGAAAAGGGCATGAAGTGGGGCCGTCAGCTCAAGGCCAGTCTCGAGTCCAAGAACGGCGGTACTCACGGCTTGTCGGGTGGCTTCGGCGTCGGCGCACCGCCGCCCCGGCCCAAGAAGCGCGGCGAGATCGACCTCGAGGACGAAATGTACCTCGAGTGGCCCGAAGCCGTGCGCCAGGACAAGGTCCTCCGTACGCAGACCCTAGGCGGCCAATGTCCCGATCACAAGGAAGTGCAATACATGATTGGCGTCTTCCAAGGCAGTATGTCGCTCTTCCGCCGAACTCTTCTTGCAAATTCGTTGCTAACAAGGTGATCAGAGGACCTTCACCTTACCCCGGTCACCAACCTCGTCCACCTCCGTCCCCAGCTCCACCACGTTGACGCAGTAGCCCAACAAGACCGCAACGCCTCTGCCGCAGCTGCCGCAAAGGATAACGCCGCTGCCGCTGCCGGCGCAGGAGCAGGTGCCTCGGGAGCTGGAGGCCAGGGTGCCGCAGCGCGAGCGATCCACATGACCATTAAGACGACGCCCGACGGCGCGACGGCGAAGAGCGAGACCATGGCGGACCGTTTGCGTGCGGTCCAGATCGAGCCGTGGCGCAAGCTCAAGTACACGGACGAGAACGACGAGGCTGCTTGGGATATCTACCAGGAGTCTCTCATCCTCCGTGCGCCTGGCGACAACAGGCCGCCACCACCTACTGATGAGGAGGATGAGGAAAAGAAGAAGGCTGCAATTGAGGCGGGCGAGGCCGAGACGAAACCAGCGATTGATTTGGCGGAAGCGGTTTCGAGACTAGAGACGAAATGGGGTGACGATGAGCTGCTGGAGGCCGTCAGTGGTATCAAGAAGCCGAAGCCTTTGACGAAGGCAGAGCAGGAGGCCGAGGCGGCTGCGGCAGCCTTCGCCGAAGAAGAAGCAAGGAAGATGAAAGCCAAGGCTCGTGGTGTGGTAGGACCGAGAAGAGGCGGCAAGGCCAGGGCGGCACCTGCTCAGGCATCTTCTGGCATGGACCTAACATGAGATGGATGGACTTCTTGGCGGTCTTGATTTGCATAGCTTAGGCGTTGCGGTATGATATAGACAAAATGGTTATTAGGGACGGGTGATTTACTTCAAATGCAGATTTTTTTTTGGCTCTAACTAGCAAAGTTGATCTTGATGCACCGCTAATGATAATATGGCGGTGTCATCTCAGAGTCGTGCGTGTAATGTACACGAGATATGTTTATGCATATTGCCATGGGACAGGTCCCCCCTCGCGAGTTCAAATCCTCCATCAAAGCTGTAGCCCCAGTACCACAACTTCGCGGTGACCCCAATGCCCTCAAAATAATGGGCCGAGCGTCGAGTAAGACCAACAACATCCCAAGCTTTCAATGCAAACGATCAAACAAACGTGGTACGTCCCAGGCGTATGTGACTTGTGTATGCAGTGCCATGGTCGCCTCCTTTTTTGAGCGGCACTCATATTTGATATTACTGAAGCAATTCAACATCCAAACCAATGGAATGCATGAAAAGGTTGACAGTAGCCAGCCGGGTTGTTGCCATGGCACCCGGGAGGGTTTTAGCGTGGGCAACGGTGTCCAGGACACGATCCTTGACAGCAAGGACCAGGCGCTGCTGCTGTTCAGGGTTGGCACTGACACCAACGGCGGCTAGCAGCTGCCAGACGACGACATCCTCACCAGTGTTAACACTGCCGGGGAAGATGTGGTGGAGAGTAGGCTCAAGGATGTTGAAGAACAGGTTGAAGGTTTGTTCCCTATGTCTTGTTAGTCTATAATGCTTAAGCCACTTGGGAGGAAAACTTACCATTCCGCCCACAGCTGAGGGGTGCCTCCACCACCCTGCTTCAGGAGCTCTGCGCGACTCAAGATAAGGGTCAACATCGAGCAACCCACACGAGTTCTGGCAATAAGGTCAATGTTGAGCTTAGTGATAAGGCCTAGGACTCCCGTGACGATATCGAGCTCGGTCTCGTTGAAATAGGCAAACAAGCTCGGCATGACAGCAGCAGAGAAGAGTTCAATGCTCTCACGCATAGCAGCATTGAGATTTACTTCACCGTCAGTCATTTGAGCACCGCGAACAACGTCAAGCTGATCCAGGTGGAGGATGATCATTGTCAGAATAGTAGTGCGCTGCTCGAAGCTAATGTGCCGGAAAACACGGGGAATAGCTTTCTTTCCCTTAGGGAATGACAGGAATGCGATAAAGGGGTGAATGCTGGTGGCACCAATAGGCTCATGAACCTTCAGGTCTGCCCAAAGCTGGTTGTTGAGCGACTGAGCGACCTCCAACCACTCCTGGTGCTTGACGTGGAACTCTTCGTCGTTGCCGTTCGCAGGATGGGGAGGAATGTGGCGGGCATGGTCTTCCATCTTCATGACAGTGGTGTAGACATTCTCAATGTTCTTAAGAATAGCCTTGCGGTCAAGAGAACTAGACTCTCCGTGGTGACGCTTACCATTGCCAGGACGCTGGGCCTCATTGCTGCTGTCGGTACGCTTGATATTGAGCAAAGGTTTCGGTGTTTTGGCGTTACTGAAAGAAATCTTGCCCAGACTACCTGCAATGACCAGCTGGGGATTCTTGGGCTTGTTTTTGGCCGCCTCGACGGCACGCTGGACCTGTTGTTCCATTCGTTGAACATGGTTCTCGGCAGTTCTTCCTTGCCTTCTCATATTACCCTGACGGCTACCAGTCTGGAACAAATAGGTCTGGGCGAAGTTGTTCAAAGGCTGGTTCGGGTTCTGGCGCTGGCCACCACGAATTTGGCTCAGGACCTGGTAGTAGAAGTCCTCGGCAATCGAATCATCATTGTTGTGGTCAATCGGGTTTCCGGTAGCCGAGACAAGCTGCTGCAACTGAATGCGAGTAACGAAGTTCTTGTCCTGGGGTGTCATGAGACCGTTGTCCTTGGAGAGCAGCCAAATCTTATGGTTGCGCTTGGCACGCTTGGTCTCCTGATCGAGGTACGCCGCCTTTTCATCTTCGGACAAATGTGCCAGATGCTGCTGCTGAGAAACCTGGGGAACACGACCCATGGAACCTTGCGAGCGATGAGCATTAGAACCATGGGGTTGGTGGTGTCCATGAGGCTGAGGGCCATGCGCCCCAATGCGAGCAGCATCACCAGAAAGCCGGTTGGGGTTTTGCAAGATCTGAGTAGGTTGAGCAGAAGGAGCCTGGGAGTGCGGTGGTTGAGCAAGTGGGCTGGGAGTACTCTGAATAGGCGGGGTTTGCTTGGAATTCAGAGACTGAGGCCGCTGGAGAATGGTGACGGGATGAGCTTGGCCCGGATGCTGGGGGGTCTGGCCGCCACGCTGCTGCTGGTCGGCGCCGTGGTAAGATTGCTGTTGCTGAATAGCCTCCGGTCGGGTGTAACCATAATCAGCAAGCTCCGCAGGGAAGCCGTGTGCGCTCGGCATAGATCCAGAAAGGGCTGGCTGCGCCGGTCGCTGGGTGGCTTGCTCCCGCATCGCCTTCTCGACCTCTTCGAGGCTCATTACTTTACGGCCACCGGAAGGTGTACCATGCGGGACTGGAGAAGGTTCGGGGACGATAGGCTTCTTGGAAGGCATCCCCCAGAGCGACGCGTCAACATGAAGATCGGGAATGGGCTCTGCTTCCTTGTACTTTTCATAGCCTGTGCGAACAGGCCTAGGGGCCGGCTGACTGGGATAGTAGTAGTTCGGTTGGGCTTGAGGCATGTGGTGCTGAACGGGCGCCGGGGCAGGGACGGGGGCGGGAGCAGGCTTCGCGGTTGGGACTTGGCGGCTGTAGCGGACTTGCTCTTCCTCGATAGCGTTTGAGACCTTGGCCGTCTGGCCAAAGAAGTCGAAGTCCTTGCCTACAGGTGCAGAGGAGATCTCATCGCCGCCGCCGCCACCGAAGGTATCGTCGTTGAAAGCATCGCCGCTTTCCTCGAGTTGGTCTCCGAGACCATCATACGTGTCATCGAACTCGACAGCATCGCCTTCGTCGTCGTTGCCACGAGAGAGACCGGCGAAAGGGTCGTGGGCTTGAGAAAAGCCTGGCGCTGCAGTGTTGTGTCCCCCTCCACGGGTGGGATCGAAACCGAAGAAGGACATAGTGGTTGGCTAATCCGTCTTCGTGAGATAGGGAAAGTATAGCTGTATACTATATATTGGTCAGTATCGAAGTCAAGAGAAATGACGTAGGATGGCGTGGTAGATGATGTTGGAGGTGGTAGAGCCACAAAGAAGCTGACAAGTATGATAACAAAGAGGCGGGCATAGAGAACTGCCATTCTCTTGGAAAGAGGTAAGGTGTCCTTGCCCTCTTCTTGCGGTTTGCAACCCAACGCAAGAGGGTAATATGGTACATTTAATGCCGCCTTCGCAGTTACACCAGCAGACAGCAACCGCCGTAAATCGATGGCAGAAACACCGAGCGCGGGAACACACAACTTCTGAACAGATAAAATCGACTTACCACTAAGAGAATGAGAGATTTGTGGCTTTCAGTAGAGCGGCTCCCAAAACTATCATGATGTCGTCAAAGCCAGATTCGAAAAGAGCGAGCAAAGCGACAGGGCATAAAAGGGATTATTGCCGGGTTGCTCAATAGAACCACATCCAGAGATAACAATGTTATCAAAGCACAAGGTCAAATACAATGCGCCAGGTGCAGGGCGGAGCTGGAAAGGAAACAAAAGCGTCGCGTCGCTGGGGTTGGGATGCGATGTCCGAAGTGGTGATGCACCGATTCGCATTCGTGGGGAGGAATTGAGGCTCGAGAGCCAGAGGCCCCCACATACTAAGAGTCGCTGGACCAATGGCCAAGCTGGGTTGAGCGAGCTGGAGGCCGATTCATCACGTGATGTATTAGTCACTCGCCGGGGCACGGTAGAGCCCCTCCCTTCATAATGTAGCAAGTATTCTCTCACCAGTTTCAAATGGAGGGGTACTTATACACAAAACACTACCACCACCTTATTCAGGTCCCTCATGGACATAATAATGTGGCCAGGGGGATTGGGATAGTAAAGCCCACCATCTTCAGCCTCATGCCCCTGGAAAATGTTCCAATGCTGGTCGTACGTGGGACTTGAAGAGGCTAGTCGAAAAGCCTTGCTATGTGAATGCCGTCCTTATTTGTCAGTTTATATACGAAAGGTAAAGATAAAATATTCCATCAATACTGTACGCTCTCTACTTCATTCGACAAACGTTGTGCCATCACAACATCCTAATGGGATTTCAATTTGGAATATCATTTCTATACAAGTTTCTATGCTGTTGATTTCATGTCTTGCGTGCCGACTCTATATGAATTTTCTGTTACTGGAGATGAAAGTGTGACGAATTGTTTGCCTTCGTCCGTGTTCCTCAAGTTCTCCTACAGTTCGGTTTTAAGCAAACATTAAGAGGACAATAGTAAACAAATCGCAAGAATTGGGTCAGACCTAATGGATTATATCCATGTGTCGTCACTTGGAACACTGGTTCGCACAAAACTTGGGATGACAGCTGCAGGTGCACAACCCGAGAAACAAAACAGAGATGCGCATTATGCTGCCACTTACCCGTTACCAGCAGAGATATCTCGTTCCTGGAGTCAACCCGCTGAACTCGTAGCTAGATATGCGTGAGATTGAATTCGACCTGTGATGTTGCTTGGTTGACATGGGCTGGGTCTAAGTAACACATTCAGATACGCTGTTGTGGAATGTGATATGTGTTCCACAATGACGAATGTCCAGACAACCCGTTGCCTGGCCGCAATATGAAAGTGGTAAATGCGAACGTTTAAAGGACCTTAAACGGCCTTACCAAGCGATACGGCACGCCGTTGGAATGTTCAGCCCCATGATAAGACGTCTGTCGGGCTAGGGCTGCTTAAATCCAAAGTTGGTAGCATCGGCATCCAGAACATGACGGGTTCATCCCGATTTGAACGTCTGGGGATACATTAGTATTGGTGGCAGAGCCGCGGCTGGGCTTTGTGTCGGAATGCTCCTTGTACCAAGTAAGGTATCTGGTTACAGATTTGGCGCTATTGGCATGAAAGCACGACCAGCCTGGTGGCCAGTGCCCTGCAAGATGGTGTCCTGACCTCGGACAGTCCGCTGTCAACAGCGCATTCATCCTCATCGCGTGCCTTGTATATGAAGGGAAACCGGCGTAGTTGGAGGGGAAGCATTGACAGTTGGTCAACGGTAACGGTTGTATACTTAGTACCTGCAGCATCCAAGTACATTACAATGTTATTTATGATGCTGCATGGTTGCGGTAGAGTGATCAATTCCGGCACTCCAGCCTGGTCCGGTCGCCCGGAAGGAAAAGATTTTGACGATCACTTGCTTCACTGAGTGTAGTGTACGATATGAACGGTAGCCAGAGACGAGATGGGCCGGTCAAAATTTGACGTTATCGAAATGTGTCCCGTTCTTCTGAACGCTGCAAACGCCAAGAAAGCAAGTCGAAAATTCCATAGAATGGCTCGCTATTAGGAGGTACTTTTCCCATGAGCCTTCTTGCCTCAGTTTTAGGGCCCAATAGCCTGGCAACTCTGTTGAAACGTAAGTATTTTTCACTTAATACGAGGCCACTAGATCTGTCAGGGGTAATGAATGGGTGTACCTGTACATCCTGTAGGTCTGAGAATGAAGCGCAAGGGGTTGATAAGGAGTGCTGCGAACAAACGGGCGAGTTCAAACACCGTCATATAATCACAGGGTGGTGGCTATTTCCGGCCAAGATGCCGGTACGGAACGTTCTCCCCCATTGTCCCGTAGAAAATTTCCCATCCAGAGAGCTGTTAAGCGGTTCCAGTTTTCACAAAATGTAGGTGTTCCTGATGGTTGGGCTGAGGTGCGATACTACGGTAGCAGCTGATTCTCACAGTGGCCACGTTCCCTGTTACGATCACAGAGGAACCAAGCCAGAGGGACGGGTACGCGGCAGACGCTGGCAAGATGGGTAAGTACTGGGTACCTGCTTGTCAGAGGACATGACGCCGCCCAGCACCCATGGCTCTCAGCAGTGGGGAGGTATCCAAGATTAGATGCGTTTGGGAGAGGTGAGTGGACGAATACCTGGAAATTCAGAACGGAGTAAGGACGGAGTCCCTGGGCAACACTCGAATGCGCTCTTCGGGTGGTGGGAGGAGAACAGAGGAATGAATGATGCGCCGTGATGCCCAAGCAACTCACGCTTGCAATGCACATTCGCCCCGAAACTCAGCTGGGTACGGGCCAAGTTTCTCATGAGAAATAAGAACAATGTCTTTGCTAGTGATCTTTGGGACAGTTCGAGGTCTGTCAACCAACCGCTTACGCTCCCTCCCCGTCTTGGCTGAATCTGATGCTCCCAGTTAGGTGCTAAACGCTGCAGTAGAGCTACTTGAGCTGGCAGATGTACTCCCCCGTAGGTGGCATGCCGGCGGGGCACTTTTTGAGTTGCAAAGCTCCCGGGTTCAGGCCAGTTGGCGCCCCACCCCCCTTAACTACCATGTCGCGGTACTCCCTCCTCTAGTGCTCCCCTTTTCGGTTTGGGGTGCACTATGTATGCTGCATTCGTACCTCCCGAACCCTGTGAGAGTCTTACAGGTGGCCCCCAAGGTCCACGCCACCGGGCTGTTGCTGCTGAGGTACTCCAGCTGCTCTGAACATTTTCCCAGTGTCGTGTCTTTCTGTATTCATATTTCTTCCTGCATCTCCCTCTGTTGTTTATATTCAACCTCGTTCACCCCGGGGAAGAACGAGTTTCTCTTCTATTATCCTTCAACCACCATCTATCCATTCCGGCTCCCATCCTCGACCTGGGAATATCGGTTAAGATGGCTACCGGCTCAGCACGATATGTGCGATACATTCTTTTCGCCTTTTTCGTAAGTGACACCTCGCCAACATTCAGCCAGCGCAACTGTAGCTAGCTCTCGCTCCTTGGCCTCCGTGGCCTTGTTCAATGTGGTCCGACGACATCATGGCCTTGTGCCTCGATCAACAGTTTTCCTGGAATATTTACTTACGGTGTTCTTCTCTCGCAGGGCCTTGCCGTATTCTACTTCATCTCCCACTCCAGCTACGAGGGCGTGAGACTCGAGAATGGCGGCGCCAAGCCGCCAGCCGGCCAGCCAGGCCAGAACCAGGAAGCTGAGAAGGCTCCGGTCAAGCCTCAGGGTGATGCGCCCAAGGTCGGCGAAAAGTACGACCCCAAGGAATGGCCCATGCCCATGACCCCGAACGAGCCCGGTTGGAACGACCTCGTTGGCCTCGCCCCTGGCCCTCGCATGAACGCAACCTTCGTCACCCTCGCCCGTAACCAAGATGTTTGGGATATTGCCCGCTCCATCCGTCAGGTTGAGGACCGATTCAACCGCCGCTATAACTACGACTGGGTCTTCCTGAACGACAAGCCCTTCGATGCCACCTTCAAGAAGGTCACTTCATCTCTCGTCTCCGGCAAGACCATCTATGGCGAGATTCCCAAGGAACACTGGTCCTTCCCCGAGCACATTGACCAGGAGAAGGCCCGCAAGGTTCGTGAGGACATGGCTCAGCGCAAGATCATCTACGGCGACTCAGTGAGCTACCGCCACATGTGCCGTTTCGAGTCTGGATTCTTCTTCCGCCAGCCAGCCATGCTGAACTACGACTACTACTGGCGTGTGGAGCCCTCCATTGAGCTGTTCTGCGATATCCACTACGACCCGTTCCGCTTCATGAAGGAGAACAACAAGAAGTACAGCTTCGTTTTGAGCTTGTACGAGTACGTCGAGACTATTCCCACGCTCTGGGACAGCACCAAGAAGTTCATGAAGAACCACCCCGAGCACATTGCTGAGGGTAACTCAATGAGCTTCCTCAGCGACGACGGTGGTGACACCTACAACAAGTGTCATTTCGTGAGTTGATTTGGTTCTTTTGCTTCCGTGGGAAGCGCGCTAACATGACATTAGTGGTCCAACTTCGAAGTCGGCGACCTCAACTGGCTGCGCTCCAAGGCCTACATCGACTATTTCGAGTCCCTTGACGCTGACGGCGGTTTCTTCTACGAACGATGGGGAGATGCGCCTGTGCACTCGATTGCTGCCGGCCTCATGCTTCCCAAGGAACAGATTCACTTCTTCAACGACATTGCCTACTATCATGTTCCCTTCACTCACTGCCCCACTGGTGAGAAGGTTCGTCTCGAGAGGCGCTGCCACTGCAATCCCAAGGACAACTTCGACTGGAAGGGCTACTCTTGTAAGTTGTGCCAATTCTAAGCACATGGAAAATTGCAGCTAACAGCAAAACAGGCACAAGTCGCTTCTTCGAGACCAACGGTATGGAGAAGCCTGAGGGTTACGAGAACCAGCAGGATTAAGTTCATCGTAAAGGGAAAGTGGAAAAATAAATGTAGTTTGTATCAACAATTTTATAGTGGCTTTTGGGTTATGCCACAGTTCGACTTCACCTGCATTGATGAGAGACAATGGGCAGGCATTGGGGGCACTAAACGTGGAGAGGCGTCAAAAGGTTCTGTTTGACTTGGACACTTTATGCTCTGTAGATATTTGTAAACAACAGGTGCCGTCTGGAGTTTATCCAGTCAAAATTCTTGACATTGCGTGGTATTTTGTACATTGTAATGGTACACGTTTTGATGTGTATGCGTCTAGTAGTCGTACACTTTTTTGATCAGGCGGTTTGCCTGTTTGTTTGCCTTCATCCCTTGCCTCCTCACTTGCCACCATATTCCACCGTCTCGTACAGCACCCTTTTAGCTGACGGTAGCCTTCTTGGGCTTCATCGTTCCGTACTTGGAGCGAGAGGTAGTACGGGTGCTGACACCACCAAGATCGAGTGCGCCACGGACAAGATGGTATCGTACACCGGGACAATCTTGACTGCGACCGCCACGAACGAGGACGACACTGTGCTGCTGGATATTGTGGCCCTCACCGGGGATGTAGGCGGTGACGTGGCGACCGTTGGAAAGACGAACACGGGCAGTCTTGCGCTGGCCGGAGTTGGGCTTCTTCGGGCGGACGATACCGACTCTGAGGCAAACGCCCTTCATCGCGGGAGCGCCCATCTCGGACAGAGCAGGGGAGACGGCGTGGCGAGCGCGCTTTCCCTTCTTGTGGCAGCCCTGAAAACTTCATTAGCATGTGCAACATCTCTAGTCAGCGTATGGAGACGAACTCGCAGGACCTGGCCGATGGTAGCATTCTGGATGGGAGTCGTGGAAAAGGGACGGATCAGGGGGGTCGTGGTCGGCTTGAGGAGAGACGCGGCGCGAGGGAAGACCGCTGGCCTCATCGCCGGAGCGAAGAGGGATCTAAGAAATGTGCTGGCCATGGCGGGCAACTGGGTGTCGGTTCGGCGGCGTTCCAATTGCTCTCTACACGGCTGAAGCTCTCGTCGCGATGGCGCCTGTTTCGCTCTGAACGGTGAATTTTTGGACTGCTTAGCTAATCCTGCAGCAACAGCTTGTATGATTTGAGACCTGAGGCAAACATAGCCCGGCGCTCCGTCCCCGGACCCACTCACCTCGGCCATCTTGGCACCGCCCGCCCCTTGCACCGATGCGGACCGGATTTGCTACAGCGTGGGATCACATGCCACCGCCCTGTACCCCAATTCCAGGCGCTCATTGGACGGATTCTCACGTAAGCGCATCAGAAATGTGGGTGAACCCCGGCTTTTGCAGTTGCTGCTGCGCCGTCGGCTCTCCCCAGGCCTGGGGGGAGGTCACTGTGGCTCCCCGCTGCGGGATGGATATCCTCGGCTGAAGCGGGCGCTGTCTGTTCGCCAGCCGCGAGGTACCGTGGCTTTGGATGGCATTGAGGTTCACGGCCTAGGGCGGGCACACATCTTTGACTCTACTTTCCTCTCGCCTCCCCCCTAACCCTATCCTTTTCAATCTGCTTCTCATCTTACACTTACGATTCGAGGCTCTTGCTCAAAGCCAATTGATCAATCTAGTCCGAGCGCAACTCATCTACGCATCACTACTGCACGGTCAGAGAGCTACAGCGAAGCATAAGTACCTGAGCAACTCGGACGATCTGTGATCACCCACACCTCCGGACGTCCATATACTTTTTCTCGCCTCTGCCACCGAATCGTTTGAGAGTTTCCCATCACCTACCTTTCTTCTACCACTTGATACCATGTCGTCGATCGCGAGGGCCCTTCGCCCTGCTCTGAGGGGAAGCCGTGGTGTGGCTGCGTTGACGAGGGCGAGGACTTCCACTCCAGGCAGAGTAATCTCGCCACTCCAGCAGTAAGTCGCCAACATGCACACCCCTCAAAGGAGATCACCAAGAACATCACACTGACTCTAATTCCCAACCTTGTAGGACCGCAAGACCTCTCTCTACCACGCAGCGCCGCCGCAATGCTGATCACCTCGACATCACCGACATTCCTCCTACGCCTATCACGCACCTTTCCGAGGTTGAGGCAGCGATGGCTGAGACGGTGAACAAGTTCGCCAACGACGTCATCGCACCCAAGGTGCGCGACATGGACGAGGCGGAGAACATGGACCCCACTGTCGTCGAGCAGCTCTTTGAGCAGGGTCTCATGGGCATCGAGATCCCTGAGGAGTTCGGTGGTGCTGGTATGAACTTCACCAGCGCCATCATCGGTATCGAGGAGCTCGCTCGCGTCGACCCCAGCGTCAGCGTCATGGTCGACGTCCACAACACCCTCGTCAACACGGCCATCCTCAAGTGGGGCAGCAGCCAGCTGCAGAAGCGCTTCCTGCCCAAGCTCGCCACCAACACCGTTGGTAGCTTCTGTCTCAGTGAGCCCGTGAGCGGCTCCGACGCGTTCGCTCTGGCTACCAAGGCGACGGAGACGGAGAGCGGATTCCGCATCAACGGCTCCAAGATGTGGATCACCAACTCCATGGAGGCCGACTTCTTCATCGTCTTCGCGAACCTCGACCCCGCCAAGGGGTACAAGGGCATCACGGCCTTCATCGTCGAGAAGGACACCAAGGGCTTCTCGATCGCCAAGAAGGAGAAGAAGCTCGGTATCAGGGCCAGCAGCACCTGCGTCATCAACTTTGACGACGTCGAGATCCCCAAGGAGAACCTCCTCGGCGAGAAGGGCCACGGATACAAGTATGCTATTGGTCTCCTGAACGAGGGCCGTATCGGTATCGCTGCCCAGATGACCGGTCTCGCTCTCGGTTCGTGGGAGAACGCCGTCAAGTAAGCATCCACTCGCTTCCCCATTTTTCCTTTCTCATCGGAGTTCCCGGACACTAACTTTGTCGCCTTTAGGTACGTCTGGAACGACCGCAAGCAGTTCGGCCAGCTCGTCGGTGAATTCCAGGGCATGCAGCACCAGATTGCGCAGTCGTACACTGAGATCGCCGCCGCGCGGGCTCTGGTCTACAACGCGGCACGCAAGAAGGAGGCGGGCGAGGACTTCGTTATGGACGCCGCCATGGCCAAATTGTACGCCAGCCAGGTCGCGCAGCGCGTCTCGGGTCTCGCGATCGAGTGGATGGGCGGCATGGGCTTCGTGCGCGATGGCCCCGCCGAGAAGTTCTGGCGTGACAGCAAGATCGGCGCCATCTACGAGGGCACGAGCAACATCCAGCTCAACACCATTGCCAAGTTGTTGCAGAAGCAGTACACTGCATAAGCGGCGAGTAAAAGGAAAGGGAGGGGGTTTAGGTTCTTAATGGGCGAATACTCGGATGTGTAGGGTTAATTTAGACGGGGTAGCCAAAAAGCGACACGATTCGGTGTTGGGTTGTCTTGAATGTTTTTGTGTTCCTTTTTTTTTCTCCCGCTCTTGTGTGGGGAATTGTTTGATTGTGCTGTGGGAGTTTTGAGATGGCATGTCCCTGCAACCATTGCCTATTGAGAATGATGTCTCTTGCAATTCATACCTACGAGGTCAAGATCACCTTGTATGTACATGCCATGTAACGTGACTACGGTTACTGAGTTTGTTCAAGGAGGTGGCATGTCAACTGGTTTTGTAAGCCCGAGTGCGCCTGTTGAGGTTGTTTTTAATGTCATGTCGATAAGGTAGTTCACATTGCTCAATGCGCCATTACAAATTACGAGGCAATGGCATAAGACGCTGAATAATAGAGAGAGCCTTGAGTAGACTTCGCGGTGATGATGGCCGTAAATGAAGAAGTGTAGGTAGGGTCAGGATTGCCAAAGACATTGGCTTTTCTATACATTTGCGCCATCACTACAATTTAAGACACAGCTTCTTAAGGGCCGGCAGCGGGCTGGCCATTATTGGCCGTGGACAACGCCGTGAGAGACATTATCCGATATTCTTACAGGTCTTACTGGCACTCTTCATCCAGCCAACGGCTTGACACATGTGAAGTTGGCTGAATGGCACAGTCTTGATCAACTGCGCAGGTGTATGTAGACCGTGTGATATGTAACGTTCGTTCATCGAGCGTTAAGGTTGCAAAAGAAAAGTTGATCTTCTGAGTCGTGCTCGCATGATAGAACACCCATTGGTTCGCCCAACTCTGGCATGTGTCCAAAGTTGAGGAATTTGGGTTCAAGTATAGCCGCAAACTCCGCCACGTACAATCCAAATGTAGTTGTAGTACAGCCAGAAAGAAGCCTCTAATAACATAGTCTTTCCTTGGTCAATCCTGCACTTGACGGAGTTTAGTGGAAGCACCGGGACGCGAGGGGACGCGAGGGAACACGATGAGAGTTTCCGAGTCGGCACAGGAAAGAGTTTACAAACGCCGCCGGTGGTTCAACGGCCGCGGTAACCTTCCGTTATAAGCGCAATCCGGAGAAATAACAATGATTCGGCACGCTTGAAACTTATTTTAAGTGGGACATGAACTGGTATGAATCCATCCAGACTTTGATCAGCATTTACGGCAAACTCTGCTCCTTCTGCTGCCATCGTAATTTGGAACCAGGCAACCCGGGACACGAATAAATTGATACATGGTCCAGACCCTTCTGAGGCTTGAAAAATCGGTTCGGAAAGAGCCAAAGTCCTGTTCAAAAGGAAATATCGGCCGATGTATGGGCAGAAGCACAGAACTACTCAACTGCTCCTGACATGCAGACACTCAGACCAAAGGTTGATCTTTAAACAGACTTGAGGTATGGAGGACAATCTGACGAGGCCTGAACTGCAGGCAAAGAAAAAAAAAAAAAAAAAAAGAAGGGTTCTATGAGGTGCAGGATTTCATCCGACTGCTTCGAGTGGCGCAGACGATGACGTCCGCGCAAAACGTGGACGGAACGCACTGCCGACATACGCTTGACGACGTACACAAGTTCCCCGTTGCGGGAGGACGCAGCAGATTACCCACATCAGACCGAAGGGGTCACATCAACTCCTCCACGGCGCACGAACCGCTGTATATTATCTTTTCCTTTATTATCTTTTCCTTTCCTCTTCTTTTGCTAACCCCAGACGGAGCATTGTAAGGTAAGTAGAATTCAAGTGAATTGCAGATGAGGTGTGTGTCACAGCTTTTGAACATGAAGAAAGAAGGGGATTGCCCGTGCTTCGTATTCTATACGGCATGTCTGAAATTGCGAGAAGCAGCAAACGGCTTGAGCCGAAACTCTCTCAGTGAGGGAACAGAATGTCTCTGTGTCAGTAGGCACTTGCATGTGGACGTGTCGACAGAGACTGGCCTTCAACCCGAGTTAAGACTGGGGGCGGGCCGAGACTGGAGGGGACGACCATGGACGAAAGGCGTGGGGCAAGGGAGGGCTCGAAACGGTTCCGCGACAGTACTGAGCTTCTGAGCGGTAGGGGCCGTCTGCTGGCTGCTCGCCGTTTCTTGTGAGCGGCGCTCTCTACTGTTTTGGTGACGGATTCTTAGAGGACGGGGCTGGGTTTTAGAGTATCGACTAGACGCTTGAACCACGCGGGGGCAGGCAGGCCAAGCATTGGGCACGGCATAACATAGGACCACGGGCTGTCGATGTTTGGGCTGAAGCGGACGATCTTTCACGGTGGTGAGGGCTAGGTTTGTTTCAAGTAAAGGTTACGTTAGCTGGGCATGAACGGAGGACAGCCGGGCGTTTTGATGGTGAGATAGACCTCGTATCGGGAGTCTTCAATAGATTGGCGGGATGGCAAGATTAGCGATTTTTAATGGTGTCGACGCAGCTCTAAAAAGGGCAGGTAAGTAGTGCCATGAGACCTCGTATTTTAAACGTGACTGTTTCTTTTTTTTCTTTTAATGGCGATAACGGAGCGGGCTTTATGGGCGGGTGGATATGATATCTGGGGTCGCCGTCGGTGTGGTGCGGAAACTCCGGCCGGCATAGCTGGTGGAACGGGGCATTTTTTTGGTGCGAATTGGTCGGCAGTGTAGGGTCAGCCGGGGTTCGTTGGGGACGGCTGAGTCCAATCACGAGGTAGAGGTGTGGCGTTGTGGCGGCTCTCGAAGGAGAGTTTAGGGGAGAATTCTAGCTCCAGCGTATTTCTGTTTTTACCATGAGTGAAAAACTGGAATGGTGGTTGTTGGAAGAAAGCGGGTTTTGACATGTGCCGTTTCATGGGATCATCGGAGACTTAAAAAGAAGGGCCGGTAGATGGCCGGCCGTTGCAGACTTGCGGCGGATAATGACGGAGGGATTGCGATTGGAAGGAGCGCTACTGCGGTAGGGAAGGAAATAGCTAGGGCGGGAGGAACGGGAAAGCTCAAGGCTGCATCATCAGATCATGGGGAGTGCGCAGTGTGCACTACTACTAGTATGTTTACTAGATGGTAATGGTTGATTGTGAGCTGGGGGAACTAAGAGCGACGGGGTGGTTTGGTTTTATGGATCGGGCGATGAAGAGCTGCAGTGAGCAAGTAGTGAGCAATAAGCTGGTCAAGGGCGTAGGATGAGCCACTTGGGAAAGAATAAACCGGAGCTCTGAAAAAGTTCCCGAGAAAAGAGACTCGCAAGACTGGTTGGCTGTGTACTACGTAGTAATAGGCGACGGGTGGACCACAGCTGTGGGCGTTTGGTGGTGGCGGTAATAAATGAGCAATTGTTTTGGCTGGGTTATGGTGGTGAGTGAGTGAATGAGTGAGGTGTGGTGAGGGTGCGGGGTGAGTAAGGGAGTGGGAGCCAAGTGTGATAAGAGGGTTTGTTGGTGGGTGGGTTGGTGGAATGCAGCAACTTGTCGTCCAGTCATGTTTGCCAATCACCAGAGGTATCCGTTGTTATGTACAAGGAAGATACCAGGTTAATAACTCGTTGGCCAAGGACAATAGGAAGAAGTCTGGCCTCTTGCCTGAGGTACTTGTGCAGATCAGCCAGAGCATCCATCTTGCCGATGTTCTTGTAAGGTCATGATCAATAGCTGAAATTAAGAGCATTTGGTTGTCCGTCTGACAAAAGGGTATAAGCAAACGCCCAAGGTGGAGAGGAAGAGAAATAACACGGTAATAAGACGAATAGAAATGGCAGCCTTGCCGGGATAAGTACACTGCTGTTGGCTGGTTGGAGTGTTGGGCGCTGTTTGACTGAATGATTGGCGCAGAAGGTGAATCTTCACCGTGGTGAAACAGCAAAAAGTCCTAGGAGCCCCACGTCTGGTCCAGGACTTTTTTTTCTGCAAGGCGCCGCCAAAATTGATTGATTTGATTGAGTGCCGACCAAACAAATGCCTAAGACAGGGAACCAGGACTGGACTGAGCCATCAGCCTACGCCTCGGTACCTTGGCCTCACCTGCTTGCCTACGTACAACGAAGTAGCAGTAGTAGCTAGCCGTAGGTACATGGAATTATTGCACGCGGTGTGGCCTGTACTCCTTGGTGCCAGAGTACCGCAGTACTGTGGTACAAGCAGCAGAGAGGAGCTCAGGTACCCGCAATGAATGCTCCCAGACTTGCGTGTTGGGCATCAGAAACGGGACGCTTCACCTGGAAGAGAATGGAACCCTTCCCAGGGGCCAGTAGTAAGTGGAAGACTGACGAAATACTATTTGTTACTGCTGGGATGAAATAATGAAGCAGGGTAAAGAAAAAAAGAAAAAACAAATAAACTCGTCGCCAACCTGCTGCTGCGGCTGCTGGAACATAAACACTACTATTGTTAATACTATCGGCCATATGCACACCCAGAGACTAGATTGGATCCAATTCAAACAATCGTCCCAAATCACACATTATAGCTTGCCTGCCATCTTCACATCGAGTTACAAAGTTGCTTCGCCCGCCCAGGCGCTTTCGTAACACCCCTCCATCTCGTTGTCGTCCCCCTCCCACCTACGCGGGGTACGTACCATTTTATTCCCTGGTTGTAGGACAAAATTCAAGGTACTTCCATATACAAGACAATCACCTCTTATTACATAACTTCCCCAAGTATTGGCTTGTCTCTCACACCGAAGCCAGCCCAAGGCAGTAATAGTACCATGCCCAGGTAGTAGTGTAGTAGGACCTCACCTCCACTGCGAGCAACCCCTCCCAATCCTTCCCCCCCCCAGTCTTGTGTCCTGCTCCAAAACCCACTGACGACATCTTTTAACCAACCAGCCCAACCTGCGAAAAACAACACCACTCTTCGAGGGCTGGCCGCACCCACCGATCTCTGTCGTGATAGTCCCGACACCGACCGCCGACAGACCGATCCTTCCGTTGTGCAAATTCAGGCCTGCCCGAGCCCCTCCCGACGCCGAACCTCTCCGGTATCCATCCAAGTCAAGCGTCCACTTCTGAACACCTCCACCTCCAGACCTGGCCTTATCCCCTCGTCTAGTCTCGTGCCGTGTTGTTTGTATCGTATATCCCATACTTTACCACACGCCCTCACCAGGCAGCTCGCATCCTCAAGGTTAAATCCAGCTTTAACACCATCATCGTTATTGTTGGACATACCATACGCCAGCATCATCCACCACATCTCCTACCTCTCAACAGTCCACACCCAACAGACCACTACCACCCACCTTCCCCCGCGCGTGGAGTCGCGCACCCCCACCGCCCAACATGAACGAAGAAGACGCTATTCAGAATATCCTCAAGAAGATTGAGCGCGAGAAGGCTCTGCTCAATGCTGCCAATGCTATGCGAGCTCAGACAAACAATGAGGCCGTCCGTTCCAGACTCGACTCACAGATGCGCGATGGTCGGAGGAACTTGCAGTTCTTTGAGGAGAAGCTCCGCGAGGCTCAGATGCGCCGCGGCATGGACAACATGTCCCTCAGCTCCCCCTCTGACAGACCCCTCAGCGGCGACATGGACGACGCACCCCCGCCTCCTCCCAAGGACGCTTCTGGCGGATGGGCAGAACGCGGCGGCTACGGCGCTGGCAGCGCCGTCTCTGGCGGTAATGTCCAGTACAGCCAGATCGGTGGCCACGCCGACTTGATGCCTCCTCGCCATCCTTACGCCCCTCCCGGTCCCTCGTCCTCTATTCCTAAGCCGCGCCCCAACTTTACCAAACTCGGTTCGTACCGCGCCATCCCAGCTACCCTTATACGGTACCTAACAGCTAACCTTCCATAGACCTGATTAAATATGATACCCCTTATCTCGGCCCTCGTATCCAGCTTATGCTGTCTCAGATTCAGTTCAAGCTCAATTTGGAGGAGCAGTACCTAAAGGGTGTCGAGAAGATGGTTCAGCTGTACGGCATGGAGGGTGACCGCAAGAGCAGAGCCGATGCCGCTGCCAGGAGGGTTGAGAGCAAGCAAAAGATTCTGCTGCTGAAGCAGGCTATGAAGCGCTACGAGGAGCTTCACATCGACATGGACACCGCCGATAGTCCCGATGGTATGTCTCTAATTTTGGCGCATCCGCCCTGTCTAACTCCACCAAATACTCACTCTGCTGAACAGATGACTCGATCAACATGCCCAACCTCCGAAAGCCCCTTACTGGTCAGCTTTCTATTCGGGTCGGGCAGATCAAGGACGTTGATCACGCCTCCATGAGCCGCTTCGCTCGCGGCCCCGAGACATTTATCGCCGTCAAGGTTGAAGACAATGTTGTCGCTCGTACAAGAGTTACCCGAACGGACAAGTGGGAAGCCGAATACCACACCATCGACGTTGACAAGGCCAACGAGATTGAGCTCACGGTTTACGACAAGCCTGGCGAGCATGCCATTCCCATTGCTATGCTGTGGGTGCGAATTTCCGACATCGCTGAGGAGATGAGAAGGAAGAAGATCGAGGCTGAGATTACCAACTCTGGATGGGTTTCTGCTGATAGGATGGGAGCCCCGCCACCGCAGTTCCCCATGAACCCTCAGCAACAGCAGCAGCAGTCCTTCGGCGCTCCCCCGCCTTCGCCCGGTACTCCTCAGCAAGGCCAGCAAGGCGCCCCCGGCCCCATGCCCATGCAGGCGATCCCCCAACAGCCTATTGACGGCTGGTTCAACCTTGAGCCCGCCGGCCAGATCCAGCTGTCTCTGGGTTTCCTCAAGCAGAACAAGGACCGCCGCCCATTGGACCTTCAAGGACTGGGCCGAAAGGGTGCCGTTCGTCAGCGCAAGGAGGAAGTCCATGAGATGTACGGTCACAAGTTCGTCCAGCACCAGTTCTACAACATCATGCGCTGCGCCCTTTGCGGAGACTTCCTCAAGTACTCCACCGGCATGCAGTGCGAGGACTGCAAGTACACTTGCCATACCAAGTGTTATACCAGTGTGGTCACCAAGTGCATCAGCAAGAGCAATGCGGAGACGGATCCGGACGAGGAGAAGATCAACCACCGTATCCCCCACAGATTCCAGGCTTTCTCCAACATGACGGCAAACTGGTGTTGTCACTGCGGTTACATCTTGCCTTTTGGCAAGAAGAACTGCAGAAAGTGTTTGGAATGTGGTCTCACGGCGCATTCTTCTTGCGTTCACCTTGTCCCTGACTTCTGTGGCATGTCGATGGCGGTGGCCAACCAGATTTTGGAGGGTATCAAGTCAACGCGTATGATCAACAAGAACAAGACTTCCTCTTCCTTGAGCGACCGCACCCTCAGGAAGCCGACGAGCCCCACCAGCACCATGAGCTCCCCGCCTCACAGTGCTGCTGGCCAGGCGCCATATGCTCACGGCTCACCCGAGGCCACCGAGGCTGCCAAGCTCATGTACCAGCAACAACAATCTCCGCCTGGCCAGAGGCCATCCCACCCTGATCGGACATCTTCCAGCTCGGCGGCCGCAGCAGCGGCCAGTGCCGCCATGGGTGGATCGATGGCACAGCAGAAGCCTCAGTCGCAGGACTATGGAAGATATGGCGGAGGCAGTGGCTACGGATCTCAGCACGATCAGGGCCAGGACGATCCCTATGGGCAGCAGCGCAAGTACAACCCTGCAGACTACGCGGCTGTCAACGCCTATCCCCAGCAGCCTTCTGTGCAGCAGCAGCAACAGCAGCAACAACATCAACAGCAACAACAACGACCTGTTCAACAACAACCCCCACCTCAACAGTATTCGCAGCCACCCCCTCAACAGCAGCAAATGTACCAGCAGCAGCCGCAACAGCCGCCCGTCTCTTCGCCCAAGTTGCAAGAGGCCCCGCAGCTGTCGCCCATTGCGACCGGTGGCGTTCCCAGTGCTGGACGTAAGCCGTTGCCATCCGCCACCGACCCTGGTACCGGCCAGCGTATTGGCTTGGATCACTTCAACTTCTTGGCCGTGCTTGGTAAGGGTAACTTCGGAAAGGTCATGCTTGCGGAGACGAAGCGATCTAAGAGGCTCTATGCCATTAAGGTGCTTAAGAAGGAGTTCATTATTGAAAACGACGAAGTGGAGAGCATTCGGTCAGAGAAGCGAGTGTTCCTCATCGCCAACCGGGAGAGACATCCGTTCTTGACCAATCTCCACGCCTGCTTCCAGACTGAGACCCGTGTCTACTTCGTCATGGAATATATTAGTGGTGGTGATCTCATGCTTCACATCCAGCGCGGCCAATTCGGCACCAAGCGAGCGCAGTACGTCGAGTAATCCCATGATGGTCTGAAGGATTCAACGCTAACATGTTACAGATTCTATGCTGCCGAAGTCTGCTTGGCACTTAAGTACTTCCACGAGAACGGCGTCATTTACCGTGATTTGAAGCTCGACAACATCTTGTTGACGCTGGATGGACATATCAAGATTGCCGATTATGGTCTTTGCAAGGAGGACATGTGGTTCGGCTCCACAACCAGCACCTTCTGCGGTACTCCTGAGTTCATGGCCCCGGAGGTATGTATCCAGTATTTGTGTCAAATCGGGCTTGACTGACCACAGCACAGATTCTCCTTGATAAGAAGTACGGCCGCGCCGTTGACTGGTGGGCGTTTGGTGTCTTGATATACCAGATGCTTCTCCAGCAGTCACCGTTCCGTGGTGAGGATGAGGACGAAATTTACGACGCCATTCTCGCCGATGAGCCTCTGTACCCGATCCACATGCCGAGAGATTCCGTGTCTATTCTTCAGAAGCTTCTTACGCGTGAGCCCGACCAGCGCCTGGGTAGCGGCCCGACAGATGCGCAGGAAGTCATGAACCAGCCGTTCTTTAGGAACATCAACTGGGATGACATCTATCACAAGCGCGTCGCACCGCCATTCCTGCCGCAGATTAAGAGCGCCACGGATACCAGCAACTTCGATTCCGAATTCACGAGCGTGACGCCTGTTCTTACTCCCGTCCAATCAGGTACGCTTATGTTAACCCTCATGTATGGTAACAAGACTAACACGACGCAGTTCTGTCTCAAGCTATGCAGGAAGAGTTCCGCGGCTTCTCTTACACTGCCGACTTTGACTGAGCGACGAAGAATGATGAAAGTGTTGTTTGGAGTTGATGAGGTGACGAGGTGACGATGCCCGATGTGAAAAGTAAAAAGTTTGGGGATGAATGCGGACCAAGAAGGGACAAGGGCAGAGCGTCTTAGGATACCAAGCGCCTTACGAGGATGCCAGGCCCCGGTCTCGGTCAACATGAAGACGCTGCGGGTCGCCAAGTAGTGGCGACCCGGAGGCGCAAGCGAGGAAACACAGCGATGGTGGACACGATGTAGGGAGAAGACGCGAAAAAAAAAAGTGTTGCCCCGGTCGTTCGCTACGTGGACATTTGGAAAGAAAAGGATGGAAGGGTGGGGTGGCCGATTCGTTCGGATTACGGCTAGAGTCTACATCTGTGATATACCGCGGAACCCCCGCCGCAGCTTCTTTTAATAGACGGAACCTTTGATGGTAACATCCAAGGGTGACATGCGCAGAGCCGCCACTGGGCAGTGATTTTTTATCTTTCTGTGAGGTCGTCCTCATGCTCTTTCTATATGGTATCATATTGTACAGTGTTGTTATATACAAATCGTAGCGGAGTAGCAACGTCTTGTTCTTGTTTTTTTTTTTTTTTCCCCTCTTCTTTTGCCTTCCTCATGTTCGACGCAGGAGCAAGATGGCCAGGCCTCCGGCCAGTGTAGCACCGGCAGCGGCGCCCTCGAGAGCGATGATGGAGGCGTCGCGCATGCGCAGGTCGATGCGGCGCTCAGAGTACAGGTCTACGAGCCGCGCCTTCCACAGCGCCGGGTCAGAAAGGAACTCGCGCCACGTCGTGGACCCGACGATCGTCTCCTTCTCCAACGAATCCAGAGCGCTGACGATCTCGCGATCCAGCTCGCTCTGCACCGCGGGTTCCTCGGCCAGCTTCTCGACCGGCTCCTCAACGGCGGCCTTGTCTACCTCCGCGGCCAGGACTTCTTCAGTCGCAGACTGCTGCTGCTGCTGCTGCTGCTGCTGCTGCTGCTGCTCCTCCTCCTCGGCGGCGGCAAGGACCGTCTCCTCTGCTACGGGCACTTCTGCTGCCGCCACAGCCGTCGCCGGAGCAGGTACTTCGTCCCTCTGCAACAAGGTAGCCCTGAGACTGGCGAGCTCCGCCGTCACGCCCTCCAGCACGGTCTTCTCCTGCTCGACGACGCCGCGGACGAGACGTCTCCTCTTCCACGGCTCAGCGATGAATTGCAAGACGAGGAAGAGAAGCACGTTGACGCCCATGAGGCCCCAAGTACCCCACGTCGACGCGCGGCGGATTCTATCAGACCAGATCTGCTCCTCGTGGTATCTCTTGAGGATGCCCGCGTTGAGCTGCTGGCCCAGTGCCTGCTCAGCGTGCTCCGCATCCGTCAGGGCCTCGGAGGCCGCGGCGACCTCCTGCTCGAGTTCGTGGTCGGTCCGGTACAGCTGTGTGAAGCGCTCGAGGTCGGAGGGCGACCACGTCTCTTTGCGCGCGAGGAGCGTGGTGACTTCGCGCTGGGTGGCGGCGCGCTTCGCGTTGGTCGTCTTGTAGGTCAGTCTGGCGGTGCGGACGAGGTCCTGGGCTTCGGCGAGGCGGGTCTCGAGGAGGGTGTTTTGGTGCTTGATGGCCTCGATAGGAGCGTACCCTGTCAGAGCGTTGAGGGTCGTCGAGGCGGTTAGGAGGCGGGTTTGGAGGGTGTCCATTAGGTGGGAGAGTTTCTCGGATAGCGCCGGGGGGAGGGCAGTGTAGATTTTGGAGGCAGTATCGGGGAGAGGGTCGTGGGGGGCTGCATCTTTTGACGTCTTGGAGTCTGCTGAGCTATTGGGTGAGGATGTGCTAGTGGTGGTTGAGTCGGAAGATGCGGTGGAGCTTGAGCTCGGTTCTGTGCTCGGCGATGACGGGGAGCTCGACTCGCTTGTTGGGGAAGCTTGTTTGATTTCTTCCTTGGAGGCGGAGGAGCTCGGCGGAGGAGGAGAAGGAGGAGGGAAAGGAGGGAAGGAGGAGTAGAGCCGTTGAGACGGCGTCGGCGCACTACGTCGGAGAGACAAAGCTGCCGCGGGCCATCGCTGGAGGGCGGCTGAGGCGTGCAGGCCGAGGCGGGCGTGGACCAGGCGCGATGCCGGCCGGGCGATGGGGTGCATCTTTGCCCTGCGTCGACGGGGTCTGCCAATTGACCTGCCGCTGGAGGGGGGAAAAAACCAATTGGCGGTGACGTAGGGTGGTTGTCTTGGTTTTTTTTGAGGAGAGGGCCGAGGTGGTCGAGGCGGGAGCCGGGCGACGGGACGACTGAGTGGAAAGTTTGGACGGTGATGGGGTGGTGCTGTTGCGGCGGGTTTACTGCCGAAGGACAGCTCAATTGGTGAGAAGAGCAAAGCCCTCACCGCCTGTCTGATTGGGCGAGACTATGTTAGCGGTCGGGCCGGTGCCGGGGGGGTTGAGAGCGGTTCAATAGTGGAACAAAAAGAAGGGCGAAGAATGCCCGAGACGGAGGGCAAAGATACGTACCGTTTAGCGGAAAAAGCAGAGATTTACCGTGCTTACCGCACGTGTGGTGGGGGGTGGGGTTCAACTGAGACTACGGAGCACTGAGTGTCTCTTAGGGCGGGCTTCAGTGGATGAGATCTTGGTAAAACCATGCCCAAGGGTCCTCCTCGTGGACTCGATACGGGGACTGAACGGGGGTTCCGCCGAAGGGGGCCCGATGTCGTCACTGGGTGGGAGCTTTTGAAGGCGGGTTTCCCTTGACGGCCACTGATGTTGAGTGTTATTTTTTATTTATTTTTTATTGCCTTGGCTAGGTTCGATTCCTGTAGATTGACTCAACAGATAGAATAAGTTGTCACTTGTACAACTACGTGATGAGATGTATGGACGAGGATGACTGGGAGGCGATTCCTTACCTCGTCCGCCTGCAGACGAAAATTGACACCCATCCGAAGTTGAAAATTGCATGTCCGGGCGGCGGCTTGGATTTCTTGCGCCGTATATAAACCCGTTGGCTCATCTTCCGTCTCTTTGACAACTTCCGTGACCCACTCTATTACTCTCTCTCATTGTTGACTTTGCGAGCTATTTCATCTACCCTGCCCCTCCCCCTCCTTTGATCCCGACTGGTGTCAATAGACTAGATCTCACTCTCACTCTCACTCTTACATCTCACAACCAAAACACCTCATTCGTTCTTTTCTTTTTTCTGAAAAAAACCACCGCCAAAATGGGCTCCCAGGTCAACGACACCCCGGCTCTCGCCACGAACCCCAAGTTCATCTTCTTCACCGACTTCGACGGCACAATCACCCTCGAGGACTCCAACGACTTTTTGACCGACACCATTGGCTTCGGCTACGAGAAGCGCCGCGATGGAAACGTGGCAGTACTCGAGGGCAAGAAGTTCTTCCGCGATAACTTCCGCGAGATGATGGACAGCGTCACCCTGCCCTTTGACCAGTGCATCGAGCTGCTCAAGAAGAACGTCAAGCTCGACCCCGTCTTCAAGGAGTTCTACTTCTGGGCCAAGGAGAACAACATCCCCGTTGTCATCATCTCCGGCGGCATGAGGCCCATTATTCGCGCTCTTCTTGTGCAGTGGCTCGGCGAGGAGGAGGTCGACCACATTCAGATCGTCAGCAACCAGGTCGCACCCCGCGAGGGCAAGAGCATCAACGATGAGGGCGGCTGGCAGATTGTCTACCACGACGACAGGTAGGTGACCCTTTTTTTTTGGCACTGGAATGAGAGAGCCAGAAACTGATATTTTCTGTAGCATCCACGGCCACGACAAGTCCATTGAGCTGCGCAAGTACTCTTCCCTTCCCGAGCGCCCCGTCATGTTCTACGCTGGCGATGGTGTCTCCGATCTTTCCGCGGCCCGCGAGACTGATTTGCTGTTTGCCAAGCGCGGCAAGGGTAAGCCCCTAAATTGTATCTCACTTGTTAGGCTCAATGAGCGCTAATCGACCTGGCAGATCTCGTTACGTGGTGCGAGAAGGAGAACGTCTCTTTCGTCACCTTTAACGACTTCTCCGACATCCTGGACACGGTCAAGCAGATTGTTGACGGCAAGGTCAGCGTCAAGGACGCTGCGCGGGGACGCATTCACCACTAGATTTTCATTAAAAAACGAATTTAGAGTGTGAGACGGTTAGACATACAGCGTAAATGAGGTTTGGACATTTCTTTATGATAGACATAGACATGGATTGGGTCTAGGGTACAAAGTACAGACAAATACCAAAGCGTTGCTTTTGCCAATTGCCCGCCGATGGCGACTCAACCTCCAACACAATGAGTGTTTTTCTTGTGTGTTCCTCTGACTATGGCAGGATTCCTTCGATGGATACTCAATTTTCCCGGCAGCTGTATTCCAAGCCGCCAACACTCGATCATCAAATACCCATTTTTCCCTCGTCGCTGAGATATCCCAAACAAGACACTCCGCCATTTCCTGACCGATGCGGCTCATGTTGGGATGGCCAACTTCCGACCCATTGTCTAGCTCCGCCATTTTTCCAGTCACTCTATCCTTATCCGGTTCTTTACTCATTCCGCTTTCTCGAGTGCGGAACAGCGAACCAGCTCGCCATCATCACGACAAACAAACCCAGAGCAATCGGGTGCAACACCCACGCACCCACCGCCTGGGCAAGGATACCCGTTGTGAACGGCGCAACCGCACCTCCCGAACTACCAAAGGCACTGATGACTCCCATTCCGCTCACCCTCTCTTGCCTCGTCATGCCCCTCATGAACACGGCCGCGGCGCATGCATAAATCGGCCCGAGCAGCAAACCGACGAGGGCGACCGACACCGCGGGGCCGACGACATTCGGGACCCACCACACCAGTATCTGGAATACGGCCGCGCCGGCCGTGGCGAAGAAGACGGATCGCTTCTCGCCGATGAGGGCCGCCGGGTGAGACAGCAGGAACCGACCAAGCGTGATGCCGCCCCAGAAACCTGCCGTGACGTAGCCGACGGCTTCGGGGTTGCCCTCGCGCTCGGTGATGAGGAAGGAGATGACCCAGCCAGAGATGGACACCTCCGCTCCCTGGTAAGCGAAGATGAACAGCGCGCCGAGGAGAACGATGCGCGTCTTGAGGGCGGAGAACATGGAAAGCAGCTGGGCGGAGGTGTCTGCGTCCGCAGTCTGCTGCTGCTGTTGAGCGGATAGAGGAAGCTCGCGCTCGTACTTCCAGAAGGACCAAGTCGAGAAGACGGCGTTGAAAGCGGCGAGGCCCAACGTGATGAAGTAGTACGTGCTCCAGCGCGCATGGGCTTGCGTCACCAGTGCCGTGGCCATCAGTGGGCCGATTGTGCCGCCCAAGCCGTACGCGCCGTGTAGGTACCCGAGAGCAGCGGTGGCCTCGCGAAGGGAGCCGCAGAAGACGTTGTTGATTGCGATATTGAGCGACATGCCAAAGCCGATCATGAAGAAGGAGACGACAACTAACGGGAACGGGGCCTGGGCGAGGATGGGGACGTACGCCAGAGCGATCACAGACTGGGCTAGGGCGAGGAGACGGGCGCGGCCGAGTTTGGCGCGGAGGGACTCGAGAAAGGTGGCCCCAATGATGAAGCCGAATGCATTGCCTACGAAGATTGTAGAGACTATCGCGTAGCCGATATCGTAGTATCTGAGGCAGTCAGTGTCCTGTTTACTGTATGAGTAAGTGTTGAATGGATACTTACTTCTCCATGTACGGGATGATGGCACCTGGTGCGCTGTCGTTGAGGCCATTGCCGAAGTTGATTAGACAGGCAGCGGCTAGGCGGAAGCGGTTCATATACGGGTTCGTGATGCTTTGAAAAGCCTCAACTGCTGGGGGACTTGGTGGGCGGCTCATCTCGACGTCACTCTCGGAGGCAGTAGGCGAACGAGTGGGCGATTGGGCGCGGGAGGGTGCAGCGCTGCCTCCTGGGCTCTTGTTGCCGCTGCCACTGCTCTTGACGTTGGCATTGTTTGTGTCGATACGTTGAAGTTCGATTGAGCCATTCTCGCGGTGATGAGCATTGGGATATGTCCGAGGGACGGCTTTGGCTGGTGCGGTGGGCAATGTGGGATGGTTATCTTCGCGGCTGTCGGATTCGACTTGCACGATGGCCTTGAACATTGACGTTTCCATAGTGGGGCTTTATCGGGATTTGAATTCCGTGGAAAATCGATAGTTTGTCATGCACTTTGAGAACAAGAACCAGGTAAATTTCTGATGCGGCGAGCTGGGAATGACCAGAATTTATAACAGACGGCTGGCGCAATACATGAAAGCTCCGCTGAAATGACTACTTACATCCGGTGCCAGATCAAAGACGGGTAGGGAAGTGCAAGATACACCTCGCGACGGGTGCATGTCAGCTGACCTTTCTGGTCCATGATCAACCTACGGCGAACGTCATAGGAGATATGGGCCCTATGAGCGGGCTGATACTGCAAGTTCACTGCTTACAAATGCATAAGAAGCTCTCCAACAGACACAACTGATATGAAGATTTATAGATGAATTTGGATGGCATGTGGTTGATCCCAGGTTAGCTTTGGTTCAGCTTCTTACAACCCACCACCAGTAGTTGTCTTTTGAAATTCATGATCATCAGAAATGACATAATTCAGAAATAGACCGCTTACGATTATGGTGTGACAGCTAATGGACTATGACTCCTTTTTATCGAACAAGTTGACTGTGATTTGGTGCTGTTTTGGACCACTTGTCTTTTCGAACTTGAACAGTTTCACTGAGTATTACCAGGTTGTCTAACTAACAAATGCTGAATGAGATAGTTTAATCTAATCGCACTTGAATATCTCACGTGAATATCTCACGCTGAGTCTTACTCAGATGGCGGATGATATCACGCCTTATTTCAACTTTCGTTTGTCTGGATCTTTCGTATTATACTTTATTGTAAGCTTAATTGCAAAGCAAGCTGAGAGCCTCTCGTTGACTAACTTGATCGACATATTCTTTTTGATAGATACTATCGACACTCTTAATATTTCATAACATCATTTGACACATGTTCAGGTAGAGGCTTGGAATATTCAATTTCGATGAAAAAGAGCGCAAATCATGCTGGATGCTACTAAAACTACTTGGTTAGTTTCGCTGTCTACTATTGCTGGATTTGAATACAGCTCGAGCTCTGTTGAACAGATATCTGTAAGTTTACTTTGCCTTGCAAATATTTCCTGCAGCCCCTTCACCTTTTATTTAGAAGAGAGTTCTACATCTATTCGTACATACGGAATGTAGTGTTGGTTATATGAAGCCTAAATCTTCCAACGAAGGCTAAGCAGACATCTTGTTGAGAGTTGCAAGTTGACACCCAGTTCTCGCATCGGTAGGTGTTACCGATAGGACTGTAGATACAGGCTACTTTGTGACGCAGCCTATCGGATGATGGCTTCTTCCCTGTGTCGAGGAGAGTGGGGTACCAACTTCATAAGCTCGTCTTACACCTCCCCAAGTAGTTTAGCGGGCATCATAGGTGACTTCATGATCTATCAGCGCTGACAAGTGAATTTCAGAACGCTCACCTGAGATGTCTATTCCAGCCTCAAGAGAGTGGTGTTCAACCTGTGTCCAGGTATTTCAACCCACGCAGGCCAGAAACCATGATCGCGATTTCGAGCCCAAGGGACAAACCCTCGAGGGATTTCGCAAAGCTGCCACGACATGCTTCATCTGCTCTTCTATATGGAAGCATCATGAGAGATCCACAGATAGTTGGGTGAATTCTCATGGGTGGGAGACCGTGGACGAAGACTCATGGAAACCGATGACCTTTCGGATCCATAGAACGGACTCGGACAGTGGATTACCAACATTCAACGTAGACGTCTGGCACAGTGTTCCGGCAACAGACCACCAAGATGAAGTCACTTGGGGAGTCAACATCTTCCAGATGCTTCATCTAGATGGTAAGGAATGTTTCATTTCCCCATTGATTAGAACGAAACTCACGACACATATGGCTAATAGCTGTACTCAGATAGCCGGTACCGTTCCTTATTCACTTTTCCCAGATTTGACGACAACACTGGCTCGCCAAGAACACTAGATGTGGCATACTCCTGGTTTCAAGACTGTCTTTCGTCTCACCAGAAATGTAGAAACTTGCCGACAATGACTCCTCATTGGCTTCCCACTAGGCTTGTCGATGTCGGGCTTTCAGGAGACGCAGAATGGAAACTGTGCATAACATCGGAAGATCTTGCGTCCCAGCCGCCAGCTCCTCGCTACATGACATTGAGCTACCGCTGGGGCGTAGGACAGCAGCTTTTGCTTCTGGGTTCAACCTTGAATACCTTTCGCCGCGGCGGAAGCCTCATCTCAGAGCTACCCAAGACGTTCCAAGACCTGGTTGCCGTTGCGCGGCGATTCGGCGTTCGTTACCTATGGATAGATTGCCTATGCATCATTCAGGACTCTACAGATGACTGGGAGGCCGAGGCGCCGATGATGAGGCAGGTCTACGCCAACTCTGCCTGCAACGTCGCAGCATCCGCCTCTAATGACCCTGACGGCGGCCTCTTCCGTGCCCGCGAGCCTAGAGACGATCATGAACCGGGTATTGTAAGCACGACTCTTGCTGCATCCTCTCCTGAACAATACTTCATCTTCGAAGAAGACTATTATATCTCCCACATGTATAGAAAAAGGGAAACCTTGCACACCCGAGGCTGGGTCTTTCAGGAAACATTTTTAGCTCCACGGTTGCTTCATTTCGCTGGATCTCAACTCTTGTGGGAGTGCCATGAAACAGACAAATGTGAAGGATTTCCCCACGGGATCCCATTTCACGAATCAACTAAAAACCTCGACCGTTTAATGGCGGCATCTGACGAGACCAAAAAGAGGCTAAGTGAAGAGCCGCACTGCCGCAACAGCAACCGGTTAGGGGACGAAACACTGAGCTTGTGGCAAGATGTAATGAGCCATTATGGCTACAGGCAGTTCACGAGGCCTAGCGACAAGCTCTACGCTATATCGGGCGTCGCGAAGCTTTTCCAGGAAGTTACTGGCCAAGAGTATCTGGCCGGCCTATGGAGATCCCGGATTCTCGAGCAGCTCGACTGGTACGTCGAGGAGCCGACAGCTGCGTCGGCCACTTACCGTGCCCCCTCGTGGTCTTGGGCCTCAATCGACGGCGAAGTATCGAACTTTACCTGGGACCCGGCTCATCAGCTGCTTGTTGAGCTTTTGGATGCCGACGTGGCGACAAAAGGCGCGGACCCAACGGTCAACGTCACCGGTGGTTTCTTGAAATTGAACGGCACCGTCATTGCAGGCTCTTACCAGCGACATCCGTTGTCATACGAACAGCTCCATGTTAAACCACGGAACGAGCAATTCGAGCCGATGACTGTTTTGTCGCCCTTGCCTGATACCTCGGGGCATCTTGTCGAAGACACCGGAGAGCTGTACTTGTTGCCAATCAAGTGGCGGAAAACGAGTGACATGCAACTCTTGGGCGAAGACCGCGATTTCTATTCTATCAAGTGTCTGCTTTTGGCCCCCGTGAGCATACCGGACAACATCTACAAGAGAATCGGCTGTTTTGAGTCTCCGGAGGAGGGTCTATTACAAGCGTTAAAATCGGACACTATAGAGCGAACGGTAATAACCTTGGTTTGATGAAGGAAGATGTATTTACATGCACTTTTCAATTGAGAACGGTTGTAACAAGAGTTGTTTTCGAGCCTTCAAAGCAATTAAAAAAGGTCAATGATCAACAAAGTCAACGATATAGAGCCCTTTCACAAGCACTAGGTCGAAATGATAGTGAAGAAGCACAGTCAATACAGCCCGACCAAAAGAGGCTGATATTCATAAGTGATTAGGTTTTTTTTTTGTTTCTTTTTCCTTTTTCAATCCTCTCGGCTAGTATCGCATCATGGTATTTGACACTGTCTCTTATTATGCCGCCTGTAGACCCAAGCTAAAAGCAGAGCACACTAGTGGATAATGTCTCCCCAGACACTGGGCAGGCCAGCAAGGTTCCCCTATTGAGGCGCGCTAAACGCAATTTGACCACCCAAATCTGCCCCGCGTCCGTCCTCCAAAAAATCCCACTGACGAAAAACTACCCCACCATCGCCACCAAAAAAAGTTCCTGATTTGTCTTCGAGACCATTCCACGCATCTTGACGCACTTAAGTCCGTAACCTCACCAACTCAACATCATGGGACGCCCTAAACGCACCGCTCAGGCAGCCGCCGAGGAGACACTGACACCTCCCGACAATCTTGAGAAGAACCAGGCCATTGTGCGCGTCATCAAGGCCGAGGGTAACAACCTGTACAACTGCGAATTGCCCAACAAGAAGGATCTGGTTTTCGAGCTGGCGCAGCGCTTCCGCAACACCATCTGGATCAAGCGAGGCGGATATGTTCTGGCGGAGAGATACGACGAGCCGGATGGTCGGGTAATGGGCGAGATTATCAACGTCGTCCGCGACGAGAAGGCCTGGCGCAAGCAGCCTTACTGGTGCGTCCCACAATTTCTGTGCGTTGCGTCGTCTACGTGCCATTGCTGACGGGTCTGAACAGGCCGAAGGAATTCGCAAAGAACAGATACGAGGAAGACGAAGACGAAAGCGACTCCAACGTCGGCAAGATGCCGCCGTCCGACTCGGAAGACGAGTATTGATTTTTTAGCGACCCTAACGACTTACGACAACACCCATACATCACCGCTTCTTCGACTCCAGCTTCTCCGCCGGCTTGCCCTCGTCCGCCGCCGCAAACCACGCCGCAATGACGGTGACGGCCATAACACCGACGACGACCTGCGAGCTCGTGTTCGTGCTGGGATAGACGTTCCAGGCCCACTCCTGCACCGCCCAGAGCAGATAGACGAGGTAGACGGGAAGGCCGCTGCGCCAGAGAAGGTACGGCGTAGACCAAGCTAGATAGGCGTAGAACTGGTAATGCAGAGACCTGGCGAAGAGCAAGCCCATTACGTTGGCCGAAAGGATTGTCGTGAGAACGTAGCGGGGCGTCACTCGGCTGGCTACCTGAGCCTCCTCCAGCTTCGCAAACGGCGACTTGCCCTTGAGCATGGCGGGCACGAGTGATGACAGCGGGCGCTGCGCAGGGTTGAGCCAGCGGGTCAAGATGAAGACCAGCAGAGCGGCTACGTGCAGGCCCAGCAGCGCGATAGAGAATGGCTTGCTGAGGAACGTTTCCTCGCCCACGAAGCGCCAGTTGACCGTCCACTTGAAGAAGAACTGCCGCGAGAGCTCGAATGCGCGACCGAGGTACCCCTTCGCGTTATTCGTAAAGAACGGCACGCCAATGAGGATTTGTAGTTGTGCCATGAGCCATGCCGCGCGCAGGCTGCCCTCGAAGCCTCGTCCGAGGAAGAGTATCACGCCCACGGCGGGCAGGACCAGCAAGAGTGACATCTTGATTCCCAAACCCCAGCTGTAGAGTATTGCGCCCGGCGTCCAGAGTCGCTTCTGGAAGAAGAAAATGGCTAGCCAGAGGAAGAATGTCGCGAAACAGTCGTTAAAGCAGCGCAGGACGAAGACGCTGTGGAGTCGTTTGGAGAGGATCAGGAGTGGGAAGATGTATGGCGGTACCTGTAAAGAGAGATGTCAGCTTTGTCTGTCGTTTAGGAGAAAACGACATACCTTTGCCTGCCAGTAGCAGGCCATGACTACAGCTAGAGTAGCAAGGTAGAGAATGGCAAACAGCTGTTGAGCCAGGAAAATGTTCTTCCCTTCGTCGGTGAGGTAGTAGAGCCCTGTGTAGGTGTAGACGTGAGCGGCAGGGTAGACGAGGGGTCCGGTGCCGCCTTTGATCTTAGTGTAGTCGCGCTCGCCCGTGACAAACTGAGCCACCTGCTCCATGTAGGCTACCCAGTCGATTTCGGTGTCTGCAAGGAATGTCAGTGTCTGGGGCCCTAGGTGCAGAGCAAGACGAAGCTAACATGGAACTTTCCATATGATCAGACCGCATAGGACAGCATCCAGTGCGAGGAGCAGCGGCGGGATGACCTTGGAGAGCGCATGGCGACCGTTTGCAATATCGAGGATCAGTCGCGTCGCTTGCACGTGAATTGGGGGTGCTGATTCGGCCATGGTGTAGCTACGCCAGCCGTGCCGTGGGATTGTCGGTCGTGAAGCTTGGTGATGGACAGGGGAGCTTCTGCAAGCTGTCGCGAACTGCAGGTACGCCGCACTGTGCGGCAACCTCGGGAATATCAATACGTACTGTTGAGTCAAAGGAGTCACGGCAGGCACAACTACAACTGTCTTGGTTTTGGAAGCAACCTTTTTTTTCCTTTCTCATGTTTTAATGTCAAAAAGTAGTTTTCACTGAATCATCTCATAGTATAAGGAATTATCACAGAAAATAATTACAACTTGCTAGGCCGGTCCCAAGAGAAAACCCTGGGCTCATTTGCCAGGTTCTCTCCCTTCTCTGATCTGATCTGGTTCACCAGCTCAACAACCTTCTCGGAGCAACCATATGAGCCCTGGTATCCCCATCCAGCATGGCCATAATTGTGAACAATGGGAGTACCGTCCGCAAAAGTCTTCTGGTCAATCTCAATCCTGACACCGTCCTCGCGGTACGGCCTTAGTCCGACACCATGACGGATGATGCTCAGAGCCTCGGGGCCCTTACCACCCGTCAACTTCGGGGACAGCTCAATGCAGCGCTTCATAATCCTGATGGCGATGTTGGGGTCGGGGTTGGGGTCCCAGTTATCCTTGTCATAAGTACCTCCCAGGATCGTGCCACCGCCGCCCGCCCGCGTCATCATGTAGCACACTTCCGTCGGCCCGTCGTCGGTACCGGAAATAGTGGCCATAGGCTCGATCTCGTTCCGTACCACAACAATCTGCCCGCGGGCCGGGCGGACGGTCAAATCCTCGACGCCGCCCAACTTGCGCGCCAACAGGCCGGAGGCATTAATGATAATGTCAGCCGGGTTGCCTGTGTGATGCAGGTTCTTGGCTTCATGGATATGCGACAGAACGGCACGCTTGAAAACGACACCGTTCTTGCGGCACTGTCCGACGAGCCAGGGGAGGTAGAGCGCCGTGTTGATGCAGACAGAAGTGAACTCGCAGCCCGAGTGGGCGTTTTCAGGCAACTCGTCCTGACGCAGTTCGCGGTAATCGGGCATCAAATCGCGGTACCACGGGTCGACGGAGTAGAGGGCATCGTAGGGGTTGCCGCCAGCCTCAATATCTTTCTTGCGGCGGTACACCAAACTCTCTGTGATACGTTAATCAACTGGCTATGAGTGTTTAGTGAGAACAACTGACTCTGGAAGTGAATGCCAGCTTCAGGCACTTCGGCGGCCAGGCGCTTGATCTCGGGCCATGTTCTTCTCTCCCATCTGCTGTCAGTAGCTGGTGCCATGCTTGAGCGTACTGGTTAGTTTCAGTCGTTTCATGTTCTAATGAAGAAGATCTCACGGTAGAACGTTGGCGCCAGCCCAGGGCGAGGTGTATTCGATGTCATAGTCACCGGGCATGTGCTTCGAAATGACAGTGACGGAGTTGGCCTTGCTCTTGGACAACAGCAGAGCGGTGGTGAGGCCCGACACACCGGCGCTGGACATGGTTAGCGACCCGATTCACAAACACGTTTAAAGTTTACTTACCCAAGTACAACAATGTGGTTCGTCATCTTGTTATCGTTACAAGGGCACTTGCTTAGCCGTCAAATTGAGTTGTTATATTCGGAGACTTCTTTCGGTCGTGACAGGTCGACCTCTTATATGATAAGAATCGCTGTATGAGAGTCGTCAGAAAGGTTATCGAAACAAGAGCTGTCTCCGAGGCAAGACGTAATGGAAGTCGGCTTTAATCAACAAGGATCGGGTCTGACCGCTTGGGTTTGGATGAGGTCGGACAACCTTTAAATGCACCAACAACCATCTGATTGGGACAAACACTAGCTACGCCTTTGCGTGATTTGCTGCATGAAGAATCGTGCCATGGCTGCTGGGGTTGGTCACGCACACCAGTTTTGAGGCTGGGGGGCGTTCTTCCCGCGGACAAGCGCCCCCGCGGTACCGGGGCGAAAACCGGCGCGGGGCCCCAACGGCATTGGGTTTGACTCACCCCGGCCATTGCGGAAATCGGCCGCAGGAGCCGACAAAGACCGCCATGTTTGCTTTTTATGAGGCGATTGGCAACGCCTTTCGGTGACAGGAACGGGGCTTATCGTGCTGAGGTGTTTTCGTCACCGAAAAGCGTGTGGGATGTTTCTCACCGGGGCTGTCAAGATGAGGTCATTGGGTAAGGTAAGATGTGCAACGCTAATCAATTTCCTGAGCCTCAATCTCCCACATCAGCGGACTGACTTAACGCCGGCCAGGGTAGCACATGGTTTGCGGCGGCAGTCATTCCTTGGGGGGTTACAGGTGGTGCCGGGGTACACCGTCGGATCTTGGCCAATTGCCCAACTAAGAAGTTCTCTTGTTGCCAAATGGAAAACCGCTAGATTCTGGCACTACATGCCGAAGTTGGAACCCAATCTGGAAAATCGATTTGATGCCAGGCCATGTCTTTTCCCCCGTCAATGAGTTTTTTTTTTTTTTTTTTTTTTTTTTTGGCATAATTTGATGCATTTTCATTCACCCCCATGCCAATACCGTCTTTGCCAGCATCGCGTCATCGTGACTTGGAGGTATTGGTAAAAATGAGTGCTCGTTCAATCAGATATCAACTGTCAGCACCACGATTAGAAGCTAAGGTCTAGTGCTCGTTCAATCAGATATCAACTGTCAGCACCACGATTAGAAGCTAAGGTCTAGTTGCAGACAGCAGACAATTTCAGGTGGATAGGAGAGTACATCATGAGTAGTTCCGCCATATCACATCATACACGACATGTGCAGTCAAGGAATGACACTACCACGAACAACTGTCAAAGGGCGGACATTTGTGGTAAATATATGCTTTGGTATTGCAATGTGGTATCTAGTGCCGAACGCGCTCAGCGTCCAATTGGCAGTTCCTTGTTGACATTTTTTTTTCTTATAATTTTATTCCCCAAACCTTCAAGTCTAGATGTTGTTTACTCAGAAGCGGCCGCGGGCGCGGGCTCTTCCTTGTCCGGGGAAGGGAACTCCTCAGCAAGCTTGGCAACAGCCTGAGTAAGTGCGTTGGGGTTGGCACCGACGATCTCTTGAGCCTTCTGGCCGTGCTTGAAAATGATGAAGGTGGGCATGGCGCGAATGCCAAGCTCCTGGCTCACCTCGGGGATCTCGTCGACATCAAGCTTGACGAAGTGAAGTTTTTTGTTGTCCTTGTGGTTGGAAAGGCTGAAAACATTAATGCGTCAGCCAAATGGCTTCATGAATCTGGGATTTTGCCAAGGATGAACTGGCAGGACGCCTTACTTGACAAGAATAGGAGCGATGGCCTTGCAGGGACCGCACCAGGTAGCAAAGGCATCAAGGATGACGGCGGGCTTGGTCTTGTCCTCGAGGAGGGCGTCGAACTCGGCCTTGCTGTATAGGCAAAATGCGTTAGCAAGTGTGAACAGAAGGCCGAATTTCTCGGATGCAATGCGGACAATGCCGCCCGCTGATAGTTTCAAGCTGAGGGAGAGCTAAACCTACCTGGTGAGGTTGTGGACAACCATGTTGGGCGAAGATGCGTGGAAGTTCCTGTAGGTAGAAGGAATTGAAGATTTCGCGATGCGTTGTACGGGTCTGAAGAGTCTGAGAGACATGTGGGATGGAAGGAGGGGCACTCGGCGGTGACGCGGGAGGAAATCAGACTAAATAGTACGGAGGGGAAGGGGGAGAAACAGCTTAGAGGCTGAGAGGTGTGGTTGGGTAGGCAAAGGGCGTCTGAACTGCCAGAATTCGCTCGGAAGGCTCAATGTGGATGTCGTAAAGTAGCTGCCCGCAGCACAGAATCAGTGAGTGACATGGGCTTTGCTAGTAAATTCCTTTCTTGATTTGTCAGGGCTCCAGGGTGTCGATGACGCGAGAATACCAACCTTTTGGGCCAGCAAGCCACACAGGGTACCTGCCGTCTGCGCGAAATTACTGCAGAAATCTTTGTACCACATGTGCCCCTTGCCCCAGGCTTGGGCCTCATCACTGTATCCACTATTTCCCTCAACGGCTCTCGGTGATCCATCGCGGAGCTCGGGCTTCCCGTTGATTTCACATCTTCAAATGCCGACTGACTTGGCATCTCAGTCATCACTCGCCTTGAGTAAGCTCATCTCGGACTTTCGATATCAATGTGGCAATACATCGGTAATATCTTAGATTAGAAGTCATCAAATGCGATCATTCCAAATTATTCACTGCGCCTGCGTCTAGCCGGTTCACGTAGGACTGAGAACGTATGCCGTTTATCCAATCAGCATCGCCGCCCCAACCAACAAGATACGAATCCAAAAATACACCACGCGCCCCGAACCAACATACCTAGGTACTGTGCCCGAAAAACTGTATTAAGTCCTATTATTCCCTGCCAGTAGCTTGGCCGTCGACTCTTGGTATCCCAGCTTAGTCGCAATGTCCAGCGGAGAGGCTGTAGCACAGCTGGTTCCCATCGTCTTCTCAACCATAGCCCACTGAGCAGCGAATTCCTTGCCAATGGCTTCGGGTAACAATTCTCTAGACTCCCCCAGCCGTAAATTTCTTAGTATGAAGTCTAGGGCCTCCACATTACCAGATACAGTAACAGCGCGAAGGAGTAACATGCGTGGTAGCTTCGATGAGTCCAAACTGCCTTCAGCCTCACATATATGCTGGATCATAGCTTTGCATCCCCAAAGACATGCCAATGCGAGATATTCCAGTAATTCCCATGTCCCGGTGTGGTTCTGCAATTCGAAACGACTTTTCACCAGAAAAAGTGCAAGTTGTTCATCCATTGCAATTGCATAGCACACTGCTTGGTGGAATCTTGCAGCTGGAAGTCGCGCATTCTTAGCCGACATCAGCTTGAGGAATACTTCGTTCGTATGTTGATCCTCTCCGAGAAACGGTTTAATGGGGAATGGATTAGACAGCCTTCGATTGCCAGATGACAGAACTCGCTTGATTGTCCCGAGTAAGTGCTCTCCCAGCTCGGCGCCCAGTTGTGTGTCGAAAAATATCAACAAAGCCTCGTTTAGATGCCTCGTCGAATATTCCAGCAGAGAGAGCAGTGTTTGGACACCCTCGACGTCACCGAATGTTGCACGTGATGACAGCGCCTTTCCATCGTCGTCTTTGGCACCATCTTGGATAAGTGCTTCAATGTTTTCCTTGGAGCAACCGAGCATCGTGGCATTCAGCAAGCCAGGTGACAAATCAAAACCTTCCGGATCTGTCACGCCGGTGTCCAGCAGAACCCTTCTAGTGAAAGCTTTTCCTTTCTCACCAGCCAATCTTAACGCTTCTTTGAGGTTCTGCAGTCTATCTTCTTTGCTCCTACGGTCTTCAGCGGCTAGCAGGATTTGCATTGAAGCTGGCCGATCACATCCCGCAGTTGTGCATATAGCTCTTGCCAGGCATCCTGCATTTTTGCTCAGCAAAAACTTCAGTTTTTCTTTGCTTCCGAAGATGGCGGCTGACTGTAGAAGAGTCCAGCTGAGTCTGCTTTTCGAAAATGGCATCAAGTATTCTTGCTTAAGATCAACCCCCGTGTCAACCAAGAGTCTGACAATGTCCATCTCATAAGCACCCTGCAAAGCTATACCCAACTGAAAACATGAGTTGTCAAAGTTAGTTAACAACCATCTGACGACAGCGACTTCTTGCGCGAACGACGCCGCGACCAAACAGTCAAAGTCCTTATTATCCCGCGATGTGACGACACAGGATTCCGAGTCCAGCAAGCCTCTCATCGTAACATAGTGGCCGTTGTTAGCTGCAAAATGCAGCGGATATTGACAAAAGGTCGTAAAGTCCCGCATTGACTCGGTATCCCATTTACCTTTGAGAATATAAGTTGTGCCTGCCAACATAAACCACCACGTTTGAAAGCCTGGCTTGGACGAGTTGCAAAGAATTGCGATCCGTTGGCGCAATGCGGCGTCCATTTGGGATCCATCTTCCTGCTTTTGAGTATGATCTGCCCAACTTTTAGTGGCGTACGCATAAAAGTCTGCTGCCGCGGGCGGTAGCGATTTCAACAGCTTTCTGTTGGAAGCGTATACAGTATCCGCAGTGGGAGTCTCTCCCCTGCTTGGCCATCCCTTCAGAAGCAGGAAGTTGACCGTCGACCAAGCCATCGTTGAGTGACATTCCGAAATAGTAAGGCAGTGCTGCCAAGCCGTAGACCTAGTAGCCGCAGTTTGCAGCAAAAAGTCTCGAGCGGTTTGGTGTACTAGATGAACAGAGGAGTTTATGACCCTTACAAAGAAGCCTCCGAGACTCTTCACCGTGTATTCCATATTAGGCTCCATATCATCTAGAAGGTCCTGGACAGTCTGGTGTTGTGAACTGATGCTGGTGGCCATGTTGAGCTCATCGAGTGTAAGTGGTCGGGTCGCTGCAAGAATTACTCGTAGCATTTTAGTCGAGGCTTGTAAGTCTGTGACACCCGATAGGGCAGTTTCGTATAGTTGATCCAGGTCGGCTGGAACAACTTTGAGCGTGGCCTTGACGGCACTGAGTTTTCGCGATGGGAGATGAGAAATTGTTTCAAGCACCAATGATGCCCAGAGAAATGTGCGGTCAGCCCCTTTAGCGAGAGATGCTTCAAGAATAGAACAAGCTTCTCGTGAAATTGTACCTTCCGTCTTCAGCTTCTCAACCTTGACCTTGACCATGGTTTCAATGTCCTTGGATAGAGAGGATGCCTCATCTTCCCCTCGCAGACGGACACAGCTAAGGTAACGGAAGCGACTCTCAATACTCGCCCAAGGTCGGCTTGTCACTATAATCTTGAGACGACCGAGCAACTTTCGGCTACCAACCATCTGGGGAAACGTGTTGACTAGGAGGTCGATTAGCCGGTTCCTTGAACCTTCGCTACACTCATCCAATGCGTCAATGACGCAAATGATCTGCTTCGATGGTAGAGAGTCCGATGTTTTACATAGAGTTTCCCACAACGATTCGATGTTCTGAGTAAAATGGGTGGCATTGTTGGAAGAGTAGGTGCCCATGGCGACCTTGATCGCCTTAGGATGCGTTTTGAAGATTTGGTGCAGAATGGAACAAAGAGCCTGGTGGGAATGTTGCCGATCATCCTCGCCGGCCTTGAAGAAGAAATGACAGATGCTTGTTTCAGGAAACTTTTTAGACAAGACGTCCACAAGAAAGCTTGATAGAACGGATTTGCCGCAGCCTGGATTCGCCGTTACCCAGAGAAGAGAAGATGAAGACTCTTTCAACCATTTAGTAAATTTTTTATGTTCAAGAAACCACTGGCAAGTTCCCTTTACAGGATTCTCGATGCTTAACCTGTGGCTTTCGTAGGAGCCCCCAGCGGCAGATAAGAGTTTGAGGCAATCTGAAAAAACAAATCAGCCATGTGTCTTGTTGAACTGACGAAAAAACATACCCATTTCGTTTTTCGAGAGCTTATGCACAGTCGTGTATTCTTTCGTCTGAATCTCTAACATCTCCTTGGAACACGCCGAAACATCACGAGCCGTGGTCGTATCTCGCAAATATGTCCCCGTTTTCATGGCGACATCACCCATCATCTTGTAGTTCCCCAAATCGACCACCCCAATACCAGGAGCGCTGAAACGAAAAAGACGGCTATCTTCCGCCAAATGCTTATGAGTCCGATGAAATCTGATCCAAGTCCCTTCCGTTGCTGTGACAAGTCTGGTCATAGATCGGGCAAGCTTAACGACGTGCCCACCTAGTGGCTCGTTCGGTTTCGTTCCTGTGCCGATACTAATAAGAAAGACGTCGCGGCCCGGCCAGAGGTCTGCGGCTTCATTATGAACCTCGAATATGGGGTTGTTGCTTTTGAAGGCGCCGTCGACGTATCCTTCATTTCCGCGACGGTACTCTTTAAAGTAGGTACTTGCAGCGGAGGTGGCTCGTAACGCCTCCCACATCTCGAAGGAAGACGAATGTGTGTCTAGCTGTTGTTTGTTTACGTATGATCGGAGAAGAAGCAGTTCATTGTCCTCGGCGCGGACTGTTGTTACGAAGCTGTCAGGCCATATGAGTCAGAAACTCTGTTCGAAATCGGGACATATCAGTACTTCATGACCTACACTTTGCACGAGGACGCTCGTTGTGGATCTTGAAGCATGGAGTTTCGAGATCCTGTTCGTTCTTTGATGATTTGCATAACCAGCTCTTCCATCTTGGCCGAGTCGTATCGCTCCTTGGCAGAGATGAGATCGAGACCGCGATTAAAGACATCACATTTCCAGCGCTTGGGCTTAAATATTGTTTTTGCAAGCTTTAAGTAGACCTCATAGCACTCATCGACCGACATCCTGAGGCAACCGAGCATGAGAGCTATGATGCTGTGAGAAATTTTAGAGAGAACTGTTATTCCAGATTTGTGCACTATTACTTACCCACCCGTACTGGTTCCTCCTATTAGATCGAAGACCTGCCATGGTTGGAGGTGGTCTTTTAATTTACGGTCAACATTGACCTGACGCATGACCTCCTTAAGAATAAGAATGGAAGAAACCCCTCGTATACCGCCTCCATCTGTTCCCAACAGAATTAGCTATGACGTTTGTGAAACTGGGCTTGTAACATTTACCGAGGGACAAGAGGCGAACAGGACGGTTCTCGTCCATGTCCGAATACTGATAGCGACGATATCAAAAGCTATAATAGTAATGGACTCTCAAAAAATCATGCATTTTACGTTATAATCGAGAGTTAGCAGTCGAGCAGAACATTAGAGGAGGGAGAATGGAGGGTGGCCTCGTTCATACATGGGCATGGGAGCCCTCTGAGGGGTATCTTAGGTAGTAGGATCGACCCATACCTCTCGACTGGAAAAAGTCCCTGGCCAGAGTTACTAATTTTGTAGACGTCACCAACATATCGTTGCATAGGCGGACATTTTAAGAGTGCGCAGCGAACCGCTACCGCATGATGGTCGATCATCCCCGGGGTTAGGGATAAATTAATGGACGAATTGAAAGACAACGGATCTGTTGGTCGCTACTCGGGTCTCCAGAAACCAGCCATTTCAGCTATTGTACTGGGTCTCGTCGCCCTGTTGGTTGGTGGGGTGTCTGCAGGTAGGGCGCAAATAGGCAACATTGTTAAGCGCTGAGCCACTCCAGCGCTTAACAATGTTGCCGATTCCAGTCAGTGGGCTGAATATTCCCACAAAACTTTATGCAGGATCTGAGAGCAATTGAAGCTGAAGGAAGGAAGCTTTTTTACATTTACTTGAATTTCACGTGTAGTACGTGGGCCCATTCGAAAGAAGAGCGTACATAGAAAGAGCGTTGCCACAACCCAGAGCCGATATCTTCACAGTCCCCCTTCACGAGTATCACATACACATACTCGCTGTAATCCATCAACTTTCTGACCCTTGGTAAAGACCATGAATGTCTGCTGGTAGAGTTGACCTCTATGATAAGTCATCATAGGACCACTTCGCCACTTCTCACTTCTTAAGGGCGAAACACCGCTCAATGTTGTCAGCATTGTTGCCCCACCATTTTACCATGACAGCTCCTGTAGTGCCAAGGAAGATGAAAATGAACAGCAAATTAGCGTTGAACCCGGTATCCAAAGCAGCGCCGCTGATGTATGCCCACTTGTTCCAGAACTTGCGCCTGTATCGATACAGGTAGAAGTTGAAGAAGGTACCGACGAGGAAGGTTGTGAATGGTCCAGTACTGAGGTTACCATGGAAGGTTGCGGCGCTAGCAAAGAAGATGGTAGAGTTCCAAAGATCGAATCGAGCTCTTGGGAACTTCTTATGCAGGAGCCAAATGATGATAGGGGCTATCGCGCCAGCGGGAAATCCATACAATACTGGCTTGAAAAAGGACGACGCGAAAAGCTTCTTTGGCCCCACAAGAGCATATTGGATGCCAGCGGTGTTGTAGCTCTTGAATTCTTGACCAGTCCATTGGCCTTGAGGATCCGGAATACGGCCGCTGACGTAGTCGAATTTGGAGGCAATAACCCATCGCATGACGCCGTAGTTGATAGGGATTGCAAACATGTTGGCCAAAATCTGGATGCCAATCACATCACGAGGTGGCAAGTGCAAGTAGTGACCAATCTAAGTTTCGGTCAATATTGTTCAGTACCCGCATTTGTTCAAGAGTGAGCCGACCTTTTGATCCTCGAGCACGGTACGGGCATCGTACCATACGTTGCCAGATATAATACGGTAGGCAAGCTGACCGAGGGGATGCCGAGAAGACCCAGGTGCATCAATCATATCTGAAATACATATTAGAACAGCTTAGGGTTTTGAACACAGCAATATATACTTACATCCATAGATGAGCTCGTTAAAGAAACCAACTTTGATGGAGTATCCCGACATCGCATAAACCAAACTCATCGGCAACATAGCGGCAGCACCAAAGCCCAATGCCACAAAGTAGGTCCATGTCGGCATCCAAATAGACTTCGTTGCAACGATGACCAACAAGATGCCGATTGGTATGGCAGCCAGAAGGCCCCATTCCCTATTAGCTTGTAAGTAAACTATTGTCAATACCTTCGCAGAAGACCTTACCATAGAGTGAGTCCGGGATACTGCTGAATAATACGGCTATTGAAATTAGAAACCTGTCTTGTTCTGGTGTTACAGACCCAACTTACCTAAGACGATCTTGGTGGAATTCTCCTTGATCTTTTCTTGCTTTCCAGATTTTGCGGATTTTCGGGCCAAGAAACAATCCGCACCAGACAAATGAGGATATGTACGATGCGTACCACTTTTCAAGCCTGGATTAGCAAAGATGCCTGCAAAAGATAGGGGGAGGTGGTTTATGTGAATTCCCTACCATGAAGATCTCCCAAGTGTACTGGGCTCCTGAGTACGCCAGACCGACTTCATGATACCTTGTCTCGTTGACGTGTTGAATTCCACTTGAGTCCGTGTAAACTGGGAGAATTATTAGAAGAATTGCAGAGCCAACAATGGTAAGCTTACTCAATGATTCAAAGGGGTAGGCTGATCCATTCTTTTGGAAGACACCATTTGACATGATATTGTACGTTGGTGATCCCCACAAGTTCCCAAAATAAGCTACCGGGATAAGGATCCAAGTCTTCGAAGCCGTTAGTACATCTTTATGGTTCTGAAAACGAAACTTACCGTGATCACAAAGCCGACAAAGATGGTTACTTGAACACTGTATGGGTAGGTAATGACAGTTGAAGTGATATTAGACCAGTTCAGTGTGATGTTGAGCAGCCCGATACCGCCTCGACCGGCGCCGAGGAAGTTGACTGTGTGGTTGCGGCTAGCGAACCAACACAAGGGTGCAAGGGCCGCGACGAAGGGGAAGAGGTACTCTGGCAGAAACTGCCAAAGGAATGTACCGAGAAGAATCCACCAAAATACCTTAGGTACAAGTTAGTTTCAATGTCGATGGTGTTGCCTGCTTGTCTTACCTTCATCTGCTTCTTGGAAACGCTTCTGTGAAGCTCAGTTTTGCCTTGCATGCTTCTATAAAGGGTGACCTGTTGCAGGGAAAGAGGGAATATGAACTCAGGATCATCGATCAAGATTTTTCGAACTGTTATTAGTCAGAATTGAAGAACAAGGTTGTTCTCTGGAAGCACCTACCCATGGCAGCAAAAGCAAACCCAAGCAGTGCAGCACCCTAAGCAATTATTTAGTCTGTATCATAGCTATTCAACTAGGTGGTTGACTTTACCCATCCAAAGAACAGTGCTATGGCTGGGTTCATAGTGATGCCGTAATACAGTGCCGCATTGGTAGGCAAAAAAGCTCGAGCAAGTTAGCCTGGTTGAAATTGTAAGTGATTGAAACATAATTACTCACTTGCCCACTGGCCCTGGCTACCGGCATTAGCCGCGATACCAATGATCGCATGCTCCTTGATTGAGAACGGTCCTGGGTTCAGAGAAAAGGAGAATCTCCCGAGAGGCACCGTATAATCCGGTAAAGTCCGAGCAAGCAGCCTACCAAGAGGAGCTGAGGCTAGGATGACGAAAAATACAGGGAAGGGTGCCGTGGTTGTTCTGAAGCTGTTGTTTCCTTAGTATTGGGAAATAGGTGATGATGGGGGTTAAACAAAAGAATTTCTTACTATGACAACTGAGATACAATGCTACCTATCGCGCAAAAAATGGCAGAGAGAAGAATTGATCGGAAGGTAATGACAGGGAGAGAAGGGTCATCCTCGAAACTGACAACAGTTCGAACAAGCTCAGGTATGTTGGCAAACTCCTCAGACTTGAAGTCGTATTCTGGCTCCGACTCATCGGAAGAGGCCCGCTTCGCTCCATCCGGAATGTCGTCGCTGAATCCGCCAATAAGAACCTTCTCTGTCGTCTCAAAAACAGGATCAATGACTACATTTGGCGCAGTCGTCTCTTTTGAGTCACCTAGAGCAGTCTTCTCATCACGTAATTGAGACATCGTGGACACTCGCAGTCTGGAAACTCTGGGAAAGATACCATGCTTGACAACACGATTTCCCCGCGAATATAAGGGATCAAATCATGTCCATGGAGAATCTGTAAATCTTTGTGTAGCATGCCATTGCGGATCTTCGTGATGTGCTAACAAATAGTGCTGCGTTGCCGCCCTGATAACGCAGCCACGCAGCCTCTCTTTCGAGTTGGGTATAGCTTTATCATTGCATTGTGACAACAATGACAAGACTTCAATTGGTCAACAACCTGGCAGATTACCCCAGTAAAGTCCGGTCGAGCAAATCGAATAGGCTTTCTGAACAAGGAGTAGCGAGGTTGATGGTGTTTTGCGTCGCAGGTTCCCCGACTTCAGCTCCTAGTTTGGATAGCGCATGCTGCACGTCGTCCATCTTAACGTCGGCTAATATGACCCCTCCACGCTACCGTGCGGCATCGGAAATAAATGGAGCACTGAAGGATCTCCGTGCAGCAGTCGAAGCAAGCATTATTTGATGGCGTTATCAAGACGCAATGTGGGTGGAGTATGTCGTGAGTTCAAGTGTGGGATGGGACGTGGGTGAGCCCGATCAGTTTGCTAACAAATCATGATAAGAAGTCTGAGAGGAGTTCAGCATATCGGAACAACAGGACCATTATAGAATGACAGCCGGCTTGGCTCAACGAACATCAGATACTACTTCTCAGATCAGCACACAAGTAATTTCTCCGAGACCCAGACGGCTTAGAAGTTGCCGTTGTCGATTGAACCCTCAAGTGACAGGATTGTCATCTTGGTAAGCTTTGGACAAAAGAGCGCTTAAGCAGTCGCCTCCAATTGCCCAATAGACCCAACAGAATTGAAACGAGCATCTATACTTGTAGACTTAATTTTCTTTGAAACTTTGTTTCATTGAGCTTGTAAGTCAGTGGTATCACAACTTTGTATTCCACAAGTAGGCTGGCTGTTGAGACCAAGCTTCAACTGCTGCTCCTCAAGACTGTGAATTGCAAAAGGCATCGTGGCCCTATAAACAACCATCAAAAACATCTGGGCACAAATTCAATTAAGTAGGAAGACATTCTCTATCATTCGAATTTTGGCAGGTACATAAAAATCTGCTAGGCTGCGCCCATTTTGAAACTCCAAGATAAGGTACCAGTCGCCTAATAGAGTGTGTATTTGCTCCTTGTGATAAGTTACAAGATTAATGGCTTGATTTCACTTGAAATACGAGCTTCAAGATACATTCTTGCCATCAGCGCCTATGTGTCCACCTGGATTATACATACTATTCAGCCCCTCTAACCACTGCGGATATCATTTTCCAAGAACAATAATGATTACTCTCAACTCACGAGCATCTATTTCCACTCGGATTCAGTTTTAATCCTTCAGTCAACCCTTTGCTTTTCGCTTTTGCGTCATGTTTATCTCAACTGTTATCATGACCAGCGACGCCATCATCTAAAGAATTCACGCGGTTGTTAACTGCCAAGATAAACATTTTTGGTTTCCCGTCTCCGTTGATAAATTTCTATCGTCTAAATTTTGTAGTAACGGAAAGCTCAGAATCAACATATAACGGGTAGGTTAATTACTGATTTGACAAATGCAAGTTAAGACCTTGAAGTCAACGTCAAAGGAGGCTCCATACCCGCAGCCTCACTCACTGGATGCCGAAATAGGTGACGAGATCATAATGGCTTCTGCTCACACGTTGGAATAGGACAAAACCAATATCCACCAAATTTGTATATTGAATCACTTTTACTGCTATTTTGCAGACTAGCACGTTGACATGATGCCACTCCTTGGTAAGAGACAGCTTCTAAAATCACCGACCAATCCTACATATGGCTTGATTAGGTAACTAGCCTTACAAAAGCCGGCGTGTGCGATTGAATGATTGGAGCCGAGGCCGCCGACAGTGTCAACTCCACAGCTTGTTGATGCCTTGAAGGACACAATGCCACGAATTTGGGTATTCGTGACAAAGCCAGATGCACCGCCGTCAACACAGGTGCTGCCAACTCTTTTACCGGCGCTTTTACGGATGTCGATGTTGCAACACAGAGCGGCACCTGAAGTAACAGCAGCAGGGGCGGTGAAAAAGGAGGCGATGCGGACCAATGGCCCAAGGCCGTCCATATTTTCTAACCAAGATTTTCAAGAAGATTTTCTTCCTTCTTGGAGCCTGAGATACCTGCTATTATGACTGGTATCCATCGGCTCTATCTACCGCAGTTGCCTGAGCATATTTGCTTGAATCCACACTGACAGTAGGAAGCCAGCCCTGGGGGTTGACGCCACCACCAGTGATGGCAAGGCCGGCAGCAGACGAGTTCACACCCAGGGTGATCTAAAAAACTTTGTTAGTATTCGATAACACATTAAAATTAAAGGAAACCTACGTATCCAACCAGACCGTCTTGGATGTTATCAGTCAATTGGGTGACGCTGATCACAGCGCTGTAACCGTCCGAACTGGCGTCGGAGTACAGTGAATCCTCGGCATTGGTGGTACGGTTCAAAGTGGAAAGATGTGCGCTGTACGGATCGAGGGCGTATACTTGGTTCAGTAGGTCTTCCTCGAAGAACAACTGGCCGATATGTTGGACCTTGCTGGCGGAGTAAGAGGTACCGTTGGTGATATCTGTCTGTGCAGTGACGTGAATGTGTGTAGTACGAGTAATATAATAGCCAGGGAATTTGGTCAAAAATTCGACAATTCCGTTGTCATCGGTTACTTGGATTCCCCGCAAAAAGGTCTCATCGTCCGTAGTACCATCGTTTCTCTTGGTCCATCCACTAAGAAGCTCGGAGGTATCAGGGTCGATTCCGGTGAACGACGAGTAAGAACCCGTGGCATTGCAGTTCCAAATTGTTAGTGCGGTCCCTTTCAGAGGCTCACAGGTTTCGATGTCAATGACTCCGATGTCAAGGTAGAAGTCAATACCCCCTTGCTCTTCGCGAAGGTCATGGCGAACCATTTCTCCGTCAACCCTATTAAAAGTTAGACTCTGAGTTCTTTTCTTCCTTTCATATGCCTTACCCGTAAGGTCCCCAAACAGTGTCAGGGGCCAGCACGCAAGTATCGTTCTGAATCGTGGTGTAATGTAGCGAATCGCGCTGCAGTAAGCCTCGCGCATCGACGTGTCCGTTTTCAACACGGCGCGCCCGCAGACGGTTTGCACGAGATTCAAAGATCTCCGCTTTGCGCTTTTCAATAGCGGCTGCGCACTTGTTCGTACTCCGGCCGATCAAATGGGCTTCTGCCTTTGCTTTCTCTTCAGTAAGCCGTTCGGGGTGAGCCCAAACAGGAGCTGACACCAAAGCGTGGAGGAGGACGTTGCTGAGATGCATTTTTATGTTAAGCTTGTCAAGGAGTTTCAAAAGGAATGGTAAAGGCAATAAAATGGCTTTATTTCAACATTTTGGAAACACTCCTGAAAGCACATCGCTGTCTTATATACAGCTATTCTATCCCGCTCCTCCTTTTTTCGTATATATTTCGCATCACTTTGTGTATTGCTACCCCCTAACTAATCAAAAGCTCCGGAATAGCTTACGTCTCGATTAATGTGATTGGAAGAATTATAGCTGGCTGACGTTTACTTCCACGTCTGGGTTCGGGATGTGGGCGGCTTTGTGGAGTTGAGGCTCTCGCGAAGAGGTTCTGCATTGCCCACCCCCAGGCGAATTGTGCTAGGGTCCTCGGGAGACGCACCGCCCCTTCAAAGTTGGTTGTATCAACTTCTGGTTTGTCCAATTATGACTGCCGGGACTTTTGGGTAACTCCATATCTTCGGGTTCATGTGGCGGTACCGGATCTTCTTCTTAATTTCACGTCTTCAAGGAACATTTTGTGAAAATCGTAATGAAGAACTCGGCATCTCGTTTGCGCCCGAAGGCCGCTATTTCGGGGCACCTGCACCATCGCCCTTCCACGATCAGTCCAGTACCGGCCTCGCCGAAAAAAAGACAAAAACAACACAAGAAAAAGACAGCTCGGTTGTTGCAAACAACAAGGACTTCCGATCGGTTAGATTCAAAGAGAAATACCTCCTGTCGATGTAGTTAGTTCAACCGTTTAGAGGCGCATGCAGGCAGAGACTGCATTGTAGTGAGCCTGAACAAGGAAACGCTATTTACCAATGACTATGCTGGTTTTCCGGAAAGAATAGAGGATAGATTTTGAACAAAAAGTAGATCTTGTTAGATATTTATATGGATTGGCGTTGCCTAAGCTCATTTATCTGATGTGGTAAAGGTGCCATGCAAAGCCCCGCTCTTGAAGCCACCATGTAAACAATGTGAACGCTTGCTTTGTACTAAAGTGATGAAAAATGAGAGTCATCTATCAATCAACCAAAGTAGAAACAATAAGCTTGTTGCAGCGTAGCACAGGCCAACGGTACGGAGAAGATGGGTAGTAATTGTGCGAATGGTTCAAGCCTTCTGAACCTTACAGTAACTCGGATATCAATATTATACCGTATACAAAACAGCACTCCTACCTTCATAAACTATAGATGGCAATCCCTATGTTAAATCCCAGTTTCGGCATGGTTATAGAAGATTTGGAAACTTAAGAATCGTGATATAGCTATTCTGAATGTGAAAGCGCCTCGCTTGTACATCTTAAGGAGATCAACGGAGACTTTTATGAGGTTCGACCCTAAATGATTTGTACCGGGCTGCAAATAATCCGGGTGGGAGAAGTGCCGTAGCCAGCCAAATCGGCACCAGGAAGTGAGTTGTAGTTTACGGTTGGTGAGACTCATGACATGCTTAATCAAACGACGAAAGGGAGATGTATGTATGATGTGTGGTTATTGAACGTTTAGGTCAACCACTAGTGGTGCACTCATTTCTCACTAGCCGCCTTCCGTATCATCACAAAGTTCAAGGCAATAAGATCAATAGACAGCCCGATAGATTAGGTAGAATCACAGATCCTGTCTCCTCCTCTCTTGATGTCAGATGCTAAGATGTCAGAGGCTTCTTGAGCTCTTGCTTGAAGATTTGAGCCAAGTTAAAATGTTTGTCCAACAGTCATCAAAGCTTCAACAACCCTGATATTGTTAGAGTTGGAACCAACACTAAACAACAACAGAAGGCAAGGTACTTGGTGCCAGGATAGCATGTCGATGCAGGCATACTTGGTCAGAAACTCGCGTATTCTCGAAATTACTGGGCGAAAAGGGTTTTGACTAGTTCCGGAAAATCTCGCCTGCCATGTTGCTGTAAATGCTACCTCAGACCTTCTTACGAGGCGCCATGCGGGGTGGGATTTAAGCTTTTATTAACCACCGACTTTTACTCCACCGCAGTGCCTTTATTTCGGTGTTACCAATTTGTCCAGTAACTGTCCATGATTCTCCCTGGGATTTATCTAATCGGTGGGTACACTGCTATGCTATGTTTGCAACATAGGGCTAGGAGATTGAAAAAAGCACGGTGAATACTTGAAGAAGTAAAAACAAACTCCAAATAGATGACAAACTTCGCCTAAATTGGAATGACTTCCCCTTTTCCCACTTTCTATCACACCCTACTCAGGGTCAACTGCCCATTATGGAATGTCGGATAACTCCCACTGCGACTTATAATGGGCAGATAAACAACTACAGCGGGAGATTTTGCCTTGAGCTTTATTAACCATTGGAACCCTATGACTACTAGAGGCTGAATCTTACAATCGACGTTCCTAAACTCCAGGATGCGGACAGTAAAAATCGCGGCCACCGTCCTCGCGGCACTCCCGCTTGTCTCGGCTTGGGTCACCCCCTATGGATATCGAGCTAGTCTTGCTGACCGTCACATCGTGGAGGATCTGACGGTGAAGGCGACGCAGCCAGTACGTCGAGCTGATCTTCAATATTTCACTGACAAGACGAGCCGTACGTACATCTGTCATACCTTATTTATTCGTGCTTCCGCACTCACAAAATGTCCAATTTAGCCTTTTATGTCGATGGAGCGAAGATCCCTGAAGTCTCCTTTGACGTCGGGGAGAGCTACGCTGGTCTGATTCCAATAGACGCCACGAAACCGCAAGCTGAGCAGAAGAGGACCTTTTTCTGGTTCTTTCCCACCCAGAACCCTGCCGGCAAAGACGAAATCATTATCTGGCTCAATGGAGGCCCGGGGTGCTCTTCAATGGAAGGTGAGCTCCTGTTGGCGAAACACAGTAGAAAATTGTTTGTACTTACTTCTTTCAGGATTCATGCAGGAGAACGGCCCTTTCATGTGGCAATACGGAACCTACAAGCCTGTTGCCAACCCATACTCATGGCATAAGCTCGCCAACGTGATCTGGTAGATCTTCTTTCCCCTAATTTGCTGTAGAAGCTAACAAACCCACTAAGGGTCGAATATCCTACTGGAACCGGATTCAGCGCCGGTAATGTCACTGCCAAGAACAATGTTGACGCTGCTGAGGAGTTCCTTGGCTTCTGGGAGAACTTTGTAAAGACTTTCAATCTTCAGGGTAAGAAGATCTATATTACCGGAGAGAGCTATTCAGGGATCTACGTCCCCTACGTCGGCGCTGCCATGCTGGACAGGAATGACACCTCCCTCTTCAATGTCAACGGCGCTCTCTACTACAACCCGATCATGCCCTACTTTGACAACTTGGGTCTTGGCCACGCAGCTTTCCCTGCTTACTTTCGATACTGGGAGAACATTTTCGGACTTCCCAACAGCGTCAAGGCGCAGTTGGAGAAGGACAACCAGGAGTGCAAATTTGACGAATACCTGAACAAACACCTGTCCTTCCCTCCTCCGGCTATGCCTTGGCCTGCGACTCAAAAGGCCGACAATTGCGACATTCTCAAGCACTTCAACGACGCAATCTACACGATCAACCCATGCTTCAACACGTACCACATCATGGACCAGTGCCCCGTTCTCTGGGACGTTTTGGGATTCCCCCAAGTCCCCTACAGCCCTGAAGGACACACCATCTACTTCAACATCCCTGAAGTCCGTAAGACTGTTCATGTCCCCCTGGACCACCCCGAATGGGTCATGTGCAAGGGCCCCGTCTTCGTTGACGGGAAGGACAACTACGACGGCGCCGAACACGAACGCAAGTTCCAGACTCTCGTCGAGCGCACGAACAACGTCCACGTCAGCTCCGGCCTGGCGGACTTCGTTGTCCAGCCCAACGTCACCGCGCTCGGCATCCAGAGAACCACCTGGAACGGCAAGCAGGGTTTCCAGACGCGGCCTTCGACAGAGTTCGTCATCCCACCCGTCGTCAACGACGAGTCCAACATTCCTTCGTGGGCCGGGGCAAACGTGCAGGGAGTCGTTCACACTGAGCGCGGCCTTACGTGGTCCACTGCCAAGTTGGCCGGGCACATGGTCCCTCAGTACAGCCCTTCCTCTTCTCTGAGGCACGTCGAGCACCTTCTCGGCCGCGTCAAGTCGCTGACGAGCGGCGAGGGCTGGTCTATCAAGATTTCTGCCAACTTTTCTTGGCCTTTCTGAGTTTCTGGGCCTTTCTATTGAGTGAGAACTTGAATCACTTGAGCTTTTCTGCACCTTCACTTTCTGTATGCTTCTTGAAAACTTGGAGAACTCATTTGGATTTTTGATACCGGTTTGACGTAAATATACCTCTTGACAATTAAAATTTTGATCCTGAGAAAAGTAAAATACTCAAGCAGCAGCTAAACAACGAAAATGGAGACACCGAGTAAACGCGTAATACATTCTACGCAGCGAATCTGACGAGTGCAAGCCAGTGCTTTGCCAAGATCTGTAAAGGAATTGTGTACGATACCCAGTACTTGTAAAGAGATACTACGTACAGTAGAGGAGCTGAATAGTCCACATAAGAAAAGAAGTGATTGAGGCTAAGGCATTTGACTTTTGATCTGTTGAAATCCTTCAAAGCAGTAACAAGTGAGTGTTGATCACGACACCATGAGTCAATTCTCTAACAAGCCAAATCTCCAAGGAACACTCTTTATTAACTCTTCAAGGACTGAACGAGATATGATCCAGTTGGTAAACAGTAAATATGAGCAGCTGATGTAGCTACCTAGATATAAGTGAGGAACGAAAGGCTCTGATTGCCACTTGGTAAGTATACTCTTCCGATCTACGTTCCGTCCATCTCCGTCTACTTAGTAGTACTCAGACGAAATACCACAGAGAAAAAGCCATATCACCAGACCACTTGGAACCAACTGGGCCCATAGTAGCCACATTTTCCAAATCTTCCCGTGGCAGTGAAGCCGAATCTGTCCGACTTACATCGATGAAAGCTTTTATCCTCTACAAACAAGGTAGAGATTACACGCGAGTATAAACCAAGAATGCCAAAGCCAGAAATTAAGGCAGTCATGATCAGTCTCTTATCCTGAGAGTATTAACCAAGGTAGTAAGGACGACCAGATGCTCAACCTCATGTCTAAGAAGTGGGCTGAGTAGGCTAAAAACCCCGTCAAGCCGGTGTTCCTGTGGGAGATTTGTAGTACGTTCCACGCTCAACTTCATGTGCGACTACATGCTGTAAGGGAAGGGAAGTATCTTAGTCTCGGTTGAACAAGGCGAAAGATTGGTACTCGGCCTAGAATTTTGAAAGCATGACCAATCTTAACAACTGTGGTAATGATACACCATATAACGGTATGAATGTGTTGTACGAGCCAGAGACATTGAATGAAATGAATCTGACTAATTGCCAACAAATGATAAAGGTGATGTCGCCAGAAAATTCAAATATTTGACACTCCCATCTGCTACAACGGTATGGCATCAACAACCAGCACTCGCTACCTCAATAGTTGTGAGTCTGTTATTACAGTTGACGCCGAAAAGAGAAGGAACTGCAAGACAAATGTAGCTGGCTGTTATCAGCAGCACTTTTCTTCACGTTGGCAAAGATCTCATGCCGATGACCAGAGTTGTGCTGTACTCTTCTCCAATGCACACCCGCAACTCTTGCCAAAATAAGGACGTTTTCGCTGAGTTGCTAGTGTCTGAAACCTTCGGCCTTGAACCGCGACTTGCTTCTACTAGGATGGCATAACTCTAACTGACTGCAAAGTTGTTGCTTAATTCTCGACATCAGGCTCTAAGACTGGTAGATAACATCAAGATCACTCTGGAGGTGCAACCAACTACAACTTTTTCCGAGGTCAGCGTAGGCATTTCAAGACATACGCTAAAACATAGACCAGAAGAGGTCCCGCTTGACACCAACCTGTACAAGTTCAGTATCCTCGGAGGTGCTGAAATGGCCTTGTTCGGTTGCTGAGTAGTGTTGGTTACCAATGGAGCTAGTGTTCCAGTACTGCCAAGACTTTCTTGGTCTTGGCTTGATTGTCAGGCATAGTAATGGGCCATCCGGAACGCGGCGCGTATGATAGAAGTGGCCGTTCAGAAGCTTATACGTCGGCTAGAACGCCACTCAATCAATTTACCTCGTAGTCAAGGGAGAAATTTTCAAGCCTTGAAACTTCTACCAGGATTGGGCGAGTCACGCTCTTGATACTGTTGAGGACGGATAGAACGCCGAGAAAACGGGAGCGGATATGATACTCCGCCGAGGGAAGGTCCCGTAAAGGGCCGATCCCGGGCCGCACGAGCCTCATCGGCATGCAGCCTTATTTCTCGTAGATCTGTCCTGTTGTGCGAAACAAGATTTGCAGACCATCAAACCCTTTTGGATAGAAACTGTGGGTGATCTGGATCAGAAAAATAGAGCATTTGGCTGGTGCTCAACTGTGGTAGGCCATAATGTTGCGATAGTCCCAGCTTAAGGCAGCCCAACTTGATCGCCTGCAGTAAAATAAGGGACTTTGGCACGTTGGCCAAGCTGGTGAGATGCGGCTCGGCAAGGGTACCATCAACAACCACCCAAGATCCGTGTTTTGGGCGGGGATGGCTGCAAACGAGGAGGATTACGGGCTTCTGCATGGTAAACCCCCACTGCTGACAGGTCTTTTCGCCTCGCATTGGGCGAGGCTGCGAACATGCAGCTCCGCGGCGCTGAGGCCATGCCAATAAGCTCGAGGTACGGAGGTTAGGCGAGCGTCGAGGCGTTGGCACTGGTGAGTTAATTCATTGTGGGCAACAATGCGGCTTACTATACGAAGGATCCAGTAAACCCTTGCATATTAGAATCGAAAATGATGGCGGCCATCCTCCGCCAGTGCCTTCAAAAGGTTTTCAGTCTGTTGAAGGCCATCCGACAGGGCATAAAGAAGTTGGAAAGGCTGCTCTCCATGATCAAGGCCGTGTGTGGTTCCGTTCGCAAAACTCGCGCAGTCGCAGGCACACCCTTTCTATTCGCGTCGTCGGATCTCAAAGATCTGAATGAATGGGGAAGCGCCGGTAAGAGATCCGTCTGGTATGCAGGGTAGACAGATGCAAGCCGAGGGTGGTGATACACTCAGCGCAGGCGAAAGGGTCCCTTGAATGGGACATGGCCAACACATGGTATGTGCAGTGAGATTGACTCGCGCGGCCTCCGTTGGAGGAGTCCACACTTGAGCTGGAAGGGAGGGCGCAGCCGGCAACCAATGGCTGGCAGCTGGCAGGAGATGTCAGCATGAGAAGATCGGGAGGCGATGAGAGAATCTTCGCTGTTTCTGGCGGAACGAAATGGGAAGAAGCACGTACCTACTGTCTGGGATACCGCAGGACGGGTTCTCTTTGAGGGGGATTGGGTTCAGTGGTGGGGTACGATTGGGTAGCTGAAGCATTTCAGCCAGAGCTGCATCATCCTAGCTCAGGGCGATTGCTCGAGTTGTGATGCGAAGTGGGCTTATTTCTAGGATCAGCTCAGCTGGCAGTGTCCCATCATTCCCCTAGCGGCGACAGCCAAAACCAGAGCCAGCCGCATGTTGGCCATTTTATGCAGAGTCTCTCAACTGTCGGCGATAGATGGATCGGCGCGACAACAACGTGGACGACCCAACTGAATCGCATGTTGGAGGAATTTTGTTGACTTGAAGGGCCCCCTGCAGCTTGTTTTTGGTTGCCACGGCGAGAGAGCGACGCTGCAAGGGTCTAAATTGGCAGTGGCTGTCGCACCTTGAAGTGACACGGGCCTATCACCCGTTGCAGAGGGCCACCTTCCTGAGCGGGCTTGACATCACCGGCCGGGATGCTGAGTGTGACGCTGTCAAGCGCTGTTCTTTGCATCAAGGCGAGAACTGGGGTTCAAGTTGGAGCGAGCGGGATGACGGACGACGTATGCATCCACACAGGTAGAGGAGGACACTGACTGCTTCTGGATACGGATGTGGACTAGATTGACGTGTGTCGCATTGTGTCAGAGTTAGAAACGGCTTCCCACGGGAACCAAAGAGATGACAGCGCTGGGCCAGCGCAAAACATGTGTCGCAAAGAGAAACGGGGCGAGTTCCTCGGAGCGTTGTCGTTGGTGTTTTCATCTGGTCACCGTAATCCATTTTTCTATCTTTTTTTTTCGAGAAGCCTGCGAAACGGACCACACAGGAAGATGGGACGGGCTGCAGATGTCAGTTCGAGCACGAGTACGACCAAAGTTTGACGAAGCACTTACCTACTGTGTTAGTGGACGACGCTTAATATGTGTTGGACTGCGCGGGGATGAAGCTTGCTGGAGATGGTGGTGTTGGTGTGGCACAAGCAATATGTTCGCAATTCCAGGAAGGGGAAAACTAGTGAGATGGTCCGGAGACTGGGTCAAAATGGTGTGCATGTCGTTCCCTTATGCGCATGGCGCAGTCGTCAACGTGCGCCCATCTAGTCTATGCGGCCATGGCGATGTCAATCTACTCTGGATCTGTGAAAGGAGAGACATGTTCATCGTCACTTTTATGCCGAGGGGGTAAGCAAGGACAGAATGCGGAAGTCAATATTGTATAGCAGGAGCAGCCCATGGCAACTACCGGAAATCCGACATGAAGGTTCCAGCGGAAGGAGGTGGATGTGGGCTGCGAAGATACATCACCTCTGACCTCATGCACCCCAGCAGTTTCTTAATTTGTCCCGTTATCTTTTTTTTTTCTCTTCCTTTTTCCTTCTGTTTTTGGATTCGCGGCTCGGACTCGATCCCACAGTCAGCAGCCGCAGGAAGATGTAATTACAACAGCCTAGTCCTCGGTAAAACCCACTCTGAACGAAGACTGAAGACACACACACTTCTTCACTGTCATAGTAAGTGAACTAAAACACTGGAACACTGGAACACTGGCAAAGAGGTGGCAGGAAAGCCCCTGGGGCCCACCCTATCTTCTGTCCAAGAACAGGGTGCGTCCCGCGTCGCGGGAAGGCGCTAAGCAAACCCGCCCCCACCACTATCCACCCACACTTGATATGTTATCCAATTACAGCGCTGAGAACCCCGGGATTCTAGACCAGCACCACCTGGCTCGTCGTGTTCTTCCCACCCCAAATCCCAGTCCAAATGTCCAGCCTGACTGTGCTGTATCTGTACTTTCCCATTCGAAGCAGCCCACCCAGCCTGCGGTTTTGTTCCTGCTTTCTACATTTGATGTCTTGGTCTGGCACTTTTTTTTTTGAACCAATTTTTTTTTTTAATCGTTTCCCTCTTCTCTTATCAGACAAGCTCCCCGCCGTTTCTTCCGCTCGGACACGGGAAACGATCTTCTTTTTTGCTGTTTGCCTATCTTGTTCCGCATGTGTTTGTTCCTTGCTGCGCATGCCCTCATGATTAGTCTTCTATGATCGTATCCTAACGACCTCACGACCTTCTTACGATCCTCAGCGCTACATGCAACCAGGCTGACGCAAGCTGTTGTGGCGAAGACAAGCTCCCGAAGTAAACACAACCTGGTCCCTACCTCTAGCCTAAGCACCAGCAGCTTCCCACTCGACAGATCTCGACACAGCCTCCTTCAACCACCTCACTAATTGCTGCACCACTCGAATACGAAAAAAAAAAAAAAAAAAAAAAAAAGGGCTTCTCACCACCGACGGAGTTGTTCTGAAATCTCCTACTTGCCGACCCTCAGCCACGGCTATTTGATCTCTGCCCTATCGTATCTTATCGGCCCAACCACCAAAACCCACAAACTCCCCGCAGGTTATCGTGCGACCCGTTGAAGCTTTGCCAAGATTGTTGACTATCGATCGCATTTGCCGACGCCTGACCTCACACCTTACCTCGCTACCTTGCCAACTCGGTTGCCCGTTCAAGTGAAATCGCCCTTCGACTACGAGCATTCCATGCTGAGCGCCTTCACCTCTCAACTCTCGAACCTCCAAGTCTGACTTCCGCGTGTTGTAATTTCATTAAGCGAATGATCACGAATCTCAAGCAACGGTAGCCCCTCCAACTATATCACCCCGGCGACCTCGCCGGCGCCAACCCCGCCACCATGGAACAGTCTGAAGAGCTGCTCACAGCAGCACACGAAATATATGCCCGTATGGGAGGATCAGATCCTAATGCTGCCTCACGACCACCCGCATACAAGGCTATTGGTATCTCCTTGGCCGTTGCTTCCGGTGCATTCATCGGCTGTTCTTTCGTCATCAAAAAAGTCGGTCTATTGAAAGCCAACGAAAAATACAATGAGACCCCAGGCGAGGGCTACGGCTATCTCAAGAATGCGTGGTGGTGGACTGGTATGATCTTGATGATTGTGGGGGAAATCTGCAACTTTGTCGCATACGCCTTTACCGATGCCATCCTCGTCACTCCCTTGGGTGCTCTATCCGTCGTCTTGACTGCCATTCTTTCGGCCATTTTTCTCAAGGAGCGCCTGAGTATGGTTGGGAAAGTAGCTTGCTTCCTCTGCATAGTGGGATCCGTCGTTATCGTCATGAATGCGCCCGAGAACTCCGCTGTTGCCAACATCCAACAGATGCAAAGCTACGTCATCCACCCGGCCTTTCTGTCCTACGCCGGTGTCATCATCGTTGGCTCAGTCGCAACCGCTTTTTACGCTGGTCCAAGATGGGGTAACAAAAACATGTTGGTTTACATCTCCATTTGCAGTTGGGTTGGAGGCTTGAGCGTTGTTGCGACTCAGGGCTTGGGTGCCGCTATCGTGGCCCAGGCTGGTGGTCAATCGCAATTCAACCAGTGGTTCCTCTACGTGCTGTTGGTTTTTGTTATTGCGACTCTTTTGACTGAGATTATCTACCTTAATGTGAGTAATGTCCATGGCAGATTCATGAGTGTGAAGGTGCTGACAACATGCGCAGAAAGCATTGAACCTTTTCAACGCCGCTCTCGTCACTCCGACATACTACGTCTACTTCACCAGTACCACCATCATCACCTCGGCAGTTTTATTCAGAGGTTTCAAAGGCACTCCTAGTTCCATTATAACCGTGGTTAACGGTTTCTTGACCATCTGCTCCGGTGTCGTCCTTCTCCAGCTATCCAAGTCCGCCAAGGATGTACCCGACGCGGCGGTTTTCACTGGGGATCTTAACCAAATCCACACAATCGCCGAGCAGGAACAACCCGAAACCGAGCCCAAGGCCGATGCCATTCGTGGAACCGCCGCAATTGTACGACGTCTGTCCTCAGCCAGGCAGAAGATGGAAGAGGACGAATTCAAGCGACTCCACGAGGAGAAGCTGCGCGAATCCCTGGAGCCTGTCAGCGAGGATGGTCAGCCGATGTACGAGTGGGATGGTATAAGGAGACGCCGGACAATGACGGTTGGCAGTCGAAGCACTCGAGGAACTATCACATCCCCGTACCCGATCCCTCATTCTGGTATTCCATCTGGCGTCCCCTCTGGTGTCCCCCGCACCCCCACAGTCGTCCCGAGCTCACCACAGGCTCACCCTCCTCTTGGCATGTCCCATTTCCCTACTGAGGAGGAGCTGGCTGAGCGGGAGCGCCCTTCATCACCCAGCATGCTCTCGAGTATTGCAGGCACAATCCGAGAGCGAGCAAGAAGTGTTTTATCGCCGCACCAGCCAAATTACTCACATGATCCCAAGGTGCAAAGCCCCATGCATCCTGTTCCTTTGACGGAGATTGCCGTCGCTACTCTTAAATCAGACGATGAGCGATCCCCGTATTATGGTAGAAGCAGGGAACACGTATACGGACTTCCAATTGCTCAACAGTACGGTGATACAGAATACGCTGGTGCGGCAGGTGTCCATGACCCGCGCGCAGTATCTCCAGGAAGTGGTTTCAGCGGCGTAGGTTCTCATCTGGCACCGACACCACCACCACACTCAGCAAAGAGGCAATTCTCTTTCTCGAACGTTTTCAAGAGACACAATGCCGACGCAGCGCGTGAGGAGGACCATCATCGGCCGAATAGTCGTTACGGTCTCGGGTCGCGGGGTTATTCCAGCCCACAAGTCAAGAATGCGACTGAAGAGGAGCGACTTGGCCTTGTGAAGGGAGATTCCCAATCGTTGCCTGTTCTTCAGCGCTACGACGATGACGATGATGACGAGGATTATGCTAGAGGCGGGCAGGTGCGGTCCATTGATTCGAGCCCACCGGAAGCATCGAGGTACGGGCGCGGTATCACAACACCGCCAAGGAGAGGAAGTGACCCAAGGGAAGTAGAATATGATTCGGAGGCACCAACACCTCCTCCTCACCGGCCACAGCCTGGTGGCGGTCGGCCAGGAGCATTCTTATAAGCATATGAGTAGCATGATTTGAAATCGATTCGACGCCAACGACGCCCAGGTGGAACAAGCTTCTTAATTGTTTGCCCCTGGCGTCTATTATGACTGTAAGAATAATGGACGAGTAGGTACATATCAAGGCCATGGGAGGCTATACCTCATCAAGGAGATGAAACATTGCAGGTGTACATTAGATGGGGAAGAACGGGCCCATAGCCTGCAACATGGGGCCTTTGTTGGGTACCAGCACTTATATACATAACATAAATTCAAGTACGTGACACAAGAACATTCATGAATTTCGTTGTCTTCTTCAATTTGAGCTATCCTAGCTTGTGTTTGTGGCTACACACAGCTTAGAAACTGTCCCGTCTGTCATGAGGTTGGGTTGAAGGGCCTTTGGGTGAACAGGTGGACTTGGGCAAATGTAAAAGACGTCACCTTTTTACACCCTCTGGAGTGGAATATAAAGGAGCTTCAAGCAATAAGAAAAATCTTCTGCAGTTCCTCAAACTATGCTCCGGCTATGAAGCCAAGGTCTTCCGGTGCAGAAACGCAGGAATACCCTCCTGTTTGATTCACTTCGCTTCCCTCCGATGAGAGACGGAATGCATACTTGTCAATTTGGGGGGAGGAGCTTAGCCTCCGGCTTTTTTTACAACGCTCTTGCTGCTTCCTTCCAAGATTGACTGGATAAACAGAAGAAACTCCTGATGGACATCTAGCTTCTTTGTCAGACGGTCATCATGGTCATCTGAGCATACTAAAAATTCACCTACTACAGCTGGGTGCTACCAACGGAAAGAGCGCCTTCCTTAATGAGAAGCGTTCTTGCCTTGAGTATTACTTTCCTCTTTTTTCTCCCTTCAAAATCCATCTCGACTGCCTTTCAGTCTCTCTCTCTCTCCTCTTCACCCACTCAAGGTTTTTCTTTCTTCCACACAAATTCTTCACCCTTGACAACTGCCACAAGCCTCTACGCCTTCATCTGTTCACTTAGGTGCCATCATCAGAGTCATTTACTGGCCTCTTCTCAAGGCGTCTTATTCTCTTCTCTTTCACACGTTGCCTATTGCTTCTACGAAGTTCTCTGCTTTTTCTAACCATCGCTCACACAATGGTGGCCATTGCGTTCGTTGGCGCTTCGCCCAAGGGCAAAGGAGTCACGATGAATATTCTCTTGTTCATCATGGCCTTCCTCCTGGGTTTTGTTGCCGGTGTCGACTTGAACCTTACCAATCGCATCGAGTCGACCGACATCACTGAGATCGACTGGGATGAGAAAAATCCTCCCCTTTGGTCGCTTCGTCCTGAGGAACATTTTTCCCTCTTTTCTAGCAACAAAGCTGGTATCGGACCTCTCGGCGATGATAAAGAGGACCCCAAGTACAACCCTTGTGAGGATCGTACCCGTGCTCCCCGTCTCTACAAGTCCTTCTACGGCGCCGACTGTCCTCCTAAGTTCCACTACATGAGCATGTCGGGACGCGCTGCTTTCACTTGTGAGAAATGGGATGTGGTTAACAAGGAGCTGGAATGTGCTACTTTCTGCCAAACGCGTAAGTTGGAATACTCATCAGCATCTTCTTCTCTACTTCGTCCAGATTAAATTAACACAAAAGCAGGCACCCAATTCGAATGGGCTGAGGAGAGACCCTTCCCCCATTCCGACTGTCATTATCCTGTCAAATGTTCCATATCCGAGCATGACTCGACCGCAGTTGGTTGGGGAGTCAGTATGGGTGCGAAAATTGGTAAAGCACTCAAGGCCGGCGTTTCTGGCAGTTACTCCCAGAAACAAAGTCACTCGTACGGTCGAAGCTACAGCGTCGAGCTGAACGAGACTTTGGCATGCGGTTACTTCACCTTCGTCGCTGTCAAGAAGATGGTCTGGTAAGATTCTATCCGTTATTTACTCGTCAAGCGTCTTGGTTTTTGACTTTCTCATACAGTGGCATTCTCTCGGAAGCTGTCCCAGGCCTTAGGTCGTATCCGTCCGATGATGAGGGTGGAGTGACTCAGTACTGCAATGTATGGGGTGGTCCGATTGTGGATGGCGGCCACTGGGCTCTGAACCATCACAGCTACTGCACGAACGAACTATGGGAGATTGACAACAAACAAGGCAAGCGTGTTCCTGATGGCGTTTTTATCTTTGTCTACACCGACTGCAAGACCCGTACGCCGATGCCCATGGAGTACCAGTCTGATATCTACAAGAAGAAGGGTGTCGCCCTCGACCACCTGACCGTCCGCAGCCTTCACGACTCTTGGATCTGGAACGACTGCTACTTCTATGATTTGGGTAAAGAGAACGGCAAATACAAGACGCTTTTCATGCACGGCTCTGGCTTCTCCGACGACCAGATCGGCGGTCACAATGGCGAGGGTCTCATGAAAAAGATTGCAGACTGCGCTGGTGGCGATATCAAGAACGCCAAATTCAGTTGGTATGATAGCGGATACCCCGGTGATGATGCCAAGTTGCGCGGCGCTGTCTGGCTGATCAGAGCGGAGATGCCCAAGGGCATGAATGGCGGCTGCGTCGGACAAGCCATCATGGATGCCGGTGGAAAAACCGTCGATCAATGTCGTGATGGCAGCTAAGTCTCAGGCTTCAGCCACACATGATAATTTTGATGATTATGAACTGGTGGTGTCTGCTAGCCCACAACCTGGCAACTTGTTCAGTCAGCTAGATAGACCAGAGAGATAGGCGAGAAGAAGAAGAATTCTGCAGTCCTCTTCCCTTTTATGCTTTGATGTTGATGTTTAATCGTTTGTGATTGGGAACAGCAACATCGGTAAACTCATTGGCCACTCGATATCACGAAGGACCAAGGCACGATTCTTCTTGTTTGAAAATAGAGCACACATCATCCTAACACTGTCCAAATAATATTCTATCTCATTCACAAGTGAATTCAACACCCAGAATAAACCATGTGGATGAAAAGACGCAGTATTGGGACTTGAATCACTCACAAAGTGAAAGAACACATTGCCAGGGTTTGGATAGAGTAGGTAGGCTTCGTCATGTCCAATTATCCCTGTGCAACTGGAGACCTATGCTCATTCAAGTAATAAGGCACTGAAAGTGAAATTCATGTGAAATCGCATCAAATAAGTTAACCGCGTTTCTCATCCGAATTTTCTTCCGCCTTAACCCCGGCGTCCGCATTATCTGGCTCACCCGACACATTGTCTTTGATCGCTGCCTTGGCCTTCTTCTTTTCATCCCACTTGAACGCAAAGTGGATTCCGATGAATATGAACGTAGCCACGATCGCGAAAGCCAAGTAGAGCTTGGACCCGATCCGCCAGTTCGGCGCCTCGGACGCAGGGAAGGCAGCAATGGGAATGAAGGCGCTCATGATGTACGCGATGACGGTGCCGCTGGCGAAGAGCACTGTCCGTACTTCTGGTTCGTGTTGAAGATGTGCAGAGCCCCAGGAGCATAGAAGCATCGTTGAAACACTGAGAGGAGGTTAGACACGGACAAATTCTTTTTTTGTGTTGGTTGACTCACGCTCCCATGTAGTTCATGTACCATCCCGCCATGTACGCCGATTCGTTCTTGGGACGGACGATCAGAATAATCTGCGAGGTAATGTTGATTGCCTACAGGTTGTTAGCCAGTGGTACGAGGAGCAGTGCTGGAAAACTTACCGAGTGAAGCAAGAGAAACGGCAGGTGAACCCCAAAGTAGCCGCTGAAGCCACTGAACAAAAGCTCTGCAACGAGCTGGAGGCCTTGGCCCGCAATCGGTAGGTAGTTGAGCATAGCCACGGAGCTTTCATCTGTCAGCTTGAATTAACCCGCTAAATTATTGGTAGTTGAACATACTATTTGACAGTTCCGTCAGGATTCTTCAGAGATTTCAGCCACAAGTTGAAGTAACTGGCCGGCGTAAAGTTACCGCCAATGGGCCACGCAACTATTGTCATATCTCAGTAAGCGTGAAGAGAACAGCAAGGCGGTCATACGTACTGGCAATGGCCCATAACTGCCAGAAGCTAAAACACCGCAGGAAAGACTTGACCGTGATACCAATCTGAGGCTTACGGCCAACCCTGCGGCCACGCGCAAGGGCAATCTCAATGTGTCGAGGCTTCATGTAGAACTTTGACAAGGGGTTTGGGCGTTCAGGCTAATAGCCACCAAGTTAGAAAACTGATATGAACCAGCTCAACGATCCAAAAAAAAAAAAAAAAAAAAAAAAAGGAGACTTACATATCCAGGAAGAATAAAGAATGCAGCAATTGCGACAACAATAGTGCATGCACCCTGTTTTGTATTTAGCTTCGAGAACTGGTGCATGTAACTTGTAGCTGACTTACGTTGATGATGAAAGCCCAGCGCCAACCTGACCTGCCAGCGACGCCCTCGAAATTGGTCGAGAGTGCTCCCTGCATCGCGCCAGACAACATGGCTCCAGCAGGCTGCGCAATGTTGTAAAGACTCATGCGCAGCGCCACCTCGTGCGGCATGTACCATTGGCTGATCAATGTGAAGTAGCCAGGCCATGCCGTGCCTTCAAACAGTCCGATAAGGAACCGAAGGCCATAGACCTGTAGCAGCGTTAACAGCAGAGCCAAATTTAAGAAGCCACCGCAAGTCTATGGGAGTTTAGATTGAGTTACCTGCTTGTGGTTTGTCACAACTGACAAACAACATGTGAGAACGCCCCATATAAGCTGTAATATGTCAGTCAAAGTCTATTCAACTTCATCTCTTGGACTCAAACCTACCTCGCAAGCGGGCAACCATTTCGAAGGGCCAAAGTGGGATATAACAATGCAAGATGGATACAACATGATCATGTATCCGATGCTAAGTTTCATTAGCCTCCACTTAAGATATGAAAAACACAATGCGAGGTTTACAACTCACTTGAAAAATGTGGTGAAGTAATTGAGCTCATTCCCATACAAGCTCAGGTCTTCCTTCATACCAGAAACATATGCATTGTTCTGCACGCCTTAAAGTAAGCAAATTGTCTCTTGAATAGAGACTGAAAGCATACAATGTTTGTTTGGTCAATGTACTTGAACATGTAACCGAGGAAGCCAATTGTGAGAAAGAACAAGTCGAGCCGCCCTGCATTGACTAGTTAGCTTTGGATAGTATACAAGTCAACGCCAGTTCACTTACACAAGAAGGCACGCTCTTCTTTCGGGTCAATGTCATCTTTTGACTGGCTCTCGACCGGTGTAACGTCACCGTCGGATCCGGAGTACTTGTCGTCGATGCTCCTAGCCCTGCTGACGGGTCCATTGGCCGTGGCCTGAATGTCACTGCTCTCTGGCACGCCCATTTTCGACCTGCAATATCCACCAGCTTAGGGATACCAACAAAGGAAGTCGAGATCAATGAACTAGGGCAGCTTTACTACACGTGGCACCGTGAGATGATCGACAAGGGCAGACCATCGGCGTGGTGATATTTATCATCTCCATCAGCTACTATGTACGTAGAAAACCGACCCTTGCCAGCGGCAGCCGCCCGAAATCCTAAATTATGATATCAACCTGCAAGACGAAGACGTGCTTGGCGTGATAGCTGGTGTAAGTGGAGCATCCTGCCAGCCGCAGAGAAACTGGGCTCCCGAATACCCTGCATATCGATGTTGGTTTCTGCCCTCTCATATGCTCGCCAGTTCGCGTGCCGGATTTCCGTGCATCGGAACCTGCCCGCTTTTGCTGCTGCGAGCCCGGGCCCAGGCTGCCGCGGAACCGGCGCGGGTCTTTGGTGTGGATGTTGCGACATTGACTAGGGAGAAGACGCAATCCACCCATCTTGAACGTAAACTCCCCCACACTCAGCCGCGGGGGGGTCGGTATCATGGAAATATCTGACTCTCAGTGTCGGGCGCTTCCCGACAGTTGCCTTCTTCTAGACTTTTGGGTATTAAATGCTGATGGATGAGGGCCACCTGCGTGTCGTTTAGCATTCCTTTACATAAACTAGAAATAGTTTTGGGTTGTGTCGCTGTCTTGGATCTCTTGTCCAACGGCCACACTCGCTAGGTATTTACCCAGAACAATAACCTATGGCTGGCTTCATTGATAAGTTCACCTAACTTTCACCTTGGATCACGTTTCTCGGTGGCTAACCGTGGATGGTGAATGAAAGCTGTCGACCACTATCACGAGCACAAGGGGATGTTCTGCAGATGAACTCATTCTTCTGATTTGAGGAGCGACTTCAGTAAGTAGAGTTCAGCAACCGTTGGCACCAAGACGATAAATTCAGAGAAGTGCCTTGATCTTCCCCGCCACAACGGGCTTATTCTCCCGAAACCAAACCTTTTCCATATCAGACCCCGTCGGCGGCGGAATGATACCGTTTATCTTCCAAAACTCTCGCGGCGACTCCTGGATGAAGTATTCCCAGTCCATCCCTTTCGCCCCGAGCTTTGGGTTCAGAATCGAGTCCACCTTCCCCAGGAAGCGCACTTTGACAGATTCGTTTTCAAAACGTCGCGCGACATGGTAGATGGTAATTAGGGTGAACTTGGAGCGGCGGACGCCTGCTATGTAAAAATCGTGAACGGGCATTTCGATGAACTGCACGTTGACGTAGAACGCAGGGAGCCCAAGTCTAGTGTAGATTTGGGTGACTTCTGAGGCTAGACTTGCCTTCTCGTCGGGAGTGAAGGCATCCTTACTGTGTGTAAATATCCAGACTGGCATGATGAGACTTTTAGAAAGAACAGTGACAATCGCTGTGTCGTTTCTTAATTGTCCTCAATCTGCTTTGAGCAGACAATACTGTGGCATTTATATTTCAGTTACTGATCAGAGGCTCTCGTATCTTGGAGCTATAGGCGCGTAGCGTTATGATCAGTAATTGTTATTTCGAACTCGCGTGTGTCAAACCTAAAATATTCCGCGATATTTCGATTCCGCGAACCGTCGGAGTCTGTAGAATAATCATAAAGTCTCACTTTTATGCTTAAGGAGAAAAATTACTAATCAATCCATTCGTAACCTTGGGCGATCAACAAGATCAACAACACTTGAAAGTTTATAGAGTTACAGTCGGTAAACTTGAAAATTACTTTCCATTGGACAAAAGCCTGCGAGACTATTAGGGAAACCTGGGCTCGGCATTTAATTCTCTGACGAATGTAGCGCACGGGTCGCTGATAAGTAAACCGAAATGTAACTGGGTTTTCAAACAAGTGTCTCGGCTTTCTTGAATTTCGTCTCCGAGGGCGTTCCTCTCAAGTGGCCCTCCCGGGTATCTTTGCAGCCGTTCGACAAAGTCGGTACATCAGTGTACCTTACGTAGCCTGCCGAGACAATAGATTACCGATATTTACAAAGGTGCCTTCAAGTCTTTAAATGAGAGCATTTCAGCGCAATTTACCACTTTGAACGGAAATACCGTATCACAACGCATGTAGATATTGGCATTCTTGTTCTGTTGAGGCTCTAGGCGTGCCTCACAACCTAGCCACGGCTTCGTTCCGCGCTATTTTTTTTTTTATTTTTTTTTTTGGCATTGAACTGTTACGGCGCCCTCGGGTAGATACATGGCAGAAAAGAAGAACTCTCAAAGTAAGGGGTATCATGAATAATAAGAGTCTTGGGTAGCAGGTGGTGACTGTGACAAATCGTCTTTGCCTTCCTCCACCCAACACTCAAAGAAGAGTGGCCCAGCTTCCACTGACCGAAGCGGCGTTGTAGAGGCTCCGCCAATGTTTGCGCCCGGTATAGGATTTGAGCTGGAAGCAGGCTGAAGTGATGGTTCAGAAGGTATCCAAGGTTGAGGATGCTGCAGAAAAAGTCAGCCGTTAGTGATGACAGCAAAGCGGAAGATGCGTACCCCTATCGGTGCTGGCGCCTCATCACGCAACTCAACAGCCATTGTAAAGGTGCAGCCCTCAGGCAAATGCCCTTTCATCTCCCCTGCGTAGGCAATGCGTCTCAAGGCGCCCCGATAAGCCTCATTCACGTCCACCCAGTTAACCGACCCGTCATCATCGTCATCCTCTCGTCGTTGGAACCTCTGGCCCGCCACCAGCCTGTCCTTGCCCTTGCCAGTTACCCAGCCCGGAAAGTTAGTCACGTCGAAAATCCATCTTTCGACCACTGCCATGGTCCCTGGAGAATGAATGACAATGCAGACCTTTGCGACAGAGCCGAGAGCAAGTTGGTCTTGGATTGCCGCCAGGGCCGAGTTAATCCATTCGCACAAAGCAGGGTGACGAGATTGCGGCACAGGAAGATTGTGGGCCTTGGTCATAAGAAATGTCTGTTGTGGGTAAAGTCCTCTGTGATATAGAATCGTGTGAACAGTGAGGGTCAGAAACTCCGTGAATGATGTCAGCAGCTTGTTGGCCTGCGGGCGGGAAACTGAGACTGGGACCGAATCTGGGGGCTTAGAGCTGGAAGACATGATGCCTCCAAGAAGACTGAAAACTCCAGAATGCGTGTTTTTGTTGAAAATTCCCTTGGTAATACGGGATGCACCGCTGAAGACGACTTACCCGACGGGCGCCTAGCGAAGTCAAAAAAACAGAAGACGCGACGACACAGTGATACGAAGTTAACGCCGGTTCACGTGACGAAGAATATTCTTGAAAACGTCTAATTACATAGCGCAATAGTGAGGCGGACGGCGTCAAGAAGCCAATGTAAACCCTCATGGAATGATACTGCAAATTACGTAGCTTTTTGAAAGTTGCTGCCCTCTCTTATTAGAATAAATAATCAAAGGCTAGCTGCATCCCACAATTTACTATATCAAGGTTGACATCATGAAGCGAGAGGTGAAGAATATGCACGTAGGGATTCGCAGAGATATGATGATAACGAGGCCCAAAAGACCAATGCCTATTGGATGTGGAATGAGGGGTCGCCCCGCATATAGGGCTGAAGGCACCAGTCTGACGCCACCTGCCGTCACCCCGATCCAGAGCTAAGCTCCCCATCTCTAATCTTCCAAAAGTCCCAACCTAAACGGACAGAGGCCTCTCGCAGCCCGAAACGCTCAGCCTCAACCACACTTATATAAATCCAACGGGTCTTTCTTGCAATAATTCAGAGTTTTCCCTCGAGCATCCGCATCATTCAACACACTTTCTGTAACACAAGCAACAATGGCGAATCCCCTAACCCCGCAGTCAGTACTGCATCTGATGGCAGACGCCCTGCCGACACATCCCAAAGACGATACAACTTCCGATATAAGCAGCAGCTACGAGCTGCCCTCCCTTCTCGCTCATGCCTGCATGACTGCTCTCAAGTTTCGTCTCCTCGGTTTCGATGAGGAAAAGAGAATAGGTATGTCCTAGGCCCCTCCCGCGTCTTTGTGCTAATACTAACCCCTCCGCAGAAGAAGAAGTTCAGGCCCTTGCCCCACGACTTCCTCCCTCATGGAATGCCGGCTTCGGCGCCATCCGCTTCGTCTACGCCCACAAGCAGTCTTCCATGACATCCATCATCCGGATCAGCCGTGTAGGCAGCAAGGTTGAAATCAGCGGGCTGGCTGTTGGCCACGATGTTATACATAGGTTTGAAGTGACGACAAAGGACATTGTCAACACATCCAAGTTACCGCTCCGCATCACGCTTAAAGACGACGGCGCTGAGGACCGAAGTGACCTTGTGGAAAAGCTCAGAGATGCATTCGTCTCCGAGTCTGCGATTGCCGATTTTATCGAGCAGTTCAAGACCAAGGTTGTGCAGAAGCTCATTCCGAAACTACAGGTGGAGGGATACGAAGAGTCACCTGATGACCGCGATGCGACGGAGAATGCGCAGCAAGAGGGTCGCGCGCAGGCCGGACGTGAGCCCGGACGGCCTTTCCCTGGTCAAAGACCGCAGCCTGGCCACCCGTTCCCTATCCACGATCCCCTGGCTGAGGGTCCCAGACGACCGATTCCTGTGGGAGACTTTCCCCCTCCTGGATTTGAGGATGAACATGAAATCAATACGCCGCTGCGGCCTTTGGGGGTTCCGGGTCGATCGCCTTACAACATCGGCCACGATGATCTGAACCCACCTGGCCTTGGACCACATGATCCCCTGAGACCATCATTCATCGGCGGTGGTCTGCCTCGCCCTGGAGGAGGCGGTGGAATGCATCCCACGTTCGATGATCCCCTCTTTGGAGGGCAGGGAGGACAAGGTGGTGGGTTTGACCCTCAAGCGCCGCCCGGAGCCAGATGGGATCCGGTCGGTCCTGGTGGTCTGCCTAGGCATGGAGGCGGAAGAGGAGGTCCCTTTGGAGGAGGCGGTGGATTTGGTGGCGGCTTTGGCGGAGGTTTCGGCGGCGACATTATCTGATCGTCGACGTAGGAAACCACAGAATGAGGAAAATGTTCAAGTAGTTATAATATTATGCCGTAATGAGAAATGACCAGAATGGATTCCAAAGAAAAGATGACACAGCCATTTTATTTGCAATTGTATTCTACTCGTGTCTAATAATATCCTGCAGCTCCTTCCTCTACGCAGAAATACCTATTGATGATTCGGGCGCTCCGAGGTATGTCCACCTCAAGTTTGCAGCCTCTGCCCCCTTGACCTCGACAACCTTCTCCACGCCAGGGACAAGATCAAACCCGTTATCGCTAAGCTTGACGCCCCGCTCCTCTTGAATAATGAAGCCCTTCACCGGCCTCTCCGCGCTCACAACCAGTCTATTTCCATCAGCCACAACCTTAACCTTCCTGTCCGAAAACTCGATATACTTCAACGGCTGCGGCCACGAAGAGTGCTCGGAAACAATCTCCCCGCCCACAGAAAGCGTCGCGTGGATGACGAACGGGATATCGTCCTCGGGAGAGAAAGGTAACGTCTCGTCCTCGAACTCGCTCTTCAACGCCTTGACCTTCGTCTTCTCAACCACCTCCGTCGTCGCGTTGGCAGCAATCACAATCTTCCTCTCTATCCTCTCCCTCACTTCCTTGCCGGTGTCAATCGAAACAAACCGCACCACAACCTCCGCGTCAACCTGCTCCGTCTTTGAACTGGCAACCCAGACCTCAAACTCCGTCCCGCGCGCCCCTAACGTCGGGTCGGCATGACACTTGGACCATTCATCGACCCTCCTCCACACACCAACATCAAACACACTCAACGCCCTCCCAATAGCGTACAACGACGGCTTCGGGACAAGCCAGTAATCCGCCACGGCCCACGAAACAGTCGGCCAGCAATCGTTCAACTGCCACACCAGCACGCCGCCGCAGCCGCGTCTCCCGGGACGCCCCCAGTCGCGCCTCCAGGTCTTGTACGCGAACGCCATGGTCTCCGCCTGCATCAGCTGCGTGAGGTACGTGAACCACTCCAGGTCGTACTTGACGGAGAAGTTCTCGACAATGTACGTCATCATGCGCCTCTCGTGGTCGTACGCCTTGTTCCGGAAGTCCATTGCCATACTACCCGGCCGGCGCTGCGCGGGGGACGTGATCATGGCTTTTGTCGTGGAGAGGTGCGGATAGCCTTCTTGTCCGAACTCGCTGATGAACCGGCCTGTCAGGAGATGTGCGTCTTGGTACTTGTTCATTGCGCCGTGCCAGACTGGTTTCTTGTTAGATCACGAGATGAGACATATGACAGGGGGGTTTGGTGGGTAGTGGGTAGAACTTACTGTTCCACTGATGAATGTCTCCGACGGTCGGGTCCGCCGTGGGTTTGCCGTCTCCCCATGGGCTACTGGGGTGGTAGACGGTATGCGGGCTCTCCTCTTCCACAATCTTGGGAAGCAGGTACTCGTAAAGATAGCGAGCCGGAAAACTAGACTTCAGCCACGACTCGGGGTCTTTATCCTCGTCGTAGTTGTAGTCGAGCTTATACCGCTCCTGGACCTGGTAGTCCTCGTTGTTGCCGGCCCAGATGACAATCGACGGGTGGCCCCTCAACCGCTTCAGGTTTTGCCTCGCTTCCTCCTCGACAGTCGCCAGGAAGGACGGGTACGTCGGGTAACTCCCGCACGCGAAGCAGAAGTCGTGCCAGACCAGCACGCCGAGCTCGTCGCAGGCCTCCAGGAACGGCGTCGCCTCGTACACGCCGCCGCCCCACATTCGCAGCATAATCTGGTTAGAGTCGATGAGTAGCTGCACCCAGTCACGGTAGCGTTGGGGTGTGATGGTGGACAGGAAGCTGTCGCCGGGAATCCAGCACGAACCGCCCGCGAATACGTCGACGTTGTTGATGCGGAAGTAGAAGGACTTGCCCAGGTCGTCTGGTTCTTGAATCAGCTCCACGCGGCGGAAACCGGTCTTCTTGTTGACTGTGTCGAGGACGCTGCCGTCCTCGTGGAGAAGGGAAGTTTTGACGGTGTAGAGCGTCTGCGAGCCGTAGCTGAATGGGTACCATAACTCGGGGTTCTCCAGCTGGAAACCAGCCTGCGCCGTGCCGTCATCGTTAACAGTGAGCTGTTTTCCCTGCACAATCGTATCGCCTAGGCTGAAAGTCACGGCGAGCTTCGCGCCTGCGAGGCCCTGGGCCTTTGCAATGACCTGCCCGGAAACGGTCTTGAGGTCGGCGCTCACTTCGCCTTTGACCCAGACGTCGTCCACACGCGCGACGTACTGTTCCAGAAACACGGGCTTCCAGACGCCCGCAGTAACGAGAATCGGGCCCCAATCCCAACCCCAGTGGTACTGCGCCTTTCTCACCGGGATACGTCCCTGCTCGGTCTGGCGGGCGATGAAGCGGTGTTCATGGGAGTGCTTCTCCACGAGTTCCCTCCCGCGGAGCAGAGCCGAGTCGAAGACTATCTCCAGGACATTGTCGCCTTCTTTCTTCAGATGCTCAGAGACGTGGATCCGGTGCTCCAAGAACATGTTGTCAGACTTCAAGATCTCGGTCCCGTTGAGGGTGACGGTGGCGAAGGTGTCCAGACCCTCGAACACGAGATCCGTCACCGCGCCGTCGGTAACAAAGTTGCTGGGCGTCGGGAACTCCGCTCTATACACCCAATCCTTCTCAGCGACCCATTGAACGGCCAATTCGTTCATGTCCAGAAAGGGATCAGGGATTCTATGTCTCATGTCAGGTTCTCATCCAAAAGGAGTTTTTAGTGAGGGAATCTAACTTTTTGTTCGCAAGGAGGTCAACGTGAACTTCGCTGGGCACTTTGGCGACAGGAAGCCACGGATTCTCCGACTCGTCATCCTTCTGCTTGAAAGACCAGCCGCTGTTAATCTCATGCCGGAGTAAAGCCATCTTGGCCCAGTGTAACTCAATCGCAAAGTTAGGATATCTACAATCTCAACTCAGCTTGGACCTGGAGTGAGACTCGACAGATAGGCAATGAGATCACCGTGGGAGGAGGATGTAAATAACAGCAAAGGGTCACGATATGCCGTCCTGCGTCGAGTATCACCGGACCAAGGCCCGGGCTCGGGCAACCCCACATTTTGAGGAGTTGCGACGGCCGATTGGCACGGCAGTCCAACGGGCTCGGGGAATGCCTGCCCGCGTCTTACTGCCCATATCGAATCAGCATTTGGGAAATCTACAACTTGCCAAGTTGGTTATTAGCCAGGCGGGGTTTTGAAGTCCTTGGGCCTCCGAATACAGACGTTCTGGGGCTAATACGGTAATTTATGCCACCGACCCACTACTCATGACACTGGTGCCGGGCTCTTATAGCCCCGAGCCGTGCAAGTTGGGAATTGTGGCTACAGACTAAACTGTTGTGCATCATCGTATATAGACTCAGGTTTGTTACATAGATCGTTAATATGGATAAGTTTTCATACTCAAATATAGCACAAAATACTTAAGGTCGCCGGTGAATCTGTAGATTATCCAAAAGAGAGAAAAGTGTCGCTCATATGTGGTTTCCTCTCCTGTCAAAGTCCGTTCTTAGATATCCTTCGGCTCTTTGCCCCCAATGTGCCTCTCCATCCACTCAAAGACAGTCCGGTGCCAGACGATCGAATTTTCCGGATTTAACACCCAGTGGCACTCGTCACTGAACGTCAAAAACCGGCTCTTAACGCCCATCGCCTGCAGAGTGTTGAACGTTGCCAACCCGTCAGTAATAGGACACCGGTAGTCCTTCTCGCTGTGGATGACCAACGTCGGAGGCGCATGCCGCCAGTTGCGCAATAATTCCGGCCGCGCGGGGTTCCACTTCTCCAGTTCCTCGGCATTGGTCCACAGGTACGGGGCGCCACCGAAATCCGGACCGCCGCCGAAGGAGTCGCTCTGTATTAAGGAGAGGGGCAGACTGAAGAGGCCGTCGTGCCAGATAGCGCAGGAGAACTTGCGGATTAGATCGTGTCCAAACATCCAGGATATCATGTACCCGCCGTACGAAGCGCCCGCCACAATGGCGCGGTCATGGTCAAGGTATGGCAGCATCTTAAGGTACTCCGTCAGGCTGACGAGGTCCTGGTAGGGCGCACCGCCCCAGGAGCGGTAGATGCGCGCCGTGAAGTCGACGCCGTAGCCTGTACTGCCGGCGATGTTGGGCGCGATGAGAATGTAACCTTGTTGTGCCCAGAGGGCGAAGTTCCACTGTGGTTTGTCGTTAGTTTAGTAAAAAGGACTGGGCGATTACTAACATACCCTTGTTGACCATGAGTCTAGCCACGAAGATTCCGGGCCGCCGTGGGGTAACAGAATCCAGGGGTACTTCTTCCGCTCATCAAAGTTGGCTGGTTTAAAGATAAAGGAGTGCACGACAACGTCATCAGCGCCTTCGTACCAGAATTCGGACATCATGCGGTGGGACAAGCCGTACTTGGCGCCGTGCTTTGTGGCCGACGAGACCACTTTTGGGGGAGTGGCCATTGATACGTCGATAATCTTCCACAAGCTACTGTCGACGAAGCTGTTGCTCGTGACAAGCAGCTTGTCATAGTCGCCCTCTTTGAGCGGGTAAAAGGCTGTAACCGTGCCATTTTCGACAAGTGACGTCTCTGTCGCGCCATGGCGGAGTTCAAGATGCGAGAGCTTCACTCGTCCGCAGTCCTCCGTAGCGATCAACAAGGCGTCGGAGCTGCCTGCAAACTCAAAGGCCCGTGGGGGTAGATGCGGTCCCTTGCCGAAGATCATGGCGTGCACGTCGTAAGCGCCAAAGGAACTCGTGTGGCCCATGTAGAGTTTAGCATCTGCCGGATTGCTGTAGGAGGCATGTAGAAAGGCGATCTTGGAGCCATCCGGTGAGAACCTTACATTGTCGTAGTAGGCCTTAGTCTCTGAGATGCCCATGACGATGGCCCTCGGCCGGACGGTTGGCGCCGCGGTGAAGGATGTAAGAGGGACATAGTAGACGTGAGAGACGCCGACGAACTCGGGAGGAGGGGGACCACTGTCTTGAGCAATGAACGTGATGCCCTTTTCGCTGACATCGAAGTTATTTGTCGGGTCGGCAACATCATACATGCCCATGGGGGCCTCAAGGGTCGTGTTCCTGATGGCATTCTGCAGCTCCCCAGCTACTCCCCACTTGCCATGTGCGTTTACAAGAGTCGAGTACCAGAGAGCGTACTTGTGTGACTTGTAGAGCTCGTTCCACTGACACATGTGTTAGTCATGACATGCAGCTTGAGCAGTGCCAAGTCAACTTACAACTCTAACACGGTAATCGTCGAAAATGCGACCAGTGCTCTTCTTTTCCTCGGCTTGGTCATTGAAGAGACCGCCATCAGGCCCAACCAGACCGGCAACTACAAACGCAACGCTTCCGTCTGCCAGAGCCTTAACCTTGAGTGCTGCGATAGGTGCATCATACTCGCCAGCGACATAGTGCTCCTTGGCGGGATCTGCGCCATCGGCAATCCAGATCTGGGTGGTCCCTTTGTCACCGGATTTCAAGTAAATGACATTTGTATTCGTCCTCGGCAGCCACTGAGCATCATGGACCTTGTCGTCATCGGTGAGCTGCTCCGAGGCTCCGGTCTTGATGTCCATAACTCGGACTTCCTTGAGCGTCTTCCCATCCTCGAAACTGTACGTTGACTGTGTATAGAGGATGAGAGACCCGTCGGGGCTAGGGACGGCATCACCACGGCGAGGGGCGCTTAGCAACACTTCGGGGGTGAACTCCTTGGCAACACGCATCTTTACACTGTAATTGATTTGATGCGGGAATGATGAGAAATCAAGAACGCGAAAAGTGAATGAATGGGTGGCGGTGACAAATGAATTGGCGGTTCACGGGTAGAAGAACTGCAGAGGTAAAAATGACAGGGACAGATCCGCCACCAATTGCAAAAGAAGGAAAAAACAGCGAGGGAAGAATTCACACGAGAATCGAAATGGCTTTTGCAAAAAATCCGGGCTTGAATTTTGTTTGAAGAGGCGTGATAGTTTCTGGCGAAGGTACGAATGAGGCTGACGCAAACTCCTCCAGGGACGCGACAGCACTCGGGGGTTCTTTCTGGCTGAGGTGTTGCTGACCTTCCCAATCAGCAGCAGGCAGCGACAATTTTTGACCAACCCCAGAAAGGGTAGGTAGTTACGGATAGCTAGATGCCTCAGGTAATGTAAATACCCCATTAACCCTACTGTAAGGCAGGCATGGTACTCACGTACTCAAGTCCCTTCGCTTTCGCACAGCCGCTAGCCGGACAGTGCGGTGTGTCAAGGCTCATTAGGGACCTATTTTCATCTGTTGTTATTTGTTGGTGCAGCAAACACACTACATTTGAGCGGGGTCCCCTTAATAAATGGAGGTCGATTGACGAGGTAAAAGCAAGACACCTCTCGATTCATTTTCGACCTGTCAATCCGTTGGACATACAAACTTAATAATGCGTCAACATTTGCTTCGCCAAGCCCTGTTCTTTGGTAAATATTTGTTGCATATTGCTAAGACAAAACATCGGGTACCGAGAGCCACGCGGCCCCCTGGCTGGGGTACTTACGGCTTGTTTCCCAGAGCCAAGACGCGAAACCCCCGGAGGCGAACCGGACGGGGAACGGCATGGAGGCCGAATATGAGACCCACCAGGACTGTAAAACACATTTCCCATTTTGGCCTTTTGAGCACTTGTCCGACGAGAATCATGCGATGCAGAGCACGCCAGTGACCCCCACTGTGACTCGAGCTCCTGCCAACCACTGGAACCATTGGAGAACGCCCACGAACCCCCAGCGGCTCCGGCTCCCATCCCTCCCCAATTCTGGTACCTCCCTGACCAACCCGGTTTTTATAGTGCACGCAGGCATATCGCAAGCGGAGGCACTCCCGATTCAACACCCTTTACAATGTATTTCTGTAGTACCATTACTAATTAGCAGTACGGATACACGTACCGTACCATACACCAGCACCTGAAAATGACCAAACCAAAAGTACGGAGTACTTCCGTCGTATCGGACCCTCGGGCTAAAAAGGTCCTTCTCTCGCACGCACAGCCGTTGCTTTCCCTCCTACCCCCGCCTGTAATCCCACGCTGTCACCCATTCCTTCGGGGCTCGTACCGACTATCTCCGACTTCGGTGCCCCAGTCAGCTGAAATTTTCGACTGTTGATTCGTCCAATTCAGCCCGTAGGCCTGGTTCCGCAGTCGCAAGGGGGGGTGGGAAAGTCCACTCTTCCACTCTTACTCACTAAATTCCCAGTGGTCATTTGCTACAACGCTGCTTTTCCCGGGGTCGTCTTCGAGACATGAGGAAAAAATAAAATAAAAATAAAAAAAATAACTGGGCGCGTCCGATCAAGCAAAAGCACCAAGCTCAGGTCCCCTTCACCATGGAATCATAGCTTCCCCCATAAGCTAAGGCTCTTCCCCAGCTTTTTCTCGGGAGCCTTTCTCTACCTCTCTCTCTCTCTCTCTCTTCTCTCCCCTCCCCCCCCCTTTCCCTTTCTTGCTCTGTTGTTCCAGGGAAGACCAGACCAGTTCCGTCCTTCTGGCAATTGGCTGTTTCTTTGCGCGTGTGTGTCTATGTGCTTGTTTTAGCTTCGGCCGGCTTTTCCACGACGTCACTTAGCCTAAGACGTCAGCCAGACTTGCTTCCCCCCCGGGTCTGGGCGGTATCCTATTAAACCCGTCGCAAAGCGCAGCGACATCGGGAATTACAGGTTTTGAATATTGACCTCACCCGGAAAGAAAACTGCCCGCGCTGGAGACTCAGAGCCTTCTGAGCATTCATCACCACCGGGCTCCGGGAGCCGAACGACACAGAGAGCCGTATGGCTGAGAGGGATACCACAAGATCAGAGGGGCTTGCTCCTGCGCCTGTCGCGCCAGACCTCAAGATCAAACCGCCGAATCCGTTGGCTCTAGCAACGAGCCAAAAGGTCGAGATGGAAGTCAAGATGCGCGAGAGCAAATGGAACACGAAAAACCTGGGTCTGCGCCTGGGCGCCGACTTCATCAGCGCCGCCTGCGCAGGCACCTTGGTCGCTCCTCTCGTGTCCATTATTGATCGGTAAGCAACTCCAAATTCGCACCCTCTACTCCCTCGCCCGCATAAGCTCTCAATCATGGAAGCAAGAGAGGAAGAAGGGAAAGGCTAATTAGACCTGGTTCTTATAGCTCCATCATGGAAAATGCCTCCGGCCGCCGTAGTCTAGGTGAATCCGTAAAGGCCTGCCTCAAGGAGCTCGTCCTCCGCCCCCACCACGTAGTCTTCAGCAAACCTTTCGCGCTCATCTTCGCCCTCTACGGCGGCACATATCTGACGGCGAACACCCTCGACACCGCCGTCTCCACCACGCAGAACAAACCCGTGAACCACGTCACGGCCGGCACCGGCAAGTTCTTCGCCTCGAGCGCCGCCAACATCGGTATATGCATGTACAAGGACCAGGTCTTCGTGCGCATGTTCGGGCCCCCGGGTGTCGTTCCGCGCCCCGTGCCGATGATTTCCTACGCTCTGTTCGGTCTGCGCGACTGCCTCACCATCTTCGCGAGCTTCAATGTCCCGCCCCGAATGGGCCCCTGGTTGAACGAGCGCATGGGCGAGGAGCTCTGCCGTAAAGTCAGCGGCCTGACCGTCATGCAGTTCGCTGCCCCCGTCATGGTGCAGCTCGTCAGCACGCCGCTGCACCTGCTCGGTCTCGACGTCTACAACCGCCCAAACACCACCGCGACTCCCGTGACGGGGAGAGACCGGTGGCAGCTGGTGGCTAAGAACTGGGGTATCAGTACCATGGCGAGAATTTGCAGAATCATTCCTGCCTACGGCATCGGCGGCGTCGTCAACCGCAAGATGAGGCTGAGCCTCATGGAGAAGCTATCATGAGAGTGAAAGACCTCTTCCCCCCCTTTTTTTCTTTTCCTTTTGACGTCTTGCAATCTGATCTTGATGAAGGGTGGGAGGGGCGGCCAACGAATGGTTTTCGGATTGTCTTTTATTACCCTCGGGCATGGTTCATATGGGCGGCGTTCAGGAAACTGCTTTTGTGCGAGTGAATCGTGTGCGGTCTTCGGTAGAGGATAGATAAGACTGGGAGGCGGACGCCCAGACGCCTGAATTCTGGACTGGGAGGCATCTAGACCATAAAACCCCCGCAAAGGAGGGGTTTACCCAGGGATTCATGTAGAATAGTAATGCGCTTTTAATGTCTGCAACTGCGCCGACGCGGCACATGATAGATATCCAAGTCAAAGAGCTTTCCTCACATCAGTCCGCTATCCTTCAGTGCCCTCAACACCTCGTCCTCTTCAGAACGGTGCTTTCTACGCTTACGATGCTTGATGTCCCCCGTGTCTATGTAGTTCTTCCAGAACTTGAGGCCTTCGATGCCGTCTTCTCGACAGAGCACCCCGCGCTCCTCGGCCATTTCTAACTCTTCCTCTGCAACACCGATGCTCCAGCCGAACCGTTCGGCGGCGTCACGAGCAGTAACACCGCGGCCAAACTGCCGCCAGTCCCAAGCCAGCTCTTTCTCGGGCGGAAACTCGTGTAAGTCGTCCAGCCAAGATACCAACGCCTTGATCGTAGTCTCGTCTGTGCGATCGCTGCTCTGGACGACGAGGACGCCGCTCTTGAACTTGCGAAGTCGAACAGGTAGCTTCAGCGACTCCCACATCTGTGCAGCCTTTTCAAAGTCCATTGGGCTTACGAGTTCCACACCACCCCGAGCACGGTTGAACATTGCCCAAAGATCAACCAGATTGATGATGCCTCCGGCCTTTTTGAGGACACCTCGTGCATCATCCGTGAGGAACTCTGCGAGGTTTCGCGCCAATTCCGACAGATACAGAGTTTCGGAGCTGCTGCCGCTCACAATGTCCTTTGTCGTTACAAGGCCGAGCTGACTTGCAGACTCGGCCAAGAGAGCGTTGGCTTCGGATGCTGCAGCCCCACTACCGCCATTCGCTTGCCTTGCAAACCGTTCCGCCAATGCAACAATCTCTTTGGCAGAAGCCATAAGCGCGTCGAGATCCTCAAAAGCGCTGCCAATCATCACCTCGTTATTCTTGCGCATGTCAAGTCCACGTTGTTCAAGGCCAGCAATGCCAACGCCCTTGGGACGCTCCGGGGCAGCCGCAGGTGCCCGGACAATAACTCCGTTGTCATCTATCGTCCGATTGCTTTGGGGGATGGGCGGAGCTCCTTGGAGAAGCCATTTTCGTTGTGTCATGGAACCCTTCAGACGCTCATAAAATATCTTCTCTCCGCCTCCTCGAAACGATATCTTGACGCTTTCCACCGTATCCTGTCCGGAAGGCGATGATTTCAGGACTGGCCCCGGAGACTCTGTACGCTGGGTCTGTTCTTGCGCGACAGCTTGCGGCACATCTTGCGATATTAGAGGCGCCCCACACATCTCACACGACAATAGAGACGGGTGGTTGAGAAAGGTGCATCGAGGGCATTGGAAGGTAGCGCTCGGTTCTGATGGCTTCGGCGGGGTACCTGTTATGTTAGATGCAGCAGGCCATGGTGGCAACGATCTCGCATCATCCGGTCTGTTGGAAGTCGATCGGGGCCGCATTGCCAGAGGCGAATTTACGGTTGGACTCGGGGGCGCAGGCGTTCGGCTAGTCGCGTTGGATATCGACGCTTTCAAGACATGCGCCAAAGTCGGCTTGATGCCACAGGCAAGACAAGGAGGCAACGGCGTGTAAATGTTTGCGGTTGTAGGATCGAAATTGGACGGCACTGGGTTTGAGAAGCTGCAAATGGTGCATACCCATGTTGCGGACGCAGCAGCAGGGTCGGGCGGGGGTCTGTATGGACTATCCGCCCGGGCAGGAGATCCAGTGCCTGGTCTGGGAGAGGAAATCGCAGACGCTCTTGTTTGAAGAGAAGAGCGCTTCAAGGGCTTGGGAATCAGAGTGATCTTTGCCGATGATTTCAGAAACCCTGCGTAGAACTCGTATCGGTCCACATCTTTCAGGTCGAGGGCAACGGAGTGCTTGCGCGGTTCCTCTTTATCGACATAACAGATTCGATGGGATGTCAAGTAGACTTGCCCATTTTGTTGGTGAGGAAGCTTGAACTTTCTGGCACACAAAATCTGTCAGTTACCGTCACAGAACTCAAGGTCGGGGTTCGGCGCCCGACATACCCTTCGTAGAGCCCAACATTGTCTTGGACGAACAACAAGACTTCATCCGGTAGATAAGAGGGCCGGAGAGCGGTCGTGAGGTCGATGTGTTTTAGAAACATCCGTCATATCTGTTCGAAGGATTATCGAGGGTAAGGTAACATGCGCAGGCACTGCGTTGACCGGAGGAAGAAGGAGCTGGAGAGGGTGGAGGTGGAGGCTCCGAATCGTCGCATACGTCAGTGACAGTCTCGGGCTTTGTCGAGGCTAAGGAGTCTTGTTCGTTGCCTGTTCAGGGATTGTGCATGTTTCAATGACAGAAGGCGACTACTTTGACAAAGTCTAGAATCGGGGAAACTGGTACATGTGATGGTTCTCGAAGTCGGGACGTACAGTCGATGGCGTACCTGCAAGGCGCCAGTTTATCTCGCAGAACAATACCCCACGGTTGCTACCAACAGCTGCTGGGGTGTGGGTACCCCTCTTATTACTGATAAGCATATCACCGATAAGAACTTATCGTGAACCGTGGTTTTGCCGAAGGGTTACAGGCCACGGGCGCTTATTTGGGGCCTGACCACATATATTACTGGGCTCCACTTGCCTGAAATCCCTCGCCCACAGACCCTCAGTCATTTCCACCGCCTTTCTCAGAATCTCCCCAACCTCACTTCATCCGTTTCATTTTCCCATTTTCCATTCCCAACGCCAACGACGACCTCCGCCGACCACCTGTTGATATCGCAAACTTTTTGCTCTCGATTTTCGTCAAACTAATCTACAAATCAGAAACAGCAGTTTTCTCATCCGACAATATGATGCCCACCAGCTGGCCGGCGCCGCCACCCGGCGTCTCCTACGGGGCACCTCCTGCCAACTATGCCTATCCTCCCAGTAAGTTCATCCTAAAATGGTCTCATTTTCCGTAAATCTTCAGGTGCTAATAGTTTTCTCTAGATCCAGCATACACCGCAGTCCAGGCTCGCCAGAGCTTCGGCCAGTATCCTCCTCCTCCCCCGCCCACCGCCCCTGTCTACAGTCCGCCACACCAGCCCATCGTAGCCTACGAGCAAAGTGCTCAGGTTCCTCCTCCCCAGCCTCAGCGCAAGGTGGAATGGCCACCATCTGTCCGCGAATATGTCCAAAAGTCTTTCTTGCCTTCCAATATGGATCCCTCCGTGTCTCGCTCCGAGATTGAAGCCAAGTTGAAGGAGACCATCTCCCATCACATGGAAAACGGCACTCTTGAGTCTACCGACTGGGAGAAATTGCCATGTCCCGCCGCCTTGATTAAGAACGAACGCCAAGTACAGCTAAACTCCACCCCGAGTGCTGCCTTTTCCTTTGAAACGAGATATGATAGCCCTTCCGCCAATCCGAAGAAGCGAAAGTCCAATGAGTTTACTGTGGATGAAAAGTCTTCTACTGTGCCTTGGCGCTCTACTAACAGCAACCGATCCAATGCCCTGGAAGACCGTATCACCTTCGCCTCCCCCGACAAACGCGCCAGCTTCGACGAACCTCTGCCTAAGTCAAGTAAGTTTCAGAAGCAGATGGAGAAGCGACAACGCCGTTTTGATGGCGGATACAAGTCGTCCTACCGGTCACCCAGCCCTCCTCCCTCAGATGGTCCCGTCGTTGGTACCAGTGAGACGTTGGAGAAGCGGTATTTGCGCTTGACAGCTCCTCCCGTTCCTTCCCAGGTCCGGCCGGAGCGCGTTTTGCACAAGACCATGGATCTCTTGAAGAAGAAGTGGAAGAAGGAGGGCAATTATTCTTACATCTGCGACCAGCTGAAGTCCATGCGTCAAGACCTGACAGTGCAACGGATCAAGAACGACTTTACAGTGTCCGTATACGAACTCCACGCTCGCATTGCCTTGGAGAAGGGGGACCTTGGTGAGTATAATCAGTGTCAAACCCAGTTGCGTACTTTGTACGCAAAGGGACTGAAAGGGAACCCCATCGAATTTAAGGCATACCGCATTTTGTATTTTATCCACACCGCCAACCGTTCCGGTCTTAATGATGCGTTGGCAGATCTAACCACAGCAGAGAAGGAGGAGCGGCCTATCAAGCATGCATTGCAGGTGCGGTCCGCTCTTGCCTTGGGAAACTACCATAAATTCTTCCAGCTTTACCTGGACACCCCCAACATGGGTGCATACCTCATGGATATGTTCGTTGTCCGTGAGCGTCTCGCTGCTTTGTGCAACATTTGCAAAGCGTATGTTCTACCCCGAATCTTAAGAAAGAATGAAGGATGACTAACTAACTCTTTGCAGATACAAGCCCGACGTAAAGTTACGGTTCATCACTGAGGAACTCGGTTTCGAGTCCGACGTTGATGCGGCTCAGTTCGTTGTCGATTACAATGGTCAGCACCTGCTCGAAGAACGACAGGATTATATTGCTCTCTTGACCGGCAAAGCTGGTCCGCTGTTCGAATCTGCGAGAACGGAGGCTTTCCGCAAGGTTGACATCAAAGGCCAGATTTGAGCTGCTCGCAATCCTTCTCTTTTCATCACAAATTGCTCTACACCTTCTAACTATTCTCCCACTCGCCGACCGCAGGCCCCGCGTGTGGCCTTCCTCCCCAAATCCTCGTTCTCTTTTCACGAAACCTTCGGGCTTGGACCGAAATTTTCCTCGTAGATTTTATGTTTTTCTTTCATCCCTTTGTCGATTGTCACAGCACTCGCACTTGTTCACCATGCATTTCTCGCGACTCCTCGGACAACTACACGTCGTTGTTTGGTTACGAACTCACGATTTTTACCGATCTGCCTATTTATACTCCCTTTGACGGCTTTTGACGCTTACGCACAGCTTCAAGCAGTGGGAAACCTCTTGGGGGCCTTGGGGAATCAGACGTCGTAAACGAAATGAATGACGAGAGACACCAGAGGGCGTGGCTGCTGGTGATGATCGATCTTTCGCTGGCCTAAGATGGCTGGCTTTGGGCACTGGGGGCTTGCATTTTATATGTTCGTCGTGTCACCGCGACTACGAACTGGATGGCGTTGGCATGGGAAAAAATGCTGGGGGCGGCCTATTTCAGGAATAGACGCAATTGGAGTCTTGGGCGAAGGCGTTTGCATATATACTTCGTTATATCAAAAGTATCGATGGCCCACTCTTTGCAGCATAGCGGTCTCTAGTCCTAGTTGACTAAATGGATTAATACTTTTTACTATGTCTGCTAGTCCTCCGGGCCTCTGTGCCTTGTGCTGTCCATGACTTCTTAGCAGTCCTTAAAAGACTTGCATTCGACGCACCCAGTTGCTGTCATTGCCGTATTACCCATGCGAGAAGCTTACAAAAGCCTACGTCCTGTCATGTCCATCACGGCTCCAGCTTGTCCAGCTCAAGCCACAACAGGTAGGGCATCTCTTAACGGTCCCTACTTTTGCTGTTGTCTCCTGGATAAGTGATGCCATAGCGCTCCAGAAGACCCTTTGGCCATGAATAGGTTACAATGAAAACCGTTGGATAGCGCTTTATCATCTGGTCTATCAAAGCCCACCTGTTTTCAACAGCACATGAAGGCCATAGCTCCGTGAGGTAAGTCGCCTAGATCAAAGCTCAGGAGCACCACGGCGCATTGTCCGGCTACCTCGCAGAAATTCGGGGAAGTGGGCAGACAGACCTTGCCTGTAGGCCCGAAGTGGGCGGGCGGGCAATTACTTTCGCACGCAACTAGCGAGTAATACAACGGCCCCATAAGGGTATCTGCAAAAAAAGAAAGAAGAAGGGAAAAAAGAGAAACCCGAACCTTGTCAAAGGCAAAAAGTTCTGAGGGTGCATACGGGATGACAAGCTCCGTGCCAGGCCTAGGAAGACGGAGTGAATTGGGTGATGTTAGAAAACAAGACGTGCTCGGCCACCCCACCCATCTCCCCGATGGCCCAGAGCGGTCTCTTGTTCACATACCGTCGAAGTTGAGCCAAAGCTTGCCGCTTATTCCTTTTTTTTTTTTTTCTTGTCCCCTCGCTCACCTACTTATTTTTCCCCCCCATGTCACCACACCACGGTCGCTTGGCGGGACACCTAGACGGCCCTGGTGATCTGCCGTGCTTTAAAGGTACGCCCGTGCTCCACGGCCCTAGCCCATGCCATCCGCCCCCTAGTATCGGGTCAGTTTTAGACGGGGAAGAGAGCTTCACAGCACTGTCCTGTCTGTACATCAGTTCACCTGCCAACCCAAAGTAAAGTTGTCTCTGTGCGAATGGCGGCTCGGACTGGTTTGATAGCTCACAGTACCTTTGATTGGCGAGGCGAGGCGAGGCAGGATACTGTTTTCTTCGAGATGCCAAATACGGAAATCGAAGAGAAGAGCTGGGTCGCAGGCAGAGGGAAGGAAATGCAATGCCCTCGGAGAAATATTGTGCTAATGTCCCTGTCAGTCGCGGAGAGCACTGGTTGAGGTAGGTTCAGAGAGGCACCTCTCCAAGTTACCTTGAGTACCGGCGGTTTGCTATTGCCGTCTCAGTGCTTCGGCAATGTCCAATACAGGAGGGAGTCTGAGGCCTCATCAGTTTATGTAGCAACGGAGCGAAACCGAAATTGCCGTGTTGTATCCCAACCCTGTCGATATGTCCATGGTTTCTTTATCTTGGCCACCTGAAGCCCCGCCGGAGGTTTCTGGCTTCCTAGCGCAGGAACAAAGCGAGGGATGGTTGGCTCTGCAATGCCACATGCAACACTGCACTCGCGATGTCCTATTCTTGGATAAAGACCCATCCGCATACGTATCTTATTGGCCGGGCCGGCCGCCGACTCCGGCAGAAGCGTCCCATACGGCCGGGGGAATTTTGGGGGGCAGCCAGGCTCTTAGCGGGAGGGCCCGCCACGGTTCGCCACCTCCGAGACGGTACCGGCAGGGTCCTAAAAGACGTACATTTTTTTGCGCGAAGATATGCGACAATGGCGTGGTGTCGATGGGATGGTTACCCCGTTTCATCGTGCCAAGACAGCTGTTCCCCGCGAAGCTCGACCTAGACGGGGACTCCACGTTCTCCTGTTAGGCCACAGATCGGCAACCACCCAAACCGATAGCGCTACGTATTGGTGTGGACGGGACCTTGCATGCCGACCTCTTGCTTGAAGCTTCGGTGTCAAGTCCTGGAATAGGTTGCGGGCAGACAGCCGCCTTCCCGCTCATCGCTTTCATGTGAAGCTCTGTTACTCAGACATACTAGAACACGGCAGTAAGATGATGACTCGAGGCCACGCCTGCAGGTGCCTACCTACCCCGCCAAGGCCCATCATGGGATCCTCCGAGCATAGATCATGTCAGGTGGAACGATCAACAGCCATCTCCACAAGACCGTAAAACGCTTGAGCCATTATATTGCCGGATTAGCAACCTTACAAGAATCTGTGATAAGCTTCAACCTTACGCTGAGAGTAAATGTCAGCTTTTTCTGTCCTCGAATCCACCCACGGATGTTCCTTCGGGGATTGGGCTGACAGCTCTGGCACTCTCGTCAAGGCACCCCTAATGGAGCAAAACCCTGAATTGATGATCTTCATTACCTTAGCTATGGGTTCAGGGTTCCTGTGGTGTACATCCTTCGCTGAACGAATGGTGATCTCGTGAAGAGACGAATGCGTGCAGCCAGTATCCTGCTAGTATTTCTTCCTGGCCTTTGCTTCGTTTCAGGGGACATGGGATGTCGAGTTTCAAATTGTGAGTGTCTGCGAACGGGACGGGCTGGATCCGAACATAACTGCGGCATCAAGTTAAAGCTTGACCTTGTCCCCTCACACCTCATAGAGGCTCGCAGAACTCAGAAGTGGGTTTGCTTGGCACTCTGCTATTTGGAATCGACCACTCGCTGTCAACGCAATATCATCCCAGCGCATGATTAATCTCACTTACGATGATGGCTCTCCCCAGCCATGGTTGGCACTGGGCGTGCAGTGCGCTTTTCGCTTTCCAAAGTCTGGGGATTGGGGGAACTTCTGAAGCGCAGACAGCGACCGCAGGAGACACGGCCTTGGGACTGAGCAGTCTCGATGCGGGACAAGCTGTCGCGGGATGGCACATTGACACGAGGCCGGCAGAAGGGAGAGGTTACGCTGCATACGTCATCCCTATATCGAAAGCCCCCAGAATGCCGCCGTTATAGTAGCCAAGAGACTGTTGTAAGGCGGGCGGTAACAGAATCCCAGGTCCACGGGTGATGCTGAACCGGGTGATATGAGACCGTGTGGCTTGACGAGCAGTTTAAAAGGTTTCCGCTAATCTTCGACTCTCGACGCCCATCTCCTCCTCCACACAGACGATTGTCACTCTACATTGTACAACAACTAGCACGATGAATAGTACAGCAGAAAGAAAGCGCCAATATTTAAAGGTTGCCACCTCCGTCACTGGGAGCAGCCAAGGAGGAGTGGAGATGTGGTTCCTGAACCGTCCCGCTGAAACGGGATGTTGACAAGGGTTATCGCACCAGCCCTAGCGCTTTCAGAGCTGGGCAAAGCTAAGGCGCCATCGTGAGCGCCAAGGTGGGGGAATGGAGAGGTACCAATCTATCCGAAGCGTCAGAAAGTTGGGATGGATGAGGAGGGCGACAACGCCAGGGCTGTCTGTATATGAGGTCATGTTGATGAGGTATGCATGGTTTCTTCTATGCAAGGTACAACGCAGTCGGCCCAATAGGGCTTCCGCAGTAGGATTCTGTGGTGTATGATCCAGGCACATTATCGTGGACTTCAATTCTACCTCACCAAGCAAGTGGGTGTCCATTGTTAGGGACACGCATGCGCTAAAGTGCTGACCAAACGCGTTGGTGGGTAAGCTGGCCCGCCGATTCGTGATGATCAATTGACTAGAGCACATTCTAGCCTGGCCTAGATTTTTTTAATTTTTTTAAATGATGTCCTTAGACGTCTGTTGTCTGTTGCGCATTTGTTTAGCCTGATCGCAAATTTCATAGAGACCTGTCAACCAATGCTAGGGTGAGATGGTGCTGTTCAAATGGGCTGGTCGGTTAGTTTCCGTCCGTTTAGCTGGTGAGGTAAACGCCTGGCGAGAATGGACGTGTGAACATGAAAGCGCCATGGCAAACACCGTCTCAGTCCATGATTAGGATAGTTGCATAATAGTCAGAGGCAACATAGAGATTCGCGATGTTAGCTTGGGATTCATCGTCCTAGATCCACGACACCCTTGTCAATACTACTCATGATATTCGTCATGGCGGTCCTCGCTAATACGGTAGAACGGACAGCATTGGGTAGGATTGCAACCTACAGGATCAAAGCCGCCAGCATGCCGAATCGCGTAAGTACTAGTGAATCCGATAGCCATGGAGCTCAAAGAGGACTGCAGCTTGCTGACTTAATTGTTAGTGGGAGCGAAGCTTTAGCATGAGGCTCGAAGCTTGAAGTTCCAAGATACTACTAATCACAATATACGCACGTCTCTTCGAATGTGTGGCCTGAGGAGCCCTCAAGCCCGCTTTTCACGTACTAGCGAATCCAGCCCAGCCAGCCGGGGAAAAATTCCGTGTGGCAAGGTTCAATGGCCGTTGGGTTGAGCCCAAAGCGGCACCTGGACCGTTGTGATCATTTACGCTGGAACTCAATGGGCTAGCGAAAACCTGTCTGGGCCCGCCGTAAGTGTGCAAGGGTCGCAGAGGAGAGGCATTTCTTGGAGTTGGGTAGTGAGCTGTTCCTGGATACCCTGTTGCGCGGAGGGAAGAACTCTGCTAGGGCGTGGCCGATAGATAGAGGGCAGTGCAGGATACCCCATCCTCCTGCATTGCTTGAGATCACAAGGGAATACATGAGTCTGCGCTTTAAATGATGGAATACCGCTCAAAGTCCGTTTGGCTTTACAGCTTAGTTAACAAATGCCATCCAGGCAAGCTTGACAATTCCACCATTGAAGGGATAAGCTGTTGAGGAGAGAGGTCAGTTCATGCAAAGGTAAGTGTCAAAAAAGCGAGGCTAATGCTATTGGCTGCATGTGGTTGTTTCGCATGGGGGCGTGTAAGGTCAATATCAACCAAGAGGGGCGTTGATGGAGCGTAGAAGGTCTGTGTTCTAAGCGGAGGGGCTGCCATGTGCCCGCCCAGGAAGTCAGTGGCGAAAGCCGTGCAACAGGGGAAAGAAGGGCAATGAGCCTTGCGTGATGAGGGGAAAGTTAGATAAGCCCGAAATCGATCCGCTGGCTTATAGTCCTCTTGTTTACCTCTAAATGTAGTGTGCTCCGTTTGGCGCATCTGACGGCGTCGCTCCGCGTTTTGTAGACGCGCTGAAAAAAAGCCACACGACTATCGTGAAGCTATCTGGCTGTAGTTGGGCGGTTCCGTATCCCGAAGGGGAGCTGTAGAGAAGGGCTGAGCGAACAGGACGTCGAGGAGCACCGTAATCCTGCATGCTGACTGGTGGTCCGACCGTACCTCGTGTCAGTTGTGCGAGTCGTCGTGGTGTGCCCCTCTGGTGCCAGCCGTTCAGTGGTGCCCTGTGACAAATGCGTCAGTGCCGTCATAGGGTACTGCGGCGAGCTTTTCTGCTGCGATGCCTTGGATGTAATTTACTGGGCTGCTCCCCAGGTGCTTCACTTCGGCTTGAGGAGCCGGTGCAGCCACCGGCATGAGGCTTGGGAAGCATGAAGGCGAGACATGCAGCTGCACGATATGACTGGCGAACGAGAAGCCGTCCCTGAACTCTGGAGTATACTAAGCTGCAAGAGACATGCGACCAAACAAGTCCGTTGGATGCGGATTAGGGACAGGACCATATTCAAACAACCAGTGAGAGGTAAGGACTGGCAAGTAGCGATGGAGCAGATGGAGTCTTTTCAGTGGTCTCTGGCTCCCTTTTGGATTGCTCCCCCAGGGCACCTTTTTTTTCCCCCTGGTAATTAAGCTTTCAATGTGAGGGCTGTCGGTGTTGGTTGCCACGCCCGCTGCTGGGTTTCGCGCAATGCCCGGTCGGCACGCAAGGCGGTTTAGTCCCCGTGCCTGTGGGCCGCTGTCGCCTGTCTGCTATCTAGAAACGTGTGCGCCTCGAACGTTGCTGCGATACCAGATGGAGCGATGGCCGCTAGTCTCGCCAGTCGTGGTCATGCGATGACAGGCGCCGAGAAAAGGTGGAGGAGGGGCTTGAAGGAGACGCGAGACTTGAATGTGAACCGATATCAGACCGGAAATCAAGATTGTAATTTTTTGACAAGAAAGGATTTGAAGGGTCAGAAAAGAAACATTTTTGGCAGGCTGTGTTCGGGAGCACTCACACCCGTCAACGGCCACACGACCAAGAGACGCAACCACGGTACCACCACCCATAATCTGCACGTCGACACCCTCGTTGAATGCAGGACACCCACCCGCAACCCCTAGCGTAATTTACCCACTCACGCCCAAGTGCACAGTGGACAGGCAGGACGGGTACAGACCAGGGTGTAGTCCCACCAGTCAAGCCCTCTCCAAGCGTCCCTCCCCTCCCTTTTCCATTTCGTCTGGTCTGGTAGCATTGGAAAGCGCATCCCGGGCGTTGGAGTGTGCATACGGAGTACTGCGTGGGAGTACTAAGTAGGGTAGTATTAGCGTGTACCCAGGCACCCTGGATTGGGCGGCGTAGAGGCAAAGAGGTAGAGCGGCTTGGGCTGGGCGAACGAGCCTTTTCTACCCTCGCCCGTCCGCCATCCTCTCTTGACGTGTTTCCCTTGCCTCCCCTCACCCCTCCAGGTCGCATCGCTCACAGCCCGCCCGCCGCAATCCAGCGCAATCTTTGCACTTCGCCGAGTAGTCGAACTTCAACTTTGGACCTTGGACGACAGTCATAGACTGAGGAGCGACGCAAAAAAGTGTGCATTGCCACTCCTCGTCCTTGACCCTCTTTGAGACTTCCGTTAAGTACGTGTAGCCTGAGTTGATTCGCGGGCGACTTGTTTCGGAGGCCGAGAGACAGTCATCTTCCGCACCGGAATAAGAAAGCCAGGGAGAGACAATCCAACCAGCCGGTCAGTCGATCAGCCAGCCGGCTAGCAAGGACAACTCGACAACGTTGCTTCACAACTGAAGCGGCGGAAGAATCATTGACAGAAAACAAAAGAGAGAGTGTGTGATTTGCGTGGAAAGAGAGAGTCCGAGTACTGGAAGAGTTGAGAAGGGAAGTTTAGGAAAGGCAAAAAAAGAGAACCAGAGCTTTCGAATCCGAATCCCGACTACGACAAGTCAGAAAAGGAAGCAGCATAGCAGCCCAACCCCCGGCCTAAGTCGTTCCTTCTTTCCCACAACATTCTTTGCTTCCTTTTTTTTTTTCTCGAAGCCTAACGGCAACGACTCAGCGAGAGCGGATAAGGCAATTTCAGGGAAAGCCCGCATCGGTCATCATCGCCCCTCTCTGCTTCCTTCCCGTCCGCACTGGCATCAGCCTGGCCCCTCCCCTCCTTCCTCAGTGGCAGCAATAGAGAAAGAGAGAAAAAAAAAAATAAGGAAGGAAAACAAGCAACAACAACACCACACCTAACCTCTACCCTCCACACAAACGCCTTCCCGCTTCGTCATTCGCCTTTGAAGACGGCAACAATTGCGACTGCACCTGCGGTAGACGAGAGACAACAGCCCGCACTGATTCACTGCTTCAGCCCCCTACTTGCAACCAATCAGACCTTGTTGAAGTAGCACTTTCCCTCAGTATCTTTTCCTTCCCTTATCGAAAGCTCCCCCGTGGTGCGTGGTGCCACAGTCCCCCTCGTCACCACTGCCTTTTTTTCGAATATCGAATTTCGAAATTCGCAATTCGCCAGGCGCTCCTGCTGTTACTACTGCCACTGCGACTACCCTCACTCAGGGTGTGTCACACAAGATGAAGGTTCGTGATTCACCCGTACCCCCCTCTGTACCTGCCGTTGTAATATGTTGCTTGCTGCTTCTCCTCTCCCTGCCTTGTGCGTCACATTCCCTCATCTCCCCTCTTCACAAACCACCCCTCTCTTCCTCCCTAGACCAAAGTCGTACGTCCACACATCATTATCACCACGTGTACTTGCGGCCATCCCTTCACATCGCATCACCACTTTCCTTCCCCCCCTTCCCCCCCTAAAATAATACCCAAGTCCAAAGTCGCATTGCTTGCGCATTTCGACCCTGCAGCCTTGTCATTCACATTCCTTCCGCCTCCCCTGTACTCCTCAACCCCGCATGCGCCTACGATGCCTCGAGAATCAATGGCCAGAAATCGGATTTCCGATCACCTGCTGACGATGCCTCAACTCCTCCAGGCCCTCCGCCGGTCCATCAAGGGCGAAAAGGACAACGCCAAAATCAACATCGCTCCTAAGTCCGCTGTTGCGATAGTCCCCCCGAAAAAGGTGGGTAATCTCTTTGTCTGCTCCACTACTCCCTCGGCGCCGATCCGTGGACAAGCGGGGGATGGCCCAATGCATCCAGCTGACCAAAAACTCTATCTGCAGGTTATCCGAGCCCTATACGACTATGAAGCCCAGTCCAACCAAGAACTGAGCTTCTCCCGAGGTGACTTCTTCCACGTCATCGGCAGAGAGAACGACCCCGACTGGTACGAAGCTTGCAACCCTGCCCTGCCCGACGCCCGTGGTCTCGTACCTGTTGCCTTTTTCCAAGCCTTGGGTCGAACAGAGAGAGATAGTGGCCAGTCAGACGGTGGTGCCATTCCCAGACCGCCTACCATGTCCCCAACCATCTCCAAGAACCCCGATCACGATTCCGGCTACGCTGAGGCCGCGCCGCCCCCAGGAGCCATGCAGTCACCGCCTGCGATGCAACGCATGTCCAGATCTGCTGGCAAGGGATCCGGTGCAATGGTTTACGGTATTGTCATGTACGATTTTGTCGCAGAGCGTGCCGATGAGCTGGAGGCCAAAGCTGGCGAAGCAATCATTGTCATTGCCCAATCCAACCCCGAATGGTTTGTTGCCAAGCCCATTGGCAGACTCGGCGGACCAGGTCTAATTCCTGTGTCGTTTGTTGAGATCCGCGACATGGCGACCGATTCCGCTGTTGGCAACGCTTCCGATGCCATCAAGAAAGCAGGTATCCCTAAAGTCGAGGAGTGGAAAAAGATGGCGGCCGACTACAAGAACAGCAGCATCACGTTAGGCAAGTTCGACAGCGGCGCGCCGCAACAAGGATCCCTGGAGCAAGGCATGGAACGCATGAGCATCCAACAAGGGCAACACAGGGCTTCTCAAAACGGCAACTATGTAAGCTTTCCATCCTCTCTCCTCTTTCCTCGCTCTAGAAGCTGACATGAGTAATAGTCACAACAACAGCAACACGCCAGCTACCAGCAGCCGCGGACCTCTCAACAGGCCGCGCAGCCGACCGCCCCCTACATCAAGTCTGCCGACCAACTTTACGCCCCCATTTCTGCTCGCATTCCCAGGTACTGTTTCGCCGAAGACAAGTACTGGTTCGTTATCGAAGCTGTATTGGAGGATGGCCGCCATTGGGAGCTGTCCAGATACTACGAGGACTTTTACGACTTCCAAATCGCTCTGCTTACCGAGTTCCCCGCCGAGGCAGGCAACACCGGCACGCAAAAACGCACCCTGCCGTACATGCCAGGTCCTGTCAACTACGTCACCGACGCCATTACCGAAGGTCGCTTGCACAACCTGGATGCTTACGTAAAGAACCTGCTTGCTCAGCCAGCATACATCGCGAGGTGTACACTGGTCAGGCAATTTTTTGCTCCTAGAGAGGGAGACTATGAGATGGATCCAAACGCACCCATCGATGATGAATATAGACTATCAGGCGGCTCACAGCCTTCGTCGACCGACTCCCCCGCAGACGGTGCGTCACGGCAGTCTTCGAGAAACAACCTAAACGGAAACGGCTACTCGGGTCTTTCCGCTGCACCACAACAAAGATCTATGGGTCAGCCGGGCATGACTCGACAGCCGTCTTCATTGTCCCAGCCGTCCCAACCATCGATCTCTCCCGGCGTCGGCCAAGTCCAGGCCATGAAAATTAAGCTTTACTTTAATGGTGACCTCATCGCCATTCGTGTGCCGACAGACATCTCATTCCAACAACTTTACGACAAGATCAGGGATAGGCTCAAGATCCCCGTGGGCGAGGAGATTCAACTCTTCTACAAGGACGAGCCAACTGGCGAAAAGCCAAACCTGATGAGCGACAACGATCTTGACGTTGCTCTGCAAAGGAACGAGAAGCTTCTGCTATACGTCGAGCAGGTATAAGTCTAAAGCGCGAGGACGCTTGCCATGATGATCCTGGATGGTTTCCGCGACTGCCTTCAGAGAAAAGCATACCCCACTTCCCCACAACCGCCATTGCATTCTTGTTTGATGATTCCCAGCGCGCGCGACGCATTGCCATACCCTGTCTTGTTACACAGGCGATGGCTGATTTCACTTCTATACTGTTTTCTTCTAGTAGCTGGACTCGATATACGACCATGGTGCCAGTGGATCGACACTCCTTGACGCGCAAGCGGCTACACTCTTTTTATCTTTCCCCGGCCTTCAAAAAGCCCTCACTTACGATTTCCCTTGACGGATGTTGATGTTGATGATGGAAAACAAGAATTACTGATATGACCCCCGGGGGTCCACATGTCCAAGAGTTTCTCAAAAGACGGAAGACGGAATTATTTCCATCACGAGGACACGGGAGGGGATATTGGCGGGCGTTTTTTTAAAGGCAAACGGCAGACTCGGTTTGCCCATTTTATTTTATTTGATGTTTTGTCGAAGGACAGTTTGTAGGGCCCTCCTCTCTAAACTTGCTGGCTGTGCGTTGTGCACGGCAAGAGGAAGGTTTGGGGGTTTTCCCTTTGATGATGAGCGGAATGAACGTTTGGACGACGTGGAATGAGCCAAAGTAAGCAGTGGAAGGTCCAATACCAGTACTTGAGAAAGAGATGAAAAGAAACCTGTTCAACATGTCTTCTAATCCTGATTTGAAGCGGAGACTGCTCAAATGTGTATGCCTTCAACTGACGAGAGGCTGTTGGCTCGCTCGCCTTGCATTCTCTTGCTGTGACATGTTTTGTTGTTTGTGACCATCTTGCAGTCACCGAAAGTAGTGTAGTGTATACCGTACGTCATGTCATAACTCTGAATGGGTTCATCATTATAAGCTACCTAGAAAGTAGTAGCACACAACTCCTTCGACCATTACGCCGGTCGTTACAGCACCATTTTCGGGCCCTTACTCCGGGCGTACCTCATATCCCCACCAAGGTTCTCTCTCTCTCTCTCTCTCTCTCTCTCTCTCTCTCTCTCTCTCTACTGATAGAAAAATTAGACAAGAAGACAAACGCTTCTTGTAGTGGAGGAGGAGTGGTACTCCTGCAAGTTGTTCCTCTGTGGGGGAAAAAAAGTTCGCGCGGTCTGGGACCAACTGCGATATTATAAATTGGGTATTTCATTCACACTTTTCCTCTCGCTCTCCATTCCCCCTTCTCAATGACATCTTCCCCCCACCCCAGCATTTAAATAGCATCAGACAACTACATGCGTGGACATGTGCTCGACAGCCTCCTTAATAGTTCGTAGCATTCTCTGGTTCACGCAGAACGGACATCGCAGAGGTCGTTCGTTTGCCGAGACCGGATCGTCGTTCTTAATCGGCGTCAGGTTGAGCTCGGGTGTTGACGGAACGAACCTCGACGCAGTCGAAGTAGCTCGTTGAATGGCTGGTGTCGCAAGTGCAGCGGCAGCGGTTCCCTGGGCGCGTTCGCGCTGCTCGCGCTGCTCACGTTCCTCCCTTGCTGCAGCGGCAGTGGCCTCGGCCTCTGCCTCTTCCTGCTGCAGTTGCCGCAGCGCATTCTGCAAGACAATATCCGGGTCTTCTTCGCCGTACATGGGGGTGTCGCTACCTGGGGGTGCGACCATGCTGGCATCGGCGCTGTGGGGATCGGGAGGCGGTACCGACGCAGCTGCCGCCGAAGGAGAAATGGCGCCCGTGGAACCTGGACCGGCACTCAGCCGGCGCAGTACCTCATCGCGCACAAGGGCGCAGGTCTGTAAACTCGCCTCCACGCCTATAGCGCGCAGAACGGCCTCACGAATCGCGGCGGGACTGGTTTCGGCGGATAACGCCATAAGACGCGGTACGCAGTCGGAAAGATATGCAATGTCGTCAGCCGGGTTGATACCTCCGTCGCCGTGTCGGCGCTGGCGTCTAATAAGCAGGCCATATCGCTTCTTAAATCGGTGAATCCAGCCAGGAGAAAACTCGGGCGGTGTCTCGTCTTTGTAACGCGGAAGGGCGGTGAAGATGGCCTTGGCTTTTTCGCCAAGCTCTTCGTTCGTCGGGTGACGGCCAGTGGCCTGAACTTGTTGGTACCATCGTAGCACAAGCTTCTCGACGTCTGGCCAATTGCCGAAGCGCAGGCGCGAGCCGCTTAATTGTGGGTTGTCGCCATCAAGTCGGGAGTATTTGGGGCTTAAAGAATGGGAAACGGTAGACTGGGAAATGTGTTGGCCATATTGGTTGTAGAACCAGTCTATGCAGGCCTTGTGGCTCGGGCGAATGGTTTGCGCGTTGGCCCAGCGGCGCAGAGCGCGACGCTGGTCGAGGGTAAGGGAATGACGCTCCTTAGGAGTTGAGACGGGGGATTCGACGCCATCTGGGGGAGGCGGGCCGAGACCGCTGGCGTCAGGGTCGGATGGATGAAGGTCGTGGGGAGGCTCGTGTTGCGCGTCGTGCGCGGTGTGAGGATGAGGATGAGGATGGGGATCGTGGTCGTGATCGGCCATGGCGACGGTCGACATTCTGAAAGATTCGGCGCGTAACACGGCGACGACGAGACGGTGACAGCTGTTTTATGTTGTTCTGATATAAGCTGGCGAGCCAGGCGCAGCGCGCGCTGCTGGCGGCGGGGTGGTTGAAGGGAAGTGGGATGGATAGCTGGTGCCCTCTTTGATTCAATTGAAGAAATCGTTGTATCCGTAGTGAGGTTTTGGTTGGTGTGGAGGTAGTGACGGTTAAGGAGGATGAGGAAAAAACGTGGAAAGTGAAAAGTCGGAGGGCGGGAGGAGGGGACTATGCACTCAACACAGGAAGCGAGACTGTAAGAATGCATTTAATGACACTGTACTTGACACGGTACGCGGGTAGCTGCTCAAGGTTGCATGTTACGGTTGTTATGCATCCAATGGGGGGCTGAGAAAATCATCATTAGGGGGGTGTGTGGCCCAAGCTCCCCACCAGTTAAAACGTGTTGCATTACCCAGTTGCATAACTATTCCTACTACACTGCTGTTTCAAATGCCTGTTTCTGTATTTAGATAAATAATTAATGCCTTTCCTTTTTGGTAACCTTGCCGGGACTTGCAGCAATCGAGCCGTCAAGCTCGACAAACATTTACATGGTACAAGTAATAGTTGTTGAAGTGGCACTCCTCAGTATCAGTCGTACTAGCTAGCAATGGAGGCAGTTAGGTGTTTGGAATGCGCAAACAAAACATGGCTTCAAGTGACAAACGAATTTAGTTGAAAAGCAAACGGAAACAACAAGAAAAATACATGTTCTATGTTTCTACTTGTCCATCGCCAATGTCTTGCAAATGCTCTATTCCGAGACGCCCCCAAAGACACCCAATCGTCATTACCTCCATGCTCCTCTCTTCGCATATTCATGCCATCGAGGCTTATCGTGTCGCAACCATTAATGCAAATCCCAACAAACAAATGCCCACCCAAAAAGGTCCCAAACGAAAACTATCCCCCCCGCGGGACGCTTAGGCCTCCTATTTCTTACACAGACATCTTCATGGCAATCGTCTTATGCGGGTCATAACCCTTGACCACAAAATCCTCCACTTTCCACCCATCAATGCTGCAACCCGCCTCCTTGTTGAGCTCTAGCATGGGGAAGTCCCTGGGCTCACGCTCCAATTGCACCTTCAGAGCGTCCACGTGGTCGGCATAGACGTGGGCGTCGCCCATGACGTGTGTCAAGCTGCCAGGAACCAGGTCGCAGGCGCGCGCAATCATGTGTGTCAACAGCGCGTAACTCGCAATGTTGAACGGCACACCCAGTCCCATATCGCAAGAGCGCTGGTACAATTGGCAGTGCAGGTGGCCCTTTGGCTTCTCCTCAGCAGACGCATTTGGTGACCGCGGGTAAGAAACGTAAAACTGCGCAAACATGTGGCACGGCGGGAGGGCCATCTTCTTCAGGTCGGCTGGGTTCCATGCGCTGAGGAGAATGCGGCGGTCGTAGGGGTTCGTCTTGAGCTTATGGATGACCTCGGCGAGCTGGTCCACACCCTGGCCAGTGTAGTCCGTCTTGGAGTCGACGTACTCGGCGCCAAAGTGTCGCCATTGAAAGCCGTACACTGGGCCGAGATCACCGACTTCGCGGTGGGACAGACCGACACTGTCGAGGAACTCACGCGAGCCGTTGCCATCCCAGATCTTGACGCCTGCCTCGCTCAGCGCAAGGGAAGATGTGTTACCCTCGACAAACCAGAGCAACTCGGCGATGACGGCGCGGAGGAAGACGCGTTTCGTGGTGAGGAGGGGCAGAAGGGGCTCGCCGTCCTTGTTGAGAGAGAACTTGAGGGGGATCGGAGCAAAAAGGGAGTAAGTGCCGGTGCCAGTTCTATAATCGTCAGCGACCTTATTTCGGTCGTGGGTCAGCCTGTGACTTCTTACCTGTCTGGTCGGTGCTCGCCAGTCTCGAGGATCTCACGGACGAGATCCAGGTACTGATACTCCTCGTGGCGCTTGGCCGGAGCGGCGCCATTCTGCTTTGTTGGGTTCTCGGGAATGGTCATTTTGGCGGACTCTACTGCAACGGGGGCCATTGATGTATGTAATTGTCTTCCTTTGGCTCCAAAGTGATGTTGGTGGGATATCTCGTCTACAAGAATGCTGATTCAAAGACGCGTCTAGACGCGTCGCATCTTTAAGTGCATGCGCTAGTAGTGGGGTCGCTGACTAAACGAGCTGGTCGATAAGATAAGATGCCTTCAGGGTTGTGGCCTGCATCGGAGCCAAGCGTGGCGGGTAGCGTCTCTCATGCACTGAAGCTTGTTCCACCTCTGCTGATGTCTTGGCGAATAGTGGTTTAAACTCCAGTCAGCCAGAGCTGAGCTTTGTTTCAACACATCTCATGAAGGCAGGTCTCATCTGATCTTGTTTTCAGTTCTGGCCATGTTCCACATGTGCTCGGACTTGTAGAACTGCGGTTTCCCTAGATGGAAAAAAAATGAAGTGGCGTCGCCTCTTGAATGTCTTCTTAGACTGTCCGCATCTCAGGGTTGGAGGCAACCAAAGTCTTCCTTTGATGATCTCTACTGCTATCGACGGGCATGTAATTTTTGAGTATCCTAAATTACAACTTTTTTCTTTTCGTTAATTACGACTGTACCGGCAAACATTCTCTTGCAATTGGGTGTACCTCAACCCTTGCTGTGGCCTCCTTGAACAACGAAAGCCTCATGGGATTGCACTTTGGGCAGTCAAACTTCGAAGCATAAGGCTCGAATAACCACCATCTTATAAGACATGATACTCTCTGGGCATTCAATTCAAACATGAACATCACTATCACTGTCCCTGCGGGGACAATTAACCACGGTGACCCTCGCCTTCTTTGCACACCTCCAGTATGGACCGACTTCGTTATCTTTTATGCTACGAATTACTTCGTTCACGCCCTCACTCTTCCTAGTCGTCCCGGAGAATCCATACTAGAAACTTGCTTTACAGTAATCACAGCTCTGTTCCTCCCGAGTACTGGTTCCCTGAGAGCCGCCCGCTGGTTGCTCTCTCATGCTGGCACCGTCAGACGCGATGAACTCAGTCGAGCCATGAGAGCAGGGGCGCTTTGCATGGTCGTCGACGAAACAGAACGCTCAAAAGTATCCTGGATAGAAAGGTCTTTAAGGAGAATGAGGTTTCCGAGGGCGTCTCGAAGCTGGTTAGTATAGACAAACATGTTGGCAAAAAGAAGCATCAAACTTTAACCAACTTTCGATAACTAACTTTACAATGCATAGGCACGACACCGATGCTTCCGTGCTTCCTTGGTACCGCTTTCGCTTTCGAGGGGCAGGTCGATGGGTGCACTCCTCCCGCACTATCCACGGCACCTGTGTGTTGCCGAAAGGGTTTATTCTAGTAGAGGTTCCGGTGGGAACTCCGCTGAAGCCGTCACCGGACTCGGGAGCCAACCACCTCGATCGCTCGAACATTCGCCTGGGCAGCACTTACAACATACCCAAAGCTCTGTTCGCTCTAGGCCAGGCGATATGGGGTATCACGACGGTCTACAGGACCCGCGGTGACCAACTGCAAAGATATGGCTATGCAGCTTTTGGAGTAACTGTTGCCCCTTACGCATTCATGTCTCTAGTTAACCTCGTGGCCCTGCTCGTCACACCAGAGTATAACTGTATCTATCTTGTTCACACGCCGGACCTCGACAGAGCAAGGAGACAAGGCGGTAGATTCTCGGGGGCAGTGGCCAGCGTTGATCTGGATAATGTCAAGGAACCACTGAGGACGTTCTGGCCCTCGCAGGCAGCCCATGCATCCTACCTCGCTGTTACGACGGTTCTGTTACTGGTACCAATCATTATCGTCGCTGGACTGACTGGGTTTAACCCTGGGAGCAGCACCATGTACCAGCAAGTCTGGATTCTATCCTGGTTGGGCTTCGGTATCGTGATGGGGCCGGTAATCAGGTTAAGCACGATTTTCCCCTCTGAGATCCTTGGGGTATACAAAATTCGTGCAAACGACGCGTTGGCGTACGCTCTCGAGAACGCTACGTTCATGGAGCGAGTGATTGACTGGTTGGTTACAAAGTATTTCTGGGTAGTCGAGACATCTTTCTACCTGTATGTCGTTATTGGCGCCGCCATTTTTTTCACTCCTGCGATTGGTGGTATGGTTGTTGTTGGCCAGATGTTGCAAGAGTTTGGTTTCTGTAGGCGCATAGATCGTTAAGAGTCTCGGTGCTCTCTTGAGTACGATTTCACGCCGGCCAAGGGCATAGACTGCATCTTATTTGCATATATTATGATAGCCAGATACCAAGCATCGGTTAAAATCCGATAGTCTGGAAACCCATTGTCTACAGGGTATTGGTGTTGATAGTATATAAATATAGTTCTACTTAGGTACTGAAATGGTTAGTTGATAAGCGTCCTTCTTCTAGGATTGAACATCACTCTTCGGCAGGTGTTCAATACGGCGTTCACATTGACATTCTTGTTTTATTCAGAGTATTGCCGTCAGTTTTAGCGCCTTTTTATAACTCGTTCTTCATTTCCTGCCCATGCAGTCACTCCGTTCTTCATAGTTGTTCTGCTGGTCGTTATGTACTAGTATCACGTCGAGATCAATCCCAAGACAGTAAGTAATGCAACCTTCTATTTACACCCTTATCTATTTTTGGGCTTGATCAAACTTCCACTTAAAGTAAATGGCTGGCTTTAAATTTGAGTATATATCCTAAAATACTATGTTCTTCTATGCTTCTAACACAGGAATTACTGGCTCCGTGAGCGGAAACATGCCGTGCAGAATCATTGGGGCTGACGTGAGATAAATAACAGACTTCCTTCAGGCCCTAGATAGTACCACTTGCAGTGGTTCAAGATGGTCACGTAGTGTTCTCAGAGAGGTCTAGTGAAGCTTTTCGACCACGGGCTCCAGGGAATTCAAGTCTCCATAGCCTCTGTTCCGCACACATAAAGATGGTGTGACCAGGCCCGCGGCAGAAGCTCGAAACGCCACCTGCAAAGTATTAGCTTAATCGAAGAACTAAGCTTAGAAAGATTTTGAGTTGTTTAAACATACCTGTCACCTTAATCAGGCCCAAGAGTGATCCGCCACTATTCCAAATTTCGATACCATCGCCGCAAGCAGCCCACACATTCCCATCTTCACACATGATATGTTGTGGTGCTCCTCTCCTAGCGAGCGAGAAAAGTCGCTTGTTAGCCAGAAATATAGCGCCTCCTCTACTGACAATATCGAAGGCATAAACGCTCCGCGGTCTTCGTCGTTAGCTATTATCGACGTGCTGGTAACCCAACGATCGAACTTACTGAACCAAGTCCAAGCTTCCATCGGACTTCACACCCCCAGAGTCTGCAACATAGAGTGTTGAGGAGTCTTCATCAACAGCAAGCCCTGTCGGTCGAACAAACCCATCTGCCATGGCTCTCACCTCCCCCTTTGCCCGGTCATACCGATACACTGAAGGCGGCAACTGTGGTTGACTCCTAAAATCCAGATCGTGTCCGCAACATGGGTCAGTAAACCATACGCCGCTGTCTGTGTATGCCGCGCTATGAGGCGAGTTGAAATCGCGGCCATAATACGATGTAACTACCGCCTTTGGGGGCCGGCCTGCAGGCATGTGAAAAACACCGCCTGTCCCGGGTTGCATGGTCCCCTGAGAGCACCAGAGAATTCCATCATCCACGACACACCCGCTCGCTGGCATCGGCATCGCAGGTGGAGGTCGCAGTTTGGCCCATTCGACGTTCAAGGTATCGCCGCGCGGATGAGCGGTGATAGTCACCTTGGACATGAGAATGGTGGCTGGGCGCGTGGGATCCGTTGCCGCAAGTGGCGCTGAGGTAGTCCAGAGTTCATTCCGAGGGTGGAAGTAGATACAGCCGCGGTCAAAGAGCGCATTGGCGGTGCCCCCCACAGAGGACAGGAGGAGAGCGTGAGTTGGTCTGGACCCGATGATGGATTCAAGCGCAGCGTCATATTGAATGATTGATATGTCAAACTTGATAACAGATAAGTGCCACGGTCTTCATTCAAGGAACCGAGGAGTCTACCTTGGTCGCTTGTGAATGCTCTTGAGATGCCTGTTTTCGGCGGTCTCTGATCTATTGTAAGTAATGTCAGCAGCGATAAGGAACGATAAATAGACCAAAATAAAACTAAGTAATTCTAACCGAACGAACTTACTTCTACCGGTGTCGACACAACATTGATGCCTGTCTCTTTTATAGTTGTCATCCTGCGGTCCGGCTGAACATGAGCTGGTTTTTGAAAGATTGGCGGCGTTGGGTGGTTGAAGGAAGGCAACATCAGCGGGGGTATGTGCGTCTCGGTCTTGAGCGCCAAATCGGGACTGTTGACACAACCCGATTACACAAACATCAGAATTAGGAAAACCTATAGATAAGCGCATTATAGAAGTCTTGTAGTAGGAAATCCTTAACTTTTTCATGAAATTTTCTGCAGCAAACATGTTTGCTCCTTAGTGCCCAGACAATTCAATCGGATGTGCTCTTCTCGTGTTTGGCCTTCAACAACGTCCATGAGGCGATGTGGGAATCACAATTGAAAAGAAGGAGCAAATTGCTGGTCAAATGCTGTGATGGCGTTGTTTCATTAAATATCGACCAGTAGAGCACCCAAAGAAGCGACCCGCTATCAAAAGACCACATTGGAGCAAATCTGCATGCCCAAACTTGCATCGACATTATCGTCGCTATCCCTGCGGCCACAGATGATATGGCGATGTCATGTTTAACATTCACTCACAGGCAAGACTAATAAAAGGTAACATGTGTTTTTGATCGTTCAATAAACAATGCTACTAGGATACTGTCAGTTTTATGGCCAGTAAGATATTAATAACAGTGCAAAATCATTTTGTCGCCTCGATGTGAATGCTGCTTTGGCTCATCCACCCTTTTTCACATATTGGATTAATGTTAAGTCATCTTAAATGCACTGGCAATGGTATTGTCACCCAAGATCACAACCAGAGATGATTGAACCAGGCACTAGTTCCGGCGGATTCAGCGGTGGGGGCTGTTGCACGGCTTTCTCCTGCTTCCTTCACTCATACTGCATCATCCAGGTCACATTGAACATAGCGATGATGCTTTGCAAATGTCGAAGAATCACAGACAAGCTAGAGACATCTCTCCGGTTAGGCCATTAAACTCGTATGCCAACATCGCTTTCGAGCATATCCTGACTTCAATGACAAATTTGACGATGAAAACTGATATGCAGATGTTAGAAGCAACAAAAGATGCCGGAGGGCCCAAGTCGATTCGAGAGAATGAGCTGGACATGATCAGGATACTATCGGAGTAGTCCACCAGATCATCCTTGCTGCCCATGCCGTCCAATCTCCATTGAAAATTGATAGGTGACATGTCGCGCATCAATTGGGTTTGAACGCCACATCTGTGGCACGTCTCGTCATCGTGTGGTGGTCAGAAAATGTCTTTCATTCCCATCGACCAAGTCCTCTCTATGAATACACTAGGTCGCAATTGACCATTGACTCGTCCGATCGCCCGTCGTCTAGTGCTTCGCCTTCTCATCCTTGTCCGCGCTGTCCAGGAACTTCCTATAACTTGTTGTCAGCAATTTGATGGCCAAAAGCGCACCCGTTCGCCCGGGCAAAATCACGCACTTGATGAAGTCGGCCTCGTCGGAGCTGGAAGCGTTGATGGGGGGAGTGGCAGTAGCCTTGGGCTTGCTGCCGCTGGTACCGTAGAAGGCACCGCCGAAGAGGGTCGCGAGGACACCCATGGCCAGCTGCGAGTTGCGAAAGAGGTTAGCTTTTTCGATGTTCGGTCGGAAGAAGCGCTGCAGGGGGCGCAACGGGCGAGCTCGGAGGAGCACATACGTAGTGGGAGCCGATCTGGCGGCCGGCGACAGTGTACATCTGAACCATTTTGGCGGTATTGGGGGGGTTTTCGGACCTTCGGGGGTGAATTGGTTCGATGGGGTGGAGAGCGGGTTGGTGTTGATTAAGATTCGAGGGTGTCGATAACTCGGAGCTCGAAATTCGTTCGGAAGCTGCGAAGGAAATGCCTGGATTGTCAGGCCAATCGGGATGAGTCTGGCGCGGCTCGGGGAGCGGGGAACACCGCCACTGATACCGAGTCACCTGCCACAATGTGGCGCAAGCAGCTACTGCACCCCAGGCAGGTGTTAGCGTTCAGGAAGCGAATCCGACGTCACTTTCCGAAATCCAGAGAACGAGCTGCGGGCGTTTCCGGTGCTTAAGTCGCCTCGCCCAGGCTCCCCTCTTCTAGCACCGTCATCCATGTGCACATAAATTGTCAACGTATCCTTTTCCCGAACAGCTTTGCTTCAGACGAAGTATATTGCCAAAAGAAAACTCACAATGTCGTGGTGGGGACGAAGCCAAGAGAAAAAGCCAGAGGAACCGAAAGAATCGCCTAAGGAAGATGGTGCCAAGACTTTTGATCCTGAGAAGCTCCCAGCTCGACAGAAGCTGCCAACTGGCTTGCAGAAGATAATTGACAAGCAAGACCGAGATGATAACTTCTTTGATGAATTAGTGGACGGGTAGTGAGTGCCTTCGGATCCTATTGATAGCCGTGCTAACACTAATAAAGCGCGCCCGAGTCTACCGAGTCCAACGTTCGTTATGCCGCCTACGCCACTCGTATACGCACGATTTTGCTGTCCGCTCACCGATATGTCGCCTACACGTCTGACATTGGCGAGTCCTTCCGACCCGTTGCCCATCCTCTCGTAGTTCGTTCGGCATACGGTATTTCATGGCTCTATATCCTCGGCGACGTTAGCTACGAGGGCTACAAGGCATACTGGTCAAACCAGCGCGTCCTCAACCCGCAGCTCCAGCTTACGGAGCGGCAAGCGAAAATAACGGGATTGCCGGATGCAGTCACAGATGCGACACATCCAAGCCAGGTCGTCCCCGCTGGCAAGGTTGCGCCCCTGGATGACTACAGGACGGTTATGATCCAGCGTGGTATTTTCCAGAGCATTGCCAGTATGGGTCTGCCTGCCTTCACCATTCACAGTGTAGTACGATATTCTGGCCAAGCCTTGAAGAACGTCAAGAACCCAAGAATCAGGACCTGGGGACCTATCGGTCTCGGACTTGCAGTCGTTCCCTTCTTGCCTAGGCTCTTTGACGAACCCGTTGAAAATGCTGTTGAATGGATTTTCCATAAGGGATTTGAAGCGTACGGTGGCAAGGAATTTGTTGGCAACGCACCTACCACAGGCCGCGAGGACCTGTTAGCGAAGAGGCCAAAGGAAAAGGAATTGTAAATTTGGTAGTAACGCACGGTAAGGGACACATTTTCAGCTCATAATATTAGCCCGGCGCATTGTAAGATCTCCCATGAGGAATAGGGTATATGCCGAGGTACAGCGGTAGCCTATATGGCGGAAGGTGTAATTGAGGGTATATACGGAAAAATGCTTCTATGAACACACTTCATAAAGTCGTCATCGCTTTGTTTAAACTTCCATCAGGTTGGGCGGCGGACCAACACCGCGCAATAAGACAACAGTGTTACCACTGACCAACGACGCTCCAACCTTCTCGTTGAACTCCAGTAACCTCCCACCTTCCACATGGAACACTCTAAGCTTGTCCCTCTCGTCTGATGACCGGTTGTTGACATTTTCCACCTGTAATCTCCTTGCCGCTTCGTCTAGCACTCTTCCAACCACCCAATCCTTGGAGAAGAAAAACTCCCCCTTGGGGAACTTGGCCTTGGCGGTCTCTGCCTCGGCCTCAACATACAAGTACACCCTCTTCTCCTGTGGTAGCTTGTCGTCGCCTTTTGCTGTCTTCTTGAGGTTGTTTACTGCTATCAACCGCGCAGAGGCAGACGTGGGTTTCGGCTTCGGCAACGCCCTCCCTGCCTGCTCCTTCTTCGCCGTGCCCCACGCCTTCAGCTTGTCAAAAGCACTCTTAGTACGTGCGGCGACATCGATCTGTATTCCAGGTCGGGCGCCAAGCGGCACAAGGTTCTTGCAGTCGTGGTCCTCTTTTAACCTGTGCTTGAGACAGTAATCGCGGTTGCAGTTCTGACAGTGCACGCCCGGCACTAGCGAAGTGCCGATTGTGGTCTTGCAGGCGGGAGATGCGCAGGGCTTCTCAGAGACGTAGTCGCGCAGCTGGCGGCCGGAGCCGTACCCGGGCTTCGCGAGTTCGGCCTGGCGGCGGCGCTCAGCCCAGGCACCAGCGTTGGCGCACTTGTGGGAAGTTTCGGAACGGTGATCGAGGCAAAAGGTCTTTTTGCAACTCTGGCAGAAGAAAGGGAGAAAGTCGAGTTGGTTGCAATAGTCGTATTCGCAATGCTTTCCTACAAGCGTCGCGTCGAAGCCATCTTTTGAATCGTCCATCTTGACGTAGCTCGTCTCGTCAGAATTGGATGAAGACGCCATGATGATGACGTGTGAGGTTTATTTATTCGTTTGGAAAGGGATTCGGGAATTCGTAATACGTGTACGTAGAGTGGGCGGATAGAATGGCGATAGCGACAGCGATGGCAACGGAGATGGCGATATTGCTGAGAAATGACTGGGGAAGGGTCTGGAAGGAGCCAGCTGGCGTGGTGTTTCGGTGAGTGTTGGTCAGTCGCCTTCAGCGGGGCAACCGCTGTTCAGGTGCCAAGTACAAAGAGCGTGCGTGGCTGTTGGAAGCCTATTACCTAGTATTAGGCAGGGCCATAACGGCTGCCTTGCCATAGATCCTTAGACCCTTGGAGCTAGACTAATTGTCATGACCAGCGTTGCGGAAAAAGTTCTAACTCACATGCGGACATTGAAGTAAAAACTAAGACATGTGCTCTTTGTCCTTGAATATTAAATTATGGCATTGCCATTGGTCATCAAGGTCAATTCCCAAAGATACATGCAAGTAACAGTAACAAGGAGGGGTGATCCCCAGACCCGCCTTTTTATCGGACCCGATAGAGTGGATCTCAGACCCTTAAAGTGCGTCGCGCTCAGCGCGTTTTGCCGCAAATCAATGACGCAGCTGCTGCGGTTTTGTTGCATCTCCCCTGCAAAAGCTTCTCATGCTCCCATTTTGAGCATGGGCAGCTTTCTACCTCGACAACATCACTGAAATGCCTCCTCACGTTCCGCGAAAGCGGCTACGCGAGGAGTCCCCGGCTAAGTCTAGCCCTAAGCGTCAACAGGTGGCCAAAGGCAACGGGAAGCCTGCTGCAGCTGCATCCGCACGCAGAAAGCCAACCCTATACGATGATCTGGATGCTACTGCCACGCCCGAATCATCCAAGGGTGGTCGCTCTGTTCTGGATGTGTTGGCTGACAGCGACGAGGACAGCTCTCTAACCGACTTATCCGACGGAGATTTTGAAGATGTCCCGGTTGGAGACGGTCAGAAGGCACAACAGGCGCAAGCATCCTCTGATGAAGATGACGATAACGACGACATCGAATTTGAGGACGTTCCGGCGCCAAGGACCACTTTGGCAAAGGCAACGACAACATCGGGTGACTTGCAACTCACTCTCGACGCTGGCTTCGGTACCTCTATGGTAGATCCTTACGGCGACAAGAAGGGACCGACGAAGCGGGAGAAAAAAGTAAGAAACGTGACGCATTGTATTCACGTACAGTACTTGCTTTGGCATAATGCGATACGAAATTCATGGCTTTGCGATCCTGAAGTTCAAGCGATTATGATGTCCCACGTTCCGCCTCGTCTTTGGGACGAAGTTGACAGGTGGAGGAGGGCCTGTGGGTTAGATGCAAAACCAACACCAACTACGTCAAATAAGTTGAAGCCAACCAAGAAGACGCCAGGCAAAGGCAAAGGGAAGAAACCGAAAGACGAGGACTCAAGAGATTGGGGTTCAAATGCAGAAAGGCTAGAAGAAGGGGTTGTCGATATGAGCTACGGTGATCCACTCTTCAGACTTATGAAATCGTTGGTGGCGTGGTGGAGGCAGCGTTTCCGAGTCACGGCGCCGGGGATCCGGAAGTGGGGCTATATGCATCCCGAACGACTGGGGAGGCTGAGGAAGGCATGGGAGACGGAACAACATGACCAAGAGCGCTTTGGAGAACGGATTCGCAACATCGAAGAGTTTCGGAGATGCGCCCAAGACTGCAATGGAAGCCGAGACGTGGGATCGCAGCTGTTTACAGCTCTGATCAGGGCGCTTGGGTTGGAAGCTCGGATGGTCGCAAACTTGCAGCCTCTGGGATTTGGATGGACAAAGTTGGAAGAAGCGGACCCTGAAAAGGAGAAGACTGTACTTGCAACAGCAAAGGACCCCGATGAAAAAAAAGAAGAGACCGACAAGGTGAAGAAAAGTGCCAAAAGTACCTCAACAACGAAGAAAGCAAATCAATCACGAACGACTGCGACTCCATCACGGAGTAGCACCTCGAGGGGTGCAAGTCGAAAGAATGTCGTTATTGAAGTGCCTGATACGGACGACGAACTCGGCTTAGAACACCCTGACAGCGACGACGACTCCATCATAGAATTAGAGGTTACCCCACGGAAGGTGGCGACTTCCAAGAAGTTTGACAAGGACCTAGAGTTTCCTCATTACTGGACTGAGATTTTATCACCAGTGACCAAGCGATACTTGGCGGTCGATCCAATTGTCAAAAATGTCATTGGTACCAACAGGGAGCTGATCGAATCGCTTGAACCTCGAGGAGGAAAAGCAGACAAGGCGAAGGAAGTCATGGCATATGTCATCGGCTTCTCTCAGGATGGCACAGCCAAGGACGTTACCGTCCGCTACCTCAGAAAGCAACTATGGCCAGGAAGAACGAAGGGCACGAGAATGGCACCAGAGAAGGTTCCGATCTACAACCGGCACGGCAAGGTCAAAAGATATGACTATTTTGATTGGTTCAAGTCTGCTATGCATGGATTCGTCAGGGGAAGTCGAAAACATCCGCTTACGGAGGAGGATGAGATTGAGGATTCAACTGAACTGAAGCCTGCGCAGCCAGAGAAGAAAGAAATCAAGGAAGGCAGCGAGACTCTGGCTTACTACAAACAGTCGAAAGAGTTTTGTCTCGAACGTCACCTTAAACGCGAAGAGGCACTTTTGCCTGGCGCAGCTCCCGTCAAAACATTTAAAAGCAAAGGCAAGGGAGGAGAGATTTCCGAAGAGCCAGTCTATTCGAGAAAAAGTGTCGTCAACGTCAAGAGTGCCGAAACATGGCATAAGCAGGGCAGGGCGCCTATACCTGGCGAACAGCCGCTCAAGAGAGTGCCATATCGTGCTGCGACGACAAATAGGCGGCGAGAAATCGCAGAAGCTGAGGCTATCAGCGGCGAGAAGGTTCTCCAAGGACTCTACAGCTTCGACCAGACGGAATGGATTATTCCACCGCCTATTAAAGATGGCATCATTCCGAAGAACGAATACGGGTGAGTCAGATATATGCCCATGTCAACACATTTCACTAATTTCTTCCAGAAACATTGACCTTTTCGCGGAACACATGTGCCCGGAAGGTGCTGCTCACGTGCCATTTCGAGGGGCTGTCAAAGTCTGTAAGAGACTCAAAATTGACTACGCAGAAGCTGTTGTGGATTTTGAATTTGGACATCGAATGGCAGTACCGGTGATCCAAGGCGTGGTAATCGCTGAGGAATATCACGATCAGGTCATGGAGGAAATTCGTAAAGATGAGGCAGAACGAGCACGCAAGGAGGACGAGAAGCGGCGTAAGGAGGCTTTGAGACTCTGGAGCAAGTTTCTCAAGGGCTTGCGAATTGTCGAGCGCATTCGCCAGGATTATGGACATGTTGACGACAGCGTTCCTGTTTTCCAGAAGCACAGCACGGTCAGAGACACTAACAAAAAAGACGATGAAGAGCCATCTCACTTGGACGCCGAGACGATGCGGATGCGTGAGGAGGAGATGGCTGGCGGATTTTTCCCGGAAGGACACGACGAAGAGGAGATAGAACCGAAGCGGTTCACGTCGGGCTTTTTTCCCGTAGTGGACGAGCAAGATGAAGACATGGATATGGGCGATGCTTTGGTTGTGGAACATGGTGCTCATAAGCAGGCAGTCGCGGAAAGCGGGGAAGGCACGGTAAACGAGGACGAAGCACCTTCTACAAAGCTGGGACCGCTCCCCGCCCCCGTCAAGGCAACACCGCGAGCGAAGAAGGCGACAAAAGCCGCGACTAGACGGTCGACAAGACGAAGACAAAAGCCTGTTTCCGAGAGCGAGGATGACGAGGATGAGCAAGATTTTGAGGATTCAGATGAGGATTATGTGTAAGGCGACATGGTTGACCCCACTCCGGTGAATGGCGATTGATACTCGGCGAATGAAACGCTCTGTTGATGGATATCTTATGGATTCCAGCATATTTCAGCGAGGCATATGGGGTTAAACACTATTGCATATTGGCAAGTAAGCAACGGCGGTGCGTGCGTGCCATGACTGGGTTTGGCAGGCCAAGTTTTGCTCACTTGCGGGGAGTGACACGATATGCCAACCGTCGTCACCAATGGAAAGTCGCGGTTCTCGATATTACGCTAGACTGCATCGTCTTCGGGTGGAGAGTGGTCAGGATTACAACGCCTAGTGTATTAATATTGGGCAGCTGATCATTAGGAAGACACGGAGGCGACATAGTAAGGTGGTGTTCTGGCCCGAGTCGTAAATATCCCGAGTACCTCGTTGTCTCCTGATGACGATCTGGTGTAACCTGTAATAAATGAAATGGCGATGCCGACAATGTTAAAATGCGGACCGTCTCAAGCGTGAAGACAAAGCCAAGATTTTGATCTCTATTTTTGAACATTATACAGCACGTTGCCGTCTCTTCATGCAGATCACCTAGAATCACGGGCAGTACCTAAGATGAAGTTGACAATGTCCCGTTCCCCGATTCAAGCCTCTTACCGTTGGTCCAGTCACTGTGCTTCTGGGACACCAGGGCCTTCCCTGTAGAAGGTTGGCGCTAGAGCGCCTAGGGTCTAGGGTATGTGCCAAGGGGCGTCCAAGTTCCTGGGGCATTTGGCGATCCACCGTCCCCGGCGACCTCTATAGCGTTTTGCCAACATCACCTCATATTTCCACCCTGATCGGATACGGATTCTGGTCTCTGCGCACTTGCGAAACGGAAAAGAAAAAAAAGAAAGAGTATTCTGTATGCGATATCTAGCGAGTTTGTTGTCAAAGACTTGACTTAGGAACCAGCAAAGTACCAAATCAGCATTCAGCCCACGGAACGCAGCCCTGTTTAACACAACCCCCTGCTTTCTTTTTTCCCTCTCCCCTTGTTCCGGCCAGGGAGGGATGGTCAACGGAACCTGCTCCGTTGAGTGCTGGTGAATGTCTACAGATAGCGCCCTCGGATTTTCGGGTCAAGTAGCTCACGAAGGTGCCTATCCTACCTAACCCGACTGATTTTCTACCTTTGGTCAACTTAGAAAGAGAAAAGGGGTGGGAAAAGGGTCGCCTTCTGGCCACGAGGCCTGTTTGAGGAAACCGCGGTTTTCGCTCACATTACCTGCACTTATTTTGAAGAAGACTAGGACCGGTTCGCAGGCGTAATTCTATCGAGGTTGCCTCAGCTCACAATTTCCGCGACTGCCTTCGTGCCTTCACTCGCTTCCTTCGGGTTTGCCAACGTAAAGAATTCACCTTGGGCTTCCTTTTCTTCTTTTTTTGAACTTCACGCCAAAGCTACAGACGGCCCTTTTCAGGTCAGGTATCCATCTTTCGCTCGAGCATCCCTTGATATTTATTCTCTCGTTAAACCCTCACAAAAACCTTTCGTGTTTAATTTGAGTCGTTCTACATTCATTCATACATACCGATATCAACCTCTACCAGCGCGAAGACTTTGCATTTGCGTTTGGGTTGAGGCTCGGCGATTTTACCGGTACGTTCAACTTCTTTTACCTCTTCTGTCATCGTCTATTCTGGGAATGATTTTCTGTCTGGCCCGAGCCTGGCCTAAACCTTTATGATCATCACAGCGCCGTGGCGTTTGGCACATGAGTTTACCCTTTCGTGTTCGTCATCCATACATGCGCGATCCTAGAAGGTTGTTTTTCTTCTCTTTAGGCCTTTTCCTTTTTTTAAATACAGACCTCCCTTCTCCTGTTTCTTCTGCCCAAGTCATCTGCGCGGTTTGGCATGTGAAGGCATGGAAGTCACCCTCCCACTTATCCTTGCTTCATTTGACCTCTATCGGAATATACTATACAATAATCTGCGAGGCTTACTCCATTGACTGCTATCATGGGATTGATATTAAGCAAAATTGAGCGGGAAGAGGCAAAAGCTGACCGCAAAAAGCGCAAAGGTTGCCAACCTCCACCTCCTCAAGGATCACAACCACAACATCAACCACAACCTCAGTCAGTGGCACTGACACCACGCCCTTCACCCGGCTCTTGCCTTCTCGGTTCTTTAATTCGGTCATCTGCGGATGGTCAGTCTTCTCCTCCGCCGCGTCCGCTTCCTGCTGTTGTCCGCCCCGTTCCGCCTGCTGCAAGCCACTCTCGTCCGCGCACTTGCAAACGCCCTTCTGGTGTCCAACATTATCCTAGTGTTGCCAAATCGCCTTATCCGCGCTCTGCAACTGTCCTGCCTGTAGAAAGACCGATTAGTGCAGACCGACAAATTACCAAATCTCGATCACGGAAATCTAAGAGACACTCCGCAACCGTCAAAGCAGCCAATGGCGCCGTAGAAACCCACCAAGTATACGCGCTACCTCTCCAACCAATGGCTGACAGAACCAACGAGATTAAGAGCGCTTGTACAGCGGCGGTGCTCAACCTGTTCCCAGACATCTGCACAGATTATCTGGAAAAGATTGCGACCGATCTACAATACGATCACGGCCAGGTCATTGATGAAATCTTGAGCTGCATCGAGAACGGGAAGTCCTATCCAAAAAAGCCTCGTACTAAAGTTTTGAAGCGCAAGCGAGGGATTCCCGAAGAAGCTGATGAAACGTCTAAATTACGTCGTCGCTATGATTATGTCAACCGTCCTAAGGAGATGGGTCCGGTCTATATAAGCGTCTCGTAAGTAATCACCCACCATGAGCACGGGTTTTTGCCCGTTTTTCAAGAGAACTAATTTCGTTAAATCATGATGCTAAAACCAAGATAGGAAAAAGGTATTGGCACAAGATTTTCCTCGAGCGACTATGAAGAGTATCGTGAAACTTCTTGAGCAGAACGATAACCTGCTTATGAGAACATACCTCGCCCTCGATGAGATTAACCGCAACTGGCAAGAAGGCAATTTACGACCCGGGTTTGAGATGAAGAAAACCAGGACCGTTCCGAATCCGGAGCTCACGCCAGCACAGCTTGATCAAACCATCAATAACTCAACTTTTGAAGACAAAAAGAGAGCTCTAGAAGAGCTGAGAGCGGCGCGAAAAATTTGCGAGGCAGAAGCAGCGAAACGCAACTCAGCGAAAGACAAGCAGTGCGAAGAAAAGGAGAACCTCGAACGGGCCAAGGAAAACGGCACTGCTACTGAGTGTGGCTGTTGCTTTGGAGATTTTGCGATGAATCGTATGGTTCATTGCTCGAGGACAGACAATGTGCATGTAAGCTTTTACTCTTACCATTCCGTAGGAACATTTGCGCTGACCTGTCGCAGTACTTCTGCGTCGAATGTGCGCGACGCAATGCGGAGACTGCCATAGGACTCACGAAATATGAACTTACCTGCATGTCGACGGATGGTTGCAATGCCGGATTCTCTCATTCCCAGCGTTCTATATTCCTCGACGATAGACTCATTGCTGCCCTGGACCGCATAGAATGTGAAGCCGTCCTCCGAATTGCAGGCGTTCAAAACTTAGAGACTTGTCCGTTCTGCCCCTTTGCAGCCGAATACCCCCCTGTCGAGGAGAACAAGGAGTTCAGATGTGCCAATCCAGAATGTCAGGTGGTAAGCTGCCGGCTCTGCAGGGATGAAACACATATTCCGCGGACTTGTGAAGAGGCCGCACGGGAAAACGGTCTCTCAGCTCGGCGCGAAATCGAAGAAGCCATGTCAGCGGCTTTGATCCGAAAATGCAACAAATGTAGGTTTATAACATTTTATCCCCTTTCAAGACCACCGAATGTAGGTTTTCTGACAGAGCCAGGTGGTACGCCCTTCATCAAAGAAGAAGGATGCAACAAGATGACATGCACCAGAAGCGGTTGCCACAACGTGCAATGCTACGTTTGCTCCAAATCGTGCGATTATACCCATTTTGATGATTCCGCAAGAGGCGGGAAGAAAGGGAATTGCCCTCTATTCGAGGTTGCCAAGGAACGCCATGATAGAGAGGTACATGAGGCTGAGGAAAAGGCCCGCCAAAAGGTCATGGATGACAACCCCGACTTGGATGAAGAGCTTCTGAAGTTTGATACTCCCGAGGCGTTGCTCGAGAATGAGGCAGAAAAGAGAAAGAGGATGCCACAGCAGAACGCCCAGCATATGCCGATATATAACGACATACATTTTGCACAGCGGTACATGCAGCAAGCCCAGCTGTTTGCACGCGACAGGTTCCTACGCGGGAATCACAATGTAATTCCACCCAACATACCGCCACCTCCGCCGCAGCCACGTCCTGCAGTTCAGCTCGTGCATATTGTACACGGAGTTGATATCCAGGCGAATCAACAACTGGCCGGACAAGCCAAAGTATCACCTGTGTATGTTCAACAGGCACAACCCCCTCCGGCTGCATCGCCAGGACCTTCTTCACAACCGGCAAAGCAAGCAAACCATGCCCAAGGGAACCAGCCTGGACACCAGTGGCAACCACAGACATGGCAGCCCTTCCACCCGCTTAGAATAGTGAGACAACTTGGTGACGGCCAGCCACGCCCAAATACAGCCAACTTCGGATGGCAGCAGCCATATCCGGCCATAGGGGGCATTCAACAAGCGCAGTACCCGCCTGCCAATTTCAACATGCCTGTACCAATAGTGACTCGTCATAGTCCGATGGCAAGTCGTCTTCAAGGAGACGAACACTCGAGCCGCCCAGGCTCTGACGGAGTCCACAGCGGAGCCGCAGGAGACGTCAAAGTGGCAGAGAACTTATCCATCCGAGCTCAACCACAAGTACATCATACAATACATCTCGCAGCAGCATTCCGCGGCCCCCCACAGCCACCATTAGCGATTGCCCATTCCCTCTCCGGAAGGCCGTCGACGGTGAACTTGACCTTTGGCCAACCTAACTCTGGCCAGCCACAAGTACCGCGGCCGATGCCGTTTGCAGCCAACGCGACCGGGCAAAACCAGGAGCTGGCCAAACTTGGGAAAACCCCAGACAATCCCCTGGAACTGGATTAATACCTACTGTTCCGTTTTTCTCCTTCCTCACTCCAAAGGCATTTCTACCTTTCTCATGCCAGCAATTGTTGGTTGAATGATGTAGTCAATGTGTTTTCCTGTGTTGGGCGTGTTTTGTCTGAGCAGGCAACAGTGCTGTTTTTCTTGAGGGGGATGTTTTTGAGGGTAGATTTTCGCCAGGAAGCGATTAGCACATCAGCACGGCGTTGGCGATTTGGACTTGGAGTTGGTCTGTCACGGTCGCTTTCAAAGCGAGATGAGACTCTGTTGTTTACGGGGCGAGGTGGTGTTTTGATTTGATTATGGTAAATAGCGGTTTGTTGTACTTGATAAGCGCTGCTGTAATGACATGATAGCATAAAAGACGTGGAAAACAAGGCATGGTGACGTGGGGTGGTAAGTGATTTAATGCAAGTGGATGAGTGAATTGGGAGTTTCAAATTTAGCGTCCGCTTCCAAACTTTTCGTGCCATTTGCCTTTGCTACCTGTGTTCCTGAGGGTGGAATTCACGGGTCTCTCCGCCTGGGCAGTAAGTTCGATGGTCTCGTGGATGGTGGCGATGGCGCCGAGACCGGGCGTGGGGATGTCTGACGCGGAGGCGGCGGAGGAATGAGGGGCGATCAGGATGAGAGAGTTGGAGGTGTTCTTCTGTAGGAGCTTGTAGGTGAGGTCTGGCGTCTTTAGGAGGGCGGTATCCGGGGTGGAGGTGAGTGTGAGGCTGTTATATCCGTCAGTGAGCAGAGCTAGAGATTGATGGGGACGGTAGGGCAAGGAGATAAGATGGAGTGTCAAGAGAGGCATATGACACGGTGACGATGAGCCTCAGGACGTATGAAAAGCAGAGAGAGATAGATAGAGAGAGAGTGAGAAAGAGAGCTTGACTTACACCGGGGCATTTTCGGCAGTGAGCAGGGCCTCGAGCTCGGGGGGCAGTTCCATGAGCTTGTACCCACGGGTGTCAGGGGCATGGGTCAAGGGGATACCGGTGGCGTCTTGGCTAGACATTGTCTGTGGCTTGCTGTCGGTCCCCTCGTGGCTGTTTTAGACTTGGGGTTGACCGCTGTTATACACGTGGGTAAAATGGAGAGTCCAACTTTGAGTGAGAGGAACACACGTGTGCAAAGTGTGGATTTGGTGTTTCGTAGTATTCACGGTTGGGGGGAGGTAGTACGGAGTATTGGTTGTTTTTTTCTCTGCTTTGCCTAAGTGGTGTGGGAAGATTCGGTGTAGTCAAATCAGATGTGGTCGAATTAGGTGCGGGGAAACTCAGGTGAGAAAGACAGGGAATAGTAAAATGGCCAGACGGGGGTGGGCGAGATTGGGTCAGATTTGGATGCAAGAAGCGGCAAGCAGGCAGGCAGGTAGGAGAGGAGAGTGAGAGGTGAGGGGGGGGGGGGGGGGGGAGGGGATCGGTTCTGGGCCTGTGTGTTTCTGTCCCCCCCTCCCCAGTCCCGTTCCTTGGGCGAGATTCGAATTCGCTGATTAGAGGCGGGATCATCTCCGCTTTTATCTGGTCTGGCAGGTTACCTGTGCGGTGATTGGCTGTAGAGGCCCTGGAAACCCATCCGAGCTTTTTTTAGGCCCGAGTTTCCTTGTTTAAGGCTGCGGCTGTTGCTGGTCGAGGAGGAGACGAACAAGCGGGTCGTATACCTGCCCATGCTGCCTGCCATGGTAGGTTACCCGTATCTGTATCCGTAGGTACTTTCCATGTCGATGGTGTGTTTACACCATATATGACCCTACTTTCCTGTTGCTGTTGACTATTTTTTCGGGTATCGATTGATGTGGGGCCTTTGATAAAACCTGGTCTAGCTGGGTTCCTGTTCCTTCCTCACTTGCTGTTGCTACTGGTACCATACATAGTAGTCCATACGTTTGCTCCTGCTTACCTGGCTGGTTGGCTCCTGTTTCCTGTTTTCTGTTTCCCCCATGCTGTTTATTGTGTTGCTTTCTGCAGCGGCTGCATCCCCATCTGCACCTTCTCATCACCAACACCACTCAGAGAAGGAGTTGACGAAAATTCTCCCCTGGCTCGGCGGCATAGCACAGCAACCCCTAGTTAATAGTTTGATCCCTCTTGCTCCCGCTCTCGCACACACACACACAGTCATTACTTTATGTACATACATGTATTTTTTTTTTTCTCTTCAATTATTACCTGTGTGTTGTCTCTCTGTTTGGCATTAAAAAAGGGCCTAGACCACAGTCTCATGCTCGAGTGAGGCGTTTGTCGCTTAATCCCAACCGGACCACCCCCTTGCCAAACTGTTTGTCGTCATTCTTCTTCAAGTTCTCCATCAATTGAGGGACTCTTTACTCCCTCTCTGATAACCTTATCTTTTATCAATTGCACAGAGTGTCGGTGAAGGAACGAAGACGGAGGAAGAAGAGAGAGAGAGAGAGAGAGAGGTGCCTAAAGAGAGGAAGACGGCGACAGCGAAGAATTAAGAGCTGGAAGGGAAATAAAAAAAAATAAAATGAAAATAAACCCAAACAAGATGAGAAAAAAAAGAAAGTATTGTTTCTTGTTTCATGGCCCCTCGGTCAACAAAGAAGTCAACAACACAAACCTGACAGGGTTCGCTTGTCTTTGTGCTACCTTGCTCACTGGACCCTTCTCACTTTTACACTGCATCGGACAGTTGCAGCAGCTCAGTAAACAAACAACAACACGCCCCACGGACCAACCTCCTCAACCCGCCCACTACCTCTTGCTACGGCGACACGCACTATCGCTACACTATCGCACAGAGGCTCTCCTCCACCACTTCCTCCACTCGTCCACGGACATTGCGACTCGTCTTGACCCCGGCCGAGCTCAACGCCAGCCAACTCACACCGACACAACACGATAATTTCTGGCTTGCAGCTTTCGACTCTTCTTTCGTCCTCCCCCGCGCTAGGTAGACTGGCACTCGCCGCCCTTTCATCACACTCCTTTTTTTGTCTCTAGTTTTTATTTTTTTTGCCCCTCTCCCATCCCCCTCTTCCTCCTCTTACCGATTTGTTGCTCTTCCGTCCCGTTTGTCGCATTGCGATCGCTGTCGCTGCGACTCATCCCGGCCGCCCCTCGCCTCGACCGACCTTTGCGCCCAACACGATCGCCAACCATATACACAAGCACGCAGGCATTCACACTCGCTTACCGACCTTCGACCCTTCTCCCGTCTAGTTGGATTTGTAGGCCAGCCTGTCAGCAATGACCCAGGCCCATTGACGAGACCACGCGACCGACCGATCGACCGAACGACCGACCGCATCCCCAGCTCCCCAACAATGGTTCGTGTCACGGAAGAGCTGGCTCTGTCCGCCGAGCACCTCACCCTCTACCACGCCGCAGACCCCCTCCTCGGCCACTTGCCTGTTCTCCTGTTCCATGGCCATTCCACCACCGCGAATTACACCCTAAACAGCTCCCGTGTTCAGATCCACGTCTACAGCCCCGCCGGTTTCCAGTCATTCCCGCGCCTGACCATTCAGCCCAACTCGCCCTTCTATACAGTTGTCAATCACTTGCCGCGCGAATGGCAGGGCGACGAGGTTTACCGAGGCCTCGCCTTCGGCTTGTTCAAGTACTTTCAAGAGCTGCCCGAGGTCGTCAAGAATCATCTCAAGAACACGTACCCGACCACGAGGGGGCGCCGCCCGGGAAGTGGGCCCGCGCTGTTTGGGGAGCAGCACGCCGCCGACCTTGCCAAGAACATGATGAAGAGTGAAAATACCGCCGAGGTGTTGGAGACGCTACAGACCGCCCTTCAGACGCAGCATCTAAACAATATCGATGTCGACTTTGTGCTGCCACCCGGCTCCGTTGTGCCGCTGCAGCTCGACGACCTGGAGGAGGTTCTTGAGGATGAAGATGACATTCTGGACCCGACGCTGCGGCAATATGGGAGATATACGTCGTTGGTGAAACTGCTAGGAGAGCCCGTATTCCTGCCCACTTCGAGATTACGGAGGGCGCCGTCTAAGCCCACCTCGCTGAATCGCAGCAAGTCCTTCTCCAAGGACCAAAAGGTGGAGTTGAGAATGAAGCTTGGGGAACTGGTCGATACTGAAGAGAGATACGTTCTGAAGCTGAACGAGCTGGTAAAACACATCGCCGACGATTTTAGACAATCAGCGAGGCATCGGGACCCGAGCAGCTTAAGCCCATCCGAGGAGGAACTCGAGAAGCTCTTCCCAGTATCGGCCGATAGGATCCTGCAAATCAACTCTGCCTTCATGCAGGAACTGCGCAGGATCATGGACTCCACCGAAGACGAAGCTCTAAAAGACATGGAGACGACAACAGTTGCGCTGACAGGATCCAAGCTGGGATCCCCGTCCAAGGCAAAGGATCCCAGCGGCGCGCTGGCGATTGCAAGAATATTCCTCGAATGGTTCCCTAAGTTTACGGATTGCTATCAGGATTACATCAGGGCAAGCCAACATTTCCCAACACTGCTCAACTCGTTTCTCGATGAGCAGTCAAGCTTCAGGCAACGGGTCATTCAGAAGGGCGAGCAGACCGTTCGCTCTATCCTTATTGAGCCCGTACAGCGCCTCCCCCGATACAGCCTCCTCATCGACCAAATTGTCCAGTGTCTTCCAATGACACATCCTGCGCTGCAGCCGATGCTTAAAGCGCGCGACATCATCACAAATATTTGCTCCATGGACGAACCGATCCCCGAGAAGCCTCATGTCACTGGTCGTCTGCGGAAATTAGTCGAGAGTTGGCCCCTCGATCTTGAGCCTCAAGGAAGATTGGTTCTTGCGGCGGATTTCGTCGAGCTTCCTGCACCCTACGGCCTACTTGATCCTCCGGAAATGGCAGAGCGTGCCGGCATCTTCCTTCTATTCTCTGATTGTCTCGTTATTCTCAAGAAGCTTGGGCCTAAGCCGATGAACGGGCGGGAACTTTTGCGTGAGATTGATAAGCCCTCGGCAGCTGGGCTTCTCATGTCCATGACGAACGCCGCGGGTGGTAATGCCTCGTACGAACTCGCGTTCACAGGTTGGCACAACCTTGCAGACGTGCGATTCACTGAATCGGCGGACGGCACACTGGTTTGGATGACCTCGACGCAGGAAATGAAGGGGGCGCATGCAGGAGAATGGGTTACAGGAACGGCTGTCACATCCCGATGCTTCTTGCTTGAGGAGGCATTCGAGGCCAAGGGATCAAAATGGACGGAGGACATCGTCAAGGCCCGAGTCGAAGGTCGATTTTCAGAAAAAGAGCGTGAGGACCCAAGCTGGTCACTCCGTTCAATCAGAATGTCTGATAGCAACCTTGGGATTTTCGCTGCCGTTTTTCAAGAAGGCGCAGACCAGTTGATTGAAGGCAGAAGGGAGCCAGCACCGATCCGCATCGTCATCGACCACGAAAAGGGTACCAAAGGCGCACCGATCGGCCATTACGGTGTTGAGATCACAGTCAATGTCAGATGCGGCGACTTGAAAAAGGTGAACCTGCAGACAGTCGGATTGAGTGGAAGGCATTTTGCGGACGATGTGGCTTTGGACGACTTTTTGCCGACACTCACCAGACGAAGTAAGTTATAATTCTTGTCGAGTAAACTTGTCACTAACTCTGTTCAAAGTTATTCAACTGCTTAGTCTGCAATTCAACGCGTCAAATCTCAGGCTCGCGCCAGCGCTAGTTTCATATTACACCAAGATCTTGAAGAGCCTGCCCCTCATGACCAGGGCAGAGAAGACAAGATCATTCCTCGCTTCATCACCAGTCAAGGGACTCTTCTCCAGCATTTGGGGAGGCTCCACCAACACCGAGACACACAGCACACCCAAACACAGTCGCACACCCGTCACAAATGTCTTCCCGCCTCCGGTATCACGAGCAAACAGTGAGGCGGGCTCGATTTTTGGCTCCGCAAAGGGCAAAGATGGAATCAAGATGGCAGGTGACGACCGCCCTGAGAATCCGCTCGTGCGGCTGGAACAGACATTTACGGGATACGTTGCCAGCCTGCAGTCCCGCAAGGGCAGCATCATCGGACGAATGCTGCTGAATCGATCAGTGGCGGATGAGCTTTCAGTCAACGATCTTTATAACCGCCTGATCGAGAGCCCCTTCGACCTAGACGCTTCTATGGATTTGGGAGCCGACGTCATCTTCGTGGCTTTTGAGAAATTCATTCGCATTGCATGGTGTGAGCAAATGGGCCCGATCATGACTAAACAGGCACTCGATACATTGCTGGAGCGGATGAACCGACAAGTTCCGGGCAACTTTGCCGACTTTGTCAACTTCATGTTCAAGGACATGGCACCCCAGAACCAGAGGGCGTTCACCGCCCTTATCAAGCTCCTTGCCGATTTACTCGACGGCTGCGGTAACGATGGTGATAGGGGTATTCTGACAGTTTCGTTCGCGGAGCTCCTGGTCCACGACGGCACGGCGCAAAACTACATCAATCTCTTGGACCGCTTGGTAGAGGATTGTGATAGGATATTTGACGACGCCGGCTTCGGCATCCATCTCACCGTCCAGCAAGCGTTTGAGTCCATGAACTCCCGGAGCGGAAAGTCACATACAGGCTCCCTGACGTCGAACACTTCCTCGATCCGACGAAAGTTTGGCTTCGACACTCTGCTACGGCAAAACAGCAAAAACGACTCGGAGCGGCCTTCGGTCTGGCGCACACTCAGTAAACACGGGCGTCATCCTGCATCTGCGGATGCTGCTTCGAGTTCTAGTTTATCAAAAATGACGTCCTCACGCGCAAGGTCTATTGACTCGGGAACACAGCCCGGCCCCAATAAGCTCAGAAGGCCCGGCTCCCGAGACAGGCCTCCCTTGGCTGGCGCGTTCGATGAAGTTCCTAGGCCGACGAGTAGTTCGCAGAAGCTGGACATGCGCCTGGAGACGATTGGCGAGCCCGAAGTCGAAACGACGCCCGTCAAGTCGTCCAAGAAGAAGCGCCGTAGCTCACTCTCCGACCTGAGGAGTTTAATGGCTGCGGCGGTCATCGATGATCCCCAAGAGAAGATCGAGGAGGCATTGATGCCGCTGCGCATCAACAAGCAGACGTCGGAAAAATTCAACTCAACCCCGAGGATACCGTCGCCGTCTAGGATACCGATAAGCCCGACATCCCAGAGTCTTCGATCTCCTCGTATGGTCTCGCCGCGTCTAAAAGAAAATCCCGCGTCACCAGATCCACTCCACGCCCTCCACACTCCCCACACTCCTGGAGCTCCAGATCGTGAGAACACGCCAAGAGGCACGCCCAAGGGACACGGCAGAGGCCTGTCAACGTCCAATATCCCAACGCTTAGGCCGACACGCACTCTAGGCAGCTATTCCACCGACTCCATCCCGCGGCCGTCTACCAGCCCTGGCAAGCCTCCAGGCAGCGGCAAGCTCCGTCTCCAATCACCTCAAAAGCTTCGTGAGCGGCTGCAGACGGAGAAGAGGGCAGTCGAGGATGTCGATGCATCGCTTCAGTCGGAGCTCTCCAAGATTGCCGAGGAGATGTCACGGGTGAATTCAGGTCTCGACGGGCACAGCAACACGGTGGACCTGCGCAAGCTGACAGACTCGGTCAAGTCGCTCGAGGAGCGGATCCCGAACATGGTGGAAGAACTCACGGAGCGACAGAGGTCGATCCAGCGCGATATGGAAAGCACTCTCAAGGCTTCGGAGACCAAGGTCAAGAGCATTGACCAGCTCTACCGGGAAGCAACAGCGGAGAACGAACTCATGTATGAGAAATTCAATAGCGAGCTAGGCAAGATTGTCAAGGCGCTCAAGGGCAAGGGCCGCGAAGACAAAGAGGAGCTCCTAAGGAGCTTGCGCGAGCACAGCGAAGAGACGGCGAGAGTTAAGAAGGAGAATGCGCGGCTGAAGCGGGAGATTGTCAGCCTTCGGACGTTGATGAAGGGGGCCGACGCCTAATAGCCCCAGAGCTCAAAGGAAGTAAAATAAACGGTGCGGGACGGACGAGAAGCCGTCGAAAAACGGATAATCTGGTGGCGTTTCATTTTTTACTTCCTCTTCTCCCTCTCTCCCTTTCTTCTTATTTCATTATGTTGTTTCTTTTTTGGTGGGGAATTATGCGTTTGCGAGCGAGTCCAGGGTTTTTTTGAGGTGTATTAATACCTTTCTTTTTGTTTTTGAACTACTACCACTACTACTTACTACTACTACCACTACGACGACGACGGTCTGATTTGTTGGTTGTTTTCGCACGACCTGGCCTAAGACTTTTAGAGGTTAGGAGAAGAACGGGACTCTAGTCGGGGGCCTGGGCAAGGCAAGTGGGCAGCAAAAGCAGGCGGGCCCGACGATAGAGCGGATTTGGATTGTGTTGGAGGTGGAATTGGGAGGGACGGCAAGTGGGAATGGATTAGATGACGGCGGGGGTGGTCTAGTATGGGTTGAACTGCTAGTGGATAGCATGTTGGGATGTGTATATGGTGGATGAATTGAGATTATGAGCTGTGACCTGTCGATTTGGGTGATTGTGTATGATGCTTTGTGATGCAGCATGTTTTTTATAATACGGTGTAGTAGCACGTCTGACTGTTTTTGATTGTGATGAACGTTAAATTGTCTCTTCACCGTCTCTACTAGTTTTGTGTCTTTGTTTTGATTGATTATTAAACTTTACATTGGTGGGCGGGAGGCGGAAGAAACACATGTCATTCTTACTGTTACCGTAAGCCAAAAGTTCCTATACGTAGTAAATTACAGCGAGGGGACCAAAGAAAAAAAAAAAAAAGGGTAATTAGGTGTGAGCTTCTCATTCATTCACCGCCCGGGCCCAGTGAACGACCCCGCGCTACCCTTTTGAAGAAATGGGAAGGGATTGCCCCTACCGCGATGTGGCTCGTGTGTACTAGCACAGTACTGTCCTTTGGGTACCTGGCTCATGCCCTCCACTCCACTCCGTTGGGTATTGGAGCAGGATCTTAGGTAAGGTTAGTGCGTTGGTGCGGTGTGGTGCTGGTGCTGGTACTGGTACTGGTACTGGTATTGGTGCTGCTGTAAGTGGGTGGGTATATGGTCTAACACCACCTGAAATTTGCCGACTTTGACCCCTCCTTCCCCCCCTCCTCCTCGGTGCTGCATCCGCCGCAAAGTGCGCTGGCTTGCGGCCGTCGCTAAGTGGCCGGGTTCTGTAAACAAAGTGGAAACGAACGGTCTGGCTGGCCTGTGAGAGAGTGGGCTGTGGCACCGTCCAGGGCTCCACTTGCGCGTCTAAACGGGTAGACACCCCGCCAAAAAAGAGACCGACAGACAGAGAGAGAACGAGAAACATCATCAGAGAGCCACCACCACGCACACACAACACAAAACGCACACACGCACTGTTTATCCCACGGGAAAAGTAGCCCACCCCTACCTACTTACTTCCTTCCTTCCCACCGCCTTTAACGCCTGGTTGAGTCAGCTACGGCCTTTTTTCGGTTCACTCCCCCCGGCCCGACCTACCCATCTTTACATCAACAGAAATCCCACTCTCATATCACACACATTGCTATTTTCCCTCTCGGCGGCACACCCAAGTGGCGCATACGGGACCCTTAGAAAGCGGGACGGATTCGCATTGAAAGCAACCCTTTCCGCCCCCCACCGCGACCGACAAACCACGAGACACCTCAACAGAGACCAAACATTATATACGGGAAGAGAACGAGCGAGACCGAGACCGAGAGAGAGCGAGCGAGCGAGCGAGCGAGAGAGAGAGAGATTGTGTGTGTGCGGTGTGTGTGTGTTTTCCCACAATCTCGCCCAACATGGAGGACCAGCTGGTTACTTTGCTGGCCAACACCCAGAGCTCCGAACAGGGGCCCCGCCAGCAGGCCGAAATCGACCTCAAGCACGCACGCACGAACCCGGCTTTTCCTACCTCGCTGGCCAATATTGCCAATCACACCTCCATTGAGACCGGCATCCGTCAGGCCGCCCTCAGCACCCTCCGTCTCTTCATCGAGAAGAACTGGAGCCCTGAGGACAGAGACCTGTCAGAGACCCCCATCGACATCTCCGATGCCTCGCGGGAACAGCTACGCAACACCCTGTTGGAGATTGCCCTGAGCAACGAGGATAAGAGACTTGTGAAGATTGCGGCAAGGTACGGTGGTTGCGCTATCTACGAGAAGACACAATCCCTCCATGCGCGCCCGCCCCGCGCCGTGAAGGGAGAACACTACAAGCACCGGTTCATCCTGACTGACATGTACCAACATCTAGCTATGCGATTGGCAAGATAGCTTCAGCCGACTTCCCTGAGCGATGGCCCCAACTGCTGCCCACCGTCCTGGGCGTCATCCCCACGAGCACCGACGTCCAGCTCCACGGCGCCCTCCGCGTCCTCGGCGACATCATTGACGAGAGTCTCAGCGAGGACCAGTTCTTCACCATGGCCCGCGATATCGTCAAGGCCGTCACCGAGGTCGCCCTGAACGAGGGCCGGAAGCCCAACCTGCGCGCCCTCGCCATCTCCGTCTTCCGCTCGTGCTTCGACCTGATGGACATTGTCAAGGAGGATCACATGAAGGAAGTCAAGGCCTTCGCCGAGGAGGCCCTCAAGGACTGGTACCCCTTCTTCGCCCAGGTCCTCAAGACCCGTCTGCCCGAAGCCCCCGCCGAGCTCGCCACCGGCCAGCCCGAGAGCTGGAACCACCTCATCGCCATGAAGCTCCAGGTCGTCAAGACTCTGCTCAAGGTTAAGTCCGTCTTCCCCCACCTGCTGCTACCGCACAGCACAAGCCTCTTCACCGCCGTCTGGGAGGAGCTCTCTCTGCTGCAGCAGCCTCACGAGGACCTCTACATCGGCCACGAGGCCCAGGGCCGTCTCGAGGACGCCGACAACCTGCCCTACACCCTGGATTTCTTGATCCTCGAGGAGCTCGACTTTTTGAACCAGTGCTTCCGCGCACCCCCCGTCCAGGCCGAGCTCGAGGCTCAGCTTGCTGCCCACGCCTCAGCGCAGGAGACACCTTGGATGGTCGAGGTTATGAAGATGGTGGTCGGATACTCCCGCATCAGCCGCGAGGAGGAGGAGCTGTGGGATATTGACTGCTCCCTGTACCTTGCCGAAGAGACCTCCGTGACTGCTAACTACACCGCCCGTACCGCCTCCGGCGATTTGCTGATCAAGCTTGGCGAGTGGTATAGCGAGAAGGCCGTCGAGGGTCTTTTTGGCTACACCAAAACGCTGTTCCCCGGCGACGGATCCACGTGGAGAAGTCAGGAGGCTTCCCTTTACCTGTTCAACATGCTCCTGAGCGACTTCCAGGACATGGAGAAGCCCATCCCCGATACCGTTTCCGAGGCCTACCTGGGTCTTGTCGACTTCGCCGTCAACCAGTCTGAACAGCCCCTACTGAGAGCCCGCGGATACCTTGTTGGAGGCACCCTTGCACGCGGCTTTGCGACGCCCCCTGCTCTTCTTGACCGCATCATCCAGTGCATCACTTCCGAGGAGTCTGAGGTGGTCCAGGTTGCCTGCATCAAGGCCGTCGAGGGCTTCGTCCGCTCTGGCAGAGTGGCTGCCGACCGCCAGGTCCCCATCATCAACGCTATTGCCCAGTACATGCAGAACAAGGATCCCGAGGAGATGGAGGATGCCGATGAGCTGCTCGTCACCCTCGCCGAGTCCCTCCGCGCTGCCATTGACATTGACACCAGAATCGCTCTGTCTCAGGACGTTCCGTCTGTCGATCTGCTCTTCATGGTCGCCAAGCTTGGCGCCTCCAACTTCCAGGCCACCATGCTTATTTGCGAGGCCTTTGAGGAGATTGTCCGTACTCTCTCTGACACGGCCTCCTACACCGCGCTGTGTGCCAAGATTCTGCCCACCTTGACCGCGGCCTTCAACACTGCCAACGTTACCCAGGACGACCCTCTCATCACGGTTGCCACCGAGTTGCTTACCGCACTGGTTGAGCACGGCTCCGAGCCCCTTCCCGCCGGCTTCGTCGCCGCCACCCTCCCCAAGCTCAACCGTCTCCTCATGGAGTCGAACGAGGGAGAGGTCCTGCGCCCTGGTGCCGAGTCTGTCAAGTACCTGCTGATGCACGACCACCACCAGGTCTTTGGCTGGCACGACGAGAACGGCCGCTCTGGTCTGGAGGTCTGCCTTCACATCATCGACCGCCTGCTGGGACCTTCCATTGAAGACAACTCAGCTTCTGAGGTCGGTGGCCTCGCCGCAGAGCTCGTCGAGAAGGCGGGCCAGGAGCGTCTGGGCCCCTTCCTTCCTCAGCTCCTGCAGGCCGTTGCCACCAGACTGGCTTCTGCCGAAGCTGCTCCTTTTATCCAGTCTTTGATTCTCGTTTTTGCGCGTTTGTCTCTTGTAGGCGCCCACGACGTCGTCGAGTTCCTCAGCCAGATCCAGATCCACGGCAACACGGGTCTCCAGGTCGTGCTGAGCAAGTGGCTCGAGAACTCTGTCAACTTTGCCGGATACGATGAGATTCGCCAGAAGTAAGTGTGCTGTGGTTGTTGTTATTCGAACGTCCAATGCTAATTGTTGAAGCGTTATCGCCCTGTCCAAGCTCTACTCCCTCAATGACCCTCGTCTCGCCCAGACCATGGTCAAGGGTGACCTTATCATGAACAACAACAGCGACGGCAGAATCATGACGCGCTCACGTGCCAAAGCTAGTAAGTGCTTTATGACTCGTGTTATTGATGCGTCATGCTAACCCAATTGAAGACCCCGACCAATACACCGTCATCCCTGCCTCCCTCAAGATCCTCAAGGTTCTTATCGAGGAGCTCCTCTCCGCGTCAGGCGCCAACGCTGCTGCTAACGCCGCGGCAGTTGCGGCCGCTGCGGAGTATGCCGACGAGGAGAACGACGACGACGGCTGGGAGGACGACCCAGACACGCTGGACCTCAGCCTGGGAGGCACCAAGGCCGACCTCATGTCATTCATTGAGGGTTCCGGAGCGCGCCAGCGGGACGACGAGACGCAGGCGTACCTTACCGAGTTCTTCATGCGGGCGGCGCGCGAGAACGTGGCCAACTTCCAGGAGTGGTACGGCATGCTGACCGAGGAGGAGCGTGGGAAGCTGAACGAGCTGGCCAACGCTGCGGGTCAGTAGGAAGACGCTGCGGCGGAGCCGAGTGGTGAGGAGCGTTCGACCGAGTCGACGAATCCGACTCAGCCGCAGTTGCCAGTAAATTCCGCGAGGATGCGGAACCTGCGCAAGCAGCATTACTTTTAAACGCGTCCACCTCGAGGTGTTGTGTGTGTGTGTACGGTCCCTTTCTCGACACTCTATTTGTCTGGGAGTGGATGAATGCCTTTCTTTTTTCCCCAATAATAAAAGAGGCTAGGAAGTAAAGGTATATATATATACATAGGAGGACGCGACCCCCTCGCTTGAGGGGGGGGGATTGACAAAAGGTGTGACGGAAACGGGACAAATGACCTTTGAGAAAAAACAACAACAACACTGTAGATAGAAAACTTCCTTTTTAGAAGAAAGAACAACAACTGGTGGCCGTGGCCTTCTCTCGTAGCTTTACCTCTGCGAGGGGGGTTGCACTGGTCACGGTTTTGGCGGGGGCGGGGAGGCGTGCGAACGAAGGATGGCTCGATTGGTTCTGATGGGGCGTCTATAATGCTAGATATATTTGCGAATGAGAAGATGTTCAGATTTCAGATGGTGTGCTTGAGGTTGTGTCCTGGTTTCTCAAGTAGGACTGGCTGGGGTTTTGACTCTGATGCATTGAAGTAATGGTGTGTTTCCGTATCTCAATCATGTCAGTGTACTGTATCAGATTAAATATTGGCACATTTTACTAACTCCACGGCTACCACATGTATTCAAAATGGGAAACACGCTTATACGTATCATATTCGTCTCGTTATATGCTATTATTGTTTTCATATTCGATTATAGCATTCGATAGGGGGCATGAGACGGGGCACTTGACATGCAACATTCTAGGACCCCCCCCCCCCCCCCCCCCCCCCCGAATACCACCTTGATGACCGCAGATAATAATCACCCGACCACGACTATAAGTCGATACAACCCTGCGCAACAGCGCCATGCGGGAAAAAGAGAACCAGAGCATACGACATGAAACGCCTGTGTCTCTTTTATTGCGAACTTTTGGATTCGGATTAGAAGTCGGGCTGGTAGACCCTGTGTAACAACAACGCATTTACCTATCACAGAACGCCGATGGTTCTCGGAGTCAAGTCCGAACCGGCGGTGGATCTCGACAGCCGCCCATGTTCGGGTATCACGATACAACATTACATTACAGATTCTTTCACGTAACATGGTAACAAAGGCACACGGATGGTGAAGTAAAGAAGAGAGAAAAAGGTACAATGTAAAAGATGCGTAGTTTGATGTACGCCCGCAACCCAATCGACGCATGCCCTACGGCCCCCCCCCCCCCCTTCCTCCCCACCCACCAAGAGACCCCACGCACACACACGCATCATATTGCAATCACGCGAGATATCATTCAACAAATGAGAACAGGCAAGATGGCCGAGCGGTCTAAGGCGCTAGCTTCAGGTGCTAGTCAAGTAATTGGCGTGGGTTCGAATCCCACTCTTGTCACAAATCATCAGATGCAAGTCTGAGTTTCTCTTTTTGGTGTTTTTATCTGAGTGGTAGTTGTTGTTTTGTTGACGGTTGGGGTTTTGGTTTTTGTTTATTTTAAATTTGTTTTAGTGCGGGGGTTAGAATTGTGTGGCGCAGTTGTGCGGCTGTGCTAGCTTTCTTCCTTGTTTGTTACATTGGGAGATGGACGTGTTTTGATGCTTAAATAGTAGCTGCGAGTTGCGAGACACTGGACTTTCAACAATGCGACTCGATAACATGGTCATTCAACTCACGATGCGAATAGGGAAATTAAAGGTTGACCTGTCAGTATAAATTTGCAGAGTATCTCGCGAGGACTGAAAGTTCAGACGTTCATCACGGGCCATTTACATACACCCAACATAGGTACATCCAGACATAAAGTATGAGCATGAACACATCAAAATCCATCCGAATCGCACGCTTTCCGATCGTATCGTATCCAAAAAAAGAAAAAACTGCAGACGCACACAAAATGTACTGAAGATAGAAAGGTAGGCCGGTTCACATTTTTCACACATGCACACACACACGATATCTTGGCATCAAGCCCAGGGGAGAGGATAATCGGGGTCAATAGAGCCCAAACTTTGCGGGGATTGGGTGTGGTAGGGCCAAGCCCGCGGGGGGGTTGGTCTCGGCTACACACGTTGTCGCTGCCCAACGGGACCACCTCAAGGGGTCTCGGGCTTCTGCTGCTGCAGCGCCTCGACGAGAGCGGTGAGCCTGTCGATCTTGTCGTTGAGTTCGGAGATGCGCACTTCGACGGTGGAAGGGGCGTCAATGTCATCCACCTCGGCAGCGCGGGTCTGGGGCCTGCTGGAGTGGGTCTCGTCGTGGCGGTATGGGGACCGCGCGGGACGGTAGCCTGAGGAAGGACGGTTGACGTGCAGCGTGTTTTTGGACCGCCGCTTGGTGACGCCCGTCCCGGCACGCGGTCCCTTGAAGCCGGCGTACTCGTCCGGCAGCACGCGGCGGCGGACCGTCTCGTACAGCTGGATGATGCCGACGATGGGCAGGTGCGTGGCCTTGAGGAGGATGATGCGGCCCTGGCGGAACTTGTCATCCGAGGGGAGGAACAGGCGCAGGGGCCGGAAGATGACGAGGGCGACGAGGTTGAAGGGCGGGTAGAAGTGCGTGAGCCGGTTACTAGTCGAGGCCTCGAGCACGTAGACGCTGTAGACGTAGAGGTACTCCTCGCGGGCGTGGGTGATGACGCGGGAGAAGCTGTTGGACAGCATACCGGTCAGGGAGCCCATCAGCAAAAAGGAACTGAGGATGATGAAGAGGATCATGAGCGTCGGGCCGAAGACGGGGTTGATGTCGTCCATGATCTCGATACCCACGTAGGAAGAGCCGAAGAAGATCTTTGTCAGGATCATCGTCATGTGGGAAAACGTGTAGGTGTCCTGGCCGATGAGGGAGAAGGTCGTGAGGAAGCCGAGGTAGATGATGACGACGAGGACCATGAACTTGATGAAGTCCTTGCTCATCTCTTTCAGGCACGGGATGAGGGTGCCCCAGTACGGCGACAAGCTGAGGAGGGAGAAGACTCGCGGGACCATGAAGAGGGCCTCCAGGGCGAAGACGTCAAACGCAAGGTCAGTGATTGCTCGGTCGTTGTTCGCAATACCAATGACCCCTGTGCCATGTTAGTTTCTGTGCTTTCTCCGGGAAAGAGACCAACTTACTCAATACGGCAAAAGTGATACCGATGCCTATCATGATCATGTCGAACAGATTCCAAATGTCGGTGGCATAGAAGATGGTACCAGCGTCTGCCCACTCGCTCAGCTCATCGTAGAGGAAAGCAGCAAGCCAGATGTACAGGACGATTTCGTTGTGGGTGATGCGCTCGGTGTTTTGTTGGACGAGAACAGAGTAGTACAGGCACAGGAAGAGGAGGAAGAAGAAGGCTTCCCAGGCCTTGAGGTACTTGGGAACCCTCAGACGGGAGAAGATGTCCGCGGTGTGGACGTTGTAGAAACGGGGCTTCTTCTCGGCGTGGACCGAGAGGCTATCCCAGAAGATGATGTCGCCGTTCCAGATTCCGGTGACTATTTTTTGCACGACATGCTGGCTGAGGAAGCGCTTGGCATCGGCGACGGCAGCGATCTCCAGGGCGTTCAGGTTGATGAATGGGGACGTCGGGTCGTCATCGTCATCATCCTCATCAGCGTGCATGCTCATGGTGAGCCTGGAAAGGGACGACAAGAGCTGATAGCGCTTGGCACTGCTTCCGGGACGGGCCGCCGTACGCCTGTTGTTGCTGTGGCTGGAGAGGCTGCCACCAGACAGCAGAGGTGAGTTCTCATTGCTTTCCAAATCATTGTTGGGCGGCGGTGTCTCCGGGTCCTTGGTGTCAGGAATCTCGTAGAGACAGTAGTCGACCGCCTCACGTTCCGACAACCGGGTGAGGAAGCGCCAGGCGACGATCTCGCAAGCATTGGCGCGGGCCTCGCAGAGACCCTTGTTGGATTCAGCCTCATCGACGGCATAATGCCATTTGAGAGCGCTAAGGGGGGAAACTTAGCACATGTAACAATGGAACGCGACAACCGAAGCGAATAACTCACAGCAGGGCGTTTACAATGGCAGGATTGGTGCAAGTGGCATTGAGATGATCAACCAAGATCCTCAAGCACTCACCAGCCGCGGTGGTTCTCAGCTGCTCAAAGGTGCTCGGCAGAACAATGACATCGGTGATGTATCTACACGGAGGCTGTCAGTGAGCGTCTGTCAGGTCCGCAGCCGGCGCCAATCTTACACCGATATCTTCTTGACCACGTCCCGGAAGCTGTCATCCGTCTCAATGTCGGGCAGCTCAAACGTGTCGACGCGCATGGACACGGGACTCAGGTCCCGCTCCTGCGGTAGGTTCTTCTTCTTGACGCGAATGGGCATGTTTTGCTTTATTTTCCGTCTCAAGACCAGATTGGTCAATCGAGCAAGCACAACAGACCGAAATGCAGGTGGTTTCCTGCGGTCAGCAGCCGGACGCGGGGCGAAAAAAGGGTGGTGGTTGTGGTGGTGGTGGTAAGCAATCGTTGACACGCCGTGTAACACTCGCGTCCAGACGACAGCAACTAACGGTAGTGAGCTGGGCGGGAAACGAGAGGAAGAAGGATGCCGAGCCTGAGGACCCTGAAGACGAAGATGGCGGCGGTGGCTGCTACTTCCTGCTGTTGTTGCCGCAACGAACAGGGGTTAAAGTGGATACACCATAGTGGAAACGACACACCAAGGCGGGGCGCGCGGGGGTGGAAGAGCTGCTTATCATTGGTCGGAGTACTGATCTGCTCCCATTATAGTTTAGCGTCTTACCGGTGGGCCGTTATAGCTCTCACTACGTAGTACTAAGAATAAAAAAAAAAAACCAAGCTTCATTAGTGAGATTGAAATCTCACCGATTTGTTCATTGTCGAGTTGAAGTAAAAGCAATAATGCACAATAGCCACATGGATTTCTCGTGTCAAAAATGAGCTCGTGTATTGGGGCGTCTGAAAACTCTGACCATGGCTCAATAACGACCAAGCACCCCGCCAAGCAGCTCTCATGCTTACTACATACTTACGATGAAGCTCGTTACGACACTGAATCCCAGCTTTATCTTACGTTTTTCAGTGCCATTCTCAACGGAGTCAACCTTTTCAGGCCAAACCTGGTCTTCAGCTGCCCAGTCGCAGCTCGTATACATATCCAAATAGGAAATCTGCTTGCTCAGGTACCCACTGTCGAGAATATGCCCAGGCTTCTGAATATTCGTAATCGAGACCAGCATGCCAGCTTGCATAATGACCTCATGGCAACGTATACCAGCCATTCGCCTACGCCAAGGACGGGACGCGTAGTTAAAAAATCTTAAAAACCTTCTCTCGTTGAAAAGCTCCAGGAACCAAGCGCTAAATCCGGCAATATGGAAAGGGACTTTGGTAATCGGACACATCCAATAGGGTCCTCGTAGGCGTCGTGTAGCTGCTGGGTCTGGTAGGATTCGGGGGCTTCGCTTGGTGACGCGGCGCTCTCTGGCTTTCCTATACCACCAGAGAAGCCACGAAAGTCGCCGAGCTGAGCCTCGATTCGTGTTCGCGATGGTTACCAGTGTGCTGGGAAATGCTGAGAAATCCAAAATGGATATAAGGTGAAGCGACTTCAGATGGATTTCAGACCGGACGACACGAGACGACAAGATCGTCACATCAATTCAAGCAACCATGGCGACGCCTACAGTCACTTCTATTCCAAGCGCTACTTCGTCCCAAGCAGCCCCATCTTGCACGACAGCAGTCCCTGGCAAGTATGGAAAAGTGCCACTGGGCTCGTGCAACTCCTACTATTCATTTGACCCCAGTTTCGAAGGCAATCTCGCCTTTGCTGTGCTTTTTGGGGTTTCTCTGATTGTACATCTTGTCCAAGCCATCACTTTCAAAAAGGTTTGAAAGACAGCCAACTACCTCTCGTCGTGGCTCCGCTAACACACGGCAGAGGTTTTGTTGGGTCATCATCGTCGGCGCGGCATGGGAGGCGGCCGGCTTTATCCTCCGGACGTTGGGGACGCGTGACCAGCAGCAGATGGGCTACTCAATCGCCGGCCAGCTTCTATTCCTTCTCGCACCGCTATGTAAGATTTTTTTCTCCGCGGAAACCCTTTTCTTATCAGCACGAAAACTTACACACAAAACACCAGGGATCAATGCATTCGCATACATGCTCGCAGCCAGGCTCGTGTACTACGTCCTGCCCGACCAAAAAGTCTTCCGCATCAAGGCCAGAGTGCTCACAAAGATCTTCGTGGCGATTGACATTGTCTGTTTTCTCGTGCAGGCCGCTGGCGGCCTCATGATGTCCAACACGGAGGTGGCGGCGGACGACCCCATCGTGCGCAATGGGCAGCGAGTCTACATGATCGGCTGCGGGCTGCAGCTGGGCTTCGTTGTGATATTCTGCATACTCATGGGGCGTTTCTACTTCAAGATGATTCGCGCACAGAGGTTCGACCTCAACATGAAACGGGTAAAGGCCCTGGTGTGGGTGATGTACGCGGTCTTACTCCTCATCGTTGTGAGTTTTTTTTTTTTTCTTTCTCTTTTTTCCCGACCTGCCGTTCTACCCATCTGTCCAATCTGGTCTTGTCTTGGCCCCTCCCTTAAAGCATGCGGGGCGAATGTTTGACATGACGGGATGAACGATCCGAGCTGACAGCCGCGGAGACCAGGATCATCTTTCGGTTGGTCGAGTTCGGACCTGGTGCAAGTTATGACAACCCTATTTTGACCAACGAGAACTACGCGTTTGGACTTGACGCACTGCCCATGGTGCTCGCGCTCGTGCTTCTCAATGCCGTACACCCTGGTATTGTACTCAGGGGCGACAACAGCGACTTTCCCAGGTTGTCGAGAAAGGAGAAGAAGCAGCTGAAACGGGAGAAGAAAGAAGCCAAGAAAGCCGCGAAGGAAGAGAAGAAGCAGAGAAAGGCCGGCAAAACGATTCAAGGCAGCGAGGTCTTCATCCTAGAGGAGAGATCGATGGTAGAAAGTCCTTACGACACGGACGAACGCACTGGTGCGCGGAGAGAACGTGTCTAGTAAGGTGGTGACGTTTATTGGGGGGCGGGTTGTAAACTGAGCGATGATGATGCCGTGTGATTGCATAGCTAGAGTGTTTGAACCGTTGGGTGACGGAGATGTGACACCGTCCGGGAGTCTTACACCTGCATTAATGTCTACGAATCTTGTTTAGGTTCGAGCTGGAAGTGAGTTTAGGCGTTGGTTTTGTGGGGGATGCGATATACTAAGTCGGCCTAGATGTGACACTTCTTGGCAGCAAATGATAGAATAGATAATTCCATCGCAGATTTAGGAAGAGAAATAATGATTTAATTTTTGTTTCCCTCTTCGTCTTACCTACTTTAAAGGTCTTGAATCGTACCGTCCACATTGATGGACCGGATGTTGGCTGCCTATTCTGCCAGTGACAGCACCGCCACGGGGGGATCCACTCGGACCCGGAACCTAGCGCGGGTTTAAAAAAAGACACCCCGATAGACGCTAACGGATGACCGCCGGACCCGGACACTGTGTCTTCCCCACTAATTTCTACATAGTAGCCGCTGCAGGTACAGTGTTTAGAACCAAGTCCGAAGGATTCAGAGCCCGGGCTAGTGGAGTGGCAGAGTAAACACAAGCGAGAAGGAACGCCATGACAGCCCCTACCGCTGCCGTGCAAACCGTCTTCCTTCAAACTCCACCCCCGTTGGGTCTCAGCTCCTTCAAATGTCCCTCCACCATTCTCCTCGTGTCCCCCCTTGTTCAGTTTAGGCCCGAACCATAACTGACCAAACTGGCATGTTGGGCCCCTCTGAAAGGCTGAGAAACCCGGACAAGGGCCCTGAAATAAGGGCGAAGGGGTAAGGAAGCTCGAGAGTGTTGGACGATGGTTCCAGCAGGTAAGTAAAATGTGGTTTGGAGATATCGCTGCCGTGAGCCTGTATCAGACCATGCAAAGTACACCACTAAGAACGGGAGCCATGCAGAGAATGCTACAGCGCATTAACAAGGAGTGCCATCTCCTTATTAGGAACTCACTAGCCTTTTTATCTGCCGAACCAACGGAATCCCCATCATTTTGCCGTCAGCCTCATGATCAGCTCAGTCGGAGCAAGCATCAGCTCTGCTAGACAGTCAGCTCAGCAGGAGCAAAGAAGAAGAGCTTTTATCAACTCCCCTGACATAAATCTCTTGTCTTCCTAATATTTTCTGTGTCTGTTCTCGTTGCCGGCACCTGGCCGACTTATTCATCTCCCGTTTCCTAATTTTCGGGTTCTCAGATCTGCACGGACTGGGCCCGGCCGCCGCTTTCTCCCATGGCTACGGCAGAATGTTTCCAACGATCACGAAGATCTCCCCAATCCTGTCCCACGCCCCAAGCGGCACGCGCAGCCCTGCAGTCGTGATACGATGGTAAGGCGTGGTCATTCTGCCTGGCTGCATCTCCTTGGCCCTTTCAACCCATGGCGAAAAAGCGTATGTCTATGGTAGAAGGATCCTTGAAACTACAGCTCTTCCCAATCAGCATCAGCCTCCTTCGCGTCGACCCCCTCCCCGGAACACCCCCCCTCTCAGGGTCCCTGCTCCGATCTAATTACACCTCGTCCTCCGATCCCTCCAAAGGATTTCTATTCTCTCTTTCGTCCTTTTTTTCTTCTTCTGCCTATTCTTCCCCGGTCCGTGTTTGTTCTTCTCAACGTCCCATCGCTTTTTCTAGTCTCTTTTGTCTTTTCTTTTGCATCCTGTATTGTTCTTAATTATACGGATTTCAACGCGCGAGCGTCGTCATAGTCGTCATATCGGATTTACCACATCACGTATGTTTATTTGACAACGGTATCGTTCGTCCAGAGTACAGAGTTATCAGGGAGGATTCGATACCGGGTGAAAATCACCCCTACACAGTCGCAATGGTGTCCCGCGATTTCTTTCTTCGGCTACCGCCCACCGCCGCTTTTCTTCTGCTCTCCAGCATATTCACCCTCACACAAGCGAGCGCTCTCTTGCCCCGGCAAACAAACGTTGTCGCATATCGAACATTAGACGTCTTGAATTGGCCGCTTGCGACGCCGATGCCATGGCTTGGCGCTCTTGACAGACGACAGGACTCCAGCACTAACACCGTCTGCGGTTACATCAACGGCGACCCCAACCTACCGGCAACATGCTCTGCCGGATCTCATTGCGCCATGGATGCCAGTGCATCGGCCATCGGCTGCTGTCCGAACGGTGTCGCTTGCACAACGGGTGTCTATACCGGCTGTGTAGACTCGAACAGCGCCACCCAAACTGTCACCGATCCCTACATTTTCACCTGCCAGGGCTCCAACGTTTGCTTCAAAAATACGTATGAGGGAGGAGCCTACCAATATGGCTGCGGCTCAACGACCCAGGGCAGCACTGTTGTCCCCACTGCCACTGGACTCAGCACGACAGTGTCTATTACACAGGTATCGGGTCTCGTCACAAAGGCGGAGACGTCATCAAGCTCCAGTTCGACCAGTTCTTCTTCGTCGAGCTCGGCTTCCTCTAGCTCCAGCTCCTCATCTTCTACCAGCTCTTCGACGTCTTCTAGCTCGGTCACATCTTCGACACCCACATCATCGGCTGCTCCCACCTCGTCGCAGCCTCCAGCAAGCAGTGCCCCTCCTCCCCCGCCATCACAAGAAGCACAGGACGCAGCTTTGCGACGGAACGGCGGCATTATCGGTGGGGTGGTTACCGGTGCGGCAATCTTTGTTGCCCTCATCTCGGCAGGTCTTTGGATGCGGAAGCGCAAGCGCGGCAACAACAAGCGCACTGGTCCAGGCCTCGGCAAGGGTCCTTCTTATGTCAAGTATGATCCCGCCCCAGCCCATCTTCTACAGCCGTTGCATATCACTCTGAAAACCAAATACTAATTAGTAAACAGGCCTGTCAGTAACCAGAGGGAATTCACTCCTGTCCCCGGCCAGGAAATGTTTGAACAGGCAGGCTACGGACACCCGTCGATGATGCCCGGCGCACATGGCACCACCACATCTATTACGGGTGGAAGAGCCGCCACCGTCCCTGCTACGCCCGCCGAATCAGCCTACGGAGGTTACGTGCCAGGGGGTGCCATCCCGTCAGGGTCAGCTCGCCGGTCTATTGAAGACGAAGTCCCGCTGACGCACCGGAACGAGATGGAGGACTTCTCACGGGGCTACAACGACGCCATTAACCGCAACGACGGGGATGAGACACGCGTAGGGAGCGTGGCTGGACGCAGTACAGCAACTACGAACGATGGCGGTGCCGGTGCAGGTGCAAGTTCAAGTGCGGGTGCGGGTGCGAACCCTGCAGATGGAGCTGATATCGCGGAGGAGAGACCGTTGTGGCAGCAGAATCGGAGACAGAGCCGGAACTTGATGTGGATGTAAGGGCGGCTGGGTATGGAACAAGGATGACAAGGTTGGGGCGTACGGTGGTCGGTCTGGACTGGAAAGGGCCTGGTATGGCGGTGTTTTGGAGTTGGCATTACATGTATAGGCCACGACCATGAATGACTTGGTCGACTCGAAGCCGGAATGCTTCTAATCACACATATAACCCGCCCATTGAAAACAAAATCCATGTTTGATTTTTTCTCCAAGATTCATGTCCTTCAGGTCATCATGCAAACATTTTTTGGCGTCAACGTAATGATAGAGACGAAATACTGGAACGGATGGAATTCAGTTCGGACCCCGAAAGGCTTGTCCCCCAATCGGCCCCGCTCTTTCGGGGTTTACCCACCGGAGCCGAACCGGAGCTGAGCTATTCCGGATGGGCGCTTTCCATGTTTGCGATAGTTGGTGTTTTTCCTGCAGGTTTATCTGATAAAACAGGATTTAAATCATGCTGAGCTGTTATCGGACCAGCCGAGGGTCCCGAACACGAGAACAAACAATGCAGCTTCTCTGCACCTCCGTAGACCCCCACAAAGACTGCAAAAAACTGTTCCTCGGCATTGCGAGTTGATGCTGTATTTCTTTAAAAACCAACTGCAGCTGCTTTGAAGCTGGGCTGGCCAAAGATGCCCATGTCACAAGCCAGATTCAAATAGGGGTCCCTAATCTTAAGATTATCCGTAAACATATATCCAATCAGAATATAAGCATTGGAACCCTGTCAAACAGCGACAAAACGGACATTGATGGCAGGCAAGGCCAGGTAGGGGAGCTGGGCGGTGAAGACTTTTTACGCAGCATCGTGGCCTCAACGAACTTGGCGGAGGTAGTAGCAGTGGGGGATTTCAGTACCCTGGTGGCCCTCTGGCCAGTAATGTGCCACCCAGTCCTCTTTTTTGCTGCCCCTGCATGAAAAAAACTCCACTGAAGTGGATCCATACGGGCGCCGAAAGACGCGCAATCTGGTTAGATTCGTTTGGAACGGTGAGACCCCCCCCCAGTCACAGCCGTGGCTAGAATGACGGAATGAGCTCCAGCTTAAATCTGTCCACACTGCCACAGCTTCCTCTCCAACCAACAATTTGTTCCAGCCTCAATTGAAGTGAAGAAACTTTGTCGTCTTTGAAACTGCGCGCAACTCTCACGACGCAGCTTCTAGCGACGGCCACAAAGGCACCTTCACTTTTTTCTTCTTTTCATCATGGCTTCCGAGAAGCGTCAACGGGGCGAGGAGCTTGAGGGAGATATTACCTTCATCAAGACCCCCGCTCCCGCACCCCTCAAGTTCAGCACCAACGAGGACTGCGGTGTCAAGACCACCAACGTGAGTAGTACCGGCCAAGTCTCTACTTGCTTCACTTGCCTTTTGAGTTCAATTGGCAATATATTGAGCTCAATTGGTCTCTTCGCGACTAGAAGCTAACATTTCCCGCCTCTCAGTACCCCACCATCAACAACCCTCCTCTTCCTGCTGAAGGCCCTGGCCATGAGTCCTTTTCGAACTGGGTTCTCGGAGGTCTGATGTTCGGTGTCCCCTTGTGGCTCACCCGAACCTTTGGCGGCGGCTTGAAGACCTACATCTTCTTCGTCCTCGTCTGCTTCCTCCCCAGCTTGATCGTCGTCTGGACCGTCGCCTCGACCTACTCTCCCCGCATGAACGAGAAGGCCAAGCTCCCCGGCCGCCCTGTTGAGCACTACATCACCTTCAAGAAGGAGGCCGACCGCCAGAGATGGCGCGGCCGTAACAAGATCCCCATCAAGACCTTCTACGAGATGTACTTTGACGGCGAGGTCGACTTCAACGGCGACTGCCTCGAGGTTATGGAGTACCGCCACGACTGGGCCACCTTCCAGTTCACCTGGCCCGTCCTGCAGTTCATCCTCTTCACCTTCTTCCGCGACGTCGCTTTCCACTCGCGTGCTCAGGATGAGGAGCAGATCCGTCCCACCTACGACACTGGCAACGACCACTACTCCTGGTTCCTCGGCCCCCGCATGATCTACACTAGCGGTGTCTTCTCCGACATCACCCGCGAGGAGACCCTCGAGGAGATGCAGGACAACAAGATGGCCATCGTCTGCGAGAAGATCGACCTCAAGGAAGGCGAGTCCATGCTCGACATTGGCTGCGGATGGGGTACCCTCGCCAGATTCGCCAGTGTCAACTACGGCGCCCACGTCACCGGAGCTACCCTCGCCCGCAACCAGGCCGCCTGGGGTAACGACGCCCTCCGCCGCGCCGGCATCCCCGAGAGCCAGAGCAACCTCCTCTGCATGGACTACCGTGACATTCCCGTTCGCAAGTACAACAAGATTACCCAGCTCGAGATGGGTGAGCACGTCGGTATCAAGCGTCTTACCGGTTTCTTCCGCCAGTGCTACGATCTTCTCGAGGATGACGGTTCCATGTTCGTTCAGCTTTCTGGTCTCCGCAGACCCTGGCAATACGAGGATCTTATCTGGGGTACCTTCCTGAACAAGTACATCTTCCCTGGTGCCGATGCCTCCACTCCTCTTTGGTACTACATCAGCTGTCTCGAGAAGGCCGGATTCGAGGTTAAGAGGTAAGATGAGAACCCACAGCCGCTCACAAGTGATTTGATGACTAACAACAACCCCCTACAGCGTCGACACCATTGGCGTCCACTACTCCGGCACTCTCTGGCGCTGGTACAGAAACTGGCTCGGCAACTCCGAGACCATCAACGCCAAGTACGGCCAGCGCTGGTACCGCATCTGGGAGCTGTTCCTCGCCTGGTCCACCATCGCCTCCCGCCAGGGCAGCGCCACCTGCTTCCAGATGGTCGTCGTCAAGAACCTGAACGCTACCCACCGTATCGAGGGCTGGGCTTCCCAGTTCGGTCTCTCTGGCGCCCTCGCCAAGGCCAAGGCCAAGGGCAAGGCTGTCCTCGCCCAATAAGTAATGAATCAACATGCCTCGGAAGACGGCTGTTGGTATTACACGCGTCCATGAATCGGAAAGATCCCTTTTCCTCCTTTTTTTTCTTTCTTAATACTTGTTTTTGGACTCGGTGACTTGGAGTCGAAGGGCTATGGAAAGAGAAAAGAAAAAGCGAGGGGTCTGGAAGGCGGGGATTTGTTTAATCCACGTTTGGTCATTGTTATGAGATCGGGACTTTTAAAAGTTTTGGGCTTGAAACGAGAGATATAGCATGGCATGGGTTATGGAATTGGCGCCGGTTGCATAGAGAGCTGTGGGCGGCGACGCGCCGCCTCGTGACCATGTTTTTTTTTTTTTAACAAGTCTACTTGGTCTCAATGCGAATCACTTTGCTTCGCAAATACTGCGTTTCGTTCTGTGTTCCTTTTTTAGTGATGTCTTTATAATTCCTGGTTGGGCCAGTGAGATAAGTGAATGGCGTAAGGTATGGTAAGCTTAGTCTTTGCTTGCTCGAGTAATGGGAGTCTTCGGCGCTGACTGGGAGTTGATAAGCTGGCTACAGAAGGAGCTCGCAACGAAAAGGCGCGTAACAAGAGAATGAGGAGGTTCTTGAAATATAGTTTCATTGCGACTTGTTGGTCATTCAGAGGGCGAGGTTTGAGGACGTGTCGATTAGTGTCTTCCGAGACTAGGCATGATTTCCCAGTCCGCGACACGATCGCACGCACGCACGCACGCATTTCATGCCGCCAGCCTAGGATCAAGCTATTGGTTCATGAACTGCTGTATCTAAGCCAGGGAAACACGGATCGAGTTCTGTGTTCGTCTTGGACTGAGGTCATGCAGGCGGCGTTGATCGTTGGTTCGTTGTGAAACCGGACGTTTTTTTGGTCTCAGGAGTACCGTAGGACTTGATAGATTTACCTGGATTGCAAAAGTAAAGTTCATCTCTTATTGGGAGATCCTTTCTGGGGGCTGGCTATATTAGATCTTTAATTTAAGAACTGTGCAGGGTCTGGCGAAGCGGAAGTTAAAAGCTTAATTGCGAACTTAGCCTACCTAGGTAATTGCAACTCTGAAGGTATTGTCCTGTACCTTCCATGGCCCGACGTTCCCCGTGCAAAGCGCAAACTTTTGACACTCGTGAACCTTTATTGAAAGCCATCCATGTAAGCTGGGCCAGAATGTTTTCTAGACTTGTAATATAGCCAAAACTACAGCAACTCTAGCAATTTTAGACGTCCTAAGCAACAATTGAGTCTGCCACCGATCTCTAGCGCATAGATACACCTTTATATATTCCAAGGGGGTCGATATCTCATGAGGGCTTGCGAAACTGGGGATGAATGCAGTCACCTTGGTACCTCTACTCGATCTCTTCAAATTGTGCAGCGGCCTCTGACAGCCTACATATTCATATGGGGTGTATACAAAACTGGTTTGCCAAAACCGGCCCCGGAAAATCACGATTCAGATCCAGACTTTATCGTCACCCCTACCTACTTTATTCTTAAATCATGTGCAGCACATGTGGTGATATCTCGTCATTAAACCACCAAGAAGAAATTTCAAAGGAAGCCCTCAATTGCAACAAGCGCTCTGTGACTGATTTAGAATGTGTCGACTGAAGAAACTGTAGACTGCCAAGAGATATGCAGACGACGTGCGCCAAGCCACAAAATGGAGGCGTATGCGATACACAGCTCACAGGACTCAATGGGGGACGGCATGCTATTTTATTTACAGCAAGTATTCAAGCTCTCGATTCCTGGAGAATGTCCACCTAATGTTGGTATATTCATGAATAGGCATGGCTAATACCGCAAAGCACTTGTGCCATGGCTCCTTCGCTAGCTCACGGCGTGCATATCTACAGCTGTGCTAGGCGAACCGAGATACCACACCTTGGTATTACACTACGCGAGTGTTCTCTCAGGCATTGGATAGTCACATAGCTGGTCCTGGACAGTGCGGAATCCTGCCTGTTTAAACTAGCAATCTCAAAACTTCTCTCACATAAGGCTATCTTGGATTATCAGTCGCTCTAAAAGTGTAGGAATCTCTGTTGCCATGAGATATGACATTCTTTTATCAGATGCGCCGTCGTTAGTTGAGATGTATTGGGATAAGGCTGTGGCCACGGTTGCTGTTTGGGGTCAGATCAACGATATGCCCACGTTTGCCTAGTCGGCCAATTCTTGTAGATGACTCTGTAGAAGCTCGGGTTAGCAAGAAAACAGAAAATAAGATCGACTACATACCGAAAGAATACCCTACAAAACAAGACTTGAGGCAAAGCTCCCGAAGTTGAGATGCCAAAAATCAGGGATAAGGGTGTTTACAACAGGTTTACAAACTAGCTCTAAATACTATCAGCTATAGCTCAATATGAGGGGTTAAATAACAAGTACTTTATTCAATAATACCTCTCAAGACAACATATTATCCAAGGTCTTTCCCAACGGAAGACTTCCTTACAAGGCGTCAAAGCTGGCATTTCCCAGTCTAACGTTAAACTTTAGTGTAAATTCTTACACTCTGTCACAGAAGCAACTACCAAGGATTGTCACAGCACTCGGAGGAATTTTGCCATAATGCCAGCAAAGCTGTGTCAGTGTTAGATAATCGCGACTAAATCTATAAGCTGCCTCAGTACATAGATCAAGCAGCAGTTCAATTTCGGTCGCAGGTAGTCCTTCTTTTTAAGCACAGCACGGCAGGTGTTGTATACCTCTCGGGCAGCCTCAGCTGGACAGATCAAAGGTTTAAACCCGCTTGTGAAAAGACGAAAACCATGACTTTTCCTACCAGCTTGATACACCTTCCACTGGTCTCAGCAAGGTTATATATATTGAAGTATCCTGCCAGTCATGCGCTTGTGAATGACGGCCATTAATTCACATCTAAGCAAATCATCTTGAAGTGAGACACCCACAGGTGTCTCTGGGCGCTGACTCTTGTCCGTATTTAGCGCTGAAAGATGCTCTATAATGTTTAGAATGACTGGTTATCTCATACGGACCTTTAGAATCCTTTCACGGTCACATTGATGCATAGTTGAAGGAACAAGCCTTGACATATGTATAAGAAGGACATATTACCTCCTTTAACACCACTTGAGTTTATGAATGGAGAAAATGAGAGGATATTTGAGATACAAGCCTATGGAGTGACTGGACCATCTAATGTTACGCCTGCCAAGTTGCCATAACCATTCAAATCGATCATCAGCTTCTGGCTGCCTAGTACAGATACATAGCACGTCCCTAAGCGGAAACAGAAAGAAGTACATACGAGATGTCACCTCAATGCCCACGAGCCAACAAAAGCGATCGATCTGCCCCACAACTATAGTAGAAGCAGCGCATAATACTACGCCACAATGCCTTTTGCGCATGACGGAACATACCAGCAGCTAACGAGACATTGTTGATAAGTTTTAGTGGGGAGGATTATGGGCAGCCTGACCAGGCAAGGCAGCCATGCGAGGTATTACCTACGAGAGTACGCCGCATGAGCTAGAACCCGCCCCAGAGTTGCGCTAAAGGGTTCGGGATGGGCGTTGCCCACTTCGAAGGTTGCATACGTCTCTTGTGTTGGTATACCTTGAAGACCGGTCGGTAAATTCTGTATCCTCTCTCTCAATTGTCTCCAAACGAAAATGCACCCAACCAGGAAGTACCTAGGTAAGTTCTAGTTTTTATTATCCCTCCCATGTGCTTGAGTCCGGATATACATAGAAGTTCATACTGTAATCGCAATCGAGGTTCAATATCCGTGGGGTTGAAAACGACTGAATCCGGACTCCTGCATGCAATGCCTGTCCGGAAAAGCCACTTGACGGCTACAAAGTCCGTTGCCGAGCGCAGCGGGTGGTGGGTAAGGGGATTGCGGCCGCCTTACGCACGTATGCACACGTACGACAATGCTAGTGCTACTACTGCTGCTCCCCACCCTGGCAATACTACCGCCACAACTGTTACTGTGCTTCTCGAAAAAGGTACAAGAAGGGGATATTAGCAGGTGAGCCTCGGGTATTAACGGCCTTCAGATATTAGACATAGACTCGGCGTCTTACTTCCTAGCATCATCTAGTATAGCTTACGTAGCAACAACAAAAGGGTCCCAGGAGCTGCCTCGAAAGAAAGCCCTGTAACTATTTATCGAAGTTGCGCACAAGTCAAATACTTAAATAGCTGCGAACTGCGTTGAGGGTAGCCGATATGGTAATCAATTTGTGATTATACCAACCTCATGCCTGCTTAAAATATGAGAAAAGCTTGCTATTGTTGGCCCTTTCTGGGCTAATCAACTCTGGCGACTCACTTCTTGGTGGCTGCGTGGTTGCCTTAAGGACCCCTCCATCTTGCGGGATTTGTGGCTTATCAGATGGCGAGCTGAATATTCGTACCATGTAGCCAAGCAAAATTTGCCTTCAATCAAACTCGATCTGTCTGCATAAAAAATAAATATATGAAGTAAGGCTGACAACTACCCCGCAGGTGGCAAGTATATAGCTGACGCCCAACCTCTGCCTTATCTTACGATATTCTACCAAAAGATTTAATGATAAAGCCTCTACCAGGCGTCGTTAATCCGATACGTAATCTATGGATCCCTTCGCAGCGCTCGGTTTAGCGGCTGCCATAATTCAATTTGTTGAGTTTGGGGCGAAAATAGTGGCCACAAGTCGAGAGATATATGTATCCTCCAGCGGGCTGACTCAAGAGCACGAAACCCTCGATGAAATTTGTTCCCATCTCTGTGTCTTGGTGGACGATATTGATGATGCGGCTGACGCCGCAGATAAACCAAGGCATAGAATAGAAGAAGAAGGTGCTTTGAAGAAGCTTTCAGAGAGGTGTAAGAGTACGGCTTTGGAGCTCCAGAGAGTTTTGAATGGGTTGTACCAGACACCTGGGGGAAGAATTGCGAGTTTGAACCAGGCCCTTAAAGCAACTTGGGGCAAGCGAAAAGTCAAAGATGTGGAGCTGAAACTCAAAGAATACCGGCAAGAACTCATAGCACATCTTGTTGCCATCACCAAGTAAGCAGAAATTTCCAAGAGCTGCGAGTTGAAAACCTCTTGCTAGACCTTTCTCACTGTCTCACAGCAACAATCAATCAAGCGCCCTACGAGAACTACGGGCTCTGAAGGAAGTTATGCTGTCAATACAGTCGAATCATTCTGGGAAACTGGAAGAAATTTCAGAGGCTATTCAAAATATCGCATATCAATCTTCGATAACGAAAGAGTCCCCGTCGGACACAGCAGCTTTTACTTGGAAAGATTTTCAACAACTCCACGAGAAACTCTTTGATATTATCGATAATGCAAGAGATATTTCCCTCCAACAGAAATTCCTTCGCGGCCTAAATTTCAGATCCATGACGGCTCGTCGCCATAGCATAGTAGAAGCACATCAAAAAACATTCAACTGGGTCTTCAAGGGCACCAATGCACAGACAAGCGCACCAGCTCCTAACCGTAACTTGTCCAACTGGCTTAAGTCGGGGAAAGGCATTTTTTGGATATCTGGAAAAGCAGGGTCGGGTAAATCAACTCTCATGAAGTATCTTGGATGTCACCCACATACATCGGATCTACTCTCTACATGGTCCCAACCTAAGGAGTGCATCGTCGCATGCCACTACTTTTGGAGCTCAGGCACACGACTACAAAAGTCCATTAACGGATTACTGAGGTCTCTCTTGTTCGAGATATTTCGACAATTACCCGAGATTATTGCAAAAGTTGTTCCTGATGATTTGTGCCATTTTGAGAACGATTCTTCTCTTTTATCAAGTGAAGACGGTAGGAATTGGTTGATGGATGAGCTAGATCAGATCACCAGTCATCTAGTCTCTAGCGAGGACTTGAGCTTGCGATTCTGCTTTTTCATTGACGGGCTCGACGAGTACGACGGGGACCATCAGAAGCTGATCCAAATTCTCGCCCGTCTTGCTTCTTCGCCTAATGTCAAACTTTGTGTTTCCAGCCGGCCGTGGAACATCTTTGAAGATGCCTATGGGAAATCGAGCTTGCAGAAATTGGCACTTCAAGACTTGACCCAGGACGACATTCGCAGTTACACCAAGAGCATGTTGAAAGAACATCCCAATTGGATAGAATACGCTAAAGACCAACACTCCATTGCGGATGAGATTACCAAAAAAGCACAAGGTGTGTTCTTGTGGGTATTTCTGGTTGTTCGTTCAGTGCACGAAGGTGTGACAAATGGTGACGCTGTTTCAACCCTACGACGGAGAGTAAGCCAGCTCCCCCAGGATCTTGAGGCATTTTTCAAACACATACTGAATTCAATTGATCCATTTTATCACCGGCAAATGGCGAAATTCTTTCAGATAGCACTGCAAGCTGAAGAGCCACTTAGCATTATGCTCTACTCCTGTATTGAATCTTGTACGGAAGACGTCTCGGATGTTTTGCATATTCCCGTTGAACCCATGGATAAACACGATGTTTTCACGAGAAGAAAGCAGATGATCCGACGAATTAATGGCCGCAGTAAAGGTCTTCTTGAAATTCAAGCTGATCATGCAGCAAGCGATTATCTTGGTCCACGTGTGACCTTTCTTCACCGCACAGTTCGCGACTTCCTTCTTACCAGAGAAATGACCGAGTTTCTCAATGATCGCCTAACGGACTTTAAAGCAAGAACTGTTATTTTTCGAGCTTATGTTGCACTGGTAAAATCAATGCCAGTTCGAAAGGAACACTTCAAACGCTCTGGTGAATTGTCTCGAGTGTTGGATCAAGCGTTCTTCTACGCTTATCAGGCCGAGCTGGAGTCTGGTGATTCCGAAGCTGAGCTAGTGGATGATCTACGCTACGTCGTAGAGGAAATGGCAGATTCATTGGACATTCAACCCCCATGGAATCCTGACTACTTTATTGAGTTTGTCATATCCCGTGGTCTGTCTCAATACCTCACGCAGCACCGGGAATGCAATGTTGGGGCACGGGATATCGTGAACGGCGCTTTCCTGGTAAAGGCAGTCATGGAAAGTCTCAAGCCTGTGAACGAATATAGCCCAGACATTACTGAAGTTATATCCCTACTTCTCGTTCGGGGTACAGACCCTAACCGGGGTTCTCGAATACAGCAAGACAAGGGACTGAAAGTTCCAGCTAAAGGTACCAACTACATGGCTCTGATGTGGGGAATACCGCGAGAAGATCGCCAGGAAAATAGGAACAGCCGTTTAACTGGAGGGCCTCCTATATCCAAGGTCAGAATGAAAGACATCTTTAGTATAGAAGGCTCGATTTGGGGCAATTGGCTACAAATGCTTAGTCTTTCCCTGGTGGAGCATGGTATGAGTTTTACATGGGCTATCAGACAAAAGAGGATTCTGGACTTGCTCATCGGCCACGGTGCCGATGTCAATGAAACTTCAGCCAGTGACGCTCGGTGGGGAAGCCTTGTCGATGGACTTTTTCACTTATCAGAACAGCCATTAGAGCAGAGGGTATCGGCCGTATACCTAACTATGTTGACAAAGCTCTTGCAACATGGTGCAAATTGTAATGCACCATATAAAGGGAGTACGATATGCAAGACTTTTTTCGCAAACATGCGTCGGATTACTCCTCTTCATCTTACTGAGTTTGCCCAGCATACATTGAGAGCGAGGAATGACTATCTGATAGAGACTTCCCCGGTCCATCTTCAACTTCTAGCTCAGGTTGCGACTGCTCTTTTCAGGCATGGAGCTCACCCATCATGCATAAAGGGAGCCCCAGAGCTTTATCTTGTTTTTCCCCGGAGGTTGGCAGAACCAATTCGGGACGCCTGGGAGACGAGACAGGCAGAGGTTGCAGCAGAACCAGGAATCATTAAGTCAGTTATTGGTTGGATATGGTGGTCTTGGGCCTGAACGTTCATTCATGGCCAACGGTGGCCCTTTTTAGGAGCTCTTGCAGTAAGCTATATAAGCTATGTAAGTCATTGAGTTATTTGTGGACTTTGACCTTTCTATCGCTGGTGATTAGTGCGAGGAGAAATGGTGATTAAACGTGAGATTTATAATTTGACACCAATACCGCTGCACCACACTTGATATGGTGGATACTTCTCGGAGTTTGACTTATATATAAAGAAAAGGTTCAAAAAGCAGCAGCTTAGCAGTGTGCAGAATTCGGCGGGATGTGATGTTTGAAGAGATGGCATTGATCACGCTGGATAAGTACTTGACTTGAAGAAAGCAGAGTGGAAGCACGAGAGCCATTGCGAACCTCCGAACTGGCAGATAAGTCAGCTAGAATAATAATGGCGGAACATTATTAATTCTGGTCTTGTTCTCCAATAAAAAACAGTTTACATCACATTTCATCGCCTCAATGCAATAAGTCATAATGGCAAGGGTCAAGTCAGCTGGAAGCTGAAAAGATGGCATCCTGTGTCCAATCATTCGGCAGCTGTCTCTTGTGCCTCCTGGCGAATAGAGTATCGCCTACTGCTACGTTCATTATGTGGAGCATCTCACTAAGGTACTGAATCACCTCAATCTCTCCAACTACAACGCTCAATCTCGTTCAATCACACCCAAACCAACTGTTTGCCATAATCTAGTATTTCGGCTATCTCAACGTTCTGCTCTGCCTTCACCCTTCTTTCGACCTTCCACACATTACAAACCATGGCTGATGCGGTCGAATGTGATTCAGACGAGGTGGAGTTGCTTCGATCACCTCCACCAGAGGGATTCGACCCTGAGGCTTCGCGCAAGTTTCTCGACCTCTTCCGTGAGGAAGAAGCGCGGTCTATTTTGTTAGGCTATGATTACGTGGGCCTGCCTGATAACGTTGAACTCCATGATCTAATGCGCTGGGTAACCGACCCCGTTACAGGCGATACCGCGGTTCACGTTGCTGCTGCTGCTGGAAATATTGAGGGCTTTAAGGTCATCGCAAGAAGCTTCGGGAGGGACTGGCGCCCTAACGAGTGGTATATGACATGCATCAAGGCCATTTTCTTCCTACGCAACAAGGCTGGTGATACCGTCTTCCATATTGCAGCTCGCGCCGGCCGTCTAGGTGTTGTCAATGCTGCTTGGTATTGGTTCCTTTGCCTTCCGCAGATGAATCAGCTTCCAGATGAATCTGGCTCTGACGTCTATGTCCCTGTGGATGAAGATATGCCCGAGCCCGAAGATGTTAATCCTCTATATATCCCCGAATGCATGATGGCTATTGTCCTTCTGGCCAGGAAAAACTTCGCCGGTCGCACTCCTGCCGATGAAGCAATTACCGCTGGCCACGATAATGTCGCGGAGTGGCTAAGGCTAGTGCTAGACCGTCTTACCCTGAACGGTAGGAGAGTTATAGAGGGCAGAATGGCTAGAATGGAGGAACTGGTCGACGGCCGCTATGATATTGATGGGCACCACATCAAGCCTCACCAGATTCCAGCCATTAAAAGACTATATATGAGGATAGATCCTAATGGAAGCGTGACTTGGACAGATGATGCTGGACGTGAGGTTGCAATAGATGATGATGGAAACCCAATTTTGGGTTTTTGCACATATTAGCCAGAACAATTAATATCGATGTTGTACGTATTCGCAGAGGTCTAATCTAAATGTTGCAGATCTGTCAATATGGGTTCTCTTCTAAGCGACCAAAATGACAGATAACCACCAAGGGAGAGAAGAAAGAAAAATGTTCACATAAGTGTCTCTCTCCGCTCCGTTTCTGATAGGGTTAAGCAAGGGGTTAACTAATAGCTTATTTGCATTGCATTATCTGTACTATACCACAGCTTAGTTTATGGAAATCGGAACTTTATGAACTTGCCCACTACGGCTGGCAGACTTCCTCATAATCAGGTGGCTAACGGTAACAGTGTAGACTTCGAACTTGATACGAGCTAATGGCGCCAGAATCTCTTGCTGGGGTCACTGCCACCCAGCGCTAACTGCAGCAGTCCTTGGGAACTCTTCTAAACTGCGAATAATAGAAAAACTTGGTCGGCTGGCAGTGTTTTGTGATACAATCATATAACGTTTTTAGGCGATGCAAAATCATCGCGGTGAGTACATGTAAAGCTCAGTATTTAGCTCCCTTCAGCACCTTCAGAATTGCACTTCTTGGAGCAATAGTAGGTCATCTACATAATCTTAATTAGTACAAAACGCATTCGAGACTATACATAGTAAGACTTACCTCATCTCCACCAATATGTTTCCCAGCCGAGTGACACACGAGTTGGTTCTTTGTAGTTTGTTAGACATCGCTGCCTAGGAGATTACAGAACAGCACATACTGGATCAAACACGCAGTCAGGGCACTTATCCCATTGCTGATTGCCAGTATTACGGTGTTTGTAGTAATCACAGGCGCACTTTGTAGCGCTTTGATCAATGCTGTATGACTTGGCCCACGAGTAGCTAACACTAAAAGGCGTGCCACCGATTGGCTGCTCCTGCCTGTTCTGTACACAGATGGCAAATTCGTGAAGACCGGCGAATACCCTAACATAAACGTCAAACAGAGCATTAATAGAGAGCTTGTGGAATCGGATTGTATTCAACGCACCCCGTAGCGATAAGAAAGGTGAGAAAACCTGGGACTTTGGGAAAATACATGGTAATGAAGTTGGTGATACTGAGGTATGAATATTCAAGTCAAACTCTCAGGGCTTTTCAAACCGCGAAGGAATGTTTAGGTCTTTATAGACGAAACTACCAACATACGTGCACCTTCTCAAATGTGCACAGCACAAACTAATCAAGCGGTTCCCCTCAAATGAAGACTGGATCTAGCTTTGAATCACACAATCATAATGTCATGTTCTGCTTGAAACGAAGGCATCAATTCCTATATGTTTCTCAAGCTAATCTGAAAACAGCATAGGAGATATCGTAGGCCCTGGGCGAAACAAAGGAGAAATTGTCTTCCGCCTATGCCGGCCTGTCTGGAGCTTTCCCCAATGTCTTTGGGCCCATTAGGCAATATCTCGCATATCATAATTCGTTATGAGCCACTGCCTCGTGTTGTTGCAGTAAGATCAGACGTCAACACGTGGTGAACATGATCACACGATTTGACCAAGCCTAGTTGCGAGCCATAGAGCGACAGATATTGGGCGCGACTATACAATTTTTAATTTAAGACCAAATTACATTCCTTCTAACCCCTGTATGTTTGAACCGATCTACGGTTATACTATCTCCACTCCAAAAGATGCTTACTCGTGTTAACGATAGAGATCCTAACTATGACGCCTCATAAATGCCGAATAGCCGTTGCGGGGCATATGTGTGACTGAAGACAGCAAAATGTTAAACTCCTCGTAATCAAATTGTGAGACAGTTCAAGTTATACTGTGTACATTTCGTAGGTTAGCAAGCTCAGCAAACTATTCGGTCGTCAAGAAACAACAGGGATTTGTCAATTGGTAATCATAAATTACATGATGGTGACTCCCCAGACGGAGAACTGACGATTATCAACTCCAAGTTCGAGAGGCTCCAGATATGGCTTCGGCAATAGATGCCGCGATGCAAGCGGTGTAGTTAGTTATGAACAAGTTCGAGTCAAATGTTCCATAAATCAGGCAGAAGTCGTAGACAAGTTCAGTATAAGATCACTTAGAATTCCCATCAGTAGCAATCCAGAAAGTTACCTTTTATCCATCTTCATCTTTTACTTTTCCAAAAAAACCCTATCTCCTTATCAATTATGTTGTCCACCCGTTTCATTGAGTTTTTCCTGCTGTCGGTTGTAAGCGCTGCTCCAATCGTTCCGGAGCTCAATCTCAACACCACTCACTGGACGGCTGAGCGTGCTCTACAGCCTTACGAAGTCGTTCTGATTGGAGGTAATGGCCAGAGTAAGTTGAAAAGCCTTTTTTAACATCATTTTGTCCTTATTTTGACCGAATATTATCACCCCTCCTACCTGGCTAAACCAGCAACAACCTCTACGGTTTATTCGATAGCTAATCTTTAATTGGTTTTAGTGGAGGTCGCTGATGCGGATACCTACCGCACACTTCTTGAGTCGCAGGGTGTTCGTCTTGACGCCCCGGAACTCGATGAGACCTTCCAGGAGCTTTCCCTCAAAAACCAGGAAGTAAACCTTACGGAATCTCACCTTGAAACACGCCAATTCAGTTGCAGCCAAACCCAGGCCATGGTTACAGACAAGACCTACGACTTCATCGGCTGGGACGTTCAGATGTCTCCTGTTTATGGACAAGGCGATGCTACCATTTACAGCGGCTACACAACCTCCAACACCATTTCGGTCAACGGTAACGTTGATCTCACTTGGGCCAAAGACGCGGCTAAGAGTCTGTTTGGCATCAACTATAGCCGCCAGTGGACCACGTCGTCTCAACTTACATTCAAGGGAACCGTTACTAAGGGAAACCATGGTACTATAATAACAAGGCCCCGTAAGACTCGCCGCATCGGTAGAGTTATGTCTGGCTGCCCCGGATCTTTCACCCAAATTGGGACCTTTCAGGCCGATTCTCACCTCACTGGAAGTTACAAAGGTATCGACTGGGTTAGCGGCTCTATCGAATTATGCCAGAAGCCGCAGTTCCCTCTCACCCTTTGTCATGGACCCGGTACTTTCATCTGAACTACCTGAATTGATGGAACGACATGATGCAGTTGGGCGCTTGAGAAGAAGACCAAATCAACACTGCACTTGTAGTCTACTTTGAGATGCTTAGATTTGCCTTTAATTCCGTTCCAACTCAGCAACGTGGACCGACTGCAGGATCCGAATGGGTAGTGTTTACTTTATGGTTATGTACTTTTCTCAGTAGGGTCATAGTAATTCAATACATTGGTTATCCTAAACTTTCAATGTCAACCCACTAGTATTCTATTTTAAAAAGATTATTTCGTGCGCCAAGGGTACTAGTCTATTTTGGGCTTCACCTTCAGGCGCAGGTTATTCTCGGTGGCAAACTTGATAGCGGCATAGACTTCTCCAACTCGGGTCAAATCAACAAAACACAAAAGCTATCTACTTATGACGAAGCCTTAAGAGCCTGTTGAAAGGTCTTGAAAAAGCTTGATTTACTCTTATCAAATGGATTACGACTGTTGTTCACGAATCAAGGTGACCAGACGGTAACCGACATCGCAAATGATGCTCGGCAGATTCGAATCACTTTGTTTCGCAATTATATATGCGGCTCCTGTGGCTTTCACATTAAATGATGATTGATAGTATCGGAACTCTGTCAAAGTGAGTAAGGTCAATTATGAACTTACTGTTTCTTACAAGCTTGAGCTACAGCACGAAAAAAACATTTACAGCTATGTTCTCCGTCAATATATGGCAAACTCAACCTCTTTGGGTTCTGTGCCGAGAAACTCCCCATTCATGATCCCATCAACATAGGCGTCCCCCTTAAAATAGAACCCTAATTGCTCTCGCTGTCTCAGGATTATCGGCGAATTGACCCCCCATATAAGCGTAACCACATCACCAACCTGGACATCCACGTGGCCGAGGCCTAGCATGCCTTTTAACGTCTTAAACAAGGTCCGACCTTTAGCACCAGCTGCCACATCTCGCAGGAAGCGTCCCGCATGGTTTGCCGCAGTTTCGTTGTCCAACTCCTTATTGTCAGGGAAGATCCAACAGTGAAGAAAGTTTCTCGCTGCCACGGTCAAGCTAGACATATCGATAGCTTCTCCACGCATAATTAAGCGAATGAAGTGTGGCACACCATCCGAAATGTCTCGGCCGTAGATACTCCGTCCCAGGTGATGATATCCATTTGTTGCGGTTCTCCAGACGTAGTCTTCGCTTGAGCTAGGTGTCATTCCCAGTCCGACAAAGTCAATAATCCGTCGTCTCCATGTCTCCATACTATTGATAGGGAGACGACGATTATTCTTTTTGAAATCCTCCGGGGGCTCCATTATCTCAGTTATTTCATCAACAATACATCCCCACCGACGAAGAACTGGGCCGTTTCCCAACATTTCACCACCATCTTCAGTAGGTTGCAGCCTCGTCCCAGTGGCACTGAACCTATGGAGATGATTAACAGAATACGGCCAAACGCCATCACGCCCAATCTCCCGAAAGTCAGGAACCCACGTCGGCAGCGGGCCCATCAAATCGCCGGGTATAACAGAATCGAGATCGAAATCGTCGCTGGACATCATCATTCTTGTCGCCTGGGTGAAGATGTCGACAAATGACATGTTGTAGTCCACAGACAGGCCCTGCCTTTCCTCACTCCCAAGGACCCCAAGAAGACCAATAACTATATCTCGCGGGTCCGTCGCAGCATAATGCGGTCGGCCCGGCGCAGCCCCTGATTCCCATAGAACCTTCCCCAGTCGCACAACATCACCCCTCTGCCGCCGCGTTTCGCGGATCTGCAGTGCCTTGATTCGGTACATCGTCATTGACAGCTTGGTGATCATGGCATTCCCGCTTTCCCACATCCCTGTGACCATGGCGTCAAATATCTCCAACGGCACCATGCGCGAACCGGCCACCACTACCGCTTGCTTTGCTAGTACAACCTCTTGAATGATCCATACCCTGCTCCAATATGGTCTGAGCAAGATGTCGCGGAAGCCAAGGGGGAGCACTCTGTTTGCAAGGTATTCTGTGTATACATCGAACAAAGCGATGCTCAACTCCGAGCCTGGGCCTTCTCTGACTTGTCCCCCTTCAGGAGACAGTCTTTCCGTAATATAGTAGTGATTCACGGCTCTTTTCTCACTGTCAAATCGCATCGTTGACGCGCCGCATGAATAGAGCCTAGGTCCGCGCTTGGCGATGAAGTCCATTGCCTGGTCGGACTCTTCCGTGCTTGCACCAAGCCATAAATATACCATCTCCGCGCCGCCATAGATGTCGCGCATAAGCTTTATCTGGTGGTTTTTTTCGTCAACGTTCGACTGCGCAATGCATATTGCGTCTATCCAAAGCCATGAATCCACGCCGTTGCTTGTGAGTTGCGTTAGCGCGCTGTATAAGTTTTGAGTAACACGGAACGAGCGCCCATTGATGTATATTTCTGCAGGATCGGCTGCGCTTTCCCAGACGTATGAGAGTGCAGAATAGGGGACACAGTCCTCTAGTGAGATTACTTTGAGCTCAAGGTTAATGCTGCGGTGTTGCTTGATGCTATTGAGCGAATGATGGATGAGGCGGGCTAGCCTGATCTCTCGTCTATCTGGGTCGAGAAATGTGTGGATAGACATCTTGAAGCCCGGCTACGTTCGCGCAGCTTCTTCTAAAATGTGCGATTGAAGACCGAGGTTTATGGTTGGTGACAGGGTATGAGAAGTTGAAAGGGTGAGAATCAGGCTGGATGTATGGGGCCATACATATCTTGATGATACTGCACTTTGATCAATCTGATTGGCTGCTAATTCAGGCAACATGTCAGATTTCACTTCATCTCACAACCCCTGTCACAAGTGTTTGTGAGTAGTGAGTTGAGGTCTCCTGAGCTTTGCTTTTACGCTGGTATTTCTCGATATGGGACGTTTAAGATGTGTTTAGCGACTGAAACTCTGTGTACGTGAAGCCTCATGGATTGTTGACACTACTTTGTACGCACCTTGAGAGCTACATTATTTGAGTCTTCGTGAAGTATTAGACAATTTCAAGAATGATCTCTCTTAGCCAACTATGGAATTTTACGTACGACTAAGGACTTTACGTGGAGCTATACACAGTGAAACCAGAAAACAGCATATATCCCAGGTTACGCTCCGTTGGAATTCTTTGTTGAGATCTCTGGCCTTTAAAACACCCATTCGCATCTTAGGCGCCTAAAGCAAGCTGAACGTCTACGACGCCGCGGATAACCTCCTCTAGAGGCTTCCATTCAATCCCCAGAATCTCTTTGGCAGCCTTAGCCTCTGGAACCATAGAAAATTTGTCTCCAACAGGCGGCTTTAGTTGGAAGTTGGAGTCGGGGTAGAGCCTTTGAACAATTTCGGCAACGTCTTCCCACAAAACTGCAGGCTCAGACACGATGAATTCCTGAAATTTGGGAACTGGCGCCGACAAAGCTTTCAAGAAGGTGTCAGCTACGTCTCTAACGTCAACTAACACGGCAGGGATTGTAACAACGCCGGTGCGAATGATATTAAAGACAAGGCCATTGATGGAGTCAATCTCTTCCGGCTTCTTCTGGAAGAGACTTGGTCCCGTAACGAAGCTCGGATGGAAGGTAAGAACTGGGAATGCGGGTTTATTCTTCTCGACCCAATCCGCCGTTGCCTGGTGCGCTAGAATCTTGGAGCCTTGATACTTGATACCATGGCCGGGAATGCCCTCAGGAAGCTCCATATTCACGTCGACATGAATCTTATCCTCCGAGTGTTCTGGAACTCAATCAGCCTTAGAAGTTTAAAATATGCACCCTCCTATCGAATAATACCTTTGACTGCGCTCGGGCCATTTGGCGCTCCCGTGAGCGTCCCGATTGGCACAAGAGCGAGGATTGAGGACATGATAAGAACCCTCTTGATGGAAGAAACGTTCTTTGCCGCATCTAATACGGAGAGAGTTCCACGTACTGCGGGGTCGATGTAATCCTTCTGAAAGTCTTCGCCTTTTCCTACCATGGGCGATGCCACGTGAATAACATACTCGACGCCAACGACCGCACTGACAAAGGCGTCGGGTCTGGTAAAGTCGGAAATGATGACGAAGTGAAGCTGGCTAGAAAACTCGGAGAAGGTGTCTTGCAGTTTCTGGATCTGGTCCTCGCGGCGCACGCTTAGTCGGACATGGTATCCTGCCTTCAAGCAAGCGACAGCGATTTGCGAGCCGATGAAGCCCGTGGCTCCTGTGATGAACACAAGAGAATTCGACATATTCGTAAGTGATATTTTAAATTGATTTTTAGAAACTGTGTGGTATGATCGTGATGTATAAGTGGCAGTGCAGAAAAGGCGTGGAAGAGCTTTATAGCCTTGCCATGAAGATGTCGAGATTGTAAATCAAGTACAGAGCTTCAGACCTTCCGTTCTCCTAAACTCTTCTGTTACTTACCAATCACCCAAAACATAGCGACTAATCACTGCTCATGACGTTAGATAACCACATTTTACATTTACCATTACGAAGCAAACTGGGGCTTTAGAGTTTGCCGGGGCCTGTGAGCACAGCGGGGACAGCGGGGTCGGAGGCTTTTCGGCAGCGCCCTAAGGAGACCGCAAGTGGTTTTGTGAACATATGGCGTCGGATTAGTGATCACAAGCCAACACGGATACAACGCCTGCTAGTCCAGCCTTCGGGCTGATATCGTAAACATTCCGAAGTTCACGCCCTCGCAGCAATATCGTCATTCGAACGGAAAGATGTTATGGGGGTGGTCTTGCATCGATTCTGTCCTTTTAAACGAGCTTTCGAAGCCAGATTGAGAGACCAAAAAAGTTATCTTCCTACCAAACTCACTGAAATCAGTCAAAAACTCTCAATTCACTCATTAAACCATGCCTCTCTGGGTTATTTACCACACGCCTGAAACATTCGTTGACAATGCGTCACGACAAGCTTTTGCCAAAGACATCACCACTATGTATACTGGCATCGGTCTACCGGCATTCTACGTTATCGTGAACTTCGTTCCAATGCCAACTGGAACGATGTGGAAGGGGGGAGAACTTCCCGACAAGCCGTTTATAAGAATCTCTGTGGAGCATATCGCGGTCCACCTCGAAAATGACATCGAGCAATACCACCACACTACAGGTGTCATGGAAAAGATTATGAAACCGCACATTGCAGACAAGGGCTATAGCTATGAATATCATGTGGACGAGACGGAGAGAACGCTTTGGAGGGTCGATGGCTTCATTCCTCCTGCTTGGCAAAGCGAGGCAGAGAAGGAATGGGCGAAATTGAACAAGGCGGTAGCATACGAAGCGAAGGATGGACAGAAAGAACAACAGAAGTTACTCACTCGAAACCAGGCTCATCCCAACTAGAAATGATCCGCAGAGCCTAGAACTTCGACTCCTTCTCATTCTGTTGTCTGTTTCATGGCATACCTGAATCTACTGGACTTTAGCGAACATTATTTTTCGTTCTAGTTCATCTCAACAATTGACTTATACGAGCATATGTTTCAAGCAAAGCTCCCATGTCAAGTAGTTTTAGATGTGAAATTTCTTCACAATTCTTCCAAGATACATACTCAACACTCTTCAGTATCCTTCACTGTGTAGTTGCAGATGCACAGCTGGTGAGTTGGGTATCACAAGTGCAAGTGGTTTCATGTGCAGGTTTGGGATAACTATGGTGGAAATGACGAAATATTCACAATTAGAAAGAGTTTAGACTTTCCAAACATCTCGCAGATGACGACAGTTGAAAAATAAATGTAACAATCCATCGATCCGTGAGGGCAGACTGAAATTACTGATATCTAAAGAAAATGAGATGAGTTTAACTGGATAAGTAGCCTCTTTCACCTGTACCCTAACCCAACTCAGGCCGTATTATTTAGTTAGTAAGCTAACCCGACGTGCCTGTGCTCAAAGGAAGTAAATGCATCAGTCAGGGCCTTATTTTTTTCTTTTTTTTCCCCCCTCGCGTTCTGCTCTATATAACGCTCTTTGGTCTTGAGGTGTATTTCTCTCGAAGTCACTTTTGGAGGAAAGCCAAAAACATAAGAAGCCAATCAGAAGGAGAGTCTTTTCTCCACAATTTAGACGTGTGGTTGTATTTGAGTGGCGCGCTAGATTCGGTAGGTTCCGAGGAAATGATAGTAACTCGTTGTAAACCATTAGCGCCAACACAATTGAGCCTCTTCCGACTGGCCATCTTTGTCCCCTGTTGATTCAGTGGATGCTTGACTAGGCAGCAGTCAATCGAATTGGGTGGGAATCTGTGTCACGGAGCAGTAGCAGTGCAGACGAACCAATCATCAGTATATCAACTGGGTCAAAAGTGCTCTCTGTGGGGTGAAGCGATTGATTATGTATGTTTGATCACAAACGACACCTTGCCGATTGGCCAATGTTAACCGACTTATGACCTAGAACACTTGGCAACAGTGTGATTTGGACTTTTGTTACACATAATATGTCAATGGGTTCTGCATCTTGTCATGTATTGAGTACCTAGTTGGGACAGGTGGGAAAATTCAGACTGAGGCCGCCCCTTTTCTGTCACCGAAGATCAATTCGTGCCACTTCGCCTGGCCTTTCTGGCAGATACCATCCCAGGTGACAACTACTGTGTCCGTCCCGTCATTTGACCACCTGAAACTTTTGATCGTTCCACTCCCCACGTCCTCTGGTGGTGCCAAGTAGACAATTTCTTTCTCTCCTGTACCCCCGACAGCAATCGTCGCTAGAGGCCTTGGACTCTCTTGTTTTTGGAGCCGGATATTGACTAGGTCGCGTAAATGCGGGTAAAACCATGTCATATTCCACCAATTTTCCAACCTCCACTTTTTCAACCCCGAGATGTATGCGTTGTGATGGATTGCAACCGGGGCATCGCCAAAGAAGAAGTCAGTGTAAAGAGGAACGTCAGCCCATGAGAGCCTACTTCCTGGCACAGGGCTCTCTGAGCCTCCGAGATGTGTCGGCATATCAGGCACTCTGATATTGCCTGGTACACCAGCCTTTTCTGACGCTTTTTGCACAGCCTCTCTATCGCTCCATCTGACAAATGAGCCATCCTCTTCAGCTGAGCAGGTTGGGGGCATTGTGCTGAAGGTGTAATCCAAGCCGATTCCAAATTCGAAGCGCTGCCCGCCAAGACCTGCTTCTGCAACCTTTCGGACTTCCTTGGACAGGTCCTGCGGATGGCCAAAAGGTTGATCGACGGGTCGCAAGATAGAACGGATCCATTCGCGCAACATCTCTTGCTCTCCAATAACCTCTGCAATCAAGGCCTGGTCGCTCCACAATTGGCGCCCCTTCTTTGAGACGATCTCAACCTTCTCTTTGCACCTTCGAAGTGCAGCCCTTAGAGGTCCCACTTTGCCCATAATCATTCCGCTGTTCACACATCTCGGTCGAATTCTTCTGTATTTTCTCGCCGAGTCCGCAGAAACGTCAATCTTATCTGTATCTTGTCCGTAAAAGTCAGAAGGCAGTGGCGAATCAGGCCAGTGGTTGTAGTTAGGATGAGAACCAGATTCTGGGCCTGGTTGGCAATCTTTGGCTGTGGTGATGATGATGTTTTGTTTTGGTGGGGCGATAGGAAACTGAGGATCATAACCGGAATCTGTCCATGACTTGTGTACTCTTTTGTCTGCCTCAAGATTCACTTTGTGGAATCTGTCAAGAAGAGCTGAAGGAGGGAGCTGAAACCATACGTCATAGGCATCAACCAGAAGCGCAATATCGTCATCGACTGCGTGGTTTTCTTCGTAAAGCGTATCAAGAGCAACAAGGAGGGACTCTAACTTTGCAATATGAGAGCCGGAAAAGTGCCAATCAGGTCGGTTGAACTCTCCGTTCCAGTTTAGCAGTGTAGGCATCGGATACCCAAGAGCCACAGCAGAATGTACGACTTTGCAAAGGTTTATGCTTGGGCCATTAGCTGGCATAAACAACCGCAGATGACGATGGCCAGTAGAAGGTTCGTTTTCCGCGACTGAAAAGTTGAATCCTGCGAGCTTCTGGTGCACTCCTGCCCAAACGTTGGTTTCTTTAGGCCATCCGTGATCTGAATTTCCCTTAAGCTAAACCCAAACAGAGTTAGTCCATCTTATCGAAGCCACAGGAAACAGGCTATGGAGAGGTTACAACCACCAAAACGTACCAAAATCAAGACGATTGTGAGGCTGGTAAGTATAACCAAGAGAACGCTGGACTTTGCCGCACTAATGGAGGGTAGCAAATTAACCAGCCGCTTAACGCCAGCTTTTGGCAACAATGATCGAATTCCCACCATTATCTTGCGGATGTGCATGAACTTTGGGAGTTCTGACGAACTGTGGTCTCGGATAGTTGTCCTGGATAAATATTCTTGTTTCAACATTCTTTCTAAAGTGAATTATGTATGCATTCTGTTGTATATCATGAGAAGCCCCCGTCGAAGCAGCAGGGGATCGATAACACCCCTTTCTTCCCCACACAAACTACTTGTACAGGTTCAAATCACATGTCTCCTGCAATGTATGAATGTCAAAACGGCAAAATACACCTGCCAATCTCGTATTCGTCTCAAGTACTCGGGCAACGAAAAGAACGGCCCACATTTCCCACAACCAACACCGACAGTGTGCCATGCACTCTGTTACCGGGGTGTTAAGTTGTTGCCTAACATGATCCCAGGCGAGCTCCCCATCATGCCGCTCTTGACCACATAACCGTTTGCCAGGCCTAGCAATGATGGCCCCGTTTAAAATCCTGGGCATTTCATAGCATCTTCAACTCTATTTCCCTTGACCTCGTTACGTCTTTCTTTGGCTGTTTCCCCTTGAAGGTTTGCACCACTTCAACTTACGAATAAGGTGTGCACGAAAATGTCGTCAAGCCAGGTGGATGACTCGTTTCTTACAAAGTATCGTATGCGAACGTTCTTGGGCTTTGCATTGATAGGTTTGCTTCCCCTCTCCCACGGACTCTCAACAAGTTAGTTTAGTTATGCTAACTACCATTTCAAAGGTCTTGCAAACACCATCCTCGCACGCATTACCCACGCAGCAAACTATCTAATCATCCCATACCCAAAGGCTATCGTCCTGATACTCGAGCTTCTTCCATCTGGTTTAACCAAAATATTCCTACCGTTTATTCTTGACTATATCCCCCAAAATGCTCGCCCTGTCCTTCTGGCTGGGTCATGGATATTGGTCAAGACTGTCGTCTCAGCTACGCCCCCCAATGTGCTACCTTCCGTACGTGTCTTGATGACAATTTTGGCTGCCTGTTCTTCGGCCGCTACTGAACTCTGTGTTTTGGACTTGGTTCGGAGCTATGGTCGGCTTGGACTCATTGCCTGGGCTGTCGGCACCAGCCTTGGTCAACTGGCCAATGCTATGTGGCCAATATTGTTGACGTCGTCCAAGGGAATGACACTAAGAGAAGGAACTGGATACATGTACAACATGGTCTTCACGATTCTTCTCGCTTACTTCGTCGTCTTGCCGAGAAGTTTTCTTGCAACTGGACGCCGAGAGGTTGACTTGGGCAAGCGAGAGACAACCAACTACTACGACACAGAACTGATGGGAGATAACTCGACGGCACCTGAAAAAGCTGCAAGGAAATTAGTTCGGGACCGTACATTGCTGTCTGCTGTTACGGTCCAGTACCTACCTACAGTGCTTATTGCTTCAGCTGCGCAGGCAATGGTCTTTCCCGGCATGGCTCTCGCCCTTGATGGCTCCTCATTTTCTACGCTTCTCTCGTGGACCTCTGGGCTTGCTTTTGCGCTGTCTCTAGGCAATCTCTTGGCAAGATTGTTAACTATTTCACTCAGACTTGGGAATCATAGGGTCGTTTTGATTCTCCTAGCCTGGATGGTAGCCCTGTTGCTAGCAGACTCCATCTTCTTCCTCGGTTCTAGTTGGGTCGTGCTCTGCGTGGCCTTTGGCTCTGGCTTATTAGGGGGCGCAGTATATGTTGAGGTCTTTGACGGCGTGCTGAAGGCGGTCTCTGACCATCCCGACTGCCTATTGAACCTTGGTATCATCAGTTCGGGTGATACAGCTGGCATTCTGCTAGGCGGGTTGATTGGATTGTTATGGGAAGCAGCAATTTGCAGTGTGACTGTAGACACTGGGAGGTTCTGCCACAGAGTTCAGTGGGGTTAAACCCAAACTTTCTAACGGACTGCGGCCCTTGTATGGCTTATTTACCACAGCCTAGTGAAGGCTCTTCTTGTTAAAGGTTGACCTTAGCAACGTGAGAGTAGATGGACACAACCAAGGAGAAAATTTCTATGCTACTGTTGTTTGACTGCAGATGATCCACAATTTAATTTTCACAACACCTTGTTCCACAGTGATACTTGAACAACAAAAGAACTGACTGAACGCCATTTCTCTTGATTTTTCTGAATGTTACTTAACATTGTTAGTGAAGGGTTGCCTTCCTGCTCTCCTCCTTCTCCAGTCTGCAGGCTGACTTGAAGAGCCCAGTCAGCTGATTTAAGAATGGGTTTCCAAACCGATCGCTGTCTACCTTAATTCTTTCCAGACATAGATCACAGTGGAATTACACATGGCAGCCTGAAGTCTATCAATGGCGGGGTCTAATGAACCTTTTTCTTTTACAGACGCGACTGAAGGGCTAAAATTCGAAAGTCAAAATGACTGACAGATGCAATTGTCGAAATCAGACCAACGTGTCGACGCATGTTAAACCCATGCGATGGCAGATCTTGAAGACATCATCCACGTCGCTGAGGCCCTTGACATGATTACCTAGCAAGCCCATCCGCAGTTGCATGAGCCAGGCATCCTGGACACTCTGTATAGTCTTGGGGTCGAGAAACACTCCCAAAATCCGACCCCTGGCTGACCAAGGGAATGACAACAAATGTGCTCCGATCGGTGTGGTAATGCTTCAGACCCTTAGCCTTCCCTCTAAAACTTTTCTCTACTGCATAACAAGTCGTTTCTTACAGTCTTCCTCATTGTTGAACTGAATAATGTACGGGCTTTTGAAACTTATTTATTCTCAACCATATTAATAGTGGATACTCTAATCCTTGAAGTACACCATAGCGAAACCTTCATGAGCACCCTTTGCAAAAGCCTTCAGTTCAGCATGAGCGGCACATTCATTGTCATAGAAGGCCATATCCTCAGCAGATGCAAACGTAGACACAGCTGCTACTGTAAACCCTTGTGCCCTTTGGTCGGCGACGGCCAGACCTGCCTTGACCGAAAGGATGTAAGGTTTTCCGTTCTGATAGATGTAAGCTTTTTTTGCAATGTCTTTGGCAGCTCGCCCAAGTTTGACGCCAGGAACTATGCTGTGGCCTGCATGCCTGCCTGAAAACCCACCTTTACTGCCTTCTGAGGCATCTGCTGGTAGAATGATAAGGCCTTCTTCTGGTTTTCCTCATCGGGAATCTTGAAAAGAGTAATTCTGGTGATTTGACCGGACATTTTGTAATGTGTACTTCCAACGTAGGCTTTGTCTGATGGGTTTGCGGTAAAAATGCTGAGACTTAGAGACACGAAATTGCGGTCTTCCTCAATACCAACGGAATTATGTACGAGATTTTGAAAATTATTTTCCAACATGCACTGATCCCAAGAAACACTATTGCCAAACTGTTCGTCTGCCGCCGAATTTAGGTTTCATAGAAGTGGTCGATGAGGTGTTTGTAATTCCGACGTCTCGGAACTGAACTGTGGAGTCTCGGAATCGGGAAGTCTTGCACCTTCCGCGGAAGGCCAATTGAAATGCAAAAGAACAACTCTAATACGCATCAACCAAGCTTTAGATATCGAAAAAAACAGAAACCTTCAGTCACTTATGACAGTTTTATGCCTTGGTCCTACTATTTTCAAAATGAAGTCTTGGTTACCCATTCCTGCGCGATCACATTTCTCACTTCGCAACATCCCGTTTGGTGTGATCTCCACCAAAGATAATCAGTTACACCGTCCGGCTGTCGCCATTGGGGACCATATTCTTGATCTCGACGCATTTGCTACAGGCGGTGGGTTTCATCATGCCTCAAGCATCCTGCCAGAGCACCTAAAGGTGTTTTCACAACCGACCCTTAACTCTTTTGCGGAACTCGGAAGGCCAATCCACCGTCTTGTCCGGTCATATTTGCAGGAGGTTTTCCAGGAGAACACACCTCATCCAGATGTTCTCAAGGAAAACGAGGCACTGCGGAAAGCTGCTTTGCGACCTGCATCTGAAGTATCTTTGCATCTTCCACTCTCCATCGGAGATTATACCGACTTCTTTGCTGGACGCAATCATGCGCATAACGTCGGAACCTTGTTCAGAGGACCAGCAAATGCGCTTAACCCTAACTATAACCACCTCCCCGTCGCATACCATGGTCGTGCAAGTTCCGTTGTAGTCTCTGGGACACCGCTCCGAAGACCATGGGGCCAAGCTTTGCCGGCACCCGGTGCAACGGAGCCGGTTTTCCGTCCATGCGCCCGTCTTGACATTGAACTAGAGATGGGAATGTTTGTTTCCCGGCCTAACAGTCTTGGGAGCCCAATTCCCATTAAAGATGCCGAGGAGTACATTTTTGGTTATGTCTTGATGAACGACTGGAGCGCCAGAGACATTCAACAGTGGGAATACGTACCGCTTGGGCCTTTCAACGCCAAGAATTTCGGCACAACCATTAGCCCCTGGGTTGTGCTTGCGGACGCACTGGAGCCTTTCCGAACACAAGGGCTTGAGAACGACACCCCGCTGCAGAGCTACCTTCGGGAGGAGAGGCCTGATAAAGTTTTTGATATCAAGCTACAAGTTTCACTTTCTGGTAGGCTATTTCATTCATGGCAAAAACTATTGGGCTTCTGGGATTAGAGCACGAACGCTGACTTGATCTTTATTTCTTCAATTTTAGCTTCAGGAGATGAAGAAACAGTACTTACAAACACGTCTTCCAAGAACCTCCTGTGGTCGTGGCCACAAATGGTAGCCCACCACTCAATCTCTGGGTGTAACCTTCGCGCTGGAGATCTTCTTGGATCAGGAACAATCTCCGGCTTCGAGCCAGGGACACAAGGCAGCCTACTAGAACAGTCACAAGGTGGAAAAGTGCCTATCAAACTAAATGGAGGCAAAGAACGAAAGTTCCTCGAAGATGGTGACACAGTGATCATTCGAGGTTGGGCTGGCAAGCAAGACGGTGAAATAGTAGGATTTGGAGAGTGCTCTGGTCAGATTCTTCCATCTGTACCCTTGTGATTTGAAATTAGTCTGGATATAAGGTAGAGCGGGTGTTATGTGCCAATATCATTTAGTTGCCTCCGCACTGATTAGATATTAAATAAGTGCCTTCCGTTAGGAAAGGCTAAGCTTGTCCTCAGAGAAAGCCCTGTAAGAAAAGTCGTATACCTATACTATCCCTACTCATACTCTATAATAAGCTGGTGCCTCTATTCCGTAATTAGTCTATAAGAATTATTGTTTATTAGTTTACAGTTTTTAGTTGCATACTAATTGGCTAATATAGTAGTCATATGCAACATGATTTAAAATTTGCGTTGATCTAGGGTTGACAGTAACATGACGTTGCACGTGCTATAATTTCGAGCTTTTATATGATGCATCGTGAATACATACTGTTTGCGTCAGACGTCATTATTTGCTGGGACTTCGGTTTGATTCGCTCCATGTGCCGTCGTTTAGCCGCTGAATTGCTCGGCCCTGCTGACCAGAGCCTTGCCAACGTGGCCTAGTTACGCGAACCTATCTCCAATCAAGTTTCTTCAAAGGAAACAATTTGTCACATTAACCTTTGTCAGTGTAAATTTGGCTGGTTTCACCTACGAGGCCCCTCGAAACTTAAGTTATCAGAGATGTGTTCCTAGTGACAGTATTTCTTAACTGAACATAGGCGTTTTAACAACCTGGCGTCACCGTATACCTAAGATACGAAAGCACAGTACACAACCCCAAAGAAAAAAAAAGATAACAAGGTACACCACGTGATAGTATGTTTCTCAGCCTGATTCAGCGACGCATCCCCAGACCCAGTTGAAAATACAATTTGCGGTACTGACATCATGCTTAAGGGCTATAAGAACATAATGAGGAATAAAGGCTCTTATGTTGAACCTGGAGAAAGCTTAGGCAGAAGCTCCGACCCATTAGCCCCTATTACTAGACATGTAAGGATTGAGAAGAACGGCGCAAGAGGTCACAGATGCCTTACTTGCCGTCCTCCTAAGGTACGTCAGATATGGTGGCTACTGAAAAAACATGAGACGGGAGTAAGGGAAAAGCGATTCAGGGAATATCTGCTAACTATCACAGGTCTTTCTCAATACGTTAGACCTCAAGTAAGTGGATTGAGGAATCTTAAAAATCGAGCAGCCCGGAAATATTGGTGGCTGACAATTTCTTTCAAAGAGCACACCGGGCTTCGAAACACGATAATGAGAAGCACAGTTGTCGTGAAACTGAGTTTGATCTTACACTTAACAACAGCCGTTCACGTCGGTATCACGTTGAAAACCAGTATGTTGTTGTCATCCTTACATTAGTTATAAAACCATGAGCGTCCCAATTAACGCAAATATACAAGTGAGAAAATAGCAACCAACGCATTGAAATCATCAGGAAAGCGACTGAAAGGCTTTCGAAACTCTACAAACGAAGTTCCTGGAGGTTTACATACAAATCAGCGTAGGGCTGCCGTACTAGCCCAGGAACAAGGGCAACCGGTGGCCCCGGCCAATATGGGCCCGGCTCTTGACGCGATGCCGTTGCATATTGCCGGAGGACGAGATCGGGTGATGCCTAACTGGACTAAAAATTCTCAAAAAATCCAAAGTGGCGTCAAAATGGACAATCAAGGTGGCCGGCCCACCGGTCTCAACCAGCAAATCTTCCAAATGCCAGGCGGACAGACCAGGTCACAAAATGGTCTTCCAACCCACCCTTCGGACCTGACGCAGGCCGACCAGCAGAAGGTGATGGAGCTCGCGCAAAAATTGGCCGCATCCTGCCCCGAGCCTCAAAAGAACCACTATCGCACCCTCGTCCAGACGCGCTTCGCCCAGCGCGCACAGGAGGACACTGCCCAGGGCAAAGACCCTGTGCTTATTTGGTTTCAACACCAGGCCTTCCAGGGGCTCACCAAGAACATTGCGATGCAGAGGCAGCAACGACAACTGAAAGACAATATGCCTCCAAATATGAACCCGCAGGCACAGGCCACCATGCAGGCTAGCCGAGAGCAGATAAGCCCTGCTATGATGGAAACGGCTATTATACCGGGTGCAAATGGTAATTATGGCCAGTTCAACACAATTGAGAGCACCAACCAGCAGAAAGTCGGGATATTAGCCCAAGAACAAGGTCAGACAGTAGTGTCTACCAGTAACGATCCAGCTCTTAGCGCGTCGCCGCATCCTGTTACCAAAGGACAAGGTCAAGAAATGCCCATGCAAGAAGTCCATCCTCATCATAATGAGATAAAGCAAAAGCAGATGGCAACCGCTATGGCGAGGTTGACGAACATGCGACAGACCCAAGAGCTGCTGTTGAAGCTCCCTTCGACATTTCGACTAAACACCATGAGCTCTTCTCTCTCAGCCCATCACACTATCTCCAAAGATTTCACAGGTGGTGAAGATGCACGAAATGCTTCCCTGTTCGCTGATCTAGGCGCTAGATTAAACGGCTGTCCTCAGGCAAGCAGTAGAAACAAGCCTAAGATGTAGTATCACAAAAATAACGACTTACAATGTATAATTTGAAAGTGAAAACATTTTCGTTCTTAACGGACATAAGAACAACATCGAGTTCATGTCGATTGTGAATTTACTAAGAAAGGACAGCATTTCTGGACACCCTCCTTAATCAAGATATATTATATAACTATGAGACACCGTGCTATAGACCCTCGAATCTCAAATGGCTGAATCAACGAGAAATCGATATATAGTCAAAAGTGAGAATTCCCAACTGCCATTCAAGAGGTGGCATTCTCACAATTGCATTCGCATCAGGGACCCATAAGTCACATCAGTCGCATAACCTATGACGACAATACCTTTTTCTACTATATATTTTTTTCAATTTCCTTGTAATGAAATCTGAATGCGCTGCCACCGCAGAGACGTCTTCGCACAAGCCGTACTTCTTGTATTTATAGCAGTCAGCGTAATTGCATTCAGCTTTAAGAACTAGATACGGAAACATGTCCTAAATCCCTACGCCCTCCATATCAAAGGTAATAACACAATTCTTCTCTACGACTTTCTTATGGTGTTCATCCGATTTCATAATCTTGTCACCATATACACTATAGCCGAAGTAAACAGCGGGTAGAGAGGCTGATATATTATCTATAATATCCTTAAGCCGTCGACGAGGTATAGGTTTAGTTTCATTATAAAAAAGTCTTTTACATAGAAAATTTTGGGCCTAGTTGTAAACACTATGAAAATAGTAAGCAGGATTGAAGCATTTATAGTAAGCATCGGGGTTGTTATACCTATACATATAGGTATATTCAAAGGGCTGATCCTCAGCAGCATCCGGATATACTGCTTGGCAATCAGGGCTTCATCTTACCAATGGGAGGTGCTCGCCTATTCTCTCTTGGAACCTGGGAGGTCAGCTCGACACTTCACTTTGCTACGACGCGATGAAATAGCTGGTGAGAAATTAGTACAAACTTTTATGTGAGAGCACCTCTAAGGCATGATTAAGTGTTCAGGCTCATCTTCAAACTGTGTTCGTGGGCTATTCTGCCAAGAACTTTGTTGAGGAACGATCTCCAGATCTAGTGACTGTCGCAATACTACAACATCAAAATCTGTGGGGATTGTTGCTGCACAGTGATTGTTAGCTCTGCCACTTTAATCGCACCACAGGATGACAAACGCAGAGCAGGCCTTGCAGCAGTCCATTAAAATCCCCGCATGATGAGCTCATGATGCGATATTTATTAATGAACCTTGGCACTGGCTTAATGTCTTGGAACTGCTAAAATTTCATCACGTCACCATTCATATCCACAGCAACCCAAAATATGGAGGATATAAATTCCAAGAGCAAAGTTCCCACCAAATGCCTTAGCATATGATCAGTGCAGTGGCCGGGTGATGACTATCAGCATCAATTGTTCGACGATTCCTAAAAACGAACACCACTTTAAATTTGCCCATTGTTGCATTCGAATCAGTGTAGTAGCTTAACAACAAAGCAGGCCATGATATACCAAAGACTGGCGGCATTCGCAGCCGCCGCAGGCTGCGGATTAGTCTTCGCGCAAGATCTTGTTGCTGATTCCGGTCGAGCTGGCCCACCCCTAGAGCTACTACATCTCTATAATGATCAGTGGCCTACCGGTAGGTCGTCGCCAGGGAGGTGAAAGGCATTATGCTCATTTATCACTCTAGGTATTGCCGTATCATCGACTGGTCGGAAATTCTCTAACTATCCCGGTGGACTTGACCCGAACAACACCAACAATGGAAATAACGGCAAGTATACTGTTGCCGAATTGTTTGGTAACAGCATCGAGACGCCATATCCAAACGTGGAAATCAACAGCCCACCCGGTGGAGCAATCAACTTTACTACAACTCCTCCGACTGGCGCCAACTATCAAGATCACCTAATCGGTGTGCAAAGCGTCGTCATCGATAGCGCCGACCGCCTATGGATTCTCGATACTGGGAGAGTACAGACGCCCGAGGGTGTCCTTGTCCCCGCCAGCGTTGGCGGCCCAAAATTGGTTGGTGTTGATCTGGCTACTAACTCAGTCTTTAAGACCATAGTCTTCCCAAACACTGTGGCATACCCTGATAGTTACTTGAACGATGTGCGATTTGACCTTAACCCTAGCCTGACCAGTAACGGACAAGGTGTTGCATATGTCACAGACTCGTCGGTTGAGGGTCGCACTGGCCTCATTGTTGTTGATCTCGGCAGCGGCGAATCATGGCGACACCTTGACGGCAGCCCATACGTCCAGGGCGATCGCCAATTCCTCGCATTTGTCTGGGGCCGAGAACTGTATTCGTACCAGCCAGGTAAACCGGCGACATTTTTGACATTCGGCGTCGACGGCATAGCGATTAGCGCAGACGGCAACAAGCTGTATTTTGGGGGTGTCGGGAATAGATACCTCTACAGCATACCCACAGAGAGACTTCGCGACAACTCAGCGACATCTGAGGTGCGGGCACAAGGTGCTGTCGTGACTGAGAGCCAAAAGGGGCTTTCTGACGGCTTCGAGACGGACACCAACGGCTTCATCTATCATGGAAACTTTGAGCAAAACGCAATCAACTTTTTCAACCCGGCAAACGGAACGGATCGGGTTTTCCTACGTGATCCTAGAATTAACTGGGCTGATACTGTAAGCTATTGACCATCGAAACGCTTCTAGGTCATACGATATACTGAACTATTCGCAGTTTTCTATCGCGACGGATGGGTATCTCTACTTCACCAACAATCAGCTTGCTTTTGGTCCGGCTATCTATCCAGGCACAGATCTGCGAAAGCGTCCATTCTCTTTGTTCAGGGCAAAGCTACCCACTGGCGGTTCCAAAGTTGTCGGATCATCTAACAGCACCGACCTGCTCCGTAACTAAAATTCGTTTGTTTCAAAAATGAGGGAAACTATTCTCAATGTGATAGGTGCCATAGGGATACCTATCGGGGTCATTAAAGATATGTTGGTGCTTCACACTAGGTAGAATAGCCATGCAGCCAAAAGTCATGGCTAGGAATAATATAATTTGATCACTTATCTAGGGGCTATCTTGTGTCAGCTGTATGGGATGAACCACGTAGACTGCAGAGCCATCAGCTATCAGTGTAAGGTGTATGCACTGCGGTGTGGTCCGCGATGCACTGCTGCGTCTAAGCAACCCAGTATTGACAGGAAATTATACAATCTCTTGCACCCAATAAACAATCACATGCTACATGATTAGGTTTCAGGCTTAAAATAATTCTCGATAAGCTTTTTCTTATCCATAATCATCACTGCTGCATTTCTTGCTCCTCCTTGTGACAGTACGGTATCTCGGAACTGGATGTGTTCCGCAATTCCGAATCCCGAATCTTCCAACATTTACCGCTAGCATTACTTTGCGGCGGCATTGAAAGAAAGTTTCCGTGTAACCGTTCCGTAGGGATAATTTTGAATTGAATTTGTCGGCAGTTGTGCTCGGGACACGCCTTTGATTGTAGGATGGCTTCCAAGTGGGATTCTTTCCCTATTGTGCCTGGCGCGTTCCTCCGGTTTCTGTAAGACGCCAGCTGTCTTAACATGAGTATAACTCCTTTGCCAGGCTCAAGCGTCTAGGTACAGATTCCACTACATCTCTCTGGCGCCGTTAGTCCTTTACTTAGTCACCGCAAGTGGAGCATAAAATCAAGCCCATATAGTTCCCCAAGCCTACACACATTATCTCTTCTGCCATTTGAAAGCAAGCTACTTCTTCTTATCTTTAATAAGATTGCTTGTCATCATGCCCGTGACAAATTTCGCTGTCAAAGAGAGATACGAGTATCTCAACGGCTTTGGGTCCTATCATGAGTAAGCCTCAACCCATGTCTAATAAGGACAACCGTTTTAGAAGTCCATGGTCTTTCTGCGCTTTTACTTACTCCGAACAGGTCGGAAGCCATAAAGGGGACCCTGCCCATTGGAGCCAATTCCCCTCAAAAAGCACCATATGGCTTGTACGCTGAAAAGCTCTCAGGCACTGCGTTTACAGCCCCTCGGCATGAGAATCTCCAAACATGGCTGTACCGTATCATTCCTTCCGCAGCACACACCTCTTTTGAATCACTACGTGAAAATGGGCCTGAAACAGGCGGAAAAATACACCAGATTCCGAACCAGTTACGTTGGGATCCCTTCGACATTAACACTGAGACGGACTGGATCAGTGGGCTGAGGCCTGTTGGTGGTGCTGGCGACCCTTCCATGAAGACTGGACTAGGCATTTTCATATTTGCCGCCGGTAAGAGCATGGAACATAATGTAGCCATGTATTCTTCTGACGGCGAAATGTTGATCGTCCTCCAACATGGAGTTCTTGACATCCAGACTGAGCTAGGAAAGATACTTGTCCGGCCTAATGAGATCGCAGTCATACCACGAGGGATCAAGTATCGAGTCGACCTTCCCGAGGGACCGGTTAGAGGTTACATCCTTGAGCTTTACCAGGGCCACTTCACTCTCCCTGAGCTTGGTCCCATTGGATCGAACTGTCTCGCGAACGCACGAGACTTTCAGGCCCCCGTTGCCGCATTTGACGAAGACGAAACCGAATGGTCAATCATCACCAAGTTCAATGGGTCTCTTTTCATTGCGAAACAGAACCACACTCCCTTTGACGTCGTGGGATGGCATGGGCGGTACTACCCCTATAAATATGACTTGGGCCGATTCTCAGTCATTGGCAGCATCTCTTTCGACCACCCGGACCCCTCCATCTACACGGTACTCACAGGCCCATCAGACCATCCCGGGACGGCCGTTGCAGACTTTGTGATCTTTCCTCCCCGCTGGCTTGTGCAGGAAGATACGTTTCGCCCACCGTGGTATCATCGAAACACGATGTCTGAGTTCATGGGACTCATTTGCGGAGATTATGACGCGAAAAGTGGCGGTGGCTTTCGTCCTGCAGGAGCAAGTTTGCACAATGTCATGTCGGCTCATGGGCCTGATGCCAACACCTTTGAGAAGGCATCCAATGCCGAGCTCAAGCCGCAAAAGATTGGAGAGGGTAGTATGGCATTCATGTTTGAGAGCTCTTTGATGATTGGGGTTACCGACTGGGGCTTGGAGACATGCCAAAAGGTTCAGAAGGGTTATAGCGAAGAGAGCTGGACGGGTTTGAAAAAGCATTTCAAGCGACCGGAATGAGCGGCCGGGTTGTCTAGGGGGTTAATCAAGATACATATTGACAACGTGATTGTGCAACTTATGGATAACCTGGGAGCATAAAGTGTGTTTACTTTGCTGAAATAAATTCATGTCCAATAAGAACGTTTTGCCACAGGGTTTGAGCCAAGCACTAAGTTTCAATAAGACGCGGACCTGATTTCCGGGGATTCCGGTGTAGATGAGAGTTCCCTTACACTGAAAAGATTGGGCTTCCGGCGAAGCGTAAGCAGTACGAAAACCCCTGAGTCGGGGTCGTACTACTACCCTGCCCGATGGACTGCAGCAGCATGGCAGATGCATACTTCATCCGTCGGTAAGAAAAATTGCTGTTTTCAAATGACTTTGGAAAAATGATCACGGGGAATGACGTCTGCTGGCTGTCCGACAATAGCAGTCACAATAATCAGTTTCTCTTTAGCCTGTAATAAGACTAAACTTGGAGTGGAGATCGGATGCAGAAAGAGAAGAAAAAATGCCATAGTACGACTGCCCTGAATAACAGCGAAGTGCTCCCACCATCGGAGTCATGAATTTAAAGTCTAACTATCCCTAATCCCTTCCACTACCTCAGATGCAACAACAGGAACCTCAAACTTGGTACATCCGCGTAAGAAATAATAACCCAATCCAAAAGCCAGCCAGCCAGCCATGACGACAGAAGAATAGTTCATGTTCTGTGACGTGACAGGCTGCATAGAAGGAAACATGCTGAAAATGATCACAACGGTCATCCAAACGAGGCTAATAACATTCAGTACGGGACCGACGGAGTTCCCCAGCTTGAAGGGGCCGTATTCCTTGCGTGCGAGCTTCTTTCGACCCACAAGAAGCATGTAGGCAATGGGGATGCTGTATGAAAGGTAAATGCCGATGATGGCCATGGACAAAACAGCATTGAAAGCAGTAGTGTTTCCAAGGTAGAGGAACCCGAGTAGAAGTTGGCCAACGGTGACCACAACCACCGCTCTGACAGGGACCTGGAGACCTTTGTGAACATGGCTGAAATAGCTGTCGAAGGGTATTGCTTTATCACGAGCAAATGCCCAAAGGGTGCGAGATGCCGAGGTAATGCCACCGACGGTTGCTGCAGTGGCAATCAAGACCGGCATTAAGGACATGACTGTCGATCCGGCTCTAGATTTGGTTGCATCAAGATAAATTTGCATAAAGGGGAAGCCTGTAGGGGTGCTTAGAAGCGACTCGAGGGATCCAGTTGAGAAGAGAAGAACGATGCAGTAGATAAGGCCCATAATGCCATTGACTGTAACACTTCCAACCATGGCGATAGGAACGTTTCGAGGTGCGTTTGGGATTTCTTCCGCCAGATGGCAAGCGGCATCGTATCTGGAAAGTGTACTCTGTTAGTTATGACCCTTTTCAACGCTAATCACTGCCAGGTGAACTGCTGCTGAATCAGATTGAAACACTTACCCTAAGAAAGGGTACACGGCGCTTATAAGGCCAACGAGCCACGAAACCCCATCATTGCTCCATCCACTGCTGTTGACGACCTCTGTAAAGACAAATGACGGAGTGTTTTTTGGTGCCATTACACCAAGGACAATAAGAATCGCGATGAAACCTGCGACATGAATGACACCTTCACCGAAAAGAGTAAGAAACTGCACAACAGGAACTTTGGTCCCAATCTTTGAGGCTGGTGCTTACCGGATAGCATGTTTGCATGGGGGAGCAGTCTCGAACCCCAGATATTGAGAGCAGCCGAGTAAAGTAGAATCGCCCAATAAAATAACATTCCTTGCCATCGCTGGGGGATATATGAATCGTTATTCAGGATAATGAGTGACTGTGCCTGCAGTCCAGCTGCGAATGCGGCCGACGCGCAGAAGACCATCAGGCCACCGACTGAGATCCACCCGGTGGTGAATGCCGCAAGAGATCGACTTCTGGGTGGGCAAAGTACTGCAACCCAGTGATATTGTCCTTTAGATCATTGATATTAGAGGTCTGAAAGACTTAAGTGAGAGTTGGAATGGGCTTACCGCCAGCTGTGGGATAGATAGAGGCGATCTCGCCTAGGGATGCTGCAATGCATACAGAGCAGCTGAATGACAAGATGCTGGGAATCATCATAAGCTTCTCTGAATCTTGGAATGCGATTATGTGGTTTGTGATAACATACTAGTTGTAGAAAAGGCATGGTGCTCCTCCGCTCAACAGAGCCTGGGCGATAACAGTAGAAAGTGCCTCCCATGTTGCCATGAGACAGAGGCATAGCGCCCCCAGGGTCGGCAACGAGAACTGTCTGTTCAGCTCCTGGGTATGGCCGAGTTGGGCGAGGCGGTCTTCATCTGATATGATGTTGTCGGCAACTGAATCGACAGGCCTCAGCGGCTCGCCAGTCTTTGTCTCGTTGACATCCATGATGTGCTCGACGTGTGGTTTCTCCATTGCGGCACTCGTCAACAGAATGACTTCGTGCGTTTTTCTTTTGTATTTTCAGAAACTTGAAATGTGTAGAAGGATGGAGAGTAATGACTTGGCTACTTTCTACCCCCCATGAAGCTGGATACGGAAAGATTTGGGGGCGAATCCAAGGCGATTTCCCCGGAAATGGTCATTAGCACCCCTGGCTTCTGCAGAATACGACGTGACAGGACTTTTATTGCTAATTCTGCACTTTTGACAGGTTAACGATAGTGTAGGCTTGTTGGAGATAACACCCCTGGATGCTGAAGGTGGCATACGACACAGAATTGGTGGTTCACATTGACGGGGAGCCAGATCTAGTTTGGGAATTTCCGCATTCCGAGAAGAAGACACTTGCACTTTGGTGGCTCAAGCTTGCAATGAAACCAAGCTAGACGGGATCAGCGACCACATCACAGATAACAGAGTCACGTTGTCAGCGCCCCATGTTGAGGTTACGTAGATATGGAGATAAGGTATGTGTATTTCAACTGATAAACAACAATATTGGGTATGTTGCGATTTTGACAAGTCCAGTTGTTGTCCAAGTCCACACTTGCCAACTCGTTGCATCCAGTTTCCTCCACATAAAATCAGATGTAAATACCACCTGGGCCTGAGGGACTCTAGAATGACACAGACCACCGGTGGCTTTGTTATCAGAAGGATCTTAACCCAATTGAGATAAATTAGCCAGAGGGGGGGTGCACGGCGACATGCGTGTGACCACGATGGGGGTTATTAGCAGGGGTTTACCTCAGCGCCGTTCGGAAACCAACTGGTTCCGGCCGGAATGCACTCTGCAGCATCCGCAGGGCATCCCGTCGTTCCGTGCGGGGTCGCCTACCCACCCCCGCATGCTAATCGTGGGGTTACAGATGCGGGGACTTGGTGCTTGTGTTCCATGTTACTAACTTACTTCCGAGAGGAACGGATTGAGCGGCACAGGCTGGTGGTTGACAGTACCGATGGGACCCGAGCGGCATTAGCATCTGAAAGGGCTGAGGCAGGCTAGAGGCGGGAGGGTAAGACCAATATACATATCATGCGTCAGTAGTAATCCGTTTCTCATGTCTTGCAATTGGACACAGAGTACCCCAGCCTCATATTGTTGTGATCAAAGTCGCACCTATCCAAGATGGCCATTGCAAATGTTATCCAAGCTTTCCAGCAAAGGGTCTTTGACCACGCATTACAGTCGACTGTTACAGCCATCTTCCTAATACCTCTTGTCTACGTCATTGCCAATGAGTTCATTCGCTCCAAAGCTCGAATCGCCAAGTTAGACGGACCTCGGGGGCTACCCCTAATCGGAAACCTCTTGGACATCCGAGTTAATGCTGCAGAGCAGTATCGCAGCTGGGCCAAGCGATTTGGATCGGTATACCAGATACAGCTTGGTAATGTTCCTGTCGTTGTTGTCAACTCTGCCTCCGCTGCGAGGACACTGTTCGGACAAAATGCCCAGGCTCTCAGTTCTCGGCCAGAGTTCTACACTTTCCACAAGGTAAGCACTGCCCAACAGACAGACGCATTTTAACCGGAGGGCTTTCACTAATACGAATATGGTAGGTTCTCTCAGATACCGCTGGAACCACCATCGGTACCTCTCCCTACAGCGACTCCCTTAAACGCCGCCGTAAGGGCGCTGCTTCAGCTTTGAATCGACCGTCTGTGGCAACCTACGTCCCTCACCTTGACGTGGAAACCAAAGACTTCATCAAGGAACTCTATGAGTACGGAAAAGGCGGAGAGACTCCCGTCGACCCCATGCCCATGATTCAGCGTCTATCTCTCTCACTTGCCTTGACTCTTAACTGGGGAGTTCGTATGAGCAGCCAGAAGGATGGCCTCTTCAAGGAAATCACCCACGTGGAAGAGGAGATTAGCCGCTTCCGATCGACGACCGGAAACCTTCAGGATTACGTGCCTATTCTCCGTTTGAATCCCATAAACACGCATTCGGCCAAGGCCCGCGATATGCGAAACAGACGTGACGTTTACTTGACTGCTCTAAACAGAGGCCTCGACGAGCGCATGGCCAACGGAACACACAAGCCCTGCATTCAGGCCAATGTCATTATGGACCAGGATGCGAAGCTTAACAAGGCGGAGCTGACATCGATCAGCCTGACAATGCTTTCTGGAGGCCTTGACACAATTACAACGCAAGTCGCATGGTTTGTGGCGTTGCTTGCCCAACGACCCGACATCCAGGATAAAGCTGTTGCAGCTATCCGGGAGTTTTACAGCGAAAAGCAACCCATGTGTGACTCAGAAGATGACCAGCAATGCCGCTACATCGTGGCATTGGTGCGGGAGTCGCTCAGATACTACACTGTTCTGCGTCTGGCCCTTCCCCGAGCGTCGGTCCGCGATGTTCCTTTCGGCGAGGTCATGATTCCCAAGGGATCTGTCATATTCCTGAATGCGTGGGCGTGCAACATGGGTAAGTAGCACACATCATTGTGGCAAATTATTTTACTAATTATTGATAGATCCCGAAGTCTGGACTGATCCCGAGGTATTCCGCCCCGAGAGATGGCTGGAACAGCCTGACGCGCCGCTCTTTACATACGGGGTTGGCTACCGCATGTGCGCGGGCTCGCTTCTTGCCAATAGAGAGTTGTATCTTGTCTACATGAGATTGATTAACAGCTTCAAAATCGAGAAGCATGATGACGTTGACCATCATCCAGTCTCTGGCAACGCTGACCCCACGAGCTTAGTGGCCATGCCGAGACCTTACAGGGCGAGGTTTGTACCTCGAAATGCGGAGACATTGAGCAGTGTTCTTCAGGAGTTTGAAGAGAAGGCATAGGGTATTAGGAACAGTTGAAGGAGGGGAATTTGATATGGAACTAGTGTAGTCATCAATTAGGGGTTGGTGGTGAAGAGATATCAAATAGGCAAGGGAGGATTCCAGTTACCGGTACGAATGAGATTTCTGTAGTCAAATCAAGAGGTAAATGTAAAAGTATTCGGGAGAATATCTAGGGGAAAAATAAGACAAACTGTGTTGACCGCTAAACAAATAATTAAGATTAACACTATGTTGAAAAGCTGTCATTGCGAATTATGGCAAGGCTCTGGCCGTTTTCAAGTGACAAACAAAGCTATGGGAGCAACCATAACCTCAAGGAGGATGGCTGTAAGCTTCAGAAATACAAAATTGAAACTCTTTGTGCAAACCGAGAACGAAAAGTGGTGACAACTGTGATTGTCTCGTTGGTTCTCAACGCGGAAACAGTGTGTGGGGAAGGGTGCAGTGGGGAAAGATGCCGGATCCCGGACCTTGTCCGGCCAGCTTAGATACAAAACCCCCACACTTCCCCATATTCTGGGCGTCTCCTCTCGCCTCAACCCCCTATGACAACTGGCTTACCCCAAATTCATGGCTTCATACATTTCATGACATCGAAAGACATGGCTTCAAATACCGACGACTTGGAACCGCAATCTCCTACAGCAGAATCGTCAGCAAGAAGGAAATCACCGCCTCCTGGATCGAGCAATCCGCCCAGGTCGAAGCGCGCCAAATATGCAGCAGCCGCTTGGTATGTCCCGAACCAATGCAAGTTCTGTACAGGGCCTTACAATGAAGCAGCGTAGAGTGCAAGAAACGAAAGCTCAAATGCATCAGGAACGAGAATGAGGAAGAATGCCAACGATGTGTATCAAGCGGCGTACAATGTGTCTTTGGCGCGGCCCCGTCGCAAGACGGAAGCATTGCGCCGAGAGAAAGGCCCAAGACTAACAGGAGACTCCCGCGAAATAGGTAACGAACTTAATCTTGGATGATATTGCCACTTCTATCATGAGCCATTCTTAACTCTTCTGGACAGTCTATCAAGCGAGATCATCATGGATGAGATCTCCTTGCTACGGGAACAGGTCGCTAGCCTAGCCAATACCGTGGGCAAGCTGGCTTCGGACAAGACCCGCCAAACTTCATCAAATTCTCCCAGCTCCCAACGCCACATGTCAATACATGACATATCCTCGCCGCAGGCCGGGCAAGAACCGAAGCAACCGCAGTTTGTCGGTCCTACAAGGTCCGCCTTTAGTCTGAAGGTTGCCGAGACATCCCTCACAAGGATGGGCATCTCTGCGGAGACTCCACTCCCAGCTGGTGCGAGCGAGTCTCTCGCACCTACGCGGTACCCGACGCCCGAGCAGTCCGAGCCGGCACTCTCTGTTCCGGGTACCGATGTCCTTCTGACACTGCCGCTGGAAGAGTTCGTCAGGTTGCTCGAGGTCTTTCAGGAGGAGGTCGAGACGGTGTATCCATTCCTGGATACCGGAGAGCTTGTATCCAAGGCCGCGGACATTCGGGCCTTTGTGGACGATTCCCTGGATAGCACTGCATCAGTGAGCTCAGAAACTGTGGATATCAAGGATGTTGTTCTAGCAAAAGTCGCCGTGGCCACGAGCATATTGGTCGAAGTGCATGGCAAGAACCATGTCAGTAACAAGCTGGTCGAGCCAATCAAGAACCTTATATACCAGCTTTCGATCGACGCTCAAGCTGATTTGAAAGTAATTCAAATCATGACAATGATTGTAAGTTGCGATAGAGAAAACCCCAGTGTGATTCAACGAGTTGACCGTGGGACAGAGCATATACTACTTCTTCTCCGACGAAGAACTACTAGCCTGGAGGAACATTGGCATTGCCGCTCGAGCAGCTCTGGAGATGGGGTTACATCAGAACCTGAGCCTCGTGGAGAACTTCCCAGATGCACGAGAGCGTGCCTTGGCGGTGCGGGTGTTTTGGTGCGTCTATGTGCTTGATCGCCGGTGGAGTTTCGGGACGAGCCTCTCGTTCGCCTTGATCGACCGGGATATCGACCCGCATCTGCCTGAACCAGTAAGTTGCATTCATCCATCTATCCAACCCGGGGGTCTTTTTTTTTTTTTTTTTTTTTTTTTTTTTTTTAATTTATATGTTCCACATCTAACTCCATATCCAGCCGGAAGATTTCCCTTACCTCCGCTGTTTAATCGGGTACGGACGGCTATGCTCAAAAGCATGGGAGGCGTTACCCCCCTTCAGCGCACCGTCACAGTCGATCCCGAAGGACACTGTCGAATTCCTCGACTTCACGGCGCAGAACTGGTCAAGGTCCATCCCTAATGACCTCCAGCTCCGCTACCTACGGGACGCAAACATGCCCGTCGGGCAGCCGCGAGTGTTGAGACGACTACAGGCTCTGCTCTACCTACGCGGCAACCATATCCGCACGTTGATACACCGGCATCACGTCATCAGCTCGGCCAGCATCGAGGCCGATCCGCAAAAGGCGCGCCTCGTCGTCGACATGGCTATAGACAGCATATCCGTCCTGGTCAACCTCAGCGAGACGAGCGACATCTACATGCGCCAGCAGAGCGCATTCAACTACTTTCTGCTCAGTGCCCTTGCCGTAATATTCTTGGCCGTCTGCCATGGCTCTCGCGTATTTGCAGAGCCATGCAGAGACAGTTTCCTGTCCGCAGTGGAACTTGTCAAGGGGATATCCCGCCAGGGGACGGCGAGTCGTAGATTGTGGAAGAGTATCCGCGGGCTGCTGCCCCTTGCTCAGCGGATAGGGCTACGGGGAGACGAGAACACGAGCCGTCAGTCGCAGGATGCGAGTTCGGGCGGTCGTGTGTATGGCATGGGCCCGATGCTCAACGAGCAGCAAGGTAACGCTACGCCTACGTTGGGGCCGGATTTTGGTGGTTTACAATCTACGAGTTCATTGGGACCGACGAGCTCTGGGGGCGTGGCGCCAGATGCGTTTTCGCTCGGTAACGATTTGATGTTCCTTTTTGACGCGTTCGGGCAGGCGGACGAGCCCTGGCCGAATGGGATGCAGGATTACCTGGGAAGTAATGAGAACCAAGTTCCCATGATGGATGAAGAGGAGATTTCGCGGCATTTTTGGGGGTTGATTTGAGCGGATGTGAGGCAATGAAGTAGTCCTGAGACTTGGGGTGGTTAAAACGGGTGTTTCTCCCGGGCTGGAAAACACTATGGTTGTTTATGACAGTAGAAGAGGAGGAGTTTGTCCATGGTCATTCCCCAGGGCTTTTAGAGTGGTTTGCTTCAGATGTCAAGAAGAGGGGAAAGAAGAAGCGATCCGAGGAAGAATTCATGATATGACACGGGTTTAGTAAGGTCGTATTCCCATCGAAGCGAAGTAACCCGAGCGGAGGCAAGCAACCAGGAACTCGCATGCCCAGTGACATGCCTGTACGCATCGGATAGTTCGGAATGGGCGATTTTCAATAGGGATATGTACGGTCCCAACCGAACAGGCAGGAACAGGGTAACAGTGCGTTAGCCTTGGATCAATGGGGAAGCTGGGCTGCAAGCATGGTTGGAGTTGTTGGCAACCATGCCGGATACTGTTTTGCCAAGGTGATTGTTGGATAGAGGCGGATGGAATACCTTGATGATTGAGTGGTGTTTACATGGCTATGGCAAGTAGGCTATTGAGTTTGAGAAATGACAGAGAACAAAAGAAAAAAAGAAGAAAAAATTGAAGAGAAAATTTCCTCAGCTAAAGATTACGACGTCTTATCCTCGCATGGCGTCATCGTCAGTATACGAGCTGAAAGGCGACAAGCGGGTGAATTGGTATTTGGGATGCAGGGAGTTGGTTCTTGGCTCTCGACCACGCTGCCAACCAACTTTTGGCCAGTAATTCAGTAATTAAGGAATTATACCGTCGTGAACTGCCCGGATACCAGACCCGAGACACAAGAACCCGGATGGAGCAGTCTGAAGTTGCGGTTGTCCAATAGCATTGGTCAGAATAGCCGTTATCATTTCATCTCCACGGATACAGAGTATAATCGATGACGGAGCCAGAGCAGAGTTGTCAGAGTCATGGTTGGAGTTGTGGAGATTACAAAGTCGAATCGGCGACATTGGCCCGAGGTGATGGTTCTTAAGCTCCTTCCTTATCAGGGTTGAGGGTGGGGGGGTCCTATAGAGGGTCAAAGCGGGGGAGATAGGCGGCCTGGCACTCTGGGTTACCGATTTACGCTAATTAATCCTATCTATGTACCTATCTATGTACCTCTCAGTGTACCTACCCGTCTACCTGAGCCCCCTAACAAAGTGCGGCTTTTTTGGTTGTTGGTGGCGACCTGGTGGCCCTGATGGGGGCTAGTGTATTAGGACAGAGCCTTTTCAGTGGACAACCGTCGCTGTGTGCCCCCCTTGTCGCCTTCGATGCACAGGTGGTCAAGTAGGAGAAATAAACTCTTTTAACTTCCAGATAGAGTTGGGACGACGTCGCTTAATTCCAACTACACGGCAGACAATTCGTCTTTTTCTGTTGGCTAAATGACAAGTACCGCGTCCATCCCGAGATCCTACCTGACCAACCGGGAGAGAAATGAATGTCCGATGACTTGCTTCCAAGGTAAATCATCATATGAGCCTCAAACGGGGAGGGGTTGGGTTCCGGAGCCAACATTTACCCCTACGTACCGAGTCCTCCAGATAACTTGATTAAATCTCACAAGAAAACAAAACAGGATGGATCATGGCCGAACAAATGGTGATAAGCCCGTCCTACAGGAACCAATCCAAGCCCAATGCAGGCGGACTGGCCGTTTTCTTGGCATATGCCTATCAATATATTCGCCTCCAACCAATTGCCGCCCATGACATCCTTGATCCAGGCACGCGTTCCACAAACACACGTCTTGGCGTTGCTGGACCGCACACCACGAGCCTCAATATTTTCGACTGCATATCCCCTCTTTTTCTTTTTCCAAAATGGTCCTTGACCGAGCACGCCACGCGATCGCAGTCGTCACTCGTTGGCCGAGTTCTCGTGTAACCCTGAGGGGGGGGGGGGGGGCTTCCAGAAGGCCTCCAAGTCCCTAAGCCTCCCAAGAAACTCCCCCTCTCTCTCCCCAACCCCAGAACGGGACAAGAAAGCTCAAAAGTACATAGTATATCGCCGAGATCAGCAAAAGGGAAGTACGGCCGTCTGGAAATACGAATAAGATTGCTAAGACATGCAGACCCTGGCCAACCCAACACAGCATGGTAAACTAATGCTAATGCTACCTACCTCGATTCTAACCCCGTGTCGATTCCCTCCTGACCGAGTCACATAAACAAAAGAACCATACATTGACCCTCCTGCGAACAACAGTGCTACGTTGTCTTGCGTAGGCGAAGCAATTGCGCAACTCGTGTATGCCGTGAAGGGGACTTTGGCAAAGTACGACGCGGCCTCAGGGGATAAAGGAGGCCATCCCCCATCCCCCCCAGTGCCCCCATCCCGGAAAATGTGGGGTCGGAGGAGTCCCGCTTTTTTTCATGCGCCGTGAGCCACGAAAAGATTCCCCGGACCGTTGTCCGCCAAGCCGAACCTAATCCCGGGACCTTCCCCTTCGAGGTCTCCGCCAAGAGCCTCCAAGAACATCTCCATAGTTGGCCCAAACGAGCCGCCACCAAAACCAGGGATTCGCTTGGAAAAAAATTATCCCTCACATTTGCAATGTTACTCTAATGCAGCTTCTGACTGGCTCGCCCGCTGATATCGCCGTGTTCGCCAGTCTCTCTCACATCCGGGAACATGACCGTTATACTACCAGTATGCGGTTGGTGTGCTGCCTGTAATACCCTTCGCCGTACCCGAGTCGCCCCTAGTTACCGTTCACGAGGCCATGTGTTCCCCGTAGCGCCCAGAAATGCCCAGATCGATGGATGCTATGGCTAGCAGGCATCTTGCTGCATGTCCTCCGCATGTCAGAATTCGTTGACAAGAAGCAATGACTAGCTCCAAGCTCCATTCTTCGGTAGACCTTTGACGAGCTCTACTAATACCTAGACGAGCTCTGACTAGTGAGACCGACATGTTCGTATCCGAGGACGAGAGGATATAAAACTCGAGCTTGCTCCCGCTTCTTTGGACAGATTCTTCGAGAGCTCAACGGACCTCGATCTCAATCTCGAAGCCTTCACTGGTCAAGTTCTGTCAGGAAAACCTCTTGAATCCTTTGAACTGGTCATCCGTCACCATGGTTCGCGCCTCCTCTTACATCGGCTCCCTTGCCGTCCTCGCCGCTTCGGCGGTGGCCAAGGAGGTCCAGCCCAACGAGGCTCTTGCTGCCGAGTTTTACGACTCTGGCATCATCCACCAGCAGATCATGGCTAACAAGAAGGTACGTTTAACAGGTTCCCTTTTGTATGTTTTGCAGAAACTCATCATGCTAATTCCTCTTCCAGGCCGAGTTTGCCCGCCAGAAAGAGGCCGGTGCCTACAACAGTGAGAAGTGGCCCGAGCTGGGTTACACTCCTTGCGTCAACGGTTGGGCCGAGGCCGTCGTTGGTGACCGCAACAACACCTTCCGTTGCCACAACGCCGACCTCTACTCCTTCCTCAGCCACGCCGCCCTCGGTGACGAGCTCGGTGAGGGTTCCTCCTCGTGGGGTTGGACCTCTGAGGATGGCCGCGAGTTCGTCGCCATCGGTCAGTTCCAGGGCACTGCCTTCGCCGAGATCAACTCCGACGGCAAGCTCATTTACCTGGGCCGTCTGCCTCAGTACTCCGTGCCCTCCGAGTGGCGCGAGATCCGTTCTTACAAGAACTACATGGTCATAGGCTCCGAGGCCCTGGACCACGGTATCCAGATCTTCGACATGAAGAAGCTCCTGGACATCGACCCTGCCAGCCCCGTCACTTTCGACGCCAAAAAGGACCTGACCGGTCACTTCAACGCCCTCCTGCCCCTGGGCCGTGCTCACAACGTCGTCATCAACGAGGAGCTTAACTACGGTGTTGCCGTCGGTGCCTGGCCCCGTGGTGACCCCATCTGCAACTCGGGTCTGAACTTCTTCGACCTGACCAACCCCGCCGACCCCGTCTCCCTGGGTTGCGCCAAGGACGACGGCTACGTCCACGACGCCCAGTGCCTCGTCTACCGCGGCCCCGACAAGCGCTACCAGGGCAGGGACATCTGCTACGGCTACAACGAGGACACCCTCACCATCTACGACGTGACCGACAAGGCCAACGTCACCAACATCATCTCCCGCATCTCGTACGAGGGCGCCTCCTACACCCACCAGGGCTGGGTCCTCGACGTCAACAACCAGGAGTTCCTCGTCCTCGACGACGAGCTCGACGAGGTCCGCGGCAACGGCCCCGGCGGCGACGGCTACCCCGTCACCTTTATCTGGGACATCCGCGACCTCGAGAACCCCAAGCAGACCGGCGAGTTCAAGCATCCCATCAAGGCCATCGACCACAACCAGTACGTCATCGACAGCTACATCTACCAGTCCCACTACGGCGCCGGTCTCCGCGTCCTCGACGGCCGCTCCATCCCCTCCGACCCCACCGGTGCCGGCGTCTGCGAGGCCGCCTGGTTCGACATCTACCCGGAGGACGACCACCTCGAGGGCGGCGGCTACGTCGGCTTCGTCGGCTCCTGGTCCTCGTACGCCTACTTCCCCTCCGGCTACATCTTCGTCAACACCATCGAGCGCGGCGCCTTCGTCGTCAAGCTGACCGGCAAGGACTGCCCCAAGCCCCCCACCTGCAGCGCCGACAACTGCCTCCGCTCCTTCCGCGCCGAGTCCGTCCCGGGCCGTCTCGCCGAGTCCCAGGCCTTCTGCAAGACCTTCCTCAACTCCCCCGTCAAGGACGTCGCCGCGCTCCCCGACCACGCCGTCAAGAACTGCGCAAAGGAGGACAAGGTCGCCCAGGCTAGCAGTGCCTGCGCCTGCTTGCCCACCGCCACTCCTGCTCCTTGAGTGATTTGATGAGGTTAAGGTAGTATGATGTAGATATGAGTCTAGTTAATGCATAATATGATGACCATGTCATTACTTTACTCGACTGTGAATGTGGATGTTTAAGATGTGATCTGTAGTTTGTGTCTTTTAAACTGAATGTTTGTTGTGCTGTGGCTTATTTCCAAGTAATTCCCCAGTGTATTTCTGCTGATTGTGAGTTACAGACTGAAATCCTTGATGTGAAAGGAGAAAGGCTCCAGGTGAAGCGAGGAATGTAGCTGGTATGACTCCCGGGCACATCTTAGCTTACTCTTCCCCTGATCTTTTCTTTCGAATCTGTGATGGCCTAGTGATTGAGAGTGTTTTTTTGTAAGAAAATTTACTAGTAAGACTATGAAATTCAACAAAACGACATTCTCTCCCATTTTGAAAGAAGTGGGCAGAGTGTACCCCGAAACACCCACGGGACCTCGCGACCTTGGAGAAGGGAACATTCGACACAGCGGTAAATATAATAATACTCATTGTTGCTATAAGGATAGCTAGACAATTTGTTAATCTTCAGCGCGTTTGGACACCATTGACCCAGCGGTTCTTATTCTAACTCCCATGGGTCACCATCGCTTCATTACTTATACCTGAAGAGATCACCTTGTACCATTACACATGTATGACTTTTAGTGAATAGAATCGTGTTGTTACTTGTTAGGGGAATACCAAACTCTTCTCTTGAAAAGTTGAGCTGTCATGTCAAAACTTCCTCTCTTCCTCGCCATAACCATCCAAGACCAAAGTCCATCGCAGGAGGTCAAAATTAGCGCTTAGAAGACGACCACGCACCAATCATAGTCCTTACCATAAGCCCCAGATACACCGCATGGCATTGCGGCGCCGTTGCTTATTCCGACGTCAATCTGCCCCCGGTCAATCCCCCTCGTTCCGCCTTGCCAGGCTGCAGACAGGCCTATCGGGCATATTGAGATGCCCTGCAGTGACGCTAGATCGGAGGTTACATCTGCCAAGGTGCCACTAGTGAAGTCGTCATCCTCTTTGTAGCTTTTTTCTAACTTTTTTGTAACTCTTTAGAGTACGGAGATGTGCGGGGCTGATAACTTGCTCACAACTTGCTCACGAGGCTGCGCCTGGGGTTGTGGGGGGTTTCTTGGCATGGAGCGTGTTCTGTTGGCTGGCAGCTGAGTAACCGGGATGTTTAGAAACACGAATGAAATATTATAAAAATGTTTTGCGTGTGTTCGGTCATACTATCCTGCGCTTATGTGGCCATGCTTCTTTCAAGGCAAGCCGTTGACGCTGTCAGCCTAGTTGCCGACATAATCACCCTAGCAGCCATCTCACTGGTCCATTTTTTTGAGGGAATAAGCAGGTAGGTAGCTATTGTGTAGAACCAAATTAAGTCTTGTATCAACAGCGTGAGTGTCAAGTGGCTACGTTGGCGACGTACGCTCGTCACCTTTCGTATCTCGTTGTGGACTGTCGACTGATTTCCAGCATCGTCGAATGTGGGCGTTTGAAATCATGTACACAAATCGGAACAAGTAAACATTTAGTACGCCAACTTGCCCAAAGCGGCGAATGTATGCTAGTCACCTCTCAACGCGCTGGCTCGTGTATAGAATATCTGCTGCGCTCGCATTCAACATGAAGCTGCCGACACTATCATTCGGGATACCGCGTCACTTGAATCAGTTAACCAGCTCAATAGAATTTCAACCCAGACTTTTCTAAAGAATGAGCATGAACATAAGAGCAAAAGGTAACGCAAGAATAATTCTTGATCAGCCACATCTAAGAACCAAAGTCTCACTCGTGATATCAGTCTCACATTGCGCAAACTATCTAGCAATCACGATAGAAATATGTACACGCTACATCTCTAGCGCCCCCCTCGTACACTCATTCCCGACACACCACGGCAATCAACCGTTCTTCCTCCCAGGAACATCATTCACAAAGTGTCCCTGCGCAGTCTTATTCGTCTTCATCTCCAACCTCGTCTGCAGCCTCCTGGCAGCCCTTTCCGCCTTCTCCAGCTGCTTCTGCTGCGTCAACAGCACGCTCCGCTGCTCGGAGACAGGGAGGTGCGCAAGGGCCGTACGGTCGTTGATACTCAGGCGCGCGAGCTGCGTCTCGAAAACGACGTCGCGCTTCTCGGCGCGCGTAAGCGCCTTCATGTCGATATCCTTCTTTCCTGCGCCCGGCGCCGTGAGCTGCTGACTTGCCTTTGATTCGTCAACATCAGATCCCTCCGGGACCTCCGGGAGCAGGTTCTCCGAGGTCGAGCCGTTCGGCGCTGTTCTAGCCTTGGTGCGAGGACGGGACGCCGCTGGGTCGGAGCGGTGAGATATTGTCTTTCCCGAAGGGAGATGAATGGCGCTGCCCTCCTCCGCGGCTTCTGAGATGGCCTTGCGCGTGTCGCTTTCCTCCTTCGAATCTTCCGCAGCCGAGTCCTCGTAAAAGCCCCTAAACTCGGAATCCTCGCTGTCGATATCGAAGCGACAGTGGTTCTTGCCGACCATGTGCTGTCGCACCGCCGCCGGCGTGCGTCGCTGGGTCCCGCATTGGAGACACTCGCGGTATTCGTAGATGACTAGGTGCAGGTAGCGCACGAGCGTCTCGAGGTCGACGATGAGCTTGTCCTGGTCGGGAATGAACATGCCATGCGCCTTGTGCATGTGTGCGACGTTGTCGTCGAAGCTTTCCGAGGAAGTCTTGCAGAAGAGGCAGTCTTCAGGGACGAAGTCGTGCGCGGGCTCAGCGTCGGCCTCGGAATCGGAGGACTCTTCGGAGGCGGAGTCGGTGGTGGGGTCATTCGGCTCGGCGGGGCCTTCGGTAGCGGCGTGTTGCTCCGCTGTTAATGGTTCGAGGCCGGCGATGCGGCGCTTGAGGTTCGTGACGTGCCACTGGCTCTTTGAGTGGGCGCGGCGGGTCTCTGGGTTGTCGAAATGGACGGCGCAGGTGCCGCAGGATGTAGCTGTGAGCTTGAAGTGAGAGGTGTCTTGGTGTTCCATGGTTGTGGTTGTGGTTGTTACGGCGGCGTTGGTTGTGCCCAGCATAAATGAGTTGATGGATCTAAACAATGAATGTTTTCTAGGAGAAATTAATTCTTTTCGTCTTTGCCTACCGAAAGACACTTATTCTCGGAAACGGAAATCGCCAGCTTTATACTCGAGATTGCTAGTAAACGAAAAACCACGTTCCAAGGAAATCAAATCACTGCTTTGCGTGGCGAGGCCCAGACTCTCTGATCCACCGCGATATCTCAACGTCAATTGGCGAATCAGCGAAGCATTACCAAAGCGAAGCCGAAAGGACGTCGCTTCTACATCACCCATCAGCCGATGGTTTTGCTGCACGACAAATACTGTGAGTCAGAATGTGGGGTTCCAATGTCACGGCGCCGTCTCGGCTCCGGCATCTCACCAGAGGAAGATGCTTGAAGCGTCTCTGCATTTAATTACTGCGTAAGCAACTGCGACAGATCGGTTTTAGCTGGAGGATTCTGACTCTGAGCAATGATAAGATTGGAGGAAAAGGCCAGTGAGTCACGCCCGCTTACTCCGGGGCGGAGACCTTCCTGTTCGGGACTCATCGGGGCTATCATTTGGATGAGCCATCACCAGGCGACTCCACTGCGGTCCGATTGACAGGGGGGTAATACAATGACCGTGCCGAACTCAATTGCGGGCTTGGACTCCGGGCTTCTAGAAGCCCTCCACGGCGCCATGTGCAACCGATCAACGTTGATAGTACCGTATCTGCAATATGTGGCGTCTGGTTAACTCCAGAAATGTCTGAGAACTCCTAGCTTCAACTGTTTGCCGTTTAAAAAAAAAAAAAAAAAATTCAAACAAAACCTCACTTGGCAGAATCCGGAACGTGTCTTAAAGTTGGTATCGAATCACTTTTATCCGCTATCTACCTGCTTCTCGCCATTTGCCTCTCGAGAAATCACGGAATACTGACTCCCCCTCCCCCTCCCTCCTTCCCTCTAACAACACATGACATGAATCAAATCCGCCGTGGGTCTCATTATCCGACAGTGTCCCAAAATGCTCAACCCGCAACTCCTCTCAATATCATCGCCGTCGCTTAGTAGCTGCGGCCGAACATGACGTACTTCTGCGCCTTGGCCTCGCACTCGGGGCTCAAGCACTTGGTCTCGCCGGCAACGATGCCCTCGGGCTGCTCGAAGGGAATGCAGAGAGACTTCATGCCCATGGTGGGCTGCTTCTTGCCCTCGGGGAGGGTGGCGTTCTCGGGGGGCTCGCTGGTGGTCAGCTCCTTGATGCGGTCCTCGCACTTGCCGCCCAAGCAGTGGGGGATGAGAACGACGTTCTTGGTGTCCAGGGAGGGGATGACCTTCTCCCAGTCGTTGATGGTGAGGCGGTGCTCGCGGAAGGACTTCTCGGCCTTGCTGTACATGTCGGCCTGGATGGTCTCGAGGAGCTCGGGAACCTTGGTGGAGAGCTCGGCCAGAGGGATGGTGCCCTTCTCACCAGTGTCACGACGAGCGAAAGAGACGACCTGGTTGGCCATATCCTTGGGGCCGAACTCGAGACGCAGGGGAACACCGCGGAGCTCCCAGTCGTTGAACTTCCAGGCAGGAGTGTAACCCTCCCTCAAGTCGGATTCGGCACGGATACCGGCCTTGCGGAGCTCGTTGCGGAGGTCGTCAGTCTGGCCCTCGAGCTTCTTGCGGTCCTCGGGTGTGGTCTTGGCGGTGATACCGACGGCAATGAGGATGACCTGGGTCTTGGCGATACGAGGGGGGAGGACAAGGCCCTTGTCGTCACCGTGGATCATGACCATGACACCAATGACACGGGTGGACAGACCCCAAGAGTTCTGCCAGACGAAGAGCTTCTCACCCTTCTTCTCAGGGTCCTCGACAGTGATGTCGAACATCTTGGAGAAGTTCTGACCCAGGCAGTGGGAAGTGGCACCCTGAATACCACGGCCGTTGGACGGGATGTAACCCTCGACGGTAGTGGTGTAGTAACCACCAGCGAACTTCTCGTTCTCGGTCTTGGTACCACGAACGACAGGGACGGCGAGCAGCTGCTCGTAGACACCGGCGTAGAGCTCGAGGATCTCAAGAACCTCCTTGCCAGCAAGCTCCTCGGTAAGGTGAGCGGTGTGGCCCTCCTGCCACAAGAACTCTCTTGTACGGAGGAAAGGGGTGGTCTGCTTGGCCTCCCATCGAACGACAGAGTTCCACTGGTTCAGGCGGAAGGGAAGGTCGCGATGGCTACGAATCCACTTGGAGTAGTAGGGGTACATGACAGCCTCGGAGGTGGGACGAACCGCGACGGGGACCTCGAGATCCTTGTCACCGCTAGAAAGGGGCTATCAGCATAAAAGCAGCGAGAGTTCGTAGGGAGAAGTCGACTTACGCCTTGGTGACCCAGGCCAACTCAGGGGCAAAACCCTCAACGTGATCCTTCTCCTTCTCAAGCGACTTGGACGAGAGGAAAATGGGGAAGCTGGTCTCGTCGACACCCATAGCCTCAATGCGCTCGGAGAACCACTTGCGGATGACACCCCAGATGTACATGGAGGCAGGGCGGAGAATGAAGAAACCGGCAATCTCGTTGTAGTACTCGACCATCTCGGCCTTGAGAACGACCTCCTGGTACCACATGGAGAAGTCCTCGTTCTTCTTGACAGTAATACCGATAATGTCGTCCGTCTTCTTCTTGCCACCGACAACGGGGAGGGAGGCCTGCTTGGCAGCCTTCGCAGCCTTTTCAGCAGCCATCTTGGCCTGCTTCTCGGCCTTCTTCAAGGCGCTCTTGGATTGTTCGGGGGCAGCGGCGTCGGCCATGTTTGCGATAGTGACTGCAGGTCGCAGAGGCGTCTCGGAAAGGGATATCGACTTATAGAATTGACGGCGTGGTGCCCGGATCGGCCTGAGTCACTCGAGATTTTGGGCTGAGAAGGCGGTGCGATTTCGCGGAAAATCTGCCCCGCACTAAAATGTGAGTCGTGTGTCGAGCTGTTGGGCGGGAGGGAGTGAGGGGTCAATTGACAGCCACAGGGGACCACACTGAAGTCGGGGCGCTTATCAGAAGTGGGGCGATAGCTGCTGTAGTCTGCACAGTGAGGTACCTTTGGCCGAGGACAGCTCAGTTGACGTTGTGGAAGTCTGCCTTATTGTGCTTGTTGTTTTGGGAAATTTGATAGTATTTTTAAAATAATTTTACTACTTCTAATCAACCTTCTTTGTTAGTTTGTCTCTTGTTCCCTTCGCAGTCCTTAGACACTCCTATCAATATGATAAGCAGTACGTATCCAATGCTGACCTAATCACCAACCTAGATAAGGTACTTCCCCACAGTTTCTACCTCCCACCGCACAGTCCATATCAAATCTGTACCTCACCAGCCACACCCCCCGGTTCCTGGAACAACTCCGATCCGAAAAAAAGTTGCGTCGAGGAGACAAGGCAGGCACAGCACAGAAGCTTCTATTGCTGTCCAGGCACACACCGACGAGCTCCCCAAAACCCCCCCATCCACCACCTCCCATCCCGCGATTTACGATTATTGCAGGCAGTGAGGCGCAAAAATGGCTTCCATGTTCGAGCAGTCAGGGAGCGGCACGCTTTTCCTCGGCGGCCAGAAGATTTCCGGTTCCGACATTCGTGACCAAAACGGTATGCTTTGCTTGTCCTTTCGCTTCTGTGTTGGGACCCCCCCCAAAGCTAGAGCTTCATCCTTGCTGACAAACTTGCAGTTCTCGCAACCCAGGCCATCGCAAATGTCGTCAAGAGCTCGTTCGGCCCCAGCGGTCTGGATAAGATGATGGTGGACGATATTGGTGTAGGTTCGCTGGCCCCCTCCCCCCTGGACCCCGCTTACCCCCAGCACAGGATGTCACGGTCACGAACGACGGTGCGACCATCCTCAGTCTGTTGGATGTCGAGCACCCCGCTGGCAAGATCTTGGTTGACCTTGCACAACAACAAGATAAGGAGGTCGGCGATGGCACCACGTCCGTCGTCCTCATCGCCGCCGAGCTGCTGCGCAGAGGAAACGAGCTCATGAAGAACCGTATACACCCCACCACCATCATCACCGGCTACCGACTCGCCCTCCGTGAGGCCGTCAAGTACATGAACGAGAACATCAGCATCAAGGTCGAGAACCTCGGTCGCGATTCTCTCATCAACATCGCCAAGACCTCCATGTCCAGCAAGATTATCGGTGCCGACTCCGACTTCTTCGCCAGCATGGTCGTCGATGCCATGCTCGCCGTCAAGACGACGAACAACCGCAACGAGACGAAATACCCCGTCAAGGCCGTCAACATTCTCAAGGCTCACGGAAAGGGCTCCCTTGAGTCTATCCTCGTCAAGGGCTACGCTCTTAACTGCACAGTTGCCTCCCAGGCTATGCCCACAAGAATACAAGATGCCAAGATTGCCGTCTTGGATATGAACCTGCAGAAGGAGCGTATGAAGCTTGGTGTTCAGATTACCGTCGACGACCCGTCGCAACTGGAGCAGATCCGTGCCAGAGAGTCCGGCATGATTCTGGAGAGGGTAGAAATGATCTTGAAGGCCGGCGCCAACGTCATCCTTACGACCAAGGGTATTGACGATATGGTTCTGAAGGCCTTCGTCGAGAAGGGAGCCATGGGTGTGCGCAGATGCAAGAAGGAGGACCTCCGGAGAATCGCAAAGGCTACCGGCGCCACTCTTCTCAGCACATTGTCCGACCTGAACGGAGACGAGAAGTTCGACCCCTCATACCTCGGACACGCCGACGAGGTTGTCCAGGAGCGCATCTCAGATGACGAGTGCATTCTCGTCAAGGGCACCAAGACTCACTCCTCAGCATCCATCATTCTCCGCGGACCCAACGACTTCACTCTGGACGAGATGGAGCGTTCCATCCACGACTCCCTCAACGCCGTCAAGAGAACTCTGGAGAGCGGCAGCATCGTCCCCGGTGGTGGTGCCGTCGAGACTGCTCTTCACATTTATCTTGAGGAGTTCGCCGGCACTGTCGGCTCCCGCGAGCAGCTGGCCATTGGCGAATTCGCCCAGTCTCTGCTCGTGATCCCCAAGACCCTGGCCGTCAACGCGGCCAAGGATGCATCAGAGCTCGTGGCCCAGCTCCGCTCCCGGCACGCGCTCTCCCAGCGCATCCAGGAGGGTGAGGGCAACGACGACGAGAAGATTGTGGCGCGCAAGAAGGCGTACAAGAACTACGGCCTCGACCTGACGCGCGGCAAGGTGATTGACGAGGTTAAGGCTGGTATTCTGGAGCCCAGCATCAGCAAGATCCGGCAACTGAAGAGTGCCGTGGAGGCTTGCATCAGCATCATGCGTATCGATACCCTGATCAAGCTGGATCCCGAGCAGAGGGGAGAGGAGGATGACGGTCACGGTCACTGATGGGCGGGGTGTGATGTGAAAAAATAAAACAAAAATGGGTCAATATATGGGAGTGATCAAGGTTAGACGGTTCATAGATCATTTGTTAATGATACCTTGCAATGCCGATGCGGACTCTCATCCTGTACAACCCAGCCTGTTCCGTTTAATGATAATCCTGTCGCCTTAAAATGCAAGTCCTGTGGGATGATGTTTAAGAAGAAGAAAGAGAAAAGAAAAAAGAAAAAAAAAAGCCACTGACCACAAAAAGCTAGAAAAATACAATCTAACACCAGCCAAACTTCTCATTCAGCACCCATTCCACTTCTCCATCGCCGTACCACATCAGGCTCGGGATGCTATCATTCTCCCTCTCTACAAACTCATGCGGGATACCCGCCTTCTCCACCAGCCTTCTCACTCTGGCTTCCGGGTTCCACATCTCAATGTTGTTAGACTTCCACTCGGCCGCCTCCGCCCTCGCGAGCGTCAACAGCTCCTCGATGGCTTCCTGCACGTAATCATCGCTGCTGTTCTCATCCTCCACAACCAACCTCAGAATGTGCATCGTGTTACCCTCGGGCTTCTTCAGTCCGCCGTAGTAGCCCCTCGTCCACACGGCCCACACCCTCTGCCCGGGCTCGCCCACGACGGCACCGCGCACCGTCGGCGTCTTGCCAAAGATGTGCTTCGTCATGAAGTCCTCGCGCATGAGATGCCATAAGATGACGTCGATGTCCGGCAACAGCGCCACGCGCGCCTTGTTGCCCTTTGACGCCCTCGACAGCCTCTCGCGGAGAAGCTTCTCGTCGACGGCGCTCAGCTCCGCGAGCTCATGGTACCCGACGGGCTTCGCCTTGCCGTTCTTCTTCTGGCCTTCGTCGGCCGCTTGAGGCGGGAAGGAAAGGTGTGTGCTCTCGTACGGGTGCCAGCCGTGTTTCGCGTAGAACTTTTTGCCAATGTCGGAAAAGAGTATGGAGCATGCGACCTCGCCGTCCTTGATGTCGCCCCACTGCTCGCCCTTGGCCATCTTGTTGCCCTGCCAGCTGGCCACGCGGGAGCCGACCATGCTCATCATGGTCGAGGCGTAGCCCTTGCCGCGGTGCGAGGGCTCCGTGAAGACGGAGCCGATGGCGTGTGCCACGGTATCGGCGACGGTGCCGTCGGGCTTCGCGGCCAGCGCGCGCTTGCGGATGCTCTCGCACGACGAGTAGATGGGGCGGGCGTCGGGCGGTTGCGCAGGGTCGGTCAGGATCCAGTGGGTGATGCCGCCGTTCCGGCTGACGGGGACGGTGGTGAGGTACTGCTCGCGGCGTAGGTACTCGTCGAGCTCGAGGGCGGTGCCCCATTTCTCGTGAGTCCAGGTCCATATCTGGATACGCTCGGCGGGGGTCGGGTGGGTGAGGATGAGGTCGGCTTCGTGTGTTGAGCCCATTGTGGTGTTTTCCTGCTGTGTTGTTCCGTTTCTTCTTCTTCTTCTTCTCGTCTTTCTTTGTTTATGCTTCTCTGGGTGTGTCAATCGTATCTGTTGACCATTAGATAGTATTGAATGTGAAGAAGGGGAAAACAAAAGACATCAGCTTCTACGAAAGCTGGCAACACGAAGAACAAGAGTGCCAGCCCGCCTTATCAACACCTCTCTCTCTTCCGAAGAGGGGGGTGTGGGAAGCAACAGGTGCCCCACCATTGAGCATCACAGCGGCGGCGGGGAAGACCCAGTTAACCCCAGGATTGAGACGGCCGTTTTCAAGCCTCTACCCGGCATAAGTTTAAGGCAAGGGAAGGTGAGGGTGAGGGGGGCATGGGGCATGGGGCCCCAGCGATGGGTTAGCCACGATTACATGGCAAAAAAATAAGAGCTCCCGGGGCCGGATTTCGAGACACAAAGAAACGTGGGACATTCGATCACAACATCGTTTACGGTAACACACACACCCCCCGGTTCTGTCCAGGTGCAAGAATAAAAAAACAAAAAAGGTGTCAGCAGGCCCACAAGCGGCTGTGATGGGAAAAGCCAAGCGGATGCTCGTCTTACGTCACGGGATGAAGCTAGTGGTGATGGGAAATCTTGGGGTTCGAAGGCAGAGAAGAAGCGGATGCAGCTATAGGTAGTTAGTAGTGGGAGTAGGAGTAGTGTCAGTGGTAGTAGTGGTAGTAGCAGGGTGTATGAGGTGGATTCGTTTCGAAGAGTAACGTTTGTAACTGGCCTCTCCCATAGCTGTGCCTTGGAACTCTGGGCCTTTTTTTAGGTAATTGTTTGCCCTTTTGGAGGGATGGTTTTTCTACTAGTAACTAAGTGAAATCCGCTTGCCGGTGCGGACGGACATGGAACTCCCAAAGGGCAGGTCATGCCGGGCGGTGCGTCCAGGCGGGGGTTTCCACCCGTGGCTCCCGAGCCGGTGGAAGCCGATGGTAGGCGGGGCCGTTCCGGTTTGACGCGGGCGTAGCGGGGGTGGTTCCAGTGGCCCTGCAGTGACCCTGCAGTGGATTGTCTTTCTCGCTACACCTAGAAGCGTGACGGGGCTGAACGAGGGATCCCCTTGTCTCTGTTAGTCGGCTGACTTGGCTGAAGTTCCCAGCAAAGTGTTGGAGGTTAGCGGGGGCGTCTGTGTGATGATCTTGGGGAACAATGGGCGACAGTTATGGCCTTGGCTGTTGTTTTGCTCCTATTAAATCGTCAATGACTGTTCATGCGCCGCCCGTTGTAAAGAGTCCGGTCACTATTGGGGTCTTCTGCTATCAAATAAACTAGCAAACTAGCCGTGTTCATCTCCAGAAGCTATTCACAATAACACGCCCCCCCGTTTCGGTCTTGTTATCAACGTGTTTTAAAATCTTATCATATCCGGCCACCAATAGCAATCTCTATACAATGGCGGAAATCTCCCGTTATCTGAGTCAAAATGCAAAGAACTTATGACTACAGATACGCAAAAAAATAATAATACGAACCTGGTCTAAACTCTATCAAACAAAAAGGTCCCTCCACCTTCCATTCCCGTCGCTCCCCTCGCCCGCAAAAGCCGAACCACCGCATCGTGACCCCTCGCAGCCGCGCCCTGTAGAGCAGTCTGCCCACCACCCCATCCTCCAGATCCAGCCTCGATCTCGGCTCCGGCGTCCAGTAACATCTCGCATACGCGAACATGCCCTCCCTCTGCTGCGGCGTGCAGCGCCCTCCCGCCCTTGAACCTGCTCCCTTCGGCATCCACATCCGCCCCAGCGCCCAGCAGCATCCTCACCATCCCGTCATCACCACGTTGGCTCGCCGCTTGCAACGCCGTGAACCCCTTGTGTCGGCTCGCTGGCGCATTGACCTCGGCCCCGTGATCCATCAGCAGCGTAACCAGATCTGCGAACCCGTGGGCGGCGGCCGCCTGCAACGCCGTCCTACCACCCGTCGTCGCCGGCGGCGCGTTCACATCCGCCCCCTCGTCCAAAAGTACCCTGACAACCTCCATTTGTCCCCCGCTGCAAGCTGACTGTAGCGCCGTGGCCCCGTGGTACCGCGCTGCCGGCGCATTCACATCGGCGCCCTTGTCGAGCAGCATCCTCACAATGTCCACGTCAGGTTGCCCGCTCGCGAGCTGTAGCGCATTCCGCGCGTCATTATTGCCCGGAGGAGCGTCGACATCCGCCCCGGCTTCCAGGATTGCCGATACGACCTCGGCGTGGGACGCCGAGCAGGCGGCCTGGAGCGCGGTGCGGCCGTAGTATCCCTGCGGAGGCTCGTTGACGTCTGCTCCGGAGGCGAGGGCTGCGCGTACGCCGGATAAGTCTCCTGCGCGAGCGGCTCGTTGTAGAGGCGTCCAGCAGTCGTCTTCGTCGCGGTCGGAACTGATGTCTCCTTCTTCAATCGTGAATGACATTGTAGATGATATGAATTTGACTTGAGACCGTGAGAGGATGGGTTTTGGTGAGATGATATATGTGATTAAAAGTCCCATGCAGGCAGGCAAGGGTGTCGGAAACACGGCACAGGAAGGGCGTCGTGTCAGAAACGTTTACTCTTTCATCGTCACGTCGCAAATGTTAAATGCACATTGAATGATGGATTCTGACAAGTGTCTATTTCCAGAGGCTAATCCTTAATTCTCAGTCTCTGCTTGTTTCTTGCTCTCGCTCTTGTGCTGAGGTGCGCCCTTCTTTGGCTCGTTTTTCGAGCCGGCCTCGTTTTCGTAGTCGCCGCCCTGCTTCTCGTATTCTTTCGCCAACTTGGATGCCTGTGATCCGTAAGCGATGTGTTTACCTGTGCGGTAGTGATTGCTGCTCTGTTGGTAATCCCGCTTACCTTCCACGCTGACCATTGTCCCTCACCGCCGCCTGACTTGTTTGGTTCCTGTTTAATTTCTAAAGCGTTATTAGTATAACCACAACTTTGGAACATGATGATGTTCTTTTACCCTCTTTAAGCTCCTCCCTCAGTTCAGGGTCAGTAGGCTTTCCCTTGGATGAAGGCATTTTGTAAGAAGAGTATGTAAACGAGCTTCTTGACTTTGAATACTGAGCAATCCAATTAGACACGATGGATTGATGTCATCGTTGATTAGAATAACTTGCCAACCCTCTAAAATATGAAGGGGCCATTGAAAGTTCAAAAATCAAGGCAAGAGCCGCATCATGTCTCGCAAACACACTGACATCAAACGATGATGATCTATGACGCCTACAACACCAGCCACTCCCGTTCCGCTGGGTCCGCTAGCGGGCCGATAAGACCCACAGTCCAGTCCGTGCCGTCCCGGCCGTCCGGCATCAATGTCGGCACACCTTAATGTCCAAGCCATCAAGGTTCACCAAAGTGTATTTTCCAGTATACAAAATCACCGCTTTTTTATTTTTTGTTTAAGCCTACTTCCCCAGACGTCCAAGCATTAGAAGCCCTCTCCAAGTCCGTGTCATTTCATCATGAATCAACAAACAGAAACCATAAGCGTCATGACTTCCACCGACACCCGAATCAGTGAATCGAAATCGGCTCAAACTCGACATCCTCCTCCACCGCCTCTCCTTCCATTATACCGTGCACGTACGCCGTACCGACAATCCGTCTGAGACCCTCCCGCTCGGCGCTCTTCCTCAACACGAAAGGCGCGTTGCATCCCTTAATCACCCAGATCTCGTCTCCGGCCTCGCATCCGTCCGGCACCATGGAGACATACTTCTCTCCCTTTGCAAGCACCAAATCCAGCGCGGAGCGGGTGGTGAAGATGCGGTTGATGAGGATCTGGCCCGCTGCCACGAGCGCCTCGTTGGCGTCCTCGGCCGATCTACCAGATAGCTCAATCTCGCGGCGCAGAACGTCCCGCTCGGATCTCTCAGGGTCGAGGTCGTCGTCCTCGACGGCCGTGCAGAAGCGGTACGCCAGCTTCAGCGTCGCCATGGGGACTTCCTCCTCGTCGGCCTCGGTCTGGAAGAAGGTGAGTGTTCTCAGGATCGCCTCCAAGCTGGATTCGCCCGTGGGGTAAGTCGCCTTCTCGAAGCCGGGGATCTTCTCGATGAGCTTCGAGAGCGTGACGAGGTCTTTCTTGACCCACATCGACGGACGGTCAGCGTGCAAATGCGCCGCGCGGGGGATGCCGCTCATCTGCGCGATGGTGTCGACCTTGACACCCTTCAACAACAGCTCGTCCTCCGCCTCGTTAGGGTCGAAGCCGAAGTCGAAGTCCGTCTCTCCCGCGGCTTCGGACTCGGCGGCGTCCGCAACAGTCATGCGTCGCCACGGCCTGCGGAAGTCGGGCAGCCAGGAGGGGACCTTGTTGTCGGCGCCGTTGAGGTGTTCCGCGATACCGGCGTGGTCGAGCAGCTCTTCGCTGAAGGGCTCGTGCAAAAGGGTGCGGCCGAAGCGCAGGGCCGTCTCCTCGAATGTCTCCGAGTAGTCGGGGCGGAATTCGGGCCTGTCGCCGTCGGCGGCCAAGCCCAGGAGGGCAAAATAGAAATCCCGCGGGTCGGTGGCTTCGACTTCGCGGAAGGAGAGAAGGAGGCTGAGGAGTTCCGTGGAGCGCTTGGGGTCTTCGCCCTCATCTTCAGACTCCCACTCGCCGTCCTCACCGTCCTCGCCGTCTTCAACCTCCTCAACCTCTTCATCGTCATCGTCATGTCCGTGTGCTCCTCCACAGCAGCCTCCACCGTGCTCGTGTCCATGATCGTGACCATCATCGCCGTGACCGTGCTCTCTGTCGTTTCCTCTCATAGCACCAAGCTGGTAGAAGCGGAGTCTTTGAGCCATGTTGGCCATCAGATCCGCCGCGCTCTCAACCTCGTCGCCCTTCTCGTCAATCAACGGCCAGGGCGGGCTCTCCGGCTCCTCCAGCGCGATCGTGGCCGGCCAGAGCTGCGCCCAGTTCACCGTCTTGTCTCCGCAGATCATCAGCACGTCCCTCGCGAGAATGAACTCCTGCACGATCCAGACCCTCTTGAACCAGGCCCTGTTCCAGAACCGCGACACGGCCAACCACTTCTCGTCGCCTTCGGCCGGCAGCTCCGCCTCGGCGCCTGTCGGCGCATCGGGCACAGGCTCGCCCTGCAAGTCCTCCAGGAACGCACGCGCTCCGGCGTTGAGCGGGTTCGGGATGTTGACCCGCCAGTACTTCTCAATCAGCTCCATCGCCTCCTTGCTGCCGTCGGCCTCCTCGCCGAGGTAAGCGAGAGTCCGGCGGGACCCGACGTAGATGTCGTGCACGAGCATGACCTGCGCCTGCTTCTCCGCCTTGTCGGCCTGGTTGATGCACAGCGCATCGGCCCAGACGTTGCGAGGGCGGTCCTCGAGACGCACGCGCCTGAGGCAGTTGTACAGGTTCTCGGTGATGGAGACCTCGGTGGAGGACAGGGTGATGCTGCGAGGCGTGTCGTTGGAGCCCCAGACGTAAGAGACGGCCTCGTATGAGTCGGCCGTCTCGGGGATCTCGCCGTCGTGTTTGCTGGCCTCGTCGACGTAGGGGTCGACGGCACGGACGATGAGCTCGCCCTTTAAGGGTTCATTGAATTTTCCAGGCGAGAGGGAGAGGATTCTGAAATCCCGCTCACCGAGGGCTGAATAGTTGTATTCGGCCATGGTGGGAGAAAAATCGGTACACAACAGCTTTATTTCTACCAGTTGTGAGTTATTTTTTTACCGAATTTTCGTGGAGTTGAAGGGTGAGTGAGTGAGGTGAAAAAATTCAGCAGCCAGTTTTGGAGATGTGGAGTGAAGTTGGAGATGAGATCCAGGAAAACGCTGCATGAAGATTCCCACACTTTGTGAATGGATTTTCATTGGCGGCGGGCGCTAGTTGCGAACAAGCCACGACCCGGTGGGTTGACTCGATTATTTGAGCTTCTGGATAAAATTATAGCAAGTTTTACTCATGTAGTCTTTTTTATAATTTGTGGCAATCTGATACTTAAATCGTTACTTGATCAACTTGCAAAACTTAAATAGTTGGCATAAGTAAACCTAAGATACAACATCTTCATGAACATGAATAAGTCAGGAAATAATAAATGCGCATAATCATCAATTTATCAAGTATCGCTATAACGGTTTTTTAGTCCATCAATCCTCTGGTTCTATCCAGAATAGAACATTGACCAAACTCCTTCAAAGAACAGTAAAGTTGCCGTCAAGCATCAAGGTCCTTACAGCCCCAGAGCCGAGTTGAAAGCATCGGCAGCAGCCTGGCCTTGCAGGCCCTGTGCATCAGCCTGTCCCTGCTCGCAAGCAGCAACGGCATCATCACCAGCCTGGCACCTCGACGAGAGCTGGCTGCAGATGAAGCTGCTGATAATGTTGATGTTCTGGGCGGAGCCGTGGTCAAAGTCGCCCGCGGGGCCGAAAGACGCCTCCTGGCGTCCGTCGAGACCGGCGGCGAACTGGATGCTGGGGTCCTGGCAGTCGCCAAAGTCGAGCGACTGGCGCGACTGGATGACGGCGATGCGCATTCTCCTGCCCTCGGAGCCGACGCTGGAGGAGCGGCGGAGCTTCTTGAGCGAGGCCGCGGCGAGGCAGTCGTCTTCCTGCGCATCGCAGTCAGCGACGCTGATGTCTTCTGCGCCAGAGTTGGCTGCGTCGGCGCAGGCGTTGTGCTGGACGGCACATGAGCGCTGGAGGGCGGCGCCGGCGTTTTGGAAGGTAGAGCCGTTGACCTCGAACGGCTTGGAGGCGGAGGAGGAGGTGACGGGGGGAGGAGGGCCACCGAGGTTGCCGGTGAAGGTTTGGACGTCGGTTCCGGTAGCGGCACCGTTGCCTGCGTTGTTGTTGTTGTTGTTGTTGTTGTTGTTGTTGTCAGCATTGTCGTTGCCAGCGTTGCCGTTGCCAGCATTGCCATTGTTCTGGTTGCCGTTGTTCTGGTTTCCACCATTGTTGGCATTGCCGTTACCAGTGTTGTCGGCAGCATCATCAGTGTTGTCAACGTTACCATTGTTGTTTTGGTTTCCGTTGTTCTGGTTTCCGTTGTTCTGGTTTCCGTTGTTGTTCGCATTGCCATTTCCAGTGTTGTCGTTGGCAACATCGCCAGTGTCATCAACATTGCCGTTGCCAGTGTCATCAGCGACATCATCAGCAACATCGTCGGCGTTATCATTGCCATTGTTGTTGCCGTTGTTAGCGTTGCCGTTATCAACATTACCGTTGTTGTTCTGGTTGTTGTTGTTGTTGCCGTTGCCATTAGCAGCATCATCTGCGGCTCCATTGTTATTGGCGTTGCCGTTGTTCTGGTTGTTGCCGTTATCGACATTGCCATTGTCGTTCTGGTTACCACCGTTGTTGACATTACCGTTTCCAGTGTTGTCAGCAGCATCACCAGTGTTGTCGACATTGCCGTTGTTGTTCTGGTTGTTGTTGTTGTTGTTGTTGTTACCGTTGGCATTCGCATTGTTGCCACCACGGCGGGCTACAAAGCCGGAGCCAAATGCGCTTCGCGAGCTACGGCGGAAGTTTCTTCTCGCAACGGCGGTAGAGTTGCCAGCAGAGCAGGCTGGAAGAACACAGGTTAGTCATGCAGTCTGGCCGAGTGAAGTGTCGTAGATAGAGATGACTTACAAGCACCGGAACCATTGTTGCCGGTGTTACCTCCCGCAGTGCCGTTGTTGCCTCCAGCATTACCGTTGTTTCCACCGGCATTGCCAGCGTTACCACCGCCGCCACCAGCAACATCGGCAACAGCAGCTTGAATCTCCTCGGGTGTAGCGTCCTCGACGAGCAGGCCCTGGGTGAAGATACATCCCTCGGCGTCGTCGATATCGTTACAGCTGTTACCGGCTCCGGTAGAGTCGTTTGGCTACATCACCGTCAGCATCCGATCACCATTCATCAGTAACCACAAAATACTCACATCTCCAGGCGCAAAAGTGCCCGATTCAAGGGCAAGAAGGGGATCAGCGCCGACGGAAGCAAGCTGTCTCGCAAGTTCCAGAGTGATGGCCTTATTCTCCTCGGCAGCGTTCTCGGAGGCCGGGTCCTGGTGCTGGGTAAGGGCGGCGATCTCGGGGTTCTGGGCAGTCTCGTCGCACAAGACGCTCTTAAGACCGACGGAGCCAGTGTTACGCTCGATAGCGCGGAAGACGAGGGCGCTGGCCATGCCGTCGACGTCACCGGCTGCCTTGGCGGCACTGAACGCCGAATCGGCCGTTATCTGGTGCAGACAGTCGGGGTTGGTGACGTCGCCGGCGCCAGCCTGCGCGGCGGCGTTACCGAGGAGTCCGAAGACGGAGTCCTGGATGTTGAACGGGTTGTCGAGCGCCAGGAGGGCGTTGACGGCCTTGAGGTACTTCTCGTGGGAGTGTTCCTGGGGCACCTCGGCGGCGGCAAGGCCGACGAGAGCGGCGAGGACGGTGTTGGTTTGGAACTTCATTGTGATAATAGCTCCGACTTTTTCTTTATAATCCGGGTAGAATGGAAGTTTGGTAAAATACAATAAAAGTCCAAAAAAGAAGGGCCGGCCCAAGATGTTTGGAAGGGACTCGAAAGTAAAGAATGGAAGAGTGGAAAATAAAAGAATACAAAAGTTCACAGAACTGAACGAAGGAGAAGAGATCTGTTGGATGCGTGGTGAGGAAACAAAATCATTGTCGACCTTCAGCGAGAGACATGGACTTATATACAGACACGATGACAGGCAAAACGAAGACAAAAACAACATACGGCTCCCGGAGACGTCCACGCCATCTTGGTATCTTCGTCTCATCATCCCCCCCACGACCGCGACGTTGACGGCCAGCCCCTGAGCAACTCGCTTAGGACGCCTAGCCCGCCGATCCCTTGGGAAGTCGAGCGTGTCACCGCGGTGGTGATGCGCCTTGGCGGTGTTGAGGCCTGGGAGTTGCTGGGTGGGTATGAAGTATCGGCTGCACTGAGCTCCGGCACGGCTCGCCCACATGAAGGGAGAAGGGAGGCATCAGTGGTGGCGGCCATGCGCAGGAGAACTTCCGTTACGCATCCACAGTGTGTAACGGATACGCGTTTGCTGGCAGCATTCAGGAAGACTGCCTATTTCGGCTGTTGGCCCGATGAGAGGATGATGGAGAAGTGAACTTGAAGTATAGCCTCGATCAACCTTGAAAAAACTTCAGAAATCCCAACACACAGAAGGATTGTGTCTCGATCTCTAGAGACGATAGTTGAGAGCACTCCCAGTTAACACTGCTCAAGGCTCATCTTTTCCGAGCACCTCGGGCATTTCCAACAAAACCAACATCATACACCTTCATCCATTTCAATAGTGTCGTCTTCAACCCGTAAACTCAAAAGGAGCCTCAGCAATCGAGAAAACAATCAAGATGTGGTCCCTCCGCCCCCTGCCCTTGGCAACAGAGCTGAAGTTAAGCAGAGTTTGAGGCAAGCGGCAATCAGACGGCAGCTGTCGCGAAACAGCGTCTCATCCACTCCGAGCCGCTTCTGCAAGAGACGTTATTGGCCGGAAGCCATCCGTGCGGACATGTGGGGGTGCAGGGGTCTCGGGGGTAACACACCCCGGTCAACAACAACGCTCCCCGAACCAGGGCGACAAACCAGGTATTTCCCATTTTGCTCCTTGCCTTGATATTGCTTGAATGGCATCCAGATCTAAATAGTTGAGATGACAGAGTTATATAGTACCGGTCTAATAATATGATTGTATTCCATCTCAAGGTTTTGGGTTCGGAGATCAAGACATATTTCTGCGTCCAGGAAACTCATTTCTGACCCATCATAACAATTTGGAGATTGAACAACAAGACAGACATACACAACTCAACCGTCTTCTCATTTACATTAACCGACAGAAAATGGAACAGACTACCACGATCTCTAACCCTATCCCAGATAAACACACAACGTGCCCCGCAAGCAAACTTGGAATGCAGTAGTTAATCTTCTCATCCCACGATCCCAAAACAAAAGGACCCTCTCTGCCGCCCGGGTCTCGACAGCACCTGCAACGCCCAGCCACCCCTCAAAACATGTCGTTTCCTCCCGTACGCGTCTAAGTATCCAGAAACCGCCAACACTCCCTGAAGAATGCAGATGGGGTCTCTTTCAGGACATGGTACCATCCCCTCCAGGCTGTCGTCCCATCCTCAACCGACCCAGTCCCGGGGATCTTCCCACCCCCCAGGACACACCAACGCGTCACCCGTCATACCTACCACACGGCGATCTTTGTAGATGGATGAAGCTGGCACGAGGGCGGCCCGGCTACCGAGTCCAATTATGCGCCACACGTACGTCCCCTTCTCTAGCTTAAATTATGCCCGTCGTGGTAGCCCACAGTGGTTGGTAGTCCACGTTTTAGACGTCTCGGTCTGATCGACGAAAAGGCACACCCACCGTCACCGTCTCGGCAAAACTCCGTATTTCAAAATCACAATTTCCGCCGTACGTGTTGGTCCCGGTTGTCTGGACTATTTCAACCGCTCGTAGTTTCCTGGTACCGAGCACTTCGGCTTGGTTTGAGCGTCTTCATCCGAATGCCGTCGTAGATCGATACCGTTTCCAGGTCCTTGGAGAGCATTCCTCCCATCTTCCGCAATGCACTTGGCTTTTCTTTCTCTCTCTCTCTCTTTTTTTCTCTCTCGTGGGAATCAGCCAATCACTTCCAAAATTACATCACAAACCTTGCCAGTAGTGGATTATTATGAAGTTGCGAGGCTACTCATTGTTCCTGGACGCTCTGTGACTTTTGTACAATGGCATCATTGCCCGGGGACACGTCTAAGAAAAAAGAAAAAAACCTCTCTCTTTGACTCTCTGGAACCCAAACCCCCAGCACCATTTCGTCTCCGATGCAAAAAAAGAAAATAGTTCTCTAGTTGGTTGTTGTTGCCATCAACACCCCGTCCCCCACAAAGGGGGGGCGTGGCCTTTGTCTCTCCTCTCTCTCGTCTTCCGTCTTATACTCTTACAAAGGTGGTACTTAACCAATGACCAGCTTGCCATCCTCACCAAAGTCGTACTCGGGGATCTCGAGGTTGAGGGGGGCAGGTCCTTTCCTGATACGTCCGGAGATATCGTAGTGAGAACCGTGGCAGGGGCAGAACCAACCACCGTAGTCACCGGCCTCGCCGATGGGGACACAACCCAAGTGCGTGCAGACACCTGGAAAAGGCCGAAATGTTAGCTCATATGATTTCTTGACTTGACCAGGTGATGTGGGATGCCAAGCCACGAGGGCATGTTGTTCCGCCGTGACTGATCCCAATATGGCCAGGAAATCGAGACAAAGGATTTTGGCGACATGAAAAAAATCGTCGCAGTCGAGAAATCACTTACCCAACATGACGAGCCACTCGGGGTTCTTGACACGGTCGTCATCGGTCTGGGGGTCACGGAGGGCGGTAACGTTGACCTTGTTGGCCTCGTCGATCTCGGCCTGGGTACGGTGGCGGATGAAGACGGGCTTGCCTCTCCACTTGATGATGACCTATAAATCGTCGAATATCAGTAAAAATGTTTAGTCGATCAAATTACCGGATGCCGCATCAGGCCACTCACGTTCTTGCCCTCGGGGATGGCGTTGAGGTCAACCTCGACCTTGGCCATGGCCAAAACGTCGGCGGAGGCGGACATGTTGACAAGGAACTCTGCAAATCAAACGACCCGTCAGTCTCTGTTCAATCCCATTGCAACCCAAAATATCCAGTTCGTCGCATGTCCGTTCAATTGTCCGGCGGATGGTTGAAAAGGGCTGTCCTACCCTGAACAGTGGACTTCGCGCCGGCGGCGGTGATGGCGCCCATGGTGCCGACCATGAAGTATCCGAAAAGCTGGTTGGTGCCGACGGAGCCCTTGCTCATGTACTTGCTGAAGTCGGGGATGTTGCTGGCCTTCTGGGCGCCCTTGAAGGGGCTCGAGTAGCTCGAGGCGGTGCTGTCGTTCCGGGCGGCCGAGGTGCTGAGGGCGCGCGCAGCCGTGGTCGCGGTCTGGCTGCTTCTCGACAGCTGCCGCAGGCAGATGCGGGAAGCGGTTGTGAGGGACGCCATCTCGTGGGATTCGGGAGGTGGAGGGGAGAGGGTTGAGGACTGATTGCAGGTTGCAATTGGTGAGGGATGACGTTTGGGTAGGAGAGCGTCTTTTTTCGTGATGCTGTGGTTTGAGGATTGCCGAAAGCTTTCTGGCTGGTGGCCTGAGGCAGAACGTTCTGAAATTGGTGCCTGTTGATTGGTTGGTGGGGACAGCTCATACCCGGCCCTTCCCGGAGTGGCGCAAGTTGTGACTGGGCAATACTGGATACATGCGACACCCCCATTAGCAGATTGCATCCGCAGGCAAATTTTTGATCGTCATTCTCCGTTCATCCATTTCCCACCGGTACCGACATGCAACTGTCAATTTGGTCAGGAATCTCACAACTAGCCTTTTCGACGTCTCTTTTGCTAATAACGTTTACAAAATTACTCATTCAAGGTCGTCTAGTGGGATCTGAGTGGCTCAGTGCCTGCATCCCGTTACATGAGTATCCTCTATCCTACATATGCATATCCATCTTTAATGCATGCGCTTTAGCTCCTCGACCAAGTTTCGCATGCTCTCAACCGTAGGACCTAACCCTTGAACGATGGCTTCTTGGTCTGACTCCTTGAGGTCCAAGAACCGTTCAATCAACTCACCGTCAACAAATCGAAACGGTGCGTCAGCATCACGCTTTGCGTTCCGGAACCCTCGCCACGACATGAATGACAGTCCGGTGCCACTCTCAGTCTCCGCTTGACCCAGTGTTTTAACTACTCCAGCCAATCTCTCTTGGAACTGAAGCAGCAGGCTCTGGTACTCGGACTTGATGTCTGCGAAGACATACAATGATCCCTCGACCTACAAAGTGTCAGAATTCTACATGTTTGAACGGCTCTGGCTCATGTTACTTACCGTTGCAAGAAACGCCTTGGGATGAATAGGGTCGTTGTCATTGGGCGTGACGTCCAGTGGCCGGATCTTGTTGATTTGTTCTCCAAGATGAAACTCGCTGGTGACTTCCATTTGCTTCTTGTCGTGCTCCGTCGGCGCGTTGGGATTTCTCCTCAGCACCATGAGGTTACCTTGCGCATCTGCCTCCAGCCATGTATGTCCTTCCAGATGGCAAACTGATGTAGCCCAAATGTATTGGAAATGCCGTGCTCGCTCGACAAGACGTGCCTTATTCCCCTCCTGAGCTGAAATGAACTCAAGCAGTGTCAATGACTGCATCAGGTCGGCAACGCCAATCATGTTACCGCTGACGTCAAGGTCAACGGGGAATGTAGAGGGGCGGAACGTTGCCAGTTTCTGCAGCGCTCCTGACGTTGTGGATTCCTCTGCGTAATCGTAAACAACTACTGTCTTGCTGAGGCCAGCAACGAGCTTGTCTCCCATCACAGCGAGGCTTCGACATGCACCTTTCAGCTCATGACTAACGATCTGGTAAGGATTCTTGTCCGAATCAACACCGAGGACCAGTATTCGACCCTTGACGTCGTTGTGCTCGCCGATTTCTGGATCAGCTAGATAACTTGTGCCAACCACGAACCTTTCAGCCGGCTGACCTGTACTATCTGGAAGCTCGGCTCTAATGACGCTCTCGACAAGTTCCGTTGATGCGGCTCCATCGAGATAGAATGGTTTGCCAACAGTCCCAAGGACGATTTCATCCACTAGTAGGAAGCTGCTGGTCACCATCTCCTCGTTATTAACGAGTTCTCTGCGAATGGTGCCAATGCCAAATGCCCGTAATGCTGGCGAGTAGGCAACTCTGCGCACAGTTTGGCGTAGGGGGAGTGGGTTAACATGTGTCCTCCTCTCTGCGTCGATATGAGCGATGCGGACGTTTTTATCAGTCGCAAGGAAGATGGCGTCGGGAAAAGCTTCTGAATCAAAAGGGGCAATATAAGTGACATCCTCCGCAGTCGCAGCCGAGTAGATAATGCGTCCCTCCGAACTGTAAATAAGACTTGAGTGCTCAGTGGTTGCAAAAACGTTGCTAATTCCAGCTTCTCCAGGTCGAGGCAAGATGTGCAAGCCTGCCTGTTTGCTGCCTAAGGTGACACTCTTTCGACTAGATAGTGAGTAGTTGTCCTTTGAGACGTTGAAGGATACAACTTGTCCATCCTCCATAGAAACAAAAAGAGTGGGACCAAGAAGGTGCGGCGGATGGAGCTGCACCAACACTACGTCTCGCGGTACGGAGACGCTGTCATCTGTTTGTTTAATGGTTTCTCCGTGTAGAGCATTTAGAGTTCGAAGGTCGATGATGGAAACTGAGCCCGTCGCCCAGAAGCCAACTACACCAACATCTTCAAGATCTTTTGCCGCGTGGATGCAAGAGATTTGATCCCCTTCGCCTCCAACTCCACTGCCTAACACTTGCTCCCGGGCAGACAGGTTTTCCTGGAGGCTGAGAGAAACTAATGATGTGCCATTGATGGATAAAAGTACCCATTTGCCGTTGGATGACGCATTGACGATACTTTTGCCTTCTGGGACGGACCATGTGCTAAGAGTAGTGCCGCCTTCTGCATCGAGTAGTGCCACGCTGGTAGCCGTGACCTGTAGCAGCTGACCATTTGGCAAAGTCGATGCAACTAATGTTGGCCTATCCAGAGTGAGGCCTTGGAATTGAAAAACTTCTTCAATACCGCCTTCAGCGTCAAACCTGAAGACTCTCGTGTCTGTGATGAAAGAGACGACCAGGGTATCGTCCTTATCCGAATTATGTGACCGAAGCGTGAAAAGACCGCGAACATCACCGAGGTCTTCCAAAACGCCAATATCCTCTAGACCAACACTGCTCCGAATGCTCCTCAAACTTCCATTTTGGTGAACACCACATCCCGCCACAATACGAGCTTGGCCCGATGAGAAAGCATTTCCAACCTGGCTATCGCCGGCATTTCCCAGGTCCATGATGGAGAAATCAAGGATGGGCGCAATGTTCGGAATAGTCTGAACTAGCTTTGTAGTACCTTGCTCGATGTCAACCTGGAGCAGCTGCGAATCGCCATAATGTGAGCCCAGGAATAGCATGCCATCGCCCATGTAGACTAAGCAGGAAGCCCGAGATGTAAGGCCGAGGAGTGTGACGGTTAGTTCTGTCACGACGACACCGTCGGTTTCGATTGTCAGAAGATGTAGGTTGCCGTAGTCGTCAGAAAGGAAGTAGTTCCTGACATCGTACTCGGCCCAAGCAACAAAAATGGTTGGGTTGGCCAAGCTAGTAGAGACTGTTGTTTTTGTCAGGGTGTCGACATAGACCAACAAGGTCTCTCCAACAACGATGAGGCCGCCTAGTTGGGCCTTGGCAGTTGAAGTATCTCTCTTGTGGTAGCGCTTGACTTCATCTTCCTCAACATTGACAGGAATGACGATTCTCGCGTAAGGGTCCTGTATGTCCATCTCGAACTCCCTGTCCTTTTCCGAGTCGAACTTGGACACATTCGTGTTTCTATCATCGCTCATGAGTCGGTATACGGCTAGCCTAGCGTCTTCCTTATCAACCTTGGACTGATACAGAAAGGCGATGGTGGGGTGGCCAGTCTCGGTAGGGACGAAGGTGCTAGCCTTCATGAAGAGCTCCGATAGTCGAACCTGTGCCCATGCAGGATCAAGGCGGAAGGTATATGGTGCCCTGGCTCCTAGGCGCATCACGTTCATGACGCCCTCCCATAAGTGCATGGCCATGAACCTGCCTGACGGATCTACCAAACACTTGTCCTGGCTTTGAGCCTCGCGCATGTGAGGCTCTGCAACATCTTCGATGACTTGCTCAGTCACCAGCTTTTGGCGCTCGGGATCCCATTTTGCAGTGAAGTATTGAAAGCGGTCGGTACCGACAAACAGGAGATCGGTCTTGGAATCTTTGGGGCTAAGACGCTGGAGAAGGAGGATCGTTCCGTATAGCGAAGCAGAATCGACGAGGTACATGTCGTTGGGCGTGACGCGCCATATTTCGAGTCGGTTTGATCGTCTTGAGGAAACCGTCAGCACATTGAACAAAAGGAGTTAATACCGCCACCAGCAGCAACTATCAAGAGCAAGGACCAAGCTGATGGAGGGGCAAGCTTGATGCAGGGTAGACTTACGACACCACTAAGCTCTCCTCGTCTTCGGACAGGCGCAGCCTCAAGGCTTGCCGTATGCTGCTAGGCCGGTGAATGGGAGCAACGTAGGACATTCTGACGGTCTGTGAGCTTTGTGAAGAGGGAGCTCTGTCCCAATGTTGCGGCCATGGACAATGGGCAAAGGTAGGCGATTTGGTCGGTGCTTCTGCGTCGGAGTTTAGCCAGAACGTCCGGGCCCTCCACTGAGGCACGATTTCATCATCAACTCAGCACTTGAGAGTGGGGCCGTAGTCTGCCATCAGCACCTCATCTCACAGCAATCTAGTCCCACAACGGCCACTACGGGGGATAGGTGCTGCCGGGGGGTTACAGGCACCCTCGCCTAACGCAGGGGCCACTACTCAGCGTTGACACCCCGCCTTTGGTTGGCGCTTGGACACTGCCTATCTCTCAGAATTACGCACTGTCAAATTTAACCAAACAGAGCAAACATATACTGTGTAGATTCGGATCAGTCAAACACGGTACACTGGCCCTTAGATGACGGGGAGCTACCTATTGGGTCAGGCACTGCCTCTGTTTTATCAGATTAAGAACGGATATGTTTCTTCCCGGCCATTTCAACTCATCAAAAGTTCTAGCTTGTGAAAGCCATCGGGGACGATGCCTCTTAATGCTTCCGACAGTTCGTCCCTCAAAGCATTTCTCTCCCTTTCAGCCCAGTTAGGATGACAGGCCTAAAGAAGACGACACATTCTATCTACACAAGTCCCCGATGTCAACAGATGCCAGGCGGCTTTCACGGACATCTTCGGTTGGGAAGCTCCCATAGCATCGCCCACGTCAAGTGAGGCTCCGAGGCTCCATATTTTGTCATATCCAGACGCTGCTCTTCGAGGTCCTTGAAACCGGCTTTCTGATATAGACGATGGCCATACAACGATGATTCCAAGTACGCCGGTACGCCCAACCGGACAGCTTCCTGCATTATTGGGGTGAGCAGCTGCAGTCCCGCGCCCCGTCGCTGGTGCTTGGGGTCTGTCACCAGGACGTGAAGGTCTTTCGTTCAGGGTTAGTTATTGACCGATAGTGCTCACCCTGATGAGTTGGACTGCCGAGTTACTTACAGACACTTGGCTTGCCAACCATCAAACGCTCCCGCATGTTATCCATGCCGACAAACAGCATTGTACAAGCCTCTGGGTTGGATCCGGGACCAAACACACGTGGCTTCGGCGTTGGCAACCCCTCCGGATAGCTGTGGAACTTGCACCAAGCTACAATCGCCTCATCGCCCTCGAGATCCGTGTCCACAGCCTTAAACATGCGCACGGTCGGATCTTCCCGATATTCCTTTGCTAAGCCATCGGCTCTCAATTCCAAAAAGTTTTCTGGCATGGGTCCGGGGAATAGGATCTTATTGAACGGCCCCTGTGCAAAAGCGTCATGCTCGATTTCGGCACAGCGCCGTAAATCGTTGACAAGGACAGGCTGGATGTCGATGGGCATATTTGCGATTGCTTGTGTGCTGACCTTTGGCCACTTTCAAAAGTCTTTTCTTGGGGTTTATGAACTCGCTCGATTTGCGTGCAGACTGGTCCTACAAGTATTATAAATGCTTGCCTACCTTGCATACCGTCTGGGGAAGCGTGGGATCCGAAATGGGCCGATCTGAAGAACCCATATTACAAGACCTTCGGTCTGACTCATCACCGTCCTTTTGGTGCTGGAGTGGGGTCGTTATTGATGGGTTCTCGTAACCCATTTAGGAAATTCTATCCCGTATGGCGAGTGATGACAAACATGCAGCTTCGTGAATCTGCATGCAGAATGCGACATTGGAATCTCTCCTGAAGATTTGAATATTTGTAATTCATGCAGAAGGCGAACTGGATATGTCCTGCTTATAGCCAGAAATAAATTAACCTCAAGGTTTTCCCCCGGCAACGTCAAAAGGCTTTTTGCATATTTGAACGATCAACATGCGGAGAACTATTCCCAACTCACTTTATTCTGATGATGAGTGCCGATCTGTTTCTACCCTCTCCATAGAGAAACCCCTACAATCCGGTGTCTTTGGAGGTGGCCAGTGTTATTTGACGCACGCATTGTCAACTATTATCCGAAGTTATTGATCGGGGAGCTATGTCCTTGACAATGGCAACAAGCTATGAACTCCCCGACTCGATCCCCGAATAACCTGATTCCAGCTGGTTTCCAATGCTCTATATCAAATAAGAACTTATCAATATGGTCTGCGGGGACGTGCTGCGAATGTCAAAGAGCATAGACTACCTTGGATGCAAAGCGCATGGACGCAATAGAGTTGACAAGTGAAAGGGTTATAGCAGCCAGCCAATAGGTGCGCAGTGCGCCCGGGCTCTGTTCTGTCTTTATTGAGACAGCATCAATCCCCTCACCACAAATTGGAAGCCCTCGAAACGCAGCCTAGATCTCGCCTTGCGTCCCCGGTCACCTACCAGTCTCCTAATCGAACTAGGCCATCGTCCTTCGTCCAATGAATCGACGTATGGCAGCTGTTCCTGGGAGTCCGGGAAACCACCGAGCACTGGCATGTCGATGCTCATTGCACCATGTCGCTAGGGCCGCATGCCTGATGCATCGGCAGCTTGTCTGCCCTACCCGTAAGGAGGCTGGTAGCACAGATCAGGAGTTCCCCCCCCGAACAAGGTAGTGTGTTCCCTTTTCGGTAACCGATGAACGGCCGTTGAGCTCTCATGTACTGTCAAGTTGTCAAAAGTGAGCACAAACACTTGGGAATACATCCGGCCGAGAACCATTGACAATCAGCACAGACTCCGACAGCCTGTATCCGACAAATCTCTGCGTCGGGGACGCATAGTTGCGAGGGCTCCAGGCTTCAACTTGAATATGGCACTCTGTACCATCCAGCTGCAGATGCGAGGACTATATCGCCACATTCACTTTACGGAAGTGTCTCACGGTCTCACTTCTGCCGACGCACAAGGGAGCTAATGGGTAGCTTATTTGCTCTATTATGGTCGATTGTTGCCAAGGCCCCAGGCCATCACAGACATATCGATTGAAGTTTATAAACCCATTCGATCTCCCGACGAGAGGAAACTTTTCTTTTGGAGCATCAGACAAGAAAACTCAGGGTCAGAAGCTTGGTCACTTCGAAGCTACGCTACATCTTTATTTGACTTTTAGGACCCTTCGTCTGCCATCAACCGCATCTTCAAAAAACAAAATGTTCACCCTTCGCCTGGTCGTCGCTCTCCTTGGTCAGTCAGCCATCATTGCTGCTGCACCCGTCCACTCCATCAAGGCCCGCGATAACCTCGACGTCATCGAGAATGCCCTTGCTCCTGTCTCTCAGTCTCTTGCCCAGGTTGACGCCGCCGTCCTTGCTCTTGATGGCGGCGCGGTCACGGCCAACAACCTCCTCGTCTTTTCCCAGCAGGCCCAGGCCACCACCGATCAGGCAACTTTTCAAATCCAGTCTGCCGGAGACCTTGGCCCCATCAGGGCTGCTAGGCTGCGCCGCATCACAGACGGTCTCCTTGACCAGACAACCACTACCGTCGGCGACTTGGTCTCCAGGAAGCCCATTCTTGACAACCTTGGCGTGAGCAGCGTTGCCCTCGACTCCCTTCAGAGGCAGAAGATCTCCACCATGGCTCTCAGTGCTGCCATCGAGGAGAAGGTCCCCAGAGTCGGCCAAAGAATCGCCGAAGAGGACAGAGTCCAGCTTGAGTCCATCCTCGACCAGGGCATCAGCGCCTACTCCCAGCCCGCTGTGCAGGCAGTTCCCGTCACCGTTGTCCCTGCTACTACCCCGGCTCCCCCCGGCACTGTTGTGCCCGCGGTCCCTGTTGCTGCTCCACCTGCCGCTGCTCCCGCTCAGCCTCCAGCGGCTGCTGTTCCCGCGCCTCCCGCCGCAGCGCCTGCTGAGCAGCCTGCCCAGCCTGTCGCTGGTGCCCCGGTTCCTCCCGCCGTTCCGGCTGTGACTCCTGGTGCTGCTCCCCAGGCTGGTGTTCCCGTTGCAGCTCCTGCTCCGGTAGCCGGAACTCCTCCCCCTGCTGTCCCCGTGGCCGTTGTCCCTGCCCCCGCCACCCCGCCTCCTCAGATTGCCCCTGCCCCTGGACGCAAGGACCGCAAGAGGAAGAAGAAGGCCGGTGCCATCAGACTCGAGGCTGAGCCCGAGGCTGAGGACATTGAGGACGAGGAGTAAAACCACATACACAACATGTACTTTAAATTAGGAGTCGTCGGCGTTTCAAGGCACCAAACCCGCGCGCGGGATAGCGAATAGGGAATTATGACGGATGATTACAAGATTAAACCTATAATAGAATGGAGCTTAATGCATCATACACTAAAAATCTTTTTGTCTTACCTTTTTTGGAAAATGTGACTATTTGCTGCGAGGGGGTTTCGACTACTGCTAGTTTATCGTGCTTTAGGTTATGCAGACTTTAGGTTTCGATGTTGGCTGTGCGTTTGCAGTCGGTGAGGACGCGGCTGCGAGGTTGAAACATTATTTACTGAGGCTATGGCATATGTGCAGAAGTCTGCAGCGAGCATTCTGGCTTCCGATACACTAGGGATGCAGGCTGGCATCGTTGATCGATTAAGGTAGTCGTCGAGGCAAGTAGACGAGTGTTTGACCCGAACTGGTCCCGTACATGGCCTCTAACTAGAACCTATTCACAAATATTCAAGGAAAAGGATGTGCATAAATCTGTATGAATTTTGTGAAATGGGACAAAGGCATATTATCCTCTCCTGTAGTGGCAGTGTTACCAGTAACCCCCGAATGAGAATGTTGATTTCGTGAGTAGACTAACAGAGCTCACAATCCTCACTTCTAACTTAAGCGCGCGTTACCTAGACGAATTTGGTTTGTTGGTTCTAAATAATGCAGGGGTTAAATCGCCCATTTCCCGCCTCTAAATAGCTTACTTTTGGTTAACCTCAGGTTCTCCTCATTCTCCTCATACGGCTTAAGAACCTCACCAACTTCTTGTTTATACTTATCAGATCGCAAAAATCACTCAATGGTCACTGAAACTATTATCGACACGGCTCCAGGTGATCCTGGAAAATCACCTCAAGCTGAAGTTAAATCATACCCCTTGGACGGTGTGGAGCTCGACTCCGTCTCCAATGAGGATCTAGCAAAACTTCTCTTCACGGCGCCTGTTCTGTATGAAGCCGGCAGCAACAGAATTGTGCGAATCTCGAAAGAAATGGTTTTAAAGGGCTCTGGCACAGTATCGAAATGTGAAGGCGAAACACAGCGATTCGCCGCAGCTCATGGATTGCAAGTGCCAACAGTTCATCGCATCTTTTCTCTAATAGGGTTTTACCCAGGCTGGCCCGAAGAGACAGGTTGGTTTATGGTCATGGACTTCGTACCCGGTACCTCACTTGAAGATGCCTGGCCAGATCTAGACACAGAAGCGCGTGAGTCTGTTACGGCCGAGGTTGCCGAGATGATCAACAAAATGCAATCGCTCGACTTAGTTGGCATGCCTCCGGGCCCTATCGGACATGAAGGGGACGAGCCGTGGCGGGGTCCTTACTTCACTGCTTACGGAACAGGGCCTTTCCGTACTTTGAAAGAGATGGAGGATTGGTACAACCATAAATTAGACGTATGCATACGACTCACACAGGCGAAAGCCGACGTTCCACGATTTGCCTTCGAGAGAGCGGTGCTTACGCATCAAGATATTGCTCCACGAAATCTCGTTATTAGAGATGAAGACCAAAAGATATGTCTCATTGATTTTAGCATGAGCGGAATTTATCCGGTTGGCTTTGAGCAAGCTGCTTTGGCAAGGCAGGCTTTCGGCAAGTGGGACAAAGAATTCAGAGAGATGGTTCTTTCAAAGCTGGCATACCGAGGAGATCTAGAGCTACGACAACTCAGAAATGTCATGTATGGTCTCACCACGGGAGTTCTCCTGTAACTTAATGTGCAGATGTCTGACGACTACATTTCTGAAGCTTAACATAGATCTCTTCCGGCTATTCTGAAAATGCAATTCAATGCTATCATAAACTAAATATTGTTGCGGCTGAAACTTAAAGGAAAAGGTAGCGGGTAGTTGAACGGAAAATTCATGCATAAAAATAGCTTAGCAGGCCAGTAAAAAGACCTCAAGGATAAAATAAGCAGCCACAACCCAAAGCAGCTTCTGAGAACCGCAATGCTGCTGGAAAACCGTATCAGTGCATTAGTACTCAACAGGCTTACCTTACAGCCATTGGGTGCCTCACGCAATTTGATGCACTTCGTGTCGTACCAGCCAGTCTAAGGCAGCCAGGGAAAAAAAGGGTGATACCAAGTGTGACATCCCGTCACTTGGCTGCATCTGAAACTTTGAAATTCACACTTTCTGACCTCCTCAATGGCCAGCCTGCCGCAGTCGACGGGCATTGGCATTGAAAATCTGACAGGCAGTAAGTCAATGATCTACATGCAGATGCCACGGCCTACTTGACCCCGCGAGGGGAAAAAGAAAACAGTCATCCTATATGATTGGGAAGCCCCTCATTATGACGGAGAGTGTAGGACGTGGGGTTTAAATATGACGTCTCCCGACCACAGAGCTCAGGTCGCAGATCGCGCTCTGTCTTCCTGCATCTTGCAAGTAACAATGAGCATCTTCTCTCAGTTGTATAGCTTTCGATGGGCCATCGTCTCAGTCTTACTTGCGGTGTACGCAAGCAAGAAGATTCAGGCCTACAATCGCCTCAAGGCTTTTAAGGGTCCCTTTAGTGCAGGTTGGTTTGAGGCATGGCACGCTTTGGCAATTATCAGCGAAAAGTCTCATCTCAAGTACGATGAAGTTTGCAGGAAATATGGTATGTTACTACCATCAAGCCCAAAAAAACTTCAAATCCAAGCTTAAACTTATGCAGGCCCGATCGCTCGTATTGGCCCCAACGATTTGCTCACATCCTCCCTGGATCTCATCCTCCACATGAGCGCCGTTCGGTCCCCCTATAGCCGGACTGAGTGGTACTACCGTGCCTGTCGTCACCGACCTGACAAAGACCATGTATTCAGCGAAATTGACGAGGAGAGGCATCGCCAGCTGCGGTCGAAGATGGCGGCTGGGGTAAGTCATGAAAGAACCCACATTCACTGCCATACAGATACAGACATATGTGGCTAATTGTCATATTATCTAGTACTCCGGAAAGGAGAATCTAGCATTGGAAGATTCCATCGATACTCACGTCTCTGAACTCCTTCAGCTTATTCGCTCAAAGTACCTTTCAACTGAAGTCGAAGCCAAACCAATGGATCTCTCTCAGAAAATCCAATTCTTAGCCCTTGATGTCATTAGCAGTATTAGCTTCAGCAACGCTTTCGGCGACTTACTAGCAGACGATGACACTAACGGGGTCGCTAAGTCATCAGAAGATGGAATGAGGGCATTCAATTTTTCCCTTGGGCTAGGCTTATACAAGCTGCTGCAAAACCCCATCATCGCCCGGTACATAGGGCCTCAAGAGACAGACGCCACGGGCTTTGGCAAGATGGTAGCTAACGGCCGCGCGGTCATCAAGAATCGGTTGGCACAAGACACAGAGAAACGATCTGATATGATTGCCTCCTTCATCCGGCACGGACTCACCGAAGAGGAGCTTGTTTCCGAGACGACGCTCCAGATGGTTGCTGGATCTGACACGACTGCTGCGTCATTGAGGATCATCATGTTATACCTCCTCACTCACCCTCGGGTTTACACTAAGCTTCAAGCTGAGATCGACCAATTTCATAACAGCAAGCAGATTAGTGAGCCCTCTGGTATCATTTCTTATGCTGATGCCAGAGGTTTGGAGTACTTGCAGGCCGTCATCAAGGAAGCCATGCGAGTTCATCCCCCTGTGACAGATGTTGTGCCTAAACGTGTACCTGATGGAGGCGATACCGTCGTAGTTGACGGTAAGGAGGTGTTTCTTCCAGGGGGGACTAATGTTAACCATGCAATTTGGCCTCTCTATCTTAACAAGGAAACATTTGGTGGGGACGCTGAGGAGTTCCGCCCTGAGCGCTGGCTGCTTGAGACTGACGAAAAGAAGCTGGCCACGATGAACAGACTGCACGAGGTCGTGTTCGGTTATGGCAAGTATCAGTGCTTGGGCCGGCCTGTTGCTTTAATGGAGATCGGAAAGACGATCTACGAGGTGAGTGGAGAGCCCCTGATCCCCATAATACGTCCAAGAATTCGGTCTATCTTTCACTGAATACAGTTATATTGGGGTTGGACTGACTTTACCCAGTTGATGCGCAATTTCGATTGGTGTCTTGCGAAGCCTGATACGCCTTGGAAAGAGTCTAATTTCGGCGGTCTTCTTTCGCATCGAGACATGTGGGTGCTTGCATCAGAGCGAAATCCGAATGTCTGATGGAACGAGGGCTCAAGCACAGCGAAGCTATTGGACTTGAGACTCTCAAAGCCAGATTACAATCCCGCAACGACAGGTCCTACGAGTAGTAAACAGTGACTACAATCAAATAATCTTTTGAACGTATTTACGCGTGAGACGTTACTAACAGTACTTTTTAAACATTCAAATTGCTTAATTGCTAAAGATAATGCCTCTCCTGATCACATTCTCTTGCCCCAACTCCAGTGGGCCTTTGGCTCTTGCAGCAGAGCCAGGATGTCGGCAAGGTCCTTTGCCTTGGGGCCCTGCTCCAATACGAGCTGCTCCACAGCTTTCTTCGTATACTCAAGTGCCTTCTTTTCATTCTGTATTGAGTTGTAGTTCAAAGCGGCCAGCCTGTATGCCCCGTAGCCATGAGACTTATCCAGATTTTCCTCGCGATAGAGCTTTATGAGAGCCTCAATCGTGTCTTCGTCAAAGGTAATCGAGTTCCAGTCACTCAATTCCTGCTCCATCTGCCACATCTTCCACAGCCGGTCGTCTGAATCCTTAACCAATGCAGGTGGGAGACTACACTGCTTACAAGTGCAACCAAAGCCCCAGTTGCGCTTGGCACGGTCCTGCCGGACTTGTCTTGAACTAAGTGAGTCGACGTAGGAGATGGTAAGCTCCTCGCCGGGCTCGATGTTTCTGACAGCTTGAGTGTGATGCCGCAAATCAGAGTCGATATAGAAGGCAACACTAAGATATTGTTAGAACTCATATCAATTCCTGAAACATAATTTTACATACTTAGGCCTGCAGTCATGATTAAAGCGAGAAACCTCTGGGTAGTTTCCGAAATGATGGCCATCTTTGATGGCCAAGCGCATCTCAAACGAGTTGGTGTGAATGATATCGTGGACCTTGTGGCCACCAGACTGTCCCATCTGGGACAAAAACACTTCGCGTGTGGCTTTCGGTAGATTGTTGACGGCAATGTCGAGTAGTCTATACTGGTTCTCCAGGTCCACATCATCGATGAATCGTCGGTGAATGACAATCGCCGGGGGAAGTGTCATGATGGATTGGCCTCTTTTAATCTTCTTCGCCGCGATGAGTCCCAACCCCTTGCCAGGCATCTCAACGACGCGGAATAAGGCGCTGTCACCTTTGTCCTTGACATCATTTGCCGACGTGGTGAATGCAGAGATGTGCGAGGCCTCTTCGGCGTTGTAAGCCGTGCTCACCAATACAATTCCACGGCCATTGGCAAATGATGGCCGCGAATACGCGCAGTAAGCTCCGGCGCAAGTGTGAGGCCCAATCCACCCTTCGTCCGAACGCCAGATGTCCTTCTTAGGCTGCTCAGTGGTCCGGTTAGTAGCAGCCTCGTCGAGATTGGGTGCTTGGGAAGACCAGATTGGAAGTTTCCCGCAAGCCAGCTGATAGTCCGGGAACAAAGGGCTGGCCGCACATAAATCGAATGTTGGGACTTGCGATTTGAGGCTCTGCCTCCGACACAAGGCGAGAGCCGCCGCTGATGCGAGTAGCATGCACGTCTTCATGATGAATAGTTCCGATTTGCGATATGAAAAAGGTAAAAAAAACAGAAAAGATCTGATGTTCCTCGCGGAGTACTCGTTAAAAACTTGGAAAGCCCTGGCGCGATGCTCTCAAATGTTTCAAGGACGCGTTTCAAGATCTCCGCACCATGTCCGTGGGTGGCCTGTATGTCCTGAGCTTATCACAGATTTTGAGCACAGGCGACCCCTTGAAGCTAACCGCATGCTAGAGCATGTCATATTATCCGGTCAAAGCGTCCGGAAACTATTCGCTGACGCCTTGGTGAGCCTGCTACATTATGGGATGAGTAGAAGTGTACTCCATCCAATTGCTCCAGCCCAAGCATGAAATGATTGCCATATACCCACGATACCTAACTCGTGTGCTTCCAAATGATGAATTGATTTCACGCTGTCTACTCGATTGATCCGAAAGACTCAAACAGGATCCCTTATTCTTTCCTGTTGCTCTAAAACAGTTCCTGTTGCATTGCTACACCATCATTTGAAATAATCGTTGTGCTGCTTGTCATCTTCCGCCCCGGTTGTTGAGTTGTATTGTCATTTTAGTCTCCCTGGGACCGAAGTAGGCTCTCTACAGTTTCCAAATGAACAGGATCATCTGAGTGGCCCGCAACCTCCTTGTCTTGCAGAGAACATTAATTTCACTCGTGAAAATATCGCTGTAGTAAGCTTACAGAAACAAGGGAATATCTCTTCCCAGTACAAGTATAAATAAAAGTCGAGACAATAACCTAATATATCTTCAACAACGCAAGGTGGTATTTTATTGTAGAGGCTGTAAGAGGGAGTAAAGGAATACAGGCAAGAAAGATAGGTATTTCAACCCGTTGGATATTGCTAATAAAAGACGCAAGATCTACCTTACCTACCCTAAGGATCCGCGTTCGCGACAACCTCTGTGGGGTAATGGAGATTCACGCCAAGCAAAAGCAACTTGATACGAAAACAAAGTTCTCGCTTTTATGTGTGAGGTTTTAACCTGCCATTAAACCGAGAGATTCATGCGGCTCTTTATGATACTAACTCATACCTAGTGCTTCCTCTAGTAACTCCGCTAAGGCAAGAGCTTTTTCCTCCTCTAAGCGTCGTGTAATAATCTGTACGCCAACCGGGGTGCCGTCATGCAACTCAGGACTATCTTCAATTTTGACAGCTTTGTCAGTTCATCCTAATACTGAGAAGGGGGGGCTGTAGTTTAATCTCACATGTCTCCCAGTATCTCTTGTCTTTCTCATTGATAGGCTTATAGTGCTCGTCCTTCTTATCTACTGCCTTGTCTGCTTTTATCACAGGAATAACAACAGCAGGGTAGTCCACAACATTCACCCACAGAGTATACGCTAAGCAGTGTTAGAGAATACGGACACACAGAGCTTTACAAGATTGCGGGAATTTTTCATACAGGCATACTCAGGGTCGTCAGTTAGAATAGCAGCAGTTGGCAAGACAGGTGCGATAATAGCATCGATGCATTTGCCAGACTTTGTACGTGTGGCTGACTCATTCCAGTAATCCATGTATTGTGTCTGGAACCGCTGAACTCGTAGGTTATTTTCGTACAGTGCGTCTGCAGTGATCGGCACTTCGGCGCTTTCACCATAAACCTCTATGATATTATGATGAATCCGCTCCTTAGAAAGTCCGAGATTGTGATGCAGGTCCAAGCCTCCGTCTTGTTTGAAAATCTTGCCCTTTGTATTCTCGAGTTAGAGTTGATTAGTATGTTACTGATGACCGTGGTACTTACACCAAGTTCAGCCAGCTTATAGGGTGCTGTTGGAGGATTCCATTTAATAGCTTCATGACCCATTGCCAAAACTGTGTTTTTTACTGTTTTCAACGCCCTTCGGACCGGCGGTTGGGGATTGACTTCGCCGTTTGACCATGAAAACCCAAACACAAGTCTAGTGCCCTTGAGAGATGCTTTAGTAAACATGTCTTCTCTCCATGGAAGACTTATAACGGCTGGGTCATGAAGCCATGGCTCCTGTGTTAGTATCGCCTTTGTCATCATCTTCAACGCGCCCACACTTGGTGCCATTGGTCCTACAACAGATTTGACTGTGTTCTGGCCTGCCATGCTGTTCGCCACGCCGCGGTAAGACAGCCGGCCAATTGAGGGTCTGAGAGCGCAGATTCCACAGACTGAGGAAGGCATTCTTGAAGTCTTTGTCAGTAACATAAACGGGCATTCTGAGAGAATTTGAGTAACGACAACCTACCTAACACTTCCGCCAATATCAGTACCGAAGCCAATGGGGCTTCCTCGAAGAGCAATCAATGCTGCCTCGCCTCCAGAGCTGCCTCCACTGTTCGTGGAACGATTATATGGATTGAGAGTGAAACCAATAATGTTATTCCAAGTTCTCATACTCATGACAGTATGCGGCAAGCTGGTCTTACAATATGCCACACCGCCGAGCATTCTGACCTCACGCACAAGTTCACTTTCGGCCAATTTTTCTTGACCCGTTCCTCTGATTCCTTCGAACGTGCCTATCCAGCCGGCGTAGCCCATTGATGTCTCAACGCCCGGGATGTGAAACTGGTCTTTGAAAGATACTGGCAAGCCGTGGAGGGGTCCCACAGGTCCACGCCCTTGTGCCATCAGGACATCTAATTCTTTCGCACGAGAAATCGCACCATCGAAAAAGATTTCGTGCATACAATTAGTCTAACATAGATTATGTCAGAACGAATCCAAGCGTAATCCCAGATTTAGAGACGCAAACTTACGAATTGGTGAGCCAAGGCCGCGCGGTGGCAAAAGGCTGCCACAACCTCGACGGCGGTCCATTGTCCAGTCGACAAGAGCTGCACAAGCTCGGGAGCATCAGTATTTGTGATTTCAACTTCTCTTGAGGACAGATGCTGTTCGATGTAAGATCCTGTGACGTTTCTTTCATCCTCGGCCATGGGGATAGGTAGTGGAAGCCGCCATTGCTGGGGAATCGCTGCATTGATGTCCCGCCGCTTTCGCTCAACGATTTCTTCCCAGGGCGCCGTCATGATGATGATGATAATGTTGATGATGAGATACTTCGACTGTAGTAAACTATATTAGTTTAAATAAAAGTTCAAATAGACTTCATAAGCTTACATAACCTGATGATTGACTTTTCTTCGTACTACCTAACATGTTAAGATTAATGTTTTCATTCATTAAAGGCAAATAGACTTTGCAGTAGCTCTAAGGGTTTAAACTCAAGACATGTTTTACTTACTTTTCTTAGAGCATTTGCGATCAGGAGTAAAGAGGTCAGGTAGGTGTCCCAAGGTGACTGCTTTCATCTCTGGATTATTCTGGATTAAGAGCCCTCACTTATACTGGATGCACCAATGGTTACGCAGTGTTTTCCGGAATGTTACCCAATCACACTGTAATATCCGGAAATTCCAGTTGCCCCTGTCCTAATTTGCTGGAATGCTTTCGACATGTAACGGGAAACATAACAAGTCAAAGAACCCATCCCAAGATCCTCTCCAATATGAAAGACCACTAATCTATGAGCCGACCCTCTCAGCCCTCCATGAAAAAACCAAACGGTTGTCGGAAAGCCTATGACGATCGAATCGCGTTGAATGAATGGGAGATAGCTTTGTCTGCAATACAGACAGTGCGAATCCGCGGAAGGATCAGATTTGAGTTCAATGGCGATACACAAGTCAACCAATAGACAGGGTTTATGTACCGTATGCGCTTTGCAAAAGTGAAAACTGAAAGTACTGTTATCTCTATATATCAAATTTCCCGAATTCCCCCAAGTTCGTCGGCAGTTAGCCCTTTCTACATCAAGCCAGTTATGATATATCCGTTAGTCGGTTCCCAAACTCGCACGCTTCAGCGGCGACCAACGTATATACGCCCAATACTCCCTTCAAGTATACCTTTGAAATACTGCTCGAGGCTTCTGGCCTGAAAGTTAGGGTAGAGCTCTTTCCCATCCAAGTAACCCAAGTACTTTGCATTCTCAGGCATGTTGTCTCCACGAACCCACAATGAGTAGTCATATGCAAGTAGGCTTATGCCCATTTGATGGCGCTGGCCATCGATAGCGGACTTTTTCTTGAGATCCTCCATCTTGTTCTGAAGGTCTTCTGCACTCATCTGTAAAGGGGTTAGCGCTTAAGTATCAGTTGAGAACCATGAGAACAAATTCTAGACTATTGATGCTTACATAGTTTCTCTCCAAAGTTTCCGTTGACAAATGTTCGAGGAGATCAAACAACTGATTTTGGGTCCAGATCTCATTATATACAAATACTGACTTGTTTAGTGTGCGGGGATCTACGATAATCCGTGCCACATATTTTCCAATGTCTCTGTTATCAATCAATGCCGTCTGAGTGTGCCCGTTACCGACAATGGATTTCACAGGAAAAACGATTGAATGATCAATCTTTCCCGATGGTAGGGATGGTAGGGATGGTAGCAACATCTGATACCACCAGCCGACATCGATAAGCGTATAAGGCAGGTAAAGGGTCTTGATAAAATCGACGAGGTCCTCTTTCTAAGGTACAATATCGAGTTAGATATATCTTGGGATGTTGATGTTGAAGTTTTCAGCCGACACCATGGGTTAAACCCTTTTGGCAGTCGGCTTCGTGAGGACGTACCAGGTCTCTCAGTTGCATGACACCTCGTGGAGGACAGACAGGACCGAAAAGGCTAGGAACAAAGCGCCCAACGCCCGCCTTTTTACAAGCGGTTGCTAGGTTGTTCATAGCGTCCATGTCGGTCACGATCAAACATGAGATGACAACATCAACGCCATCAAGTATCGCGACAAGGTCGGCACTGACGGTGCCTAAATTTGCTGAGACCACAGTCACACCCCGGTCTCTAAGCTCGTGGTATGCCGCCTTGTCTACAGAACTTGGACGGGCGAGCACTGTTAAATCCTGAAAGGTAGGAGACGTGATTAGGTGCTCGGTTCTATGGAAAACCTAGTTCTTGCGAAGGATATACTTACAAATGTCTCTGGCGACTCGAGGAGGCCATTCGCAATCGACCCTCCAGTCTCGCCGCTGGCCCCTGCAATGACGACGTGTATCTTCTTTGCCATTTTGAATAGTGGGCGGACGTCTTGTTGCTGTCTTGTGTTGGGGCAATCGTAAAGACAATGAAAGACTTTTACAACCTTAACTACAAGAGTTCATGTCCCATACCTAAAGTCAAGTGGCCTGCGTCTTTTATAGATATTTCCATTGTTGGACCTTCGACGACCTCGATGCCATGAACCCTTCCCAATCAGGGCATTTTTCGTATCTTTCAGCGCCGCCCCAATATAAGTCTTGCTCCACATTATTCAACGCGGGGCTCGAATACGCAAAAACACCAATTTGAGCTTAGCGCGCCGCCTAACGCCGGCCGGCCAGACTTTGGGATCGGCGTTGGCTTGACCTGCCCCGCATCGTCAATCTTGACACCCTCGAACTCGACCGGATTTGACTTTGAGGTGGCGTTGTAGCTCCGATCTGACTAATTCTGGTACTTGATTCGTCATGCGTGCAACATGCAATTCTCCCCTCACCAACGTTTTACAACATTCAATCCTCCTCAAGTACAGCAATGAGTGATTTAGGCCAAGTTGAAGTACTGGGGAAAACATCACGGAAGCCACACCGGAAGACCCGGACCGGCTGTGCCGTCTGCAAGAAGAGGCGGATCAAGGTATGGTCGAAATCGCCAGTCTAGAAATGACATTTACTAAAGCCCCCGCTTCATCAATAGTGCGACGAAAACAAGCCAGCATGCCGGAACTGCCTGCTTTTTAATGTGGGCTGCACATACTCATCGGTCCGCCCAGCAGTGTCTGGCGAACGTCTGATATTTCTTGTCAATGATGGTCCCGGGCCACACCGGGGACGCGGCCGCCCGAGGACAAATTGGCCCGAAAGGGCTTCGGCCATTGTCAAGGTTGCATCACCTTACAACAGTCTCTGCGCGGCCCTCCCATCGTTAGTAGAAGGTACCCGAGCATACAGTATGCTTCTGGAATGTCTCAAATGGACAGGCGATACCACCGTGATGACTTCCCGTGAACAAATTATCAGGAAGGGTCCTAGCACAGTACTAGGCATGTCTTACCCATTCATCTTCGACCTCGTACGCTCCGTTGTCGCATCTCATCTCGTACAACAGCTTCCTCAACACCGCGAGCACTTTCGCGCACTAGCAGACAGTTATTCTTCTCCTGGAATACGCGGACTGACTGAATTATTGCCCCATCTGGATGCTAAAAACGCTCATGCGATCTTCGCCGCAGCCGCGCTCGTGTGCATAACCATTTTAGCCCAAGGGCCTCGGGAGGGGGAGTACCTGTTTTTCAATGACGGGGATTCCCTCACCTGGATCCAGCTTCTGAAAGGCCTCAAGTCTATCCCCGGCGCCGTGGGAGTTGATCAAGTGTTCTCCGGGCCGTTGAGAAGTTTTTCATGCGGTAAAACGCGAGTTGACAGGCCGGCTGTCGAGATACTCCACCTTCAAACCCTAGACTGGGTTGGCCAGTTTATCCGGCTACGAGACTTTATAGCGCACTCTAATAACGCTACTCGGGTAGCAGACCTGGAAGCGCTCGAGGGCTTAGAGCTGTGCTATGAGGCAAACTGGGGAAGGGCAGACGGGTCTTATGAAGGCGACGTCATGAATAAATGGGCTTTTACCTGGGCTTATCACTTGCAGGACGATTTTGTGCGCCGATTACAAAAGAAGAGCCCAATGCCTCTGGTAATCCTTGCTCATTTCGCGGTTCTACTAAAAACCTTGGAACATGTTTGGTGGATCGCAGGTTGGCCACAGCACATCGTCTCAGGGATCCACGCAATGATAGACCGAGGATACCTACACTGGCTGGAGTGGCCTGCACGGGCTTTAGCTATCGTTTTGCAGATGTGTCTATAAACACAAAGCTGTAAGATCCAAGGCGATCATGGTGCCGTTAATACTGAACTGCCCCAGTTGGTTCCAAAAGCTTTGCAACTGCAACTTATGATTGGCGGAAAGTTCCGAGCGAATTGTAAACGAAAGCACACTTGTGCCTTCACCTCAGCCTGACTTTTCCACAACGCTAAAACTCAATATATTAAGTGTCTTTTTTTTCTTATACATTTTGTGCTAAGCAACCGACTTATCACCACCTGAGCTCTACAGTTGGCCAACATATGAGACCTTCGTCCCTATACGGGCCCATACCTCTATCGCGCTTAATACTATCCCACTATCCTTCGACCAATCATGTCTTCTTCGGACGATTTTCAGTCGACCTGGGATACTGGATTGCCCGAAACAGGAGATGGACATGCATATGACGCCGCAAAGCTTGCTAATAGAGACGACGATAATCACATATCGGCACTCAGAACCAAAGACAGTTCTGTGACTGTCTGGACGATCGATGCTTATCTTAATGGAGAGGATGAGCCACAAAAAAAACTTGGTATGAGACATGTGTGTCATTTGTGGTGAAGCAAAGTGCTGAACGTAGGCATGTATTCAAAGTAGTAGATTGAGTGGCTTGTCTTCTCCTAACTACACTATGGAACGATATCGTGCCTAAATATGTTTTGTGGGCGAAGCGGAATAAAGATATTCCGGTCATTCTATTTCGGGATTATCCCTATAGGCGATATGTAGGTTATGTAACAGTGAGGTTGTATACTTCACCTTAAAGGCATTATGATATACCTGTCACAGTTCTATGAATAGTCATTAGGGGTACGTAATATCTCACGTGCTGGCCGTACCTATATAAGAGACGCCCTCGATAGCATTATCGTCAGTAGGTTAACTTAATACAAGACTAACTGCTTATACCTACGTTTATTAATTTATTATTATTTATTACCTTATAACTATTTATTTAACTTCTATACTATTCTATTTATATCTCTATTCTTATTACGGTTCCGACCTCTGCCTATTATAGCTACGTGCTAGTAGGAAGAACTATAATAAGTAGTAGTATAACTTAATCTCGATTAATTTTTTCTCTTGATTTAACCGCGATATATCGCGGAGAATCTCGAAGGAAATACCTTATAAGCCTACTTACTTAAAATCATAACCTATACCTCGACGTAGCTAATATAGACTTATATAATAAGTTATATAAATAACCCGAGGTTAAATAATAGTCATCGCGAGATAGCAAGACGTCTCTTACGATATTAAGAGATATATCTTAATAATCCTAAAATAATAAGAATTTCAGACTCCTTTTAAGTATATATAAGTATTATAGTATTTATTATATAGAATATAAATATTAACTAAATTAATATTAGATATAATAATAGAACCTAGACTTAAGTAATGCAACTTAAAAATAGTTAGAGGATAGAGAATTATAATTATAATAAAGTAGTAAATAGTATTACTAAGGTAATTATTTATACCTAAGAACTCTAGGACTTCTAAGGATAATTTAGAAAACTAAGCTTAGAAGAGTTAGATATTATAAAAGGTAAGTAACTTATAAGAAATAATAAAACTACTAAACTAAGGCTAATTATACTATTAATATAGCTTTAATAGTAAGAGTAATAACTTCCTAGGGTACTACTTAAGTATAGCTAATATAAGAAGAATTATAAAGACTTTTAAAAGCTATAGTTAGTAGTATTAGATATAATTATAAGCTAACCTTAATAAACTTTTTAATAAGTAAGACTATTAAATTAATAATAATATATAAAACTACTATAAGCTAAGTTATTCTTTTAAAAACAGAGGTATAAGTTATAGAGACCCTATTAGAGGGAATATAATTTATACTAAGCTAGGGATAGAATCCTTAATAGTAATATATACCCCCTAGTATAAGAGGATACCTTCCCCCTTAGGAGTAGATACTATACCTAATAGTAATAGGATTTCTATCCTTTTAGACTCTACTACTCCCTTAGATGTTATTATAGTTCTTCCTACTAGTACGTAGCTATAATAAATAAAGGTTAGAACCGTAATAAGAATAAAGATATAAATAGAATAGTATAGAAGTTAAATAAATAGTTATAAAATAATAAATAATAATAAATTAATAAACATAAGTATAAATAGTTAGTCTTTATTAAGTTAACCTACTAATAATAATACTATTAAAGGCGTCTCTTATATAGGTACGGCTAGCATGTAAGATATTACGTACCCTAATAACTATTTATAAAACTATAATAAGTACCCTTTTTAAAAAAAGACGATTGTCCTAATCGATGATAAAATAAAAACTAATTATATAAATTTATCCCTTCTATTTCCTATCTATTATAAGAATTATAACCTTAATAATAAAATCTTATTTTAATTATAGTCTAGTATATTATTAAAGTAGCTCTACTTAGTTAGGCTTATAATACTCTTAGTAGCGATATACTTATTACCTTTTATAACTTAGTAATAGCTTCGCGTAGTTTTATAATCTTATTATAAAAGACTATAATTTTATTATCCTTAATAGTAATAATATAGTTAACTTCTATAGTAATTATATCCTTATTAATAGCTATTACTTTAAGTACTTTAAGGTAATTATTAATACTTATAATATTAATAGTAGACTAGGCTTTTTTATTAAGTTTATGTTAGAAGTATAAGTATATTATACTTCTATTTTACTTATTTATCCTATTTAGTCTTATCTAAGACTTAGTAGGACTTACAAAAGTAACTAGCTAAGAATGGCTGCTTGCTAGTTTAAACATATGACATTCAGATCCCTATGGAATACTCTCTTTAACCTTATCTAAAAGTCTATTTAGTTAAAGAAGATTCTAGTCTGATTTATAAGCTGCTTTATAAGCTAGTTGACGTATATACTTACGTATACTAAACCTAGCTTATAGCTTCCTATATTAGCTATTATAGGCGACGTTATACTACTATATAACTAGCCTAATTCTCTCCCTTAGCTAGCTATTAGTTCCTCAACCAACTCAGCTTCAATATAAGCCTATACATTCTTTACTATTAAAGCCCTACTTCATAAGTACAAGTTCCCTTACTCTAATACCCTGTTATAAGGATATCGTACTACCTACGAGATTCCTACCTACCGTTCCAACAGTTTATTAAGGTAAGGAATAATCTCCTTATTAATTTTTTCTTTATATTCTTAGTAACTATCTTATTTATTTATAAATATTACTTTTAAAAGTTTAAAATACTTTTTCTATATTCTTAAGTTACTTATAAGTAGTTATATTAATAATAGTTATATAGTTATTTATAAGTAGAGGAACTAAGAAGAGGTTAGCTTAGTAAATAGTAATAAGGTAGTTTATAATAATATTATTAACCTAACTATTATTAATATAAAAGATAGTTATAAGAACCTAGGTATAGGATAGTAGGTATTCTATATATAAGGTATTATTATTATATATAGTATAAGCGTATTTATAAGTATCCTAAATATAATAAATAAATAAGTTAAAGAAGGGGTAGCTAGGCTAGTAAAGTTATTAAGATAAGCCTTAATCTCCTTAAGCAATATATCGTCTAGGTAGAAGGCGAACGCATCCTAGGTATGCTTTTTAATATCTTAGACCTAGGTATTATTAACCTTAGTAGTAGTATACTTCTTCTTCTTAGGGTACTAGACTTCTTATTAGCCTTAGCCTTCTTAGCCTTAGGGGTAGGAGTAGCCTTAACGGCTAAGGCGTTAGACTCCTCCTCCTTACTAGATTTATTAACTAGCTTAGGGTTATTCTTCTTAGCCTTAGTCTTAGCCTTACCCTTATTAGTCTTCTTAAACTAGTCTTTTTTAATTATCTTAGTAGGTTTAATATAAGCTTTATAAGCCTTATTAGCCTTATTAATATAAATATAGTAATATCCTACTAGTTATTAATATATTTAGTAGTAGTTATAGTAATTTCTTAGTAGTATCTTATTAATAATATAAAGTTCTTTATTATTAGGCTAAAGTTATTTTTAAAGTTCTTATTATTAGTCTAAGTCTTATTATTACTTATATTACTTTTAAAGGTTATAATAAAGCTAGTAAGGGTTTTAATAATCTTATTAATATCTTAGTAAGTATATTAAGAAGATATCTTTATATCTTAATATTAAATCTTATAATTAAGATATATAATAGTAATAAGTTAAAAGTCTTAATAAGAATAGAAAGGGTTTATAATATATTATAAAGTAAGAGATTTATTAATTTTCTATTATATAGGTAGAAGTAAGATTTATATAGTAGGAAAAGTTTACTTTTATAATAATAATAGTAAAAGTAAAAAAGTAAAGTTTTTTACTACTTATAAGGTAAGTACTTACGAAGGGAAAGAATAAGTATTTTATACGAAATTCTATTATGTTAATAAAGGGAATAATCTTACTAATATTACTTTATTAGGAATTAGTTACTTTATTATAGAATAGTAATATTGTTTTAGTTATTTTATTATTAGTATTACTTAGAGTAGTAGGTTAATATAACCTCTATATCGATAAGATATCTTGCTTTATACTTATTAACAAGCTCTACTATATTAGTCTTAAGCGATTTATAAAGCTCTTAGGTATTAAACCTTATAGTAAATCCCTTTTAATAAATAAGATATTCGATCCTTAACTTACGTTTTCTCTAATTAATTTTATAAATTATAATATAGTTAATTTCCTATTCTTTATTACTATTAATCTTAATAGGTTAGGTAGTTATTATTTATAATTAAATAGGTCGTCTCCTTAGGCTAGCTTATATAGCTATACTACTAATAAGATTAGAAAAATTTACTAATAAGCTAGGAGGTTAACTTTATAAGCTATTAAGCTTATAATTTAAATAATTTAAAAGGGGCTTATACGTTATAACATCTACTTATTATAGTATTAACTAAGTAAGTAGAAGCCCTTTCTTAGTCTTATTAAACCTTGTTATTAATAGAGAATTT